ACCCTAACCCTAACCCTAACCCTATAGGCGTATATCCGTACGCCCTCGCGTATCCGACGACTACTAGCGTATATCTATACCCTAACCCTAGTACTACGAAATACTATTTAGATATACTAGAAATAATACTAGATAGATAATTAAGTACTATAAGTAAGATATATTCTATTTTAGCGTATAAAACGGCGTCTATAGGTAGTTCTAAAAATATAGATTCTACTAAATAGAATCCTACTAAAATCTAGACTATATAGCTTCGCGCCTTACTAGACTTAGGGAGGATCCTACTAATATTTAGTTACCTCCTAGGCCTTATATTAGTTAGGCTATATATTATAATATATACGACAACGGCCCTTACTATTTCGTCTACGAGCCGAAGCTTAGCAAGGAGATCCTAACGAGAGATCCAAACTAGCTATATTAAGGTAGCAAGGAGCGGGAGAACGAAGGGTTGACGGTCAAGCCCGGCGATGAAGACTTGCCTGATTTTGCGCAGCAGCAGCGTGGGAAGTGGGGCCAGACTAGCGGTGAGTTAAGCTGGATGGCATCAGAATGATCTTGTGCTGACACGTTTGGTTTGGTATCTCAGACTATAGTGCGCAGGGAACTGTCTTCAATGGCTACACCGCTGGCTACACTAATTATGCCAACGACACGAGCAACGACATCTCGATCTTAAGCCCGACCGTGCCGGCTGCCAGTATCCAACCGTCCAACGAGAATGACTGAAACTCTCCGCTAGTCGTGCTTTTTGACGCCTTGATCAGTAATTTGTATGTTCTAATCAATGAGCGTTGACGAACGAGTCGATTGATGGCAAAGGCTGAGCAATCAAGCATAGTGGGCTCGCTGTGTTTCAATTACGATTAGACCACCAGACATATTGTCCGATATCGATGCTCGTTAGTCCGCTGTAAGTGCCTGCCTGCTTTTGATGTTGTGACTGCCTTGAGGCTGAATCAGCCATGACATGCCCGGCACAATCAAACACGTCGTAAAGTACAGCGATGCGTTGTGTCATGAACAATAATCCAAGATTTGCTTGCGGTTGATGAATGAAATGGAAGTGTTGAGCGTCCAAAAGTGGAGGAAGGTGACTGTAGATCTAGTTTTAAATCTATTATGTAGGAAACGCAAGAGGTAGTAGAGTGAGATTGGACCCATTCCAACTCCCTCCAATTATACCATATCGTACACGAAGCAGATCAAACGAGCAAGCCAGCAAGAAAGCAGTACATTCAAGCCGCGTACCGTGACGGCACGCCACGCTGACCATCCGGTTTGATCACCTGTACCATGCCATTGTGTGCCCTGTATGTCAACTGCTTCTTGCACTCGGAACAATAGTGGCTCGTGTCCGGGAACCAGTGAGCTATGCAGGGCACGCAAGCTGCACATACGCAAAAGATACCTATAACAACTCCGACGATGCTAGAGGTTGTCAGCGAACCTCGACTGCACATTCGAAAGGCTACCCTGACCTACAATGTCATAGACGAGTGCTCCTTCCTAACCTCCGTCTGTGTTCTCTTCATGCAGTAGGGGCAATCCACCCATTCCGATGTCTCGCCCAACTCGTTCAGTGGGAGAGAATACTTCGGCCCGGCGACGTAGGAGATCCGATTTGGCTCGATGCTGGGCTGCTCGTGGACCACCTGGCGTTCGACGCTGCTGGGCTGCGGCTGGTCGTGCTTCTCGCGGTACGTTGGCGGGGGGGACTGGACTGGCTCTATGCCATACGGCTGGATGCCAGGCTGTATATCGTTCTGCGGCTGGGTCGCCATTGTGGTTCAGGGTGAGCTGGATGTGTGAGCGGTGTTGGCTGCTAAGATCGCGATCAACCTGTGCCGATGGTCGTCAGGCGTTTCTATCGCAACAAGAGCAGCCATCTTGGTAGACAGGCGGCCAAGCATGCTCCTTTGTATGTTGCACCCTTTGGGCTGAGCGTCTAATTACAGACGCCTTTTTGGCCCCAACCAAGATGCAGGGCTGAGCCTCGCGGGAATCCTTCGCCGCCGCGGCGACCCTTCAGCGAACCGCCGTTGTCGAATTAGCGTGCATGCTGGGCAATACCGCCCCCACCCTGGGACTAATCATGAGAATGGGACCAAAGTGATCTTCGGAAGTATGAATGGTATGTACAGTAGTGTCTCCTTAGTGCTTCACTAGAGACCACGGTCGATCGGTATGGAGTCACCACATTATAAGCAGCCAGCATTCATTGAGCCCTACTCACCAATGGTCGTCACTTCGACCCTTGCCACGCGAGACTTGTCACGTAGGTAATATAGACCAAGCACCGTGACATAAGCCATGTTCTTCCTGGAGACTACAGCGTTGTCGACAAGGAGCTACCCGTTGATCCACAAGCACTACCAGAGCTTAAAAGATGTAGCAGCCGCCAAACTCACCTATGGCATATTGTCTCACACCTGGGGCAAAGATGAAGTCACATACGCCGATGTGGTTGCTCAGCGCGGCACAGACAAGGCGGGTTATGCCAAAGTGAGAAATGCCATTCAATGCGCTCGCGAGGATGGCTTCAAGCTCATCTGGATCGACAGTTGCTGCATCAACAAGGACAGCAGCGCGGAGCTTAGTGAGGCCATCAATAGTATGTACGCCTGGTATAGCGCCGCCGGAAAGTGCTATGCATTTCTCGAAGATGTCATATACCCAGAGAAAGCCGATATGACTGAGATCGAGCCAGCGTTTCGCTCTTCACGGTGGTTCCGCCGTGGTTGGACATTACAGGAACTGCTTGCACCTAGAGATCTAGTCTTCTACGATCAAGAATGGAGACGCATCGAGAACAAGGTGCGAATACAAGCTATAGTCGCCAAAGCGGCACGCATCAGAACAGACATACTGACCGGTCAACGTCTCCTCAGCTCCGCGAGTGTAGCTGAGCGCATGTCTTGGGCTGCAGGTCGCGAAACCACACGAGAGGAAGACGAGGCCTACTGCCTTATGGGACTGTTCACTGTCAACATGCCTATGCTTTATGGTGAAGGAGACCGAGCCTTCCAGCGCCTGCAGGAGGAAATCATGAAAGTGTCAGATGATCATTCACTTTTCGCTTGGATGAGCAAGTCTCTGAAGCCTGGCGAACTCCATGGCTTACTGGCTGACTCGCCGAATGATTTCGCTTTTCTGGAAGCACCCGATATTCGAGCGTATAGTAGCTGGGAGAAGGAGTCACCATACGCGATGACCAACCGTGGGCTCGATATTGAGCTACATCTATCGCCACGACATGATACGGATCGTCACTTCACGGCAGCGCTGCATTGCCCCAGTCCCACTGGTCAAGGTACCTTCCTAGCAGTTGTCCTACAGAAGCTCGGCTCTGCGCGAGACGACGACAGATATGCTCGAGTGCAGTGCCATCGTTTGCAAGCCATCGGGGAGCGAGGTGTACGGATCTCCATGTACATTCCACAGGGAATAGTCTTCGATGACCAAGAAGGTGAATATCCCCTTCACGTCCTGAAGTTGGAAGATCTACCCGCGCCGTATGTGTACCTTGACATCGAGAGAGTCAACCCGTTCAACAACGATGACAAGCGAATGCTGCCAGAAGTGGCCTCGAACCGATATGCCAAGATCCTCAAGACCGAAGGGCGAGTCGCTGTTATATGCACCATCAAGGACACAGCCACCGATACTACCTTCCTAATCCGGCTCGGATCAGCAAAGCGCCTGACTGTAGGCTTCGATGTCGTCGGCACCAGACTGCTAGACTACAAGCCACTTGACTCTGGCCGCACCACCGACTTACCTGTACATCAGCTACGTATCGATATGCCTGAGCGCGTTTTTCCTGGGACCAAGATCTACATTGTTCAGTTCACGATTCAACGCAAGCAGACGGCGCTTGCGACACAGATATATGAAGACGTCACGGATCGCTTGGCGGGCATGATTCCTGTGCAGCCAGCTACTGCGAGACCGCGGCAGCTAGAGCCGAAGCCTCGGACGACATCTAATCGCCATGGATTCCTACGCAATGTAGGACTGCGGCGATGAGGCTGAGTGGCTCGCACTCATTCTCACTGTGTGACTTGTACAAGACGGGCTAGGTCTAGAGAGGCAGCGGACTGCATTGTGTAATTAGTGGGGGTCGGAACAAATACTGCTTTGGCTCCGGATAAAGTAAGATGAAGAGCTCGCTCGCGCTAATTGATCAGGCTACATGCTCCGCATGCAACACCATGTGCGACCTTTCATGTTGCTTATCAGCCCTAGCTTTTTTGGTAGGGAGATATTTGGCTGTTCGGCATGGATGATGGCTTGCTCGCGCCAGAGAACGGCGGTCTGTTGTCGAGCCAGTGGCGTAGCTCAAATCTCCTGAGTAGCTTGCGAGCTGTTATCTGATGCCTCGAGTAGTGCCCCTTATGGCGTGAGCCAAGATCTAGACATAGCTTTCGTGAACTAGTCCTTGTTCCTATGCCATATATGAGCGAGCGCTCTGTTGGGTCTCGATGGTGTCAGTCTCTCGCATCGGCGATCGACACTAGGAGCTTGAGATGATCCGAGTACATGCAGAAGAGCCCGGACTGAGTGTCTTATATTGGTATGATTTATCGGATGTGTGTTCGTTTTCTTATTGACATATTTCGTAAGCTTGCCCAGCCAAAACCGATCGCTGATGGTGCAGGTAGTGGCTACACGATCCACCATAGCTGGTTTCATCGCTTACCATGGTGGAATTCCTAACATGTGGATACTTTGCCATGTATCGTAGTGCAGATATACGCGGCATGAGAGTGATGCTACCTAGGCCCGGGCCGCCCGGCCTTTGTTATGCGCGGAGCATGCGAGACTTTGATGTGAACGAGTCGCAAAGGCAACCTCAAGCTGATTGGATCGTCTGATCAACGCCGCTGTCAAGTAGTTGCATATGGGATGGTCAAAGAGTGCGAGATGATTCGCATTGAACCGATCTTCGAGTCGCACAACATTATCGAAGCACATTATTTTGCGTACCTGCAGTAGCTTGGATGGCGTGCTGAGCCCCACCATGGTATAGAAGCAGCTGGCTGTGGAAGTTAGTGCAGCAGAAAGCGCATCGTTCTCTCTGAATAATTCAAGCTCAGAGCAACAGCGAAGTTCCATATAGAATATTGTCCATCGGCATGGCTACGGATAACCAGCAAAAGCTTCTGCAGAAGAACAAGCAGTATGTAGCCACGTTCGATAAGGGCGATCTCGCGTTACCACCGGCGAAGAAATACCTTGTCGGTATGTCCAGTCACTACATCGCGCACCCACACTTGTGTATTTGCCTGTTAAGCTGACAAAGCCTTTACGAAGTAACCTGCATGGACGCGCGTATCGACCCAGCTGCTGCCTTCGGCATAGATTTAGGTGATGCGCATGTCATCCGCAACGCCGGCGGAAACGCAAAGGACGCTTTTCGGTCCATCTTAATCTCGGAACATCTCCTTGGAACTCGGGAGATCGTGCTCGTAAAGCATACCGGCTGTGGGATGCTGACTTTCTCCAACACTGATGCGGCAAGCGTTATCGAGAAGAACGGCAGTAAGGTGCCGCACGCTTTAGACTTTCAACCCTTCTCGGACCTTGAGAAAGCTGTTGAAAGTGATGTCCAGTGGTTGAAAGCGAACGGATCATTGGCCAGCGGTGTTGAGATCAGTGGATGGCTCTATGAGGTCGAGACGGGTGAGGTGAGGCAGGTCGCGTAGCATCACTGTAGCTTGCCATCAGAACTCCGCCAGATCACTAGTTGCCCGGATATTGTTGCCGTATTACTGTATATCACGGCTGTTCTTGTGATTGTTCCTTGGCTGTCCGGCCAGAGTACATATTTGGTCCTGCTCAATGGAGGGAATGAAGCATAATTGCCTCGACCTGGGGTCCGTGAAGATGAGGCAACCACAAAGGAGGACCTCGGTACAATTGAGGTACTGATCCATCTTGATATCCCTCCCGTCGATCGGGAAGAAAAGCTGTTTCGTGTTTTGGATAGGAAACTTTGAGTTTGGCTTGCGACGGAGGTGAGAGCTAGCAGGCAAGCGAAGCGGAGCGATACCGACGGGCCGGCGATGCACTTCCTTTCTTCTCTCCTCTGAAGCTTGGCGCATGTCAGGGAGGATGTTACTCGAAGACCAAGATCTGTTGGAATTAAGGGCTACTGCAGCAAAAGTGGCAAGCACTTCCTGCTCCGCGCCTAGCCCCAACAGCTTTCTTGAAACCACATGACGGACAGACAATCTCCGAGCTCCTTTAGGGCTTGCACCCTACCTCCCACCTTCTGGCCACCCCAATTCCATCACGCGGCGAAAGTTTTCATCTATTGTGGCCACAGACTATCTCACAGCAGCGTCGAGGTGACTGAAATGATTGGCGGGAAGACGGCTCCGTTTGCATGGCTTCATCAAGCAGCGTTTTTCTGATCGTCTAATGATCGTCTGACCATGATTCTGGACATTCTGGAGGCGGAGGAGATGGAACCGTGTTCATCGACGAATATATGATCAAGCTTCCATCTCTACAACCCACTCACAATCCTGCCACTATCAGCCTACTTTTCAGATTTCTCAAGATGAGGATCGCAATACTGGCTGGGAGCCTCGCCGCTGGCGCCGTGGCACAGGGTGGTGCGTGGTCGCAGTGCGGTGGTCAAGGATGGTATGGTGCCACAACTTGTATAGCCGGCTATACTTGCGTTGCTCAGAACCAGTACTACTCACAGTGTATCCCGGGGACGACATCCTCGATCAAGACAACGGCAGCGCCGACCACGTCGTCAGTAACATCAAAATTGGTGGGGAACACTCCCAGTACTAACATCGTAGCAGCGCGCCGCTGAAGACTTCGTCCACCCCCAAGACCACTCTGACTACCTCAATCATGACTATCGTTAAGCCAACCACAAGCACTTCGAAAGCGCCTGTGACCACCACGGCTGCAGCATCTGGCTCAATCGCCACAACTTCAGGTACCAAATTTATCATCGATGGGAAACCTACCTACTTTGCTGGAACCAACACCTACTGGATCGGCTTCTTGACCAACAATGCTGATGTTGACCTCGTCATGTCCCACCTCCAGACCGCCCGCATTAAGGTCCTTCGAGTGTGGGGGTTCAACGATGTGACCTCGATACCTGGTACTGGTACAGTTTACTATCAGTCCTTCGTCAACGGCGTAGCAAGCATCAATACCGGCGCCAACGGTCTCCAGCGTCTCGACTACGTTGTCCAGAGCGCCGAAGCACACGGCATCAAGCTGATCATCAACTTCACCAACAATTGGACCGACTACGGCGGCATGGCAGCTTACTTTAGCTACGCCGGCATTACATCAAACGCGCAATGGTACACCAGCGCCAAAGCACAGACCCAGTACCAGGCCTATATCAAAGCAGTCGTCACCCGTTATACCAATTCGCCTGCTGTCTTCGCCTGGGAACTAGCCAATGAGCCCCGCTGCAATGCCTGTCCCACGACAACTCTCCCGAGCTGGGTCAGGACCACCGCGGCCTACGTTAAGTCTCTGGATCCCAAGCACATGGTCACCACTGGTGAGGAGGGCTTCGGCCTTCAGGGCGATGGTAGCTACCCTTATACATATGGGGAAGGCACGAATTTCACCGCCACTTGCAGCGATCCCAACGTCGACTTCTGCACTTATCATTTGTACCCACAGTCCTGGTCCGTCACACCCGACGAACCATGGGGCAATGCATGGATCCAAAACCACGCCACAGTCTGCAAGGCTTTGAACAAACCTTGCGTCTTGGAGGAGTTTGGAGACAGCAATAATTGCACATCCGAATTATCTTGGGAGACTACCGCACTCAATACAGCCGGGACAGGTGGTGACATGTTCTGGCAATATGGCGATACACTTTCGACCGGCCAGACCAGTCAAGATGGGAATACAGTCTACTATCAGGACCCGTTGTGGCAATGTCTTGTGGCCCCACACATTGCTGCTATCAAAGCTGCTGGAAGTTCCTGAAGGATTACAGAAGGCGCCGCAGTTGGCTACCCTTGCTCCGGTACCAGACAGATGGTCAGTCTGGAAGTGATGAACACCATCGATCGTGCGGGAGTTAGCGTTCACTCGAAAATCCTTGGATTTAATTCATTCTCACATTTCAGTTATAGTAGGCTACTTGTCCCTCAAAAAGTCGTCTCGCTGTTCGCGACAAGGTCACCTTAGCCACCGTGCGCTTTCGGTTAGTTTCCACTACCACCGGCATTGTCCCCTTCGCATGCTCAATAGCCACCTCTCTCATCTCGCCGCCATCAACACAGCTGACCGCACACGATGCAGGTGGGTATCTCAGCTTGGCCGCGCGCTCGGCTATTTCATGCACTATCGTGCCTTCTGTGCATGCAGCGACAGCCAAAGGTACTGCACCCGTCATCTGCAGACTTGCGTGTACTTTGCCCATACTAAATGCCGTCACCTTGACATCCGGAATCATTGCGCTGGGTGTCTTATGCGGTAAGGACGGCATGCTGACGACGGCAATTTTTGGTGTACCTCTGACCAATGCAGCTTCCTCCACATTGTTGGCTAGGCCCATGTGGACTGCGCCTTGCCTCCGAACAGTCTCGATGAAGTTGAGATATTCTGGTGAGCCTGGTTGATTTGATCGCAAAGCTCGTGGTATCGTAGCCTCATCGACAAAGACAAAGGGATTCGCCGCATCTACGGCACTGATGCGAACACGATGGTTCGACTGTCCAACCCACAGATCTAATATATCAGAGGCGGAGCCAGTAGGTAGCAAGCGCCCAGTTTTTGATCCAGCGGGCCTCTCAAACGCCATACGGATTCGACTGCCTGGGGACTGAACGCCCGGAATTGTATACGTGCCTTCTTCAACGAAGAGACCGTCTTCGTCGACTTCTAGCGTTTCTACGAGTGAACGGCCGGTATTCGTGTTGAAGATCCTCACATCGACCTCTCTCTGACCCGGCTTGACTTCCACCAAACCTTCATCGATAGCAAAGGGTCCGACACCTGAAGCAATATTCCCACAATTCCCACTCATGTCCACCGTCGAAGCTCCGACAGCGACCTGAGCGAAGGTATAATCGACATCCACACCTGGTCGCCTCGAAGGTGCAATGACAGCAACTTTCGACGTCGTTGACGTCGCACCACCGATACCATCGAGTTGCATCGAGTCGCAATCCTTTGATCCCATGGCCGATATCAAGATGGGTGCCCAGTCATCCTCTTTGCTTGGCAGATCGTGACGATGTATAAACAGGCCTTTGGACGTTCCGGCACGCATCCAGACGGCTGGGAGCATATGTTTCCTTCGTTGGCGAGTTGGTGGGGCGAGAGGCCGTCGAGACATCCTTGTGATTGCTGGAAAATGATCGGGTTTGTATGGGACGGGGATGTGTGGGATGATGGTCGTGGTTACTGTTCTCAGAGCACTTGCCATGTAGTCATTGTAGATTTGCTATATCTCCAAAAGCGAATTCTTACGACCATGTTTGATTTAATACAATAGTTCACCAGGGCTGCCAGGAGAGCCTCGTTCGGACGGGAAAGGTTAAGCCGTGGAGAGAACGATGAATGGGACTCCGTGGACGGTCCCACTCGGGACGGCACAAGATGAGCCACGGAGTGAGTCTCCTCTCAACCTAGTTCTCCGCTAGAGAACCATGTGGCTTGCAAACTCTTCTCCACTCCGGGGTACAGTACCACACCCCGCTGTCCATCCCATGAACTCTGGATCATTAGGACCTTTGCAGAAAGACATATTTAGCAGGCCCTTGCCCGCTACGATGAAGTCTCCAATCGTCCAAACAGCTCTTGTCCCTTGTCTCGAGATCGTTGATAACGATTGATTACTTCGGCCTTGAACACACCAGAGTAGTCATCGGCTCAAACTATCCCGCAACCATGCGTTCTCACAAGATGCACACAGTCATGGCCACCCCAGCGCCCGCTGAGGTGTACAATTGGCGTGTCTACATAATCGCTGTCATCGCATCGATGGGCGCCTTCATTTTTGGATACGACCTGGCATTTATCGGCACGACTATTACGCAGAAGTCCTTCAAAAAGTATGTACATCTTCATCGTCAGCTTTTGACACGTTACTAACAAATTTGAACAGGGACTTTGGACTTCTGCATGCTGATGTGGAGAGGTCGGATGCTTTCGCGGCCAATATCGTCTCGCTTCTCCAAGCTGGCTGCTTCTTCGGCTCACTACTCGCGGCTCCCATCGGTGATCGCCTTGGACGACGATGGGCTTTGGTCATCTCCGGTGTTGTGTTCAACATTGGCTCCTTGATGCAGACTGTCTCGTTTGGCAACACTGCTGTGATGTTCACCGGGCGTGCGATTGGTGGTCTGGGAGTCGGAGCAGCATCTATGCTTGTTCCACTATACGTGGCCGAGCTCTCGCCACCTGCCATCCGAGGGCGCCTTGTCGGAATCTACGAGATCTTCGTTCAAGTTGGTACCTGCATCGGCTTCTGGATCAACTACGGAATTGCCGTCAACGGCCCCTACGGCTCGAACGCCTGGAGGACGTCTTTTGCAGTGCAACTCATACCTGGTGTCCTTCTCATCATCGGGATGTGCTTTATGCCAGAATCTCCTCGGTGGTTGGCCAGATATCGTGGTAGCGAGGCAGCGGAGGCAGGTCTCATCAAACTACGCAACCTGCCGCTGGAACATGGATACCTCCAGGAGGAACTCACGCTCATCATGCATCAGATTTCGGAGGAGACGAGGTTCGACGAGGGTAAGGGCATCAAGAGCACCATCAGGATCATCAGCAGGAAAGGCAACTGGAACCGACTACTTATTGGTATCACGATGTGTAAGTGTGATGTACTGAATCAATACGCGAGACATCGATAGGTTCATACTGACTCGTTTCTCAGTTGTCTTTATGCAATTTGCGGGCTCAAACGCAATCAACTACTACTCACCCCGGATCTTCAAGAGTATAGGGCTCAAAGGCACCAACGCTGGCCTCTACGCCACTGGCATCTACGGTGTTGTTCGCCTCATCGCCATCATCATCGCCATGAACTTTGTCGTCGACCGTTTCGGACGCACGAAGATGTTGATGGTTGGCGGTGCCATCATGGCCTTCTCCATGTGGTTCATTGGCGCCTACGTCAAGATCGCCGCTCCAAGCACAGCTGCCAGCACTCATGTCAGTGGTGGTGGTTACGCGGCCATCGTCTTCATCTACATCTTCGCTCTCGGATTCTGTTTCTCCTACGCTGGCGTGCCGTGGATCTACTGCGCTGAGATCTTCCCGATGAATCTGCGCAGTGTGGGCATGGGACTATGCACAGCGACCCACTGGCTTTTCAACTTCGTCATCGCACGCTCAGTACCTTATATGATCACCAACATAGGCTATGGCACTTACTTTGTCTTTGCGAGCATCACCACCATTGGCATCATCTGGGTGTACCTGTTCGTTCCTGAGACAAAGGGCCTCACCTTGGAAGACATGGACAGGATGTTTGGCTCGCCAGACGCGGTGGAGACCATGGAGGATGCGATCCATGATCTTGAGAAGGGCAAGATCGATGTGGTCGGAGAGCATGTCGAGGTCGTCAAGTCATGAACATCTTAGCGGGTATCTAAGTCAGCAATGCGTCATGACTGATGATATTTGTACACATTTTACCAAGACGTCCACGAACACTCTCTCTATGCTCTCTTCGAAATCCAGCCCTGCTGCCTTTGAAGTGCGTGCGAGCTACCTCAGTATATCCAGTCCAGATGTATGGAATCCAAATAGTGTATCATCAACGTCGCTTGACATGCCAAGCCACGAGTACTGTGGTCCTAGACTCGGGTCCAACATGATGTATTCGTTATTCGACATCGATGTTCCTCCGACAGTTCCGTCGCCCACCGCACCTCCCTGCTGATTGTACATGAAGCTTTCAATAATAGCATCGATGTCAATATCGTCCATCAAAGCTGTTCCGGCATAGGACAAGTCGGTTGATCCTGATCGCGACTGCTGATACTCGCCCGACAAAGCATGATGTGGCGGGCAGGTAACACCTTGTTGAGACAGATCTGTAGGTCCGTTGCCATTGTAGTCACCATTACCGATCTTTCGCTCAAGCGAGACACTCATCCGTTTCATCAAATTCTCGATGACAGTGCTCGACTTCCTCACAGCATAGTTCGTCTTCGCACCATCTTCGAAGACGGTAAGACATGTCTGCAGACAGCTATGTGCCTCGGACCAGCCTGATCGCGTTGCAGCGATGCGGACGTGTATGGTAGCCGCTAGGTAGGTGGCATAGGAGATGAGATACGGCGCTCTCCTTATGGTGAAAGCCTGGTCATAGAGCCGAATGATCCGGACGATCTCTGTTGCGGCAGCCGCGCAGGCATTGAAACAGCTCTTAGCGACCTCTGGTGCAATCGAGCTGAGATGCCCGTCGGACACAAATGGTCGATGGAGGAGGATGCGAACCATGTTGCCCATAGCACTAGTTCTTGGTCAGCATGACCTGTCTTGGCAGCCATGCAAGGATGTACTCACGCCAGCGAGAGCACATGAGGCGGTGGAGCATCTACAGCTGCAGTCGCTATAGCTTGTGGCAGACGAAGGTGCACGGGCATAGCATTCGTCCAAGCATTCAAGTCTGCCTCTAGTCGTTGAAGATCCTGTAGCAGCACGTCCGATTGATCGGGCCCGCCTCTGCTGTTATAGACACGATTCAACACCTGATTAAGTATAATGCACAGCTTACACAGTTCTGTGAACGTTGTGACCGAGTAGCCTGGAGAGCCGCTGTACTCGTCTGCGCCACTGTAGGCGAAAGGGACCCAGTGCTCGAGCTCTTCGTATTCGTCTAGAAATGAGAAAGGGACCTGGCAGTCCTGATGCTGTAAAGCGGCAGGTCGGCCCTGATATAAAGATTGGATTTTGTCGAGCACTGCCCGTTACATTGATTAGTGACTGTCAACAAGCGATTCGGGAGGCAGAAAGCTCACCAAAAGCCGACCAGAACACGCGTCGTCGAATCTCAAGGTCCTCTTCACTGAGCTTAGTATGACTTGGCAATAGTGTAGCATCAATATGAAGACCTAGATCGATGACCATCCGGAAAGCTGCACCGGCATACAGCCACGCAGCGCTCTGCTCATCGCCAAGAGCGAACAGCGAACTAGTCATCTGCAGCAGCGCCTGTATAGTCGGAATCTCACTTCGATCCATCGCTCGACCTAGTAGCTCTCTTACTCTGTCTCTGAACTGCCATCCAGCAGTTCGGACGTCGTCTCGATCTTTACGAAGCTCAAGTCTGGTGCTAAATTTCGATGCACCATAGTATATAGCGTTGAGTAGAATCTTCGAGAAGTACGGACCATTACATGCCATATCTCTCATAAAGGCAGGTCGATATGTCACCAAGAACGAATGGTGTTGACGATTCCAATGAAGGTTCAGAAGATGCAAGCCCAATTCGGGTTCTACACCGTCGAAGTCGAGTTTATTTTGAAGAGTGTTGATCCGCTCCATCTGCTTCTGCCTGGCTGCTTCGGCGAAAAGCACACCAGGCATCGTTGCTCGTCGTTCGGGACTTAACCATGAGTTGTTCTGCTTACCAGCGGCGACGTCGTCGAATAGGGTACTCGTGGGACCGTGAAAGGTCGAGATATTACTAATTGAGGCAGGTGCCGTCATTGGCGACTCTGTCTGCGTCTTATGGGCATGATCTCCGGTTGGTTTGTCGAGTGGTAAGACGATTGTGCTTGAATTCTCACCAGACCCAGCCGGCTGTGGCTTGTAGGGGCTGACGCTGGTTGGGCTGCCCGGATCATTCGTTGTCGCCCTAAGACGACGATTCTCTTCTTGTAGTTGCTTCAGAACTGCTTTGGTAGGCCTATAACGAGATCAGAAGACACTCGTGGGTAAACAGTCGAGCAAGCCATGCTGGCCAGTGCGGCCAATTCACAAATCTAATAGATGGAGCAGAAGAAATGCACGTGGTGTCTTCATCACCCTACCTACCGTATGGTCCTACTCCTAGCTGTGTATATACAGCGAGCTTGTTGATATGCGCGACAGTTGGCACAAGCAGGCTGCTCGCCATTGCATCGCATCTGACCTCGCGTTAGCGTAGTGTCGTAGTCTCACCATGTGTACAATTCAGGCGCACCTTTCGGCGGCGACAAAAGTCACATGCAGTACCTGGCTTCCGTCGCTCGACGACGGCGCCGTTCGAAGCATCAATGGATGACATAGTAGTCACCCGGGCCTCATTTGCGCTTGTTGTTGAAGTTGGGTGGTGGGACGGACATCTTAGCGATTTCAGTGGGATCTGAGTCTCCGCAGCTCGCGCGGGCCGCGGGTCGGCCACTCGTTTGGCCGTCTCCCGCATACAGAGAGCTGGAGCTGGGCGTGGGGAGCTTTTTCATTGAATCACGGCGCGAGCTAAAGACACAAAATGCTGCAAGTCGTCCGCAAAGGTACCTGCTTGCACAACGATAGTGGGCAAGCAGCATAGGTATCCAAGACAAAGCATCAAGGAGCCGGCAAGCTCTCGCTATCCCTCGGCATGTTAAGGGCTCTTTGAGCTCTATCGTCTAGCAAAGTCGTCTAGGCTCAGGTGGAGTGCTGAGTCCACGGGCTCTCTCAGCCGCGGGTCACTTCGGAGCGAGGGAATGCAACAGAGTATCCATTCCATCAAGCAACCATAGATCTTACCAGACATGGCCTGGTCCTTGACAATGAATATCATCACTCTCTCACACGGGTGCAGACTACGCTATCACTCATCTTCACGCGCTGACGACTTTCTACACAATGGCCACAATAACCATCACACCGCACTCACCCCCAACCGTCGCTACAAGGGCTAATAGGTCGACCGACGCCAAGTTATCGCCCATCGGATCTTTGATCGCGGGATCGATAGCTGGCGGCATCGAAGCCAGCATAACATATCCATTCGAATGGGCCAAAACGCGATCGCAACTGCCGTCATCAGCCGGCAATGTTGACGCCAAAAACCCTATCAAAATGGTCTGGCAAACGGCTACTCGACAGGGCGTATCCTCTATCTACGCTGGCTGCGGTGCCCTAGTAGCCGGCACAGCGCTGAAGGCGGGTGTGCGCTTCCTCACTTTCGACACTGTCCAAAATCTGCTCGCAGATACAGACGGCAAACTCGATTTCCAGAGACGAGTCCTAGCCGGCATGACTGCGGGCGCTGTCGAAGCTGTTCTAGCCGTGACACCAACCGAGCGTATCAAGACAGTCATGATTGACAATGCTCGGGGAGCTAAGCGCTTCACTTCCGCCACCCAAGCTACGACGGCCATAATACGAGAAGAAGGCTTCCAAGGCCTGTATCGCGGGCTTTCAAGTACGATCGTCAAACAGTCAGCCACTTCCGCCGTACGAATGGGTTTGTACAGCACCCTCAAAGAGACATATGCGCAACGAACAGGCACGAAACCAGACACAATCTTAGTTTCGTTCGCTCTAGGCGCTATCGCAGGAACAGGCACAGTCTACGCCACGCAGCCATTCGACACGATCAAGACCAGAGCTCAGAGTGCTAAAGGGGAGGGCATTGCTATGGCCGTGAGAAATGTTATGCGGGATCACGGGGTGAGAGGTTTCTGGAAGGGCAGCAGTATGCGACTTGGACGACTAGTACTTTCTGGTGGAATAGTGTTCTCGGCCTACGAGCAGATCGCTGGACTGCTGAGGGGACGAATATGACCTGAGCTAGCCTTTCGTACCAGCAAACCGCGCAGCGACGCTAGCTGCACCTCCTTGCGCACCGAACATCGATCTCAGGTCCTTCGCCAGTTCGTCCGGTCGCTCGTGGGCCGCAAAGTGCCCACCGCTCTCGTGCACGCCCTCGAAAACCACTGGCCCTAGCGTCTTGCCCCAAGCCAGCGGAGGCAGATGGATGTCCTTGGGGAAGTACGACAATCCTAATAGGACCTTGTCGTTATACTCGAGTACTTGATCCGAGAACGGCCGTGCAGCGGAGTTCTGGATATCATAATAGATTCTTGCGTTTGCCGCAGGCCCAGCAGTAGAGAATTGGTAGATTGAGACCCAAGTCAGAATTTCGTCGTCCGTCCAAGGATAATTATCAGTCCAGTCATGTAGCTTCTCATATATCCAAGCGAGCAAAGCGACCGGCGAGTCGGCGAGAGCGAAGCCAATGGTCGATGGCTTTGTGGATTGCAGAATATTGTAGCCCAAACCCTCTTGCATAAACCACGCTGTCCGCTCTGCAAACTGCTTCTCCGTAGCAGTCTGCTGAACAGAGTTGTACTGAGCATACTCCTTCGGGTGCTTCACCATGTCCGGTTCGCTCGCCAAAATCATGTTGAGGTGTGAAGCAAGGCAGTGATTTGGGTATTGGATGCCCATGAATCGAGTCACCTTGAAGCCCCAGTCTCCACCTTGCGTGACTACGTAACTTTCAGCAACCGAGACAGCAGCAAGAATCTAGTGATGAGGCAAGCATACCGTATTTATTGTAACCTAGACTCAGCATGACTTTATGCATTGCTTCCGCATACTGCGCAATACCGAAGCCACGCTGTCTCGAGCCACCCGAGAAGCCAAAATTCGGCAGGGAGGGCGCCACAACGTCGAATGAAAGACCATCCGCATTGCGTGTAAGAAGTGGGATGATCTTTCCTACCTCAAGAAAGCTACCCGGCCCTGCTGGTGGTCAGAAAATGCTTGGCAGGCGCAGCATTAGCGTCACTCACAGCCATGGGAGAAAAGTAAAGGTATGCTCCCCTTCTTCTCACTCTTCTGATGCACGGAGTGCATGTCGATTTGCCCGAAGCCGTCGAGCTCCACCGTCGTCATGAATTGAGGCAGTCTGTTAATTTCTGCCTCCTGGGCTCGCCAGTCGAAGCCATCGGCCCAGTGCTTGGCCAGTCGTGCGATCTCACTGCGTGGTGTGCCTTGGTCCCAGTCATCAGAGAATTCAACCTCGTCTGGGAGCGTTGCGGCCTGCAACTTCGATCGGAGCGTGCTAATGGCTTCCTCCGTCACCGCGACCTTGTATGGTCTGATTTGGTTAGACATAATGGCACAGAAGAAGAGGTTCTAATGATTAGCGGTGCTTCGCAAACATGGCTGACCACACTCGCGAATCGTACTACTTGTACTTTTGTCATGGTGAAGCTTGATGGACATGGTTTGTAAAGAGTATGTTTTATGTGGTGCGGTGTCCCGGATGGCACACGGCGGCTGACAAAAGTCAATGCCACGCCAAGCCCATCTGCGGAGTTCGTGAACGCCGATAGGCATAGACAAAGACATAATCTTAGGAGTACAGGACACGAAGCAATTTTTACAGACCGACCTAAATTGTAGCTTGCCCGGATGGTCTGTTGTCTCCAGATATATATGCATCTGCTCAATCGGAAAAGTGTGACTTCACGCACACCGACGCTCTGACAACTATTACAGGCATTGCGAGTAATACTGGTTGGACGCTTTGCAGGTACTGCTCACGCAGCAAGTCGGTCCTTGCCAACCTTGGCCACCGCATCTAGATCAGTGGTCAGTGGATTTTTGCAACGCCGATTGTAACCTTTTCGTGTACTTACTGTCCATAAATCGACGAACATGAACCAGTTGGCTGTGTTGTAGTGGTGCTGGTAGTCTTGGACGAGGGTGGTGGCGTAGATGCAGATGTAGATGCGGAAGCGGAGGTCGCGGTGGTCGTAGTGCTGGTAGTAGGAGATGAAGCAGTGGCGTAAGGACCGAGCTGAAACCACATCATGTCCTGAGTGCCATTGATGGGCACGGTGTGGCCGACATTAAGAGCATAAACACCCTGTACTTTGCCAAGCGGATTGGACGAATCAGCACCCCACTCGTATGTAGTGTAGCCTCGGGCAGGAAAGTTAGAGATGGTTTTTGCAGGCTTGGTTGAGTCGTAGCCGAAGACACCAGTCCATTCCTTGACAGTCTCGTTGTAGTTGGGGGGTAAGAGAGTCTATAAGAAGGAATATCAGCAGCTGTGCCCCACGGGATGGGAGAGCTGTCATACAGTATCGACGCTACCGTGATAAACCTGGAAACGTGGACGAGCACCGGTGTAGCCCGCATACATGCTATTGACGACGTTGGCCCATCTGTCAAATGGTTGTCAATCGCGGATTAGTCGCGTTGTTAGGCAGAATGAACTCACTGTTGTGGTGTATCGTTGATTTGTCCCTGTGCGCACGACGAGTTCCAAGCGTCCACCTGGTTCGAAGACGAGACGAAGCAGCCAGCTGGAACACCGCTGTACGCAGTAGCGGCCGCGAATAGCTCCGGGTATGTTGCCGCCATGACATTCTGTGTCACAATCAGCATACCGATGCGACTAGATGGCCAAGAGGGAGGTATTCATACAGTCATCATAGCTCCAGAGCTACTCCCAGTCACGAAGACCTTGCTGGCATCACCATTATACGTGGACAAGGTATATGTTACCATGTTTGCGATGGAGTTGGAGTCACCCTGGCAGGATCAGCATAAACATCTTATAGATGCAGTACCTCCACTTACTCCGCCATTGTGCGTAAGAGCAGACTTGGACGACACGTCCCAGCAAGTGCCGCTGTATGGAGACTCCGGGTAGATGACAATGAAGCCATACTGATCAGCCAGCTGTGCGTATGGGCTGCCAGTGTAGTACGCCTGTGCAGTGCCAGTGCAGAAGTGGATGGCTACAATGACCGGTGGCTTGGCGGCGAGCTTGGCAGGCACATAGATATACATCTTACTACTTTTGTGTCAGTCCTGCTCATGCCAATACAGAGCGCACCGGCCGTACGTGTTGCTTGGGTTGGAGCCGAAATTAGTTACTTGTGTCAACGCCGCACGCGGCAGCAGAGACGAGGCCTGCGTGCCAGGGAGGAAGGACGTGCATGATGCCAGCAGGCCAAGAAGGATCGAGAAACGTGCCATGATCTCGATGTCTCGTGAGACGTCGTCGTCAGGTCAAGCTTTAAAGCGATGAGTCTGAATGTGAGATGCGAAGACGTTCAAGGGGACGAGATCTTCAAAGCATATATGTTTCACGGCCCTCGAGACAGTAACTTTGGAACCGCCATATGAGCCGAAAGAGCAAGCCTTTAGCCACATGTGATTTCTGGTAATTTGAAAGTCGCCTGTCGTCCGAGTGTAGCACATGTGGGCAGTCCGCTACTCATCTAGACCAACAGATGTGCGGATGACCTTCTTTAGCTTGGCGGAGAAATATATGCCTGCGTCGCAAGTAAATTGAAACGGGTGTCGTTCCGAGCCCACGCGGCTAAAGAAAGGTACTCGGGTACTCGAAATACTTTGCGCCTGAGGCAACATGATTTGCCATCCAACAATCCAAGTTCAGTACTCCGTACATGTTTGTTTCGATCGCGTCCATGTCGTGAGCATTGGGTTGGTTGCGAGTCGTGAAGATTTACCATGAAGGAGTTCTGGGTTGAAATGTTATTGTCGACGTGGATGTCCGAAAGAGGCAGGTGGGCCGGCTGAAGTTCACCATGATATTCAGTTGTTCATAACGATCTCACACGAGCAGTCACCAGAGGACTTCCACCTCTACAATGCTAATGAAAAGACGAACCATCGCGTGTGCGATTCTGCTTATCTACTTCGTCTACTCTGTCGCCGCTGAGGTGCTGCCGAAGGTCGTCAAGCACGACTTGGCCAATCTCAGTACACAAGAGATCGAGGAGCAATTACAGGTTGGTCATTACAATATGCTTGATTCTGTGCTACTTGCAGGACTAATTATGCACGCTAATATGTATGGCGTAGCATTGTACTATCATCGAAAAGCTCACAGCCCACCACACCGCAGCCAAGCCAGCCAATGCCTCCTTCCTCCAGCAGTCCTTCGCACTACTGTTTCCCTTCTCCAGTCCAGCATTGAACTCCTTGATGGGTACGCTGTATATCTCTGGTCCTCCTAACTTTCTTTTGGCATTATGTCCCACAGACATCGACCCGTCAAGTCTGAATGTCATGGTGGCATTTGCAGTGGGAGGATTGTTGGGTGACACCCTTTTCCACCTACTGCCTGAGATCTTCCTCGGCGAGGTACCAGAGGGCGAAGTGCGGGCTGTATTAGTGGAGCCAAACAAGAATCTACTGCTTGGAGTGGCTATCATGGTTGGCTTCGTGACGTTCGTGGCTATGGACAAAGGCCTGAGGATTGCTACTGGTGGAGAAGGACACTCGCACGATCATGGAAGTCAACACAGCAATGGTAATGCAATTGGTGAGAAGGCTAGCACAACAGGCGCAAGCGCACAAGATGCTAGCAGCCTTCGACAACGGAAGCCAGACGCCAAGCAAGGCACAACAGTATCCATGGCACAAGAACCAAAAGACAAGCCTTCAGTCAAACTCTCGGCTTACCTGAACATTATTGCGGACTTCACGCACAACATCACAGACGGTCTAGCGCTCTCCTCATCATTCTACGCCTCACCAACAATAGGTGCCACAACAACGCTCGCGGTCTTCTGCCACGAGATCCCACATGAAGTCGGCGACTTTGCACTCCTCATTCAAGGAGGCATGAGCAAGAAGACAGCAATGGGTCTACAGTTCGTGACTGCTCTAGGCGCCGTACTGGGCACCGTTATCGGCATCACTGTGCAGGAGCTCGGCGGCAACAGTCTCACCGCTGAAGTGGTAAAGGGCGTGGGCAATACTGGCATCTTCGGCACGAGTCTCAGCTGGGGCGATATGCTACTACCTTTCACAGCCGGCACGTTCTTGTATGTCGGCACTGTGGGAGTGATACCTGAGATTCTGGAGACGGGACCGAATAAATGGAAGGAGCTGAGAAGTATGGGATTACAGTTCCTGGCCATGGCGGCTGGGGCTGGTATCATGCTTGGGTATCTTCATCATCACTTGCGTAATACCGCTAGATACCTGCTAATATCTCTCCTAGCATCTCGTGGTCATAGATCGTCAGAGGTTCCGCTACATTATCGCCATGATAAACATAGATCAACCACATTCCACGAGCTCAACTTCATGACATTCTGAGTCCCACCAGATTCGTGCTAACATCTTAGTCACGCCAAGTAGCTTACACCCTTGCCATAGTCCTTTGCCAGCATACCCAACCAGCTACTCACCACTCTCCTACCAGCCTTCTGACGAGTTTTCGGCAGTAATAGCACATCCTGCAACAGATGCTCTGGCCCAGCGATAGTCCTACGCCTTTCCGCCGTCACAACCCGGTTAGTAGCATGATATGGCTTGAGCTTGAAGCGGTCGAACACAGGTCTCGGGAAAGGCGTCCACCTATCGACTTTGGCACGGCTGCTTTCGATAAGAGTATGACCGGGCTTCAGAGGATTGTCGACCCAGCCAGGAAGTCGATAGAAGAAGCCTCCAAGGTAAACAAAGCTAGCATCGATCTCTCCGCCCGCTGTGATGATGGCTTGCTTGCACTCGGTTTCAGCCTTGGAGTAGGAAGAGTTTGCTGCTGGATGGATATCGCACTAGACCGCAGTCAGTGCTCGTACCAGTTGCTGATGTCAGATTAGACATACCCGAAAGCTCTGCCACCCTTTCTTGTCATCCTTCGTACTCCACGCACGGCCATACATCGAGACCTGCCGGTTTACAAGCTTCCCACGAGGACTACTGATTGAGCTCGCGGAATCTATGCGCCGTAGATCCACGATCCTGTGCTCCAGCCGTGGCTCCTCGCCCTCATTCTCATGGTCCTCAGTCATCATACTCGTAGCCGTGGTAGAACGCGACAGAGATTCCGGCTCACTGGAGCCAGTATACATGGTCGAATCATCATGTGGTGGCGGCACCACCTCGCTGACAGTGTAGAATGAATTTGGCGATCGCGAGAAGTCGAGGGGTGGGATTGAGTATGCCATGGTGGCTATCGTTACTTTCTGATTGAAGATGCATGATGAGAAGAAGGCGTGTGCAGGAAGTTCGGTTGCAAGTTACTGCGAGTAGCTGACAAGCGTGTAGTGACGTTGGCAGACAGAGCCTGTGTCACGTGACGGAACTTGGAACCGCTTTTTAAGACTTGGCTACGTCTAGATCAGCGCTATAACGAGTGGCGTATCCCGACTGGTGTTCATGTCGAAGTGTTTTGAACGTTGCCGCTTCCTTCGGCCTTCGGGTATGACCACAATGCAGCTGTAGCTACTAAGCAAAGCTTCAAAGCTTTACTCGTCCATCGGCTTTGAGTCGCTAGGACTGGAATATTACGTACATATGCTACTAACGAATAAAGTTGTCCTCCCGCATTACTCACCCTTATATAAGGACAAGCAGCTGCTCATATACATGGGGAGTATGGAAGAGGTCTCAAGGGTCACTTATATCAGGTCTGGCGAACAATCTCCACCAAAGTCAGCATCACTCCCTCACCCTGGCCAGGTGTCTTGTCACATTTCGCTGTCGCGATGGAGAACAGCGTGATAGCCAAGTATAAGTTTATCAACAACATCTTCGCTCGCCTTCAAGCCGACAGGCAAAGAATGAGGAAGAAGAACCCAAGGCAATTCTCGACGAGAAAAGTAAGGGCTGCGACACCTCCATCGCTGCCGGCACCCGTCCAGATCTGCCCACTGCTTGAGGACTACATTCGCCCAGAGTGTTCACTACTCACCTTGCCTGCAGAACTACGTCTCGTCATTTACGACTTAATCCTCCACCGACCTACCGACGCCTACATCAAGAGACTACCGAGCCAAAAGCTTCGCCGCGTCACGGTAACGATCTACAGCGCTCAACCCGTCAGCATATCAGGCCTCGACAGGGTATACTTGACCCATATCAACCGCCAAACCCGGCACGAGGCCTCGCGAGTGATCTATGGCCGCAGCTTCTTCCACGTTGATCTTCTCGGCAACCACAGGGCTATAGCAAGATGTCAGGCCATGACAGATAGACAGATGGCTAGGCGGCTGGTGGACGTCCTACCCCAGATCGGCTATGTCAAGCTCATGGAGTTCAAGGTATGCAAAGGCATGAACAGCTTTCTTGTCGAGATGGAAAATAGGTTGGCGAGCTGCCAGATCAGCAAGGTCGTGAGACGGGAGCTGTTTGACCCAATGGACTGCGCTGTCAATGATGTGAGGTTATCGAGGGCTCAAGACATCTTAGTCGAACATTTGCGCGCCGCGGGAAGTCGAGTCGAGTTTGAGAGGGAAGCGATGGAGGTTCTGATCAGAGGCTTAATGCCTTTCTGGCGCGACTGAAAGATGGCAACACTCCCGCCAATGAACGTCGCAGCTCAGTCCTGATTTTGAAATAAAGGTGGCGGAATACAGCTGGAGACAGCTAGCTTGTGTGCCTGATTGATTTGTGTGGCCTTGCGAGTCCCCCGTACCTAGAGCCAGCATCCTTGCTACCACGTAGGATCGTTGTAACCAAGACCACTGTCAGGTCTTCATGACCTCCCTCACTCGATCCGTCAGACCATCAAGCCTTGGGGCGCTGCGGCCATGGATCATTATCGTGCAATTGGACGTCTCGGTAGATCCCGCGGCTGCATCAGCATTTACCTGGTGATATGGTCCATCCTGGTTGGCCTTGCTTGCGTCGGCGGTGTAGGAGCTGATGTGTCCCTGGCTTGAGTAAAAGTACTACAGAGATGGACGTGGAACATGGTTTCATGTGCGGCACAAGCTTTGCTCAGTCAAGATTGGCAGGTACCAGGTGAATCACATGGAGTGACAAGCTGGTGAACGTGCCAAGAAACAGAAGCCTGCGCGAAGTCATTTACGACGATTGAATGTTGTAAAGCGGATGGCACGGCAGACGATAGCTCGACTGCATGCTTTCAGCTCAATACATGGTCTCAGGTTGTTTTCTGCCTTCCTCGACATAGGCACAGTACTGAGCATCTCTCTACCAGCGCCCCTTTGTTTTGGACCGACAATGATGTAAATGGTCAGCAAGCTCTCGTCGTCCTCCACGTGCATACATGGAGACGTGTGCTGAAGATGCTCCGAGAACATAAGAGAATCATAGCAAAGGCGTAAGTGGCACCTCAGCCAGTGCTTCGAGCAGTCCGTCAAACGTGCACTCCTTCAGTATCATTCTCCCACCAACCCCTCTCGATCGACCTGGCTTTCCGGGAATGTTGTCGTAGTACACACAGACCTTGATCAAACAAGGTGGCTGCGTTAGATACATTCTCTTCCACGAGCCTCCTTTCAGCATGGTGAACTTTGTGACAACCGAATTAGCCTGCGAAGCGAGTGACAAGTCCAAGTGACGACTGCCTTTATCTTCTGTCAAGCGGGACTTAGTGAGGAAGAGTTGGCAAGCTCGCTGATTTGGGATGTAAGTCAACGAGTTCGAGTCGTACGTATAGTACACCGGCAATCGATGGGACAGATTCGGCATGCGTATGAAGGGATTAAGCTGGAAGCCACTGCTACTATAATCCGCTCTGAGGAAGAGCCTGCGTTGAAGGACGGCAGAATTGGTGACGGTCGCTCGAAAGATCCTGTTGACACGCTGGCTGTGCAGCATGATGTCACGTGGATCCAAGAGCATCAGAATGTGTTCCAGAAGTTCAAATGTATCCGTGAGGCGCTTGCCCGCGGTAAGAGGGGAGAGGCCGTGAATGCCGGGTGATCGGGGAGGCATCATGTTGTGGGACTTGGCGAGGGCCTCGACGAAGTTGGCGATGCGCTCGTCGGATCGCTTCTGCACGCTGACGAGCTCGCTGATCTGCCTCGATGTTTCGAGCTGAGTTTCGTGCATGGCGAGCTGACTCCGCTGCATGGTCTGAAGAGCGGCGAGTACTCCAGCCAGAAGCTCAGTGGAGCTTATCGTCGGGTTGTCCGAAGACATCTTGGTCGTCTTGTTGCTTGTGTGGCTTCTGCTGATGGTACTATATTATAGTAAGATCAAAGGTCTTGTTGTGGGAAAAGTGTGTGTCGAATCGAAATATAGCATGCCAGGCGAATGCTTCACGCTACGTCAGCTTCATGTCATGTGCTTCGACAGTGTTCATCCTCCTGCTGGCTTGTGAATGCAGATCCACGAGAAAATTCAATATAAGACTCGAGCACCCGGCTTGAACGCTTGCATTTACTTGAACAAACAATGCCAATCGCAAATTCTGAGCCAAGATGTCGGATTCCAGCAGTCCTGAGGCAGCAACAGGACATCCAAGTAGACGATACCCAGACTGAGATAAGACCGAGCGGACAGCGCGTATCCACCACATTCGAATTGCTCGAGAATATACTCCTGTACCTATCATTCCTCGAAATCGTCCGCTGCAAGAAAGTCAGTCAAGTCTTCAACGCCACCATCGCCAACTCGCCAGAACTCCAGCGTCGAATCTTCCTCTTACCAGAACTGCCTAAGGGCTACGAAGGCGACCGACGAGCCAACCCCCTGCTCATCACGCCGCTCTTCAGACAAGCTCTAGCGCAAGGCTTGCTGGGCACAAGGGATGTAGCCTCCATCCGCTGCGAAACCTTCGACACCCAACAGTCACTCTTCATCGATATCGGGCTCTTCCCGTTGGCGGTCGGTCGACATAAAGTCCCATAACTTGTCTGGCTCTGCCTCAAATACCTCATCCAGTGGACCAGATCGTGGCACCAGCACGAGCGCAACCCGGGAACATGGCGCAAAATGTTCGTCTTGCAGGGTATCCGGTCGAGTCGATATATTAATCTCGACGCTGTAGGATAGAACGCTAGAGCTTCTTACTCTAGAGGGGTCGCAGACGCTTAAAGATGTACTTGCGGCGGTAGGGAAAGCATATCGCGAGAGGCCAAGTGTAAGAGAGTTAGAGTCGGTCTGGAGAGGGAATGTGACTTTGCTGATTCTTAGCCACTCTCTTAGCTACTTGATCCGGGGATGTAGCCGGGATGGGGAGTAGGGGTGTCCAAGCCGGGACAGTACGTGGCAGAAGGTGATGGTAGAGTGACCCGGCTGCATCACGAAGCGGTTGGCGTGGGAGAGCCTATGGCGCTCGAAATGATTTTCGCATTGGAGTCTCTTTGGCTAACCCTATGAAGGAGGTACCGGTCTAAAGGACGCAGAAGGTTGGCGAGCTACTCCGAGCGGCATGTAGAACATATCCTGTTATGAGACGCAGTTGTCGCATGAGTTTGCGATGGCGTGTGGGAACTGAAATCTGTACAGAGCACAGTCACACGGTTGCGTCTATCGGACACGTTATCCAAAGGGTAGGGAGATCTGTGGCAGGATGGTGATGAGCATCCCCAGCATCCCCAGCATCCCCAGCATGGCTTCATTCAAGGACGATGGGATATGTTTAAAGGAGATGTCGTGCGGGAATAGCTCCCCGGCAGTAAGAGCCGAGGTGAATGGATCGAGTAGAACTCTATTTCTACATTGGTAATAATAGGCCCCGCCGCCGGGATCGCATGAATATCGCGCGTGTATGCCACTCTATCGACGATCATGATAGCCATACAACATCCCACCAGTGTACACTTTGGAGCCATGCAAGAGTATCCAGCGCATGCATCACCGGCCTTTACGCCCATTGCCTCACCACACCCTACATCAGCCCGCGAGCGAACAGTCTCATATCTCAAGCTCAGCCATGACGATGAACATAATAATAATGCCCCTCCTCCACCACTCATAAGTCCCGCCTTCACGCCACCGCAAACGCCCTTCCACGATGACTCTACGGGACAACGGCACGACAGACAACCCCGGAGTATACCAGTCTCCTCCCCGACCGACTCCGAACGACAACCCAATCTTCTCCCCCAACTTCCCCACGTCGAATGCCAAGTCCGCGCCCGCATTCCCACGACCACCGGGCAGGAGATGTTCCTCCATCTCTATCACAACAGCGCCGACGAAAAAGAACACCTCGCCATAGTCTTCGGCCCGCACATACGGAGTAAAAGCCTCGATGCGCCGAGACCGGGTGAGACGGAGCGGGATCGAATGATCAGAGGTGCGTATGTCGGGACGCTCTTTCCCGGCCGAACGCATAGCCGCGTGGAGCAGATACGGCAGGAGTCTGGTGCGGCAGCGAAGAAGACGGGTGGGAGACCATCAGCGGGGTATCTGAGTGGCTTGAATGGACCTGGGCAGGGCCCGCCAAGTCCGACGATGTCGAGTGATGTCTCAGCGGAAGGAGGAATAGATTCATCGTATCCGGAGGAGCTAGGTCCACCAATGGTCAGAATTCACAGCGAATGCTACACCGGCGAAACCGTCTGGTCCGCCCGCTGCGACTGCGGAGAACAGCTAGACGAAGCGGCACGATTAATGTCCCTCCCCGCACCCACCCCAATCACTACGCCCAGCAGCGAGAACGGAGAACAGCCTTTACCTCCGAGCAAACTCCCCTCCTGCGGCGGTGTAATAATCTACCTCCGTCAAGAAGGCCGGGGCATCGGCCTCAAAGAGAAACTAAAAGCCTACAACCTCCAGGATCTCGGCCACGATACAATGGAAGCCAACATCCTCCTCCGGCACCCAGGCGATGCACGCTCCTACGGTCTCGCAACAGCCATGCTAATGGACCTCGGACTAGACGGTGAGCGAGGGATCAAACTACTGACGAATAACCCCGAGAAAGTGCGGGCGGTGGAGGGACCGAATCGGGAGGTGAGGGTGGTGGAACGGGTCCCTATGATTCCGTTGGCGTGGAAGACGGGTGGGAAGGAAGGGGTGCAGGGGGTAGAGGTGGAGAGGTATATCAGTACGAAGATTGAGAAGTTCAAGCATATGTTCTCTAGTGGATGAAGGAGGAACGGGGAATGGCTTCGCACTTTCACACGAGAAATACCCAACCATCACTGGTCAAATCTTATGGATGATACGAGTCTCAGTACTTGCTGAGGCGGAATTGCAGCTTTGAGACCCTGGCAAGACACGTCCAGGTTCAGGGGAAGGGCAGTTGCCAGTCCACCATCGACACCGCCATAGAGCCGATTCGAGCATTTGTGCTACACGTCCGACGGCGGGCCTACCTCTCACGGCTTATATTGGACACCATGCTGTACCAAAACCTAAGGACATGGCATGCGAAATCGAAGAGCGGATCAGATGGTAGTCTCGCAGAGACGCTGATCTGAATTGGTCATACGACAAATAGATATGTATATACGACCCTACATGACGACGAATTATGCAACGATTCTGCTCTGCTCTGCCCTTAATCCAGTAATCCTATTATGCCGTGTTCATTCCACCTACACGAGGCCATCACAAGATAAGAGACACTCAATACGAAAAGGTGGAGTCCCGATGCCGATCGCTGGGCCTGCCATTTCCCGCCGGTCAATAGCGCCTGGCATGAATTCGCCCACTTTCCCGACACACACAGTACTTCGAGAAGCTGCTTGCGAGTACGGTGTCGTAGCCCGCGATCGGGACTCGTCCTCCACCTACGTGCCTTCGGTGCAAAGTGGGCCTTTCATCGCAGCTGTGTGAACTCTGGTCCACCAAGCTTTTGTTCAAGCTTTCCCCGCACGTGTTGACATCACTTGGCAGTGCTCGCTTGCGCGAATGTCCGACCATTGGGACGCTTGACTGAACCATCGATGCCGTGCTAAAACGCCATATGCCTTCAGGCATGGCAATAGCGGCTATCATAGCCTGCCCATGCGTCGTCAGCTCGTAGCCCTCCGATGAAGGCTAACAGATTGTCCGGCATGACTTTCGGGGACAATAGACGAGCTTGACGAGAGCCGGGTATTGGAAAGGTATAAGACAAGGTGAATTGCTCCAATCGTACAGCGTTTCGTCTTCTCTGTCACCTCGTCTTCTTTCCCACCTTCTCAGCCCGCGGATATGCCGTCACCTTCCCTACAACTGGCCACGACCCTCCTTGGCCTGGCCTCTCATGCCTCAGCAGTCCTCATGCACAATGGCTTAGCCGTAACACCATAGATGGGTTGGGATAACTGCAATGCCTACGGCTGCGACGTCTCGGAAAATTTACTCCTAGGCACCGCTCGTCGGATGGTCGAGCTCGGAATGCGAGATGCTGGTTATTACTACGTTGTCCTAGACGACTGCTGGAGTTCGGGCCGCAGCAATAACGGAACGTTACAGCCGGACACGACCAAGTTTCCGAATGGGATGAAACACGTTGCTGATCAGATCCATGCCCTGGGGCTCGGGTTTGGGATGTACAGCTCTGCTGGGACGTATACGTGCGGGCAGTACGCTGGAAGTCTGGGATACGAAACTGTGGATGCGGATACGTTTGCTGGGTGGGGTGTGGATTATCTAAAGTCAGTATAGACAGAAACCACTGCAGATGGTAGTCGTGTTACTAACCATCACGTCCTCAGGTACGACAACTGCTACAACGAAGGCCAATCCGGCAGCCCTAATATCTCCTACGAGCGCTACAACCGCATGTCTGTAGCCCTAAACAACACAGGCCGTCAAATGATCTACGGAAAGTGCAACTGGGGCGAAGATCAAACGTATAATTGGGCGATCCAGCTGGCGAACTCGTAGCGAGCGACAGGCGACATTTACGACTCCTTCGATCGACCGGACCCGGCTTGCCCGTGTGAGGAGAAAGACGGCACGAATTGCGCCGACACAGGATATCATTGCAGTGTTATGAATATCATCAACAAAGTCGTGTGGCTCACCCATACCAGTCAACAAGGCGGCTGGAACGACCTAGACATGCTCGAGATTGGCAACGTAAATCGCTCACCCTCCTCACTTCAACCCCTTAGCTGGAAGTGACTGACATACTCACAGGGCGGCATGACCGACTCGGAATACCAACTACACATGACAATGTGGGCCGCCATGCGCTCGCCTCTCCTAATCGGCACCAACATCCTCACTCTCTCCCCCCAATCCTACAGTATCTACACCAACCCGGCCATCCTCGCCATCTCTCAAGACCCCAGCGGCGGAATCGTCCAAAGAATCTGGCGCTACTTCGTCCCTTCCACCGACCAATACGGTCTTGGCGAGATTCAACTCTGGGCAGGTCAACTCGCATACGGAGATTACTGCGTCATCTTCCTCAACGCCGCGAACGAGGACATGTACATGAACGCCACGCTCGCCGACATCTTCCTCGGAGCGGGATATTCCACCACTTCGAACACACAGAGCAATTTCGACGTCTACGATCTGGGGGCGAATCGGATGCCGAATGCCACTGCTCAGACGATATTAAATGGGAATTCTACGATTGGTGCGATGAATGGTACGAGCTATCTGTATAATTCCACGGCGCAGAGTTATGCCAAGGGGATCGCGAAGAATGATACGCTGCTTATGGGGAAGATGGTAGGGACGTGGGAGGCTGGTGGGCAGTGGGGTACGATGGTACCAAGGCATGGGGTCATGGCTTACAGATTGAGGCCGCAAGGGGCACCGACGACAATAAGGAGGAAGAGGGATGAGCTCTGATCAGTGAGCTCTTCGTTGGCAACCGTGGGTCTGTATGTAAGGCATGAGACTCAAGTAGTGTGTCACTATCTGTCTGTATGGACTCGATCGGCCGTTGACGTGCGTTACGGCTGTATGGCTAATCGTACTCGTGACACGAATGGCTACCTGTGATCCAGCCAGATTTGCACAACCAATAGTAAAGCCTCCCAACAAGTTTCAAAGTTGTGAGCCTTATCACTACCGCCATACGTCCTGAGACAGGCAGATCCATGGGAATATCGCAAGTTGTGCGAAATTTACTGTTGTCGCACCTTCCTTGTGCAGCAGCAACCTCAACTTCACTTCACACCACAACTTCCTAAAATGGACAAATTCATCTTACACCCAGCCCAAAAAACGAATCTTGATGGAGAATTATCACATTCTCCCTCTCGTGTCTGACAAGAGGGGGATTCGAACCCCCGCGGGCAAAGCCCATGAGAATACTGCTCGACTAGGTCGAGTAAGCTGAGCTTGAGTCTGAGCACTATATTAGTCTACTGAAAGTGCGCGAGGCAATACAACATCACTTACCACACGCCTTGGAAATAATTAGCGGCATTTCGGCGCCGATGATTGGCATAATTATTCACCATAACCACTCGGCCATCTTGCCTTCAACTGGATAGTGATAAAATTCTCATCTATACATGATCTCTGAGCCAAGCCTTCCGAAAGTCAGCCGAGGCATGTGCGTACCGCGCCTGAGATCTGGCAGTGGCCTTCTTGACAAACGATCTTTAATGGAGAGCATTGGATGGCTAGGAGAGCAGGACACTGCATCCGTGGGCCACCCTAATGAGTCGGACCACTTATGTGGCGCCAACGAGTCGACGAGGGAACGAAAACATATGCAAGACTAATCGTAGGTTGCTGAAGATGGGCTAGAGTACGTCAGAGACAGGGCTGCGTGCAAGGATTTGAATTGCATGACGAGCTTTGCAGATCGATCTCCGTGGCGAGCTCGAGGCATCATGCACTTTTCATCTACCAGTAGTGCCCATCCACCCTGACTCTCACCAAAAACAGATTGCCAAAGGCGTGCTCAAGATCACTGATCGTGGACCATCGCTCCAACGGCGTTCAGTCCAGGCCTTTGGTCCGAGTTCGGACTTTGGGAAGTCGTGGAGTGGAGCATGCATTTCTCAGCACCAAGACATCTCAATAATAATCAGCTCATACATTTGGCAAGTATTCGCTTTTTTTGATGTACAAACTGTTGCTCCTCTTCAAATTATTATTCCACGAGAAATCAGACATCGCTCCGGATATTACCGTGCGGTAAAACAGGCCATTCAGTATAGCCTTTCTCTCGTCCACTCTGCGCCTTCACATACACCTCCGGCTCTACTGCTGCCTGAGCTAATCTACCAGCACAATAACTCGCCAGTGACGCTCAAAGGAACGTCAAATACACATCACAAACATTTCCAATTTGAGGACTCCCCAAGACTTGACGCAAAGCCCTCGACCCAATACGACCTGTCTCCGTCCGGTACATTCACAGTAACCATTTGGGCTACCCATCCGAGAGCATACTTCGAGACCAAGTGAACCCGTTGGCTGGGCTTGCAATACCGTCGAGAGCATCGTAGCTCCCAACGGCGCAAGCCTGCGTCTCCAGATCAGTCAACATGGTCCGACGATCACGTCTTCCCAGGCCGGAGGACTTCGATGTCTCGCCAGTGAACGGCTTCCTCTCAGCCGAACCACCTCTCCAATCGCTTTCCAACCCATACTACGAGCCATGGGAACATATTGTGAAGAACCTGCAAGGCTTGATTCTGAGCAAGAGACTGCATGAAGTGGTGGACAGGCTGCCCATACTGAGCACAGACAGGCTCTCGGACCTCGCAGAGTGGCGAAGAGCATACAGTGTGCTAGCGTTTATCGCACATGCATACATATGGGGTGGCGAGAGGCCCATGGAGTGGGTGCCACCTCCGCTGACCATACCGTTCACGGCCACTTGTAAGCACCTTGAGCTCCCACAAGTCGCCACATATGCCGGACTCGTGCTGTGGAACTGGAAACCACTGTTTGAGGACGAACGAATAGACACACTGGCCAATCTCGACATGATAGACACCTTCACTGGGTCACTGGACGAGAAGTGGTTCTACCTGGTCAGCGTAGCTATTGAAGCGAGAGGAGCACCACTCATTCCACTCATGCTCCGTGCGATCGAAGCCGCGAATGATGGTGATCGACCAACACTCACCGAGTGCCTCCGTACATTCGCTGAGCGATTGGACGAGCTTGGAGGATTACTCCAACGCATGTACGACAACTGCGATCCACACGTCTTCTACCACCGACTACGACCATTTCTCGCAGGAAGCAAGAATATGGCCGATGCCGGTCTACCCAACGGAGTCATCTTCGACAACGGTGGCCCGATGAACAAACAACGCTACGTCCAATACAGCGGCGGTAGCAACGCCCAATCCAGCTTGATACAATTCTTCGACGTGGCACTGAGTGTGGAACATAGACCGACAGGAAGCAAGCACTCAGATACCTACTTCGACCATGGCAAGAAGAAGCCTTCGGCGCCAGAACCGAGCTTCATACATGAGATGCGGAAATATATGCCTGGACCGCACGCACGCTTCCTGGCAGAAGTTGAGAAGGTAGCCAATATCCGACAATTCGCGCAAGATAACCGACATGACAGATCGTTAGCCGTCTCCTTCGATGCTTGTCTAGCTATGCTCTCCGCCTTTCGCGATAAGCATATCCAGATGGTAAGCCGCTACATCATTATCAAATCTCAGGAAGCCAAGCGGAAGAAGGAGCAAGAAGCGAAAGATAAAAAGCCGAGCAAGCCACCAACTGAGGCGGAGCTCCCAGTTCGACCCAAGAGCGCGGCAGGCCGACCCGGCGAGGAGAAACCTCGTAAAGATCTCAGAGGTACAGGCGGCACGGCATTGATACCTTTCTTGCGGCAAGCTCGAGACGAGACGGGCGAGCCGGCTGTAGATGCTTGGGCGAGACGGGTATTGAATAAAGGCAGTCACAAAGGTGAGAGGAGGAATTCGAGGATCGAGGTTCAGGGTCTTGCGTCAGTTTGGCATGTGGATGATAGTGATGGTGGATTGTGTTTGTACTAGATGCACGAGATGGAAGGCAGCGATGCCAGGAAGAAGCGACTTGAAACGTCGGAGCTACGAGGTCACGAAATTAGAAGGATGATGTACAGAGCATGAGATGTAGGAAATGCATATCACAACCTTGCCTCAAAGTGTGCAGCAGAGGACATTGACCGCTATTGAACTGCAATCCTGTTTGTACTTGCGTAGCAATACCCTGCGCAGTACTATGGCACGCCTCCGCTGACAATGGTAGTATCCTTTGCCATGTCAAACTCAAGGCTGGCCCTGCCGTCAGTAACTCTGATCATGCAACGCGACTTCCGATGAACCTGCCGGGAGGGACTCCCAGTGGTTGTCGACCTTGCCGCATCTCGAACATTACCTGTGACATCTGAGCAGCATGTTTACATCTACTTGCACTTCCACACTACACTACTTTACACCCAACCATCCATATACTCATCAATCGTTTTCAGCTTACGAATCTCAGCCTCCGCCTCAGCGTATTCCATCAGCTTTAGAATAACACAGTACAGACATCCGAAGATATGGCCACCAATCTCAGCAACCTCCAGCGAGTCGCTCTCGTCCACAACACGGCCCTATCCCGGGTCGGCATCAAGCACTATGCCCATGCTTTGATGAAGTGTATGTGCTCGACTGCGAACCCATTTCGACTATCTCAGCTCACAATAGCTACAGACAACATCACGCCGACCGCCCCCGGCCCTTTCCAGGTTTTCAAGGAAATTGAGGAGATTGAGTCGAGCACCGCCAAGCCAGCCGTGATTCAACAACTCCAACATTCTCTTGGTATCAAGAAGCAGACTCATACCCACCACATCCTCTGCAAGAGCAACGCAACAGGTCAGACCGGCCGTGTCACGGTGAGGACTTCCATCGCGTTATCTACTGTATCATCTACTGACAGTCGTCTGTAGGCTCAAGATGTAGATCAGGGATCCGAGTATCTCGCTCCTGTCACCATTGGCACGCCAGGCAAGACCTTCAATCTGGACTTTGACACCGGATCTGCTGATCTGTGGGTCTTTGGTTCGAAGCTCTCCACGGATCAGAGAGGCACACATACCATCTTCGACGCCGCTGGCAGTTCATCGTATATCCCAATGGATGGGAGTACATGGAGCAGTACGTTCCCCTTAACTCGTGCTAATGCTCTCGCCTAGTGAGGTAGCCGCTGACATGATATCACGACAGTCACCTACGGAGATCAGAGCAGCGCCAGCGGCACCGTAGGAACTGACACTATCGTCCTCGGCGGCCTCACCGTCCACAACCAAGCCATCGAGTCTGCCGACAAGACCTCCTCCGAGTTCACTCAGCAATCCAGCGACGGCCTGCTAGGCCTAGCCTACAGCAGCATCAACACTGTGCAGCCAACCTCAGTAGCGACCCCTGTCGAGAACATGATTGCCCAGAAGGACATCTCTGGCGCTTCTCAGCTGTTCACCGCCTGGTTTGAGCCGCCGACGGGCAATAGCTGGTACTCATTCGGCTACATTGGTATGAAAATCTCGCATGGATGTTACCACATTGTATCTGTTCTGACAGGTTCCACTAGACCAAACGGCTCTCGGCGGCGCCACACCCTCCTACACACCCATTGACACGTCCAATGGCTTCTAGCAGTTCCCATCCACCGTCGCCACGGTGGGCGGCAAGACCGTCGATCTTGGGAAGGACAACACCTGTATCGCTGACACGGGTACGTTCCCAAACACACTCTTCCATCAATCAGCGAAGAATAAGTTCGCTAAATAGATCGCCCTTACGGGTTGAACAGGAACAACCCTCACCCTCCTTGCCGACCAGGCCTGCAAAGAAATCTACTCCTACATCCCCGGCGCTCATCTCGACCCATCACAAGGCTGGATCTTCCCGTCCTCCACGTCACCCTCCTCACTTCCCGCCATCTGCTTCGCCGTAGGCGACCACCTCTTCCAAATGGCACCGTCAGATCTCGCGTTTGAAGAGCTTTCAGGTGGAATGACATTCGGCGGCATCCAATCCAACGGCAATCTTGGCCTTGCGATACTCGGAGACACTTTCATTCGAGGCATCTACGCCATTTTCGACCAGGGAAGTAATCGCTTTGGTGCCGTTCAACGCCCTGTAGGCAATTCTGGCCAGGGTATGTCGAGTGGGATCCCTATCACGAGCGCCGCTACTTCGACGAACGACGAAGCCAGCCACGGCCACCACGGCCACCATGATCACCCAGTCCACGATGACGATCACACGTCAGGATTACACGAGCATCACGGCCACGAGAGGCTACTCGAGCACCCTGCTCCTCAGCATGACAACCAAGACAAAGACAAGCACTGGTATGATGCCCTGCTTCACCACCCAAAACTCGACAAGCAGCATGATCCCACCAGCGACTATTCGAGTCGTAGCTCTGGATAGGGTTATGGTGCAAGATTAAGAGAGAGCGTGATGGCAATGCATGAGAGGGTGGTGGAGTAAACGTGAGTTGGCTTGGTGGTGGGAGTAGTGCATGGCTGAACCTGAGCATTGCGGCCAAATAACTATGTAGTCTGTCTCACCTGCGTACGACCCGAGATCGTTGCCACCGACGTGGATTCGTTAACATGATCTCGCTACATCTTGACTCTGGACTGACCTTCCTGCGATCATGACATTCCGCCAAGCCGGAGTCGTCCGCTAGCGTGATCTCGGTCTTGAGCAATGATGTTTGGTTTCCATTGTCAAGCGCCTGCGCCAACCTCACCCCTCACGTTGTCGACCTCGCTACGTAGCAAAGCACTGCTATGCCATCAGGGCATCACAATCAGCCACACTACACGCTTGAGGTAGACTCCATCCGCTATTGTGCCATCCAGGAAAATCACAAAGGCATCGGCGCCCAGCTCCGACACTCTGGCCAGAACCATGCTGCCCAGCGTCAACAACAGCACACGCGACTCAGTGCCATGCCCTTCCCCGCAACAAGTTCGCTTGGGAGACTCTGGGGTGCATGTCTGCTACTCCAATGCCTATTACCGATTGGTCCAGAGCTCCATAGGAAGAGCTCCTCGTGCATGCCACGAGCTCTTGACATCCTTCGTAGGCAATAATCAGTCCACCCTCTGCGTGCGCCGCAGGCAGGCTGAGACAGCAGGCTTGCCAGCCATACCTTACCTCGATGTACCATCTGAAGTACCTCGAGCATAGCCTTGGTTATGCAGTCTCCGCGTACTGATACCCGAGGTTTTGCGATTTTCGACCTCAAGCAGCAGTAGACCTATATCAGTGGGAGGTGAAACGAGATAGGTAGGTCCATGATAGAAGGCTCGTAGTCGCGTGCTTTGACGATCTACACCAATTTCAGAACTATATTCAGTATTATTTCCCTTTCCTTCCTGGCGAAAGAACATATGTCAAACATGGCCGAAAGCGAGAAGAACAAGCTCGAGCTCGTGCAGACCAATGCCACGGATCAAACATCGTCAGGCGAGAAGCTCACCCAGCAGGAGACCCTTCAGGAAGTCGATCTCGAGAACCACCAGGCTTTCAAAGGCGATGACTCTGACGGAAAGGTCCATTGGACCATCAGGAAACTCCTAGCTGCCACTTTCCTGGCTATGCTGTACACAGGTAATCAGTCTCGACCCGAGCAAAATCGACCAAGATCTGACAAGCCGCACAGGCTCTCAGATCCCTCTCTACTTCGCCGGAGCAACACTAAGCTTCATCGCTAAAGACATCGGTCAAGTGAGGCCATCGGATGGATCCCGGTAGCCAATACTTTTGCTATTGCGGCGGTATGCCCTTTCGTCGGCTACATGCAGGATTTGTTCGGGAAGAGGTATATTGCGTTGTTTGGTGCATTGCTGCTGTGTACCGGCTGTGCCGTGCTTGGTAGTGCGCATAGTCTTGCTCAGGTGCTTGCGGGTATGGTGAGTGTTTGTTGTTCTGCGTTTCCTTCCCCAAAGGACACATTGCTGACGTGAAGGGAAGGCCATGGCTGGTGCCGGTGCAGGTACGTTCATGACTTCGCTCACATCCTCGATCTAGTTCCTCTAATCATGTTCAGGTATTGGCGAGCTGACCGGGCTTGCTGGGTCAGTTGTAGATCTCCTGGCGCTATGGAATCGCTCATCAACTGACACCATTTACCAGCCTCGCCGAGACGGTGCCCGTTAAGCAGAGAGGCTATTCTCTAGCCATCCTAACAGCCTTTGTGCTACCATGGTGCCCATACGTCTTATATGCAGAGCTGTTCTCGACACATTCCACCTGGCGATGGGGTGCGTGGATTTCGCTGTAAGCTTACCAGACCTGAGATGACTGTTCGCGTGCTGACTGCCTGGAAGCATCTTCAACGGCGTTACTGGCATCGGTCTGCTCTTGACATACTTTCCTCAGGCTCATGTCCGCGCTGAAGGCTTATCTTGGCAGGCGGTAGTCAAACGCATCGACTTCGTGGGTGGTGGGCTCTCTATCGCCGGGCTTCTGCTTTTGTAAGCCACGGTCTACGTCACCCAAAATCTCGCATCACTGACTCTTCCAGCTTGATTGCACTACAAGCAGGAGGCTACTCGCATCCCTGGACCTCCGCTTATGTCTTGTGCACTCTACTTATTGGACTCGCGTTAATCTGCGTCTGGGTCTTATGGGAGGCCAAGTTCGCCCGATACCCTATGATTCCACCGCAATTGTTCATGGGCCAGAGAGTCGTGTCATTGGGCTACGCCGTTGCCTTCGTGGCTGGCATGAACTTCTTCTCGCTGCTTAACTTCTGGCCATTGACGATAGCCAGTGTGTATGATCCAATCCCGGTCAAGATCGGCTTGCGAGGTATCTCAGTCGGGCTAGCCACGGCAAGTACATTGTCCACCTGAGCCACGATAGCAGGTCTCTGACTATACTTCTATGCAGGCATCAGGCGCCATATTCTGGAACGCCCTCCTCTCCACCTGGTCAGGCGGCGCTCGGTGGATACTTGTCATGGCCGCCTGCCTGCTCACAGCCTTCGGAGGTTCCTTGGGTACAATGAACCCAGACAACGTGGTCCAAACCGTTGCCATCGCCACAGTCGCAGCCTTTGGTCTCGGAGGCGTACTCGTGCCCGCCGCTACGGTCGCCATGATTGCCGCTCCAGACGCCTTGATAACGACTTGTGCAGCACTCTCGCTCTCGGTTCGTGCGGTGGGTGGTGCGATCGGGTATAGTATCTACTACAACATTTTCGCGGGCAAGCTGAAGAAGAAGTTGCCGGTCTTAGTCGCGGAGTATGCTGTCCGAGCCGGTTTGCCATTGGCATCCGCGACCGTCTTCGTTGAGACCTACCTCACTGCACCAGCTGAGATTGGCACGGTCCCTGGTGTTACGGAGACTGTGCTTGCTGGAGCACTGAAGGGGTCTCAATGGGCGTATGCTGAGTCGCTACATTATGTTTGGTAGGTACCAGAAGCTGCAGTAACGTGCTTAATATGACCACTAACACATCATCACAGGTTCACCAGCGTCGCTTTTGGTGTCCTGGCAATTGCTGCGGCAGCTGCATTGCCAAATACGAGGAAGTTTGAGACGAATCGCATTGCGGTTGCTTTGTGAGATGGTACGATTGTGGGCCAGGCTGACTACACAGCCAATGCCGTGTTGCAAGGGTAACGGAAGACATTTCTATCGTACGAGTTCTGGTGAATTCGTCGTGTTGCTTATCGTAAGACGGGGGACCTCAGTTTGCTGGATAGGCACTGCCACAACACCTCGTCATGATATGCAGGAACAATGTCCCCGGATGTTATGAAGGTCGCATGTACATAGGCATTCTCCCCCAAGAACATCGCGGTACCTGACTATCACATCCACCACTCAACCTCGTTCACATCGTTTCCGGCTTCTCAAACGTCCGCTCAGTAAGCGGACGAATTGGGTGACGTGAGCTGCGGGCTGTGCTACATCGGAAGTCTGTTGATCCGACCCGAGTGGGATGGCACGATTCGATGATTAGAGGCTCTCGCTGATCGTCGCTTTTGCGAAGCTAGGGAACAGCACGGCATCACCGCCTTTTGGCTCTTGGTTTGGAATATACATGAGATAGGGTGAGGACGTACTACTCTCGCTGCTGTTCAACACAACAATTGGTCAAGAATATGAGTCTCTAATACGCTCATTCGATCCACTCCCTGGTGAAGCGTGTAATCAGGGTCAGCGTCTGGATATCTTACGATAACACGATATGGACGCGAACAACATGGCCTGGACCGGCCAATCCGGTATGCCGCCTTTCGAGCAGCAAATGGGGTATGGGCAGAATGGAGAGGACTGGGAGGATTGGTTGCGGTGGGATCCTACCGCCGATGCGACATCTCCTGAGGACGGCACCTTCGGATCTGGTTCGAGTAAGAATGATTCGCCTTTGCAGGATCCAGCACTACCATTTGTGGACACAGCCTTCGGTGGAGAGACGTTGGCCCTGCCACTTATCGCCGGAGAGGATATGCTGGAATTTGCTGGCGTGAGCCTGGGCAATGATCAGACTGTTCTTGGTGGTGCCGATGGTTACACCTCTTTCGACTTTGATATGGCCCCTCTACCCGCGCAACAACCAAGCATATCAAAGCTAGACACGACGTGGCAACTGCCTTCGAATGCGGAGCTGCCCAATGTGGACTTGTCCGCGCTATCGAACCCGAGCGTCCAACAGTTCTCACAACCTGGACCGGCCCCTTCGGATACGCCAAGTCTCCACTTCAGCCCGACCTCATCACAGAACCGAGCCAGTATGTCTGGCAACTCAATCTCCAATTCTCCGCCTCAACCGGCGCCTAAGAAGAAGGGTGGCCGGAAGCGCAAAGCAGAGATCATGGAGGAGGAGCAGATAGAGGACATGGGCGACTGGCAAGAAGGCGACGAGCCGCCAGTTAAGAAGACTTCGCACAACGTCATCGAGAAGCGGTATCGCAACAATTTGAATGACAAGATCGTGGAGCTACGTAGCGCCGTTCCTGCTCTCCGGGCCATGGGCCGCGCGCACAAGGGAGAGAATACGGAGGACTTGGAGGGCTTGACGCCGGCGCATAAGCTCAATAAAGCTACTGTGATGCACAAAGCGACGGAGTATATTCGACACCTGGAGAAGAGAAATAAGACCATCTCTGATGAGATGGACTTGCTCAAAGAGCGCTTGGCGGCCGTGGAAGCGGCGATAGGCAAGAATAGAGACCGGCAATCCAGTCTGAGTCACAGCCCACCGACACCGAACGCTACGATGCGACCTCGACAAACTTCTGCGGCATCGCAGAGTGGTGGACAAGCATACCTTGGCGTATCTCCTGAGCAGACACGGTACGGTCAGCAGTATATACAGCCTCAAGGGCAGCCCGCGTATGCTCGACCATCTGGACCACCGGCTGAAGCGCAGAATCAGCCTCAGTATAGATATGGTAGGAACGGTGGCGGAGGTACGATGGGCAAAGTCATGATGGGCGCCATGGCTGGGTTGATGGTGATGGAAGGGTTCAGTGAGCAGGATGGCGATACTCGACAGATGTTCGCTGCACCGACGGCGCTGTTCAGACGTGGTCTGGACTTGCACAGTACTTCGCCTACGGTACTGGCGCGACAGATGACACTGCCACTCGTCAAGATCTTCTGCATTATCGGAGCACTCCTCTACATCATCGCACCCCTCATCAATTTCTCACCACGCCGAAAGGCAAAAACACGGCCTACCGTCCGCCTACCACAGATGCCCTCCCTCGCCTCCCCAGTCGAAGTAAGGCGGAAAGCATGGCTCACGGCATTGCAGACTGTATACGTGCCGAAACACTTCCTCCTCGAAGTCGCGGCCGTCACAGCCAAGATGATCAGTCTGAGCCTGCGCCGCACGATCGGAACCGAAACCTGGAATGCCATGACCGGCACCAACAAGGAAGAAGAAGCCGCTCGGATGAAAGCTTGGGACATCGCGATCGATGCTCAACTCGCAGGAGGCGATGCGGAAGTGAGTTATCATCGCCTACTCCTCACACTCATGGCTTCCGGGACGCTTCCGGATAGTCCAGCGAGGTTGATGCAGAAGGCTGTGCACTTCCGAGTCTTCTTCTGGGAGGTTGCCAATGCTGGGTATGGCAATATCCTAGGCTTCAAGCAGTTTACAGAGAAAGTGGGTAAAATCTACTGGAACTCTGCTCGCAAACTGCAAAAAGAACTTCTCCACGCCAAATCCCAAGGTCGACCTGCGCCAGAGGATGATGTAGAACTCCTTCCCGATCATCTTGCTGACCTCGTAGAACTCGAATGCGACGACGTACTCAATGACGAGATGATTCAGCGTGCGTGGAACCTCGCCTGGAATAAACCTTCAGCTTACAACACGAGTCGGGATATGGCTAGAGATGGCGTGATAGAAGATCATGCTATCCGCTCGCCTCTCGATGCCGTCGCGGCATGGTACGCTAACATGACGGTCGATGATACGCTTCTGGATGCCGTGGCCGAGCATCCAAGTAGTATCAACACGGAGTACTACCTCGCTCTTGCCGTCAGCGTGGCACCGCCTGTTTCTGCTACGCTGGCTAGAGCGCTTGCGGCGAAGGCTGTGTTGTCGAATAGTCATCGCGACGCTAATATCGTCTTGGCACTCGAAGCGCTCCCGAGTAAGGCTGGTGTAGGAGAGAGAGGTGTGACGATGAATCTGGTACAGCATGTGCCCGCTACACCGGATGTGCATGTCGCTCTTACGATCGCCAAGTTGCTTTCACTCCTGGCGCCGGGGACGACATTTGTGGCGCAACGCAAGGCTTACGAAGCACTTCCGGAGTTATATATAACCGCTGAAAGCTTCACCCTCCTGACAGCAATCGCTGCATACCGCTTGCTGAAGACGACGAATATGGATCGCGGGACACCACTCCCCGCACAACAGGGTTTGGAGGACGTGGCTGCTAACTTGAGACTGTGGGTTGGGACGTTGGCGGGACGAGAGGTTGGATTGGGAGCGGAGGAGATGGGAAGGGTGGTGCAGGTTTGTCTTGGGGTGGTGGGAAAGGTTGGTGGGTGGGAGGGGGAGAGGGATAGTGGGTATGGGGGTTCTTCGGCTGGGGGGAGTCCTGTCAGGGAGGTGGGGAACATGGGTTTGGTTGTTTAGATGCGGTGTGGTGTGGGAATTATTTGGGTGGCGTCGATTGTTGTCAATGCAGGTTTATGATGGATAGATTTATGTGTGCCTCGGGTGGGCTTTGAGTAGGGATATCTGATGGTATGGTGTAGTAATGATGCATGTCATCTAGTAGTGCCTCTACCATCTTACTTCCAACGAGTGTTTTATGTACCGTGTCTTGGTTCTGTCGGCATCCCACCTTGGCTTGGCGTTCACACGTGAGTTTGTGAAGCTAGAACTATAGCGCACATGACACTTCCAACTTCGCAGTGCTTGCTTGCTATTGTGGACTCGTCGTTATTACTTGTACTTGTAGTGTTGTCGCAGTTCATAACGAACCAAGCCATGCCTTGACTTACTCCCTAGCTGCTCTGCTATGCTATACTATCGAGCACAATGGACGACCCAAACACCATCGCCAACCGCGACGATGCCATCCCCGTGCTTCGCATCCCTTCTCGCAATGATGCAGCACCACCTCCTGCCGTCTCCGGCTCCGAGAGCGACACCAGCAAGACTCGTACTCGCGATAAGCTGAAGGAGCAGGCCATGAAATTAAAGGACAGAGTCGATCACAGCCTCCCACCAGAAACGAAGGACAGACTCGGACTGCAAGATCGTCTGTTCAACGGCATCATGGCCCAGATTATCCCGCCCGAGGAGCTGAGTGAGAATGAAGGTGGAAACATGACTTCAGACAAGGATCGGGGAACAGCTGCAGGCAAGACAACACAGCAGAAACCCGACCGCAGAAGCCGAACCTACGTCGACCGCCCCAATTTCAGCATTCCCCAAATGAGCTCCAACTTCCGCCGCTTCAACAGCCGCATCGGTCCCGTCTTCGTTCTCCAAAACCGCCTCATCCACCTGCTGACTTGGCGCCAACCCACCGCCACCTTGTCTCTGCTAACAATCTACACCCTCCTCTGTCTAAACCCGCACCTCCTCCCTCTCATACCTTTAGTAGGCCTACTCTTCTATATCCTCCTCCCCTCTTTCCTCGCCCGTCACCCAACACCAGCTAATGATCCTCGCGTGGAGCCCGGGTACGGCGGTGCGGGGATTAAAAGGGAGGATGTGGGGAAATCTAGGCCCGCGCCTGAGATGAGTAAGGATTTCTTCCGCAATATGCGGGATTTGCAGAATTCGATGGAGGATTTCTCGCGGGTGCATGATGGGGTGAATGAGTTTCTGGTTCCTTGGACGGATTTCAGTGATGAGGGTACGAGTTCGATGATTTTCGTTACGTGTTTTGGGGTGGGGTGTTTGGGTATGCTGGGCAGTGAGGTCGTGCCGTGGAAATTTGTGATGTTAAGTGTGGGATGGGTGGCAGTGCTAGCCGGCCATCCGAGGGTACAAGAGTGGATGGGCGAGGAGAGGAATCTTAGTCAAGCGAGCACGCATGCTGAGAACCTCCTCGCGAAGCTGAAGTCCTTGATCGGGGATGAAATCATCCTCCGCTCCCCTCCCTCGACCCGGCAAGTGGAGATTTTCGAACTACAGAAATACGATTTCTACTCCGAGACATGGGAGCCCTGGCTCTTCTCCCCTGCACCGTTTGATCCTCTCAGCCCGGCCCGGATAGCAGGTGCAAGGGCGAAAGGAACCCAGTTCTTCGAGGACGTGGCACCGCCTCGGGGATGGAAATGGAAGGGGAAGAAATGGGAGCTGGATCTTGAGAGTCGGGAGTGGGTGGAGGAGAGGATGGTGCAAGGGGTAGAGGTGGAGATGGAAGGGGACAGGTGGGTGGTTGACTTGGCTGAGGAGGTTGTGCAGGCGAATCTTGGGTCTCCTGTGGGGAAGAAGGGAAGCGAGGTGAGGAAGGGGAAGCCGAGGAGTGGGTGGGAGGAAGGGGTTGGTGGGGAGAATAGGGGGGAGTGGAGACGGAGGAGGTGGGTTAGGCTGGTTGAGAGAAAGGTGGAGGGCGGCGTGGGGTCGGGAGGGAAAGGGTGAGGATTTAGGTGCTTGAGACGATGGTCTCGAGCATGCTCTTTCCTTCTGGTCCTGTCATGGTGCTTTCCGTGCTGTGATGCCTGGAGATACTGCATGTGATTTTCAAAATTGGCCACCAGCACGCATTGAAAGCAGCAAGAGCTCGTGGAACCACTGGAAGCACCTGTACTGCCTCGAGCAAAGGCCTTCCCAGCCAGGGACCACGCCTGGAAAGCAGTCAGGAGCTCTCGAACTTGACATTTCCACACCATCTACTACAACAAAGATGCTTTCCAGCTGAAAACCCATACGTGTCGCCCACAAAACACACCATCACTACCCGCTATATCGCTATCCACTACATATACTCGCTCAAAGGACATCCCACTTTCGTCGTCAAATACATGGAAATCCTCCACATAACACGACCATCCACCACCCATCCCAAAATCTGGCGCGCTCGCAAATCCCCGATCCACCGCCTCGGCCTCTTCACCACCCGCCCCTTCCTCCACGGCGAAGTTGTCCTCTCCGAACCCGCACTGGCCCGCCACGACTCCGATGGCCCCCCCAAAGTCTGCGTCCATAGTCAAGGCCAATGCAAAGAAGCCGATACAGTCGATTTGAGCACCTCATCCTATCGATCCCTCCGGCAAACGATGGAGATGTTCATTCCGCCGCATGAGATCCTGACGTTGGAGATGACGTCCGGGGCGGCTAGGGAGAAGGTGCTCTTTGAGAAACTCGTGCTGGCGATGGAACATGGTGGGTTGCCGGTCGAGGACGGGGCTGTGTTGGTCGAGGGGGCGTATTATATCAATCATAGCTGCACGCCGAATGCTTTCGCGGTCTGGGATCGCGATCATGATCGCTATACCGTGCGCGCTGACACCGGCATCCCCGAGGGCGAAGAGGTGACGGTGTCGTACATCAACTTTTACCTTCAACAACCGCTGCGGAACCACCAGCTAGGTTTCACATGCGAATGCCCGTACTGCATCGCCGAGCGACAGAATCCAGCCTTCTACTTTGGCAGACTAGATGGGGTGTGGCCGGCCATCGAACGCCTGCGAACTTATCTGCTCCGACACAACGAGTTTGGGGTCGTGGACTAGTTGTCCTGGAGCCGTGAACGAGCCGTCCGCCATCTTGTCGATCCTGAGCGGGTGAATGCCGTCCAGGCTGCGAGGAGAGTAGGGGTGTTTACTGACAGCGATGGTGCGCATAGTCATCCATATCTTCTTGTTTCGTGAGTCCTTTCACCTTACATAGAGCGGCCTACTAGACCGGCGGTCAGATTGAAAACACGAGAGTGCTGACAATTCTCTGCTTTGCTTGGCCAACAGCGCCGAATTCGGCTTCATGCACGCTGCCAGCCTCTTCGGCACGGCCGTGTCCAACGCCACGCAATTGGACATTCTAGACCATCTCGGCGAGTTCGCTCAGGCCATCTGGACGGCAGCGGCGAGGCTTCTGGGCGGGCAAGATCGGGTGGTGGCGTATTTTTTGCAGAGGGCGGTGGAGATCGCGACGCAGTTGAAGGAGAATGGGCGGCCGCAGCGGTTGGTGGATGTTTGCTTGACTAAGGCGGGGGACGACCAGATGGATAGGGAAGGGGGCATGGGAAGTTGAGTTTAGGGAGCGATCGTTCTTAGACCTCGCAGTCATGCAAGCTTCTGAAAAGAATGGGATGTCCTACGTCTGGCTTCAGCCAGTACAAGCTCGTTGGAACGCTATCATGGATATATCATCACTCAGATCCTCGCCTTCAAAGGCACCAACCCAAACTGATCCCAAAACTCCCTCCCAAAATAACACCTTCCCAGCTCCTCCATAGATCTCGGCAACGCATGTACCTTCTCCTCCCTCATAATCTCATAAACCCACCTCGCCTGATCCAACGGCTCCCGATCTGCCTTCCCACCATCTTCATCACCACCACCATTCTCATTCTTCGAATCCGCCCACCCAGCCATCAAACTCCACCAATCATACACGAAGCCATCCGTCAACATCCACCGTTGCCCCTTACACAGCTCCCAGCGTCCCATCATCGCCACGATCGCCCGCGCGACATCAAGCCCATGAATCATATGCAGGCTCCTCTTCCCCTTGACATCCTCCTTTGTCTTCGCGACGCGGTCGACCCACTTCTTCGGGTCTCTTTCCCCGCCCCATAGCCCAGCGAGATTGAGCACGCAGCCGTCTAATCCTAGTAATTCGTCCTCGGCGATGGCGCGCTTGTTCTCGGTATCATAAGGTGATTTTCTTGAAACCCAGAGGGTCTTTTGCGGGATCTGCCAGATGCCTGTACTGCCTAATTGGATGAACTTCACACTTCCGCCGGTCTTATTGCCGTGGGCGAGGGAGTAGCCTTTGACGAGATTTTGGCTTTGGCCGGGGCCGGTAAGGGGAAAAGTGATGAGGATGTGTTTGGCCAGTGGTAGGGAGGAGAACTGGCTCTTCGAGGTTTGCTGGGTGGAGTCTTCGTCTGGGTTGAAGGTCCAGGGGATTGTTGTTACGCCGGCTACTTTTCGCCCATCTCGTGTGGTGGCTGCGAAGGATATACGTTTTGCGGAGAGGAGGGGGATGAGGAAGGTCGAGGTCCAGCCGGCGCCGAGGATCAGGATGTCGTGTTCTTGCATCTTTGCGGTGGAGCTCTGTAGAGGAGTAAACGGGATGAGAGAGGTTAAGCCTACCTGTATTGCGGTTAATATGACAGGATATGACAGGAGGGCTATAGCATATGGTAGCTGTTTGTAGGCCCTCGGTTCATTATACTTCTATTAAGTCTGTGATGATGTCGTTACTGCAGGTATATACAAATGCTCCGCCTCGGCACCAACCGCACACCCTGGTCGCTCTAGATTTGAGCCAGATGGACGCCAAGAGGATGACTGATCGATGGACCTCGACGAGATGACCAGACATATCACACCACTGTCAACTCACCCATCTACCTAATCTCAAGTCTGTGACGGTCATCGACAAGATGCCGGACATTGACCTAATCGACCATTCGCCACAACAGCCCTCAGCAGCACCACCAATTCCGACCGCATCAAATGTGATATTGATAGACAACTACGATTCCTTCACCTGGAATGTATACCAGTATCTAGTCCTCGAAGGTGCAAGCGTAACAGTCTACCGCAACGATGAAATCACACTGGACGCCCTGAGCTCGAAGAAACCAACCCAACTCGTCATCTCGCCCGGACCCGGCCATCCGGTCACTGACTCAGGCATAAGTAAAGATGCCATCAACCACTTCTCTGGCAAGATACCCATCTTGGGTGTCTGTATGGGCGAGCAATGCATCTTTTCCGTTTTCGGCGGGACTGTAGAGCAGACGGGGGAGATATTGCATGGGAAGACGAGTCCTCTCCGGCATGATGGGCGGGGTGTGTATGCTGGTCTTGCACAGGATCTGCCTGTTACGAGATATCACTCTCTTGCTGGGACCCACCCGACACTCCCGGAATGTCTCGAGGTCTCATCTTGGATTGCGACCGGACCAGATGGTGGCAAAGGCGTGATCATGGGTGTGCGACACAAGGAGCTCTTGGTGGAAGGCGTGCAATTTCATCCCGAGAGCATCCTGACTGCGGAGGGCAGAGTAATGCTCAAGAACTTCTTGCATATGCAAGGTGGTACATGGGCAGAAAACGAGAAATTGCAGAAGCAGGCTAAGCCTTCTGTGCCCAACGGTGTATCATCGCAAACTAACGGCGACAAGAAGATGTCTATATTGGACAAGATCTATGCCCATCGCAAGACATCAGTTGCGGCGCAGAAGCAGATTCCTTCACAGCGGCCGGAAGACCTACAAGCTGCTTATGATCTGGATCTTTCGCCGCCTCTCATTGACTTTGCGGATCGACTACGACAATCACCATTCAAGCTGTCACTCATGGCCGAGATCAAGCGTGCATCCCCATCCAAGGGAATTATCTCACTCTCAGCCTGCGCGCCGGCTCAAGCACGCACATACGCACTCGCTGGAGCCAGTGTCATCTCAGTGCTCACCGAGCCCGAATGGTTCAAGGGAAGCATTGACGACCTACGAGCTGTGCGGCAGGCATTAGCCGGTATGCCTAACAGACCTGCTGTGCTAAGGAAGGAGTTCGTGTTCGAAGAGTATCAGATCCTCGAAGCACGACTGGCGGGTGCAGATACAGTGCTGCTGATTGTGAAGATGCTTGATCTTGAGACTTTGACACGGCTGTACAAGTATTCTCAATCGCTGGGTATGGAGCCGCTGGTAGAAGTCAATACTGTAGACGAGATGGAGGTAGCGGTGAAGCTAGGCTCGAAGGTCATCGGTGTCAATAACCGCAACTTGACCACCTTTGATGTAGATATGGATACCACGACGCGACTCATGAGTATGGTTGACAAGGACACCATCCTATGCGCATTGAGCGGCATCTCTGGCCCGCAAGATGTAAAACCGTACCAGAAGAATGGTGTTGGTGCCGTGCTGGTTGGTGAAGCACTGATGAGAGCCAAAGACACAGCAGCCTTCATTGCAGAGCTATTGGGGGGCGGTGAAGCAGTAGTCAAGCCTGCGGGCAAGCGAAAGCTACTCGTCAAGATCTGTGGGACGAGGAGTGCCGACGCGGCCAAAGCTGCTATCGAGGCTGGTGCAGATCTCGTTGGCATGATACTGGTGCAAGGTCGGAAACGTTGCGTGGACAAGGACACCGCGCTCGCGATCTCCAAGATTGTACACGAGACACCCAAGGTAAACAGTATTGCATCGAGGACGACTTCATTGCAGCCTTTGGAGCAGAAGAAGGCTATCAGCTACTTCGACCACACCAGCCGAAGGCATATCCAACATCCGTCCCGAGCGCTCCTCGTCGGCGTCTTCCAGAACCAACCGCTATCACACATCCTCGAGTCTGTCCAAGACTTGAATCTCGACATCGTGCAACTTCACGGTGCGGAACCAATGGAGTGGAGCTCGTCTATACCAGTCCCAGTTCTTCGAGCGTGCAAGCCCGGTGAAGCCGGATTAGCCACGCGAGGATACCATGCCCTACCCCTTCTCGATAGTGGCGCTGGTGGGACAGGAAAAAAGCTGGCTATCGACAACGTGAAGAGCCTCCTGCAGACAGACGAGGGTTTGAGGGTCTTGCTTGCAGGAGGCTTAGATGCCGAGAACGTAGTGTCTATGGTACACGGGCTTGAAGGAATGGGTGGGGGTGTCGTAGGTGTGGATGTCAGTAGTGGTGTGGAAACGGATGGAGTGCAGGACCTGAAGAAGATCAAGCAGTTTGTTGAGGCTGCTAAGGGTATTGATGTTGAAGAGTAGGAGGAAATGCAGCCAATATGAAGACATGAGCCACCACGATCTGGACCATTCTCAGTGATTTCATTCTAGCCACTGCCGCCGCACGAAATCATGACCGCCTTCAACTCGGTGGAGGTTCAATAGAACTGTCTGCATTCCGCACATTCGTGGCCAAGTGTGATCAACGTCACTTCACGATCCTCGGCGCGCAGGGAGGTAACTTCACTCGATGAAGCTTTACAGCCACGTGATACCACTAGCGCCACTGCAGCACATATGACCAACTATCTCACCCTCACTTCCTCTCTTTCTAACACAATCCACTTTCTCAATTACCAGTTCATCAACCCCTCCGATCATCGTCCACCTTAACCACCCCAGCTTCCTGTCCATTTTCGAACTCCCAGCAGCACAATGCCTTCCGGTTGCCTCAAAGGCACCAAGATCACGGTCATCTTTCCTGCCGTGGAGGACCCAAAATGGACCAAGGAGCGGGTCACCAACTGGATAGCCGTAGCTGGTGGCAAGCTCATGACCAAATTCACCGATAGTACTACTCACCTAGTTTGCTCTGAGAGGACCTGGAGGAACCAGTCCGGCGTCGTCAAACAAGCGGCCGACAAGGTGAAGAAGGGGGAAAGAATCTTCATTGTCAGCGGAGATTGGCTGCGCGATACGCTATTCAACCAGAAAAGGGCTAGGGAAGGGATCTATTCTTTCGTCAAAGCTGATAAGGCTGCTGCTTCCGTGCGCCGTCAACTCCGTCAGCAGGCTCAGGATGGAGGGTCTCGTGAAGGAAGCCAGGAGAATAATGGTCCTAAATCTCATGCGGGATTACTGGCTGAAGCCTTACGTCGCACACAGAGCAATTCGTCTCCGAAGCCGAGAAGAAGAAGATTGAAGAACGTCTAGCTCGCGAACGTTCAGCAGAGGAGGAAGCTCGGAAGAAGAAAACTGAGGCTGAGAGGGTAGCGAAGAAGGAGCAAGAGGCCCTATTCCGGCGTGGAGCGAAAAAGGCCAAGAATGAGATCTTCTCGCGTATGTTGATCTTCGTTTGATAGCACTACCGGTCGATGGCTGTCTGTCACGGCTCGAAGCTAACAGGGTATGCTTCATAGATAATCACCACATCTATATGGACCCCAACGACGGCTTCAAGTACGAAATCACGCTGACTAAGGTGGACACGAGGGCCAACCGCAACGAACGCTTCATCATCACCGTAAGTCATCCCAGGCATCACAAATTCCACATCAATCACCTTGATCTCCACAGCCTACTTTCAGACACATCCTTTCCCCCGGAGATCACACCCACCCGAACTAACATTCAACCCCTCTGACACCAGCTCCAGCTCTACGAAACCAACACCGAACCATCCACCTACGCCACCAACGCCCACTTCGCCGGCACAGCTCTCATACCGTCGAACAACATCATCGCCGCACTCGGCTGCTCGTTGGAAACAGCAAGACATGTCTTCGAAACCGCCTTTCGCGAGAAGACGGGAGTAGAATGGGAAGACCGGATCTCGCACGCCCAAGAACGTCTGAGGATGGAGAAGCGGGCCCGTGGTCAAGCCACCAACTCCTCTGATAGCGGGGAAGTCTTAGGCCGAGCAGTCAGCGAGAGTGCCGTCGAACGACGCGAGAATGCTAAGCTCAAGGCTATGATGGAGGAGAAGGATTTCGATAAGAAGGTCTTCGAGTACCATCCTCCTGCTTACGGTGGCGTGGGAAAGATGCCGGAAGTTCGGGACAACATGTTTCCTGATCTGGATCTTGGTGGGAAAGGCGGAAAGGAGAAAGGAGGAGCAGCGAGAAATGTGGCTCAGGCTGGTGGGGATAGGGTGGAGGAGATTGAGATGTGGATGAATGATGCTAATGGTGAGGCTGAAGGTGAAGCTGGGATGACATCTCCGAATCCGGGACAACCGCTTCGCCAGGCCAGCGCAAGTCCCGATTTCATTACAGATGCTGTTCCGCGTGTAGAGACTGGTGATCACTGGGACGATTTCATGCGGGAAGCTGATCAGATGGCGGTCGGGCCGGACGACTTTGGGCTTGGCGACACGGCCTATCCTCTCGGTGAGCAGCAGGAGACTCTCGAGCCTACTCAGATGGCTACTGAGGTTGCCAAGGGCCTTGAGGACTTCATGAAGGATGTGCGGGCCGCGGCGGACGGCGAGACGGTGGTCAAGAAGGCTAAGTTGGGTGGTATGCTGGAGTTGGGTAAGCGCGAAACCTCCCCGGAGGCCGAGATGGAGGATATTGGTCTGGCGGTTGAGGTGGAGAGCTCGAAGGGTGAGGTTGTGGAGGAGACGCAGGAGGAGCTGAGCCAGGAAAGGTCCGATGTGGGGAGTCCGAAGGGTGATATTGTGCAGGAGACGCAGGAGGAGATGATGCGGGAGCAGCTCGAGGCGGAAATGGAGGATGCATGAGAATGGATCCCACGAACGTCACGGAGTCATGAACCAGCATAACGGCTCACGTGATTACTTACTGACCAAGCCATTTTCGACAATGCTTGGTGCTTTCGGCATGATCCGGGCTGGGGATGGGAGCATTTGTACACAGCAGCACTTATTGTATCATAACATGGCCGTGCCACCTTCACCAGCCTGTGATTTTAATTGCTTCGTGCGCCGCCCTTCTGCTCGCGGATCTCGTCCATCTTCTTCACTCGCTCGCGGAAAAGGTCGTACTGGCATTTTTCGTAGCTGTGTCGTTCGTCCTGGGAATATCGTTGATCAGCACTTTGTCCTTTCTCACTCATTCAATTACGAGATCTTCATGACTTACGCCACACTTCCACGGCAGATAGTACGACTCGTATCGACCTGGTAGAAGGATTAATTCCAAGCCATGCATGTCGTCCTTGATTAGACCTACATCGATTCAAAGGGATGAGGAGATGGGCGCAAGCGTCGCGGTAGGCGAGAGGCACACGAGCTTCGGACATTTGTTCGCGGGTGGCGGCTGCTTTCAGATACACCGTCAGCATTTTCTTCCCACCTCTGCATCCCTCATATGTGCCTCTCCATATGGTATGCATGCTTGTTGTCCTTGCTGGTCTTGGAGGAGCCCTTTCGCTTGACATACGTGTGCTGCTTCCGCCCCCTTCCCCTCCATGGCCCAGACCCACGGCCTCTTTTGCAGCATCAATTACTCCCATCTTCGCTGTGTCAATGTGACCTTCAATGCCTGATCATGTGCTTCCTTCGCATTCGTCGTCGAAGCTCATGTCTAGCTCTCGCTTCGGCCCGGCGGCCGCGAGCACTTTCCGACAAACGCGAACTCCACGCGTCGTCCACCACGCGCATCGATTATATCAGAGTCTCGCATGTGCACGACCCTCATATCGCAGGTCTTCTCAGCCACGGCCCACAGACGATCACGGTCGGGAAGGCAGCCTCGCTCTCGTCTCATTTCACGCGAATACTATCGCCGTCATGGCAGGCAGAAGCGGGAACACCGTATACTCTGCGACCTATGTGAGTGACCATTGCTGTGTGGATCCTGCTCCAGACTGACACGCATCAGAGCAATGTTCCAATATACGAATTACTTGTGGAAGGCCACCAGATCATGCGCCGTCAGGGCGATGGGTGGTGCAACGCGACTCATATCCTGTAAGTCCGATATGGAGACATCGCCGACTCATGCTAACACTTCATTAAGAAAATTGGCGGGGTTAGACAAGCCTGCCCGCACAAGAGTCCTCGAACGAGAGGTGCAGAAGGGTATCCACGAGAAAGTCCAGGGCGGGTACGGCAAGTATCAGGGTGTGTGACACAGCTGCCCATTGATTACAGTTCTGGGAAATTGACAGTATCTTCTTAGGAACCTGGATTCCACTGGACGATGGACGAACTCTTGCAGCCAAGAATGGTGTCCTCGAACAGCTTCGTCCGATCTTCGACTTTGTCCCAGGTGACCGTAGCCCGCCACCGGCCCCAAAGCATGAGACGGCTGCATCTTCTAAGCCACGAGCGCCACGACAAGCCGCCCAGCGCAAAGCACCCGCAGCAAACATGTACCAACAACAACATCATCATCAAAATTACGATCAGATGGACGTCCACGAAGAGACACCCGACAACGATACCGTAGCCTCGGAATCGCAATTCGACGAATACGACATGGCCCCATACACTGGCGGATCACGGAAGCGGAGACGAATCGAAGATCACATGTCGCAGGCTGATCGTGAGCATCAGCTGTGGGCGGAGGAGCTGCTGGACTACTTCATGCTGCAAGAGGACCCCAGCATGGATGCAATGGTCCTTGCTCCTACACCACCAGGCAATGTCGATATCAACCGACCCATTGATGAAAAGGGTCATTCTGCTCTGCATTGGGCAGCAGCTATGGGCGACATTGAGGTCGTCAAGGATCTCATTCGTCGTGGTGCTTGGACTGACAGTCAGTCGAAATCTGGTGAGACACCACTCATGCGATCAGTCATCTTTACAAACAGCTTCGACAAGCGGAACATGGAGAAGTTGGCCTCGCTGCTCATTCGTACGGTCAATATGCAAGAGTGGTCTGGCAGTACTGTCTTCCACCAAATTGCAGGCATTACGCAAAGCAAGAAGAAGTACGAATGTGCGAGGTACTACATGGATTGCATCTTGTCGAAGATGACTGAGACTTTGTCACCTGGCGACGTGGAGAGAGTGCTAAACGAGCAGGATCGTAATGGAGATACTGCCATCACGATAGCGGCACGATACGGAGCGCGAAAGTGCGTGCGTAGTTTGATTGGAAGGAACGCAGCTGTTGATGTCATGAATCTCGTGGGCGAGACAGCCGACCAACTGATCGTTCAGCTGAACCACCGCCGTCAAGAACGCAACCGACAGTTCTCCTCGTCACCTTTCCAAGCTGCAGAAGGTTCCTCACGCCTGCACACTATAGGTGGCGCAGTCCAGGCCCCTTCCATGTCGAGCATCGCAAATGGCATTCCATTCGATCCACTGATCCCACACACCTCCCTGACCACTGTCAATGCAAGTAATGGCACACTCGCACCTTCATCGGCCACAACGCCAGGCAGGGAGGTGTATAGCTCGGAGGTCGCACTCACGCTGACCTCATCTCTTCTTCCTACCATCATCACGAAGACGCGCTCCTTGGCCTCTGCTCTCGACGCAGAAATGGCGGACAAGGACTCTGAAGTCCGAGAAGCAGAACGTGTCATCGAGCGGAGGAAAGCAGAACTAGAAGGGCTAAGGCGACAGAGCGAGGAGTGGACAGCGCGGGATCTCGAGCTCGCCACCGAGGTGGGTGAAGAAGAGGAGGAGCTGGAGCGCGTGCTCGCCGAACTAACAGGCGAATGCGAGAGCCTGGTCGAGAGCGAAGAAGCAGCTGCACTAGCCGACCACGTCAAAGCTGAAGACAAAAAGGCTGCCAAATCCTCATCTTCGCCTCACCTGCCAAGCGACAGTAGTGAGATGGATCTCGACCCCCACAGCTCAGCCTATCTAGAGCGCAAACTCGCACTCGCACGCCACCTCTCCTCCTTACAACTCCAGCGGAAGGAGCTGATCAAGACCATCGTCCGCAACATCTCGCTCGCTGGCGACGTAGGAGCGGGTTCGGAGTCGGCGAGGGAGAAGCAGAGACAGTATAGACGGCTTATCACTGGTGCGCTGAATGTTAGGGAGGAGGATGTCGAGGGTTTGTTGCCGGAGATTGTGGGGGAGCTTGAGGATGCTGAGGTTGTGGGCGGGCTGGTGGCGTAGTGTGCTGTTGGTCGTTCTGCTGTGTCGTTGAGTTGCACATAGTGAAGGAGGTGGGTGGAAGGATATATGATCGTATCGACGTGGAAGCGACGATGGAGCATGGACCTTTTGTGGAAGTTGGATGGAGATGGGATGGGATGTTGTGGGATTGCTGCTTGGTCGCTCGATACGCTGCTCATGATACCTTGGACATGTTGATGGCGTCGTATGTATAGCCTCCGCTGCTGCACAGCTTCTATCGATTCGGTGTACAGAATTGTGTCTTCCTCGACAGCTTTCAAGGTTGCAGGAGTACGTACTTGTCCACAATCTAAATTCAAGAGCCACTTGTGCGCAGTACGACTGGATGCAGCATGGTTGAATCAGGAATTACAGGGATATCTGACGCTCAACTACCGTCTTTCTCGCTACCATCATGACCGCTCACGCCTCCACTAAACACTCGCTCCCTCGGAAATCAAGTCTTCGTCTCTGTCTCTTGTACCGCGTCTTTCCGTCAAAGTCGCGCCCACTCGCTTAGCAACAGCAGCAGTCGTCCACAGCATGGCAGCAGGCGTCACAAGCCTCGCAGCAGATGAAGCAGGCGCAGAGGTCCACTAAACATCGCAGTCTTGTCAGCTTCTGGCAGAACGAAGTAGCATCGGGTAATGGGCAATGAGATCGACGTACGAATGAGTCCTCCACCCCTCATGCCTAAGATGGTGCGCTGGGTCTTGGTGTTGTTCTCGGAGTCGGTGTTGGTCTATATTCACATCGTACCGTATTAGCCATCAATTCCGTGACCTATACTGGCTCCCAGCGCGACAATATCGCAGGTAAACGTCTACGTCCGCGACACACGACACGAGTATCATCGTCGTTGTCGCAGACATAACTCCAAGAATCAAGCTCATGGAGCTCCGAAAGCTTACCTCCGTAGTATTGCTTAGCTGCTCTTGGCTGGGGACAGCCTGCATTGGCGCTTGCTGGGAGTACCCTCTTTTAACATCGTTGTTTGCCATGTTGGGTGTCATTTTGCAGGAATCGTTGTTCTTGTGACTGAAATGAGTTGTTATTGCTCGTGGAGTTGGTCGGCAGTGTCTTAGGAATGTAAGGAGAGAAGCAGTCAGATCTTAAAGGCCAAGAAACCTGCTGGATAAGGTTGGCCCTTGGTTGGCCTTGGTCAATCGAGATGCACGGACTTGTAAACACTGGTTATGTTTCAGAGGCGCAGCTGCCACGTCATGATACATTTGTTGTTCACTCAGCTCATCTCATCAAGGCAGGCGTATCTCGCTTACCTCGCGATCGTGGCTACTTCATCTGAGCTCATGCAGGTAGGGAGACAGCGACCTGACATAGTCGTGGTAGGAGTGGCGAAGACGATACCTACATGCCAACCTACCATCGCCTCAAACTCGCAACGGTTCGGCGAGATCAACGTGGTCTCAAACACTGCAAGAGACACACCATGATCGCAGCATTTCAGCGATGAATCTTCCCGATGGATGATCATGAGATCAAACGCCTGGGAGTACGCCACCTGTGCCGAGAAAGATATCATGTCCTGGTACTGATGCATACAGCAGAAGCGTGACCTAGGACCTCATGCATTCGAAGATCATATGCCCGAGCATATACATACCCTCCTGGCCGCCGAAGACCACAGCAACGATCTACCAAATGTGATTCCCAAGCTCGCCCAGCTACTCCATCACGACAAGAAAGTTGCGGTTGCGTACCTCTGCTATCAGGGTGTCGTACAGATCCATAAGCTACCGGACGAAGGCCCTCATTTTTGCGGGTACAGGAACCTCCAGATGATTTGCCTTTCATTAGCTACGAACACCTCTGTCTCCATCAAGGCAGAAGTGCAGCAGGACTTGGGTCGAAAGCTTACGGTTCTTGGATTGCAGGACCGTATAGAAGCAGCCTGGGACCGTGGCTTCAATCCTCATGGTCGCATTCAGACCGGTGGCATCAGAGGGGCAAGAAAGCACATCGGCAGCTCGGAAGCCGAAGCTCTGCTCCTGAGCATGGGTGTCGAATGCACCGGCTCTGCTTTCACAGGCTCGACCGCATGGTCTGACCTCTTGAACTTCGTGGAGAAGTACTTCAACCCCAGCCCAACGGACTTTTCATCTGGGCAACAAGCCAACGTGCATATTACGGACCGCCCGCCATTATTCCTGCAGAGACCTCAGCATTCTATCACCATCGTCGGCATTGAACGTTTAGCTTCGGGCAAGAGGCGATTGTTCGTCTTCGACCCGGCTTGGAAGCCTCCTGCTACTATGCGAAAGGCTCAGCTGGACGATGCTGATCTGAAGGGATGGAGGAGGAAGTATGTTTTTGGGATGTACAGGAAGGGAGAGAGATATTTGAGGAAGTGGAATGAGTTTGAGGTTGTTAGTGTGCAATGCACCAACGATACTGCATGAGCAGATCCCCGGGGTTTGAATAATATCATGCCATACTAACCGTCGTCTCATGATCCCGCAGTAGCTAATGTGAGGGAGAGATGTAGAAGGGACGCTCACTATAATTTACCTTGGCTATATCAAATGTTCTGCATCGCCACTTCACTCATGATTGTGAACCAGCCTTATTAATGAGCTTTGACAGTCTGTACGCTTGTGATTGTCAATATTGCATGTGCATATCAGTGCCGGGTCACGATCTTTAAGTGAAGGCATGGGTGTGAAGGTTGATAGGAGAGGCAAGTGAACTATGCAGAAAGTTTGAATCGCACCTAGCGCGGATTTCAGCCTACAACTTTCACGCCTAGATCTTCAGAAAAAGGTATATATCTTTCACGATCGACTCTTCACGGTGATCAACCCCCCTTATCCTCTGGAGCCACAAAACAACATCATTCTCAGACACCACAATCCAATCTGAATCCGCCAATATGCCCATCAGCAAGAAAGACCGTATCCACCGCGAGCACAAAAAAGCAGAAGCGGCCGGCACCCGAATTCCCGTCAACCCCAACGGCACACCGGTGAAGGCGAAGAAAGAAATGTCGATCTGTGCTTTCTGCCGCAAGGAGCTGGCGAGGGACAACAAGAAGATCCTTGAGCAGCATGCCGAGACGCACAACGAGCAGTGGCCGAAGGAGAAGTGCTGGCCTAACGACTTTTCGTAGATGGTGGTCAGAAAGGCTGCCCTGGACGAGCGGGAGGATGCGATGAGGTGTCCGGGCTGCTGAGAAGGCCGGAAGGGGGGGTGGTGGGGGAGAAGAGTGAGGAGGCGAAGACGAGGGTCGTGCGAAGGCAGGATTTCAAGCATGCGGCGTGTCCTTAAGTAGATGATGGGGCAAAGGCTGGAGCGGCGATGATGAGTTTGTGAAGTTATAGATGATACCACGGGCATTACATGGCGTTTTTCTCTCTCCAAAGAGGTTACGATGCATTCACGAAGCGATCCACGTCTTTCAAATCTGTTCATCCCTCATGTCGTTCTCATCCTGACACGTGATTCCACTGCGCCACCAATGCACTGCAGACAGACAACACAACTGACTACACAGCATGGAGAAGCAGAGAAGTGAGGACAGATCAAAAACCACTTCGATTGACCGGCCAGAACAGACATTATATACAAAGAAGTGCACCACCACCAAACCCACATAAGCCGTCGTCGTAAGTGGAAGCAGCAGCATAAAAAGCAATTGGTAGATAGGATTTTTTTCATTCTTCTCCTTGCTGGCGGAATAGATTTGCAAAGCATATGCACACAATAGCAGCCCCAGGTAGTCGATAAAGCAGCCCTCGCGATCAAGTGACTGTCTCCCCGTCGCCACCACCACCCCATCGACAAAAGCCCAGCCAAGAATCCGACCCTCAGCCCACGATCCACCCTCCATTTCCGCCTGCCTGCCAGCTTGCCCGTGCGCACCACATGAATCTCGAACGAAGGTCGTTATAAATCAGGGGAATAAACACTATGAGAACGAAAGACTCGGAGGGGAAAAAAAAGGGTATTCGATAAGATCTGCGCGTCCATCTCCACGCAGGGCACGACAGAGCCAGCCCAGGCGCCAGGCACAGAACAGACGCTCTGCTTAGATAGACTCAAATGCCATGCTAACGATGATTTGCTGATGCGAATGTTGCCTCAAAGCCACATGCCGAGGGCCGTTAAGTTGATTCTGCTGACCGCGCAATGTCCTCGCATGCTGCTGGGTCGTGTGTGCGAAAGGATGACCAAGAATGGATTTGGTGCGCTTCATGTACAGGGTTTGATGCGGTGGGAAGCTGCCAGGCCTCGTTGGTTGGGTTCATAAAGTGCGGTGGAAAGGTAGCAGGCACGCTGGTTGAAAGAAGCAGGTAAGGTCGTTCAAGGTTGCGCTAGTCGATGGTAGTATTGACGAAGGTGAGATCGCGCAGCTGCTGTACTTCGTACAACACGACACCTACGAGTCGCTGAAGACGTAGGTGGCGGTTCCTGAGCTTATTGATACCTGTGGAATATGATCAGCACCCATACATCATGTCAAGTGGCAATGGTCTAAGCTTACCGTGCACCCAGTCGTCGAACTGCATTGGCTGTAGTTGGGACCACTGCAATACTGGCCGTTCGAGTATTTGCAGTTTCCTGAAACATTGTCACCAGTAATGGTAACGGTGAAGTCGAGCGAAGCAGTCGTAGTGGGCGCATTCTGGAAGATGGCCAACCAAGCGGCACCGTTGCTGTAGCCGACACCAAGGTTAAGTGGCGCATAATTACCCCATGGGTTTGCTGAGCTGCCCCACTGGCACGCGTTGGAGGCGGAGACACCCTTGGGGTTGACGTAGTATTGAGCAGAGGTGTGTCCACCCTCCCAATTGTAGTAGTTGTCTGCGTCGGGGCAAGTGAGGTTGTTGGTTGAACCGGGTTGGGTGTCCAATGGAATAGTCTCAGCTTCAGTGCCAGGGTAGTCGGTACGGCAGATAGCGGCGTTGGAGGACATCTTGTTCTGGACCAAGACGGTAACTTGGGAGGCACCAGTCATGCAGAGGTTCTTAGACAGGCCTGGGTTGGTGAGGTGGAGCTTGCCGTTCAGGCATTGGATACCACCCACAGATTGACCGGTGGCACCCTGGGTAGTTGGCCATTGAGACTTTTGGTAACCCGCTGGGCAAGCGTACGAGCAGTAAGAACCCTCGGTGCAGCAGTTGCCGTCAGGGCACTGGCTCTTGACGAGGGTCATGATGTTGCTCATGCCGGCGCTGCTGTGGGAGCCAGGGCTTTGCACACCAGTCCAGCCACCAAGCCCCATCCAGTCGACAGGGACTGCTCCGTATGAGGATGGGAACGTGCTGCAGTCAAGCTGGCCGTCAGGGAAAGGAGAGTCGACGCCAGACGAAGAGCCACTGGAGCCGGAGTTGCCACCACTGTACGATGGAGCGCTTGATGGTGCACTGGAGGGTGCGGCGCTGCTCGACGAAGCGGGAGCAGAGTAAGATAATGCTGGCGCACTGCTGCTGGTCGATGGCGCGACATACACGGAAGACGACGATGTCGTTGGCGCGACATACACGGAAGACGACGATGTCGTTGGCGCAACGTAGACTGACGAGGATGAAGGAGATGGGGATGGCGCCGCAGACGAGGAGGAGTCGTGGTTCCATGGGATATAGGCAGCTGCAGAGCTGGAGGGCGCAGCAGTGCTTGCTGGCGTGGAAGCGCTATCAGCCTGTTGGAGCTGACCGCCGTGTGCCCAGATGAGTGAGCCGTCCGCAATGCCGCGATTCACATCGTCTTCGGAGATCGGCTTGCCGTTGAGGACGTAGGCGATGACAGTCGGGCCAGGCACGACCACCATGGTCGAATCCCATACCTCGTCACGCTTCTCGTGGGCGTGAGCGTGGGCGTGTTGATGCGGTTGCGCAGCGGCTACGGCGACTGCCGCGGTGAGCAGCGAGAGTGTGACCTTCATTGTTACCGGTATCACCAATTAATGCGATGTTATCGAGCTCGTCAGGTGGTGTCAACTGAGGTGCGTTTTGTTATTCGTCGCGATGTGTTCCAGTGAAGCCACGGTAAGGATATGAGCTGACGTCCTTGGCCTTTGTTCAATGCCGAACAATGCAGATATCGTGATCGAACCTCGTCTCGCGTGCTGTAAGCTGTGTGGGTGTGGTATGACGGTCGCGGGTGTAGGCAGGCTGGTATCGGCGCGTGGGATTGAGAAGCAGGAAAGAATGTTATGGTCGCGAGCTGATTCCGAATGAGTGAATTGGAGACGAGTAGCAGTCTGGTGGTCTCCAGGTGGAATTAGGATTATGGTGCGCAGGTGAGATGCTGCGTGTTGTGTTCACAGCATGGTGGAGGTGGAGCGGAAGGGCGAGATGGATCCGAGCGCGCCAAAAGGAGTATGATACGTGCTCCAATCTCGCTTGTGGGTCCAATGGTGATCATGCCAACACAAGCCACGAGCTAACGTGAACAGAGTCACAGAGTAGTGTCTAGCAGGAAATTGTCTTCTACTACCGTCCTATCATAATAATGTGGTCGACAGCAATTTTCACAAACTATTACTATTCTACAGCTTCTGCTCGACATCTAGCGGCTATTCCACGCTACCCCATTGTCCTTCCGAACAGCTATCATGATCTATACAGGAAGCTGTGAGAGACCATATCGTCGTCACTGACTGGGTGTGAACCGCTCGTCTCGGTCGTTGCTCAGCGCATGCAACGTCTCGACGGTGTTGTGGTCTCACGGCATTTACAAACAGCTACAGCGTCCCTAGATACCTCATCACAACCCTTCACCTCCCGCAGACCTCCCTGACTACTGTATAACGGTTGGGATCGAGGAGGGAAACGAGACCCAGTCATTATTATTGTTGCGGCGGAGCGAACGACCACAGGTAGAGGCCCGGCCGCAATAACAATACAAACGTCGTCCATAGCTCAAGTTCATCCCTGCGATACTCCCTTCGTACCTGCATTACTAGCGCAACTCTCTCTGCGCCGGCGGAAAGTCTCGCCCAATGAGATGGCAAGTGCATTCCGAATGATGGAGGTCAACAAACACAACACATGACATGCAGCGTGCGCGAGATGAGCTCATCAGAAGGGCTATGCGACCATGATGCTAGATTGAAGGATGCAAAGTTGTGCCAATCGTACCTGTAGAATAACTCTCCAGTTCCTTCGAGCGATTGCAATTCAAATGTTCTATTTGCAGCACCAACCAACCGCCAAGCTTCCAACGGCCGGCGGCTCCAGGTCGTGGAAATTGCCACCGACGCTGCTATAGGTATACAAGAGTTGCATGCACTTAGGCGATATGATATTCATTTCACCAGGACACGAGGATCTTGGACTCGTATCGTCTACGAGTCCACGACTTGACCCCATACTTTCGCTTGGAGATAGGACGTGAAGGCTAACCTGCCGAGCACACGACACTCACTGCCGAGTACTTGTCGTGTCGTTGGCAGCACAATCGCAATTTCGTTGCCCCCGCCTATGAACTGTCTCGGCAGTCGTGTAGTGTACGTGTGCGGCGCCTGAGCGCTCAATAGAGTTCTTCTTACCGCGCCGCTGTGATCTTATGGAGGCGGACTATGAGTTGGGCAACGGCGTGCTCAACGCGTTATGGTGCCAGATTCGCGGTTTGAAACACAAATCGTACCTCTCCTTGTGCCATGAGGCCGAAGGGTAGTCACGTTACTGGGGAGTGCCAATGTGTTCACATGATATACGCCCATCGTGCAGCAGTACCGTGAAGTCTTGGGTAGCAAGGCCGTGAGAAGAGAAGTAAGGTGTCTCTCAACCCTTCATTAATACTGCACGTCCTCTCGCATCGCCCGTCAGCAGCTATCTGAGGCACCGCAGTGTCAATGCCGTGACCAGAAGACTGATTGTGCTTCGTTGGTCCTCGTCATCAATTGTCTCACGTGGCTGCTGTATGCATAGCACATGGCTTCCGTCGTGCTGCCACCGCTTATGCAGTAGAAGGGCAAGAGTGCTACCTCGATACTGAACTCGTGTATCAGCTTCCACAGAGCAGCGGGAGAAGGCAGCGAACTCGTATCAGCGACGGCCTCTGATTAATGAGTATGGAGGACTGCCGTAGCTTTGCGTGATGAGCCTCCAACCACATTGAGATCTCGGTCTGCAGACAGTGGGCTGTAGCCGCCTCGAGTGCTGGCTCAATCAGCTATGTCAGGGTCAAGCAACAAATACCTACCGGCGACACGACTATTACCTTGGCCGTGCGAGTGACAGCCTGGCGAGGCATCGACGACCTCCTCTGCCCAGCCTCGCTTATGTAGAATCTCTTCTCCAGTCTCTTGCAAACGCGAGAATTCCTGATGAAAAGTATGCGCTCATTGCTGAGGCATGAAGGTTGTTTCAAAAATTCCCTGCCGAACCGAAGTCCAACAGGAGCAGTCAGTTGATAGTTTTCACTGCAGAAATGGTTAGCCTTGTGTTGTTGTCGATGGTAGATGGGTTGGGTGGTTACTCACACTAGCAAAAACGCAATCTCGGACGAATCCTCACTGATATGCGTAATGCCCGTGCACTCTGGGATGGCAGTCAGTATTGAGGTGATGGTATGGGGTGGTTCTGGTTGGACTCACGGGATTGAGATTTGGAAGCAGAGCGCGAGATTCGAGTCGATTAAGTACGACTGGAATGCGGCCCGTTGCGCTCAAGCGGCTGACGTAATCTGGTGGGGCTCGGAATCGTGGCCAGCGTCGTCAGTGAGGGCAGGCTATAGCATTGGGCTGTGTATATTTCTCCAGGCTTCACTCATAGCTTGGACTATTGGTGCAGAAATCCACGACAAATATGGGCAGCATGGCGGAAGCGCCAATTGGTATGCTCTGGAGAAGCACAAGTATATGAGCACCATACTGACCACATATGAATAGTCCTCGATGGAGGCACCGGGTTCATCAAAGCCGGATACGCTGGCCAGGTTGGTCGCCCAGTAGTGAAAAGGAAAGTGAACTGTAGGCTGATCATGCGAAGAACTTCCCAGACCATCAATACCCATCTATAGTCGGACGACCCATACTACGAACCGAAGAACAGTCCTCTGGCGACATCAAGCTCAAGGACATCATGTGCGGTGACGAGGCAGCGACAGCACGAAGTATGCTACAGATCACCTACCCCATGGAGAACGGCATAGTCAAGCGCTGGGACGACATGCAGCACATGTGGGACTACACTTTCTTCGAGAAGATGCGCATAGATCCGACCGGCCGCAAGATCCTGCTTACCGAGCCTCCGATGAATCCTCTCAAGAACCGAGAACAGATGTGCGAGGTCATGTTTGAGCGGTACAATTTCGGTGGGGTGTATGTGGCTATCCAGGCTGTGCTGGCACTGTATGCGCAAGGACTCTCGTCTGGTGTTGTGGTGGATTCCGGAGATGGTGTGACGCATATCGTGCCGGTGTATGAGAGCACGGTGCTCAATCACCTGACCCGGCGGTTGGATGTGGCTGGTCGAGATGTCACACGGAATTTGATCTCGCTCCTCCTTCGGCGCGGGTACGCTCTGAACAGGACAGCCGACTTCGAGACCGTTCGTGCGATCAAGGAGAAAATGTGCTATGTCTCATACGACCTAGCACTCGACCAGAAGCTGGCCGAGGAGACAACTGTGCTGGTTGAGAACTATACCCTACCTGACGGCAGAGTGATCCGAGTCGGCAGTGAACGTTTCGAGGCACCAGAATGCCTCTTCCAACCACATCTCGTGGACGTCGAACAGCCCGGTATCGCCGAATTCCTCTTCAACACCATCCAAGCAGCCGACGTGGACATCCGATCATCACTCTACCGCGCAATCGTACTATCTGGTGGTAGCTCAATGTATCCAGGTCTGCCATCACGAATGGAAAAGGAGATCAAGCAATTGTGGCTCACGAAGGTCCTTGGTGGCAACCCCGAGCGTTTAAACAAATTCAAGGTGCGGATAGAAGATCCGCCGCGAAGACGGCATATGGTTTTCTTGGGTGGCGCGGTGCTGGCGAATATTATGGCGGACAAGGAGAATATGTGGGTGAGCAAGCAGGAATGGGCGGAGCAGGGGTCGAGAGCGCTGGAAAAGTTTGGTGCGAGATGATGTTGATGATCGTGTATAGCGTGCAGTCTGATGAAGCCATGGCGTTGGGCGTCGCAGCGGCGGTTGAGCTGCGAATCAAAGCGCCACGATTCTCATACTATCGCAAACTTGCCATGGCAAGGAGACAGCGACCAGAAAGGTACACGACAATGTCAAAAGCATACCTCCAAGCGCACTTCGCATACCTTTTGCCGTAATATAGTACGCCGTCAGGGTATCTTGTACGCTGCGCCAATGGGACGGTTGCCCCTTTCCTCTGACACACGATTCTATACGATTCGTATCCTCTGCACGCCAATACCTAACTCGGAAGCTTCACCTTCCATGATCCCATGCACGTAACAATGACCAAGGACCCGATACTCCTCTCGTTCACCATCTTCGGCATCAACTCGACGAAGCACTACCGGTACAGGACAATCACCAAGCACATGTACCTCATCCCCAGCTGCAGCCATTTTTGGACAAACGCCCAGCCAACCTTTCCTGGTCCGGAAAAGTCTACGGTCCAGCACGGCGATGATATGAGAAGACGTTGCATCATTCAAGCAGATGAGAGCATCGTTGCCGTACTTCTTCAGCCGGTCTTCGGTCTCTTCCAAGAAGCTATATAGAGCTGTGACATCGTCCGCTTTGAGCTGTCGCGGTTTCTGATCTTGGTGGAAACGGTCGGCGAACATGGTACGCCAGAATGCTTGTTCCAACGTGCCTCCACTAATGTACTCATCCTCACCACGATTATCAAGGTCAGTCATGGTTTTCCAGCTCTGAAAAACCGCCAGCTGATCCGCACAGTCCTTCATCATTTCGTAAGCTTCGCCGATTTCACTGAAGTCGTCTACACGAATACCGCTCACGTTGAGAACGTTGTCACCGTCTATCGTAATATTGCCTTCTAATTCGTCTGCAGCGCTGTACGACCATGTCCAGGTGAAGCGGGAGATGGAGTAGAATACCGGATTCGTCGCTGTGAGAGTCCAGTCCGGGACCCACGATGGGAGACCCTTTAGCTCCTGCCGCAGATCGAGACAAAGCGGTACCAGCCAGTCTTGCGTCTTGATCACGTCGGTAGCTAAGCTGGTGAAGATGTCTTGCAAGCTGGCCGCATAATCTGGCATTACTGGCGTCGGTCGTCTTCCGCTTTGTAGCCCAAGCAGCCCATATATCTTATCCCTCGGATCCGTGGCCTTCTTCCAGTTGAACTGCAGCAGTGGTTCTATGAGGTGTTGGCCTTGATCAAGCTTGTTCTTCGCAGCTACAAAGTCGATGACATTGCTCGTCATACGGTATACATGCCTAGGGTCTTCTCCGGGCAAGCCGTATACGCACTCCGTACAGCATGAGCTCATGTGCTCTCTGAGATTACCGAATCCTTTTGTGACTGTACTCCATGGTAACTTGAGGGAGCCTAACATGAGGGTGGCTTTTCGAGGTAGGACTATCTCCTGCACAGTCCATGTTCGCTCGAACCAGGTAGACTCGAACCAAGATCGCAGTACTGCTAGTAGTTCTGCCCAGGCACACGTAGCGTCCGATGACTGATCGTGGGCAGCTGGACACCTCCGGGACATGCAATGCGAGCCGAAGGGAAGCTCGTGGAAGTGTGCGTTTTCGGCTAGCGATGTCATACATCTTTCCAAGATCATATGCATGTCCATCCCCCTGGAAACTCGACTAGCTGGCTCACCGAGCCAGACGATCACCTCCTCGGCACTTCTGAAGATGTCTCCCATCATTGCCACTTGCTCACGCTTCTCTCCATCATCGTCTTGGTCGATGCACAGTGCGTCGATCCAGATCCTGGCCACGTCATCTGTTCGACGGAGCATGTGTAGGGCGGCATGCAGATTCCTCGTCACGCCATGATCTTTGCCGTCGAGTAGGATTGGCACTCTATCATCTTGGCTGCCCCAGACGTAGGATAGACACTTGTAAGATGAGGTAGCCGCTAAGTCCGCCCGTTCCAATCTGCAAGCAATGACCTCGTTCTCGTTTCCAGGGGCTATAGAGCACAGCTTGATTGCCCTCTTGGCTGTCGCAGGAGTGCTTACCACCGTCGCCATGCTGCCATACCATGTCAAATGTTCGGGAATCTATGCGAGAGAAGATAGTCGAGGACGGGGAGTCTCGTCCATGGCCACCTGGAGGTCGACACATCGTCTCGACTTGCGCAACGTGCATCGTCGCACGAATGATCATGAGGAACGGATGCCTGCATGGCCTGCACGACATTCATAGCTCAAGGTCACACAGACTATGTTCAAAGCCGACGGACTTCAGGGGGCGTCATATCGGCCGCGGGCAAACTAGCAGCCCGGGGAAAAATCAATGTAGCCTGCGCATAATAAGGCAACGAGCTTGTCGCTCATCGTGGAAACATGCAGATTTTGCGGAGAGGCTTTAGCTGACAACTTGCACGCCGAGAGATGATCGAGATGCTAGGAACAGGAGCGCATCAGCAAAACAGCGGCTGCATTTGCCGGACTGAAACGCTAGGCCGGATCGAGAAGGCACGATTCTAATCGTGAGAGTAGAACGAGACCGTACCGAACTCCGTACGCTGACATGGTACTGGTCGTCCTGAGTTCCAAAAGACATATGGCACCAGACAGGGAATACCGACTCGTTCATAGTGACAGAAGCGATACATCATCCATCTTGTTTACGTGTCATCGGATCCGGAAGTCATGTCACTTCACCGTCACCCTCCGCTGTCACTCAGCATGTCATCCAGCATCCAACTGATGGTAGCGATCGATAGAGAGATCCGCAGCACACAAGCAGCACCACTGTGACTGAATAATGTACTTATCGTCGTCGTGTGTGCGACATTAAGGCAGGTCCAGTTGCAGAAATACCACACAGGTAAGCATTGTCTCATATGCCCGGAAGCGGCAATCAAGGTTCGTCAGGAGGGAGCAATCCAGATACTGGCGAGAGGCGAGATGATCCGCAGGGTACAGGTAACCAGAGCTACGACAAGAAGCCTCCTGACAAGGGAGGTCCGACCATGCCTGTTGAGAGTGAGTAGTCTCACTGGACATCGACTCTTCACAGTGACCCTACTAATTCCTCTTCTTCACAGTTCCAGGAAAGAACAAGCCAAGGGAAAAGCCCGTAAAGAGGCCAGACGATCCGAAACCGGATCCGCCCAAGCGATGATGATTGTTGGAATGGCGCGGAGAGGCTTTGACGGTTACCTGCCACGGGATGGATCTTGGAAGCATGAAGTGGCGTCCATAGCCTCTGAATCTGTGGGTGCCCATCACGATGCGCAACTGCTGAGCAGACCTCGACCATGGCTTGGTGTCGTTTCGTGGAACAATCTGCCACAGACTCAGTTCTTCTTCGCACCATTCTGTAGCGCACTTAGTATGCCCCGCAGCATTCAAGAGTGTACGATCCTTTCAACGACTGATAGGTTGTATCCTGCGATCCAAGGATCTAGCACATCTCTAGATGACTCTGATTCTACAGATCTGGATACAATCCCAGCTGTAGAACGGTACTAAAACGAGGCATGATGCCCTCTACCCAGCGCCCAGTCCGTCAGTCACCGCTTGGTCATCACACGCTCGAAAGGCTCGAAGGCGAAAGGCAAGAGCCAGCAAGGATCCAGCCGAGACTCACATCAAACACGTCGTACTAGCAATCCAGGTCCACAACGGCCGCCAGACCGTCATCCGTGGACATGGTCTGACTAAGGTGTGTCCGAGAAGCGGTCGATGCTGCAAATTCGAATCATGAACCTGCCAGCTAAGCGGAATACAGTACTTGCATATGATCCGCGAACGGACATTCTCAGACAACTCCTAGAGCTCGAAGATGATGAGCGGGAAGTCGTAGCACAGCAGAAAGTAGCCTGGTACATCCATTGGCCCAAATGGAATAGATTGCTTGGCCAGCTGCAGTTCGTTCGTCAGCAGAAACAACGTCTTCGAGAGCAGCTCGATCAGATTATCGAGTCTCGCAGTCGGTGGGCGTGGTAGTGGAGACGAAGTCGGGAGCGAGTCTAGCCAAAGGAGGAAGGCAGTTAAGGACAGTATCCTAGTGTAACAAGCATTACTGTACACGTGAACCGTAATAACGGCAGTACCTGGGTATCAAACAACTCACTATTTTGACCAGCATGCATCGGCATCCCAAGAGTGTAGCACAAGATCGAGTGGTAAAATCCAAGCCAACCACTCCAAAACATTACATAACCACACATATCTTGATCCCACAGCAAATGATCCCTTGATCCTGCTGTTGTTGCTGCTGCTGTTGCTGCCCTTGCTGCACACCCATCTGTTGCTGAGGCTTGCCATACTGCATACCCTGCCCCTGCTGCGCACCCGGATACCCACCCCCACCCGCAGCAGCCTGAGCATACCCATAATTCGGATTCCCGCCCATCGGATACGCCGTCTGATAATGCGGCTGACCGTAGTTCTGATGCTGCGGTTGATGCTGCTGCTGGTAATCGTAGGCCGGCATTTGCGGAGGTCCTTGTTGCTGTCCTCCCGCGCCGGGTCTGAGCTGGATGTACATTCGGCCTTCGTTGGCTTCGGTGTTGTACTGGAGACCTAGTTCCTGACATATTTGCTCGACTTTGGGCTTGATTTTCTGGACGTGGCCGGAGCTGTGGTTGCCTTTGCCGACGATGACGTGGAGGTGGCTTTGGCCGGATTGTTGGGCGTAGCGGATGCGTTGTTCCAGGATTTCCTCGGCTTCTTCCACGTATTGGCCGTGGAGGTCGATGGTGTCGCCTGCTACTTTCCCTTGGGCATTGTTCTCGCGGAAGATGAACTCGGATGCTTGCTTGTTGTACTCGTCTGCTTTGGCGGCATGTTGTTTCGATTGCTCGCTGGAGTTGTGCGCTCCACCGCCGTCACCACGTTCATATGCTTGGCGAGCTTCGGCGGCGAAGTGTTGGTGTTGGCCCTGCTCTTTACGGGCGAGGTCTCGTAGCCGGTCGTACTCTTGCTCTGCGCCGGATGAAGGACCGTGGTTGAAGGCTGGTTGGAGTTGTTAGCCAAGATCTCAGCCATTGGGTGTTGTTGATCTTACCTTGACCGCCCAAACGCTGATGCTGACCGTAAGACATGCTGCTGCCTATGTACAGAAAATGAATGTGGTTTTGCAATATCTAGATATGTTGTAGGAAAACCAAATACTGCCAGCTTGACGCGAGCTACGTGCTGGCATAGTCGCGAAGGCTATATTGGGTTCGCGCGACATGAAAAGTGGAGAAGCAATATGCAGGTTCAGCTTCCTTCATAACAGCAAGTATATATATATTGTTAGAACCTGCAACTTGACATTATTCTGACAACAAATACCCCCGTGACATCCCTAATCAATTACCTCGACGGATTGATTGGATTCTTCGAGCCCCAAGGGCTAAATCCATCTGGCCACATATCACACCTGAGATAGCAGATGCCAGTCAAACATTCCCAGTCCCTACACTTTCTCATGGCACACTAGAGCACGCTTTTATTCACTTGAGCTGGAAAGTGTGCTCCATGGGGAACGTGCTAGAAGTCATCACGAAGATATTGAGGATCCTGGAGCCGGGCTATGTAGATGTGGACTTGCTCCGGCGGAGGGTAGAAGGAAGCATGGGCGGTAACGCGAGTTCAGCATCTCACATATGCTTTTCTCGCCCTCGGTATGGAGGACGACTGTGATGCTTCACACTGCAATATGGAGAACCTCAGGCCAGACCATATAAAGAATAACAGTCAGTGAATGTTACGCAGGCATGTAAACACGTGGCAGACTCGTTAGTCGTAGTATGCTCATCTGTCCTGGAAAGTCATTTCGAGCAATGTCTCAGACCCATGCTCCCGGTGCCGCCAATGTTCCAGCTGTGCATCCTGAAACTGCAAGCGGCAAGGCCCAGATTCGCAGCTGTCGAAAGTTTAAAGCTGCAGATCGTCGACGGAAATGTATGAGGAGCAATGCAAGCGACTCCATGACACGCAGGCAACGTCGAACTTCTCCAATCGAAGCAGAGTAGAGTTGAGTGCTCGCGTGCCCCCCTGAGGAGTGGAGCGCGCTTGGTGGTGTTGATAGTCTGGTACAGGCACATAAGCGCCCGCTAGGACTGTCACCAACGGAGGTCACGAATCTTATGCTGTCGCTGGTAACGGCGACACATGGCACTGATATGTGGCGTGTCCGGCAGGGAACGAGTCTGTTAACACTCCAGCTGCCGATGTACTGTCAAGACCGCGACGTACGTTGATGAGGGTTTTGATGCTATTCATCGAATGCCAGGGTTCAGTAACGATAATAGCACGGTTCGTCAGCCACAAGTGTGAAAGTGTGACTTGGTTATGATTTGCTGTTCGCTAGTGGATAGCATGCATAAGCGTTGCGCAGCATCCTTGTCTCGCTCAACCAATCAACTGCGATTCTCAGCCTCTGGCCTCCGACTTTTGTCTCCCGTCTCCTCGACAGCCTCCCTCCATACGACCTTCTTCATCACTAGTCCACCACCTCCCTACCGCACACTCTCTCTGTTTGCGTGCTGCATCTTGCGTCGCTAGTTCCTATCACTCCATCACTTCCACCCGCCAGTCCTTCCTTCGCTCTTCTCGCAGTCCAGTCGCGGATCGAATCTTTAGCGCTTGCGTCTGTCCGGCCTTCCTATATTGCGACCGTTCGACTTTCACTGGCTGGCACGCTTGATCTACACACACAGACACACCACATACACAATCTGTCCACGAGATACACTTGAGCCAGTCTCGAGTACGTCCAACATCTTTGTCGTCGACGGCACTGAGTGAGCGCGGATATCGAGACCGAATACCACGACATCCAGCAAGCTTGCTCGCTCATCATACACGCTTCTTGCACGGACAAAGAGCATTTATCAGGCATACGCTATCCAGGTGTTCATCGAAACAAAGCAGCCACATTTGCCACGACGTCGACCACGCGATCTTGAAAGCACAATATTTCTTTGTAATTCCAATAATCTGGCCTGTACCTTACTACCACTACTACTGCACAGCTTGCTTTGATACAGCAGCTTAATATCGGTGCCTGGACCCGCGACTCCAAAGGACACATCACATTACTGGTCTGTTGGACACGCGCAAATTACAGCAGCGCTACATCATCAGCTTTGCTTCAGTACTGCCACCATAACCTTTTTTACTTGCTTCTACGCACAACGACATCTTGAGCTATTACAATGCAATCCAACTTTTACGACATGAACAACATGGGAAGAGACGCTGGCGGTCTCTCCCAAATGACATACAGCAACAACAACATCAACAATAACGGTTTCACTTCTGGCGGTCTCGGTGCTCCTGGCTCTGGCTTTGGCAATAACCGCTCTCGTCTTGGCAGCAAGAGGTTGAGCGTTGCCTTGCCGCCCAGGGTCAATCCGATTCATGAGAATCAGGTCGACAATCCCACGCCTCGCACTAGTCGCTCGCACCTGCTTGCAGGTCTTCGCACCCAGCCCAAGGCTCCGGCCACTCCGGCATCCGCTCCTTACCAGCAGACTGAGCACGCGCAGGGTCTAGGTGGCCCTCGCTGGGCTCAACAAGGCTATGACCACGGCTACAACCAGGGCGTTCCACAGACTGCCACCGGTGCCAGCTTCGGTCTTGCCAATCAGTACGCCATGAGTGCTGGCCAGCAGATGTATGCTCTGCCAGAGCAAGTCCTCGCTCCTCCGAGCATGTACGATCAGATGGATGATGTCGATCCGGCCACGCTGCAGCAGATGCAGATGACCAGTCTGTACTTGGCGCAGCGTAAGGAGCAGCTCCAGCAGCAGCTTGCTAGTCTCACTGCTGCTACTCAAGGCCTGCAGCTCAACACAAACATGCAGTACAACGGCTATTCCCAGTCACCAATGACTCCTCACACACCTCAGAGCTATCTTGGCCAGCAGCAGATCATGGCTCCGGTCGAGGTCCAGCCAGGCGTCTTCTTGGTCTACAATCCCGCCATCCAGGGCTACAGCTACGTTATGGATAATAGCATGCAGCAGCAATACCAGACGTCTATGTCCCCTGCTCAGCAGCAACAGGCGTCTGCCTTCTCGCCGCCGACCCCGAGCGTACAGATCTCACCGCCTGCGACCGAAAGGTCCACGCCGTCAAACGTGCGCTCCTTCTCTCCACCCAAGAAGGCTCCCACGCCACCCTCCACGCTCGAACACGTTGAGCCATTGCCTCCACCATCTGCCAACGCTTTCCGTCGCGGTCACAAGAAGGCATCTTCGCTTGCTATCGACCCGTCGGCCAACGCTGCTCAAGGTCCCAAGACTGCTTCGGCAGCCACCTTTGGCACGCAGCGCGCGGCCTTCCCACCCACTCCGGCCACTGGTACTTTCGGGCCAGGCGCCGCTCGTGCTGGTGAGCATCCCGCTCGTCAGCCTCGTGGCCCACCGCCGCTCGAGGAGCTCACAGCCGCCCCAACCAGCAAGCACGAAGGCAGCAAGAACTTCGCCACGCGTCAGCGTCGCCGTGCTCTGGATAACCTCATGAAAGCAGGTATCGGCCGCCGTGCCGTCTCCCGCTCTTCCGGTGGCAGTCCCGTCAGCGAACGCGACTTCAACTTCTCTGCCTCTGAAGACTTCGATCTCGCCTCTCTCGGTAGTGCCGGCAGCCGCAAGATGAGTCCCATCGGCTCCGAGATGAAGGAGAAGCGCAGCTCGCAGGGCTCCAACGATGGATACTTCGGTCTCAGCTCTGCTAGTAGCAGCGAGGGCGAGGATATCGCGTATAAGCAGCCGCCTACCCCTGCTACGCCGAATGGTGGTGTGCAAGGTGGTGGGGAGAGGAAGAGGTTGACGCTTGGGGTGCAGCTTGCTGCTGCTGCGGAGAAGAGAAAGAGCTTTGTCTTCTAGATGTGTTGTTACGCTTGGATTTCAAGGGGAAGTGGATGGTTGGGTACGAAGGCTGGGTTTATGCTCTACGCAAACGTGATAGACCTGATGGGCATGTGAGGATGGGAAGAGACGAATCTCACCGTGCAGCACTTTTCTACCAGCGCATGCGAAAGCGCCGTGCGCTTTGAGCAGGCATAGCTGGATGAGCTGACGTGGATTTTGTGCATATTATCTTTTCTTTTTACGTTTGGGTGAGCGATGCGGATTGTGCATTGCCTTCGTCTTTTCTTCAGATAAACGGCCGATTTTATGAAACACTGTCCCTCTTTTGCAAGAATAATCTTCACCTCGTCTGTGATCTTCACTTGTCTCTACTGAATTGTGCACCACATGGATGTAGTTTGATGAGCCTCCTGTCGGAGAACACATGCTGAACACTTCAAATCAAGCTTGCCTCCGTCTATTGATGTCACGACTACAGCATGCTTTTAAGTGGAGGCTATGCTTTCTAGCAGTATTGGGACCATGTTGTGAAGTAATAACAATGTAATGACTCTGGCCATCATCCATGGTGGTCGTATTCGTGCATTGATGGTCACTCACCACGGAGCTTATGACGTGCGGGAACAGCCGCCGCACTTCCAATATTGCTGCAACTGGAGAACTTTTTGATCTTGTAACTAGCAACAGCGCAACCGCCAACATGTAAGTCAATACACAGTGCGATTGGTACAGTAACTTGTGCTAACAGTCTTTAGGCCTTTCGTAAGTACGCCCACTGCCTCTGCCGGCTCGCGATCATCGCTTGAGCCTTGAGAGTCCTGCAAGATGCTTCGGATGGCTCTGAAGCGACAATTGCTGACTCGAGGATGTCCTACAGACCAAACAGATCAAGTCGAGCCCATACTTCGTGAGTATCCAGACCCACCTTTTAAGTGACTGTCTCATGCTGACCATCACTTCAAGAGCCGCTACCAGGTGAAGTACAAGCGCAGACGTGCGGGTAAGACCGATTACTACGCCCGCAAGCGCCTCACTACCCAGGCCAAGAACAAGTACAATGCGCCCAAGTACCGTCTTGTAGTCCGCTTCACCAAGCGTGACATCATCTGCCAGATCGTCAAGTCCGAGATCGTCGGCGACAAGGTCTTCTGCGCTGCGTACGCCCACGAGCTCAAGCGTTATGGTGTCTCTCACGGCTTGACAAACTGGGCTGCTGCCTGTAAGAACACATCCCTCATTTGACTGAGTGAAGCATGATCTGACTCCACATTCAGACTGCACCGGTCTACTCCTCGCCCGCCGTGCCCTCAACAAGCTCGAGCTTGACGATACCTTCGAGGGTGTGGCCGAGCCTGATGGCGAGTATAAGCTCACCGAGGAGGCCGAGAAGGATGGCGAGACTCGTCGCCCATTCAAGTGCTACCTCGACGTTGGCCTTGCGCGCACCAGCACCGGCTCTCGTGTCTTCGGCGCCATGAAGGGTGCCTCAGATGGTGGACTCTACGTCCCTCACGGTGAGAAGCGCTTCCCCGGCTACGACATCGAGAGCAAGGAGCTCGACGCCGAGACCCTCCGAAAGTACATCTTCGGCGGCCACGTCGCTGAGTACATGGAGACCCTTGCCGACGACGATGAGGAGCGCTACAAGGGCCAGTTCTCTGGGTACATCGATGACGAGATCGAGGCTGATGGGCTTGAGGAGCTCTACGCCGAGGCTCACAGCCAGATCCGTGAGGACCCATGGAAGAAGGATGATGAGGAGGGTGAGAAGAAGACTCGCGAGGAGTGGAAGGAGGAGGGCAAGAAGCACAAGCAGGCTAAGATGACCAAGGAGCAGAAGCAAGAGCGCGTGCAGGAGAAGATCCGTGCGTTGGCCAGCGAGTAGGCTGTCTCTTCGCATCTGTCGTCTGGCGTGGCGCTGTAGTACTGGCGAAGGTCATGATGTTCGTTCGGGGGCATGGCGTTCATGGAGCTCAGTAAGGTAGTCTGAAAAGCTATGCAACATGTGTTTTCTTCCCCGTCTATCTACAAGCCTATCATGTCTTGATGACCTCTCGATGCGAAAAATATGAAGGTGAGTGTGGAGACTCACGCACACTGACATGCTGCCATATTATGTTTGAACAGCCTCACGCTCCTTCCCTACGCTCCTTCCTCACACTCCTACCTCACGTTCCTTCCTCACTGGGTAGTCTGGAAACCTTGAAACCTTATTCAGACGTGATCTCCATCTTGCTGTCGTACTACTGATCTTCTCTGGCAGACTTCTCATGGGTTCCACAATACTTTGCGGATGCGGATGTGGTGATGACACGACACTTGAGTTCACAGAAGCAGGGCTGCGGAAGTCCATCCTACGTTATCAGCACGAATGGCGTCCCTACCGGTGCAGTACCCAGGATCATCTGGCACTACGGCCTCTGGTCGACATTCTCGAAGCACACTCGATCTCAGGGCACCATGGTCTCTGATCGAAATCCTCGAGGAGCACTCGAATCCTGGAGGAATGCCATCCGTTCATGGGAACATGAACAGGCTTCCTAAGACGATCGAACTTGAGCGCGGTGATGGTATTTCCAGCAATTGCCAGATCAGCCCGCGGATACTATATTGGCGGATGCTCAGTACTTGTCTCATATAGCCATGGGGGTATTGGCTGTATATGTGCATTTGCATCTGTCGTACATCGTTACAACTGAGTATAGCTGGCTGCTCTTCACCTAACGACAAGACCAGCATTAAGCTGGGTCCTGGCGCGACACTCGACGCGTTGCCGAATGTCGCAACCCTTGTGCCGTGGACCATACAAGGCCGGCAGCAATACGGGACGCGTGCTTGACCAGCTTGCGGTTGGTTGCGATATCGCTACTTGCTCCTGTCATCGCGGATTGCGCAGGATGATCCGTCCCCCAATGCTTTGAAGGAATCGCAGGATCTAGCATGACAGCTCTAGAGTTATCGGAATCCTGGTCATGGACATTTCCCGGCTATGTTGCGGTGTGCAAAGGCCTCTGGAGTCCATCAGGTGCCCTTGTCCTCCACCCGGCCACCTTGGGGATGACTCTATCGGCACTTGACAGCACCCTTGAAAGCACTGTCGATCCTCATCGTCCGTATAACGAGCGGCATGACAATCCTGAGATGACGACCATCCAGTCAATTAATGGTAGGCTTTGCCGCCGACGCAACTGGCAAAAGTGCGATCTCCGTGATGTTCGGTGCTCGGCTGTTTCATCCAGCTAGCTCACGTGCCCTCTATATAGATTTCTCACTATTGGCACCCCTGGGAAGGCAGGCGCCGTATAGTCAAAGCCGCTTTGCCTATATGCTGGCCAATGCGCGCAGACACTCGGAGCTTTTCGCTGCTTGGAGTAAGTGGAGAGCGCGGGACTGGCCGCTGGTGCAGGTCGATGCGGGCTCGGGTTCTCGACAGACTGCAGGGCAAAAGGTAGTCTGGAGAAATGAAGGTATCATTACATCCCAATTGAAGATCTCGACAGATGCTGGAATTGTAGCTCCTTTAGCTGAGCCGGAGTGGTCTGCCGAATAGCCATAGCAAGCGAAATGGTCAATGATCCAGTGCTGGCTCTCGGAACCCAGAAGCACGCAAGCAATCCAAGAGAAGCCAGGGGGCTTGAACGCATGGATCAAGTTCATTTCCTAAGCGCATCGTCTCGGGACCATCCACATTATGGTTCTTGACAATCGCCCTTGTCGCTGAAGCGCTGGCCACTCTGCCATCTACCACACAACCACTCCTGGTCAAGCGGCCGTGCCGTGCGAACACTGTGGTGAGCCAGCAACTCTATCTGCCGCCATTCATCGATCTCGCCAAAGTGTGTTGTTTTTGGCCCTGGGCGTTCTTCACCACCATCACTCGTTACGTTGCATACCTCTCAGTGATCGCGTTCTCCTTCTCCTGGGATAGCACATTCACATTGAACACTAAAGCATCTTTACGGTCGTTACGATTGAGACAATACTCCGCAGTCAGTGAGACATATCGCGCCTGACGACAACTTTGATAACTGCTATCTGAGACCACTACACCCACACGTTGCGAATGACGACGTACTGAGCGATGCTACTCTGGATAGGATAATACTACTGGTTCGAATCAACACCGGCTTCTCTACATAATGTCTTTAGCGGCGACACTATCCTCAGGCGGTATGCGGCCAGCCAGCTTCTTGCCTGCGATCAAATGCTCCAACTGCGGCGATGAGATTGAGATTGCAGCCATGGGCGACCACATATGCGGTCCTACACCTGCATCACAACCAGAGCAGCAGCCAGCGACGCAAAGCAACCCTTTCACGTTGAGGCAAATGAACGCACATGGACATATGCCTCACGCGCCCTCCCCTCTGCAGCAGCAGTCACAGCCTCCCAAGGCAACGCCAGCTCCTCAGACACGGGTACGAGCACCGACAGTAACATCCAAGGTTCCACCTGTGCCGAAGTTGCCGCGAACAGCACCTCCACGCATAAATCCCGATGCCGCGAATCGACCATTCCTTGCACCAATGCCTCCAGGCTCAGACTCGCCAATCTCGCCTGCTCTTAGCGCGCGATCAGGCAGTAGCGACGGCAGCAGACCACCTCCACCTACCCGAAGTGCTACGAGTCCAATGCCTCGCATGTTCGACCCTCGACCACCAAGTCCAGAGATGACTGGCAGCTTCGATTGTGCTTTCCCACCATTTCCAGCACCGAGCAGTGTGGGTAGTGATAGCAGGCCAGGTACCGCAGGTGGCGGGAAGACGCCAACGCCGAGTGAAAGGGCGGTCTCTCGAGGGAGCTCAAGACAAGGCAGCAACGCTGGAGGCGCGGAAAGACCACCATGGATGGCTGGACCCCGAAGTCCGGCGGGTAGTGATAATGGCATGGGCCGGGCGAACACCCTAAAGAGTGGACCAACCAGTTCAGGCAGGCAACCAAGTGACCAAGGCAGTGTACCACCACCGATGGACAGGCGGCGCCCAAGTCTGTCTAGCATCAAGTTTGGGAACGAGCCTCCCCCAATACCAAATGAGCCCATTCCGAGACCTTCGACATCGCACGCCATGCGGTCTCAAACACCCAGACAACTCACAGCCGGTGGGAGCAATCTCATGGCGAATTCAGAGATGAGCGCTACAATCAGGAGTGGCCAGCCATCAAGACCTGAGCGACCAGATGAAGATCTCATGTCTCCGAAATTCTTGGACGAGCTGAGTGACGAGCCAGTCGTAGAGATGCCATCCATCTTTTCGCCATCACAGCCACCCGTACCTGTACGAAGTGCAGAGCGAAGTCGGACATTCCCAGTGGATCGCGAAGACGAGCACGATCTAGCACAGTTTCATGACCTGCACAAAGCACCAAGCGAGCCAGAGTTACGAAGCAGAGAGCGAAGACCGACTTTGACCGCCGGGTCTGTGTCTGACCTGTCGCACCTACCACAGACCGCATATCACCAACGGACGTCCAGCAGAGGCAACATGAGAATCGACCCTAGGCTGCAGGATGCTCCGCCTGTACCCAGACCCGTTCTGCAACATCGCAAAGAGAGGACACATTCGCCTTCCGGGTCTGGTTCGTCCACCGCATCTTCGACTCCTTCATTGGGCGACAGCACAAGCAGTAGTGGTCCAAGCCCGGTCGATAGTGCGGCGAGTAGTCTAGAAGTATCGTCACTCCTCAACCACGGCACGAAACGGTATGGCGAGGAAGAAGGGATGCGAGTTGCAGGGCTAAACTTCAAGGTCAGGCAAGATCCGGGAATGCGCGCTGAGCAGCCTGCTTATCGATCGTCGCCACCAAAGAACTTTGCCCGACCTTCCGCGCCGAGGACTGTAGACGCGCCCTTGAAGTCGCCTACCTTGCCAAGTGCGGAACCGACGCCTCTCGAGTCCCCTATGGATCCGGCGCTCGCGCAGCGTGACCCAGGACGAAATGCCTTTGAGCCATGGCAGGCTCCTGCAGCTCCCCAAGATCGATTAGCACTTCCCACCAGGTCAAATACTGGACCCGCTCCTAGTATCGCAGCCGGTGAGGTGGCCCAAGCACAACAGATGCCGCCATCATCCACCTCTTCCTCGAACAGCGACTACGATCCTTTCAGGGCCCCTTCACCACAGCCACACACTCGCGCACGATCAAAATCGAATGCTGCACCACCGCGATCTCCAACCTTCAACATGAACAATGCACCCGCGATGCCTCTGCCGACCCTGCCTTCATCTCAGTACAAATCTTCCAACCCAGGAACTACGGCTCGCACGCGCTCACCACAACCGGCAGCTGTACCGGCGCCCCCGCCAATTCCGCAAGATCCTGTTCGTCCACAGCCACTGACTCGGAGGTCCACAAATGCCGTGAGAGCGGTGTGTCGAGGCTGCAACAAGACGATCGAGGGCAAGTCAGTCAAAGCTGCCGATGGACGTCTGACAGGCCGCTGGCATAAATCGTGTTTCGTCTGCCGGTGTTGCGAGCAGCCTTTCCTCACTGCAGACTTCTACGTCATCGACAACCAGCCTTACTGCGAGCAGCATTACCATGAGAAGAATGGCTCGTTGTGTCATGGCTGCCACCGTGGCATCGAAGGACAATATCTCGAGACGTCATCGTCAGCGGGCACCAACGCTGGCAATGGCAGTGGCAAGGTGGACAAGAAGTTTCATCCTCGCTGCTTCACCTGCTGCGATTGCAGGCAGGTACTGTCAGAGGACTATTTCGAGATCTCAGGAAGAGTCTTCTGTGAACGTCATGCACTAGCTGCCATGAGAGGGCAGGCGAGGATGATGGCTGGGCCTGGGTTGGGCGTGGGAGGTGGCATGCCGAGCAGCAATCTCAACCCGCAGGATAAGAAGGCGTTAACTGCCGAGAGGAGGACGACTAAGCTTATGATGATGTAGCTTGGAGTCTGCGGGAGTATGTTGGCATGAACAGGACACATTCGCTATGAGCATGGCTCTTTCCTTGCTTTCTGTTTGTTGACTTCAGCGTGGCGTTGCATGGCATGGAGGGTGAACTATGGGCTGCACTTTTGGATTCTGATTGCATGGGTTGGCAAGGTTAGCTTTAAGGCGGCCGAAAGGATCGAGGTGTGCATATACCCTTTTGCTTTCATTGTATAGCTATACTAGAGATACCCAGCGGGACTGCGATTGAGATTGGATGGCTAGATAGCCCACTGGTTGGCTACAATTTAGTTCTAATGTGTATATGCGAAAGCATCTTGGAGCTGACGTTTCACACGCGTTCAGAGTCCCGCTACAGGGTCGCCTCGTGCAGATGTTCTACGGGAAGTCAAGGTGAGGTTTTTTACCAAGGCCTGGTGCCTAAGTGAGATGGCTCGCCGGGCCAATGTACGGTTGGTAAAGAAGGCCAACCAGCCTTTGATGAAATTTGGGTCTCTAAGACGTCTGTAAGCCCACTTTACGTTTCACATCTATAGCATACAACGACATAAATGTGTCGAACGCAGGATAACCAGACTCACCAGATTCAACAGCCAAGCACAAGAGTGATAGCAGTCAGTCAACGTGGAGTCCACCTTCAAGATGGAAACGGCATCGTCCTGGTCATGCCCGCGGTCAAGAGTCTACCCGCTAGGGCAGCACTTGACGCTCTCCCTCGTCCAGAAGACCCTCGAGCATTCTCGACATCGCGAGTGTCCACGTCTAAGGTCTGCAATAATGTGGTAGTTTCCTGCTTGCACGACCAACCCACCCATCTCCAGAGTAATATCACGATAGCGGTGAGACCTAAAGTCGCGACGAAGTAGATCCAGAGCCAGCCCGAGGCGAATTTACCGTCTCGTGGAGAAAAGTCGCAGAAGCTTGTGCTGAAGAATGTCTGATTGTCGTCAGCTAGAAGCCATCTAACGTCGTAGTGCGTATCATACCGCAACGGAAGTACCAGGCAAGAACACGAATGTAGCAGCAGCGATTACTCGCATGTCAGTACTGTCTCTGCGAGCGAGAGCGGCGACTTTGGTAGCCTCCTTAGCCATATGGAGGGACGCCTGCGCTATCTCGCGATTCACGATGTTGTCTTGGCTGGCAATTCAGGCGTAGAGCTAGGAGACGGAACGACGTTAGTATCATTGTTCGGTCAATAGAATCGAGACGAAGAACGGCTCACTGTCGAATTCAGGCCTTGTATCTCAGCAATAGTACGACGGGCACGCGAGCGTAAGCAAAGAAGCAGAGCATCCAGTGTATCGAGCCTGGTCAGAACTTCGTCGTCACCAAGTCGCGAGCTTCCGGCTTGTGTATGCGCGCTGGCATTGAGCCACAGACAATGAAATTGACGTAACGAAGCAGCATGATGCTCAAACAATGGTATTTCCACTTCGTGAAAGTTGGCGAATGCCTGGGAGGCCGTGGTAAGGTTCTCGACTGCTTCGAGGAGATCACGCTCCTGCTGTTGCTGATGATCTGCGGCTTCACCGTCGAAATAAGGACTGAAATTCACATTCTCCTGAATCCAGATCCAGCGTCGAGCGTATCGGGTGCACAACACTGGTATTCGCTCGGTCGTCTAGCTTGACAGTGGACGCCAAGTCTTGAGTCCACTACCTGCAAGTATGAATTTGCGAACAACGATACCAGCGTGATCGAAAAGTCCTCACAGCAATGTGACAGATGCTAGAACGCCAGAATCCTGCGAAAAGTCCATATTAGAAGCAAAGAAGCAGCAGAAGTCCAGATGGAAAGCGAAGAAGCAGAAGTGCTCCAGCCTGACGCCACCGGGCGGCCTCACGAAATAAGTGAGGCTGAGTTGCATGGCAGGTCCTCCTCCATCAGTGCGGCCCCAGGTGCAAGAAGCCAGTACATCCGGCCGTGGTGGTTCAAGGAGAGGTCAAAAGATGATGTAAGAACGCATCGCGATTCGAATAGATGATGTCGAAGTCCTATATTGCTAGCTCCAGTCAATCGCATTTGGCGTCTCCACTGCACAAAGTCTACAAACCAACAACGAAAGCACACAACGCAGAAACGGGCTAGGCAAAGGAATCATCCGTTCAGTCAAGTTCATGCAAAGTACGTACAATCTCATCTTCCCCTCGGTACAACGAGAGGCCTTCTCATCTCCTCCGCCCATTCAACACCTTTCCAAGCGCCCTCAAAGCATCAAGAGCATCAGCACCCTTACTCTCCTGCCTCCTCGCCTTCTCCCTCTCATCGAGCATATCTGCCGCCTCAGCCAAAGTCCTCTCCGCCAGCTTCTCAGCAGTATTCCTCGTAGTCGAGAGAGCGTGGACGCCGTGCGCGAATTGATCGACGGAGAATTCTAGGTTCTCAGCTACATGCTGTAGTCGTTGTTGTATTGCTGTCGAGTCTGTTGCGATTTCGGTGGTTGGCGCTTGCAGTTGCTCGAAAATAGCTCGTTCGGGGCTGTCGAGGAGGTCGAGATTTACTGGCGAGAGAACATGTTGTTCGTCCTCTGCTCCAGATTCTGCTGGTGGCGGTGTAGAGAGGGCAGATTTCATGAGAGTATCCCAGTCTGCTCGTTCTTTCTTCAGTCTGGAGGCACAAAGTCAGCATGTCGTCTAGAAGTCCGGGATCATGCTTTAACATACCTCTCGAGCTCCTTTTCAAGCTCTTCAGCCTTGGCAGCATTGGCAATATTCCGTGGATTCGGTTTCTTCCGCAACGGTATCTTCGGCACCACTGTCTCATCACGAGAGAACCAATCACTAAGTGTGCCTTTCGTGACCAGATCCTGCGAAAGCTCTTCTTGTATGACGCGAGCTGGGATCATGTCAGCAAGAGCGCTCTCACCATCTACAATCAAGGTTGCATACCTGCTTGCAAAGCTTGAAACTCCATACTCGAAGCAGGACTGCTGTCCTTCGGCGCGTCTGGCTTGGGTGGCAAAGCTCGAGTACCGCACCAGCCAAGCAGACATCGCATTCGTCGTGGTTCCGTAAGGTCCGCAGAGATATGCTTGAAGAACTCTGCTTCTGGCACTTCTGCATGAGGTAGAGCTATAGAAAGCCATACATTAGCTGAATGCTGATATGGAAGGATGCATGCATACATACCATTACCACGCCCCTCATCAATCAGACTGCTCGCTCGCTTGCCTCTCATGCCTGAACTGCTTCGCCGGTTGCCATCTGCGCTACTCTTCCGCATCTCCTTGTTGCGTCGAATGACAGGCGTGTCCTGGAATGGAAGGACGATCCGCATGATTTTCTCCTCTTCTTCCAAGCCATTCGCGCCTCGCTTGCGCTTCTTTTCCACGGTCACCGGTCGTGCTTTATCCGGACTCGGCGACCGTTCTGTGTTGCCGTGCGACTTGGCGTGAGAGGGCTTCAATGGTGATGGCGCCGCAGTCGGATCGGAAGACGAGCCTTCATTCGACAATCGCTTGCTTCTTCGTTTTGGCTTCTCCGCCGCTTCTCGCTCAGGTGTTGTAGGAAACCGTCTCCGAACTTTCTTCACGACAGGTTTCGACGCTGTATCTTCGCTCGGTGCCGAAACTGGCGCCTGTGGCTGAGCAGCTGCCGGCGCTACTGGAGCAGGAGGTGGCGGCATAGCCTCTCTATCCTTCGCAGGCGACTGCTTCTCCGCCACCCCATTGCGCCCAGCCGGCTGCTTCACGTCCTTCGCCTTCCTCCCACCCTTCTTGAACGCGAACCCATCCACCTCCTCCTCATAGACTTTACGCGGTCTCCGACGCGCCAAAGCATTCGCGTCACCATCCTGCTCCTTCGTGCCTACCGTCGTAGCTTGCGCGCCTCCGCCATTGGCCCGACTTCTCTTCATAGGTGGTTCATTGTCGTCCACGCCCTCGTGCGACAATCGCGCGCTCCTTCGCTTCGATGTACCCGCTCCGTTCATGCTGATGACTTCCAAGGGCGAGCGCGTGAGTACCATGGACATGTCGTGGAGATTGTTCAAGATCGTGGAAGGCGCGTGTTGTTCGCGTTCGGGACTTGTTCAGTGGTGACAGCGCATTTGCTTCACTTGATTTGCATGTCAAGTTGGCGACGGGGTCGAATGGGGCGTGATAGCGGTCGACAGCAAGATCGTCGCGTGGATGTAGTAATGTCTTGATATCGTCTTATAAGTGGTGGTGCGTGCCCCCAATGTATGGTCAGGATGGGAAGTAAACAAGACAGCTCCGCGCTAGCCGAGTTGAGTCAAGCCGCTAAACATGCACGTGACATGATGGAGCCCGAGCCATAGCCACATTTCCTTACTGTCACATCAAACCACATTATACATAAAAGGCGAGAGAGAGTAAAGGAGAGAGCGAGAGCAGATCACAAAAGAACAGTAGAATCGTACATCGCACCACGGGTATGTAACAAGAACCACTCCCCAACTCTCAAAAACGCGCTCACAACAAGGGCAGGGCAGACATCCCCTCGATCCTCAAGCTCAGATAGATTAGCAAGCACAAGAAAACCCCATATCCTTCACTCACCATGCCATCTCCATCCATCGCCTTTCCGAAAACACGATCGGAGACCCTCGAGTTTTCACGTGTCCGTGTGTCCGCGGCAGCCCCGCCCATCTTAGCAGCGCAAAAGGGTTTCTGGCTGTTCGAAAAGAAGAAGAAAAGGCCGTGTATTCCGATGCTGATATGTATGTGCTTTGCTTTGCCTTGCTGTCGAAAAGGAAGCTCGTGTGAACCGGTCCAGCCAAAGCACACCTCACTCCATCCCTCCACCCATCCGTAGTAAGAGAGAGAAGAAACGCCCCCGCTTGCTCAACGCCCATGGTTGTTTTGACCCGATTGCTGAATCTGTTTGGCGTTCCTGTGCCATTTCTTCACATAGTCCCTTTGCTCCACCTATCTTCACATATCCTCCCCTCCCCACACCTGTGTATCTCGCTGCAACGTCTCCGCTCAAACGTACATCGTCCTATGCAAAAAACCTATGTTCAGCGTACATCCTTACGCAGAAGAGAAAGTTCGTAATATGAGGCCGATCATATCAGTCCGCACATGCGCAAATTCTCCTGAATGATAATGTCGTTGACGGCCGCCATGACGAAGCGGATCTGCATGGTATCCGTCGCGCAAGTGAAATGGGTGTAGATCTGCTTGGTCGGGTGTTGGTTAAGCCTGCGAGAAAAGAGAAACGTCAGTAACCGTCGTGCATAAAAGCCAATGCATAACGCATGCGCCATGGCTGGCTACGGTGGAACTCACGAAACGAATCGATTGAGGATGTAATCGCATGCCGCGCCGTAATCCTGCCCACCCTCGTAATCCGGGAAGTAGTTCTTCATGGGCGACACGGGCAACTTCTCCTTGAACCGATCGATCTTGTTCAGAAAGAGGATAATGCTGGTCTTGGTGAACCACCTGCTATTGCATATCGAGTCGAATAGTGTGAGCGCCTCTTGCATACGGTTCACCGTCTCGTCTTCGAACAGCAGCTGGTCGTACTCGGATATGGCAACGAGGAAGAGAATGGTAGTCACGTTCTCGAAGCAATGTATCCACTTTTTCCGCTCAGATCGCTGTCCGCCCACATCGAACATTCGATAGGTGAGGTCGCCGATGATGAAGGTGGTTTCCGTGATACCGGTCGTCTTGACACGCGATCGTAGCACGTCCTGGTCGGAGGGGATGTATGTTGGTGATGATATCCTGTCCACCGAGTCGAAGTAGTATTTCGCGCTGTCGTTGAGCTGATATTCTCGGCTTCGTTGGAAAGCCAATTGCACACCTGCATCGGCCCAGAGAGTCTTGACCGCATTACCAACTTCTGGTGGAAGCACGTCGCCTTCGATTTGCGCGGGCTGCATGAAGACGGTCTGAACGTGGTACTCGGCGCGTTGGTCGTCAAGTGGTAGTTCGAGGCTCTCCATCGCTTCGAGGATGACGCGCATCGATTGGACAGTGTTCGAGAAGATGATCTGCTTCATGTCAGCCATTGTGCAAGGTTATTGAGTACTATACCACATACTTCTCGGAAGCTTTCCCGCTCGTCTCTGGAATAGCCACCCTCGTGGATGAGCTTCATCTGTTTCAGGATCGTGGACTTTCCAGATTCACCAGCACCAAGCAGCAGCATCTTGATTTCATTCCGCAAGTTGATCTTGTCCCGCTTGAGCTGGTTCTCAATCTCCTCATTTCTCTGCTTCCCCTCCTTCGACTCTGAACTTTGGCCGCAACCCATGACGGCGGTATGTCTTCGCTATGCGCAAGCTTGCCAATGGTGATGCTTGGCTTAGAATTATGTCCAGCGGCGCGCTGCGAAAAGGAGTGGCTCAAGCTTGCGGGACTATCTGGTGGGTTGTGTTAGCCTCAGTAGATCCTGAACATGCGATTGTGCGTAGTGTGGGATCAAGTAGCAGTGGCGGCAATGCAGAGAGGTCGATCTTGTTTGTGCTCCGGTCGTGGTTTCGAGATTGGTGATGCTGGCATCGCACATGGTCTCACCATCATGCATCATTCACTCATGACCCAACATGTTTGCTGATCATGTGATGTGTCTGCGATATTGCTTACCTCGATACACACCACTTGTTTCCTCTTCTCCTTCTTCGGCCGCCGTCCACCTTTCCGACGCAATGGAACCTCGGCCGTGACGATACAGTCCGCGCACCGTCGAAGTGATCAAGGCTGCTGACGTGAGGTCGCCGGTGATGTCGCGATTATCAGATCTGATGCGGCGGGAGAAGTGAGCAGAGCAGTGAGGTTGTTCGGTTCAGGCGTGAAGTACGGCAAAGGAGGGTGATTGGAAAGCAGGTCCGGCCGCGCTGGACTGGACTTAGACTTCCGGGAAGCGCGGTGGAGTTCGAAAAGCTGATGATCTGCCTCCCAGATCCCTGCTCCGAGCCAATCACCGTGCCCTAGTCCGCAAGTCGTTGCCAACCCGATTTTCGAAGCTCTGTTTGGGAGGGATGGCGGACGAACTGCCGTAGAAGTGATGTGCAGTAGTTGGTGGGTTTGCAGAATGTCGAAAGTGACTTTGCTGCACACTGAACGCGGTGGCGGGGATAATGGACTGTGGAGGAAGGGAGACGAGACAAGATCGACACGACAGCAGGCCAGTTACGGGATAGCTGGCGCTGGGAGCAACTACTACTACTGCAGTGCGACGATGCAGCCGTGCTCGATGTGGTCGTGAATCGTCGTCTTCGTCCAAAGCAGGGACCGGATGCTCTAGTGTGCTTCCTACGATTCAGGTGTGCTGCAAGTCTGTTTGGGAAGTGTGCAAGGCTAGCCGGAGCGGGCAGGTCGTTAGAAGACTAGTAGGTACTGCAGAGGGAAGACGCTGGGACGAGGTTGGCAGCCCCTGATTGATGAATTGTGTGATCGATCGAGTGGAGCTATAAGCTTTTGGTTCTAACCGAACTTCCGTGTCTCACCTTCATCGTCAAACCGATGATCTGTTCGCACTTGATTGAAGCCTAAAACAGTATGCTAATATGCTCATCAGCTTCGTATTGTTTGGAGTAACAGACTGCTATCCCCTTCCCGCGTAGTCTTGCCACTACTACAACGATACGCAACGCACCGACGCGAGACACTCTCTCTTCGTGTGAAAGATCGTTGACGCAAACAGACAGCCACTTCCAATGCCTCGGTACGCACAACCGAGACCTGTACAACCTCCAGCTCGGCTGCTGAGGCTGGAAATGTTTCATCTTCCAGCGCGCAAGAAAACCCAGCACTTTCGACTCCGGCACCGCCAAAGGACGATCTTCTGCAAATGTTCTCTAGATTATATTGTGCTTACGTCAACCGGATGTCTCCCGCGATGATATGCAACCTGTCAAGTCCGGTCGCAGCTAGACGTGCGACCAGACGCACCACTACACCTTCTAGAATTCCCATCGTCTGAAGTCTGCCGAGTCAGTCCTGGTGAGGCAGACCGCTCCCTTGCCCTTGCACCGTCCACTAATAGCAACACACCTGCTCGTAAAAAGAGATTGTCCAACTTCACAATAGCGAATGCAAGGTATAAGGCTATGTGGAGACGCTGGAAGCTGTCATCAACAATCGACGCCTCAGGCCTCTCCGACGTTTCCACGGCCATCTTTGCTGCACGATGCACGCCACCCCAGACCTTCCACGGCCTGTTGCATGAGCGGGCAGACGCCTCGAGGGACCACAATACACGGGAACGATATCCACACTGTCACCCTTCACAGGACACAAATTCAGCAAGCACATCACTTTAGCCACAAGCGTTACGAACGGATCCAGACCACTCGCATCATGACCGTCACAGACATAACCTATCGAATCTATGCATAATAATTGTTGTAGCAGATCATCAACACGACAGGCGTTCGCAGCCCTCTCAAGACCGGTAAGGATAGTATTTCCAAACCTCGTACTTGTACATGCTGTGCTGGCGTCGTCGTACGGACCAGGTCTTCAAACCAATTTCACCTACGCCTTCTGTCGGCACGTATCCGATGCAAGGGCTGCTGGGACTGTGTAGCCTCCGGGCTGGGCTGCGAGATCTGCGTGCATTGCCATCTTTTGGTGTCTTGAGGTGGAGGGAAATAGCGCAGAACTGCTTATGATTTTGATATGTCCTTTGCGAGCTCTATGTGCATCTTTAGTTTGTAGATCCCGACTCTCTTGATCGACGAGGAGAACACATCGCCATCGCGAACATTGCGGCTTTGGGAGTAGCTATAAAAGGCTCTACATACGGAGCTGAGGTCGATCAGGTCCAAGAGTTTGCGGGACAATATCGCCAAGCAGCCCTTAAGTGCCAGCCAGTATGTCTACTGAGCCTTTTGCTATCTGCACGATAGAGATGCCCAAATGCTCACAGGATGCTGCACGTACTATTCTTGATGATATAAGTGTCAGAGGACACTGCTGAAATCGTCGTCCAGGCCTAAGGCTCCTCGGAGATCTCCCGTCGTGGTGCCAAAGCACTTCATCCCACGGAAAAGTTGCAACACTTCTCCAAGCGTAGCAAGTGCTTTGGAAGAACAGAGAACTTACTGTTGCCAAGGCTTAGTGCACCCGCGTTCGGTATTGTCGGTACACGTCAACACGTCTCGTTCGCTCATTCCTCGTCGAACATCTCTGCCAAGCTCAATGCAGCAAAGCAATTCTCCCGCCCGTTCATTCCTGCTTCCTCGACCTCAAGCATGTCATGAAACGCCGGGAGAGCACCATTCCTTACCCACACTGATACCTTCGATCCTCAGATCACGTAGTTTTGGCATAAATTTGCAAGCCTCCGCCACTTGCTCCCACTTCAGGAACTTTCGTTTGTTCATCGTCGATAGCATGTGCCCAACAGGAAAAAGTCGTCGTCCGGCGTGAGGCTTGCATCCGCCAAGATTGATACCGATCAGCTCGATCTTCTGCAACGTCTGCTGATGTCTGTGCAGGAACTCGACTAGGTCCTCGGGCATCAACCACATTTCCCGTATGATGACTCTGCGTAGACGCGTGTAGATCTTGGCAGCAAAGGTTTGCTGCAGAGTTGGCGCGATGCGCGATGTCATATTTCCGAAACGGTACTGTCCGCATAGCCGAAGATTGAGGACCTCCAGGGACTCAAAGATATTGAGGAAGGGAGCCAGTGCAGCGCAGTTCGAGTCCAGGCTGTGAGTTTGTGGCACGCTGCTATTCGGATGGTCAATGGAAGACATGTCGATTTCCAGCTCCTTCACTCTACTTAGTACCTCCGAGCTCGAGGTGATGACGTCTGAGTCGCGTACAAGCTGCGCGAAGTCGAGAGAAAGTCCCGGAACGGTGTAATGTCGCGCGACTGTTGGCGGGAGATCAGTTTTGGATGTCGAGGTCATCCTGAAGCTTCGTATATGACGGCCACTCGATGCTAGAGCGAGTAGAAGGTGTGTGAAGCGACGCGATTGTTCTTGTGAGCATTCAATCGAGTCATGGAATGCAAGGACTGGTAGAGGTGGCAACCTTTGCAAATTCTTAGTTGTGACGAGGACGTTATTGCCAGTATCATGCGCAGCCGCAAGCGGTGTGAACACGACATCTCGCAGGCCTGTGAGCTTGGTGAAGGCCTGTTCGAGACGATCGAGAAGAATGTCAATGTAACTCATTAACTCCTGCTCCCCATACTGCAAGGTTGCATGCTGAAGAAGTAAGATTTGCACGATGTCGCCAACAGACAGCGCTGACTCATTCGCGTGACAACGGAGAACGTAGTCTCTGACTCCTCTTTTAATTTGTTTGATAGTGTACCCCTTGGCTGGGTCGCCGCTGTTCTGGCCGGATGTGCCGTAGTGTATGGTCTCATACACAAGAATCCGGACTCCCTTGGCAAATTTTGCAGTGGCCGCCACATACTCAAGTCGTGCAAGCGATGCGTTGCGCAGCGCGAGCTTGAGTGTGCGGAAGAGGAACGGCGAGATAGCGTCTTCGAAGGCAGAATTGACGAGGCGAGCTGATGTGATACACTGAACGTCGTCCTCGAGGTACTCGTAGATGTTGTGTAGGAGATTGAGGTCGGCCAAGACAGCCTAAACTGCAGTTGAGGCCGTGAGGGTAGACATTGCGATGGCTGGCCTCCTGGTATGTGGCCCTGCAGAGTCCAAATCTCCCCGCGGCGGCGTCAAAAATCTTGTAGCGGTTTGTTGTGCAAGCTGTGAGCCGCAAATTTATATGCACGTCTCTCGCGTACTACGTCACGTTCACCAGCATGTGAAAGCGACCAAATACCGCCACCAGAGACAAAGGTTTGGCGAGCCATCATTCACCTGCGAGATACTCATGTCACATCAACCTCATCCTCCACTTCTTCTTCCTCCTTCACCCACCTCACGCTTCCCAGCGGAGGGAATCTAGCCCCTATTAGGATCACGAAACCTACCACCGCCACAGCCGCATTGACTGTAAAGGTCAAATTTGGCCTCCCAATCGTAGCAAAAGCCGAGAGCACCAACCCAAACAAACTCGTACTGCTCAACCTAGCCAGAAGCTCGACCAAAGAAATCGCACTCAGCGCATCTGTCCTCTGCTCTGCCGTACACATTTGCAAGATCGTGCCTTTGGAGGCGGAGCCTGTGCCGGCTGCTAGAGGGATGATGACGGCGACAACGTACATTTGCCAGCCGGTAGTTGTGAAGGTTGCCAGGCCAGTGAGGATCCCGTCCAGGATTAGGGAGTACTTGCAATAGAGGAGGTCGAAGTTGTAGGTCATAGGGGCTTCTGATCCATGAGCCTCGTCTGATTTTGCTGGCTGGGAGGGCTCAACACCAGCTTCCATTGGTCGATCGGATGCGGCTATCTGTTGTGGTTCTGTCAGGAAGTCATCGATTTCTGCTTCCTTCAAGGTTTTGGCATCTCTCTTCGCCTTATCTCGCTTATCAAGCCATCTTCGTCCGGTCGATATGATATGTGGGAAAGCCAGCGTCAGGAAGAGGCCCCGTATGGTGGAATTGATGAAGATCAACCAACCATTTTTCGTTGTACCGAAGTCAAAGACATCCGTAGAGTACATCTGCAGTAGGGTGGGAATATAGCTCGTCGCTAGCACTCCCAGGAAAGTACCCATGCCCAGAAGTAATATTCCATACTCGCGCTTGATCGTGCCATTAGCCAAGATCCATTTCTGTGGAGCAAACATCTTGATCGGGTCGAAGAAGCTTAATAACGACTTTGCAGCCTTCGTCTCAACTGTTTTGTTGTGAATGGTAGGTAAGCATAACTGGACGTAGAGGCAGCTGATAACGAACATCATTCCTGCAATGCGGAATGGCCATATTTGTCCAAAAGCATCGCCAATCAGTCCACCAGCTAAGAAGCCCAAGGCGGAACCGAACATAGCGCAGCCTTGCAATCGTCCGAGAGTCGCCGTGCGTTCTGCTGGCTCGACGACCTCCGTGGCCAGGCTGTTCAAGGCCAGCAGATAGCCTACAGGCCCGCCAAAGACAGTGATGATCTGCGAAAGTTGTATGATCATGATGCCTGTCGCAGCACCAGCCTCTACACCAATACTCTGCACGCAGAGCCGAGCTGCTGGTAACGCCACGGTGATCAGGAGAGCTCTCTTGACCCCAAAAGCTTTCATAGTCCAGCCTGTGAAGAAGAGATTGATGACGCCGAAAAAGGTTGTGCTGCTTCCCAGCAAGGCCACGCTCCGAGCAGTCGACGCCTGGATTGCGTGGACCTGACATCGGCTAGCGTACCCCAAGCCTGGCGGCGGAATGGGATGGTGCTTGTAGTATTCGTCGCAGGTCATCACGCCAAAGACGTAAATTAACGGAACCTGGGTGATGCCGAAGGATAGAGAGACCAGGAATCCGGTAAAGAGAACTCTGTAGACGGCTGATTTGGTCCATAGTACCGAGACTGTACTTCGCTTCCGCTCGAGGAGTGCTGTATTCTCGTCCGGCTCTTCTGTTATCGTCGATATAGAGCTCTTCCGAGAGCCACGGGTAGAGTCTGACATGCCTGGAGTTATGACACAGAGCGGAACATTTGGATTGTGAAAGTGAAATCGTGAATCAGAATGAAGGCGTGATTGCTGACGCATGTAGCAGCATCTCTGTGGCGGACTTCAACGTGTGTACAGGCATAGATACCTCGCCAGCCAGGCAGGTGTCCATTGGCTGCAATCGTCCTGCAGCACGATGCTGCAGATTGGTGAGGTTGGCTCTCATCAACCTTCCTCTATCGTGATAGCCGTTTCGGCAGTCGGCATCTGCTTACCGCTGTCGGAGGTGGCTCGTTACGAGGCACATCAGACATATTCTGTGGTTCACCAATGCTCTGCAATAGTTTGGCGCCCTTAATGTCCTTCGTAGTGATGCAGCAACGATGGTCTGAAGAACGCAGAATGGCTATATCCATCAAAGCGAGTCTACATAACATCGTAAGGAAGAGGCCTGGCATATCAAAAGCAACCTTGCACACCCGCAGTATCCGATAAAGCTCCAGTGTTACATATGCCTAGATACCAAGGCCAAAGGTAGGACGCCTTTTCTTCCTTTTACACTCATCCACAACCTCAGCGTTACCAACAGCAATCACCGTGGCAGCCATGGAACCGCCAGCCTACACAGTGGCTCCCACCTCGGGCTGCACCACAATTCCCACACCAACTGCCAGCAAAAGATCAATCCTCGACATGCGCGCCCTTATCCTCGGGAACGCTCAAGTAATCAAGCCTCGCCACCGCGACGACGAGATCCAGCTCATCGTAGCCAAGACTGTAGCACCACAAGAAAGTGCCGAAGAAATTGCTCTCAGCCAGCACTACGCTTTCCTAGTAATGCGCAAGCACAAGGAGCAGGAGATCCAGATTGTGCTGAAGGGTGAAGCGAAAGACAGTGTTGAGGAGGCATTGGAGTGGATGGTGGAGAGGACGGAGACGGTGGTTGCGGATGCGTTACTCAGGCATGGGACGCATTTGAATCCGCAGTGTTGTATGGACTGTAGTAAGACGATCAGGCCTGGAGGCAGGAGTTTTAGTCTAGGGACTATTGTGCCTGGGCGATCTGCTGGGTGAAGCCGAATGCACACTTACTCGACTAAGTGAGGAGCATGATGCTTGAAGTCAGCAAAGAATAGGACCATGTCCCAGCACTCTGGAGCCAAGGAGCCGCCTCCTGCCAAACTTTTGCTGTAGGACCAAATACGACCCACAACCTGCAAACGAGAACATACAGAAGCTTCGATAGCGACGGCCTTCGACAAATTAGGGGTTGTACCTTTGTCTATTGGCCCCATACGTCGTCCAGGGCGCTCACCAGCGCGTTGGCAAGAGGTCAAGGTGCTGGCCGCTACTCACAAGCTGCCTACGACAAGACTCCGTACTGGAAGCTCTCAGCAGTATAGTGCAAGATGGAAGAGGTGACAGACACGTACAGCATGGTCGTGATCTTTGCAAGCAAGCTGTATTCACATAATTTACACCAAGTAGAAATACAAGTCGTTGATCGGCTTGCTACATAGCTCAGAGAACAGTACATCCTCTTCCTCCATACTCTAAATGATTGTCAGCTGCCGTACTCCTGTGATGTTCCCACGTTGTTGTCGTGGAGTGCCCTATATAGCAATTCGCCGCAGCAGTCTTGGCAAGCTGCACCACTGACTCACACCTCAACTTGACCAAGCGAAAAGTATATCTACTTCTTCTGCCATCCAGACAACGAGATTATCTGACGGGTTGTGATTAGATATCTATGATGTTGAATCCACCTAGTGATATGCGACCAAATAATAGGAGACCACCATGACTATCCCTCTCATTCGCGTCCGCATGAAAACACCGAAAGTTCGTACGGGATGTAGGACTTGTAAAGCCAGGCGTGTGAGATGTGATGAGCGAAGTGCATCGCTCCTTGCCGTCTCCACAAGACCATCACGATGAGCTAACACTATATCAGAGCCCATTTGCTCACGCTGCACAAAAGCAGGACGGGAATGCGCTGGCTACGAAGCCAATATCTCCCTCCTTAAGGACCGACCATGTGGTAGACTACTCCCAGCCAACTCCTTTGCATCACCAGAGAGTCTGGGTAGCCCGAAGACATGTTTGACGGCACTGCCCGTTCATCTGGAGGCCACGCAACGACAAGCTCTACAGTACTTCGTGACGCGGGCAGCGCGCCAGCTCTTTGGCCACTACTCGGCGGACCTGTACGAGAAATTACTTTTCCAGGTCCTCAACCAGCAGGAGGTTGTTCTGCATGCCTGCCTAGCTGTCAGCTTCATGCACCGTGCCCACACCCTCCGACGACCGAAAGCGGGCGGTGCAAGCCCCTGCGAGCTCGTGGGCGTCGTTCCTCATGAGCGGCAAGCTCTACAACACTATGTCCATGCTGTCTCCAGTCTACGTATCTTAATCAATCACTCTAACTACCGACTCGACACCTCAACAGTGCACATCGTGCTCCTAGTCTGCCTTCTCTGCGTCCACTTCTCCCTACTCCGCGGCAGCGAAACCGAAGCCTTCACACACCTAGAAAAAGGCCTTGCTGTCATCTTCGGCTTATCTCGACCCTATGCACCGACTTCTGGGAAGAGATTCAGACCCCTGACCCTCTCCACCACGCCGACGAAAACACTGGAATTGTTACTTCAGGAGTTTGTGCGGCTGGATGGTGAGTTCGCTGCTTATGCTACACGGGAGCCGTATTTATGTCCAGAGCTCGACCCTGATTATTTCGGAGATATGGGACCTGCTCGTATGCGCTTTAGAACTCTTGCCGAAGCTAGTATCGTCCTCGATACTATCTCCAATAGCGTAGCGCGACATCATGGAGCGCTACTGCGGTACACGACCTCCCATGTCGACGGTCTAGGTACTGGCTTTGAAGATGAAGCACATCGTGATGCATACATCCGCGCTTCGAGCCGCAGCGTCAAGCATGCCATGCTTACCCACGCACAAGAGCGCACAAGCAAAGCTCTGTCAGCCTGGTCTAGTGCTCTCGAGGCATTGACCTACGACGGGACTGGAAGGTTGGAATATATGAAGTTGAGGTTACAATTCTTCAATACCTGGTTCTTGAACAGCACGTACAATGACTCAAGCGAAGAAGTCACCGACATCTTCGAGACGACCTTCGATGAGGTCGTCCATCTTGCCGAACGATACTTGTTGGCTCATGGCAAGATTGGCGACGAAGCGGTATTGTTCGACCCTTCACCAGCAGCCATACCAGCCCTCTTCATCGTGGGGATGAAATGTCGCAGCTCCTCTGTTCGTCGAAAAGCAATAACACTACTGCGCAACACAACCCTACAAGAAGGCCTCTGGCATGGCCCTCCTCTAGCCGCGTTTGCGGAACAGGTTGCGGAGATCGAGGAGCTGCGGGCGAGAAGGCTGAATCCGCTTCTTTCTGGTCTTGGCACAGGGACTAATGAGCTGAGATGTTGCGATGTGCCGAAAGGGGCACGGTACTCGGATGTGGTGTATGTGCTGGATGATGGAGTGGCTGATCAGCAAGGAGGGCGTCTGGTTTGTGCGCGTATTGATCGTGATCGCGATTACGAGGATGGCGGTGACGGTGGTAATGGTGAGGGGGTCATCGTTGAGCAGTACCATCCCAACATGTCCCAGAAGGGTATAAGGACGCGAGGAGGTAGGATATCATGCCAGTAGAATATGGCCAGTAGAATGGAGTGCGTGAATCCCGATCTCACCCATTCAGCAAAGTACTTCGCTGTGTTGAGGACAGAGGCTCTATCTTTCAGTTTACGATATACTCGGTTGATAGCAGAGGTCATAGGCATGATCGGATGGGCAATGTACAAGTGACTTCCTCGCTATTCGCTCTATAGTGACATTTCGCTCTGCCTCTCCATCAACCGACCAGCCTCCAACATTACTCCGAGTCGGCATACTCGGCACGTCCTGGTTTGGAGTTGAGGTACTCGTTCCTGTAGCAAGACTGGTATTAGCATGTAATCCCATACTCTCCTCTCATCAATCCAAACCAGCCCATCTCCTCGACCACTCTCTCCCTCTACCACAAACGACAAACAATCCTCCTCGTAACACCAAACCTTTATGTGATTCTCCCTCTCGTTTCACCCCCGCACTCTTCCACTCATAGTACAAACTCACCTCTCAATAGCCCACTGCATCAACTCATACCCAACCAACAACGGCACGGCCCAGTAAATAATCTGATTGCGCGTCCGTCGGAATGAATTGAAGATGGCGGCATTGGTGCTGCCGGCGAAGGGGTTCAGGCGATTTTGGCTGATGCCGTAGTGGACTATGCCTCGTTGGGGTGGGGAGCCTGTCAAATCACCCCAAGTCAGGACTCTTGAATGGGGTAGTTGATGGGGTGGGAATTGATGATCGTACCTAGTTCGCCCCAGCCGCCCATGTACTCTGATTTTGGTGTGTTAGTATCACTCTCCGCGTACGGTCGTTGGCGGTAGGTATGCGTGGGCTTCACTCACGGCCTGTGTGTCACGAGTTAGCTATGCCATGCCACGAATGCGCTGGACTTCCGGCCGATACTAACCTGGCTTCTTGGGTCCGGAGACCAGGAGTCGTGCTGTGGGATGCATCGTGGAGTCGGGATGTGTGGTCGTCGCGATACGATATCGCTGCTCACAATTGCCTTCGTTGAAGTTGTAACGGACAGGATCGGGAGTGAATTCCGCTAGGCTGTTTTGGGATGTTGAAGCTCGAGCATCATCAGTAGTTAAGTAGAAGTAGTAGTGTAGACAGGCAAACGTCCATACACAACAGTTCCACATCAACGACAAGAGAGAACGGGTGTAGCAATAGCCTCCCGATATCATAATCATGGCAGCCAACGCCCTCAACCGCATCTACACCTGGGCCGTCCCCACCGCCATCGCCGCCTCCCTCGCCTCCGCCTCCATCTACGACGTCAAGGGCGGCCAGCGCGGCATCATCTTCGATCGTCTACGGGGTGTGAATGACGATGTGGTGAACGAAGGCACGCATTTCCTGGTCCCCTGGCTGCAGCGAGCGATCATGTATGATGTGCGGACCAAGCCGAGGAGCATCTCGACCACGACGGGAAGTAAGGACTTGCAGATGGTGAATCTGACGTTGAGGGTGTTGCATCGGCCGGAGGTGTCGATGTTGCCTACGATTTATAAGGTATGATATACACACATACAGCACAGTTTGAAGAGGTGGGCAGGTGCAAAGGATGCACTACCTCCATCGCACCTGCCTCCCAGACAAATGAACACCATGCTGATAATAATAATGATGATAATAATAATAATAATGATATGACAGAACCTCGGCCAAGACTACGACGAGCGCGTCCTCCCCTCCATCGGCAACGAAGTCCTCAAATCTGTCATCGCCCAATTCGACGCCGCGGAACTCATCACGCAGCGCGAAGCCGTCAGCAACAAAATCCGCTCCGACCTCTTCAAGCGCGCCAACGACTTCAACATCGCGCTCGAAGACGTGAGCATAACCCACATGACCTTCGGGCGCGAATTCACCAAAGCGGTCGAGGACAAGCAGATTGCGCAACAAGAAGCTGAACGGGCGAGATTCATCGTGGAGAAGGCTGAGCAGGAGCGGCAGGCGAATGTTATTCGAGCTGAAGGGGAGAGCGAGGCCGCGGATGTGATTTCCAAGGCTGTGGCGAAGAGCGGGAATGGGTTGATTCAGATCAGAAGGATTGAGACGCAAAGGGATGTCGCGCAGATGTTGGCGAATAATCCTAATGTTACTTACCTGCCTGGTGGAGGAAATAGTGGGGAGGAGGGCGGTGGGAAGGGTGGGAATTTCTTGCTTGGGTTGAGGTCGTAGGGATGGGGTGCGGTTGAGAGGGTTGGTTGACTGTATTTTATACGTCGTGAGGTGTGAGGATAGGCTTGGGAGTATAGCGTGGCGCTTTCTTCATCATGAATCTACACTTCTCTCTGACAGCATGTGCTCAAGAAAGTACGGTACTGTCCACAGCGACCATGTTGCCAGACCATCATACAGCCAACGGCACTAATAACATCTGGCTTGCTTGGGAACCAAAACTCATAAAACTCGCTCACCCTCCAAGTGGCGCGAAAACATACAAGCAACGACAAGCCTCGCACTCCGTCCACAAAGCACGCAGAGCTTGTTGCGCCTGCTGAGCTCCACATGCGCGATAGTTCATTTGGCTTGCTAAGCGACCTGCATGCATATGGCTTGGCGCTAGTGGCTTCTCGCGTCCTTTCGCGAGGTACCTGCGGGCAACAGAGCTTTACCTGTTACCTGTACCGCTTTCACTGATAAGGCTCCGATTGGCATGAAACTTGCTTCAAGATACTGCATGGGGCTGTATATCGCCTCTAGGCCAGTAACAAGGGTAGGTAGCCAGCTCCTTTCCTTTCCTCCCCTCTGCTCTTCTGCTTTTACTCCTGGTTGGAGCTGGCATAGCTCTACACGCCGTGGCGACTCCATCTCCCTTCCCTCAAACTGGAAGAAGATTGATTTCCACCGACCATGGATCCCGAAAAACAGGCCCCCGCTACCATAGCAGCTGAGACGACACCACCACCCATCCACGCCGCGCAAAACACCCCCCTCGACACCACCGCCATGGCTTCCTTAGGCAAACTCCAACAATTGCCCCGCAACTTCTCCTTCTGGACGATTCTGGGTTTGACGGCGAGTATGATGTGTACGTGGGAAGCCGTCTTCTTCGCCAACTCAACTGCGATGTTAAATGGTGGGCCCGTGACGCTGATCTATGGGTTTCTTCTGGCGTGGGTCGGGGCCCTGGCGACGGCGGCGAGTTTGGGGGAGATGGGGAGTATTTGGCCTAGTGAGTAGCGATCTAACCCTGTCCGGGCCTTCGTTATCGACGTTTGATCGTACAGTGGTGTCTGATTCCGCGTGTAGCTAGTGGAGGACAGGTATGCCTCCCACAGAAAAACCATGCAGTACTGTGGCCAGCTTTCTGCAGCACTGACGAGCTTGTACGTGAATAGTACCACTGGACCGCCCAACTCGCCCCTCCCGGACAAAAAGCCTTCCTCTCCTGGTTCTGCGGCTGGATCGCCACCTTGGGCTGGATAGCCAATACAGCCGCTGGCGCCTTCTTCGCCGCCACCATGATCCAGGGGATCCTCGTGCAGAATAATCCGGATTATGGCTATCAGCGCTGGCACGGGACGTTGCTGATCTGGGCGGTGATGCTGATTGTTTTCCTCGTTAACAGTGTGGGGACGAAACTGCTTTCGATCGCGGAGGGCTTCATCCTGGTGCTGCATCTGAGTGCATTTTTGGCTGTGTTGGTGCCTTTGCTGTACTTCAGTCCGAAGGGGAGCGCGAGGGATGTTTTCGCTACTTTTACCAATAATGGTGGCTGGAGTAGTGATGGTCTATCCTGGTTCATCGGATTCTCGCTCAGCGCTAATCTGCCTCTGATCGGGTACGATGGGCCTGCGCATCTGGCCGAGGAGATCCGGAATGCGAGTACAGTCGTCCCGTGGTGCATGATCTGCACAGTCCTGCTTAACGGTGTCCTGGGCTTCGCCATCGTGGTCGCTTTTTCCTTCTGCATCGTCCCTACTATCGAGGATGCTTTGACGAGTCCGACGGGCTATGATTTCATCGAGGTGTTTTATAACGCTATGGGAACTGCTGGGACTGCGGGCATGACGGCGGTCTTAATTATCCTGATGTGGTGTGCCACTTTTGGGTTCTTGGCCACGGCTAGTCGACAGACGTGGGCGTTTGCGAGAGATCAGGGGTTGCCGTTTAGCACTTACTTCGCTCAGGTCAATGAGAGGCTGGCTCTGCCGCTGAGGGCGATTGTGTTGTGTAGTATTATTCCTTGTTTGATCGGCTTGATCAATATTGGATCGACGGCAGCGTTCAAGTGAGTTGAACTGAAAGCTATGGTCGGTCTGTACTGACTCGACACCAGCGCCATCGTCTCCCTCACCGAAGCAGGCTTATATATCTCCTACCTCATCCCGATCATCCTGATCATGATCAAGAAGATCAAAGGCGAACACATCTCATATGGTCCATGGTCCATGGGCAGATACGGAGTTCTAGTAAATGGGTTCAGCGCAGTCTTCTTGACCATCTCGGTCTTCTTTTCGTTCTTCCCTCCCGCTATTCCGGTAAGTCTCTGCTGCTGTAGCCCGGCTTCGTACGGTGCTAACAGTTTGGCTTTAGGTAACACCAGTCACAATGAACTGGTCCATCGCTGTCTTTGGCGGGTTCGTAATTCTTGGTTTGATCTGGTATGCTGTTCTGGGACGGAGACAGTATCATGGTCCGATTGTTGAGCGCCCGTCGCTTGTGACAGATGAGCGGAAGTGAGCTATTAGTCGTTAAATACCAACAAAGGCATTTGCACAAAAGAGTAGTGTCTTGGTTGCAAATGTGTGCTTAGACCCGTAAGTGCAACTGTCCGCCTTGTGACATGGTCCTCCCACGACAACGAAGAAGCTGGGCGATACTCGATCAGCCGTACACGCTGGCATATTATGCTGGCCATCAACGATCGTTTCTGTCGCTTCAGTGGGCCATTGAGCTGCGGTGTTTAGTGCGTATCACGATCATTTCGAGACGTGTCAACCAAAGACGAAGCATGATTTGGAGCAACCATCTGCAGGTGTTAGACCGGCATGCCGGCTCAGGACAGATGTACATAAAGCCATCAGAACACGGCAACCTTCAAAGCCATAGACTGATAACGCTTCGCGGTCATTCCTCTGGCAGCTTTGCCGAAGATAAATAAACACAAGCGCTGCCATTGTAACAACAAAGCTGAGTGCCCCCACACAAATGAAGGCATTTTGTTGACCCATCTAGCGATCCGTCAGCATGAGAGGCATTTGACGAAGCGGGAACGGAGGCTAAGTGACTTACACCTGTAATCCACGGCTGAATACCCCACGTGATACCGAAGCCGACTATGTTCCTGATCAGAATTATAGAGGTGATAGCTTGGGTACCGATCTCCTTGTAGCAGTCGAGAATATACGACATCGTCACAGCGCCACCAACGCTGAGGCCGAAGGCAACAAAGCCAGTTCCCACGATTGGCGCAATCCAGTGCATCTCATGTGCTAAGGTTACGCCGTACAAGATAAGTCCACAAGGCATGATGAAAGCAGTAGGTATGAAGGCCCACAGCCGGAACTCGGGTTCTCGGGATCCCTTGTTCTGTTTGCTCAAGTAGAGTGTGAAACGGTCGTTGAGAGGACCAGAAAAGGCGGCGCCGATGAGAGAACCTAGAAGCGGAGCCAGCCAGATGAGACCCAGTGCGCTATTAATAGAAGTTGTAGGGTGGGACAGCGAAGACCTCTGCGACGGTAGTAGCCAGGACGGATAACCAAGATACGCATGTGTCATAGTTCAGGCCACACCAGAAGACGGCTGGAAACCATGAGATCGAGAGTGGAGCGACAAACTCCCGACAAACTTGACCCCATGAGTCAGGGTAGCTCTTCCACAAACCGAATTGAGGACTCCAATTAGTGGTCTCGAAGACTTCTCCGACATGTGCGGTATGGTTATTGGTATTGTGTCGGCGCAACTCTTCGTCGACCTTGTAGTCGTGCTTAGAGTCGTCCACACTCGAAGTATGGTGGTCGTCGAGGTCCAGAGTCGACTTAGCAGGTAATGGGACAACAAGTCCTTCATCAGGGTCGACCGATCTGAGGAACCGAGATTCCTCGAAGGTAAGGTAGAACAGAATCAGAAGCGCGCCAGTCAAGAGGACGCCCCACCAGTATACCCAACGCCAAGTCTGTGTCTCGACCATATATCCAGCACAGATCGGACCAATAAAACTGCCAAAGGCCAGTCCGAAGACGTATATGCTGAGCTTCGAGCCTCGCTCGTGGGCAAATCAGACGTCAGAGACTGATATAGCTACCAAAGCCTTGAAGGGAGCGGCATCCATACCGAGCAGAAAGTGTGCGCCTTGATAGTACCTGATATCCTTCGACAAGGCCATGATGATCTGGGAAACAACGACCATGAGCATCGTCCAGATGTAGACCGATCGTCGACCGAATTCTGGCAGGATCAGCAGATACTCATAGGGCCAGGCGTAGCCAGCTTACTATTGGAAAGAAGTACGAAGAAGACATTACCCACGCCTAGTAGCAGTATCATAACTGCTGCTCCGATGTTCAGCTGATCGATTGTAGTGTTGTAGGCTTCCATCAAATTCAGATAAATGACGCTTTCCCAGTTGGTGACAGCGCCGACGATAGAGCTATACCAGAAGAGGAGGAAGAGGTGATAAGTCTTTCGCCAGAATGACCATCGTAACGGATCGCTGGGGTCTGACGATGGTGTTGGGTGTAGGATGATATCCTGAGAGCTGAGTCCAACCTGATGTGCACCTTGAACAAGATACACTGTGCCGGGAACGATATTGTAGTCTGGAATGTCTGGAGACAGAGCCTCAACAGTATGACCGGTAGCCATGATTGTTCAGTGGACGACCAGACCGATGGACTTCGCGAGCAGAAATAAGTCTAGTCGTGGTCTCGGATAGGATGGTCAGGAGCAAGACGAAGCATGATCACGGCGGCACAATTGAAGGTATTAGTATCTGCCTCATGATAGCAGCATCTCGACCAGGTGGTAAGGGCCCCTCGTTCGACCCGTATGCCCTCGATATGCTTTTCCCCATTTCTGAGATACTAGCGATGGACGTGGTGCAGCTGTGTGCAATGCGAGACTTCCCTGGTGGCTCTGTAGGAGAAGCGAGGCAAGCAGTTCCGGATTGAGACGATTTCCTGTAACCGCGAAATAGCGCCAAGCTAAGGCCCTGACAATCACTTTCCCCAGAACGTCAACCTTCGTTCTTATTACACATTTGCAGTATAGGGCGCGGTTGGCTGTAGACGGCAATTGCTCCCATGCAGGTCTACGGTGGTCTCGGCTTCCAAGATGGGTTGCAGGTCAGGACGCCCGCAATAAATCGGTAAATGAGAAGTATAACTGCCAGTCGCTGACCAGCAGACGGTTCATCATAAATCGCACGCAGTGTGAGATGCTTGATGAAGGCCTCAATACTACTTTTCTCACTTCAGAAAACTCTCCATCATGACTGTGAAGGTTGACTACTTGGCCGTTGGCCGTCGGAAGCGAGAGCAACGAAGTGCTCTGATCCCAGCAAAGTGGCGGCTTAGCGAAGAGGCAGGCAGGACTCTGCCAGTGACAAGCACACCCGAGACATGTGGAAGATTGTCTCGTCGCGAAGTCGAGATCACCTCACGATACGATGCAGTCGAGCTGCAGTCGAAGATCCGGACAAGGGAGCTCTCTGCTGAGGAGACGACTCTCGCTTTCTGCAAACGAGCAGCCATAGCTCAGCAGGTGGTATGGAGATGTCGCAGCGCCTTGGAAGATATTTGGACTAATCGTTGTAGACTAACTGTCTTACGGAGATCTTCTTCGAACAGGCTCTGACCAGAGCCCGCGGCCTGGATGCCGAACAAGCCGCTCGTCCTGAGCGACCATTGAGGCCGCTGCATGGGCTACCAATATCGCTGAAAGACAGTTTCCGGATTCCGGGTGTTGACTCGACAGTCGGGCTGATATGTTATGCTAACCGACCGGATACTAAGTATTCTGAATTACCACAACTGCTTCTCGACCTCGGAGCAGTCTTGTTCTGCAAAACGAATGTGCCTCAAACCATGATGACCGCAGACTCGGACAACAATGTCTTTGGACGGACTTTGAACCCGACGAACACTTCGCTCACGGCCGGAGGCTCTTCTGGTGGCGAAGGTGCCCTTGTTGCAATGCGTGGCAGTATTCTTGGCGTAGGTACAGACGTCGCTGGCAGCATCCGGATACCGAGCATTTGCAACGGTATCTATGGCTTCAAACCAAGTGCAGATGTGATCCCGTGGGGCGATCAGGCTGATGTTGTGCCAATGGGCATCCCTGGGATCTGTCCTGTTGCTGGACCTACGGCTACATCGGCACGATCCTGTGCCTTCTTCATGGAGACTATCATGCGAGCTGAAGCGTGGCGGTATGATGCTTCGTGTCTGCATCTTCGGTGGTCCGGCGCCATGATCCCGCCGCAGCTCAAGATCGGTGTTGTCTACAATGATGGGATGTTCACGCCATGGCCACCAATTCGGAGAGTGTTGACAGAGTCTGTGGCTAAACTAATCAAAGCTGGCATCGAGATTGTGCCGATAGCTTTGCCTCATGTTCCGGAAGCGGTCTCTACCACATATCAATTGTACTCTGTCGATGGGAGCCAGGCAAGTTGCTATCGAGTGGATCGCGGGGATTTGGCTAAGCTGACAATCTGACTATAGTTCACTCGCGACCTCATGGCAGCTGGCAACGAGCCACCTGTGCAATCGGTCAAGAATGTGAATCTTGCCAGCATCCCAGCCGTATCCATGCCCGGCCTCATCTTACTGAATGGCAAACGAGCTGGAATCCAGCAGGCATATCGTAAGCTGTGGGTTGACAACAATCTTGATGCAATCATTACTCCCGGCGCACCCACGACAGCCACTCCACTGGACAAATGGGATTCAATTACATACACGATGCTGTGGAACTTCATGGACTATCCCACTTGCATCATCCCAGTCGATTGCGTGCAGAGCGGCGACGTCGTTGACAGTGTCAGCCATGCCATAAATGGCGAGCGTGACGAGCACAATTACCTCATGTGTAAGAGGATTCGACCATTCGCCTTTAAGTATCTGTGCTAATACGTCCTAGACACCGGTCCAGAAGCGTATGCCAATGCCGCACTCTCAGTGCAAGTGGTTGGGATGAGACAAGAGGATGAACGACTGGCGCAGATTGTATGCCAAGTTGACAAGATCCTTAATGTCAAGCATACAAAGGAGCATGCATTACCAATGCTGTGATTAAAGCTTGGTCAACTCTTGACGAGCAAGGAAAGAGATTGGTCTCGAGCCAGGAAAGTTGGTCAGGCGGTATGCATCGATGATAATGCGTCGATCGTCCATGCCGAGCACTCCGATTGCGAACAAGCCGTTCATCCAATTGTACGGACCCTGACCAGCTTCGAACTCGAGTCAGGTAAACCATTCGACGTCCTTCTGGGACATCGAGTCTGGATCGCCATTTGCGAGGAAGCTCTTGTCCTTGGGCGAGAATATGCCCTTAGATTGGACATAAATACAGTGACCGTCATCAGTCTTCAGTGTGTAACGAGCGTCCAGCCTCATGTACTAGATCCATACATTAGTATATTATTAGGTAGCAGGTGTCTGCATGTAACACGAACATCGGTCCCTTGGACAACTGAACCCCAGTCTGCACCACTGCGTTCCTGGATGATGCCTGAGATCTGTGGTCCTTTCACGGTTCCGCCAAGAATAGGCATGACGATGCGGATGTTTGTGCCACCGAACGCAGCGCCAACCATATCATTGTCCTTTGCCATCTCACATTTCAACCGGTAGATGAAATCTAGCTGGGGTACAAGCATCTTGAGGGGAATGTCATAGTATTGGTCGCCGATGGACGGCTCGAGTCTGTGCTTGTCGTCGGCCATGTTGGTGTTGCCACTGGTAGGTGCCTGAGTATCTGCCGCGCCTGGCATGCCACATCTGGAAGATACTTTTATATATGAAAGCACAGCCTTCTATTCCTGTTCAGGTCAATCGACATTTAGCGAGGTTCTCTGGCAAGCAAATGGCCTTCGGCAAAGGCATGGATGCGTACTCCGTCCCTGCATCCTAGCTCATGTGATGTGGAAAGAGGAAGAGCAGAGACCGGGCCAGGCGAACGGCATTATTGCAGGGCAGATAACGCTACTGCGCTAGCGATTTAAGCTTTGCGGGGAAGGTGAATGTAGATAACCGACATGATCGTGAGCTCCTAGCATCAACTCGTTGTTGTCGACACGAGCTGTGCCCAACAATACCGGCAGATGGCAGCGGCGGATGTTTGCAAGCTTCAAGGCAGACGAGACCGGTAGCTTGATCGCGACGCCACCTGTGCGGCGCCAGACACGATCCCGCGACGGATGCCTACCCTGTGCGTAGCCTATGGTCTTGTACTAGCCCTGGACAATGTGCTCATAATAATATCTCAGGTCGGCGGAAACGTAAGGCATGCGACAAGACAAAACCGGCATGTCTACTATGCCGGAACAGCACCGGTAGAGACGAGTGCGCTTGGCCAGCACTGAGCTCACCTGGACGAAGGAAGTCAATTGCTGCAAGACGGCCACGGCCACCGACAGCGGATCCTACGAACCCCGAAAAAGACGTTGACTGGCCAGCCCTCCAAGTTGGTAATGAAGATGGTGGTCAGGACGAGGGTAGTACCTCGCTGACGGCGATCGTACCCTTTGCGATGTCACTTCATCCTGGCATTGGAGAACTTTCACCTACTGAAACTCTTACCGAAGTAGCCAGCGAGGTCTCAAAGTGCGTACCGAACGGACAAGTCTTGCTTTGGGTGCTTCTGACGTTAACATGTTGCAGTGAGAGGAGCTATTCCACCATGCTGAGAATGACCATGGAGTTCCAAAAGCGAGTGCTTCTGCCTGAAACAGGAGCCAGTAGTCCGTTCTTACTGGAAGGCCTACCTGCGGCTCAGGCTCATCCTGCACTCTGGCATGCATGGCTGGCCTCCAGCATAGCCACGTTAGCGCCAAGGGAATCGCTGTACTGGCAGCACAAGGGTCTCCAGCACCACCAGCTAGCGCTTAGAGGCTTGCGCAGAAGTGTGCTTGAGTCGTCTTCTGACCAGGAATGGAGACATGGAACTATGTTAATGCTTCATATCTATCAAGTGGGTTCACCTGGGCCAGATGACTATGGTACCATCGCTAACAATTCGCACAGCTTCACAGTCCCGCGGATGCACATGGCGGTGAGGTGTACATCGCTCATCTCACCGCGGCTCATATCTTGTTCGGTGAGGATACTTACTACACTCCACCAGATGGACGTCACGCAGCGCTTCTACTTGAGGCTTATATCTTACGGACTGCAATAAATTATATTTTCTATCCGCAATGGAATCTCCCGCGATCTCACGTTCGAAGCAGACTGGAGCTCCTGGGAATGAACCTTGAGACCGGGTCTGCACCTGAACAAGTCTGCCCCTGGATCGGGCCCGTGACTTTCAGACTTGTTGAGATCGTGTTTGAACTCTCTTGGTCAGCTCACAGATTGCCACTGAGTACACACTATCAATCCAAGATAATGTCAATCCGAGATGAGCTGGATTGGCTGCACATAGCGACTGTTCAGTCTACATCATCACCATTCCTGTCCATGGAGAACTCAGCCATCGTACGAGGAGCGTATACCTATGCTTGTGCATATCTATGCACTGTCTTGGTGGATATCAGCAGACCAGACGATGCAGAATTGGACGGCAGCAGATGTCACATACGCGGTACAGAACTCATCCGCGGAGCACTGAAGCGGAGCGACGATGCCTTACTAAACACGTTGTTCTGGCCGGTCGCAATACTTGGCACTGGAGCATGCAGCCAGGAAGAGCAGAATACTTATCGAGCTGCGCTCGAGCAATTAGAGCGCACGAGCGGTCGTGAAGCAGTATCCCGAGTGGCGTCCATGCTGAGCGATATCTGGTTGAAGAGAAGTGATTCCAGTCAGAAGGGGCACTCTGCTCACGTCCTGAAGCAGGTCATCACTCGATACAGAGTCTTTCTATGAACAAACCGATGGGTGACCAGGTCACTCATCAATTCGAGCTGAAATATAGGCCCAGCATTGAGCCTTTACCATCAACCTATACGGGAACTTATCATTGATGACAACGAGGAGTGGTGGCTGATGGCCTTGTGCAGAATCAAATAGGCTCCAGTAATGCGGTCTATGCGGTCCTAGGTTGCTTGCTGCTGCGTTCAAACGTTGAGTCGTATTCTTCGTGGTGATCACACTGGCATGGTCGGGCGTGATTTGGAGGACTTCAAGTATCTATGGCTGGAGTCTCGTGGCGGACGGGGTTGTCTCTGCCCAGGTCGAGGCTGAAGAGCACGCGGCGCGGTCCTACTTACAATCATGCATGCCGTATTGAGAGGCGTGTATCCAGTATTGTTAGCAGCACGCTCGTGATTGCCACGGCTCGTGATTGTAACCCCTTACATCTCGTTCAACTATAGGGATTCGCTGTATGGCTTCCAGAGGCCCCGGCTGACCATGTCGACTGCAAGGCGGAGATCAGGAGTTGAGAGTCTCTATTATTCTACAGGTGTATCGCTAATCCAGATGTCTCATAACCCCCTCAAACGCCACCAGCGCCGCCGCATTCGCCGGGAACGCTCGCAAAAAACACGGCACAAACCCCCTCCAATAGCCCCTCGCTCCACCCTCCCTATACACGGCTCGCGCCGCATCCCTCCACCTCGGGTATTTCCTCTTCCCAACCTCCAAGGGATCAGTCATGATACGCTGTTTCACGACATCAGAAGGATAAGACGTAAGCCAATACACCTGCGCACTCAAGCCACCCGCCCAGAAATTTATCGCGGGTGTGCTGAGAGAGGTGTGGGTGGTGAGGTAGGTGGTGAAGAGGTCGTAGGAGCCCCACCAGAAGAAGAAGAAGGTGCGGAAGAGAAGGGTAGCGCGGAGACCGTGCCAGAGTCCCGGAAGACCGTGAGAGGTGTAGATTCTGCGCGTGCAATCTAGTGGGCCGGAATAAAGGCGTTGGGATTTGTTGGCTTGGTATTGGATTTGGAGGCGGGCTTTGACGTGCTCGATGGGAGCGGCGATGAAGGAAACGGTCCAGCCGGCTAGCATACCCGCCATTCCGTGACCGACTGGTGGCAATTTCTCGCGTTCAGCGTCGGACTTCCAGATGTGTTGGCTCGTTGGTCGTGCGCGGAGTGGTTGGAAGACGTTCTCGTTTAGGAGACGTCGGTAGAGGGTCAGGGAGCCGAGCATGAGACTGTCCATGCACATCCAGCCGATCAGCGGTGGGGTAGCGCCTTTGTATAGACCGCTGAAGCCTTCCTTGCGGACTGTTTGAAGGAGACAATCGATTGGACCTGTGAATTGGGTTTTTGTTGAGGTTTGAAGCCGGACTTTGATTGTATCGAAGGGGTGGCTGAGAAGCATTAGCAAGCATACGTTCGTGTAGACCCGAGTCTCTGTTTTGGTATTTTAGACATACCCGACACTGAGCTTCGCGATCCCGGAAAAGACACCAGCGACAAAGCCTTTGTAGTTGGCATTCTTGCCAGTAGGTTTTGGCGTACTCAGACCGGCCTCTTCATCTTGCTTGCTGGCTGCCGATGAAGCGATTTGCTTCACCGTCGTGGACATTGATCGATGGGCTGCTTTCGATCGTCGTCTACATCCATACCTATCACAATCTATAACTTGTCAAATGAGGAAGAAGAAAGAGATGATGAGGTGAAGTCGAGATGTACTTTAGTGGAGATATATCTGATATCTAGATCCGATGCATGAGATTGCTGCAGACGGGATGACGTGCGTGATTGGCGCCACGCGATCGGGACCTGACGAGAGACGAAGTGGGGCTTTCTGAGGTGACTTTCACGAAAGTGTGCAAGCTTGGAATATATTCAGAGAAATAGTAATCAAGCTACCACTTTAACCATGTAGTCTTTCAAAACATAGCTGGTCCCACAGGCATAAAAGCAAGTATCGCTATTTCCAGAGTATTCCTAATCAGAGTCTTGCAACCGCAGACATGGCAGCCGCACCCTCCTCCAACCCCAACGCCAAGCGTGTGGTCGAGTCGGCCAAAGTCTGGACAACCCTCATAACAAATACTGCCTACCTACCCGGCCTCCTCACCCTCGAAGCCTCCCTTCGCCATGTCGGATCCAAATACCCTCTCATCGCATTGTACACCGACTCCTTCCCTGCCGACGGCCATGCGGCTCTCGACAGAAGAGGGATAGCGAAGAAGAGAGTCGAGTACCTTCTTCCGAAAGTAGAGAAGAGTTTCGAGAATGATCCACGATTCTACGACTGCTGGAGTAAACTTACACCTTTCTCCCTGACCGAGTATGAGAGGGTGGTGCAGCTGGACAGCGATATGCTTGTTCTAAAAAACATGGACGAACTCATGGACATGCCACTAGATGGGCCCGAGAAAGAAGGCAAAGGCGATAGAGTGTTTGCAGCCAGTCACGCATGCGTCTGTAATCCGTTGCGAAAACCTCACTATCCAAAAGATTGGATCCCCGAGAACTGCGCTTTTACATCTCAACACGGAACGCCTGATAAAGCGCAAAAAGAAGGCGCACCACCAACAGCCGGCCTCGCAATGCCAAACGGCGGCCTCCAGGTCGTCGTCCCGAGCACAGCCGTCTATAATCTAATCCTCACCTCCCTCTCCGGCGCCAACACCTCCTCCTTCGACTTCGCCGACCAAAGTATCCTCTCCGATCTCTTCCCAGGCCGATGGGTAGCACTCCCGTATGTCTACAACGCACTCAAAACCCTGCGCTGGAAGGACGTGCATCATCAGATTTGGCGGGATGGGGAGGTGAAGAATATGCATTATTTGCTTGCGCCGAAGCCGTGGGATGAAGACGAGGAGTTTAAGAAGAAGGAGTGGGATGGGGAGAAGAGGACTGGGAGAGATCCGGCGAATGAGTGGTGGTGGGAGAGTAGTCGGAGGAGGTGGGCAGAGGAGAAGAAGAACGGGGTGGATGACGGGTTTTGATGGGTCGGGAATGGCAAGATGTAGAGTCTGGATATATTAAAATATGTATTTGGCAGGATGTGATTGACGCCTTCATACCTCATTGCGCATTGCATTGTCAAGGCGGCTTGGCTGTGTGTCCTTTGGCCCTCTCTACACAGCAGTGGAAAGTAGATGCCTTTACTTGGGAAGCCTTCGCCTAGCCCAGAATGAGTGCGCTGTACACACATATCATCTCGGGCTACATCATTATACGCACATCTATTCCAGTAATAAATATGATAAGCTCAGGGCAGCTCTTCGGCAGTGGCCCGCTGTCGCGATGGTCCCTGCATACACGCAATAATAATGTGTATTTATACGGAGCAGGCGCTAGTGTGTGGAGCTTGTTTTATGCGGTGCGTGCGTGGGTGCTTGCTGTATGTATTTCCAAGGGGCCTGGGATATTATTGTTCTCCCTATACTCACGAAGCCTTCTACAACCGGAAGAATCACGCTGCGATAAAAACGAGTTAAGGATCGAAAACTTGAGTAGGAAACAGCGTCAGGTTTTGGCACGATTGAGCAAGAGGAAGAAGACAGGAGTTGTCAAGCATTGTCGATAAGGAAGTTTGGTTCGGATATTTGCTGTAGTCAGGACACGCGAGCATTTGAATACACCGGGATTACTCAATCGATCAACTACATCTCCCGGCAATCGAATCACCTAAATAACGCCGCGATGGGTGGTTCAATCAGCAAAATGATGGGCAAGATCTTCGGATCCAAGGAGATGCGCCTGTTGATGTTGGGCTTGGACGCCGCTGGCAAGACGAGTAAGTAGACCTCCACCCCAAGGCCTGTTGATCAACAATCTGACTGACGGCAATCTACAGCCATCCTCTACAAACTCAAACTCGACACCGACGTAACCACAATCCCCACCGTCGGCTTCAACGTGGAAACAGTGACCTACAAGAACACCAAATTCAACGTCTGGGACGTTGGCGGGCAGGACAAGATCCGTCCCTTATGGCGACATTATTTCTCCGGGACTCAGGGGTTGATTTTCGTGGTGGATAGTTGTGATCGGGATCGCATGGATGAGGCGAAGAGGGAGTTGGAGCGGATTATTCAGGATCGGGAGATGAAGGATGCTCTACTTTTGGTCTTTGCTAATAAGCAGGATGTCAGGGGAGGTGAGTACAATCCCTGTCTATCCCTCTTAATGAAAGAGGGGGTGAGTTGGTGGTATTCTGGGATGTGGGGTTTTGCTGACTGTATCTGTTTTGTGCACAGCTATGTCGCCGAAGGAGGTATCCGATGAGCTTGCGCTGGATTCTACGGCCAAGGGCCATGTGTGGAAGGTTGAGCCTAGCTGTGCGACTACGGGTGAGGGCATCTTTGAGGGGTTGGCGTGGCTGAGCAATAATGTCAAGCTGCCACCGAAGTGAGCAAGCTGAGATGCTTGGGACAGTCTTGAGCTATGATGGCAGGAAAGCAAGATTTCTTAGCAGAAGTACATGGCGAGAGAGGACAGGCACCATCTCTATAGAGGTGGAAGATGCGGATGCTGAGAACATGCCAAAGAAGCATCAGAGCATGACTTGAGATGTGAAGAACACGCAGGTTGGCGAGGGCGGCAGTAGTGGAGTTGCATACAGCGCAGGCGTTTCGAAGGTCGAAGGATACCCCAGTAGTTGACTTAGGTCGCGTTTCGATTCAGCATTACATACACATATGTGCCATGAGGCCGAAGCAGAGATTTGTAATTGTACGATATGAAGATTCTGTACTTTCTCGCGAGTCAGTCCAACCATTCGCGACCACCAGCTACATTCTGCGACGTAGACAAATATGAGCATGTCACCTAGGCCAGATCTTTGCTGGGCTCAGGAGGTAGCCGGCGGGCTGCTGTTGATGATGAGGAAGGAACGAAGGGTGGAAAACACGATTTGCGTGATACTGTACAATATCTACTCGATGACATGTCACCTACAAGTACAGACAGACACACACACGTACAGCATCCGAGCCCCTTACTTACCCGCAGAAGAGATCATCTCACTCAACACAACAAAAACCTCCTGCGCCTTCCTCTTACACTCCTCCCTCAGCTTCAGGTCCGCAATCGCGCAGAAGCGATCAGGATGGAACTTGGCCCGCCAGAGCTTCAATTTCGCCGCCGAGAGGCTAGAGAAGGTAGAGCGGATATTGTGTTCGCAGCCTTGTAAAGCACGCTGCTGTGCACCAGCTTGGCATTTGTAGCATGGTATAGCGGGAGGTTCGGGAAAGGCGGTCATGGCCGCGTAGTTGGCGAAGGCTTTTTCTGCTGCGGCGAAGAAGGTGGCTGCTGAGGTTGAGGCGGCGGTTGCCTGTGCTGGACCAGTAGCTGGACGCCGGGATGCGAAGTTCGGGACTTTCCCTCTGAAGGATTCGCTTCGTTGGCGACGACGACGCTCACGTTGCTCCTGGGCTTCGTGTTCGGCTTGATGATGAGCTTCTTGGCGTTGAGCTTCTTCTTCTTCTTCTTCCAGACGACAAGCTTCCTCTGCTAAGCGTCGGGCGCCTTCTTCGCGTTGTCGAGTTTTCTCATCCTGGCGTCTCTCGTCTGCTTCGTCTTCGGCTTGTTGGCTGATGAACCAGTCGCGTTCTCTTCTCCTGCTACTAGCTCGTCTGCGATGACGCGCTTGCCTCTCCCGCCGCCAGATCGCATCAGCTGCCAGTTGCTCGGCTTCTTCTGCCAGCCTCCGGGCTCCATCATCTCGTCTCCGCTCGATCTGGTCGAGATGGTCCAGGTATTCGTCCTCTGCTGCTCGCTCCGTCCTCGAAGCTCCACCTAGGTTGCGGAAGAGCTCGCGGATGTCGGCATGGGCATCTGACATACTCACCTTGGCGGCGATGTACTGATCGATGCTTCTTTGGTAATCTGCTTCGAGGCAAGCGTAGTGGAATGATATGCGGGAAGTGCTTCTCAGCCTCTGCTTCATGTCGTCGAGGACGTCCTCATGAAGACGACATTCTCTGATACTGAGCTCTTGGACATGCTCTGCATGGTCCAGATCGGCTCTGATCGAGTCCGTGATCTCACGCGCGCGGTCCAGGTTGTGAAGTAGGGTGTCTGTGATCCAGAGGTTGTTTATGTTGGCTGATGGGTGGGATCGCATAGTTCAATTGGTCTGGTTGATGCCGAGATGGTGTTCAGGACTGGTCTTATTGGATCGGTCGTGAACACAAGGTCATTGTGCCATCTCAATGACATTGTTCGAGTACATAAAGAGCTCATCTTCCACAGGCGAGGTTTGGTCTTTGTACCCGCCATGGTCGTTCATGTCACCCAGCTGTTGAGTCCTTTGTACAGCGATGGCGGGAGGAAGCGATTGCAAGCCCAGATCACGGTAAGAATGCATGTACCGTAATACACTACTTCATGATGGCAGGCGGCACATCTGTACCATCCACTTCCGCCTGCCTCGCCAATTCGAGTGCAAAAGCAGACTCTTCGGTCCTGAAGAAAGACTTCCGGCCCTTCACGAACCAGAAACCAACGGCGACGACCATCATCACACCGAACACGGCAATCGCATAGTTCATATCCGCTGGTGCCGGATTTGGATATGAGGGGAAAAAGAAGAAGACTGTCGTAACACTGCAGTATACCACACTGATCCAGTTCGCAATGGGTCCGATGCGAGGGCCGAGACGGAAATCGCCTGGTGGTAATTTATCTCTTCCTGCTACCAGGAGGGCAATGATGGGCGATGCGTACGAGATTGTAAGAGCGATGGTGCTCACACTGAGAATAGCTTGAAGGACTGTACTGGCGAACAGGTAAAGTATGCCCACCAGAGCGATGAGAGCACCTTGCAGCCAGAGGGCTCGAGCAGGCACTTTCCAGGTAGGATCGACTCTCTCAAAGTAGTGAGAGAAGGGAAGACCGCCGTCACGAGCAAAACCCCACGTAAGTCGGGAGCCGGTAGTGGCAATACTGACGCCTTGTCCGAGTCCGTTGAAGACGAAGAGTGCGATCAGGGCGCAGCCACCTTTTGCGCCTATTGCATCCTGGACGAGTTGAATGAAAGGCAGCCCCGAGTTCAGCACGGTATCTAGGTCTTGTATGCAGAAGAGACAGACGACCATGAAGAGGAAGCCGGTTGCTGCACCTATGCTCACAGCCAGCCAGATGACGCGCGGGGCGTTTTGTCGTGGGTTTGGTATCTCTTCTACCATGTGAATGACAGAGTCGAAGGCTGTGAGGCCGTATGCTGCCTGTACTAGCCCAGTAAACCATACAACTCCATCCGGCCATCCGGTTTGATTGATCCATCTCCCGAATACGAAGGATCCTGGTTGGAAGTGTAAGCCTGCCTTTGTTCCCACGCTGATGAGCAGAGCCAAAGAAAAGACAATGAACAAGGCGCTGAACATAAGTCCCACCCCATTGTTGAATAACGGCAGTACTTGGTCTTTACGGCAAGTGATCAGGTTGACCACGGTGAACAGGATAGTAATGGCCAGATAGACCAGAAACTGCACCCAGCCCTCACTAGCACCAGCCCATTCCGGCTCGAACATGGTCTTCATGCCCAGCACAAAATTCGTCATAAACGCGATTTGCGACGCAGTCAACGTCCACCATCCGAATGTGTTCGTCCAAGCAGTCATATAACTCCAGAATCGTCCAAACGGCGTATCACATAACCGATGGACCCAGTACGCCTGTCCCAGAGCCGTGGGCATAGAGCTCGTCAATTCTCCCAGCGACACAGCAACACAGAGATTGCAGAATGTCACTAGAGCCAGACCCCAGAGGATGGCAATGGGGCCGCCATTGGTTAGGCCAGAGGCGAGGTCTTGGGCGAAGGTGGACCAGGTTCCTAGGACGCAGAAGGCGAGGGCTAGCATGCTCCAGGTGTCGAATTTGCGGGTCAGGGCTTCGACGTGCCCGAGCGCTGCTAGGTCGTGGGCATCGTCGAGGCTCTGCTTCGTGTGCATCTTCTTTAGGCTCGGGGGTTGGTCTGCTTCAGGCTCCATGATGAGGATTTGTCGACGAAATCGTCGTTGTTGTTGAGAAAAGAAGCACAGGGAGTGAGGTGCTGGACTGTAGTGCCATCCGTCCTTGGTTATAGATTGCTCGTAATCGGCGAGGCATATAAGTGTGAGGGGTTGTCGGCGAGACGCGTCTTGGTGGTTGGTCGAGTCAAACAGAGTTTATGGAAAACGGTTAGTTCACGCGAGGACATGCCCCTTCGAGCTTGGTGCTCTCGCTACATGCGGCTGGCCATACGTTATCTTACAACCTCAGGTCGTGAATCTTGCCGCGTCTGCAATTACTCCTACTTCCACAAGGCTCGCCATTGTCGCGAAGATCGCGATAATCTTGGGGCGAAAAGTTGCAAGCCTAACTGTCTCGGCCCCAGTCGGAGTCCTTTTTAACATAGACGCCGCTGACATGCCACTCGCCAATATCAATGGCCGCAGCTGGTCACCCGACGTACTGCATTATCATACCGGTGTGGTCACTGCAGCACTCATATTTCGGTAGGCAAAGTCGCAGCTACGCCGATCAGCTTCAATGAGTGGAAGTCGCCGCAGCAACTTCAGATCAATGAGTCCACGGGCACGCCGGACCAATTCGACATCGAAAGTCCCGGCCGGCACTTCGCAGAGGCCCGGGCCATTTAGGAAGACCGCGTGTACGATAGTATCCAGATCAACGCAGTACAGGGCTGCCTGTATTACCAAGTCTCAAACGATGCTGTGGACAGCTCCTGAGCCTGCCGGCTGGCAGCTTCTCGCGTACCATGTGACAGCGCAAAGATACCACACCGGTGTCTCGCCATGCATCCAGTAAGACGCGGCCAGTCCATTGTCTCCTGGACATGTGGCGAGGATGTTGTGTAGTTCAGAGGTCCAATTGTTCAAAGCACCATGAGCTCATCGATTCGGTCTTCAAAGACCACAGGTGGCACGACATCAAACGCACCATGCAGAAAGTCAACGGATAACTTGAACTTTGTCAACGAGAAGCCTTCCAGGATCCGCTGTCCACCAAGGCACTCGAACTTTACTCGGCATGGATTGCAAGGCGTAAGCAACAGCATGAGAAGTGCAGGATTCAAGAGATTGTTGCGCTAGCAGAACGTGTGCTAGACCTGGCGTGGAGATGATAGCCTCACCAACGACCCGGGCGTACGTCTACGGTTAATGGTGGGACACAAAGATCCATACCAGTAATTGACCTTGTCCTACTGTTGGGAAGGATCAGAGCCTCCGCTGACTACCTTAGCTAATCTGGTCGAGCATGAGGGGTGCATAATCCCCAGGATAGACTATACCCATCTGGCCGCACCTGATTGTGTAGTTGAACGCAATGTACGCCCACATCCAAGGCAGCGTTACCCGATCAATCCAGCCTAGATCATCAATGCTTAGCAAAGCACAACATCGAGTATCTCCCTTTGATACAGCATACACCCAATCTTGCAAGCCTTCACCAAAGCGTACCAGTCTTCGCTAATCCCGCCATCCTATTCGTGGTACATACAATCCAGTTCCAGTTTCGATCGGAGCAACTGTGGCATGAAGAATGCCAATATTCCCGGCAACAAACCCACCACCAAGGCGACCAAGCCTATCAAGCTGGTGACAGCCACCTTGCGAAAGTCTCTCCCGTGTCTGAGGCACGTTCCCATGTGCCTTACCGCATGATATATCCCAACAGCGAATGGGACTTCTTTCCCATACACCTCCTCCAGCTCTTCAAGCGCCGTAGGCATGAAACCGCCAACTTCATATCCACAGGTCAACCAGAGCGGTAATCCGAAGTATGGCAGGACCAGGCCAAGCAGCAGAAATCCATATACGAAAATTGCGAAGGTCCAGACCCCGACGTATACATATTTGCCGCCGCCGCATACGTCCAACTTGCCTTCACCGTCTTTGACCGTCGCTCCGATACAAGCATAGGTTATCATGATCAAGAGCCCGGTCAACATGCCTTTCAGCGCCATAGTGCTTGTGAAATCGGCTGCTTCTTCGCGAAGCTTCATGGTCGCCTTTGCTGTCCGTGGCGTTCGTTGATTTGTCGGCCTTGTGGCTGATCCAACGAGTTCGTGCATGCTTACAAGCTGTCGAGAGTGTCGAGATCGACGTGGGTGAGGAATGACGTCTAGATTAGGAAGTGTTTCTCGGTTCGCGATGATAGGGTGATTGCACGTCTATGCCGATGAGATGTAGAATGTACGAGGTAAGACAATTTCGGGTTTGATCACACTTTCACATCTTTTGCGAGGAATTAACGGCCTTACCTCTCCTGAATCCTTGGCACCATTCGACCCAGTTCAAATGTAAGCTGACGATCTTCAGGATTTCGATGTCAAGAAGTGAATTGCATATTCACATCGGCTCGTCCTTCCCTATGCAGCGGACATGCTACGACTGCGACCTTTGGTATGATGTGCTCTGGAGTCCATGACCAGCAAGCGCTCCCACGAATCACCATGTGTCCTTGACCGAGTCTGTTGGATGCCAGTAGAGCAGAGCGCAGTCATGACACATGATCTATTCTAGTACCTCGACGGTGTGCTACCCACGAGGATATCTCGACGCTTGAGAGGTCCATGGCACGACATAGGTATATATTACATGCACCCACAATTGGGATACGAGGGGAAGAACGGTGTACGGGTCTCCACGGTTGCTGCCAGTTATGAGCAATACAGAGATCGTTCAGCAGTTTCCCCGAGAAACTTAGCAAGTGATATCGACAGGAGTGCCTTCTTGTCGGTATGAATAGCAAGCACGTTGGCTGGGAATGCAGATGTTATATTGACATCGCCCCTCCTGCTCCTTTTCTGAACCTCACCACCGCTACCAACGCCGACAGCCGTCGCATCGCTAAACCTATCGCTAACGATCTCACTATCGCTAACGAGCATGGCTCGTTCACCTATGAAGGGCCGGTTTAGACCGTCTTTCTATCTGTCTGGACTGCTTGGTACCGGTTTCGTGTTCCTTGGGCTCATCTCAACCAGCAAAATCCTTTCGGTATCCATCGGCCTCACCACACTCTGGGGTGCCGCTATCTTCTTCGAACTGTTTGGTCCACAGTGCGATGAGATATGCCACCAGCTTTAGCAAAGCCTACCCTCATGGGTCAGAGTTGTCTCGATGATGTCTACCAACTTCGATCGCCGAAGGCGCCGATCTGTTGATCGTTCGAGGAGTTTAGAAGAGTGAGTGGTTGACGAAGATGACATGATCGTCCGCCTGGACGTGATTGTACAAGAGGTAGTTGGCCATCGAGACTGGCAGGTCATGGCAACAACGCCTTTTGGTATGTAAGGACGCAATCGTGGTCTGGTCAACGACTGCCTGGCACATAGGATGATATCGCCCAGTCGTTGCTGGGAAGTGTCAGGTAGGAGACAAAGTCCGACTTTACACCGCCACGAGGTTGTCTCCGGGCAATGCTTAGCACATCACAGCTTAAGTAGCAAAGTAAAGCGGCAAAACGAGTTTCGACTCGTCGAGCATCGAAACGAAACCACCGATCGATCGACAGAGCACAAACACATGCACAACGACTTCACAAGACGAACCAAAAGCTCTTCGATGCAGACCATTTGGCATGATATCACCAAGTACTGCTCAGATAAACTAGACGTCATCCTCAGTACGGAGATCACTGCCATGACCACCAACACCAGTCCAATCAATGATGGTGAACAACGACCAAAACTCAGGCAGACGGCCACAACCTCACCATCATCACCACCAAGCCTGCCATGACCAGACGACACGACATCTCGCATAAATCAGACTGCTGTCATCACCATAGACGATCAGTCCTTTAGTTGCATCATCCCACCTTCCTTGGAATACCGTCCTTGGTGCCACAAAGTCTGCGACCAGACGACTCAAGGATCTCACACAGATCGCACTGCTGCCAATTACCCACAACGCCCTGCCTGCCATTGAGATACTCACACTGAACTGGGGACACTGAATTTGGCCAGACGACTCGAGGATCCCGCAGGAATCGACCTGCTGTCAATATCTCACAACGCCCTGCCTGCCATTGAGATATTGCACCACATTGGAGATACCGGTTCGGCGCCCTAGATTCTGCGACCAACCGACTCAAACATCCCGCAAAGATTGAACTGCTGTTGGTGCCTCAAAACGCCCTCCCTGTGGTTGAGATATTCGCCATGTATTGGGGATACAGACTGTAACGCCGCCGAGTCCGCGGCCAGACGAGTAGCCATCTCGCACAAGTTGACCTGCTGTCAGGACCTCACAACGCCCTACCTATTGTTGAGTTATTAGCACCTTACTAGAGACACCGACTTTGAATCCGCAGAGTAACAACCAGACCACCGAAGGATCTCGCAGAAATCGACCTGCTGTCAGATACTCATAATGCTCTGCCTGGCCTTTAGGATACTCGCACCATACTGGAGACACTGGCCTCGACGCCGTGGAGTCCATGGTCAGACCACTCAAGGATCTCAAAAAGAGAACGCTGCCGCCAACCACCTAAAACGCTCTGCCCGCTGTTTCAACACTCGTATCGTAGAGAAGAGCTTCGCTTTGGCGCCACAGAGTCTATGAACACCAAGCACCTCGCGGAGACCAAACTACTGCCAACAAATCGGACCACCTTGCCTCTCGTCAAGACTCTCGCGCTGCATCGGAGATATATTCGTTTACGTGACCGACTGCCGAGAAGATCCCACTGGCGGTAAGCCGCTTTCAATACCCTCTGGCGATCATCCTAGGGCTAGTACGTCTCCACATAGCTGAGATCTACACACGTAGAGATTCACTCCCAGGCGGAAGACTCGATATCTCTTCTAGCATCGCAACTCTGCGAGCACCTCACGGCGGCCAGACTCAGGTCCAAGTGTCCCCCAACGCCCGGGATACTTGCTCTCGTGCGGCAGACTCCACGGTCATATGACCCCTGAGTCTTGTGAGCACTACGCGTCTACCAATACCTCCTGTATCTGAGACTACGACATGCATCTGCAGACACCTCATGCATCTACCAGCACCCTATGCATCTGCCACCACCACGTGTCTTCGCTAGCACCTCGTGGCGACCAGCCTTCGGCTGACAAAACTCATCACAAAGGACATACTCGCTCGGGAGCCTATAACCAGCACCTCCGCCGGCCGTAAAATGAACACGGTCGCGAACTCTCCATCAAGGTTTCCTGATAGCAATCAACGCCTTCAAGACGAAGCATTTGCTCGTACAGTGAATTTGCAGACCTGCTAACTCTACAGTGGACACATCCTGTCATCAAACTTCGAAAGCCCGCTCACTTCTGACCAGCGTCGACTTCTGAATCTGCTGAGTCCGCTACGCCGCCCCTCACAACTGCCATCAGGTCCTCTCAGGCCTTCTTATCGATTTTCGTCCATGACGGCGGTGACAGAACGACCTTCTACACTAATATAGTGCTACTTACTGGCAAACTCGCCTATGCTTCCAGCCGATCACGATGCCTCTTTTCAACCCACCAAAACTTCTTGGTCCAGGAGGTCCGCATCGCTACCGCTCGGCAGAAGCCTTTGCTACTCCACCATCTGCTCGAAGCTCCAACTACAACATCTGCAGTCAAAGCTGCCACCCGAACTAGAGAACAATTGCCTGGCCACGATCTCTACGAAAAGACCATACCCTCTTTATCCAGCTCGCCTAAACATCCCATATCCGCCAAGTCACGTCAGACATACCACCCAGCCCTTTTATCGAGAGTCCTCTGGAGCCATCCAGCCTCGAGCACACAGGAACAACCATCGGAGATTCAAAACCTGCCCGTCCTGCAATGGCCACACCTCAAGATCACGGAAAGTCCTCCCAAGCCCCTCGGATCTTTTCCGAGAATGATTGCTGAAATCGAACATCCGAGGCCACCCAACCGCTTGTTACGTCGTCGAAAGAGTCCGCTCGGCTTCATCAACAGAACGAACGCTGTCTAGAACAAGTGGCTCCCACACAGCGCCATTTGGTGAACCATGCGAACTGGCATTGCTTCCCAAGACGAACAGCACCATGTCCTTGGGGAAAACGGACCATCCGCGGCATCATCAGCCCAGTCTACTCTAGAGAGCGCTTGGAAGTGTCTTCCCGAGGGATCGTATAAGCTGGAATAGCATCGGAAAGTGCTCACCCCCTATTCTAACCGATCTTCACGGCAGAACTTTCCAGGTGGCTCTGTCGTTGCCACAGTATTTCACAGACTCGAGTGTGGTTCACCACAAGGTCAGGCAAAGGGCCGTCGGCATCAAACACTAGCATATTGCGCAATGGTATGGAAGAAAAGTGGGTCAGCTGCTTGAGAGGTATTTGGCGAGTGAACTGTAAGCGGTGTGAGCGGCTGTAGTTTCTTGAAATAGACAATATATGAGAGATGGCGGGGATTCATTTTAGGGGTTGGCATTTAATTGAATTACCAAGACCACCGACCCCACCTCATTCCCTCCCTCTCATCCCCCTAAATCATCAACCGCTCAACCTTATCCTTCAGCGCCCTAATCTGGCCCATGAGATCACTCGCCTCATTCGTAGTGATACTACAACTAATCACCGCCCTGCTGACACCACACGCCCTTCCAAGCGCCATCTTACTGGGCACATAAACGTACGGAGTATTCTTATCCTCGCATAACAGCGGGAGGTGGAGGAGGATGGCCAAGGGGGCGGTATCGGCGGCGAGGATGACGATCTCGCTGATGCCGCGGTTGAGGGTCTTGGTTGCTTCGTTGGCGCCCTGTGATATTGTCGCGTTAGTAGGTGAGGTGGGATGGGGTGGGGTTGGAAGAGAGTTTGGTGGGTGGTTGGTCGTACCTTCTTCAACTGACGATAATGCGAGGCCTGCTGCACCAAGTCTAGAATCTCCTGGCTCAGCGCCTGGTCGGCTACAGGCCAGGCTGCGGACTGCTGGTCTGCCATTTTTTGATGCTGTCTCTGTGTTGTTCTGGTACTGGTGTTGTAGAAATATATTGGGTATTGATGTTGATATTATGCGCGGACAAGGCTCACCGTAGCGATATGAGTGGAAGGGATCACGGCCTTGTCTTGATCACTATTGTGGGAGAAGAAGAATCGAGAGAAATGCTCGAAGCTCAAGTTTGAGTGATGGAATTTCTGGTTTAGCGATCGGGGTGTGATTGGTGGGTGATGCCGCCTCGCTCGGCTGACTTGCTCTTTTGTGGAGCGGCGGAAGCTTGCTTCTCCCGTGACGACTTTGAGTGCTTGCTATCATATCGTCTCTTGCAAGCAATACCATCACTCCATCCCTCGCCCAACGACATAGTCATCACCGCGACACATACGACACCTCCGACACGTAGGACAACATCACAAGGATATAGTCAAGATGTCTTCCGATGCTTGGTGAGTGGCAACCCCCCCCTCCCATGGCTTGCCAGGCCGCAGAATTGCTCTTACGCCATGCTGGGAGGCGACGGCCATGTCGAAGATGGCCATGGTGGCGGTCATACTTGCAGTAGCTGTTACAGCTCGTGAGAGAGATATGAGAGAGCTTGTGCTGACTTTGACGTGCTTCTAGCCCCGTGTATGCCGTAAGTGCCACCCAACCAATATCCACACCTCTCAACCCAGCGCCCCAGCATCCCGATACACGAGCGACATCATCCTACCCATCGCACCCGGAGACTCATTGTAGAAAGATTCCAAAGTATACACATGAGCCTGAGATGCAGTCACAATGAGGGTTTGAGACGAAAAGCTGGAAAGCACAGATAGACTGACGTGAATGTGTTCTGATAAAACAGCCCTTCTTCGGCGCCATGGGCTGCATGTCCGCCATCGTCTTCACCTGCTTCGGCGCCGCCTACGGCACCGCCAAAGCCGGCGTGGGTATCAGCGCCATGGGTGTCCTCAGGCCGGATTTGATCGTCAAGAGTATGTCCATCCCACCACCATCCACGACCCGCGACCCACCACCACCACCGCCACCACATCTCCCACTAGCACTCCACTCTCAAAAAAAACCCCGAAAGCCGAATACTGATCCTATCGCGTAACTAGACATCATCCCCGTCATCATGGCCGGAATCATCGCCATCTACGGCCTCGTCGTCTCCGTCCTCATCTCCAACAACCTGCAGCAAGAATCCTCCCTCTTCGCCAACTTCATCCAGCTCGGTGCCGGCTTGTCCGTAGGTCTGGCCGGTCTCGCCGCCGGGTTCGCGATTGGAATTGTCGGTGATGCTGGTGTGCGTGGTACAGCCCAGCAGCCCCGACTCTTCGTGGGCATGATTTTGATTCTCATTTTTGCCGAGGTGCTTGGTAAGTTTTGTCTTTTTACTGTCACGGTTACGGGTAGAGAGAATGGGCGGAGGGATCTCTGTGGTGGAGCAATTTGGCTGATATTTTTGTGATTTTGTTTAGGTCTTTACGGTCTCATTGTCGCTCTGCTCATGAACTCGAGGGCGGGCGATTCCAAGTGCTAGACCACTCTACCGGTCGAAGTGGTGGATGATGTGAGGAAGGAAGCAAAAACGTAGGAGTCGTTCTCGCCACAGATTTATATATGTGGCGAGGACGGACCTCTTGCTAAATGTGGAATCGAGTTGGATGACTCGTGGGGGGGTGGGAAGGGTGGAGAGGCCACGGATGTATGCCTCGAGTGGTGGTGTTATTACCCTCGAGGTGTGTTCTTGGTCTTTTTGGCATGATGGGGTGTATGTGTGTTCTTTTTAGCATGTACTCTGTATATTCGACTTGCAAGATAGGAACGGCGTTACAGCATGTGGAAAAGATATCTCCTAGACCCTAGTCTTCTTTCTTTGTGGTCATGGACCGCTGCTCCTGGGCAATATCTAGTGCTTTCAAGCCGCCGGTGGATAATACCCTTGCATGACGAGACGCGTTGCTGAGCTGATCCAGTATACTATCTTAGCTTCCATCTACTTGCTCACCTTGATGGCATATGGAGAGGGAAATATAAGATCTTCTGCTTCAGACTGAGACGCCTCCCGTCGCAATGACTCTCTCTCCTGTCTATCATGGAAGGTCAGCATCTAGATACGTTTACTCGCCAGCACCACCAAGCCACAATATTATGGTCGCTGATATTGCTACATATTAGATGTGTCTGCAACGCAAATATCGGACCGGACATCCTCTCCCTCTTACTTTCACTCTTGCACACCACGGCAGCTCGCCTGCCCACATATCTACAGCCCACGAGCTCAAGAATCTTCGCTGTCTCATTCACAGTGCTGGTCTGTCTGAGGTATGAGTTGAAAGGGGATATCTATGCCTCTTGCAGTGTCATCATCCACGGCAAAGCGAACAGTCAGTCTGGGGGCGAGATCGGATGGAAGGCGGGAAGAGAGCGGGAGTGACTTCCATTCGACCTCTGACTTCTTACCTTTGCCCCTCCATGGCAAATACCCCACTTCCATCATCATTTGTTATGGCGGACGGATATGAGGTCTGGTAACAAGCATGTAAATGCCGAAGTCTGTTTGCGGTGCAGGGAAGTTGGAAGCGCTTGACATTTCTTCTCCAATCTCACCTTCTACACTTTCTCCTTCTCGTCCCTGCTGCAGTACAGTGACCATACCATTGACTAAACCTGACCATAAAACCCCCACATCTCACACCAAAACACCGCAGACCTACTCTCACACCAAAAACCACCCAGGTACAAAACACGAAACCCCACCACCCACCATGTCCGACACCCAAGGAAAATCCATCCACTGCAAAGCCGCCGTCGCCTGGGAAGCCGGCAAAGACCTCAGTATCGAAGACATTGAGGTCCTCCCCCCACGCGCCCACGAAGTCCGTATTCAGGTCTACTACACCGGTGTCTGTCACACGGATGCTTATACCCTGAGTGGAAAAGATCCCGAGGGAGCGTTCCCGATTGTGTTGGGACATGAGGGTGCGGGTGTGGTGGAGAGTATTGGGGAGGGAGTGGAGAATGTCAAGGTTGGGGATCAGGTTGTTGCGCTTTAGTACGTGTTGATCCTATCCATTTGACCGATCCTCGTGGGAAGGAATGGTGCTGCGAGGGATATAGTAGCAGCGAGAATAGGCATGAGAGCACGAGCCCATACTAACAACTTCTCTTTCTCCAGCACTCCCGAATGCAAAGAATGCAAATTCTGCAAATCCGGCAAGACGAACCTTTGCGGCAAAATCCGCACCACCCAGGGCAAAGGCGTGATGCCGGACGGTACCTCGCGCTTCAAATGCAAGGGCAAGGAACTGCTCCACTTCATGGGGACCAGCACCTTCTCCCAATACACAGTCGTGGCCGACATCTCCGTCGTAGCGATCACGGATAAAGCACCTATGGACCGCACTTGCCTCCTAGGCTGCGGTATCACGACCGGCTACGGCGCTGCTGTCATCACAGCCGGCCACGGCGGATTGGAAAAAGGGAGTAACGTCGCCGTCTTCGGCGCCGGCTGTGTCGGCCTCTCCGTCATCCAGGGAGCGGTCAAGAACGGCGCCGCGAAGATCATCGTCGTGGACGTCAACGACGGGAAGAAAGAATGGAGCACGAAGTTCGGGGCTACGGATTTCGTCAACCCGGCGAAGGATTTGAAGGAGGGCGAGACGATCCAGTCGAGGTTGGTGGAGATGACGGATGGGGGTTGTGATTATACTTTTGATTGTACGGGGAATGTGCATGTGATGAGGAGTGCGTTGGAGGCCTGTCATAAGGGATGGGGAGAGTCGATTATCATCGGGGTGGCGGCGGCGGGGCAGGAGATTTCTACACGGCGTGAGTCCTTCACCCTCCTTTCGCTTTATCCCTCATTCTCTTTGTCCGCAATTCTGTCGCGCTTACTAATATCTCGTGATAACTACAGCATTCCAGCTCGTCACAGGCAGACGATGGAAGGGCTGCGCTTTCGGCGGCGTCAAGGGCCGCACGCAGCTGCCGGATTTGGTGCAGGATTATATGGATGGCAAGTTGAAGGTGGATGAGTTCATCACGCACCGCCAGAACTTGGGGGGGGTGAATCAGGCTTTCACGGATATGAAGGCCGGGGATTGTATAAGGTGTGTAGTTGATATGAGGAAGGTGTAGAAGCGGCACCACTTCGCGGGAACTCTGGAGAAGAAAAATGGTCATGATGGAAGGGCGAGCTCAAGAGTCGGCTTTGGACGGGCCATGATGAGGATTACTTTGATTGCCTGGGTGTAGATGTTGAACGGATATAGCCATGATCAATGTCCGAAATCGACTACTACAGATGCAGACTTCGTCCCTTGTTTTTCCTCGTTCAACCTGGATGTAGGTCACTCAATCAGCCAGAGGCGTGTGCGTACTACCGAAGAGCTACGGACGGTCCAGAAGAGCGCCAGCAACGGCAACGGCCCTTGACATGAGCAGTTCGGCTGTTCATTGTACTGTGGACTTCACCTGCCGAAGACCCTCTCATGCACTCGAGCGTCACTTTCAGGTGGGGTCTTAGATTGTTTACGAGTGGGGCACAGCCACTGCGACGGCTGAAAGCTCGAAGATGTCGATCTCTGAGTACGATTAGATATAGAACGACAGTCGTCCTTTCAGTAAGAATTGCTGTTGTATCTTGGGCGTTATCCTTTTACTTAGCCCACACTCTAGACTGCCCTGCAGCATCAGGATCTAGATAGCCAATATGTCCACCACATCAGCGCCTCGCAACCCTCCGTTCAGGTAAGTAGCAAGAACCCAAACTTCACCATCAAGGTCACCGAACCATATCGCAGACCAAGCTCACCATCCTCTTCCTGTACAACAGAGCAGAACATCTCGGCTCCCTCCTCCGCCCCTCCAAACTCCTCCAGAAGCGCCAAGCCATCTACGACAAAAAGGACTCGGGCTCCGACCTTTCAGCATTGGAGGATGAGTGCGTAAGAGAGGTAGTGAAGTTACAGCAGGATTGCGGCTTTCATGCTATCAGTGATGGAGAGTACCGGCGGCATATGTTCTGGGGAACTTTCTTCCCCTCGCTGAATGGGATGAAAGAGATTACAGGGCCCGATCCCAAGATATTCCGGCAATATGTAAGTGCACCATCTTAGAGACCCATGACTTGAGGCAACGAGACTCACACTAACGCTCTCGCCAAGGTCCCCGACATCGCCGCCTTCCTGGAAGAAGAAAAGGTGCCTGGCGAGACCGTCATTTGCGAGGGCAAAATCTCCCACAGTGGCCAAAGCTCCTACATCCACCAATTCGAGTTCATGAAGTCCATCGTACCCAAGGAGAAGCACGGAGAGATCAAGCTCACGCTCGCGGCGCCGAATTGGTATCATCTCCGGTACGAGGAAGGGAAGGCGTATCCGAAGAATGTGTATGGAAGCGATGAAGAGTATTTTGGCGATATAGCCAAGGCGTACCAGGTGGAGTTGGGGATTTTGTATGACGCCGGGTTGAGATATGTGCAGGTTGATGACCCGAATTTGGCTTGTGAGTTGTGCTGTCTCCATGATGGGTGGGTATGTGCGTTGTGCTGACCTGGCTTATTCCTATCCTAGACTTCTGCTCCGAGAAGATGATCGAGGGCTGGAAGCAGGATAAGGCCAATACGCGCAGTATCGACGACTTGTTCGATGCGTATATCAAGTTTTATAACGATTGCTTTAAGCGGCCAGAGGATATGCACCTAGGCATTCACCTTTGTCGAGGCAATTTCGTCAACTCCAGGCATTTCTCCGAAGGTGAGTGAACCACCCATTTTCGAACGTGGGCGCGGAGCATTGTAAGCTGACAGGTCTTTAGGGGGCTACGACCGCATAGCCCGCAAGCTCTTCCGCGACCTGAACGTCTCGACCTACTACCTCGAATACGACACCTCTCGAGCCGGCGGCTTCGAGCCGCTCAAAGAACTCCCCAAGAACAAGAACGTCATCTTGGGCGTCATCACCTCCAAGTTTCCAAAGCTCGAGGACAAAGAGGAGATGAAGGAGCGGATCCATAAGGCTGCCGAGTTTGTAGCAGCGGGCAGTGGCGAGAGTAAAGAGGAAGCTTTGCAGAGGTTGGGTGTCAGCCCGCAGTGTGGCTTTGCGTCGCATGAGGAGGGGAATTTGTTGAGTTATGAGGATATGGAGAAGAAGCTGAAGTTGGTTCGACAGATCGCTGATGAGATCTGGCCGAGGCAGCCATGAGGTGGTGATTCACTGCGTAGGTTGTCTTGGATGGCGTATACCCCAAAAGCGGTGCTTCAACATCTTGGTGTATTATGATTGGTAGTCTTGTGCTTCAACAGGCAGATGTTGCGTCCTTTGCCACCTCACCATCCCTCACTTCTTACAAATGTGCCGATTATGGTCGAGTGAGGTCGGCAAGAACTTTCGTCCTTCATCTCCCACGGCCGTCCATAAAGCACAGCATCGCCACGGTAACAATGGTGGCGAGCACAAGCATCAAGGTAGCATCCAACGCAAGCTTCTTCCAGAACCGTCGTGCCTCGCCTGGATCAGGTCCAAAATTCGTCATGATCAAGCTGGTGATCAAGTCCTCGGAGCTGGCTGGCCCAACATCTGGAAAGTCCATAGCTACTATGCCGAATCGTCGTCTGCACTTCTGCGTGTTGAGAAAGGTGCATAAACGCGGATTCATGCCACTTTCCCATCGAAAGCTCCACCATCCACCTATGGCCACCTCGCGAGGCGGCAGCTGATACCAGAAGTTAAACTCGTAGGCGCTCGTGAAGTTCATATACCAGTGTCCTGGGTCCGGGTCTGCGGCAGCGTGGTTGAGGAGCTCGGCAACATCACCGCCTTTTGCCGTTACTAGGGAGGGTAATGGCTCTGGGTCGCCGAAGCTGTAGTGGTCTTGAATCGTTATTTTGACCTCGTGCTGTGTGTTGATCGTGAAAGGACGACTGGGGTTGTCTTGCCATTGTGTTACATCTATGCCGTACGCCCGCAACGTTGGGCCAGTGAAGCGTCGTAGCAGCTGGATCTTGCCGCGTAGTTCGCCGAGTGTAGGCGTGGTGTTTGCCGTGCGCCAGCGCGCGGGTGCTTGCGAAAGACTCCTCCAGATGGCATTAGCGAAGTGGATAGTCGATCGCTCTGGTTTCCTATCCTGTTTAATCTGGACAACGAGAGCTTCGCTTCCGTGAGAAAGAAGCCAAAGGTACATGGCATCCAGCACCATGCTGAGAGTGAGACCGAGGAGGATACTTCCGTGTACCATTTCTAGACCATCATCTCGAAGACCACAGCGGAGGTCAAAGTACCTAATCCCGGCATTGAGCTGCTCCATGATAGTCTTGTTCTGAGTCTGTATGAACGGCCACGAGTTCGTGAACGCGGCACTGTCATGGGTGCCAGGTATGGTCAGGGCAGAGATATTGTTGTCATCGTCCAGCTTAGACATCCATATCTCCCGCAGAGGCCGCTGGTCATCGTGCCTATCTTGGCCAGACCGTGTCTTTCGTGTACTCCCATATCCCTTCTCAGCCCGGCTGAGCAGGGGGGCATGTTCTTCGTCTTTGACATGGCGATCCCGCGCCCATCTAGCCTGTGGCAACATATTGCCTGATCATTCACATAGAGACTTTCGTAATCACAAGTGTATATGCAGTCCATGAGCCATTCGTGGAACTCGAAGAAATCATGATCCGCCATTCAATGCTGCCAGCATCAGCGTCGCGTATGCACAAAGCTGGACCAATTATGGTAAGAAGGCAGTGCATGTTTCTGTCTAGCGAGGTCTGGATGTCGTTGAGCGGCTCGGCAAGACTTCGGCAAGGCGATCAGTGTCAATGAACTTCACAGCACTTTCTCACATGGATAGGTCATAAACCCGAGCTTTGGAGAGTATACCTTGCAACAAATCGTACACACGGATCTGACAGGCTTGAGACGGTGACGGCCCACCGCGGTCGTTGCCAGGATGTCACGACCAACTGCTGTTTCGCGCCGCTCGACGAAGAGCGAGTATATTGAGACGGTAGGTTTCCATGAACACTGTATCGTCAGGTCATCCTCCTTCTGCTCTCTACTCCCTCCAACCATAGTGGCGCTTAGGACACAAGTGGGGGTTAGTATGATGCCATCGAGACTGATCAGCCACAATCGTAGGACACAGGGAACAAAATCTCGCGCCGTTCACATATCGAAGGCAAGCAGAATATAATGCTTGGTGGCAAGTCAGTAGTGATGGCTGGAGCGACGCTGCGTGGCGACCTTTACCGTGAGCAGGAGAAAGGCTCAGAGGGAGGCAAGTCTGGTGCTTTGACTGCGATCAATGTTGGACGGTGGGCACTCTTCAGAATTAGATGTGATGGCAGCTATCTGACATATTACAGAGCGAGCATCATCTCCACTGACTGCACTATCCGGCCGCCCATGCGGATCAGTCGTGGTCAAATGACTTTCTTTCCCATGCGGATTGGTGACAATGTTTTCATTGGCACTGGAACACATGTCTCCGCGGCTGCAATCTCTTCGCATGTCCATATCGGAGCGGATTGCGTGCTATCGCCATTTTGTATCATCAAGGAGAACTGCAAGATTCTCGCCGAGACCGTGGTTCCGGCTCATATGGTTATACCGGCTGGATCCATTGTGGGTGGTAGACCAGCTCGCATCATCGGAAATACGGGAGAAGGATGGGGTCAAGGTGGTGGAGGCGAAGGGGAGGAGTTTGTCGAAGGTGGAGATCTGCGGCCGTTGGTGCGGAGCATTAAATGAGCAAGGACGCTCGTCACGTTCGGGGCACGGAAGCTGGCTGTTCACGACAGACTCTCCAGATCGAAGGAGTGTGATACAGCCTCCTGGAACCGTTCGATGGCTCGACGCTGTCCTTGATGTGAGCGACCACCTCAACTTTGCCGGGCGACTGCCGCTTTTAGAACAGCGATCAGGCAATGACCACGGATACCCTCTGCAATGGGTTGAAGAGGCGCAGTGATCCACATACGGGTGTACTGCATTATGCAGGCACGACGCAGGTCTGTAATGCTTTACATACAGTCCGGAGCCTGGCTGTCATGTCGACATATAACGGCTCCCCGCCGGACGGTGTAAGTGACATGTATCGGACTAGAGGCAAAAGGGGAATTGTCCTCACGTGAGCATGGGGAGGGAGTAGAGCCCCTGTCTATACACCGCCAGCACGCATTCATACCTCCTTCCATCGTTTCCTTCATCTGATCTCTGGTCGTTTCTGCTGTGCCTCTACATCTAAACGTCCCGAAGGACTGCCGAACCCTATTTCGACAGTCGATGCCAAGATAATGTCACTTCCCCTCAAGATCGACACTAGAGATGTCGGCCTTAATTCGGCTGGCCTGCGGCGATTCGGCCTCGTGGCTAGGCTCATCCGGGAGAACTACGATGCATAAATCTGGATCAAAAGCAGATTCGTAGACGCGCATACTTTGGCAGATGCTTCGTGTGTCACCTGACTCGCTGCTGCCCGCCTTAGCTGGAAATAACGGCAATCCCCAGCTTGTAGCGGCTGTGCCGGTAGTTACCGATATGAGCTTCACTATGATCTTCGTTGAACATGACAGGCATGATGAATAGGGTGCTGTTTGGGGCGCAAGTGATGCGGCATGATAGCGGCCTGTAGACATGCGTCAATCTTTGGACTGCCAAATCGCTGTCGACTTCTTAGAGCCTAACGACGGCCAGAGGCCGATAGGCTAATGCTACATGTTTAATCAGGCTGGTGAGGTATGCGGAGGGGTTGAATGCTGATCTCTGCATGTCTCACCTGATACTCTGTCTGAGTATGAGGGTACGCTGAGGTTTAGAAATACGTTCCAGACATCGTTTGCAGCCTCCTAGCCATCATTCCATTATTGGGTTGTCTGCTCTGGGAGGCGTATAACGTACTGGAGCCAACGTCAATGCTCCTGCTGCGAAGACGACTTCCATTCGCCATCTGGTTGACTGCCGCTACAAGTCTACAAAACCAGGTCAGCAACTCGGGCCGTGAATGGGACAAGCGACGTCTTCCGAGATTCGGCGCCTGCAAGACAGCTCCCAAGTACCAGGCCTGTCAGCGAACGTCGAGCACGTGCCTCTTTCCTAGCCTTGATTTTGCCTTTTGCAGTATTGGCGAGAGCTCCCGTCGCGAGCCTCGCGTGTATAGCAAACACGTAGCATCTGATGCAAACTCGTCTGCTTCTCCTGCAGCAGTCTGATGATCAGCATAAGTGTTGCGCTTGAATCGCGGAGCTGCACCCAACGCTACTTCGAGTCGCTTACGCGGAAGGTCAATGCTTCCTCGGGAAATTCGCGCTCTAGCTAGCCGTGCCTTGTGCCACGAACGGTCATAATCGTCCGAAGACCGGGCATCATGGGAGGACCAGGGGACGCAAGGTCGCGTGCGGCGTGCCTCTCGCAATTTCTCAATAGCATAGATACATGACTTGTCAGCAGGTCGTGGAGCGGAGGGTAAGGCGTCAGCGCCGAATCGAGAAATCCTGTAGAACATCGACCTGCAAGCCAGAGGTGCCTCCCGCAATTGCCACGCGAAAAGGAATCAGCCATCGGCCTCCGAGAGGCTTCGATCGGAGTCCTGCCGCCAATCTCGCATCAGATCGAAATGGCTGACACCGGCAGCGAGCTGCATGTGGTGTGGTCCTGACAGCCGAGAGCACTGACACTTTTTAATTGGTGCGTGTCATTCAGGGCTCGTATCGAACACTAGCGCAACCGTTCAGCTTCGATGCCAGATCTGCCGTCTAACCTTTTGAAGGCAGGTGCATTTTATTCGAAGCCACAGCAGGCTCGGGGATACTTCTCGCAACGATCCTTCGGCTGTCTGGCTTAGCGGGCTACATGCTTCATAAGACTGTAAAGCGCGTGGGATAATTGCACCAGCGTACTAAAGTGGCTCAGAGCTTTCGGTCACAATAATGGTGAGGTTTTCGGCGTCAATCCGCGATGTCTTGCTGTGCCGTCAAGCTCGTGGTCGCATGTTCCCAAGCAGATCTCGATGACGAGATGAGATTCAGTCGGTGTTATCCTCCGGCCGGGCCCTTACAATCCGCTTTGAACCAACTATGCCTGTATCAGCATGTCAGTGATAACCAAGTGAGTAATATGTTATGGTTGTGGGTCCTGCTTTGCTGAGTCGCCACGACAAACATGGCGGCGGTGGACTTGCTGCGAAGGAACATGCACAACCGATCCATCACCACTAAGAACCCTGTAACTTCTTAGCGTACGCTGGCGCCGTCCCCCTCATCTTTCTACCCAGTACTCTAACTTCGATCGTGTCTTCTTACAATCCGGCTCTATATGTGACGCTATTATTCATATTTTGAATGGTGCGAGTCTTTGTGGTGTACCCGGCATTCAACATCAACACGCAATCACCAGTTGTGGTGACTATTGCCAGCGCTTGAAACCATCGACTGGTCGCCGTCATCTGGTTGGTGGCGAGATTGCGCGCACATCCTTCTGGGGCCCTATTTCCTTGCGACGCACTTCTATCAAACCGGTTCCGCTATTTGGCACGCTCGGCTCACAGCGCAGGTGTCGTCGACTGGAGCATACAGCTGTGTACGACGTGTCTGTGTCTACATTCTTACGAGGTGGACGTCGAAGTTGGGCATCGGTTCAGGCCCGATCTTCAGATCTCGGCTCAGAATCCGACCACCGTACCGCCCGCCAGGACAGACTATACCACTACCCGGCTTGTGTCGTTGCAAGAAGAAACCATTGCATAGATTGGGACCAGTATGGACGCAACTAGCAGACGGTATATATGACCAACCCAAACCACGCTGTCGGACTTGGACGAGACAAAGTCGTGATGACTGCATCATAGATCTTGTGCTGACCATTCGATAGGCCGCAACTACCTGCGCTTAGCTACCTGGATATCGGCAAGGTCAAAAGAGAAGAGGAGGCGTATCAAAGTCGCCATGGTGGCACTGCGCAAACTCTACCATCAGTGACGGCAGCTAGTCCTACGTACGCATATCCGTCTGGACCTCCACCTCCATACAGTCAACCGGCAGTAGCGTCGACGCTGCACGCAAGTGCATGGCCTACTACAACCTCTGCACATACCCCGCCTGAGTCACGGAGAGCCAGTGAAGAGGATGCCAAACAGAGACAATCTTTGCCTTCAATCTCGGAAGCGCTTGGCGTGGACAGCCAAACATCGTATCAATCCCATACGCGCCCCGCCGTTGCGCCTGCATCTCCTTTGTCTGCTGGGATAAAAAGATATGGTATGGAACCACCGCCAGCGCCAACGGTGCATACTTCGACAGGAGCCTTTGCACCACACAGGCATGAACCGCCGTCTGCCCTCCACCTGCAGACCTCGCAATCCGCGCCACTGCCGGCTCCTCAACAGCCCGCTTACAGTTATCCTCCGACTTCCTCCCCAAGCTCTACAAGCACATCTAGCTTTACCTATGGCTATACTCCATACCCATCACGATATGCGCAGCCTCCACCATCGACAACGAGTGCAGCGAACGGACCGATATACCAACCATCGGCATCGTACCCAGCACCACAAACGCCTTCGACGCCATGGAGATCAGAGAGCAGCACGAAGTTCGTTCCAAGCGAGCCCGCGATGGGGCCTGGAGACTACAGCGCTTCCGTCAAACGCCATCTAGACCTTTACGATCTGGAAGGCGCTTTGAACGAGATCAGCCAAAGTAGTAGCATTCTGACCGACTTTTCACGCCGGTATGGCGACCGTCTACACCAAACAGCAAGATCTGGTACACCTTTGGGATCACTACCTGGACTGGTTGAGGTGAATGACATGGTACAAAAGTCGCGCACACAAGTGGAAGCGCTACTTAAGATACGAGAAGTAGTACTGGCTCAGCAAGCAGCATATGATCAACAAATCGCCGAGCAGCGTCCCCCTAAACATCACGTTGATGAGCCAGCACCGGCAAGCCACGACCTCGACTCACAAGATGTCGATGAGTTGAAAGTTGGGTTCGCTGGCTCCGACACCAAGAAACGGCGCGGCCGTGCTGCGCCACCAGGCCGTTGCCACAGCTGCAACCGAGCAGAGACTCCTGAATGGCGGCGCGGACCGGATGGTGCCAGGACCCTCTGCAATGCTTGTGGCCTACACTACGCCAAGCTGACACGCAAGCAACAAGGCGTTAGTAAATCGGCCAGTAGCTCAAACTTGCGCCCAAAGGAGGCATAAGAAGGTGCTCATGAGGACACGAGACGGAATCGAGTAGACGACCTTCCGGCATGAGGATGATTTCTTTTGTCAAATCCCTTTTCTGTCAGCGATACCCACATATGCGCTCCGTTATTGCCTTCTCAGAGGCCATCGCTCGCGGCTGGAACTGCTGTGCGGAGGACCGACACATCATATTACGATTACGACGGACGTTATTAGACGCAACGACTGTACATGAACAGCATTGGCTCGAGCAGCGAGCGGCGCACGGGGACGGACTTTCAGGTCTCGTTCATCATCTAGCGAGGACTGGACTGGGTAGATCTACGCATATTATCTGAAGGTGCTTTTTGGGACGGTTTGAAGAGGTCTCAAGCGTGGTCTTTCAGGACTGCACAAAATTGGGTGGCGTCAAAGGGATTGCGACGGAACTGTGGGATACTACGTCGGGCTTCTAGGCCGTCAGGCAAGGACTGCGCACTGCAGTCGGCGTTTTTGTGCGATAGGAGAGCGTTGAGGGTGTCGCTTCTTTTTGCTTACTACTTGCCCCCAAGACTAAGATTGTACATACCATGGAATGAACCGATTTCTGTTCAAAGCAGAGATGCGCAGCGACGATCGCACTACTTCCTCGGCTTGCTTTGCAGCGAGGCGTTGATGCCCAACCCGATGGCTAGTGGTACGGTACTGTACTGCACTGCGGTGTGCATTAGCACCGTATGCAGGCTGACTGTCAATGTGACTGAGCCGGCATGAGAAGAATCGTGAGGTGCAGTAGCGAGGTCGTACGGTAGTGGCATTGTATATTTGGAGACCTAGGGTTCCAGAAGCGAGGCAGATGGTTCCCCAAAGCTGCAAATGCCCATATTGTTGACAGGTCGGTTGCACGACAGTTGCATTGTGTGAGGTGGACTAATTTTGGTTGATAGCGGGTTTTGGGTGCCATGTAGCAGCGAATCAGGACTGATAATGATGATCTGCTTGTGTGACAGCTCACTTATTAGTCTGGTCGAGATCTATCGGTATGCCGATGTTGTGGTTGATGCCGAGCTGTCATCGAGATGCCCCGATTTCCTCATTTGCACCACGATTTGGGCATGAGCTGGTCGTGTCACTAGTCAGCAACATCAATCCTGGATGTTGCCTTTCTCATACTCATACGCCTTCATTCTGATCAATACCTTATTGATCAGGTGGGCATCTGTGAGCCGCTCGGCTTTGTGGAAGTGGGATGAGAAAAAGTTCAGATGGCATCATGGTTTGTAATCCATTGCCGACGCGACACTCATGCAAGTGAATTATAGATCGCACGTGAATGGGTTTGGAGTGAATGGTAACCGCAGAGAAAGTGCTTTTTCTGTTTTCCCTTGGCACTCGTACTATATCTCTCTTGTGTCCATCTCTGCGCCTCTGCTCAAACCTCACCAGACGATTCGGTACTATGCGGTAGCCAGCAGCTCGCATTGCTGCATGTGCGGCGGAGAACGAGAGAGAAGAGAAGGCTAGTACAACCGGTATAGGGGTTACAAAAGTGTTGTAGGACAATGGGTCTGCTGTACGTTAACGGCAAGACGCATGCAAGGTACAGAGATTAACGCATGCTGCTGTAGAGCCACCGGCACACCGCTTGAGTGGCCCGAGGCCAAGAAAGTCGCTGGACATGTGCGCCAATGGGGTATCGAGGTACGGCGGAGAAGAGTTAGGTTGCGTGAATATCCAGCTCTGACAATATGGTATAGCAATTACTAGCCATATGGAATAAAGCCAAAGGCAAGGAACGAGATGCACTACTATGGGGTGATGAGGTACGGTAAGCGCTCTGGCAATAATCGTCGATGGTTCAGTCTAACACGCGGTCTAGATCGAATATCTAGTGGTTTCATTCGATGAGGAGAAACGGAGAGTGGTCCTCTCCCTGCGACAAGCCGATATCTTGGAAGCCCTTGCTAGTGATGCAGAACTCCTCAGGCAGGGTGGCGGCGTCCCTGACATTCAGACAGGAGACAAGAAGCACGGCAAAGTTGCTCCTACTTTCCACCCAGAGTTCGGACGATTCATGCTGGAAGCTACTCCCGGAGCTCCATGGGGCATTGGCTTCAAGGATCTGCTGGACGTCGAGTCCGACATGAAATGGAGGCGAGAGATCGCGAAGCAGCACATGTATGCTTGGGAGTACCCGATCACCATGACCAATTTCCCTATGCTTGGAGATCGGAAGTCGATACTGCCTTGGTTCCCCCCCTCTGGTTCGAGACTGCGATCACAATTTGTGCCGGATGAGATTGCCAACCCGCACATTCGGTTCCCAACTTTAGCCGCAAACATCCGAGCAAGACGTGGACGGAAGGTAGAGCTGAACGTGCCGGTGTTCCACGATGAGAAGACTGTCTGGCCGTTTAAGGATCCGACTGTTGACTATGACCTGCATGATTGGCCTGAAGACGACGATGTTCGCAATGGCGCTGCGAAGGAGAATCATATCTACATGGATGCGATGGCATTTGGTATGGGCACATGCTGTTTGCAAATCACCTTCCAGGCTAAGAACATCGAAGAAGGTCGTAAGATGTATGATCAGCTTTCGCCACTTGGACCCATACTACTGGCACTTACAGCAGCCACGCCAATCTATAAGGGCTTTCTGGCAAACACAGATGTACGCTGGAATCAAATCAGCCGAGCAGTAGACGACAGAACGCCCGAAGAGCTGGGCGAGAAGCCGTTGAAGAATGATAGATGGCGGATACCAAAGTCTCGATATGCCAGCAACAGCACATATATTTCGCAGGATCCCAGGCTACGACGAGAGTACCTTGACCCTGACCTTGTCTACGATCCTGAGATCAAGACGCGGCTGATGGAAGGAGGCATGGACGATCTGTTAGCAAGCCACTTCGCTCATTTGTTCATCCGCGACCCTATCGTGGTCTTCAATGAGGATCTCAAAAACCTTGACCTCGACAAGAATGACCACTTCGAGAACTTACAGAGCACAAACTGGCAACACATGCGATTCAAGCCACCGCCTACCGGTAGTGACATTGGGTGGCGGGTCGAGGTGCGACCAATGGAGATTCAGATCACAGACTTCGAGAATGCCGCCTTCTCAGTATTCGTTGTGCTGATTACGCGCGCGATTCTAAGTCTCGATCTGAACTTCTACTTACCTATCCAACGGACGACCGAGAACATGGAGACAGCGCATCATCGAGATGCTGTGTTGAACGATAAATTCTACTTCCGGAAAGATCCTATGCCGAGACGGCAGGCCCGCACAAACGGTGCCTCAAACCCGCCTTCAGGCGCCAACACGCCTAGACTTCAGCCCACTAGACCAGACTCGCCCTTCGGCCCTGTGGAAGACGAATATGAGCTCATGACCGTTGACGAAATCATCAACGGCAAGGCAGATAGTGTCTTCCCTGGTTTGATACCTCTGGTAGAGTCTTATCTCGACAGCGTCAATGTTGATGTTGAGACTCGTTGCGAGCTGGCGCAGTATCTGAACTTGATCAAGGGTCGTGCGAATGGCAGTCTTTGGACGGCCGCGAAGTGGATTCGGCACTTTGTGAGAAGTCATGAGAAGTATGGCATGGACAGTGTTGTTAGCGAGGAAGTGGCTTATGATGTCGTAAAGGCTGCTGAGAGGATCACGGAACAAGAGGGTAGGGATGGATTCGCCAAAGAGATGATGGGGGAGTGCCGGCAGCAGTCCTGAACCGATTTTGGCTCAAGACTTGAAGCACGATGATTTCAGCAATTCTTTCACATGATATAGGCAGCTTTCGGCGACCTTTAGATGCTCCTAGATATGCTATATGCTACTAGACATGATAATGTACAGCTGAGTAGTTGTACTTCCCCATTTTTACAATATACCAATCGGATATTGCAGTGGAATGTTGCCGGTGTTCGGCTTGACGACAGGCACCTCCTGATACATCCTCGTCTCTAATACCTGCGTAGCCCATGTCGGGGTCTTCCTGACTCTACCCATTTGCTCGACCTGATAAGCGGTCTGTAGTAACGTTTCCTCGCTCCACGGCAGACCAAGGATCTCCATGCCAATCGGTACGCCTTCCGGTGCCGTCGCAGTGGCGGGACTGAACCCTACAGGGATAGTGACGACGGGACTTCCTGTCAAGGCAGCTAAGATACCATTCCTGCCACTTTGCGATGGTGAGCCGATTGGGACCACCAAGTTCTTCTGCTCTGGGTAGATCATTGCGTCGAGATTGTTAGCAGCAAAAGTGGACCGAAGGGCGAGGGTTAGGTTAGCGATGCCGCGCTGGACGTCGCTGTAAGAAAGGTGGCTGTTCCAGGTCTGGTTGCCAGTGGAAGAGACGAGCGCCGTCGTTACGTACTCGTACTGGCTGGGTATGACTAAGAATCTGCTGCTGTTGTAGAGCTCATTCAGAGTCTGTGGGTGTCGGCCTCCAAGGCTCGAGCGTTGTAGATAGGAATCCATTTCCTCACGATATTCGTATCTCTGTGTATCGAAGACGGCTAGCGCAGTGGCATTGTACAAATTGTCCTTTATGGGTACGATCGTGGCTCCTGCTCGTCGAAGCCTACTTGTAATGTTGGCCATCGCTCCGTTGACCGGCGTCGTCTCGGAAGAGTTAGTCATGTTCATGAAGCCCTCGAGTAAACCCAGGCGTAGACCTTTCAAAGAGCCTTTGGTCAGTTCTGTGGTGTAGTCCAGTCCACGGCTCGAGGGTGGCACAAGGGCAGTTGCATTGTCCATGGAGTCGTAGCCAACACTCGCCATGACAGTGAGAGCTGTCGCTACATCTTCCACGCATCTAGCTATGGGGCCGATCACATCTTGGGTATAGCTAATCGGTATTACGCCAGATCTGGTAATTAGACCTCGAGTAGGTCTGCAGCTGAACAGGCTATTGGCACTAGCTGGGGAACGAAGACTGTTGACTGTGTCTGTCCCCGTGCCCCAGACAGCGAAAGACGCAGCTACTGCGGCGCCTGTACCACCGGAACTGCCGCCGGGCGTTCGTGTTGAGTCATACGGATTGACCGTTTGGCCACCAAGCGAGGAGACACTCAGTCCTTCGAGCGCGAGCTCATGCAGGTTTGATTTCCCAAGGATGATGGCACCGGCCTTTTTCAATGCGGCTACCGCCGGTGCATCGACACTTGGTCTCGAGTTCGCGAGGTCGAGGTTTCCACCGGTAGTTGGCAAGTCAGCAGTATCATAATTATCCTTAAGAAGTGTAGGTACACAGAAGAGTGGTCCCAGAGTGGCATTATTTGCTAGCAGCTCCTCGTCGTATGCATCAGCTTCGGCAAGAGCGTCCGGATTCAGCGAGATAATCGCGTTGGTGCAGTTGTTCAACGCCTCGATTCGGGCCAGGAAGGACGAGACTACTTCACGACATGTTGCCAGCCCAGTATACAAGCTATGGTGTGTCGATGCGACAGTTGCTTCTCGAGGGTCGAATGTAGCCCATGTGTGCTGAGCCAGACAGAAGCTGATGGCTAGGATACACAAGGGCCGTGGCGACTTAGGCATACTGGTTCGGCTAAGGGAGTTAAGTGTCGACCAATATCTGGCAGTCGAGAGATGAGACGTGAAGACATGGCAGTAATACTCATGTCGATTGACAGCACTCTGCGTATTGTAAGAGTACGTGAATGGATCTCCGCAGATAAGCTCGGGAGATACTACAGGCCAGCCGCGACATTGGCATTGTTGTCCACATTACTAGGACCCGGTAATCTTGGTACGCACTGGCAAGCCACTGAAGCCGCTGTATCTCGTCTGACATCACAGTACTGGCTTGGCAAGCTAGGCTGTAGATGGAAGGTCAGTATTCAAGTCTCGAGTCATGTCTCAACAGCGATGAGAGAGCGAACTTACTCACGATCTGCTTAGCCAGATCTGGTAGACGGGCTGCTCTCCATGATGGTTGGCGATTTCGAGATCATCCGCTACGTACCAGGCGCCACCGTAGAGCATAATACGCACTTGGAGATGCCCTGATATGGCCAGTACTCTTGTGGAGGGATTGCTTGATCCAGCTGGAAAGAGAGGAGCTCGCCGCGGTAGATCAAGCGATATCTCAATGCCCAAGTCTTGACAACATATGAGATTTCAAGCTCCAGTGATCGTCGTTCCAGTCATGCCCTGCTCTACTCCTTGCACTCCTCCCAGATCCTCGAGAGTCTGGCTTTGCAGCACATCGACATCGAGCTCCTCCATGACCTGAGTTACCACACCTAGTGACTCGAAGAAGCCGTTGACTGCCACACGCAGCATGCGGTTCGTCGTGGCCTTGTAGTCAACTCTGAGCACGATCTTGCTCTCGTCGTCGTTACTTGTTGTATCGAGTGCATGAGATTCACTCGAAGCCTTGTGTGCTGGGGGCACGACATTCAGAGTCTGAGCAGGTTCAGAAAGAACAGTATTTCCATTCAGAGAGATTTCTGATACATCCCTCTGAGTTTTGGCCAAGTCGATTGGGTCTGCTGACACAAGACTGAAGGATCGATTGACCAGGGAAGATAATTCTTCGTCCACAGCTAGAGTACCAATAGCTGTCTTAGCCAGACGATGCGTCGGAAATGGAATATGGATGACCCTACCTTAGTCATCAGCCTCTAATGTCAAGCGTAAAAGTGATGGAATAGCCATACAGTGAGCATGGAAATGCAGCATCGATAGGCGCCATAACATTTGTTGGCCCAGAAGATGACGAACAGTGTTTCGATGCCGCCGATACATAGAAAGCCGTGGATCTTTGTCAACACGAATCTTGCAGAGCCTCACGCAACCCCACAGCGCCCACCCCCAGAAAGTCAATGCTCGATGATGGCATTTCAATGTCATTATTTGCTTGGACCTACACAGTATGGGAGTCGAGGCACATAATACTCCTTCATACAACAGACAGGCCTTCACGTCTGCGAAGATCCAAGATGACGACCCCTTCACCCTCAGAGTTCCTGACCTTCAGCCACCGGCTCACAACATCACTACTTTACCGCTCTCGTCCCGTCTCCAGACTACCTATAAGACAGTTCACCGCATCGACAGTATCACGAGCGGACACAGGATCTGGTAATATCGTCAGTGACAAGGGAACTCAACAAGCACCCAAGTCTGGAAACGAGACCGGGGGCAGTCGCGAGCATGCATTAGATAAGGGCAACAAGAACGACCCAAATATCCAAAGCTACGAAAGTAGTGCCGGAAGAGCGTATGTCTGCGAATCCAAACCACTGCATAAGCCACAGTCTGAACCAGCACTGCCCCTATCATCGTATCAACCAGCAGACCCAGAACCAGGAGTCGAACGGCGCTATACACGAACGCTCAACCTCCGCACGGGCTCCGAACACTCTTTCTCCATACACGATGACGTTCCACATGAGAAGACGTATGCTGACGCCATTCGTGCACAGCGAGAGAGCCAACGATAGCGGTGGCAACACCACTCGACAGAAGGACGAGAGAAACAGTACGGAGAAGGCGAAGAAGGATCATCCCGAGGCGCCGGATGTGGTGATTGGGATGCAGGACGAAAGGGGTGGAAAGGGTGCTTGAACATTGCATGAGCTCGGTCTTTGGAGGAGACGATGTATAGTAAAGGTTCCCGCAAGTATGCCCTCCGCCTCGGAGCAGACGCAATTTGTCATGAATTAAATGTAAGATGTATATATTCTGAACGTGCACATCAACGCCTGTGCAAATGATCTGTGTCTTGGACATCCGATCATTTCAGACTCAAATGAGAACATACACCACGTCGTCGTTGACAGCCTCGTACACATCGGGCGGTATATGTGGAGTCATAGCATGATATCGATAAATCGCGGATTGGTACGTAGAATCGCGCCATCTTTCCAGCAGATTGTCCCGGGTCTCGTGAGCTTGCCAACACCGCAGTCATGAGTCTGCGAGGCCTATTACAAGGAACCCAGGCAATTGTTTCGGGTCGAGCATATGCGTCACGCAACGCATTTGCTTGGCGTGAACAGTGACTTTGGCCACTTCTGCCGTTCCTTTTTCAGCACTACCACGTGAACACCAGATTCCGATAATGTTACTTTGTTCACACCACGTGCATTACCACCGCCTGGTAATAAGAGGTCTATCGATTAGCACCCACGTGTCCTGGAGTACCAAGCTATGAGGCTCAGGTCTACCACTTCCAATGGCCTGGATATGTCCCATGACGCAGTCCGCGGCTTTCAAAGACCCGGAATTGCAAATGTCAGCGATGAATGGATCGAATCGGACTTCGTAGCTTGACTGCAACAGACATCTAGCTAAGCTTCGTCTGACGTTTTGAGGGCGTGCTTCGAACTACTCTGGCCATTGGACCTAACTCTCGCCATCACGGCTTGGCCTGACAACGAACTCTATATTGAGATGAATGATGAGGCCAATGCTAGATGATATCCGAGTAAGGTGAGAGATCCTAGTATAAGGCTGCCCTGTCGCCTTCCCAACACCTAAGTAAGACCTACGGACGTCCCTTGCACCAGCACACTTCTTGTATACTTGATCGACAATGGCAACCTGGATCGCCACCAGTGCATTGGCACTCGCTTGCCTCTCTTTCACACACGCGGCATTGACAAACTCCACACCACAGGCACTCAATTCATACTTAAACAATATTATACCAGCTGCTCCAGGCGGGCCCACATTATGGTACAATGGATCCGGTCCTGTCCCATCCTACAACCTCACCTCTCCAATACCTGCACCCATCACGCCACTCAACTCGACTCTTTCCATCGAGAACAATCTCTACAACGAGATCATAGGTATTGTGAATAGTTCCATGACCAGCTGTGGCAAGTGCATGAGTGGCGTGGAGCTTATGCACATTGCAGCCATCACACAACCCGTATCTGTCGTGACCGACCTACTAATCCGGGCTTGTAATGCTATCCCAGCGTTCCAGGACACAATATATGCTCAGACTTGCTATCAGGAGTTCAGCGGAATCGGAGGCCTTGGGCCATACTGGGCGCAGCTGTTCTCGAAGATGAGCATGGCAAGTATTACTCATTGATTGACAACCAGCATGATGCTAATGGTAATAGGCCACTGGGGATATGCAGGCCTTTTGCCACTTCAACTACGCCGTTTGCGATATTCCCCCTACAATCGAGATCAACGAAAGCGAGTGGTTCACGCCCAAGCCGGCATCGGCTAATGTCGTACCCATGCCTTCGACAGAGACTTGTAGGTCATACATATCGTTCGGAGCTCTATGTAGCTTAGCGGCTGACAAAGATCGATCAGATAATGTGCTTCACATCTCTGATTGGCATCTTGACCCACGCTACGATATTGGCAGTGAGGCCAACTGTTCGCAGTATTTATGTTGCCGGCCGTACGCTACAAACACCAAACTCCACACGACCTCCAACAATGCCTCTGTCCCAGCTAGCAGATTTGGCTATCTCTACTGTGACTCGCCTCCTGACCTTGCACTGTCATCCTTCACTAGCATGCATTCTTTCTTCGATGTGGACGATGTGTAAGTTGGTCTACCCTAGTACCGCAGCAACAGGCTGACTTCCGCAGCTGCTTCACCATATTCACCGGCGATATTGTGTCTCACGACAATGACGACCAGCTTAGCCGGGCATACATAGAGTACGAGGAGACCGTAACTTACCAGACTTTCAAAGCCGAGATGGGCAACATACCAGTCTACCCAACGCTCGGGAACCATGATTCATTGCCAGAGGCCTACAACACTCAGAACAGTCTCAACCCAACCTCGAATGCCAGCTCGAACGCTATGAGTTGGAACTACAATTTACTATCTTCGATGTGGAACACAGATGGTTGGATCGACGGAGCTGAGGCTCAGTATGCTGCAACGCATTATGGAGCGTACGCTCACACTACTAGCGAAGGCCTTCGTATCATCTCGATCAACACCGACTTTTGGTATACCGGCAACGTATTCAATTACTGGGACTTCACTAATCCCGATACCTCCGGTGTCTTACGATTCCTCGCCAACGAGCTTGCCACGTCTGAAGCCAAAGGCCAGCGTGTATGGATTATCGGCCACGTCCTCAGCGGGTATGATGGTGGGAACGCACTTCCCAACCCATCGGCGCTCTTTTACAGCCTAGTACGTCGCTACAGCCCTGCCACGATAGCTGGTATATTCTTCGGTCATACCCACGAGGATCAGATTGAAATATTCTATGACTACCTGCCCAATTCGACTATCACCTCCGGCAACGACAGTGTCATACGTAACACGACCATGGTGGACTACAGCAAACCGTTGATGATGGCTTTTATCGCGCCTTCTATCACTCCATTGACAGGTAACAACGCCGGCTACCAGCTCTACCAGATAGATCACAAGACCTTTCAAGTCACGGATATCCAGACATACTTCGCCAACGTCTCCGAATCTTTGACCTGGACAGAACCAGAGTGGCAATTCGAATACGACTCTCGCTCAACGTACAACGTGAATGGCACATGGCCAGCAGCAGCACCACTGAATGCTACTTTTTGGCATGCGGTCACCGAGAGCATGCTCACGAACCAGAGTCTGGTTGAGAGATATAATTTCTTGGAGACGAAGAGTAGTGTTGTTACCCAGAACTGCTGGACCAAGGCATGTGCGGTGCAGAAAGTGTGTTATATCAGAAGTGGAAGTGCGGCCTTGGGCTTGGCTTGTCCTCAGGACGACGGACCTTTTTGATCGACGGTCGATTCACGAGTCAATATGTGGAAGACTGTGCTGTGATATATACATAGCTTCCGTGCTGAACTTTCAAAGACGTCGCTCGTCAGACTCGTTCTGTTGTGTCTGGCATGCAGCGTCACTTGTAAGAACTACGTTCAAGATCTCCTAAGCTGCGTCTCCATACGTGTACATGGTTGTTCTGTGACGTCGTGGCGAGTGCCACGAGAATCGCGTAAGAAGTGGCAAGAAGATAGAACAGGAAAGCGTTATCAGGGATAGGTAAGGGCTTAGCCACATCGCGGTCTTTGCACACTGGTCGAACGGTACCAGGCCAAAATATATCTGGTGCATAACTACGGACGAACAGTCTCATTCCTAGCAAGCTTAATACTCTACGGCCGATGTGGCCAGAACAGAGGGCCATCTTTCAGCGAACCAAAGGGGTGATGCTTCAATGATTTTCCAGCGGCCTAGCAGGAGGCGCCCGACGGCACACCCTTGCAGGAGCTGCTCTTCTTGCCACCAGTCACACTGACACCAGACCAGGTCCAGCCGGAGCAAGCGGCGCACAGAATTTGCACCTCAGTCGCAGAGCTGGTGACGGAGCCAGTGATGCCATTGAGCGTGAGACCGGTAATCGGGACACCGCTTGTTGGGGTGCCAGTTGGCGAGCTACGACACAAAATCAGCACGCAACTCCCCAATCCCTGGATCTAAGACTTACCCGTTCTCATAATCCTGCTCAATGACCACACCGTATTTGGTGATGCCGGAGAGCTTGATGTTTTTGTACGTAACACCCTTAACAGAGCCAGTAGCGCCAGAGACAGTCTTGATACGGACACCGTTCTGCGAGTTGCTGATGCTGGAGTTCTCGATCGTGACACCGCTGACGGTGTTGTCGGAGCGTCCGCCGACGGAGCCGATGGAGAGACCATGACCGCCTGAGCAGGTACCACCGGTGAACGTGATATCCGTGCCGGAGTTGATGGCGAGACAGTCCTGGAAGATCATGTTAGCAGTCGTCGTACCACGAAAACTAATGTTTCACGTACATCCTGGTTCTTGCAGGTGATCCCGGAGATCGTAAGGCCAGTGATGCTGCCCACATCGAAACAATCGGTGTTGTGCCCACCTCCAGCATCACCCGCGGAGTTGTCGATGGTGCCTCCGTTGATGGTCAGACCATCGGCGCCGTTGACGCTGTATACCTGAACTGGGGTGTTCTTGATATTGAGGCTGTTGATTGAAGATTTGCCGATCATGTTGTGGGCATAGAAGAACTTGGGCTTGGTCTTGCCACCGTTCGAGCCCTGGCCATCCCAGTACTTGGCCCCTCCGCCGTCGAGAATTGCACCGGAAGCGCCAGTGACAGAGATATCGGTACCGGAGACGCTGACGAGAGGACCAGCCCACTCCTTGTAGCCAAAAGTTGTCGTGCCCTGGAAAGTGACCTAGAATGGTTTGTTAGGTCAAAATTCTCACACTAGCCACAATATGGAGATCTCGTACCGTAGTGCCCTGCTTCAACCCAGTAAGATCAAGTGTGGTCCCAGCCGGCACTACAAGAGACGACAAGACAATGGCCGAGCAAGAAGTCTTTGACTTGGCGACAGCAGCCGCGCCAGTGCTACCGGAGAAGGTACACGAAGTGGAAGCCCTCTCCTCAACCTGGATGGGAGTGGCAAGAGCAGAACCGCCGAATAGCGCCAGCGCCAAGGCGAGAGTGGAAGTGGTGTATTGCATAGTTCAATATCTCTGGAATGAACGAGTGACAGAAGTGGAAGTTTTTGTGAGTATGAGAGAGAGAGGTATTAGAAGGAGAGCGGATATACTTATATTCCCTTATACATGTTCTCGAGAGTGTCGTCGCGATAGCGTTCTTGAAACGCTTCTCCACGTTTTGGGTCGAGGTGTGCAATTTACAAGCGAGGTCACACTATATGTATTCTTCCGTCCTTCAAGACCCACCTGGCTCCGTGCTGGATGGACGTCGGAGAGCACCGTGGAGCCCTAGAACGGAGAATACTCGTGGGTTACCACGCGAGGAGCTGCGTGGGCTCCAATTGCGGCCAAAGAGGAAGCCCAGCTGGTGGAAGTCGAACTGCACAAGCAGGAGTCCGTGCGTGCCACGGAAGCTTGACTAGAGCCGGAACATTCTTGGCTAGCTTCGCGAGTATAGTAGTGTATCCTCGTGCCAGTATAAGGCAATCGCCATCGCTATTGGCGGAAGCAGAACTTCCATCCACGCAAGAAGTACCGCGAAGAGTCCGTGGGAAGTGTGACAAGCGATTATAGTATCGACGGTCCGTGATGATCATGCCAGACGTTTGGTCCACGAGTCGCTAGGACCGGACGTGCTACCGAGTCTGGGCTGATGTTGTTTCAGGTAGAAGGCGTCGCTTCAGAAAATCGAGGGAGAAGCCGCACTGAGCACGGTCCCACCAACAGCAACGACAGCAACGGATCACGTGTCGGATGAAGTGACGAGATATACGCAGCACATGTGAGATAGCCACAGCAGACATGCAAATGAGTGACTTGGCTTCTGTGCTCACAGAGAGCAACTATCTACCACTTTGGCGAACGCAGCACTAAATGAAGGTAACTTCTGCCCAACCGAGCAGGGAGCAGCGTCAAAATCAGTAAGCAAAAGGCATTCTCGGTCGAAGTGAATCTACAGCAAGGCTGCCTGGTATAGTCATGCCGAAGACTGGTTATGGATTCCATGTCCCTACAGGTACGACTTTCGACGGGATGCATTGTCCTTCTCGATCACACGACACCCAGCACAGGTGCGCAGATGGAGTCCCAGCCGAGGCCTCTCCCAGTCTTGTCGCAAGTCCAGGATGTCTGGCTATCAATACCAACGAGTCAAGGGACGTGTGCGGGACCGAATGTCGTTGCGTTTGATGACAGCACAGCTTTGCTCACCGTCCACTTCATGGGAAACATAGCAGCCCAGTCTGTTGCCATAGACAAGGTGGCGTTCGTACTGGTTGCCGACGAGACTTCATGCATGGCTTTGGATCCATCATCCATCTTCCGGCGTTCGCTGAGCGGTTGCCAATTGCCCTTGCAACATAGCATAATAGCATAGCACAAAATCGCACTTGTCCGAGTATAACAACTCACCACAATCCTTTAGAATCAGCCACCACCGACCTGGCTAGCAAAAGCCGAACTAACACTCCTCGCATCCTCATCCCCATCACCGAGCGTAGACCGATTGACCTGTCCTCGTCCCGCACCAATCGGTGCCTGCTGCGGCTGTTGCTGCGTACCCTCCACAAACCGTCTCAATTTATCAGACTGAGAGAGCGAGGCTTGCTTGTTTAGATCGTTGATGCTTAACCCTGAGAGACTGACCCCGCCGTGGCTGGGGTAATGTCCACCAGAACGCCCTGGACCACCGTTCACGTTGACGCCAGAGGATGGCCCGCCGTTGGCGGTGGCAGAGGTAGTATCCGTGATCTCCGAACCAGCAACACTTTCACCCGCTACACTACCCGGCGCAGCAGGAAGATGAGCCGCAGGACCCCTCTGCTGCCCAGGCATCGAACCAGCACCCATACCATTTCGCTGCAAAGTCGGCCACGTCTCCTGAAAGCCGTGGAAAACAGGCGGGAATTGCTGGTTCAGCATCGCACCACCACCACCGACAGAACTAGAATGCACAGAACTGACATCGTCAGGGATATACCCCATCACGCTGCCACCATCCATACCCGTCGGCTGCTGCGAACCATCTGGACGACGTCCAGAGCCAGGAACAGAAGGCCCGTTGGCGCCCGGAGGCGCACCGTTCATCCTCGCGCCCGGCGGACCGCCAGCGGCAGAAGCGGAAGTCGCAGTGCCGGCGTTCTGGAAAGCCATCTGGTAGCGCTGCGGTCCACGATACATTTGCTTTGGCCTCCCAAACTGCAAAAGCGAGACCTGAAGATTCGAAAGCGGACCCTCGACTAAACAATTCCGCTCCTTGAAATGGAGGAGCAAGTAATGCCATAGCGGATGCTTGCTTAGCACCTTCGGGTTCCCCAGGATAACAAGCCCGTACTTCGCCCTCGTCAGCGCCACATTCAACCGCCTCGGGTCGGAGAGGAAACCGATGCCTTGGTGATCATTGCTTCGCACGCAAGAGAGAACGATGAAATCCTTCTCTCGCCCTTGGAAAGCATCCACGCTCGCGACCTCAATTTCTTTATACACCTCCTTTGGGAAGGTACCGGTCTGCTGCATGCTTTGCACCACATAGCTCCTCTGCCCCTCATACGGCGTGATGATACCAATACTCTGCGGCGCGACACCAGCCTTGAAGAACCGCTCCACAATCTTGACCACATTCTGCGCTTCGGTGCGGTTCAAATATGATGTCCCCGAGGCGGAGATCTCTTCATTTCCGAGGTTAGACCAGAACATCATAGGTGCATCGAGGACCGGCCAGGGGAAGTCCACGTTCTTGAGTTGGCGTTCGTGCATGGTTATGCCGTTCTGCAGGGAACCTTCGTAAAACATGTTCGATGGGAATTCGGACAAGCATGGATGCATACGGTACTGGACCTGCAGTCTGATCGGCGCACAGCCCAGAATCACCAAACGCTCGAAGAGAGATTGGTTCAAACCCGCTTTGGCAGCTTTCTTGTTCATGATCACGGGTCCAAGCTGTTGGTGGTCGCCGACGAGAACGACTTGCTTGCAGCCCAAGACTAGCGGGATCATGCATTCAGGCTCTGCAGACTGCGTACTCTCGTCGATCAGGACAGTGCGGAATTTGAGCTTCGCAAGTCGAGGGTCGCCGGCTCCGACGCAAGTACAACAGATCACGTCGGCGTTGCTCAGGATCTCACGTTCGGCAGCACGAGTCAAAGCCTTGAATTTCTTCTCGTCTTGAGATGAGAGCTCGCCAAGCTCGGCTTTGAGCTGATTGAGCTTGTTGAGTTCGACGTTTGTGTCGTTCATCTGGACTTGGCGGTGCAGAGACAAGAAGGAAACGGGGCTGTCGACGTCCTCTCGTGACTTGGCTGTAACTCGGACACATTTCAGACCAGTCTTGTGAATGCGCTCACAAAGCTGATCAACAGCAACGTTAGATGGCGCGCAGACGAGCACTTGACCTCCATTGATCTTGCTGAGGTGATAGATGATGGTCGCAGAAGTGACAGTCTTGCCAGTGCCGGGTGGACCCTGAATCAAGCTGAGTGGCTTCTGCAAGACAGACTTAACTGCATTGATCTGACTGCCGTTGAGATCAGGCAGGTTGGGCACACTAAATTTCCGTGGCATGTTGACCTTCATTGGTGCGGCCGCAACTTCGTGGCCAAGCAAGCGATGGAAGATGTAGCCAGACACGGACATCTCGTCGATCGCGAAGGTCTTCATGGCATGCTGCATGCGATCGAATGAAGTGGCTTTCCACACGTAGTCGGCCGTGAAGTTGTGAGTGCACTCTGTAGGCACGCTTTTGTGATCGCCACGGCTGCGCAACTCAAGCTGCACCTCGTCCGACAGATTGTTGGGGATCTTGACAACGTAGCCAACGCCCTCCCAGTGAGGACGAAGCTCGCCCGTGTAGCGCAAGCGCATCTCATCGCCGACTGCCAACTTGACATCACCCAGCTCAAGCTTTGGTAACACAAATGAAGCAAGATGCTTATTGTTCAAGCCAAAGTCCCACCGCACGATCAGATTGTCCTGGCTCTGCGCCTCCTTGAGCTTGCGATCGTAGTCTGCCTCGATCTTGACCAGCGGACCAAAGACGTTCTGGTACTGATATGCGTCGTCATACCGCAAGAGCACTGGCGCAGGCTCATCGTCGATGCCAGCATTCTTCTCAAGATCCTGAATCGTAGCGCTTGCATTATCCTTCCACAACTCCTCCAGCTTGGCAATGACTTGTGGCTGCAAGTGGCGAGCGCGCATCTGCTCCTGATCTGACGGTGACGTGACGAGCCATGGCAAGAACGAACGATCCTCGATCAGTGGCTGCCATTTCGAAGTGTCCCAATTCATGTCTTTGCTGCTGGGCATCGCAGCGCATGGCTGACGACACAGAAGCACGACCACGGTATCGCTTTTCGCCGGGATGAAGCCGAGGAGGAAGACATTCTTCGTGCCACAATTGTAACATTCCAGTGTCGTGTCGCCGAGTGGAGAGGAAGGATGGAGCTGCACTTCCTTGTGTCGAGCACGGACGAGGTGGTTGATGATGTGGCTGCTGGAAGTGTTGCCCCGCGCTGAGCAGAACCATTTCGAGCAAGATAGACACTTGACCACCGAGCTCGGGTTGTGGATGCCGCAGTACGCGCAGGCATGTGCTGGCAGCTCGACCTCCTCTTCTTGCTGCTGGCCTGCCTGTCCATTCGCACCGTTGACTGCATGGCTTGCCAAGGACTCCAGGTCGTCATCGTCGTATACCTCAGCCTCGTCGTCGTCCCCCACACGTCTCCTGCGTGGTCCTCCATTCAAGTTCCCACGGCCGTACTCGCCATCAAGTGCACTTTCGCCGGCGTCTAGGGTGGAGAGATCGTCGCCCTCATTGATTGCCGAGGCTGAGTCACCGACTAGGTGGTTGCCGACATTCGTGAAGGCGCCCAGATTGGTAAAGGCACCTTCCATTCTGCCTAGTTGGCGCCTCGTAGCGGGTGGTTCGTGTGTTGAAGTGTTATGTATGCGGCGGGGCACCTCCGCTGTCCTGTTACTGTCACTGCCTCCTCCGCCCCCTAGCGATTGTCTGTGAAATGTGATCTGATCTTCTGATCCACCCCTCCTGCACTGCTTGTCACTGGTAAAGTGCTAGGACCAGCCTTGACAGGTGGGATGTTCTGTTTGAAGCAAGTGTGCGGCGAGCCCTTCACGAGAAGCTGCAGGCGAGCCGATCTGCAGCTAGTGTAGAACTAGGGCTTGGCGCGCTGTGGCGCTTGTGAGTGGCTGAACATGTGAACTTTTTGGTCGTCGATATCGATAGCAGAACTGTCTCTTCTTCCTCCTTCACAACATACACCAAAATGATAAGAAGACAAGCCCGCCAGCGTCGCGACTACCTCTACCGTCGCGCTCTCACCCTCCGCGATGCTGAGATTGCCGAGAAACGAGCCAAGCTCAAGACATCCCTTGCGACAGGAAAGCCGTTGGACCCAAGTATCGCCAACGACAAGCAATCACGACAAGACTATAAATACGACGAGACACGTGCAGACCGCAGTACACAAGAAGAACTCGACCTCGATGACGAATACTCCTACCTCTCCGGCGTCGTCGACCCACGAGTGCTAGTAACCACCAGTCGCGACCCCAGCACCCGTCTCGGCAGCTTCGCAAAAGAGATTCGCCTCCTCCTACCCACAGCGATACGACTAAACAGAGGCAACTTGATCCTCCCGAACCTCGTCGGCAGTGCTAAATCCAGCGGCCTAAGCGATGTCATCCTCCTACACGAACACCGTGGTACACCCACCGCAATGACCATCTCCCACTTACCTCACGGCCCCACCGCCTCCTTCTCCCTCCATAACGTCGTCCTCCGCCACGATATCCCGAACTCCACCCGCGGGACCGTAAGCGAAAGCTACCCGCACCTCATCTTCGAAGGCTTCACCACCCCACTCGGAAAGCGCGTGGTGAAAATTCTGCAACACCTCTTCCCTCCCCGCGAGTCCGCAGGTTCTACTAAGCTTGGGAGCAGGATCGTATCGTTCAAGAATATTCAGGATTCGGTGGAGGTGCGACATCATGTTTTTGTCAAGACGGGGTATCAGAGTGTGGAGCTGGCGGAGGTCGGACCGAGGATGACGATGAGGTTGTTTGAGATCCGGCAGGGGACGGCGGAGAATAAGGAGGGGGATGTGGAGTGGAGGTTGACGCAGTATACGCGGACGAGTAAGAAGAAGGATTATTTGTGAGATGTGTACAGAGGATGGGATGTGATAGTGCTGGGTTTAGCGATGGCGTCAAAAGCGAACATATAGTTTGAAGAGCGACACATTTCCAGCGATTTCTCTGTTGGCATTACTACAATGGCACGACGCGGTCGTCAAGGGCATTGCTGGCGGCGGCGGTCCATCGCATGGGTTCGACCGAAGTTGTGCCCGGACTGTCCTCAGGACGCGCTCGAATGGCTGGACACCATCTCCATGTCTCCGCCCTGTCATCAGGCATTTGATGGAGAGATCCAGATTTCGCAGTGGAGTCGCGGCTAGAGGCAGTCTACCGCTATCGCAGATCACCTGTTCATGCCGGCTATTCACAAGTAGTCATGCGGCTAAATTTAACAGATACAACCCAAGAGGCCCACACATGGAGATAGAAACGCATGGATCCACAACGAAGTCAGGTTGTGAGGCAGTGGCAAACAAATGTGCGAAAAGGCTAGAATGGAGTTCCAATACCAAGCCGGTTGTTTTGCTTCATCCCCACTTGGCCAAGAGACTTGGAAGCGGGTGAGAAATGGGTTCCTGCTTTCGCTTCCACGTGGAGTGAGGGAGCCATGAACCTATGTTCACTGCCTCAGCAGATGTCTCGCGGGACATTGGTATGGATCACGATGCTGTACAGAAACTGACACTGACACGCCATAAAATTCTGTTTACAAAGGCCACGGCATGTCGTATCTGCCAGCCATGACTGTATCACCCGACTCACCGTTGCCGAATAAGCTCGTACCCCAGTTCTCTCTCTCCATACCAAGCCTCGAGGCGTTGCGACAGGCAAGATGTCGTCCGCGCGCGACTTCACTTGGCAGGGCCTCGACATGATTTGATCCTTCTTGGCCTTCATATGCAGTGATTTGCGGCTAAAATCTAAGTCGTCGGTGCCATGACTAGGAATCATTGCATGGCGACAACCATGCATGGTAGTATAACCGTGGAGATGATATATAATACGTTCATCATCCTCGTGATGAGAGAATCCCAGTTCAAGACTTCTTTGGGACACCAGCACAGTCGCTTTCATATCATCAAGCCGCAGACATGCAGTTGATCTCTACCCTCTCCGCCGTTCTGGCCGTTACTGGCGCTGCCGTTGCTGGTCCCACTGGGTATGTCAAGCGATGAATACACTGATAGAGCTTCACATTGACAGCCATCTAGTCAAAAGGGACCGGCCTTTAGATGGCATGGCCCCGCACCTCACCCCGGGCATGGTCCATCGCCACCGGGACGCCCTCTGCCACCAGTCGCTCGCCCACCGCCACCTCCACCAGGTGCTCCTAAGGATCAGGGCTTGTACACTGCTATGCGTGCCCGTGGACGCGAGTTCATTGGTACCGCTGTTACATTCCGCAATGACACCGCCGAGGCTGCTATCTACGGCAACAAGGCCGACTTCAACTCGTGAGATTCTCTTCAACCATGAAAAAGCAGATGACTGTACTAATATCATCCCCAGCATCACTCCAGAGAACGCCATGAAGTGGGAAGTCACCGAGCCCCAACGCGGCAATTTCACCTTCGACGACGCAGATCGTTACGTCGACTACGCCACAGCCAACGGCATCGAAATCCACTGCCACAACCTGGTCTGGCACTCCCAGCTCCCACCCTGGGTCACAGCCGGCAAATTCGACAATGCCACCTTGATAGGCATCATGCACGACCACATCAAGGGCCTCGCCGGCCGGTACGCTGGCCGCTGCACACGCTGGGACGTGGTGAACGAGGCTCTGGACGAGGACGGGACGTATCGCAAGAGCGTCTGGTATAACACCATCGGCGAGGCATTCCTGCCTATGGCCTTCAAGTTCGCTCGTGAGGTCGATCCCAAGGCGCAGTTGTACTACAATGACTACAATCTCGAGTACAACGAGGCCAAGACCACCGGTGCGCAGCGCATCGTCAAGCTCATCCAGTCTTACGGCGTGGAGATCGACGGTGTGGGTTTCCAGGCCCATGTTGCTTCTGAGACTACGCCTACCTCGGGTGGCCCGGCGCCCAACCAGACTGTCCTTGAGGCTGCTTTCAACCAGATGACGAGCCAGAATGTTAATGTCATTTACACCGAGATTGACGTCAGGATGAACACTCCTGCTACACCGGCTAAGTTGGCTGTGCAGGCTGAGACTTATAGGTCTTTGGCTGCTGCTTGTCTTTCGGTCAAGCGATGTGTTGGTATGACTCTTTGGGTACGTTTCTGAATTTCAATTCTACTATGGAAGCAATATATACTGACTTGTTGTGTAGGGTGTTTCCGACAAATACTCCTGGATCCCGGGAACCTTCCCTGGCGAGGGTGCTGCTAACGTCTGGAACGAGACCATGCAGAAGAAGCCTGCTTATGATGGGTTCTTGAAGGGCATTCAGACTGGTGGTCGTTAAGCCACGATCGTGCCACAATGCTCGGTAGCTGATGCGATGAATATGAGTCGCTGACAAAGACGAGTATGACCAGGTGCTATGGATCATGAGTAGCATGTCTCAAGAAATAGTCCACCCAACCACGATTATTTCTGACTCCACAGGCCCTCAGAGATACCTAATCATCATATCTCATGCGGCCAGTGAGTGCATGCTAAAGCCCTAAGTCGTCTGATCTTTCTCGTTGAAAGTTCTCTGATTCCAGGGCGTCACCCCAGCGTCAAGCTCTAGCTCGCTTAAGTCGTTCAAAAGCTGACAGGTCCAAACGTACGGCGAATATCTGGTGGCCGAGTGACTGCGTCGCAAAGTTTTGCATGTGACAGCGAAGTGAGTGAAGTTTCAATCGCACATTTGCCATTTCTACTGAAAACTCACCTCTAACTCGACGCCACGCCACTTTGATGGATGTGTGGATCTATGTCGGGGGAAAGCTCAAGCAGGGTCGTTGTGATGATGTGAATCAAGTAGGTACTCATGTGTTAATAAGCTCTATTGCGGCAGACTCTTCTATTTAGTCTTTATCGTCTAGTGTATTTCTTCTACCTTGGTCGTGATGCTCAAGCACTCGCCGTACCATAAGGCACAGGTTGTGCAGAGGTCAGATCGATATAGCCAAACTTCGAGTGGTCCTTATCCTCGGCCAATCCTTGCGCCCATGTGCCCATATCCTTCATGAACGCCTTCTCGTTTTCTTCGATGCTCAAATCAATGGGCTCCTGGTCCTTGCCAATCTGCTTGATCTGAGTTCCGGCAGCCACATTCGTGATGCCGAAGTCGTTCTGATCAGGTCGTTGCTTGATGGCTCCCTTGACCTTGTTGGAGAGGATATCACGCCCAAAATGTGGTTCTTGGCAGACCGGACGAGCGAGACCTACTCCGTCGACGGTGTCAAGGGCTTTGACCATGGCACCAACAGTTTTGAAGCCACCAGTGACGTATGTCTTGGTCTTGGTCAGGGCCGGGGCAATAGCGTCTGCGAACTCGAGGAAGAACGCCTCGCGGTGCTTTGTGCTTTCGCGCTTGTGCTCGAATGCCAAAGATTCGTACGTGCCACCTGACAGTTCCACGAAATCGAATTTGTTGGCTTCGAGGAGTTGGCAAAGCTGCTTGGCTTCCTCTGAGTCAAAGCCCTTGTCTTGGAACTCAACGCTATTGAGCTTGATACCCAAGACAAATGAAGGTGAGGTGCGCTTGCGGACTTCCTGGGCAATCTCCAGGATGAGACGGGCGCGGTTCTCGAGACTCCCACCGTATTTGTCGGTACGTTGGTTGGTGGACGGCGCCAAGAATTGAGCCAGGAGGTAGCCGTGAGCCTTGTGATTGTCAGTATGCATTCGGATGACTTTAATTATGAGAAGACTTACACCATGCAGTTCAATGCCATCAAAGCCAGCCTTTTCCATATACTCGGCAGAATGAGCGAAACCTTCAATCACGTTCGCAATGTCTTCCTCCGTAGCAGCACGAGGCTTGGCGAAAGTCATCCCCATAACGTTGCCCTCGAGCTGGACGTCTGAAGCAGAGATGGGATGCTTCTGGATGATATCCTGGACCTGACGTCCAGGATGGCTGACCTGACCGACCATCAAGCTGCCTTCCTTCTTGCCTGCGGTAGCCATGTCCTTGAAGGCTTTGAAGCGTTCGCCACTGAAGGCAGAGCCGCGAGGAATGATAGGGTTGCCCGCAGCTTCAAGGTGATCATATTCAATCATGATGTTGCCAGTAAGTATGTTGCCAAGACCACCCTCGCCCCACCGGCGGTAGAGATTGATGAGTTCCTTGCTTGGGATGCCTCGTTTCTCGAAGTCCTTTGGATCCCATGATGAGATCCTTTCGGTCATGGCACCCTTCAGAAACCTATTTGGAGCGGTCTTGCCAGAGAACTCCATCTTCAAAGGTTGGCCGAGCCGCGAGGCGTCCACGTCCTCCGACTCATATCGTACTGATGGTGACATTGCTGCGGGTTTATGAAGAGTGTTGTGACAGTGTTTGTGAAACAGAGATGGAAATGTGAAGAGAAGGTGATTGTGGTCAGCATCTTCGACTTATCTAGCCTTCACACGATACTGATGCTTAGAAATGCCGACCCATACTTCGTCTCAATCGCTCCCTGACCTCTCGAGAGTTCTGCCGAGTCTTCTGCGAGAAATGTAAAAATGGCGTGACGTGTTGTGAATCGGCTGAGCAACAGCGGCAAATCAATGCTGCGGCGGAATGGTCGGCCCGTCTCAGACGGTTGATGAGAAATCAGCATCTCGCCTTCACTTCAAAGTCCTTTCATCCTTTGCAACAACAGTGGCCTGATGCTACAAATCCTTAATATACACCAGTGATTACGATCCATCAACTCGATCGAAAAATCCATAAGCTAGTCATGGACTCTACTCATCCGCCGACCGGGACTTTTGGTACCCGATGTTATCGTGCTATGAGCCCCACGATGCCTCCATCTCCAGACCTCACGAGCTCGCTCGCTCGCTCCTGGCCGACCCTACTGCCTCTTGTGTTCTCGGCTGCTTGATTCGGTCCGGTCCGGTCCGTGTTCAATGGATCACGTCTGGGCTCGAAGTGATATACATATGATCGATAGTCGAGTCTCCCAGCCTACCAAGGTCCTTGATTCCTGCCTCTCGACTGGACAGCAATCGGCATTCCCCGGTCTGATACCACGTTTGCTTCTGTCAGTGTTTGCTTCCATTCTGCTCAGAACATGTTTGCTGTGATGAGTTCGACGGTGTTAATAAATACTCGCGTTTGTGGTCCTGTTGCATTGTGCTCATATGCCGTTCGGCAGAGTTCATTGTCGAGAGCGATTGCTGAGCGTGAGCCTTGGCAGAGCTACTCTTGGGTGTCGTTATAGCTGCCTCTGCCTTTGGACGGTCAAACATAGAGGCTGCTTGCTGCCAAGCTTGTGTGCTTCAACACATCCATGTATCAATGATAGAGCAAACGTATTCCTCGCAGTTATTTGACTCCCTTCTTCCACCCTGTACTCTCAATCTGACCATTCTCTAGATCATATCACGTCTCCGCAACAAAGGCGGGCAAAAAAGAGAAAGGCAAGGCCGTGAAGACCCTAACACCAAAAAAACACCACGAGCAACTCTGACGATGACGAGATCGCTGCTGCGCTGCAAATTGTTGAGCTTGGGTCTGACAAGAAGGCGGAAAAAGAAGTCAAGAGCAGAGTGTTTCGAGCAATGCAGCAAGCAGAGGCTGCCAAGGCAGCTGTGGAAAAGAGTAGCATGGCGTCTGGTCCTGCTCAAGATCTTGAGACTCAACCCACTGACGGAGGCACTGGTAGCGACAAGTCCGGCAAAACTCAACAACCACAGAAACGACTCCTCCGAGCAACCACAATGACGACAAAGATGGCGAAGTCTCCGAACATGATGACAGTAGTCTCGTGCAGGGCGTCAACTACTTCCCAAGCAGGCGTGTGGATCGCGAAGCCTTGATTCAGACCCCCAGCTTCGATTGGCAGCAATCGCAGACCAATATGCACACAAAACCCGACTTCCTGCCCACCATCTCTCATGACAAGTGGAAGCTCATGCGCAAGCTTGAGCCCAATCAACAGGATGTGCTAAAGCAAGCTGCTGGCATTGATGTCCTAAGACCTGTACATGGCCAAGCTACTGACAGCGTGAAAACGAATCACTTCCTGATGGATTTTTACGACAACAAAGGTTCGCGCGTCCTGTACGTGTATCGTGTCGATGGCATATCACCTGACGGTGCACGAGCCAAGAAGCGCACAAACATGCACACTGCCATCGAGAAGTGCGCTCCCTTGCGAAGCAACAAGCACTTCATCGTCACAGACAATATATCCAAGATCGTAGTATGGATGCCTCTCGCCGAGGAAGCTTCACCTGGCGATGAGATTGCCAAGATTCCGTTGATCGACTATGATCGACGCGACAACTCCAGCAGCTAGAGAACCCGGAGCTTGATCTTCGAATGCGAAACCGACTTGGAAGAGCTCCGTAAGTCCGTCGATGGCGAAGATCCGACATATCCTGCAAAGAACGAAGCCATTGCAGCTCTCAATCTTGTGTTCTCGAAGCATGGCCTGTCAGAGGAGCAGGGTGGGTTTTCGGCGGGCAAGAATCGGTTCTTCCTGAAGTCCAGCTGGGAGAAGCTTGACAACGATGCAAGCAAAGTCGTCTTTCGCGTGTACTCCTACACATTTCGCACGACAGAAGGCAGCCTACTGCTGAACGCCAATACCGCTATGAGGTCAACCAACGCACTACTTTGTGGTTGAGGACGACATTGGTCTCGGTGGCGAGGCACTGCAGGACCTCACCAATTCGCTTTGCTACACCTGCGGTCGATCTACAACTTCAGTGTCGTATGTGTCAACCGCGTACTATGTCGACCCTCTCTGCAAGCGTGGGCGTCGCTATATGAAGGACTTCTATGATGGTACTGGTTGCCTCATAGTAATGAGTGAGGACCAGCGCAAGGCCAAGCTTGATCGGATGTGGGGATGAGGCGGTCGACCTAACGGCAATCCGTGGCGAGAGAGTATGGACGATAAGATGTTCTGGTTGTAAAGTGGTGCGCAGCTGAAGCGAGCGTTGGGTGCTATCACCGCTGGCGCATGAGGTCAAGGCGGCTGCCATTGTCTGCAACGCCCTGGATTACGAACAAGTGTATATCTACTGGCGCATCAGGTCACGCTGGCTGCCATTGAGATTTGTAGATAGCGTGTTGTAAGGGATTCATGTATCAGTGAACTGTCTCCACCAATCCTTGGCTGGCAGGTGACCTGCCTTAGTACCTTCCTCATGCGGTTAGCGACATGTCTTCTCCACCTCACACCACCAGCTGCTGCAGGACCATTGGGCAATAGACGAGCTCTGTATCTCGAATCTGACACTACAAAACTCCCGTGGGCAGTATAAGATGACTGTCTGGCTTCGGTATCCATGATGTAGCGTGACTGCACCGTTTTTCAACTTGTGTTGTTGTCGGTCAGAACTGATTCGCTATGGAGAAGAAGTATGAAGAGGATGGCTATGACAGTCGGCAGATACATAACTCTGATCGACCAGTCAACTACGACAACGAGGATGTCTTTGGGCATGAAGAAGGCCATGATGTATTCCTGCGTCCATGTCGCGACTTTTGGTGAACAATGCTGACATTGTAGACAGATCAAATACAAGACTCTTTCGTGGCAACTTGTATCCGTATTAATGATCGCCGAGATCGTATCAAATGGCATGCTATCCCTGCCATCATCTCTAGCCGTCGTGGGCATCGTCCCTGGCCTGATCATCATCGTCTTCCTCGGCATCTTCGCAACATACACAAGCTGGCTGCTAGTGAAGTTCAAGCTACGCCACCCTGAAGTCCACAACATGGGCGACGCCGGCTACATCCTCTTCGGTCCCGTAGGTCGTGAGATCTTGTCCTTCGGAACGGTGGTCTTTGCCGTCTTTGCTACGGGCGGGCAACTCCTGGCTGGACAGTTGGCTCTAGGAGTGCTGAGTAACAACAAACTATGTCTGATGCTTTACACTGGTATCTTCGCCATCCCGACTCTGATCTGCAGCTTCCCGCGAACTCTCGACGGCCTGAGCTGGATTAGTATCCCATCTGTACTCTCGATTATGGTCGCAGGCGTCGTTGGCATGGTGGGAGCTGGGCTGCATCCCACTCCAGGCCACTTGATCAGTATAACAGTCCCATCGACGTTCTTCGAAGCATTCATCTCTATTACTAATCCTGTCTTCGCTTACGCTGGCCATTTTATGTTTTTTATTATGGTGTAAGTGATGTTACAACAACCTCACCAGCTCAAAGCATTCCACCAGCGTAGAGAATTGCTAAGACGAATGTATAGTTCGGAAATGAAGCGACCACAAGACGCCATGAAAGCAGCTTATACCTTGCAGGGCTTTGCAACAACATTCTACGCCGTCTTCGCAGCGGTGACTTATGTCTACCTGGGCAATACAGTTGGCTCACCATCATTCGGGTCTCTCGACAGTAAATGGGCCAAAGCTGCTTATGGAATTGCTATCCCGAACTTTTTGATTGCTGGAAGTCTCTACTCTCATACGGCCAGCAAGTTGTTGTTCGTCCGGATCTTTAGACGAAGCCGACATCTTCACAGCCATACAGTGGCAGGGTGGGTGACTTGGGCGGCTCTTATTGTTATCATGAACGGAGCAGCGTTCGTGCTGGCAGTTGGAGTGCCGATCTTCAATTACCTGATTGGTGAGCTTGAGCATCCCTACTATACGTGGGAGTCGTGCATGCTGATGACGACTTGCAGGTATCGCGGCCAGCCTATTTGCAGCTTGGTTCACCTATGGCCTTGCAGGAATGTTCTGGCTTCACGACTCGTATCATGATGGTAATGGCATACATACATGGCGAAGGAAATGGTTCCAGTCTGGCTTGGCCTTCTCGACCGTAATCGCTGGTGCTTTCATCTGCGTCGCCGGCATGTATGTTACAGTACGGGCGATTGTGGAAGCGTATCAGAGCGGGGCCGTAGCAAGTCCTTTCGCTTGTTGAGCTGTGACTTATTAGGCTGCTTACATGCTGCGGTGCAGTGGGATCCATAGATTCTTGTCAGCAAGTCTTCAATGTAGCCATCTCGTTGCTCGAGGTCTGGTACGTGGCTTTCACAGTCGGAAGGGTCGGAAAGGCGGTGTGTCTCAACCTCACCAACCGACCTCTCATGCATTGAGGTCGTGACAAAAAGGACCTCGATGCCAGACCGGAAGCAACATCATCCGCGCCATATCCACAGCTCACGCACAACATCCATGCATCTGATGTCGCACCGCATGAACAATCCCAGCAGCTGAGACATTTTCCAACGCTAAACTACGCTTCTATACAACCATAAAGATTAGCCTCTTCTACTAAACCTTCTTCTGATAGGCCAAGCAGCGCCACCAAGCTAAGCATCATGATCGTCATGAATTTCGGCGCATTTCCTCACAAGCGAGCTCTGCTCTCACCCCACTTCGCTCACACAATCGCATTGTTTTTGGCGCGAAGAACACTCTTTCCGGCGGTCTCGATACCCGAAGAGGCAATCCAAGCTGGGTACGATGGTTGCCATGCAGGGTCGCGTGTTCGTCAGTTGCGTGGCCGAAAGCTTACAGGATCAAATGACGCAGTAGGCTTGGAAGCTGGCGAATGCGACGGTTCGCTTTCTGTTTGGTCTCGCTGATGATATGGTTAACGGCTGAATTTAGGGTCGCGGAGGGCACATGTGTTGCTTATTTCCTGATGCTTGTTCTTCGTCTCCCTTCGCTGCTATCCAGAAGTCGTGCCAGGTGCCTTTTCACATTCACCAGCGGGTCGCATACCACTACGGTCTTCCATCAGCAGCCCCACTATCATCGGATTGCGACAATTCCGAACATCTACAGGATGGCATCTACAGCGACCGAGCGCGAGCCGTTACTGCGCCGAGTTCCTTCTGCTCTTGCTCCACCGCCTATGCTTGTGCAGCCAGGGATAGAGAAGCTTGATACTCCCGTAACAATGGCAGAAGACACGGTCTTCCCTGTTCCAACCTTTACCACTGCCCGTCTCAATGCGCGGCAACGACGACTACCACAATGTATAGCGCACCGAGGCTACAAAGCAAAGTTCCCGGAGAACACTCTCGCATCGTTCAAAGGCGCAGTAAAAGCAGGCGCGCATGCCTTAGAGACTGATGTACATATCTCGAAAGACGAGGTGGTAGTATTGAGTCATGACCCGACGCTCAAGCGATGTTATGGAAGGCAGGACAAGATTATTGATCTGACGTGGGACGAGTTGAAGGATGTGAGGACTGTTGCGGAACCACATGAGCCTATGCCGAGATTGAAAGACATGCTGGAGTATCTGGCGCAACCTGGTATGGAAGAGGTCTGGCTGCTACTCGACATCAAGCTCAGTAATGACGCTGATGCGATCATGCGACTTATGGCCTCGACAATTGCGTCCGTGCCGGCCCCGGCGACCAAGAAGTGGAATGAGAGGATAGTACTAGGTATCTGGGCTGCAAAGTACTTGCCTCTGGCGCAGAAGTATTTCGAAGGTTTCCCTGTCATGCATATTGGCTTCTCGACTAGCTATGCGAGTCACTTCTTCACGATACCTAATGTCGGCTTCAACATGCTTTTTCCTACTTTAGTTGCACCCGGAGGTAGGCGTTTCCTGCGGGAGGCGAGGGAGAAGTATCATCGCAAGGTGATTGCCTGGACAGTGAACACGGAGGAGAGAATGGAGTGGTGCATCCGGCGGGAGCTGGACGGCGTCATCACGGATGACCCCGCCGTGTTCCTCGAAGTCTGCAAACGACATGATGAAAGCAAGAGGGAAAGTATGATGAGGGTGAAGGACTACCTAGATATCTACAGGCTATGGATTTGGATCACACTGGCGCTACTCTTCTTCAGGAAGCGATTTCAGCCAGTGGCGAGCCAAACATTGATAGAGAAGAAGCCACAGGCCAAGCTATAGAGCACCGTGTGATGATGTTAGCGAGGCGTTGGTGGTAAGATGTTTCGATCATATAATCAATATACATACAATGTACATATCTATCCAACTGCGTCGACTTCACATGTGATCGAGTCACTATTGGCACGCGTGCTCGACGCGTGAACCACCCCCACTTTCGCGCTCCCACCACCCAGAAACATTGCAACCACCAAACAATGCGGGAAGATGCCACGGTAGGTTATATTGTAGCCTGTCAAGAAGGGATGCATTGACTGACATGATTGCAGAGAGATCATCACCCTTCAAGCAGGACAATGCGGCAATAGCGGTACACTATCGCTACAACCTCGAAACACCTCCAAGCAGATACTAACACTACTCCCTTAGTCGGCAGCCAATTCTGGCAACAACTCTGCCAAGAGCACGGTATAAACCAAGATGGAAACCTAGCAGACTACGCGACCGAAGGCGGCGACCGCAAAGATGTCTTCTTCTACCAGTCTGACGACACGAGGTATATTCCCCGCGCCATCCTCCTCGACCTCGAGCCGCGCGTGATCAACAGTATTCGCACGGGCAGCTATGGCAATATCTACAACCCGGAGAACATCTATGTGCTGAAGGAGGGAGGTGGAGCGGGAAATAATTGGGCGCAAGGGTACTCGAGGGGTGGGGAGATTGAAGATGAGGTGCTTGATATGATTGATCGGGAGGCGGATGGGAGTGATAGTCTTGAGGTATGGCCGAGTAAGAGATGTAGGGGGGCTGCTGCTAATACGCGTGTAGGGCTTTATGCTGCTGCACTCCATCGCAGGCGGCACTGGCTCTGGTCTGGGCTCCTTCCTCCTTGAACGACTGAACGACAGATTTCCGAAGAAGCTTATTCAGACGTACTCGGTCTTCCCCGATACTCAACCACAAGCTGGCTCCGACATAGTTGTGCAGCCGTACAACTCTCTCCTGGCCTTACGGAGACTGACAGAGAACGCCGACTCGGTGGTGGTGCTTGACAATGGCGCGCTTGGCAGAATAGCAGCAGACACCCTCCACGTCCAGGAGCCATCATTCCAGCAAACGAATCAGCTCGTCAGCACAGTGATGTCTGCATCGACGACGACTTTACGCTACCCTGGCTACATGCATAATGATATGGTTGGCATCATGGCCAGCCTGATTCCAACACCGCGGTGCCACTTCCTACAGACGAGCTATACACCTTTCACAGGCGAGAGCGTAGAGTCGGCGAAGCTCGTACGCAAGACGACAGTACTGGACGTGATGCGAAGGCTTTTGCAGCCAAAGAACCAGATGGTCTCAACGAAGCCGAGCAAGACTTCGTGTTACATCTCGATTCTCAACATTATCCAGGGTGAAGCAGATCCGACAGATGTGAGTTTCGCTAATCTAGTATATGCTAAGCACCAAAGCTGACAGTACACAACAGGTCCACAAATCACTCCTCCGCATCCGTGAACGAGAAATGGCTTCCTTCATCCCATGGGGTCCGGCAAGCATTCAGGTAGCACTAACCCGCACATCACCATATCTCCAACCTCCATACACAACCCGGCCTCCACCACGCGTAAGTGGACTGATGTTAGCCAATCACACCGGCATCGCCACCCTCTTCAAGCGGATAGTAGCGCAATACGATCGATTGCGGAAACGTAACGCTTTCCTGGAACAATACAAGCGAGAGGAGCCGTTCAGAGATGGTCTAGGCCAGTTCGACGAGGCGAGGGAGGTGGCTATGGATCTGATCGGAGAGTATGAAGAAGCCGAGTCGAAGGACTATCTGAATGGTGGCGTGTCTGAGGAACCTGCTAATGGTGGTGCTGATGCGAGGACTGATGGAATTACTGGGAGATGATTTGTGGGCTTTGCGTGATATCCTGGCTTTGCTGGCGTTTGTCGGGTTGATGATGGTATATTCTGTGGGAGCGCAGGAAGCTAAAACATCTGCACGATTCATGTCGTCTTCAAAGTCGACCTCTCGGACGGCCACTGTCACGACTGCCCTCAGAACCTTCAAAGGTCATTTTGGCATCGTCTCTCGTCGTCCTTCGCCGTCGCCGCTTCTCTTTGGGCTTGTCCGTCTTGACTTTGATCCTGGGCAGTCGTCCGTGCTCGAAGTATATACCAATCCGAATAATCATGGTCGGTTCTTGCTTTGGTCCGAGTGTGAGGCGCAGAGATAACGACGAAGGCCCGAATTCATCTGCGAAGCGGACATGGCGTGATTGTGGTTGATGTCGATAGTCTTGGTGGTAGTCTTGATCCGACATCCTCGTGTTTTGGGACAGTGGGAGTCTGCGCAACGAGCAAGATGATGCTTCATGCTAAGGCTGGGAAGATTGTGTTCGAGTCGAGTTTGTAGCTGGTCAAGATGCCGCATGCTGGATTGCCAGTTGCTAGTTTGACTTGGGTGATGGTTTGTCTTGCTCCTGATTCGCTGTCCGGGTGACTCGGGTCAGCAAAGACATTTGTCTCACATGGCACGTGACGTTGTGCCACGCTCCCTTGACACAAGCCTCATGAATTGTCCCAGTAGGCGGCGTCTCCGATTACTGTTGTCGATGTCTGTTTACTTCATAGGTTCTTCTTCCTCACCGCATGACCGCCCCAGGTCCGACCGAGTAGTACTTCTGTCCGCCTTCCTGTTCTCGTGACCCAGCGTACGGCAATCTGTAACGTGCAATAAGCCAGCTTGCCAAGGCACACAAAGATGCCAGAAAACATCCTGGTGAGACTGGGAGGACGATAGCTTGGTGGCCAGAGAAGATCCGGAGTCAGCATGTAGTAATGGCCAGGTAATGAGGGGGATATCGTTTTCTGCATGTATGTGATAGCTGCTCAGGAGAAACGGGTTAGAAGTCGTGGAATCGTGCTATGGGTTGTGGATTCAATTGAGGAGCATGCCAACATGCCCTGCTTGTCACTGCTTGCCATGTGGTTTCAGACGCATTACCAGGTTACAACCCGTTTCCGGAAAACCTATTGCAGTGGCATACTGGCATACATTAGTCACGTCACTGGCGTGAAGTGCATCTGCCTTCGGGCCTAGCGCTGTATGAATGGAGATCTGCAGAAGTGATGATGCGTCTGTTGTACGTTGATCCATGCTGCTACCAGAGGATCTCGTGCAGCGAAGTAGTAGCCATTGCTGTTTGATGGGGGTCATCGGAATAGCTTTGGACAACCCCCTTCGCGGCGTTTCAATAACAGTGCCACCCGAAAGCGTCTTCTTACCCCATGCAAACCTCAGTCGTACCGACAACGTCCAACAAACCGAAGAGGTATATCGATTCCTCCTGAAACAGGCCATCACCCTGGGTGCTGCCAAGAGATAGTAGATAGGCTTGCGCTTTGGTCTGCGAGCGAGTATTCAATGCACTTCTCCTCATGGTACTCAGTTATGCTCGGTGAGTAATAATGCGAGACTCGAACAGACAGGTCTTTGCGGTTTCGGCCAATGACCATAGTCTACCACCTACAACGACGGCAATACTGGGATTCGAAGTGCTTTCATCAGGTATACGCTAGAGGATGGCACCACGAAGCGAAACCGAGAGGTGTGTATTTCACTGTCTGTTTGACCACCGGTGTTGAAGCGGAAGACATCCCGGCTGTGATAGATCGGCAAGCTTTCTTCGCTCACTTGACGTGAGACATCCGTTATTGGCGATTCTGTGGCAAAGGCTTTGGCAGGATATACCTGAACAACACAAGCGTCCGGGTCCATTACAAGGTGATAGATGCGGTTACGCAATTCTGCTGGCAGGTTGCAGAACAAGCAAGTCGTGCCGGAAGGTTCTGTCGAGCCCGCCGAGGAGGATTTGACGGCTTTTTTATTGTCCATGATGCACTGTCAAAGCTGTCAGCAGATTATTGCCTGTTGAGAAACTAAGGTGACTGCTTACCTTTATTGAGTGAGGGCGAACTATATCATTCAGTCGCTGGGAGCGGCTTCCTGATGAAGGGCCGCCTTCGATTGTGATGATGAAGTGTTTTCGTGTTCAAGTCTTGTGGTGATGAGGCTCGCTCCAGCACATCTACGAACTGGCGCCGCGCGTTCCGTGGTGGGACAAGCCCTTAGGGCAGGCACGACCGGTCACACCTACTTCATCTTGCTTGCTATAAGGAGCTCACCGGTCCACTGTACCACCACTCTCTCGCCACTTCTTCACCCTCTTCCTCAAATCCCCTTCAGACCGCTGCATGTAATTGATCTTCATATTTCTCGCCATAGCAGTGAAATCATCACCATGCTTCTCCACCAACTCAGCAATGAAAGCCCGCTCACCCTCACTCTGTCTTGGCTTATGCGTTTTCTTCGGTCGGCTCGCTTCCCGCTCAAGCTCTCTCACCACTTCCGTTTTCGCGCCAGCAGCATTCACATACTGAACATCTGTGCTCGCATGCTGGTTGAAAGCCACATCGTCCTTGTCCTCGCTGTCCAGCTCAGCCAGTGGATCATGCAAAGGATTGAGCTTCCGTCCATCCTCTACCACTCGCAAGATTTTGCCAGTCTCGGGATCCCTCTCAATTTTCGCTTCAGATAATTCAAGCTTCTCTGGCCGTCTCACATGGGCGATAGCCAAATCGTCGTTCTTCCTCGACTTCAGACCATCCTGCGCTGCCTCCTCACGCGCACGGATGATCTCTTCGGCTCTCTTCTCCACACCACCGGTATGCTTGTTCAGCTTGGACGCAAGACCTAAGCGCTTGTAATTCTGCTCAAGCGTTTGTGAATTGTCCCAGTTCTGTGCGATAATGGCATTGCCCAGGTGCAGCTTCTTCGACTTGGGCTTTCTCCTGACCTTGGAGATACCGGAGCGGTTCTTGCGCTTTTGTAATTCGCGACCCATGTTGTATTGAGATATGTCCCGATCTATGTAAGGAGCGATCTTCAAATTTCTTTGCATGTGCTCAAAATTTAGTTTGTCGGTAGAACATTTCACCGATCCGACGTCTCAAAGCTCTACTTCACGACGAGCATGAGTGGAAGTTAGGAGAGTTGTACACTTCATCTCCAAACGACTCGCTATCTACGTTCTGAAAAGGTAGCCAGCAGAGTATGTTGCGCCAATATGCCTACAGCTCTAGTAGTGCAATGCTCGCAATAATGGCGGCCAGCATGACCCGATACCTCCCCAGCCCGGATCCTCCTCTTCGATACAGATAGAACATTACCATCGCCAGAGCTGCGCTCCATGAATTCTCTCTACCACTGGGCTTCCATCTCATATCGTTGCCGATGTTCCTGCGTAACATGCCAGCGGAAGGCCAACAGGTAAGATCGAAACTGGAATAATTTTAGGTGATAGTTACCTGGTATTCGTGAGAGATTAAATTGCACGGATCCGAGCTGCGGCAGTGGGTCTGGTCATAGACCATGTTATTGTATCGTGAGTTCCAAACATACCGAGCCACATGGCATCACACCATCATCATTACTCCCACACCATAAAGCAGCTTCCAGTCCCATCGTAAGGAGTGTCTATTCCCTCATCCATATCAAGCACTGACGTCTGGAGGAGGCTTGGCAAACCAGTGCTTGAACCAGTTCACAGCCTGATCTTCAGCCTTCTTGCCTTGCTCAGCCTCAACCTTTTCATCTTCGTCGGCTGTCCACATAGTCAGTATATGTTATCACCACAGCAATGCTTTCAAAACCTACCCCTGACAGCAAATCCATGATGAGCACCATCGTACATCTCAAACTCGTGCTCGACGCCTGAGTCCTTGGTCTTAGCAGTCTTAGCACTTAAAATATCCTTCGTCTGCTTCGCCTGCTCGGGCGACATCATCTGATCATGCTCGGCCGCTGCGCAAGAGTACGGCAGGACAATCATCTCAAAGTCACCAGGGTACTTCATATTACTCGGGTGAGCCGTGAATCCACTATCCACCAACCTCTTCCCGTTCTTGGACTTGACCTGATCCCAGCAGAGTTCAGTCACGTACTTGCCGCCCCAGCAGAACCCGGCCGTCCCGACAGGTTTGTCCTTGGCTTCGTTCTCCTTGAGCGCCTTGAAGAAGGCGATGATGCGGGGTTTGCACTTCGACTCGCTGAGGTAGAAGAGGATGAAGGGTAGCCAGCGGAGGAGGTACACGAAGTGACCGACTTTGTAGAGGTTGTTCAAGAGACCAGGGGCGGACATGGCTTTGAAGGAGATCATGACCTCGTGGGGGACAATGAAGCCTGTATGCCGGGATCAGTATGATCCACGGCTGCTTCGTACCGAGGGTAATCGCTTACCTCCCATGAAATCTGGAAGGAAGACTTGGCATCCTGTTCGCTTGGCATATGCCTTTCATCGATTAGCAGAGTCCTCGTATCTCTCTACCAGGCTACTTACATCTGCCAGAAGCTTGTTGTTGGGAAGTGCCAGACCGAACGCATCTGGGATGATCACGATGATGCCATTGTTCGCTCCACCGTTCGGGGCATCTGCAATGTAGGTCTCAAGCCCATGTACGGTTGCAAACCGACCTGTCGCCTCGCCGCTGTGCAGCGAGCCCGTGGCACAGCACTGTCGTAGACCAGCCATGTTGGTGCGTGCAGTGAAAGGAAGTAAGACGGAGGAGGAAAATACTTGACCTTTGTGAAGCGGCTGCCTGCGACATCTATAGCTTAGGATTGTATGGTACGATTCGAGCTCCTCGGTGCTATAGGTTATCTCCAGTTCGACGGACCGCGATCATGCCGATCTCGGCACCGACGGTGCGGACGAACAACAGTGGATGCTATACGAGCCTGTGCCTAGCAAGCGACCTCATGGCAGGGTCTTGGTCACGGTGTGAGATTGAGTAGACAAGACTTTACCTTGTTGGGACGATCGTAAAGGCGGGAAGAATACGCCTTTTGAGCGATTTGTGAGCGATGGAGGTTGCCCGTGTCTTGGCCTGAAGAAAAAGACATTTCTCCCGCAAGCTCGAATCCTTACTTTCTTCGCCCACTCAATCCATTGGTCACAATTGTCCAGGCATCGTTTGAGCACAGCATGGTATGAAATATACTATGGCATCCCCGCCGATACATAGCAGAGGCTGAGAAGAGGTAGGTGCACGCCGATGCCAGCAATTTTGCCACTGGTGTAAGCAAGGCGGAAGCCTATGAACAGGTTATCGAGCATGCCAGAACACTTTTCGACGATCAGCGCAACTGGGTGTGGTAGGCAGAAGACAAACATCCGACGGTAGCACGAATAATGAACTAAGACGATGGTCCTCCAGCAATACAGCGAACACAGCTTCTCTTCTCTGGCACGGCTACAAGTCTTTACCAGCTCCTAGCAATCAAGTGAACTGGGCTGGCTTCTACGTCCTCGACAGATCAAAGACAAATCAACTGATTCTTGGTCCTTTCCATGGCAAGGTAGCATGCCAGACAATAGCCTTCGGACGAGGAGTTTGTGGTGCTGCAGCGGCAAACAAGACTACACAGCTAGTACCTGATGTGGAGAAGTTTCCAGGTCACATTGCCTGTGACGGCGACTCGAAGAGTGAGATTGTGGTGCCGATAGTGAAGGATGGAGCCGTGAGTAGGCCAATGACTTGAGGTGATGGGTTGTGCTGACATGTTGCAGATTGTGGCAATTATTGATATTGACTGCGCAGTCGTGGATGGGTTCGACGAGCAAGATCAAAGGTCGCTCGAACGACTTGCGAGTATACTTGCAGATGCCTGTGATTGGTAGACATCACACCCTTCATGCCCGTCCGCATCTGCACCGAAGTATCATGCCGTGCCGGTAGCTGACTGTGAGCGCCACGGTCTCATATTGGAGCCATAGCCCGTGATATTGGAGAGACAGGGATGCTTGAATGCCACAGAAGGAAAGACCACGCAAGTTGGACACACGCTCCAGCTGGCGAGGACTCCAAGAGCTGACAATACAGCTCCCAAGGTGGCGTTCGGCAGTGCAGTATACCCTAGGTAGCCCTCCAAGCAACTTTTACGCACATCACATCACCTTGCTCACGCCACTTGTGCTGTGCCTTCCCGAGAATCACAGCATGTGACATCCGGCAGCGGGACATGCAAATGCAAACAGCAAGCTCAAGCTACTGACCAACAAACAGACCGAACCCAGTCAAATCAATACGCACATCCGGACATGCGTCCTACAAGAGCATCCTTCTTTTCCTACACATACGCAACATACCCTTGCAATCGCCATCAATGACCACATCGCTCTACCACGAAGCCCCCTCTCCCCTCCACGGCCAAGGCCTCTTCGCCAACACCGACCTCCCACCCGGCACGAAAGTCCTAGAAGAACGCGCGACCTGGCGGATCTCAAATAAGCTCCTCAAATCCGACACCCAACTCCTGACCTCCTTCCGAGCACTCCGGCCCAAAGACCGCGACAGCATCCTGACTTTCAGCGGCGGCTTCGACGACCCCTCGAGTGGGAATAAAGCCTTAAATACGTCGACTAAGAAGGATGCGGCGAACAGGTTACGGGAGATTCTCGATCGCAACGCTCAGGTTGAAGAGGAAGGTGTAGTGATACACAAGACCATTGCGAGGGTGAATCATGCTTGTCTCCCAAATAGCGAGTTGAGCGAGTCCTCGGACGAGAGACTCGCTTACCTCTTCACGACCGTCCAGGTGAAAAAGGACGAAGAGCTGACGATCAATTACCACGAACCCTTCGCCCCCTTCCCAGCCCGCGCGAAATTTCTCGGCAAGATCTACCGCATCCCGTCGTGTCGCTGCCGCCTTTGCAACCTCCCGGCATCCGAGCGACAAGCCTCAGATAAACGACGAGTGGACATACTAATCTACCTCAACTGCCTCAACCAAGCCTATCAAAGTGCGAAACATGCTCGGCTCCGCCGCGAGTTACCGGAGTCGGCTTTCGCGACGATGGCGGGCGGGGTACTAGTCATGATTGAGAAATTGGAGAGGCTGGTGCAGGAAGAGGGGATAAGTGGGGGCCCATTGTTTGCGATTTATGGACCGGCGTTTCATGCGGCGGAGGCTATTCAGGAGATGGGGGCGGCGAGACGATATGCGAGGAGGTTGGTGGAGGTGGGGAGGTTGTTGGGGTTGGGGAGGATGGTTAGTGCGAGGGCGGTTTTGATTGCTACTGAGGAGGAGGGGGAGGTGGGGAAAGGGAGTGAGGGGCGTGGGGTTGGGGGTGAGGATGTGAATATGGAAGGGGATGGCAAGGATGGTGTGGAGAGTGAGAACGAGGAAGATGATGATGATGATGTGGAGAGTGATGATGATGCTGACGACAGCGGTGAAGACGAAGACGATAGTGACGGAGAAGATTTGGACATGGCTGACATCAAGCACAAATTCGACGAGATCGAGCAAGCTCTCAGCCGACTCGGCATGACGAGGTCGTAGTAGACCGATATCGTCAGACTTGCTTGAGTCCTAATGCTACTCTCGCTGGACATGACGTTTCAGCCGGGCCACGACGAAGACAAGGACGGCGACGATATTGCTTACTACGGAGCATGGGAACCTGTCTTCGAGCAAGGCATCTTCAGACTCCTCTAGATCTATATCATCGCGGCTAGATGAGGTAGATAGATGCGATATATGTCCCAAGTCCCAGCACAGGCGGCCAAAGTCAGGCACCCATCCCATCCCACAATCACGCCCTCCAAAACACCTCGCTAAGTCGCAGGACGCAAACACATTTACACCACACCGCCCAGCCCTCCATAATCCCAGTACCAAGCACCGCCCCAAACCTATCACAGAACACAACCTCAATACTCCTCCTCCTCACTCTCATCCACGATCCTCTCCTCGATATGTTTTTCCCCCTCCTCACTCATCTCCTTATAAGTAGCCCAACTCAACAGCCCAAAAGCCCCAATAATCAACAACCCCCCCGCAATCGCCGCCGTAGTCAAAGGACTATACAACGGCGGCGGCAACATCTGGTCGCACAACGCGACCAGGAAAATCGTCAACAACGCCGCCACGGAACTGAGCACGGGGCTCGTAAGGGAAATCAACACTAGAAAGGAACCAGAGAAGATGGCGTTCGCTGACACGGAGATCAGGAGAACCCAGGCTGCTTTCCCCACTGGAAGGGCGAAGCTCTCGATTCCGGTGAGGTGGAGGATTGGGAGCGGGATCCAAAGCACGAGGAGGGTAAAAGAGCCCATGAGAGAGCCGAAAGTATTGGCGAACAGCATCCCCTTCTCCGGCGGGCAGCTTTCGGGCGGGCAAGCGACTTTCTTGTACAAAACCTCGTAGAACCCATACAACACCGACCCTATCCCGATGACGATATTCCCCAGCGCCCGATTCCCCGCCTCCACGTCCTCAGGTGCATGAGGCCCACCACTGCCGCCGCCGGATTTAGAGCCGTGTTTGGCTGGCGCAGAGCCCGAGTCCCCGTAGGCTACTACGAGGACGCCGACGATTGCTATGCCGACGGCGAGGACTTTGGAGAGGCGGAGTTTCTCGTGGAGCATGGGGATTGCGAAAGCGTAGGCGAAGAAGGCGGAACAGTTGTATATAGCGGTCAAATCGCTCGCGGTTGTGAGGTCGACGGCGACGTACCAGCTCCCTCCCGCTATCGTCAGGGCGCAAGTTACATAGGCGGTGGTGCGGAGGAAGTAAGGTATGGGACTCTTCTTGGATTGCAGCGGGGAGAGATTGAGGGTGCGATGTTCGATCATCTGGCCCGTTTGGCGGAGAAGTTGAGTATGGCGGCGCCAGAAAGCGGGCCAGGGTTGGCGCCATTTCTGGAGACGCAGGATCAGGAGTTGAGTGGGCCAGAGCAGGGACCAGGAGCCGTGGGTGAAGTAGAGCATGCAGTAGGGCTTCTTCCAGCCGAGGTTGTGTTGGATGTAGACCGCCGTTTCGGTTTGGACGGCGAAGGAGACGAGGCTGATGCCGAGGAAGATGGCGGCGTATGTATATCTCTTCCGTGTCGCGGCACGAGCCATTTCGTCCGGGTCTCGTTCGTGGAAACGGGAGGATCTTCTGTGGGAGAGTGAGGGTTCCGAGGGATCATCATGTTTATCGTTTTGTGAAAGCAAAGGTGAATGCTGTCCACCGTGGCCGTTCATCGCGGTGGATGATTTTGAGGGTCTTCGTAAATCTGATGGCATGTCTCTTTCTTCTAGGTCGTCTAGATCGTCGTCGTCGTCGTCACCCCAATGCTCGAAATCACTATCCCCTTCCGCTTCGCCTCCCTCAGCTGCTTCTCTCCCGTGACCACTGCCTTTGTCGTCAGCTGCTCTTCGCCCGCTGCTGAACTGATCTGGATGTGTGAGGTCGGTGAAGGGACTCGGTTGGCGCGAGTGGTCTCGACTCAGATGCACCAGGTCTGAGGATGATCCGCCTGTGCTTTCGATGTCGTGGAAGTGGTCAGGTGGTAATAACGATGGTTGCCTTGTGTGTTGGTGTTGATGATTACTCGTAGGGTATGAGCGCAGCGGGACCGAGTCAGATAGTTGTGCTGGTTTAGGCATGCATGCGGTTGGCGACAAGCATGTAATATGGCAGGTCGTCCTTATTATCTGTACTAATGCTGTGTGTAATTGTAGGCGAGACAGTCCAGTATTTTTTGGGTCAAGTAGTCTTACACGGCAAGGTCTGATTGGATGACTTGGTATCGCTGGCGCAAGGGGAGGTATTTCTAGCTACTGTACACAAAGGCGTGATCGTTGGATTTGCATGTGCTTCTCCGTCTCGTCTCATCCCATTCAGGGTCAGGGTCACACACAGCGGCGGCGCGCGGCGTTCGGGATGCGAGCTGACATGATCACTTGGCGAAAGCGTCTCTCCTGAACTACATCCACTACCTCGTATCTCACGAATGTACAGTAACAGCCTTTCGAACCATCCAGATTACAGGCCAACAATGTGGTCGATGGAGGATGGCCGCCGGAGCCATGTTCGAGCGATGAGAGATACAGTATCATGCATATACTGTTCGGAGATAGCTTTTCTAAATGCCGTCCACAATGACAACCCGGAAAGGCAGGAGGATAAAGTATAACATATGACGTGCATTCGCAACAGCTCCTCTCTACCATATAACTCCCCCAATGCTAAAGCTTTCCTCTCGATCCCCTTCTGCCATCCTCACGAACACATTCTCCCGCACCTTCTCCACCACTGTACCATCCAAAATGCCACTCATGACAGGAACCGGCAAGCCCAGAGTCATCCTAGGCACAATGACCTTGTAAGCCATGCCAATCAACCACCACGTACACAAACCCCAGTCCCACTAACATCCCCGCTACCCAGCGGCCCCAAAGCCTCAGACGGCGCCCGAATCACCTCACTGGACACCTACAATAGCATCCTCGACAAATTCCAATCCGCCGGCCACAACGAAATCGACACCGCCCGCGTCTACGTAGCGGGCCAATGCGAAGCCTTCACCCGCCAAGCCAAATGGCAAGAACGCGGCCTCTCCTGCGCCACAAAATGGTACCCGAAAGAGCCGCACGCACACAAAGGCGAGAAACTAGAGGAGATGCTGGATAAAAGCCTCAGCGAACTCGGAACCAAATGCGTGGATATCTTCTACCTGCATGCGGCGGATAGGAGTATCCCGTTCCAAGAACCGTTGAAGAAGATGGATGAGATGCATAAAGCGGGGAAGTTCGTGCAGTTCGGGCTTTCGAACTTCACCGCTTTCGAGGTGGCGGAGGTGGTAATGTTGTGTCGAGCTAATAATTGGGTGCGACCGACGGTTTGGCAGGGGATGTATAATGCCATTACTCGCTCCATCGAGGGGGAGTTGATCACGGCGTGTAGACGTTACGGGTTGGATATTGTGGTGTACAATCCTATTGCTGGGGGTTTGTTTAGTGGGAAGTACAAGAGTACGGAGGTGCCGGCGGAGGGGCGGTATAGTGATACCCATGCGACGCAGGGGAAGATGTATCGGCAGCGGTATTTCAAGGATGCGACGTTTGATGCTTTGAGGATTATTGAGCCCGTGGTGCAGGAGCATAATTTGACGCTGTTGGAGACGGCGTTTCGGTGGTTGACGCATCATAGTCAGCTGAATATTAAGGATGGCGGGAACGATGGGATTATTATTGGGGTGAGTAGCGAGCAGCAGCTGGAGCAGAATCTCAAGGATTTGGAGAAGGGGCCGTTGCCGGAGGAGGTTCTGAAGGTGTTGGATGAGGCGTGGTTGGTCGCTAAGCCTACGACGGCGAATTATTGGCATGGGGTTTTGGAGTATGGGTATGATACTCGGGCGGCGTTGGGGTTGGATAAGTGAGGAGGGGGGAGACATTGTAGTGGTGGGGCTGGGGATGTGGAAGGGAATTGAATCGTGCAGAATGGGTGGAAGTGAAGGTTCACGATGATGATGGGATGGGATGGGGTGGATGGGGCATGTTATGCTAAAGAGTATGATATCATATCACCCGTACGACCGAAACCACTGCTGAAGCTCAAACTAGGCATTCCGCCACTTCGCGAGCATGGAGTCCCTGATCCCACGTCCCAGGCGCTCTCGCAGTGGATGCCTCATCCATCGTCTCTCCATCTCAAGTTACCAATCGAAGCGGATGAGGCGTGATGTAGACGACATGTCCTCCGAAGGCACATCCCTGGACATGCTTTCTTCTCCCTGCATCCCGCGGATCGATGATATCTGTTCATTATCTACTCTTGTGTCCAGTCGGTAGACGTGTACAGCGATTGACCATAAGACGATTGCCCTGTGACTCGGTCCTCTCGAGGGCGATGATGCGAGTGGTGATTCTGGGCACGAAAGCCGTCGATAATCCGCTTCTCCTGATCTACTTCTCCCTTGCCATGAGGATGAATTGATATGATCCCGTGACCTCTCTGTGACCAGTCAATGGGTATATGAGGATGGATCATGAGAACTGTGAGTATTAAATAGAGTACAACTACATTACAGCCCGGTAAGCTCCATAAAAGCCTACCCGGTATGGACAGCCTACCCACGATCCCTCTATCCTCTATTTCAATCTCACTCCATCATCATCATCCACAGCAGACAGGCTCGTAAGTATCAAGATCATGCTGCCATTACCCACAAGACGCCAAAAGATGCATGCTCGTCAGCTCTTGATGGAGCCTCTTCGGTATCCCAATCCCAATAAATGCATCAAACGCCAATGCCATTCGCCAGCCCGGACCACCAACCACCTCAGCGCGTGACCTGCTAGATCCCACGCGCATTGCTGATCTTGTACGAGCCGACGGTGTATTGGAAGAAGTTTGTTGGGCTGGAACAACTCAATTAGCACGTTTCATGAACGGCGTGAGATAATCGAATAGATATACTTACAGCTTGGGCTTGACAGCAGCGGACAGCTCAGTGGCGCCGTGCTCAGCAGCCGCGAGCGCATTGGCGGAGAAGTCAGAGGCGCTGTGCTTCATGCTCCAGGAGGTCGCGTAGCCAGCTGCGCCGAGGGTGGCAAGGACGCCGGATGCTTTGAGGAAGGCGGACATTGTTGTATGTGGTTGATGGGTGAAGTTTTAGTGGTTTGAGTGCGAGGTGCCGTTGCGTTGGTTGATGATATGTAGCGAGTGTGATGGAGCGTGTGATCGTTTATTGTGAGAGAACGGATGTGAAAGAAAGCGCAGGTGAGTGACCGAGCAATAGAAAACGTATATACCCCTTCACCAACCACACCAAACTTTTTCTTGTCGCAAGGTGGCACAAGCGTCTAATTAAAGCACAATCCCGGCGGTCAAGTCAGCCTTGCGCCGTCGCCGCCGAACAACACGAATCCCACCGCCCTCCCAAACCAACGGAACCATCGTATAACCACTCCCCGCCCACGCCCAAAGCTGCCAGAACAAAATAAACATCACCTCGTCTCTCAACACCCCAGCACACGATTCACAATCTTGAGCACTCATGGTAGCGGTATGCGCGTTGAACACACCATGACTTTAGCCTGAGAAATCACTCCTGCACCTGCAGCGGCCCGCTCAGGAACAGGCAAGCCGCCGCAAGCCACTTCTCGTTTTGTACATCCGATCATCTCTCGGTCGGCAAGTGGGGGAAGTGCCGAATAGGTGCTTTCTAGAAGAACTTTGCTGGTGTGCGCCACCTGGTTGGGAATGTCGTGTCGCTCACCGTTCCATGGACATAGGAAAGAGCTGGAGTGGTGCAACTACGCCGCCCATTTTCGCCATCCCCAGAGGCTCTATAATGAGGCCCATAATTCTTGGACTGATATCAGGCCAAGTCAGCGTCCGTTACACTCGAGAATGAGGCGAGACAGAGACCGACGAAGCACGAGATGGTATAGAATGTACCATAGGCCGGCAGGGCAGCTATTAATGATGGCTTCAGCGACGCTTGACCGACACGCGAGCAACTGCTCCCAAGCTGCTACAGTACTTCCACGGCCACGTGATGGCGCCCCAGTCACAGTCGAGAACAACAGTGTCATGATCTCGTTTGCATTCCATATGTTCTATCTTGTTTCGCTTATACACAACGGCATTCCACTTTGCAATCCCAATGATGCTCCTTCCTCATTCACTCCCACAACAGGCCGTCGACCTAGATGAGCTGCACGAAAGCGCGGTTGAGCGGCGAACGAAGGGGCTTGACGTCCTTGTAGAACTCGATGGTGGCAACGGCGCGCTTGGAGATGCCCTCGGGGGTGAACTCGAATTTCTGGAAACGAACATTAGCAACGGGTCTCCTCTGCATTTTCAGCTTCTCGTAGCAGCATACCTTGTAGACCTCCTTATAAGGACCCGAAGCACCAAACCTGTTGAGACCAAACTGCTCGTGCGAGTACTTCTCCCATCCAAGCGTGCTCATGACCTCGACGGACAACGCGGGGATGCCATCAGGAATGACAGACATCCTGTACTCCTTGCTCTGGGTATCAAACACCTCCACACAAGGCATGGAAACCACACGAGCGGTAACACCGTGGTTATCCTTCAAGTACTTGACAGCCTCGTAACAGATCGACACCTCCGAACCAGTAGACACGAGCGTAATCTGTGCCTCCTTGTTCTCGATCGCCGTGTAACCACCCTTGATGGCGTTCCCGATCGTGCTGCCCTCGAGCTGCGGCAGGTTCTGACGGGTGAGAGCGATGATGGAGGGGGTCTGAGTGGATGTAAGAGCAATGTAGTACGCAGCCGAAGTCTCATTGCCGTCAGCCGGACGCCAAACCATGCAGTTGGGCAGAGCACGGAAGTGAGCCAGAGTCTCGATAGGCTGATGCGTAGGACCGTCCTCACCCAGACCAATGGAGTCGTGGGTAGCGACCCAGATGACTCGCTGGTGGCTCAAGGCGGACAAACGAACGGCACCGGCGGCATAGGAGACGAAGTTCAAGAAGGTACCACCAGCTGGGATCACGGTGCCGTAGGCGGCCATGCCGTTCATGGCGGCGCCCATGGCGTGCTCGCGCACACCGAAGCGCATGTAGCGACCGCTCCACTCACCGATACCAGTGCTTGGGGGCTGGAAGTCGACGGCGGCCTTCCAGCGAGTGTTGTTGGAGCCAGTCAAATCAGCGGAGCCAGACATCAGCTCTGGCACAGCCTCGTAGATGGCCTCAAGTACGGACTCTGACAGCTTGCGGGAAGCGATGGCCTTGTCTGTGGGCTTGTAGACGGGCAGCTTGTTTTGCCAGCCCTCGGGAAGCTTGCCTGTGAGACGGCGCTTGAGGTCTGCGCCTAGATCCTTGTGCTCACCGCAGTACTTCTCCAAGAGCTGGTCCCACTCTTGCTCGGCGGCGGCGCCCTCGGACGCGTGCTTGTGGTACATGTCGTACACCTCTTGTGGGACAACGAAAGTCTGGTTGGGGTCGAAGCCGAACTTCTCCTTGACCTGCTTGATATCGTCCTCCTTCAATGGGTTGCCATGCACACCGCCGGTGCCCTGGAGCTTGGACCCGAACCCGATGGTGGTTGTGAGACGGATCATGGAAGGCTTGTCCTTCACCTCCTTGCACTTCTTGATGGCCGCCTCGATGCCCTCAAGGTCGTTGTCACCGTCCTTGACCCACTCGGTGTGCCAGCCGTAAGCCTCAAAACGCTTGGTGACATCCTCGGTGAATGCGCACTTGGTGTCGCCGTCTGCAGGTATAATTAATGTATGCTCGAGCACTCATGCTGTGACCACTTACCAATGGAGATGTGGTTGTCATCGTAAATGGCAATCAGATTGCCGAGCTGCAAGTGACCAGCCATAGACGCAGCCTCGCTAGCAACACCCTCCATAGCACATCCATCACCGAAGAAGGTATATGTGTGGTTGTTGATCAAGTCGAAGCCGGGCTTGTTGAATGTGCCGGCAGTGTGGGCCTGGGCAATGGCAAGACCGACGGCGTTGGAGAAACCTTGGCCAAGAGGACCAGTGGTGACTTCAATGCCGGGTGTGTCATGTGCCTCAGGGTGACCTGGTGTAATGCTGTCGATCTGACGGAACTTCTTCAGGTCGTCGATGCTGACCTCGTAGCCGAAGAGGTGGATGAGGGCATACTGGAGCATGCACCCGTGGCCATTGCTGTTGAGCTTTGATCAGCCATTGCCCGAGACATCCAAGACTTCTCTTGTGTATGGCTGTTGACCTACGACAACACGAATCGATCGCGGTTGATCCAGCTTGGGTTCTTGGGGTTGAAAGTCATGAACTTATTGAACAAGACGTGGGCGACTGGTGCCATACCCATGGGCGCACCAGGGTGGCCGGAGTTGGCTGCGAACGTGGCATCGACCTGTTGTTCAAAGCATAAATATCAGCCATTGTCCATACTTTTGTAGCTGTACAAATAAAAGTTGTTGAGCTTGTGTCAATGTATACGTACGGCCAATGTTCGAATGGTGTTGATAGCCTTGTGATCTACTTCGCCGTAGTTGCCCATCTTTGCGGTATTGTGCAATGGTTTGATGGAGGAAAGTAACTTGTTGTGAGGCAAATCAAAAGATCTGGTTTGTCTCGTCGAGAATTTGAGTCTGGTTGCGTCAGGGTAGGGCCCCACCAAAGCGTTGTTGGTGGGATGCTTTTCCGTCGGTGTCTGGTTTTGCCGATAAGAAGGGAGATTCAGGCAGAATGGCCTCTTGTTTCGTGCACGTTGCTTTTCGCTCTTGACACACACGCGAGATAGCGAAGAGAAATATGATTGTCGTTCTTTATTATCTTCTGGCCGGAGTGCGATCAATTTCCTTCGTCGAGCAAGTTCAGCATACCTCTGGTGGAAGCTCCGGAAGTACTACAGTACAGCTCACCATTGCCTTACGAATGTGTTAATCAGCCGGCTCAAATCGGCATCGTAAAAAACCCTCGACATCATTCTGCGCACTCCGAGCTCCAGTAGTGCAGCGTGACCATGTGCAGTCTTGGCTGCTATCCATGACTTGGTCCCTTGGAGCAGTATCTCCGTCACCAGAGCGCTCGCCAGAAACCATACCACCGTACAGTACACGATGTTTACGGCCCAAGCTTTTTGTGGGTCTCCACGTGAGTCGACCATCTAAGCGCCGAGCCTCACCATCAGCCAACGACAAGCACGATACCACTAAACATGCAGATAACCGCCATGCGCGGACTTCTGCAAATACCAACTGGCCGCAATGACGACGAGCTCGGCGCCAATGTATCGTTGGTGGACAGCGCCTCACGCTCTCCTCCCCATACATATCCTACACGTCGCCGCGTCGTGTCGTCGCCTGGTAAGATCGCTCCCTCACGTCTCTCACGAATCTCCTTGTGTATTTCCCTGTCTCTTGTCTCTTTTGCCCTGTTGATCTTTACTTTCTTCTACGCTGCTGGTTCAGCATAATGCTTTTATTCACTTGATCTTCAAACATAGCGTATATATCCACTTTCCCTTGGACTCGGGCATGATAGACTGTACTATAGGACTGGTGATACAATGCCAATCATCAGAAGTCGGGTTGATGGGAGAATAAATGAACATACTGGCCGAAGATTACTGCCGCGAGACTCTTTACCACAACAGCTGCAGACCGCCCTACCAGCATGTGCACAACCATGTCTCACAAACTACATACATCAACAATACCCCGGCTGCTCCGGTAGCAGCAGTATTGACTGCTTCTGCACCAACTACAGCTATGATGGCTACACACTTGGTGAACTGGCTTTCATCTGTGTGCAGGAGGATTGCTCCGGACCATCACAGACACAACAGCAGAATGCATACGGCGTATGCTCTGCTCAAACGAGTGCAGTGGCGGCGACTCATAGCACACTCACATTACCAGCAGCTGCGACGAGTACCTCTTCGAGCGCCACACGCTCGAGCAGTTCCTTGCATACCACGAGCACGTCAGCAGCGGTGATTGCATCACAATCTGGGACAGCCACCCAGTCCTCTTCGACCGCTTCTTCGCTTGCAACCTTCACAGTTAGTCCTACCTCACTTCTAGCAAGCTCAACATCGGCGCCGTCAACATCTTCCACAGCTGCTGCAACCAGCACGGCTGGGAATGGAGCTGTTGCGGCCTCCACGCCTGGCTCCTCAAATCTGAGCAGTCTAGCAGCTGTTGACGTCAGTATTGGTGCATTCGGCGGACTCGCCGTGATCATGACCCTCGTCTGGTGCTGCATTCGAGCGAGACGGCAGAAAGGCATCTGCAAGTCTCCCAAGTCACCACACGATTCTTACGACTTTGTTGACGATGCACCACCTCGATTCTCGCCTTTCAACTACACATATGCAGACCCTCGAGGACCCTTGGGCGGTCTCAGTGGACGACGAGCCGAGCTACCTACAGACAAGAGGGCCAAAAGCGAATGGTATCATCAGCAGTTTCCAGAAACTGCCCAAAACGAGAAGACTGATGCTCTTCGACTTTTCCATGGACCACACCACTCTCCAGCTGTGAACAGAAGCAACGAGACCTTGCGCACTGTTTCACAGCTCTTGCCCGAGAAGCCAGGCGAAACGCCACCACGACCTTCGACTAAGCAATTCACTCCCACGATGAGATCGCCCGAGACTTTCTTCGAGGAGTATCGGCAGCCTGGTCTGGCAGCTGCTACGATGTCTTCTGGGCATGTTCCACCCATGCCATCGCGAACAAAGCAGAATTCGCCCATTGCGCCGCTAAGCCACGATACCACAGTTCCCGAGAGTCGCAGACCACCCACGACTCAAGCACACGGACCAGCACCACCAGTGCTGAGTCCGGACACTAGAAATCAACCAGTTCAACGCTCCTTCACAACTTCGCCAGAAGATCTCAAGCCACCTACGCTGTCAGTCAAGCCGCCAAGAAAAGCTTCTCGTTCTGTGCTCAGGGTGCCATTGCCTATCAGAGTCTCCTCTCCACCATTCGAAACACGTAAAGTAGATGCACCGCCAAAGTCTGGCACCTCTTCCAAGTCCGGTGGCAGCTTTCTGGACTACTATGCCAGTCCTGAAATCGACCTAGGTGTTGGACCACTAGGCTCACCTCTCACACCCATCTCACTCGAGCCACAACGGCGTGGCAAAGCTCCGCCAGCCGCTATCACGGTCACAAAACCGACATATCCACCTCGAGCAGTGCGTCGTGGTTCCAGTAAACGAGAGTCCGCCGGAAGTGATACCAGCTTCGAGAGCACGGATCCAGATGAGCCAACGCCACCAGATGAAGAGGACAAGCAGCTCAGTCCAGTGGCCGAGCACTCTCCCATAGCACGAGTGAAGTACCCAAAGATACCTCGAAGCTCAAATCAAGCCATACCGCGGAGTCCGCCCATGCAGATGCCATCGCCAACATATTCGCCAAGTCGAGGTAGAAGAACACAGCAATCGCAAGACGATCGCGCTGGGCTCCCAAGCCGTGCTCGACCCTTGCAGCCAACGACGCCAGAACATCAGATCAGCTCGCCTACTTCGAGTCTCGGCGGGACGACTCTGGCGGCCAAACGTCGAGGTGATAGTGCTGAGGCTGACAAGAGATTGTTCATCGATACCTCTCATCTGCGCTCAGCAAGTCGTCAACCAGTCGAGGACAAGACCGCGGCTACCCCACCACGCATCAGTAGTGCGCAGAATGGCAGGCACGACTCTCCGCTCAAAGGCTACGGCCGAGTCACAAGCGCCGCATCAGGACGGCCACCATTGAGTGGCGGACGCCGCCGCACGAACACATCCTCGAATGTCATACTCACACCTGAGATGAAGTCGCCTGGTCCCACCGCCACGGTAGTACAATATGTCCACGGCCCAGACGGACAAACACATCAGCAAGTCGTGCTCAAGAGTCCACTGTGGGAACCTAAGTTGACACCTCGCCGACATGGAGAGGATCTGTATCTGGAGGTGGGGATGGCGAGTCCTGGGGTGGTCAGTCCTACTTCGGCTACTAAGACGCCTGTTGGGCAAGCGCCCATGAAGTCGCCGTTGACGAGGGTGCAGAATGTGCCACGATGAGATGGGAAAGTGAAATCGTTGATCAGATTTGGGTTGGCGGCATAATTTGTTCTTTATTGTTTTGTGCTGCGTTCGAGCGAATTCACTTCTCTTGCATAGTATGCCGGGCATGTCGAATCAGCCTCGCTCTTGAATAGGCGCCCGCATCCACTTGGTCCAGAAGTCATCCGATTCACAGGAAGGAGATTGCTTCGAAAATTCTTGCTTGGAACAGCGACTGCGCTGTCTCCGACACTGGTTCTACTATGTCCTGCCTGCTTTTTTCTTCATACATGAGCTCTCGATAGGTAAAGAGTTCTCCGCAGTCGTCAAAATTCTTCACAATTCCTCAACGCGTCGATGAGATTAGCACGGTAACGTACAAAACCAAAAATGGGAGCAACGAAAACCACAGGATACTCGGCCCTCTGTCGTTTCTCGCCGTCATATTCGCCCTGCAGCCATCCGGACCGACTACTGTGTGTTTTGTATCCTTCAAAGTGTAGACTGCTCTCTCGTAAAAGCCGCCGTCATGACTTCGCAAGAATCTCGTTGGTACATGACTGCCTCGTTGCCGAGACAGACCATCATTCGCTGCTCGGACGCATTCGCCACAATTACATTGACCCAGCACAATACATAGCCATCGCTATTAGATTATTCCAGATCTGCACCCCCTTGATCAGAAAAGCTCTATCTTTTTGGGAACGAGGTCTTGCATGCTGGAATCCTTCACCGCCGGAAGTTAGACGAAGCCTTTGTATTGATATCGCACTGTCCGGTAGAAGAATCCCCGATGAGGTTTGAGTAGTATGGTCTTCATATCCGGTATCGATAACGCGATAACATCACCTTTCTCAACTACGGCCTCGGCAACTCCGAAATGCGACTGATTCGTACAGAACAATGCACCATTACCCTCCAATTTCGGTGCACCCATGTCACGGAGGCGCAGCCACTGGATGCACTCTTGATCTTGCCATCCCCGGAAGCAGTGCTCAAAAATTCTCCTCCGCATGGCATAGCCAAGGAGGATGGCGCCAGAGACTCCCAAGGTCTGGGCACTTTCGATATATTGTTCGAGGCCATCGAGCAATGAAGCCTTTCCCCCGGTGGTCCATTCGAGCGCCCGAACGAGCGCACTACCAACACCGACCTGATCGTACGGGTAGTTAGCCTGTCGGAAGCTTTCTCTCATCATGCCAATGGCCTGTCTCCACTCTCCTTGATAGGTCACCGAATGCCGAAGAGCCAAATCATCGTGAAGCTCAGTCATGGCAGACGTGCCTTCAATATTTCTCCGAAAGAGTTCTGCCATTTTTTGGGCCAGCATTCCAACCAGTGGGGCGTAGCGGCTAGCAGCACCACCAGCTGGAATCATGTTACTGACCTTGCCAACTTGATATATGTAGCGGTGCAGCACAAGAGAAGGCGTGGAGAGACCATCTTGCTTTCGCATACCCTCGAAGTTGTCGTGAGGAGGAGGCAGATCCTGCTTTGCGAATGAGGTGGCCTGCTCAAGCTCGCTCAGACTACGACGTAATCTTGCGGCGTCGTCCGCAAAGTTCATGGCCCAGCTTGGTACCATTACGGACGACGGATTATCGGATGATATCGCCTCTATATGACTCATGCCCTGGTATAACCTTGGCACGGGAAACAAGGCGAAGCTATCCGCCGACTGTAAGCATATTTTTGTGGCCAGAGCATAAACCTCTCCAGTCGGCATTGAATAGTCTGGCTTGAGGAGTCCCACCTGGCTGGGCTTCAATAGTCCCAACACGCTGTACACCTTGTCCCTCATGTCAAGCGCTTGACAGTCTGCTGTCAGTCTCACAGCTTCGAGGAGATCCACTCCTCGATCCTTGTGCATCTTCGCGAGATGTGCCAATTCGTCTATTCGTGAGAAGAACCCGGAGGTATCGTGTTGCCTGAGTCGTGTAATCTTCTCCGCATCTTCAAGACTCACGGCATAAGCACGAAAGCAAATGACTGGGGTCGAGCTAGCGACCACGTATTCTTGTACTGTCCAGGCCCGTTTCCACCACGATGGAATCGTATTCCTCGTAGCAGATTGGAATGATCTATTGCTGAGGCATGAGATGTGTACAGTACATTGTGGGTCAGGACTAACGTACCTGTTGATATGATGCTGCTTGGCCCAAGTCGCGGGGTCGCTGAGCACAGAATATAACGATGGCTGCTCGTCTGTAACATCCATACCCTCTCCAAGCCAGATTAGTACCCGGGCTGCGGTCCTGTATATCTCATTCATAAACGCCACTTGGTGATTACGCTCTGCTATAGAATGTTGGTTCATGCAGATAGCATCAACCCAGAGTATGCGCACTTGATCTCGACGTCGGATATATCTTAGGGCCGCAAGAAGGTTGTCAGTGACCTGCATATAGTATTCGTTCACCAATATCGCATTGTCTTTTGTAGTATTACCCCAGGTATACGACAAAGCTTCGTAGGTCGGTCCATCCGCCAAAGACTGTATAGACAGGCTACATCGTATAGGGCTATCGAATTCGCCAGGCAAGAGGCGAAGCAGCCGCGTTTCCTGTGGCTTCAGGCCGTGCGGAGGGGATGGATAAAATGCGGTGAGCTTTCGCTCCGGGACCTCAGCATTACGGATGGTCGATTCCGTCGTGGGCTCATCAGCCCAGACGGTATCGGGCCAGTCATTGTCGTCGCTATCGCTGTCCATATCCGTGTGCTCGCCTCCAGACGAGTCTATGTCGGCTACAGGAGAGCTGCACTGCACCGGCAGGCTATCATCGGTCCAGTGAGACATGGCTCGGTGCACAGTTTGTGAGTTGAGCAGCGTGGGAAAATTATCAGAGGACCGGTGCGCGGTAGATACGAAGCTCTTCGCTCAGGACTTGAGGCCGCACTGCACAGCCCTCGAGCGGAGTAGCTCACGCCACTGCCTACCCGGCATGAGCTATCAGGGAGAACGAGGACGAATGGATGCTCTCGCTGTTGCCCTGGAAAGCCTGCCATGACCGTCTTGCTCGTATACAGCTACTTCAACTAGTCAAGGTGGGTCATTAGTCGCAAAGTCGATGGGTTGGGGCTTAAGAAGAAAGTCGAATGGTGGTGACCTCAGCACAGTACAGTCTCTCGGTGCACATACCACTTTCAAGAAATCATCCCGTGGGAATGAGGTTGCATCCGATGCACAGAGGATTGTACATCCGTTCCTTTATGTGCAGAGCTCGAGCATCTTGTGGAAAGAGAAAGACTACGACACTGAATTGGCTCGAGTATACCTCATTTCGCTGACGCTACTGCTAACAGAAATGCAACACGACTGGCGCATGTACAATCTTCACGAGTAGAGCACGACCATCGACCTACTCAAGCATTGGTCTGATAAAGCGTAATGATCAGGGTGATTGTGTTGCAGTCTATAGCTACACTACTCTGATAACCTGCGGCTTGCAGCCTCTAAGCTGACCCCAATCCACACCAAGCATACAAGCAAAAGTCTTGTACCTATAGAGTGGTTGTTTGTCGTGCGAAGCCACCTCTTCCAATACAATTGTCTTGAACTGCTTGGGCGTTGTAGACACTACAGCCACAACGTCATTTCCCTCCACAAGGTCATAGTATATGCCTATGCGTCCTTCTTTCGTGCTGAAGAGCTTAGTATGATCACGGAAGGGCGAATACCATTCACGCGAAGCAGCTGAATGGGACTGATGCGCATCTGGTAGAATAGACTCCCAGACGGCGTTGTGGTAAGTGTCTCGAGACTCACAATAAGCCAGCACTCCCGCTCCTAGACACTCTCGAAGATGGGAGGCCGAGATAATCCGCACGACAGATGCCTGAGCTGCAAGCGATCTCGCCTCCTTAGATGTGGCCGAGCGAGCTGCAGCAAGCGCCTCGGGATCAACATGCTTCATCAGTGAGAGGTCGCTAAGCTCGCCGACACGGTCAATGAGTAGAGCTTACACTACTGCCTGCGGTACGCTCCATAAGTGCCAATTTGAGCTCCCGAGCCATATCGGGCGGTAGCAGCGACAGGATACCAAAGATTCGATCACCGGGCAAAGTGGCCTGTCGGCCCTGCGTGAATTGCAAAGCACGTTTGAGCGTGCTATGGCCGTCGCCAAACAGCATTCTGAACTGGTGGAGGATGTCTATGCTGGCCAAGAGTTCCTTACTCAGACTCGAGCCGGGTAGCTCGAGCCGAAATAGGATGTCAATGGAGATCGTGTACTGCTCGAAGCAGATCCAGGCCTCGACTGATGGCACCACGACCTCCTGTAACGTCCATACACGGTGCCACCATTTCGGCTGCGTACGGGCAAGAGCTTCTTCGAAGGCTTGGCCTATCAGTTCTCTCTCACTTCGCAGAGTTAGGGAGGGCAGGGACGATGGTTTGAGGCTTGTAGCTGAGATCATCAGGTATAGCATCGGTGTCACCCAGCCATATGATGACTTTCCGAGGCCAGTTGGTATATATCACGCATGACGCCAATCTGTTGGGATCTCTCCTTTACGGAGAGCTGATTGATACATAGTGCGTCGACCCAGAGAATGCGATCCCGGTCGGGGTAGCGCAAGCGACGTAAGGCGCAGAATAGATTATCTGTCACCAGAATGCGATCATTACCAACCAGGACATACCGCTCCTCTGCTCGCGCCCCCTAGGTATACGACAAAGCTTCGTAAACCAGTGTAGCGTCCAAGAGGTGGATTGACATGGACACCCGTATGGTCTCGTGAAAGCCGTCCGCAAGGAGGTGCAGCAGGCGGATCTCACGTGTTCCGGGCTGGAGGGGGCCGAGATGGATAGTATGATGTGAAGTTGTGAGCAGAGAGTGTGGCCGGGGGTGGTGGCGATAGGTTTTGTATCGAGGCCAGATCGATTGAAGACCCATCGGCCCAAAGCTCATTGTATAAGTCATCGAAAGGGTCTTCATTGGGAGAGCCCAGCTCGTCCGTACCTGAATTGTCACTAAGGGACTCATCATCACTTTCATGGTCAGCTTGTGAGAGTGAAGCCTCTCTTCCAGACTTCATGCTCTCAGACATGCTGTTTCTGCAATTGTTGTCAGTATGTAGTGGGACGAAAGGCAAGGTTTCATTATGGGATAGAGCTCTGATGGACGACATGCAATGCAATGATGCGGCGGGCGAGGCTGCCTCAGCTCATGCGCGTTGCGGCATTGCGATGTGAGAGGTCAAAGAGGTCCGGGATCCTGAGGCCGACATCATCTCAAGAGGCAGCCATCCGGAGGCCAGAGTCGCAGCGACATTGTTGTTGTAGTCTTTACGCCGTTCCACTGCTCACTTTGGCATAGGTACTCGATATACTAGGAATGTCTCAGCGCCACATCTCAAGCGTCCCGTCCAAACCAGGAAAGGCACACAAGCAGGAATCACATCCCTGCTTCGCCGCCGCCACGACCGCCATCAAAACCCGCCGAGTCTCCGATACCCCAGATCAAGCCTACCAAATGAAGAAGTCCAAGGGCATCAGAAGACCCAAACCCATCATCTCGGTACACCACCACCAAACATAGACATCACGGACAAGGTTCACAAACCACAATCTATCGCTTTCGGACAAGTCAAGCCGGAATGGGGATGAAAATAGAGTGATAACGTTGTCCAATCCCGGTCGATTAATATTTTAGCCAGCAGAAGCCCGACGATTCGGTGCAGGTACAAGTACAGTACTTTGCAGTGACAGCGGGCTACTCTCGGCAGCCGGGAAGTTAGAGTGCGTCATTGGGCCAGAGGCGTAAAGTTAGCAATATCGAGGTCTGCTGCAGGAGAGAGTGGTTGTGGGTAAGCGTGGGATGGGGAGGATAGATTCATATTCTGTATAATGGTATCAATTCATATTTCATATTCTGTATAATGGTATCAAGCTCTTGTTGTATTGTTATGATATATGTAGACGACCATCGTGATCCGCCATCTCGTGCAGTCAGACTGTGCATACAGCAGATACCAAGCAAGCTCCACGGCCCGCAACTCACGTGCAACAGACACCTCGCTACTCATGTCCATGGCCATCCTCACAGCTCTGCCTTCGCTGGCAGGCAGCAAGAAACGTTTCAGTTCTGCTTCAGCGGCAGCACCCCAACGCCCATTATCTGTAGTATCCGTACAACCTCCACAGATCGAGCTCCCGGAAACAGAGGATTACGATCTAGGTTACGACCCCGCCAGCTTCGAGACAGCCCAGTATCACTATTCTACTACTTCGCGCCCGACGACTGCGCCCGGCGAACAAAGTCCTGACTCGCCGACCCTGGGATCGGCCCACCCTTCGCCAACCTTCCCGTCAGCCAAGAAGGCGGGTGGTGGGAAAGTGTCAGAGGCAGACGGCGAGGCGCAACGGTGGTGGGAGAGCAAGAGGAAGCAGGAGATGGCCATGGCGTCTGCCGTGATGGAGACGGGTGGGGAGCATGGGAAATCCAGTCATACGGTAGGAGGATCAGAAGAGGCACTGCCCACAACGACGACAACGACAACATCGCGACCAACCACCACCACAACACCACCATCCAGCAGTCACGCCGTCAACCCCGCCACCATCCCAATCAGAACCAGCTCTTCCCACGCAACAGAACAGCGAGACAGCTATCGAGAACCAAGCTACACCCCCTCCAGCCCAACTCAAATGCGCAGTCCCAAAAAACACCGCAGTCTCATGAGCGTCCCCGAAGAGAAGAAACACAGCAAACGAGCCAGCATGAGCACAAGCACAGCCGCACACCCCGACGAACGGGACTGGCTAACCCAAATCCACCGAACCAATGGCTATCCCCACGATCGTGAAAGCAGAGATCGAGGCTACAGCAGCGGCAAAGAACGAGCGAGTCGATATACTCCATCAACATTCTCCCAACAGCCCACCCTCACCCCAACAGCACCTGAGCCGAGCCGGCAAAGCACTGAAAGGACCAGCACAGACCTCATCGACGAACCGGCCGGTAGTAGCTGGTCCAGCGAAAAAGAGACGATCCTAAAGGGACCCTTTGACTACCTCGAATCCCACCCCGGCAAAGACATCCGCACCCAAATGATCCACGCCTTCAACGCCTGGTTGCGTGTCCCCGCCGCCTCTCTGGCGATAATAACAAAAGTCGTCGCCCAACTCCACACCGCCTCCCTCCTCATCGACGACGTAGAAGACTCCTCGCACCTCCGCCGCGGAGTCCCCGTAGCCCACCACATCTTCGGCGCCGCCCAAACAATAAACTCCGCAAACTACGTCTACTTCTGCGCTCTACAGGACTTGCTTACACTGGAGAACCCCGAGGTCATCAAGATATATACGGACGAACTCCTCAACCTGCACCGCGGCCAGGGCATGGACCTCTTCTGGCGCGACACCTTGACCTGCCCCTCCGAAGACGACTACCTCGAAATGGTCGGCAACAAAACGGGAGGCTTATTCCGCCTCGCCATCAAACTCATGTGTGCCGAATCCCCCTCCCACAACTTCGCCCCGTCCCCCGCCCACAGCCCGGGGAGCGACAGCGCCGGAAAACCAGACTACATCCCCTTGGTAAACACCATGGGCCTCCTCTTCCAAATCCTCGACGACTACCGCAACCTCGACTCCCCCACCTACACGGCCAACAAAGGCCTTTGCGAAGATCTGACCGAGGGCAAATTCTCCTTCCCCGTCATCCACGCCATCCGCTCCGATCCCACCAATCTCACTCTTATCAATATTCTGAAGCAGAAGACGGAGAATGAGGAGGTTAAGAGGTATGCGGTAGCTTATTTGGAGAAGTGTGGTTCGTTTGCTTATTCGCGGAGGGTTTTGAGGGGGTTGACTAAGAAGGCGTTGGGGTTGGTGGAAGGGGTGGATTTGAGGTTGGGGGGGGAGGGGAAGGGGGAGGGGGTTAGGGGGATTTTGGAGAAGATGAGGGTGGAGAGGCAGCAGCAGCAGCAGCAGCAGGGGAGGGAGAGCGTGAGTGTGTGATCTTTTCCCCTGTTTGTATTTGTGTGGGGGGGGGGTGAAGACTCTAAGCCGCCGCACTCGCCTACTGTTGGTGCCGGGTTTCTTCTCCTTGTTGGTTAGGGGCGTTGAGGGGTTTACGGGCTATGGGATGGCATGGCATGGGAAGATTTTTGCAAATAGTGTAGCCAGGCAGGGTAAGCTGGTTCGAGGGATTTTCCTTTTGAGATACCATTTTGTGCGAGATCTGTACTGTGCGAGATAAGGTGCTTGAGATGTGGAAAAATGTGTAAACTAGGCCGGGAAGGGGAAGGGGAACGTGTGCTTCTTAGCTTGTACAGGATAGTGGCGGTCAAGTGTATTTGTATACTTATCAATCATAACACCTGCCACTTGTCATATGAGATCCCCCGTGACGCCTGTCCATTGCAAAATTTAATACACGGTGGACACAGGTTGCCAGTATCATGTATGACACTTCCACCGTAACGCCTTCGACTCGGTCGGAGTTCGGGGGGGGAGATTCCGCCGTCTGCTATCACTATCACGGCCAGTACTTCCTTTCCCCAACCTTAAGACCTCTCATCGGAGGGGGCGGGGCGGGTGGACGCGAAACCTGCCTCTCAGTCGGACCCTTCCCCCCCATCAAACCAGCTCGAGCTCATCCATCCCAGTCTCCACTCGTCCTCACGACAACCAATCGTGCCACAAACGAAACTCCCTCCCATCACACTACTCCTCCTCCCACCAATCGCCCCTCGCTGGCCTCAACCCTAAGAATTCAAGATCTAAACCTTGACCTCCATCCCCATCTTGACCGCCAACTTCCACACCTCCCGAAACCCCTCCTCCCACTCCTTCCCCGCTTCCGGCCCCTCCACCCCCTTGCCCACTTTCGGCCCAAGCATAACCACACTCGTGGGCCTCTTCGTCGCTCCCGCCGCTCCGAGTTCCGCTCGCGAGGGGACATAGAGGTAAGGGATATTATGATCCTCGCACAGGACGGGGATGTGTGAGATCACGTCCATGGGACTGATGTCCGCGGCTAGGATTACGATGCCGTGGGGTAATGGGGTTGTGGCAGTCGGGGCGGAGGTCAGGGTTGCCGGGTTAGCGGGGGGGGATTTCCGAATGGATTTTACGACTTCTTTTACGCCGCGTTTGAGCGCTTTGTTTTTGGCGGCTGTCATTCGAATTCCCAAAAGTTAGCATGTTTGTGTGGTGGAATGGGTGGTGAGTGAGCGGAGTGAGGTGTGAATTGGATGTCTTACCTTTCTTCACCCCCTTCAACACCTTCTTCTGCTCCTTCTCCCCACACAGGGGATTCGCAAACGGTACTAGCGCTGCCAACGGCACATCCTTCTTCTTGTCCTCGCTGTCCTGCTCCTCCTTCACATCTTCAATCGCGACATCGCCGTCTTCGTCCACCACCGCCACCGCCTTCTCCGACTCGGCAGCGCCCGTAGACTTTCGCTTCTTCTCTTTCTTCTCCTTCTTCTCCTTCTTCGCGGGCGTCTCGACTACGTCGTCATTCTCGACTGCGGTGGTAGAAGAAGGGTCGATGTCAGAGTGTTTGCGCTTCTTGTCCTTTTTGTCTTTCTTTTCCTTTTTCGCCAAGGAAGCGTCTTCGGTCTTGTCTTTGGCCATTTTGATTGAAGTTGTACTGCTGGTGTTTGGAGATCTCGTGCTTGCCATCGAGCTCGAATAATGGCAGCTTTGAACTTTTCCTGAAGCTTTGGCAGTGCCAAGACGCTGAGGCGGGTACTGCCGCTAGTCGCGAAGCCAAAATACTCCGATACAACACAGTCAGACTACACTTCGTCTGCTCTCGTAAGGCGCAACTCATGATTTCCTCCATCACACTGAAGCATGGCCTGTATGCTGCAATCAGACGCTCTGGCACATCTTCTCGTCAGTCTGCAGGCTGCCACGCGCCATCTTCCACGTCGATGATGGTGGCGTGATCTCGCGAGCAACGGCAGTGGCTGTGCTACGTTACGCCCTATGTACGAGAAAGCGTGGTGAAGTCGATTTCTGTCCACCCATTCATCTGCTACGCCAAGTTGGGCCAAAAATGATGCATCTCGATGTGGAAGAGCGGTCCAAAATTCCCGCATCTCGGATACCTTCTTTTCACCTGTCTCGTCGTGACCCTTTCAGCAGTCCCCTCGTCCTCCATTCATACTGACACTCAGACCTTCACAACGATCAGTCCTTTCGACTACCTGTGACCGACAATCTATACAAAGCACTGCGGCGGCTACGCAAACGCTTCACCGTCCGTACTCTGTGCGTCGATGCGATCTGTATCAATCAAGCGGATGCGTGAGATAAGTCGCAACAGGTAGCTCAGATGAGCCATATCTATGACAGTGGTAGTTGCGTTAATGTCTGGTTGGGTGAGCGTAGTCGACGTACTTGGACGGCTGGGAGACTGGCCTGGGAGATTTGGGTCCTAATCATGACTGTCTTCGTCATCCCGATCTGGCTTTTCGAATTCTGGGATGCGTTGGGATATGGTGAGGGTCTGGCTTTCCTCCGCGATGTCGCGGCCTTCGTTCGACTACGTCCACAGAGACTGGAAACAAGTTTGGCGGGTACGCAGCCGTCGTGGATCGACCGTGTCTGGATCGTGCAAGAGTTCCTACTGGCGAACAAGCTTTACATCTGTTTCGGGTCCGTGCGGATGAAGTACGACTGGACCACCCTGTGCGGAATGTATCACACCGCAGATCTAGGTTTCGAATATGACATGCCTCCCTTCAAGCATCTGATCGATCGGCTTTCTCCCTATGGTTTGCTGAAGATCCAGCGCACGAACGGATGGTCACAGCACCGGAAGCCAGATGTGCTATCAATCATGCTCGCGACACGGCAGGCAGAGGCTACACACCCCGTGGATAAAATCTGGGGCGTTTTTGCGCTGATTAGCTCGGAGGGGCAGTCCAATATCAAGTTGAACTACACGATGCCCATCAGCGACGCCTACATTCAAGCGACTTTTGCCTCCATGGACTGTATCGGTACACTAGACATCTTACATCTTGCAGGTCTTGGTCAGAGCAAGATCGAAGGACTACCCACATGGGCCGCAGACTTCACGCAGAGTGCGACGAAACTAGAATTCGCAACGCATGAGCCGTGGCTCGAGACTCCCAAGCTACCCGGCTTGCCCGGCCTACCAGTCCATAATACATTCGAAGAGAAGAGACTAGAGCCATCGGAGGCTCCGTTGTGGGTTCCAAGGGTGCTGCGAGCAAAATCGGTGAATGTAAAGGATAGACTACTTGGACTCAAAGGAATCCATCTGGGTGGCATCGCCAGTACCTACGTCTAGCAGAAATCGCCCAAAGAGAAGGAACCACGTGGCCTATCTGGCTTTCACGATGCTGGAGAGTATCGTAATGCCTATGCCGGTATAGCGGAAGGCCTGGCGAGAATGCTCGAAGCTGCCAAGCATCGTTTGTGCTGAGCAGGAGACTGAGGGGAAAGCCAAGTTCTTTACCACTACGTCCGGGTTTCTTGGTCTTGGCCGCGGGGATGTGCTTGAGGGCGATATCGTGGTTGCTGTGCCAGGGGCTAGACTACCGCTTGTACTGCGACGGAGGGAGGATACGTCGATGTTCACGTTCAGGGGCTTTGCTTTTACTCATGGTGTTATGTTCGGCGAACTCATGAGCATGATGATTGATTCGGAGAAGAATGGCGAACTGGACAGGTTGATGGAGGATTTCGTTCTTTGCTAACAAAGTTCAACTCACATCATGAGAGGCGCAGCTGGCAGTGCGAAGTGCTAGAGCTTGACGTGAAGACTTTTGCATCTCCGTCTAGCACTTGCCTTCGAACAGCAATACAGCCGTATCATGCGCCTCGACCTCAACCTCCACACTCTTTTCCTTACATCCCAGATCCGTTCCATTCCACGCTTCGGTAACAGCATAACACCCATCACTCTCCAACTCCGGAATCTCACTATACAGCGCCGTCATCTTCATCGTCTCATTTAGCGGATTGAACATCGCCACCATCGTCCCATTGCTCGAAGCCCCAGACCAATACTGCGCCGGAAACGTCGAGTTAAACGTCCAATCCTCATTGACACCCCACTTATATGGCGCCGCACTCCCCCCCACAACCGCGTCCTGATTAAAAGCCAACAACCGCTTATTCTGCAACACCCCGACATCGTGCGCGGACAATTTCGTCACATCCGTGCCCATCAACAGCGGCGTCTTCATCAGCGCCCACAGACCGAAATGGGTTCGTGTCTCAGCAGCGGTGAGGTTCCCGTTGCCGACTTCGAGCATGTCGGCGTCGTTGTGGCCCCAGAAGTTGTTGTAGTTTGTCAGGAAGGAGTTTTGGTTGAGGATTTGCAGGATGCGGGACCAGGAGGGATTGATGTCGTTGCTCATGCGCCAGGAGGAGCCGGTTGTGTTGCCCCAGGTCCAGGGTTCGTCGACGCCTGGAAAATAGAATGTTAGTCTCTGAGTATGGTGGGGTTTGAGGGGATGTTGGGAAAGCGCGAGGGTTCTGACAATGCTTACCCCATTCACAAAGACTATACAAGATCGTCCTGTTCTGCGCCTGTAAAGCTTGTTGCATGATCCGGAACTTCAGCGCCGTGTACTTGGCCGTATAGTTGTTACCATCCACCGGCCACTTGTACGGCGGACAGATAGGGATAGGCTTGTCGAAAGAATAGTGATTGACGGGAGGTGTGGATGGTGTACAGCTTCCGTTCACGATCCCCGTTGGTGAGAAGCTAGGGTCGGCCTCGCAGGAGAGGCAGTCGTCGTACCAGACCTCGGAGGGAAAGCAGTTGTCGTACTACCATCATTTTGTGTAAGCAAATGGACAACACCAAACCTGGGATATGATTCTCTGGATTCTCCCACCTTCAAATAATCCACCCCCCAACTCGCAAAAGTCGCCGCGTCCACCTCCTCATACCCAAGACTAGCCGGATACCCGCCACAAGTCTTCGTCCCCGCACTAGAATAAATCCCAAACTTGAACCCCAAATCGTGAATCTTCCCAGACGTCCCCGTGATCCCTTGAGGGAACTTGGTAGCGTTCGCAACGAGCTGATGGGTATAATTATCTCTTCCATCGAGGTTGGACCAGCAGTCGTCGGAGATGACGTATTCATAGCCTGCGTCCTTGAAACCCATGGAGACCATTGCGTTTGCTGCTTGGAGGAGTTTGGATTCGTCGATGTTGCAGCCGTAGGCGTTCTGGATGGGGGTGTTATTATCATGGCATTGTGAGGTTCTGATGGTGTGGCTGCTGGATCCTTACCCATGAGTTCCAGCCCAGTGCAGGTAGTTTACCTATGCCATTGGGAAGTTGTATAGCCAGCGCTGCTGGGAGCGCGGAGAGCGCGAGTACTGCTGCTAATCGAGACATTGTGGTAATGTGAGATTCTGTACTACCTGAGGAACAAGAGAACGAATGGAATGGGAACAACTCAACTAAATACTTCCCTTGACCCCGTCATGATTACTTGGGAGGCTGGACATCGATCACCGCTCCCCGCATGCAAGGACAAGCCGTGGCTAAATGGCCATCAGAGTTTAGCAGCAGCAGTTTCTCGATCATCTTGCGAGGTGCAGTCATCCAAGATGATGCATGCAGAAGGTAGAACGTTGGAGTCCTGCAGGTCGACGTCGTGCAAAGGCGGCATGTGGAGGGTCGCGGAGCCGAAAAAGCCGGGGATCGTCCTCAACGATGCAGCTTTGAATAGCCTGTTTGATCCTTTCCACCAATGACTTGTGCTTGATGCTTGCCAAGTTCTGGAAGGCGCGGGCTTGGTCGAGTCGATTGACCTGGTTGTTCGCAGGTGGGTACGGTAGTCCAGGAATTCCAGGTGATGTAATGACACTATGATTGCTGGTCGAAACGTATTGTACAGCAGGGCAACGGCAAACACGCCGTGCAGGCGCTAAAGTCTATAATGTATCTACTACCATCGTCAGCAGCACCCACCACGGGCACACCCCATCATTGCGATCAAACACCAGACACGCCGTGACGCCACGCCATTTCATGCTCATATCGAACGATGCTCCCAAGTAACCCTCATCACGCTCACCGTGGCGCTACTCATTGTAATGATACACCTGTAGTAACAGCAGTTAGATCGTGCCACAAGCTCGTTGCATGTGACTGTAGGTTCATAGCGAGAAAGAAACTCACAAAGTAGTTCGGCAGACCAGTGGCCTTCCACCCCAGTCTCGCTGCCATACGCGCAAACCCTTCCGTTTCGATGAGATGATAGAACGGGAATGGAGGGAACATAGCTCCGTCGCGATGCACATATGCCTTTACCAAAAGCGCCGTCCCACCCACACCATCAAGATCGACTTCCGTTCTCGCATCGCCATGCTGATCTAGATCAAGTTAGCCCACCACTTCGTCATACCGCAAGGTCAGCAAAACAATGGTTTATGAAGACTCACCAGCCATATAAGCCATCAGACTCCTATACGTTGCCATCTCCGCATAACCCTCCAAGATAATCTCCTCCGGCCCCATCTTCCCCGCCAACTCCTTCGCGGTCGGCGAGTCAACCCAAGAATTGAAATCATAAGGCCGCACATCCATGGCGTCTTTGTCCTTGTTATGATACCGCTGAAAGCAATTCGGTACAATCAGAGGCTTATCATGACTAGCCAGGTCCTGGATCAGACTAGGTGGTGTCTCGATGATATCGCTATCCAGCCACAATACCCAGGACGTGGTTGGGCCGAGGGTGGTAAATAGGAGGGCATTCCGCGCCCTGCTCATGGCTGCTCTTCTTTCCTTCTGCGCGGACAAGGCATGTCTGTCCTTCTCATCCTGCAAGATCGTAGGCTCCTCATCCTGCCTTAAGATCGTGATCGAAGCGAAACGGTTCTTGTTCGTAGGCGCCTGTGTCTTCTCTATCCGAGCCTGTAATTGCTGTGTCGCCAGATTTCCTTCTCGTCCTTTGGGTATGATGAAACCCAGAGATATCAAGTCGTGTGGGAAGGAGAGCTTCACTAGATTATCCCAATACTCGTCGTAAAATCTTGCCAAGGGCGTTAGGATGAGTATGCTCTCCCTGTTTCCCACAGGATCACTGGTGATGGTCACATTATTCATGTGGTAATGCACTACCGGCGGGGGCGCTGCTCGCTCTCCCTCAGCCAACTTCGCCGGTTTCCGGAAGGGTAATGAAGGAGGCGAAAGTTCATTGGGCGCGGCGTCTTTACTCTTGAGGACATGTCTCGCGGCGCCAGCTGCGTAGGCCGGTAATTGTGGTATCGAAGTGGTGTCGCCGAAGAAGAAGTAGAGGAAGAAGAGACAGAGACCGCCGGCGAGGACGTAGGTGATGGTGTTGTTTCGGCGGAGGGAGCGGGTGACGGCCATGATGGCGGGTGGTGGGAGGGAGTACTTCTGCTGGTGCATGGCTGGTCAGTCTATCGCCCGGGACGGTACATGCTGATGGTGTCCAGGACAAGCGCCTCAACACGTGGGATAGCCGCCTGTCAAAAGTACTTGGCGCAGATGAGGTGGAATGTGAGGTGAATGCTCGCAGCACGCCCCTCTCGTCCTATCATGCATGCCTGGCTTTTCCTGTACGATGTTCTCCCTTCATGTAGACTCTTCACCAAGATGACATACCTATACCAGCATCAGCACGACAACCCAGATGGTCAATTGTATCGCCGCTGTGCAGCTCTTAATTGTGCCGTGATGTAGCCCGGACGGTAAAATGTCACAACCAAGGGATGACCCATGGAATCGTTTTGGATTTGGATCTGACGCCCGCGTTTCAGCACCGGCGATCCGTCGCGCTACACAAAGCTTATTCCATGCCCTGTTTGAGTTTTGACACGTGACACGACTCCAACGTAGATCGTATGATGAGGTGACTGTGTTCATCCACAATTCTCTCACTCCGACCGGAGTGGCTACTCCTTTGTCTGTGACGCTCAGGGCTCCGAGATTCTTGAGTGGAAGAGTTTGTTAGTTCCAATAAGAAAAGCGTTGCATTGAGGGTTCTCGTGCTGTCAAGGCCATAAGTATCATCATTGAAGAGTCTTCGACTTGTGTACCGCATCTATTATGTTCCGGAGTCTATCAACACCTCTCATGCTCCCCCACCATCGCTCACCTAGCACGTTCAACCATCTCCCCACCTCCTTTCCCCTCAACCGCGCCCAACGAGGACATCTCACGTGAGTCCTCCGGTATCCCCCCGGACTTGGTAAGTTTGAGCGCATTCCTAGCAATCTCCTCCTTCTCCGCATCACTGATACCATACCAATGCGAAGCCACATGCTCATCGCCAAACAGTGTACCAATTTCTTCGAGAGTTCTGCCTTTGGTTTCCGGGAATAGGAACCAGATAGCTATGATATAGCATATCGAAGGGCAAATGAGGACGAGGTAGAATCTGCAAGACATCTATCAGTGCCATCGTGAGGTCGTAGCATTGTGGACTTGGGACTCACCGCCACCCAATTTTGTCCAGAGCTGGCGGCGCGGCAACGAGTGTCACTTCACTAGCAAGATAGAACATTGCTATTCCCAGTGCCGTTCCCTGAGACCTCAGATTGTTCGGCCAAATCTCCGAGACGTAGACGTATTGCGTAGCATCGATGAAGAAACACCACCATAAAATGAAGAACCACACGAAGAAAACAGCGGCGTTCAAGCCGGCAGTATTGGTCGTTCCGAGATATGTCGCAGTCAGAGCACAGAGGAAGATCATGGCGGTTGTGACACCGCATGTACCGATGAGCAAGAAGGTCTTCCGGCCATAGCGGTCAACGTAAAGTGCTGTCCAGATATTGCCGATGATGGTGAAGGTTGTCCAACAGGCATTCAGTAGTAGGGGTTTGAAACCTGTCAATCCCAGGGATGCATAGATCAGAACGCCGTAATTCGTCATCACGAATATCCCAAGGAATTGATCTCCAGCCATCAAGATGGTGGCGACAAGAGAGCGGCGACGGTTGGCTTTCGTGCGGAAGATCTCGAGGAAGCGTGGCTTGTACTGTTTGTCAAGGTCGAATTGCTTCTCCATGAGGTAGAACTCCTGTCGAGCGGCGATGTGGTCCGGATCTCCCCGTGATGCATGCAGATGTTGCACTACCTCGAATGCTTCTTCTCTTCGATCTTGACCCAGTAGCCATCGAGGTGAGTACGGAATGAAGTTACTCCCAGCCAACACGATCAATGGCGGTAGACACTGCAATGCCAGCGGAAAGCGCCATCCGAATGTCGCATGCACGGAGTCCGGAGGAAAGAAATAGCACCCGAAGCCCACCCATCCGGACAAGGAATAGCCAAAAGCATACATGATTCCGGTCACACAAGTCATCGCTCCCCTCGTCTCTGCGGTGGAAACCTCACTCTGATACATCGGTACCACGACCGCAAGGATGCCTGCTCCCATGCCCGCTATTACGCGGCCGGCGAGGAACATGCCTATATTAGCGGCGCCGGAACATAGTGCGCCTCCAAGAATGAGGATAGCGCAGCCGAGCTGAATGGTGCGCCGACGGCCGTATTTATCTGCTGTCCATGCTGAGGTCAGACAGCCGAGGATGGCACCCGCGCTGTTGACGCCGTTGAGGGCGCCGATGATGTTGCTGGTGTGAGCATAGCCAGGTTCACCTTGGGTGGCGAGGTTGAAGTATGTGTAGACTAGGCGGATCTTAGTACGGTAACACATGGTCATAAAAGTCGGAATGTGACGTACAACTTGGCTGGCCGACAGTTGAGCCGATCACTGCTAGGCCGTAGGCGGTTGCTAAAGTCCCTAGTGCTACAAATACGACGACCAGCAGGTTGTAGGTATTGACTATCAGTTTGCCTGGAGCGAGCATGTTGACGCCGTCTCACGGTACACGTGTATCAAGCTTCTGTGTGGTGAGAAAGCTGTGTAGACAGAGTTCACCACTAGAAGACGCCTGCTATCTTGATGCATGGTGGAGTACCTACAGATGTAGTGCCTACGTCAGGTCGTCCGTACGAGTAGCCGGTGAGGAGTCGTTGTCCTGCCCGAGGTCAAGCAGCATACAGGCATTCGTTGAGAGCGTACCGAGCTCTGCCAGATGTCCCATGCTAGCGCCCTCCCCGCGCAAAGAGAAGAGAGCATGGGGTAGATTTGCGGTGATACTCTCGGCATGCAATTCCGAAAAGAAAGAGGAGGAGAGGAGATGATGTCGGAAGATCCTAGCCACACGAGCCGATTGCGCTTCGTCTTAGTCAGCTCGGTTTAGTAGCCGAGACAATATAACGAACTCTCGCTGCTATCATGCTGCTTCCGTGGTAGGTCAGACAGGCAAGACCTTGCCACAATCGTGGAACGCTCATTCAACTTGTGCCGCCTGTAATCCTGCGGCGTGCCAGCGTGATGACTTCCCGTGCAAGGATCGGAATTATCTGAACGAGATAGCAAAAAGCCTTCCGCCACCGATGCCGCTCAAGCCCACAACGCCGCAATCTTCTGACTGTATTCGATAGCAAAGCCGGCGCTCAGTAAGGCTACAAACAACCCGATCTGCCTTGGTTGCTAGAAGTGTCCGGGGATGCTGCGAACTTGTGACAGGATCCGAATCCTTCCCACATCATTCAGAAGAAGATCGTCTTGTCCCACCCCACAAACTCTGCAGTCTCTGCATCTCAACTCAGCACTAAGGCACGCGATGAGCACGCAACCGTCTTCGGCCAGTATTGCTCGGCTGACCAAGAGGATACCGAAGGGGACATGGGACACCCACATGCATGTCGTTGATCCACGCGTCTTCCCTTTGGACAAGTCGGCCTCTTATCAAGCCTCGCCACATACACTCAACGATGCTTATAACTTCCTCGATCAACTCGGCATTGAGAAGATGGTCATTGTTCAGCCTTCTATCTACGGCAACGACAATAGCTGCACACTCGACGGCCTGCGGAGACTGGGGCCCGAGCATGGTCGAGCCGTGATCCAATTCGATCCTGATAACACTTCACGGAAGCAGTTGCGGGAGTGGCATAACCTGGGTGTACGCGGAGTCAGACTCAACTTCAAGTCGGTCGGTGGCGAGATCGAAGAGGGTCGTTTACGGGAGTCGATGATGAAGTATGCCGCCGCTGTGTTCGGGTACAACTGGGCACTCGAGCTGTACATTGCGCTGGAGGATATACCAATCTTGGAGCGAGTCATGCCCAGCTTACCCGGCATGAAGATATGTATCGACCATTTCGGACATCCTACCGCTGCATCGCTGGAGAAAGCGAAGCAGGCTTCAGACATCCCCGGCTTCGATGCACTAGCCCGTCTGCTTCAACAAGGGCAGACGTGGATCAAGATCTCCGCCTCCTACCGCTTAAGTAAGGACCCCAAGAACGCCCTTGTCAACGATCTAAATCGACAGATCCTGCGCCTCAGACCAGATCGCTGTGTCTTCGCGACGGACTGGCCACATACACGATATGATGGACTCGATGTTGGCCCTTACCTTGAAGCAATACTGGATGGAATCGAGGCGACCGAGGGCGCCTCTTTGAAGCAAGTGTTGGTAGACAATGCAGAAGAGCTTTTCGATGCCAGAAGTATGTAAGAGCTCGTGGATGGTTCATGAGCGGAGGTTAGCACATACTTAATCCTCCAATTGTCTCGCTTTACAGCAAGGGATGGCTTTTTGCACTGACTTTAACATTGACGGCCTATCTGTTCGATAGACTCCGGGTCAAGTCCGACCGATATGCGCAACAATTTCGCTCACCTTGCGCATACTCTCCAGATCCTACCATGACCCGCTGCTCTGTGACTCTCGTCCACGACATGCTGCCCTCAACGTCCTTTGATGCGCCCCGACCCTCATTTGCGGATGCGAGACACTCGGCCTCCGGAGAACAAGTTCAGTATAAAACCAAAGCACTCTTCCAACTCTAAGTTGCGGGCGTTACCACAGACCCCCACTTGCCTCGACGATCCTGTTTGTCGTGCTTTCAATAGACTACTGGTAAGATACTGCGCCTATGCCCTCACAATTTGCGGCACAACGCGGTGCGGACGGATCATCCTCGCGGTATGTTGGTGACGTTGGTAGTCGTCTCGATGATGTGAGTGTCTTGCGTTTGGACTAAAGTTTCGATCAGCTGGGCGTGATAGGACAGAATGCCGTAAGTACTCACCACGATGCCTGACGACTGTGCCGCAACTCCACAACGACCATATTGTTGGAGAATGTGAATCGACAAGAAGATGGAGATGAAGAGGAAGTCAAGGACGCCGCCGAAATTTGGCGTCCAACCCAGCAGCAATTTGACGGCGGCGAAGATGCAGCACAAAGTTTCGCCGGCCTCTAGTGCATGATGTGTTGCTATTTGCTCACGATTGACGTACAGGAAGTAGAAGACAGTGACAGTGATGGGTGGAAGATATGTCCTGGCCCATTGCAAGGTGGAGTCGAATTCGAAGGCCATCAGGTTGTACGCTCATATGTATAGGATTAGGAGCACGTACCATGCTGATGCAGTCGATGACTATACATTCGACGATAGTGGAGCAGGCTCTTACTAGTCGACGATGCTTAGTCTGAAGCATCGTGGTTGTGCCGGGGTGTGTTAATTCCATATCCTCAGCAACGTTGACTTGGTCGGAGCACACGCTGCCATTCTCAGCAGCCATTGAGCCGTCGTCGGCCGCCACCGAATCGCTGCCAACAAGCACTGCGTCCTTGTGTTAAAGTGATGCAAGTATGTCCTAGCGCAGTGTCCATGCGCGAGCCACGTTCAGCGAATGATCACCATCGCATAGAGCTTGGTACCGATGATTGGAATTTGTAGCTTTGTGATTGTAAGAAACTCCAGGTAACAGTGTCAATGACCAATTGTCCAAGCACATATTACTCCCAAGACGGAACGATGTATTTCAACTTACACATCCTAACATCATGTAGAATTTCGCATTGGCTACAACTAACAAGCCTTGTCCAAACCTACACCATCGAGATATGCGTCACAGATGTACACATCAAATCCTCATTACCGAACCCAACCACCAGCGCACTAGGGCTACATCTCCAAAGAAGCGCGGGTCCGAGCTAGAGACTAGTGGGGGAAGAACTAAAAAAGACTCCAGCAATCGTGAATAGGCTTCGTGCCCAAGTTCAATGGCAATCAGGAGGACGACGCACCGAGATTATACAGCATTACTGTTGAGTTAGTGCGTATAGATATGTGCAAAGGAAGGGGCAGAAAGGAAGACAATACCACCATACCCTCTAGGTATGCAGGCTTCTGATGATATTGAGGCGAGACCAACGTTGGAGGAGTCGAAGGATCTGATCAAGAGCAGTCAAACTACCAGAGCGAGTACGTAAGCCGCGATTCGAGGCATCTCTTCCCCCAGGCGTAACGAATGACTTCGGCAATTGCATTCTTCCCTGTTTTTAGTTCCCTTTTGGCTCGGCTTACATCTATTCTGGCGCAATATCCGTAGGATTTCGTCCTCGTGCGTGAGCTTCACGCCCTGCTATATCCGTAATGCGTTTAAGCTCATGCGGCTGGAAGCAACTTCAACAAGTGTTGTACTAGGTCTGAGATCATGCTCCAGGAAGTGCGGTCTTAACGACCAGTAGATGACAAGCGAGTCTCGGCTGTAGGACATGAGCTGTACATATAAATATGCAAGCACGACCACATATGGCATGGTCAGCCCTCCGACATCCCTTTGGTAACTCCAACTCACAGATCGACACGCATCATGTCATCCTTAGCTCTATACCACCGCGACGGCGCCTGCTCAATGGCACCCCACATACGTCTCCTCCACCTCCCTATCCCATTCACCGCGGTCCCCATGATCGATGGACCAGACGGCTACCAAGCAGCTGATGGCTCGTTCTCACATGCTGATTACCGGAAGATCAGTCCTGCAGGTTTCGTTCCGGCTCTTGTCGTTGATGGACAGGCTTTGACCGATAATGCGGCGATGTTGACTTATCTTGCTGGCCTGAGGCAAGATGAGGGGCTGGGAGGTTCAGATGAGTGGGAGAGAGCCAAGATTGGGGAATGGTTGGCATGGCTAGCCGGAACTCTCCACGGCCGAGGGTTCGGCGGTCTCTGGAGGCCGGGTCGGTATTCGGATGACGAGACTATGTGGCCAAGTATAGAGGCCAAGGCAAGAGGATTTATTTTGGAATGCTTCGCTCGAATCGAAGCCGGGATTGGTGGCAAACCGTACGCAGTTGGAGAGAGGTTGACGGTCGTGGATATCATGTTGCATACTTTCTGGCGCTGGAGTCGGGCGCTTAGCTTGAGTCAGGAGGACATGGTAGCGAGGTATCCTGGTTGGGCGAAGGTGATGGCCAAGGTGGAGAAGCTGGACAGTGTGCGGTCTGCTATGGCTGCCGAGGGGCAGGAGTTGTGTTTCACATAGTCTTGGGACAACAGACAGTAAGCCGAGTGCCTTTGCCAGCCAACACCAAATAATGTAGTCTTGTAGCCAGATCATAAACACCCATCATCTAACCTTACCCATACCTGGCCCAACCTCCAAGCCCAACCCCCTCCCACACTTCCTCCCTACAACCATCTTTCCAAACACTTCTCTGCCCAGCCCTCTCATCGCCTTCACAAAGTCCTGTCCAGAGATCCTACCTCGGTCAAGAGCTTTCTGCAGCACATACATGGCTTCCCTACACCCTGCTTCCTCAGCACAGACTCGCCACAACTGTTGCGCTACCAGCGAGTTCGCGACCAATACATCGTCTATGGGAGGCTGCGGTTTCGATTTCGTGTTTGCGACCAGGTGATCGCAGTCGGCAATGCTGCAGCGGAGTATGGCTTCGTTCGTTTCAAGCGTCTGAGAAAGTTGTTCTAATTGACGGATCTCCGCCTCGAGGCGTTGGTGAGCTGTTTGTAGGGCGATTGCTTGAGATTGCAGAGGTGCGATGGCTGAGAGATTCTGATGGACTTTCATTCGTGCTTGCTGGACGATTGATGTAGAAAGTGCGTGCAGAAGATGTTCTCTCTCTGGGTTCGGGGGTATTGGCGGTGCTGGACCGGCTGTGCTCGGACCTGGCAAAGTTACATCAAATGGATCTGAGAGGAGATCTGGTGGTGGTTGTGGCTTTTGTAGCTGTGATGTAGGCGGTTGTTGGTAGTACTGACCGGATGTGAGGTACTGTGCCGTATGTTGCCGCGGGTGCTGGCCTTGGTATTGGTTGGCGGGTTGGTTGGATGGCTGGCCTTGGGGAGGTGGCGGCTGCCGAGGATACGGGTGACTTCGCTGGGGCTGTTGCGGTATCGAGGGCGCTTGCGAATATCTCTGATCTAGCGGCTTCGCATAGCCACTGACAGGGGACACAGGTGACACTGGGCTACGGTTGTGGACCGACCGTATCTGCTCATGCTGTTGGTGCTGTGGGTGCGGCGGTACTGGCGGCTGTGATCCAGGAGGTTGTCCATTCTGGTGACCATATGATTGCGGTAGTGACGGATGCACATGAGATCTCGGCTGTGGTGTGCTCGCATAGCCATTATGATACTGAGATCTTGGTGCGTATTGCTGACTTGCGGGCCTTTCGTGAGGTAATGGCGGCAATGGCGGACCACTCTGGCTTGCATGCCTTGATGAACTTCTGTGCGGTAGCGGTTCTGCGTACTCCTCACCTGGTTTCGGAGGTCTTGGTGGTGGTTCCGAAGTATTTGTTTGCGGTGTCGCACTCTGGGCTGCGCTACCCATCTGTTGCTTCGGAGGTAGCCGAGGCGGCCCCGGACTAGCACCTGGAGCAGTCTGGGATTGCGCTATCTGGCCACCCACAGGCCGCTGATAGTACTGTTGCTGCTGTGCGCGACTGATGACTGGAGGTTCCTTGGCAAACACCTGCTGCAGGAACTCCAGGAATTCTGCCAAGCTCGCTCTATCCCACATGCCCTGCCAGTCCCGAAGATATGGATGGTATATGCGCCCATCAACTCCCACATGTTGCCCAGGCCGTACCAGCATGTCTCCGCCTGGCGTTACAAAAAGGACAGGCACCTCTTGCGGATACGCTTTGGGAAGCCATATCTTAATTGGGAATTTGTAGGCAGCACCTCGGAACGTTGCTGGTACGGTCCCGGATATCGTGAGAAGCAATGCTGAACTACCGCTCTCGTGCGTGTAGACTTCGGTGCGTGGGCTGAGTGAAGAATGTGTAGATAGTACCCTCACTGCATCCGAGTATGCTCGTCGTGGGTCCTGGTACTCGTGCAGCACGCTGTATAGCCAGGAAAGCACTTTCTCTGGCAGTTGTGCCATGTTCTTCCGCCAATACTAGCTCCTATATCTCCCCTACAACTCTCTCACCCGCGAGAACAGTGTCCCAGTGCCATCGTTCGCATACATGCGCCTTTGACCAACGATATGCCAAGCTGCTGGCTCACAAGTTCGTCAATGTGATCGACGTCATGGCGCGGCTTCGTTCCGTTTCTCATCAGCTCCTCCCTCTCTTGGTTCGAACACTACATGTACTGCAATCGACAACATTGCCATCTGACGAGCATTGATGATGGAACACAGCCTGTTGTATACATTCGGCGTCACTGACAGGTAGGTTGATGGCATCAAAGTAGCTCATGCGGTCATACTGCACAATTGCAAGTACGCGTCTGTCCTCTTCCCTTCATGAGACATTCATTCAAAGAAACATACATCATTGATCCCCTTCTACCATGCCACCAGCTCCTGCCCGCCCTGGTGCTCTCCAGACTTGGCTACAGCCACCAGCCATGTCTCTCAATTCCACTAAGACGAAGCGCGACCACGATGGGGACGAGGACGTCAGCAGCGTCAATGGCGACGGTGAGAAGGACGAGCAAGTTCCAGCCAAGAAGACTCAGAAGAAAGCTTCTGTCAAACCCAAGGTCGTTAGCAAGCCAAGGTCTACGTCGAAAGCCATCGTCGAACCAGCCAACTTAGCAAAGGAAGCCAAGAAGCTCTACACAGACAAGATAAAGGATGTCGAGGAACGCTACCTGGACCTCGACAAGAAAATCAAAGCCATGTCTCTCAACAGCAGCTCAACCACTGTCGAAAACTACGCTCGTGATCAGCCTGTTACAACCCGGACAGTGCACATCTTGACCGCTGTCACGATCGTCACGAGTCGGACATTACGAAGCTATTTCACTTCAGAATCGTAAACGCTCTACCTACGTGGCCGATTACTTTTCTCCAAGTCTTTCCTTCGATACTTGTTTCTTCGATGGTCGATTGTGCAGTCGCACGATGCTGGCATCCTACACTTCTCAGGTGACCAACATGGCGAGTATACCTTTGTTCTAGGAAGAATTGCGAGGCCCGTAGGGATGGTCACTAGATACGATATGGGATTCTCTAGCCCGAGAAGCACTCTGGGTAAGTCACTTCTGAGGGTAAGTGTGATATTGACGCCCTCTTCAACCAGGCTTGGACCAGTAGATAGCACTATACTCTCGGTCTGGTAGCTCGATCACCGTATCACATCCTTAGCTCAGGGGCTGGATCTAGCAGAGGTCCGTTAGAAGCCGAGCAGCTATTGACGGCAGAACCGGTCATATGTCCTTGACATTGAGCTGGTACATTCTGCTCCTAGTCATCCGTCAAACGATTAAGGACACTGATCGAATATATCATGACTGCTATGCCGATTGTCGCAAGGCCGGAAAATCCGAAGCCTAGCCACGCTAGTGCAGTGGCAGCTGCACCGATATGGCCAGACACACCATTTCCGGTTGCCTCTTCGACCATCGACGCGGCGGCAGCAGCAGCAGCGATGTGTTGCCACAAAGCTGTGGTCAGCGCAAGGAATGTTGCTAGACCCGATGCGAACCGACAGACCCTTGCAACAGGACGGCTGGGAAATGGTTTGATGTCAATCTCGCTGCCAGTGCCCTCATCCACTTCGTTATGCCAAACCGGGAAAGTAGCAAGGCCAACAAAACAGAGGACAGCGAGGGCTATGGCACCAAACCTACAACTCTGTATCAATTTCGGCATCGATCAGCGACCATTAATCATCTGCATGACTTACAGGTGACCTGGAAAGATGACTTTGTTGCTGAAGTGATCCGCCATTGCCGTTATTCTCAGCGGATCAGATTGCTGCAGCTCTATACCAGACACAAGGGCTGACCAACCACTTCTGCAAATCCAGCTTGCTGATGGGCCGCTAGTCACGCATAAGCCGAAATATCCTGATCTGACAGACATTACTTCGGTCTCGTTGGATGGCGGGCCAGCAGACGTCAACGATAGCACGTATATTCCGCGAAAGTTGCCGGCCTTGGAGCAACATCCTGCGAGCAACAATGCTGTTATGTTGTCCTCTAGTGAGACTATTCTGTCTTCAGTGCGCTACTCACCCGTTCCCACAACATCTAGCATGAGTAGTAGCATAATAACATGGTGATATGCTATGAACGCTGGCCGAGCCGTCAGTGAAGTTCTGCCAACTACCGACGAGCGGCAAACGTACGAGCGGCGAGTCGCATGCGTAGACGTCCGGTCTTCCAAAAACCCCCCTGTCGTTGCGAAGAGAACGTCGATTCCGCTTTGGAGCTTGCCATTCTTCTCGATATCGAACGATGAAATTTTGAGGCCAGCGACAACGAAAGAATGGATCTGATCAAATGCAATTCACACCATCTCGTGATTTTGTGGCTGTGGCTGTGTTTCTCGCCCTCACAGCTCGCCTGCATAGAACGCTGCAGCTAGCAAAGCGAGCGAGGCTAACGATTTGGTGCCGCCCACGCAGATCGTACGGCGCATCGCACCACGAGGAAGAGAGCGTGAACGATGCATTGACATACGAGACAAAATTCTTCCTGGCCTTGCGCCTCGATCAATACATGCAACTACATTGGCAATGACGACTCACGATCACAGCGCAAATGATCAGGAAGCTGGGCACTTCGATGGAGGACTCGTCGACTTGTATGCGAATACAGACGATGACTTCCGAATTGTGGCCACCGCTGGTATGGTAATACCTACCTCAGTCGAGAGTCCACCAATCCGACACAATAGCGTTAATACAGAGCAGGAGCACCAGGCCGCAGAGCGGCATGGTCCTTCAGCAGAAGACTACGACTCCACGACGGCCCACCAGAGTTACCATGAAAACGATGACACACAACTCGATCCTGAGCCCGCAAATCGCAAAAGGGCAGCATTGAATGTGTCTCCTCGGCGGCGATCAAGGACCGCTGAGTGGCACCATGTGAGCAACACGGCTCGTGCTAGGGAACCATCACGAAATAATAGATCCGCCAGATATTTCAGAGGTAGCGTCTCACCAGGACGGGATTGGTCTCCTCCGCCTTCAGGAAATCGTCCAGAGGTAACACCATCCTCGCAACGACCTACGAAGGCATCCTCGGTACCTATTTTGGGCAACCCTTTCAGCCCATCTATCAATGAGCAGTGTCGGGATCGCGAACAGTCCTTTAGCAGCGTCTTCGACCCTGTTGCTGGAGGTCGTCGTACCATAAGACCATGAAATAAAATCATGCCGACATCGGTTGGGATCGCCTGACAGGAGAGCACGAGACATGTGTGTGCAGACATTTCATAGTGTTTCGCTGATAGTCATTGTTATGAGGTGGTCGAACAATCTCATGCGCTCCTCGATTGCTCGTCTAATTTTGGGCCACGATAGTTCTTCCTGCCCCAGACCACATACCATAAAGCGGATAATGCCAAGCCACCAAGGAACACGGGCGAAGCATAGTTCATGCTCGTCTGACTGACAGGAAGCGTGGACGGCATGGAGAATAGTGGAATGGCTAGCAAGCACCAGGCTGTCACAAATCGTCAGCAGCGATCATAAGCGTGATGACAGAACCCCTCACCGATCGATACAACATTGCAGAACATCCCAAGAGCGCCCAGATTGTATTTTGCACCTACGAGCGCTGTTCTCCCTTGGCTGAAGGAGACCGCAATAGGTATCACATAGCTAAGGGTAAGAAAGATGACTCCGGAGCCGTTGAAAGCGTTGAACGCCGCGCTTGAGCCTAGGTATATCAAGCCCAAGACAAGCTGCACGACCATGCTTAGCATCATAGCATTGAGCGGTACGCTGAGCTTGTGATTGACTCGGTCGAAGCCGAGACGTTGGGACCCTGGTATAGCTCCGTCCCTGTTCAAATCAGCTGAAATTCTTGATTGCCCGACAGTGGAGCATTACCGAGCGAAAGCAAAGGCGCATCTGGAAGCGGCAGTAGTGCACCCAATACCACAGACAACGCCAAGCACAATGATTGGGACGCAAAGCGCGAACGCACCACCAGGGCTGCCGATAGCTGAGCGTAGAATGACTGGCAGAGGTTGCCCTGACGAATCGCTGACAATCGAGGCAATATTCGGAAGCACGAACATGAGAGGCACGAGGAAAACGAATCCGCAGAACGCATTGAGCATGATGGTGCCAACCTAGACTGTGTGAGTGTTGTTCGGGCTCCGTAGTAGCGATCGAGACTGACCATCGCTTTCGGTACTTGCGTCCGTGGCTCACAAACCTCCTCACACATCGAAGTGATCATTCCTGTTGCGGAGGTGGCGTATGCAGCGTGTAGCAAGCCCACGCAGAAGGCCCAGCCTGATGGCTGCCAGCCAGAGGTTGGCTCGAACTCTCCGAAAGAGTACCTTGCACTGTGTCTCCCTGCTTTGGCAATGACGAGTACACAGACCATAATCGCACCGACTCCAAGGAAGGTCATAACCACGGCGACCATATCGAGGATCGGTAGCCAGCGGTTGCCAAGAGCGGAGACTGTGTTGCACAGTAGCGTAATGAACAGAAAGATGAGGTAAGTCTGCCATGCTTCTGCTGCGAAGACAGCTGCGCCGGTCTCGTCTCGGAACACGTTGATGCAGCCGATCAGGAAAAGAGTCGTGCCGAAATTGACGGATAGTGTGATGATGATGTTGCCCAACGTGAAAGACCAGCCAGTGACCCACGCAATAGGTGCCCGCCATCGAGATGGCGCGAGCATGAACGTCTGGTAGTACACTCCTCCAGCGAGTGGGTAAACCTGGACATGAACAATCAGCAGAGATTGTTCGATCCAGAGGATCGCATCACGGCGACCAGACTCTCAAGAACATAACATACGGAAGTGATCTCACCAAGCGAGACGGCAACACATAGCATCAATGAGCACACCAGTAGCCAGCCCCATAGCACAGTACTGGGACCACCGCCCGTCAGTGGGTAGATCAGAGTAGTGGACAGACCATAGGGCACCGAAGCTAGCACAAAGCTCATGAACGTCACGCCAAGTGTCGACCTTGAGCGAGTCAGCTGAGCGCTATATCCTGCTCGCACACTGTCATCGGCAGAGTGCAGGGAATATCTTTGTGCAGATGGCGCCCGGTCGAGGTCCTCCGGATCCGCAAGCTTGGTCATCTCTGGACGGTCGTTATGTCCGGTGTTTAGTTCCATCTTGGCTGCTTTGGATAGATGATGATGTTGACACTCCGTGGTCCAGGTCGGTGAGGTTGAGTCGTTGCTACCGCAGAAGCTGTTGCTGTGGGACAGGTCGTTGACGAAGCTCGGTCGACTGACGTTTCTGTCGCGATGGGAGGGAGCTCGGCTACGAATACAGCCTCTGATCGTGATGATGGCGAATTCAAAATGTGGTTACAGCCAGTGAGATGATGATGAATAAGCGATAGGTGACAGGCTTTCGATACATCTGCTTGTTGATTGAGCTGCTTTCTGGGCTGCCTGTCGAAGTTTGAGAAAGAAGTGCGGGCTGAGAGGAGTGAAGTTCACGATGACTTGTAGTAGATGCCATGGCATGTGCCTTGGCGGCGCCAATTTTCCAGTACCTAGCCAAGGGTACTGAAAATGAGGGCATCTCGAGATCTCTTGTTGGTTGACCGGGCATGCCCAGACTCGACAAATCCATACGTATCGCAGACATTGTAGTGGTCGTATAAGTCGTAGGGACTCCATCAGTCGTCATGATACGATCCTCTGGTTGCTATCACTGTTCGCGTTGCATTGATGGTCGCGTACTTCTGCAAAGATTCTGCCAGAGTTTTGAAGAAGTCGTTGGCGCATCTTGGCTCAAGTCTTGCCAAGACAGTGTGGAACCCGAGAATTTCATGGCTTCGAACTCGTGGGATCTGCCATTCATTATCTGCAGGTCGGAGCATGCGCAAGAAATGAGGTTAATGGTCTGTTCGTGCCATTGCAAACTAGCAATCACCAGCACAAGCTCCCTTGTAACCATTCTACGTCCTCGTCTCCCTCGATTGGCTCGAACGCCTCATCCATCCGCCGCCGGTCCAGCATTTTGCCATGCCATAGCCAGCTCACCCATGAAAACTCGTAGCCAGGATTACCGCCTCCGAAGTCGATCCGTACTTCAACGGTTGCCTGGCTACCAGAGGGTATAGATGAACTGAACGCGACCGTAGCATTGTTGCGTGGTGTGACAATCATATGGTCCCAACCAATGGTCTGAACGTCACCAAAGCCATGACCTGTTTTATGATGCTCAAGCCACTGCCTAATGTCGCAGGGCTCTCTCAGACCCTGAGCAAACGCAAGCGCTATTACTTTGGAGCACTCGGATTGTTGGAAGTAGATCTCGGGACAGCTGGGCCGGCATTTATCCTCTGTCCAGCCGGAGAAACTACCGCAGCCTTCGCAGACGCCCTGGAGGATAATACGGTGTAGTGACGGTATCGCCATATAGGGTACAGCTTCAGAGAGGGCGACACCGCAGCCGTGGTCTGCTGCGCTGGTGTGGAGGATGATCCATGACTAGCCTCACAGGGCTACAGCGCTCCCCTCGACTTTGAAGAGAGCTAGTCCAGCTAAAAGTGACTCTTGGTGGCGATGGGCGTCAACATCAACACAGTCGGCTTTGATTCTTGGTCTCGAGATTGCCAAGCCAACTCGACGACATGTCCGAGGAATTCGCCACTTGTTGCAATTCAGCAAGCACTTGTGTTCACAAAATTTGACGGCGTTCAATGTGCGAAAACCAGCGGAAGAAAAGATTCCAAATTTACAATGGTTACGCGCATCTGTCGTTTCATCCGTGCTATCGGCCTTACAACAGATATAAAGAAAGAGGACATAGTCACGATTGTCTGACCTTTATCAACGCGTACACTAACATGGCGCACTAGAGATTGATATCCTGAAGGTCGCTTTAGTTCTTAAATGTACGCTTTCTTATACATCTAAGAGAAGTATACAGGATAGATACTTAGGAGATCCGTTTTCGAGATATAGGAGTTTGTACCAGGCTAGGCTGGCGCAATTACAAACGGAAACCTACATAGCGATGATCTTGCTTTACTTGCTGATAAAGGGGTCTGTATCTTGGTCTTAAGAGACTCTGCTCCAAAATTGCGTCTGCAACTGCGTCTGCGACTACCCCTCGTCCGGTCGTTCACACCATACATTGTATATGCTACAGTCTTGCAACTTTCCGCCCTTTCATCTCAACTTAACGGCGTCGTTGCCATCGTCCAGTAGGCTGGTATTCGACGGCTGCGATCTGCTCGCATCGTGTGTGAGCCGTTCTACGTGCGCCTTCCCAAGTGTCTGGTCATCAACGAAGTGAATCACCAACGGAGTGAACAACCCAAGTCCAATAAGCGATACGTCGTGTAGCAGAGTGACCAACACTGTGTCAATACTGTTCCCAGAACGGCTTCAGACAGGTGCGATCGAACAAGGCTTTGCATCGCGCGCTGTGTATGATATTCTCGGTGCCTCCCATCCGACTCTCATACGCACTCTCACCAGCATCAGTGCCCTTTCCATCACCGGCGTTCACCTCGCTCCAGTATCCAGCATCGTGTGGCGGAGTATAGTGATGCATGAGCTCCGGCTGAACGGTGACAACATTCAAGATTTTCGGTCGGCAAGCCTCCATCAACTTGACGTCAAATGCTTCGCTCTCGCCCTTTTCAGCCCACTCGAGCGCGCGTTGCGCACCTTGCCGCGTAACAGCGTACGCGAATGTGCAGATTGGGTTGACACCATGCTGCACGAGCCGATGGCCCTCGCCCATGTTCGTTATGTACGGGGCCGCCCAACCAGTATAGTTGGCATGGCTCAGTACTGTCGAGTCCTCATATTCGAATCGTTCGGTATCCGCAACGGTGTACTCACCACAATGTCCAAGCCATAGGATGTCCCAGTTGCGGCCATATGGTGACGGTTCTGAAGCATCAGCGCGCGTGAAGTTACGAACTGCATCCGAGACCAAAAGCATCTGGTCCTTTAGAGCCAAGTCCCAGTCCACGTCGTCTTCAAGGATCAATGCGGTGTGAAGGCCACTCTGTATAACGTACTTGAGCATGTCAAGGTGAGACAGCCACGCTCGAGCAGCACCCAGGGCCGGCTTCTTCCCATTGCCGATTTGACGGAAAGCGTCGACAAGCTCAGGCGAGTTATTTGGACGCTCTGGTATATCTATCTCAAGGCCTGTATATGCGGCAGCAGCTTTTAAACCCCGGGTACGCCAGCTCGGGCCTCCGGACAAGGCCAAGATCCTTTGGAACCCAAGAGTGGCGTTGGTAGCGGACTCACGTGGTGTCGACCTCGTGACTCCTAGTATATTGGATGGGATTTGTGAAGTATGGATGAGGGAATGCCGTACCCGCGCAGGTGTGAGTATGAACCAAGTCGATAGCAAAGCAATCAGCAGCAGGACGCATCCAACACGGAAGCGTATGGCTTTGCTCGGCACATTAGGTCCTATCCCGAGGGATGAATGGTACGGTCTAAGATAGCTGAGCATCTGATTCATTGAAGGTCAAGAGTGTGAAGGTTGATTAGACACATAGATCAACCAAGTAGCTGATGATGAAGGAGTCTTAGCATCGCCCAAACTACACTTAGTGCAGAGACGTGAGGTTTCCCGTTTCATCTCGCCCTGGCAAATCCAGGGGTTCTTCTCGGTGCCTCTGCCTGACAGCACAAGAGCTCCATGTGAGCCCGTATGAGGCTCTGCGTCCATGACAGACAGCACGGCGATCGCCGTTGCTGCGAGGTCGATGTTGGGAAATGCTTATCAGTGCGGCCTAGGCGGAGTATCAGATCTGCAGCCACAGGTCTGCTCTTTTGCGCACGCAAGGCTGTGAAGGCTATATATTTTGTTGTGCCGTGTCAACGTCCAATTGGCGTTCAACGCGTTGAATGGCTTGCAGAGTTGGTCCGTGCAGTGTATGTCTCGAGCTCAGCGACGACTTTCTGGTACCGATCGTCGAGCCTCGTCGCTATCGGTCTTCGAAGCAGATACACACGAGTCAGTATATTGCATGATGCAGCAGGATAGTCACGCTCCGAGCGGGCAGATGCTGGTGGCTTACGAGAGATGCAGAGTGAGCCGGTGATCTCTTTCATTGGTAGACCGCCGCTTCCACAGACGTCGTCTAGCATAGCGGATCGGCTTGTTCGTGCGATCATCAGCCTGGCAGCCTGAGAGGACGAACCGACTCGATCTAGCTTAAGCCACCTTGCTGTTGGTCCGGTGATGAGATAAGAACCCATTTAAGCGATCCTGGCATCGTCAACCTGACAAGAAGCCCAGATGAGACAAGACCGACTTGCTATATATTGCCTTCCTTATGTCGTAACTTTCACTTCGACGAACAAGAGCCCCTTTTCTTCTCGACTACGATCAAGTCTCGTTTGTCCCTGCCTACATTCCCCCAAGGGACGAACAAATAGTCGACATGTCTGTCTTCCGCGGCTTACTTCTGCTAGCTAGTCTGGCATTCTTTGCATCTCCCGTGATAGCGCAAGACGGGGTCGCGGGAAACGATTTCACGTCTCCCGGACCTCAGATTCAGCAGAGTAACTTGGGACTCGCGATCAATTTTCAATATGGACGTACGTTCCAAACCAGCGACCTCTCTGACGACGTCCCTGTCTTGGAAGCTGACATTACATTTGTCTGCGCCTAGAAAACCAAACATTCAGATGGGTAACCAACGTGCCGTCGGTAATGCTATCGCTCTGGCAGCAGCAGGCCGGCGCGGCTTCCATCGGTAGCGACGGAAACAACCCTGAAGACGACCTGTCCTGTGAGTGACAGCTTGTAGGCCGCTCCAATGGAACTTTGAAGGCTAACGCTACCAGTAAATAACACACAGGGCTACTACAATTGGAACGGGATCCCCACGCAGAACCTGAAGGATGGCATAACGTTCTTCTTACAGATATATGACTCCAGAAATATCTACGGCGGACCACTCGCGACATCCCAGTACTTCAACATCTCCAGTCCTCCTGTCAGCTCAAGCTCCGCCATGAGCTCGACAATGACTTCAGCATTGTCTCCGTCCACTATACCGACCTCAACAACGGCTGGCATATCTTCAGGCTCGCCGCCAACAGTAACAGTGACCGCTGCGACGGCTTCACCTAGCCCGACGCCTGCACGTAACGACTCCATGGCTCTGGGCGTTGGAATTGGTGTCGGTCTCGGAGGTGCTTTGCTTCTCGCCTTACTCGTGGCTGGACTGGTGGTAAGGAAGCGACAGCAGATGCGGAACCGTGCTGTTTATTCTGCGAAGCCTGACATGCCGTACCAGTAACGTGGCCTGCCGTCACCTTCCTCGATGTAGGTTGAGCTTATCCCCGCCGTCTAGATGACCGACGGCTGATCTAAAGTCTCTAGGTTCGCATTGTGCGTTCGCTTGACAAAAGGTCTTCAATTGAGATTTGTATGTAGGTAGGGTAGTGCGTCAGGTCATAAGGGAGATCATGATTTTACAATCTATGATCAGTGTTTTGACGACAATGCTCTTGAGTAGCAGATATGCTTTGCAGTTTTGAGGTCTGTAGCTCGGCGCAATAATTTGCTTTGTCTCGAAAAGTGTCAAAACATTATCCTGTCGTGCAGTGCGAAAGGTGAAGAAGCGCATATACTCATGACGGTTGCTCTTTGAAATTGAAAGGCTGTCACCTGGACGCTGATACATTTTTAATCGAAAATTTCGTCTTTCATACCAAGCTCATCGACACTACGCTGAATTCCCGCACGTATTTGATTTGGCGGAGCGTTCGGTACAAGGCAGTTGTATAGAGTAATAGGATCGGTACCTGAGCTTCGCTAGCAAGTCACCGTTTCATTCCCTCCCGACCTGTCTCAGGACGACGTGGACAGTAGAGGGCGAGGTCCTGGGTCTCCAACCTGCCCAGCCCACCTGCAGGGGAGACGCTACGTTTCATAGACCGCATATCGCACATCGTATCTTCGTTGCAATTTGCTCTTTGCAATTGCGACACCCTAATGTTTTGGCACGCCATTATATTGACTGATTTCTGGAAGTGGTGCCTCTCTCTGCCTTTTTTTCCGTCGCAGAAGGTACAGGAACGCACCTGCGATAAGCGCAGTACCTCCTATACCACCGACTACTCCTCCGACTATTGCTCCTGTAGAAGAGTGGTGAGGCGTGCTTGTCACTGGCACGGGGCCCAAGCTGTACGACGGGCTAGGAGGAATTGTGATCGTGGCAGTAGTGAAGGGCAGCTGCGCTGTTGACCCAGTGGAAGCTACCGAAGTTACCGATGAAGTTGAGATGCGAGTCATGGTACTAGTCGAGGTACTATTGGGTGATGCTTGCGGTCCAGGTGGCGAGGTCGACAGGAAGTTCACGCCGCCGTAGACAGTTGCAGATTGCACAGTATAGCCAAGAATTGTGACAGTAGTCGGACCGTATGCGGCGCAGGAGTAGAAACTGTAAGGTGCAACGTTCGTGTTGTTGGTTGGCAAGAAGGACACAGTCGCGCAGTACGGATAAGGGCTGGGACTAATGGACATCAGCGCATGGAGGCCATATTTGAAGTGTACCATGCCCACCAAAATACCAGTCCAGAGCTTGTAGTGGCCGCTGTCAACCAGTCGGGCTGGTTGTTATCCTCGTATCCTACACAGGCTGAAGCTGTTGCACAACCTGCGGTTGAGTATGAGAAGCCACCGGATGAATCTGTAAGGCAGCAAGCGAGATAATGAGCTGTTGTGAAGTACGCACAAGCGGCACTCTCGAAGCACTGGAAAGGCGCTTCGACGTCGCCTGAGACGTAACCGCACGGTTTGTTTGACCCTACTTGTCGTCCGAACAGCTGTTGATCTTCGACCGCACCGTAATTGCGGAAAGCTGGTCCTAGGGTGGGTTTCGGACTGAACCCATCACCATCTCGTAAATCCTCGGCCGTTGTCGTCCGCCTGGCAGTCGACAATGCAAGACCTAAAGCTCGACGGCCAAATATGATGACAATCGACCATGTTCGTAACCAAACCATGTCGGAGAGTGACGCACCGTAATGAAGTAATAGGTTGCATGGAGGACGTCTCTTTGGCAAGAGATGCTTCTCAGAGGGCTTCTGGCAACGCACTCACTGGCATCAGGCTCCGCGATTCCTGTCAATCGATTCTGGGAGTGTGCCGTCTGCGGGTTTGAGGCTGAGTCGCGGACCATGCTGCGCGGCAAACATGTTCTTGGCGAGAACCCTGCTAAAGTAGATGAGCACTAAATCGCCCAACGTGGATCGGGTTGCACTTCGACCGATTTGATCGGCACTAGTCAGACTGCAACTGGATGATTGACTCTTTAGGGTGGGCGTAGCAAGGTGCCGGACTTGCTTCAGCGTCGTGACCGTAGCTCTGTGGCCGGGGTGTGGTCTGGTGTCCCACGGATCACATTCGTGAAGCACATACGGCCAGACGAGGCTCGCCGGGGAATGATCCCAATGGCTACTATCGGCTTGTGCATCAACCTTCGTTCCTATAGCTTCGAGGCAGGGCTACGAGATCACGATCGTCGACCATCTTCGGCTAGCTATTGTATCGACCGGTGAAGCATTGATTCCAGCTTTTCATTTGCGTCCTAATTGTGTCGATCAACGGGATGGTGATAGTGCTCTATTGGACGATATAATTGAAGCGCCCAAGCCTCAAAAGCCACCAGTATGCGCGCTGGCCCGCCTGATCCGCAGGTAGCCTGCCGCACAATGCGAGGTGCGAGGCATGCATGTACGCAGCGCGGCAGTAAAGTCATGTGTGTCGACGAGGAGACTCGGAGTAGCGGGACTGGATGTTCGAGTGATAACTTGACACAACTGACAGGTATGCACTATCAGGTGTCGCGGTCGTAGCAGTCAGCAATCAGGAAGATCGCCCGGCAGCCTCAAGTGCGGTCTCAGCGCGCGCTAGTAAGAGCTTACTAGCTGCCTAGCGCAAACTATGCTAGCTTCTCTCGACTGCAGTATTGAGCAGCATGCGACATGCAACGCCATATGCACGGAGTGGGTCAATATGCGAGTGCCTAGCCTGCCAGATAGTCTCCTGGTGGATGATGACCTTTGGGAGGCAGCGGTACACCGCTTCCAGCTAGTCGCGAACATCGTGAACTCCTTGACAGGGGTTCAAGCTTCGATAGGCCCACACGGAGCCTTGTTCCGCTGATGGTTGAGCCTCACTCGTGCTTCGACCTGCCGGCGCTGTCAGGCCTTGAACGGTGACGCGGAGCTCCATCTTTGACATCGGTAAGTTGCCAGACAGCGCTGGAATGCAAGGCACATCATCCTGAAGCCACCAAGACGTCGACATGGCGGAACTCAGCTCCGCCCTATCGAGTGTTTCAACAGCGTTTACCCTCAGTCTTCGGATCACTGAAAAAGTCTACGAGGTTGTTGCTGTCGACCAGGAAGCCAAGGACCTCCTTAAGACAACATCCCAAATATCTTGCCAGCTCGAGCATGCGAAGAAGCTGCGGCGACAGAAATCGTTTTGTCTTTCCACCGACGAGAAGGAGATGGTTGACAGGGTATTCACGTCGACCGAAGAGGCCGTTGCAACTGTCGCAAGTCTTGTAGAACCAGCGCGAGCAGATATGAGAGTGACTGGCGGTCGCGTCAAGTTTGCAACCCGCATGCAATTTGTTTTCCGCGACAGCGCTCATATTCCAGTCAGCCTGACGCGATTGAGTATTGCTGGTGGCAATCTAAACATGGCGATCTGCGTCCTGTGTGCGAAGGAGGGTTCACGAGAATCACGACCAGGCAACGATAGCAAATCACCTCCAAGCTATCAGGATAGTGAGTGGCTGCACGCAACACGACACAGGTGAGACGAGTGCAGCGTCCTGTTCGACACTTCGGCTGATCTTCGACAACAGGAATCTACGGAAACGAGAAAGCGCAGCGTCATTCACTACGCTTAGTGACAATGCACCGCGGTTCTCACTCACCATTCCCGACGGCTCTCTGGTTGAACTACCTGAAGACGTCCTGCCTGCAGTAGGTGAAGCAGACATTGCTCAAGCCTCGCTATCAGTCAGTGCTAGTAAGTCTTTAGCTGAACCGCGGGCAGCCGGAACCCCCTGCGACTCATCGCCTCTCGAAATGGGCACACGTCCGTTCAGACAACGGAGACATCACTCATGGTTAAGCTCACGTGCAGCGCAAGAGGAGCTGTACATTCCTCCGAGCCCTACGCAGCACAAGCCGTCGGATCCTACCCCGTACGAATACGATGATTTTGTAGTCGCCATCGCCAGGCCCGTAGTCTTACACGCGGTAGCCTCCTGTGCAATGCCTCCTGTGGGTGAGCGGTACTATTCATGGCTGGTAAGCGATTTGTTGATGATATGAAACTTTTCGTGCGATTTTCACCGAGGTTCTGACCATCATTTTAACAGGCCGCCCAGTACAACGTATCTGAAGTCCAAGGTGGAACCTCCGGTAACCTTCCTTTAGGCTCGTACATGATCCCTTTGCAGGGAAGTAATCCGCATCGCCCGTTCGTAGACCTGGCTGGGAGCTATGAGCTACCGAGTGACCCTGTTCAACCACCGGAAGGCCGCGAGCGTGGGCTACCGACAGATTGGCCAGGAATGGGGTCCAGTACACCATTGACAAGGCTTGATTCATCACAGCCGTTGAAAAGCTATTCAACAAGGGTGAGCGACGCGGCGGGACAGAGAACAGACAACAGAACTAAAGCTGCATGTCCCGTCCAGACTCCAGAAATGAGGCGTAGCAGAAGTGGACGTTGGATGGAACATCATGCACGCGATCGATAGCTTTCACATGGACGTTGACGCAGATCTAAGCTCGCTACTTGCATTGATATCGGTAGCAAGCACCCATACCAATGGCGGTGCACTACTGAGAATTGCTGTTTACAACGGTTCTGTGATCGCTGCGACTATCGTCTGTGCTTGCCTCAAAGCATGGCCATCACCATCCGCAACCTTTTCAAGCGCTGGCGAAACTACAAGTCCACGTTCGTTCTTGATACGGCTCATTACGACGGCCCAGCTATAAGCGTAAGCCGATGGCTGCGCGAAAATCATAGCAGCCGCTGGCGCCGCTTGTCGGATAATCTGTGTCAGATGCTCTCGAGCAGCAGCACTTTCCTCAGACTTACGCAGCCAAAAGTGAACGGCGTCAGAGAAAGACTTCACCATGATCGATATCCTTTGATCTTTTTGCGCTATCTCCTCCGTCGTTGCGGCTGATTGCGCATGCAGGTGCGCGGTGAGTATGCGCCACTTGCTGTATGCTTCACGTTGAGCTGGGGGGTTATCAGCGAACTCGAATCCATCAAGACGACACGGCTCAACTGACCGACTACCTGGTTGCTGTTATCTTTGGTCCGCGTCTCATCCAGCTCCAAAGCTGTATATGCATTAGGAAGGATGCTGTCCTCACCTCCGGTCGTGAGATTCGCTGCCACTAGATACGACAGACAATGCTTCATCACAGTGAGCTGATACCTAGACGTTGCTAGTACACTGGTGACGGAGCCTTGGAGGAATGGCGTCTGAATAGCCGAGAGGTGGTCGGCAACATCTTGAGGGATCTGAGAATCTATAGGGGCGTAGAAATTTTCCACGTGCGCTTGCAACTGGTCGAAAATAGTCTTCACGGCCATATGGACTTGTCTGTCGTCGGCGACTTGCGGCAGGTGGCGCTCCCATGAAGTTCCGGACACCAGAGCTTTCTCACCAGCACCGCCGGCTGCAGTCGTGTGTGATGATCTCCGTGACCTTCGCCTAGATTTGGCTTGGGTGTGCTCTTTTCGATGAATATCACGTCGCATGCAACAGAAGGTAATAAGGAATGTTAGTATGGATGCTAGGATAGCGGCGCCAATTATGGCCCCAGCAAGGCCACCGACACTTATGGAGCTATGTGGGTGCGGTGTCGCGGATATGCCAGTAGTGAATGCACTCGCAGCAGTTGAAGTTGAATCAGCTATCGCACTCGAGCTGCTCAGACTAGCTGCCGAAGATGTGATTCCAACGATGCTCACAGAGGTTGCTTCATCGCCGGTCATGCCTGACGGTTTAGAACTACGTGCGCCGGTGTCTATGCTCGATGATGTATATGTACTTGTCTGTGAGGTTCCATTGGCCTGTGAGGTTTCGTCGGTGCCGGGGACCTGTAATCCGACTGAAGTGGTAACAGGTACAGAGGATGTGGTGACAGTGAGTCCTGATTTCGCGCTGGACAACGTATTGATCGGGGAAATGACGGCTGGTGTCGAAGTGTCGGTGGCCATTACGGATGAGAGCAGGAACGTTGAATATTAAGCACCTAAGTGAGGTCGACAACCGATTCTGTAATGATGGAGAAAGCGAAAGCACCACTAGCACATCAGACTGTAGGAGAATGAAACGAGTGGTTGTGCGTTGTACCTTTACAAGACAGCATGGCACATCGACGCGGGCTTGATCAACACGTTAGCGCAGGCCCGCACAGCTTGCAACTCGAGCTGAGCGATCAGGCTGAGACGAAACTATAGTACGCCACCCGCACTCTCGATTGGGCAAGACTACGGCCACTGATCGTAGATCTAGAGAAGCAGAATGAAAAGCACTGTCACCTACTTACCCTGCATCTCGGCCCAGACTCGCAGGTCGACCGGATATGACTTGGCAAGGCTGTGCGCACAAAAGTCAGGTACCCCGAGTGTCCCACGCATTCTGCGATTCGAGAGAGCTATCTTTCTTGCTCGCCTGTTCCGTCTGTGGAAGGTCTCAACTATGGCGCCTGACGTATGGAGACCAGACATAGTGGTTGCGATAGACTTTGGAATGACCTGCACTGGTACTACACTCAACATCCGCGCTTATGTCGCAGCACTGATGGCTAATGCATGCGACAGGTGTGGCATGGTCAGCGGCGCCAGACTGGGGAGATCCAAGAGCTATTATGAATTGGCCTGGCAAAGCGTCTTACGAGTTACGAAGCAAAGTCGATACCGCCTTGTCTTACGCTGCAGCCACTGGGGATCTTAGGAACTGGGGCTTTGAGTGCGACGAGGACGACCACACAGTCGACGTCAACAAGCTTTTCAAACTGTTTCTCGATCCCCGGTACGTCGACCTCTCTGGTTTTGCGCCGGCGCACGGAGAAGCGCAGCAATGGTATTGCGACTATCTTGCGTGTCTATACCACTGCATTATGCGATTCCTTTCTGAGCGCGTCGGCCACTTCAGCTCCAAGAAGATAGAGTTCGTATTTTCCGTGCCCACGACCTGGAAAGACCCTGGAATGATGGCAGACATTGAGCGCTTGATCGGCAGGGCAGGCTACGGCAAGCTGACAAACCATAAATTCGTTATTACTCTTACAGAGGCAGAAGCAGCTGCCGTGTACGCCTCCAAGCAACAGCTGCAGCGCGGCGATGTCTTTCTGGTTGCAGACTGTGGTGGCGGAACGACGGACGTGAACGTCTTGAAGGTGACCTCGGCAGCCAGGAATCGGACGGAGTTGGAGCCACTGCACTGTAATGAAGGCGAGGCTATTGGTTCTACGTTGATCGATTTCAAGGCCGAGCGCATGGTGATAGAAAGATTGAAGCTGATACGGACAGAGGTCCAGCTCCGCGACATCGAGCAGCTTGCACGAAGAATGATCGAGGACCGGTTCATGACGTACAAGTGCTCATTTGGATCTGGGGCAATGATGGTACCGAAGCTACCTCTGCCGATTCCAGATATTGCACCAGGTCAAGACTTTCGTCACGCAGGCATCGAGAATAGTAATGTCGTGCTGACCAGGTACGCAGTGGGCGAGAGTCTGGACGGACCTCGAAGTTGAAGTTTTGCTGACGCCATCGCAGCGGAGATCTGAAACGCCTTTTCGATGAACAGATACAGCGCATCTTCGAGCTCATAGATAGCCGACTCCGTACATTGCAGACCGCAAACCCTGGAGAAGCTGTCAAATACCTCGTTTTATCTGGAGGCTTAGGTAGCTCGCCGTATGTGCAGAAGAACATCCGGGATAGGTACGAGCGAGGCGGCGGTGCAGGCTTTACCAATACGGCAGATCTATCCGTTTTGCTTGCAAGCGAGCCGCAGCTTGCTGTAGTTCATGGTCTTGTGCTTGCCAGAATACAATCGCTAAGAGGCGGACCGGAAGTATTATCGACGCGCCGAAGTCCTGTGAGCTACGGTGTGCTCTGCCGTGAGCTGTATGACCCTGATAACCATCAAGGCGAAGATGTTGAGCTGGACCCATACGATAAGCGTCGCTACGCCGAGCGTCAGGTCAACTGGTTCATCAAGCAAGTGCGTATTCATTTGCCTGCATTCCAGGAGCACAACTGATAATCGCGACAGGGCCAGATCATTGATGCCAACGACGGAGTGAACCATCGCTTCCGCCATAAGATCCCTATCGGCTACGAGCGCGAGCCATGGCGTACACGTATCGTCATGTCGACGGTGCCCCGCACCCAGCTGCCACGGTCCATGCGCCACGGGGCCGTGAAGCAAGTCTGTACAGTCGAGACTGTACTAGACGCCGGAGACATGCAAGCCAAGAACAACAAGTGGTACCATCTTCGCAAGCCGTACAACATTGCGGAATTTGACATTAAACTCCTGATCGGTACTGGCCTCCACTTCGAGATTTGGGGCAAGGAGGGCAGGAAGAGCAAGAGCCACAGCGAGATTGAAGTCGATTGGGAGGCTCCTGACGGCCAAGACGATCTCCAAGGCGATGGCGTCCGTGAGCATTCGGCCATGTATCCGGTGCGCTGATCTTGCCAATCCGCTTTGATGAGTCGTCAGTTGCTCTCGGCCACCACGTTCGGCAGGGCGCTACCGGCTCTGAGTCTCTGCATCAGTACCGGCATGTACTATAATGCAAATCATAGCTCTTGCCATAACTTACTTGTACTACTATTCTAGATTTAGCATCCTCTTTATAGTGCCATCCACCCCCAAACCATGCAGTCAGCTCGGCCGTACCCAAAATACACGCGATATGAGGCATACAAGCGAAATGTCGCCAGAATAACAGTTTCGCAACAATTGATGCCATGTGCGACTTCGCTATCACTTGCACAGAAGATCGACGCGACGAGTACTGTAATATGACGAGGTGTCCCAAAATTGGAAACCGTTGAGTAAGGCAAGCGCAAGCGCCACTTAAGATCTTAACCTTGACCTGACCTCTGCCAAACTTTCCCCCACACTTTCTCGGCTCCAGTCTTCGTTGGGGATGATGTGATCAGATATCAAAGTGATCGGTTGCGCACGCTCTCCTACAGGTCATATGGAGACTAATCAACACCTAGGGAGGACAAGACGATGCTTTCCTGGCCGATTATCTACCATCCGAGCCTGGCTCGAAGCGTGGAACAGGTGCCAGCTCAGTCGCATGGAACACGCAAGATCATCCGTTCCTCCACGGCCGCTGGAAGATCGGCATCAGCCTGCATCCACGTGAAAGTCTGTCATTGAGGAGGCCCGCTCGTACCGCAACCTCAGGAAAGACCTGGCAGATCGCCGCCGTCATACAGCAATGAGAGCTCTTCCAAAAAGCCAGTCAGACCTCTTCACTCTTCCACTCACACTACCATTTCATCACCTGTAGCCATACGATCATTCAGCATGGGTCTCCCACGAACACTGGCCAGTATGCAAGGCCGTAATTTCTACCGGCTGATGTCCTTCAGCTGTGCAATGGCCTTTCTCATATTTGGCTACGATGCTGGTGTTCTCGGAGGCGTGCAGACCACTAAACCTTTCCTGGATGCTCTTCATATCAGTGATGATGATCTTGAGAGGAATCCGTTGCTCATACCCTTGATCGCGGCCTCGTATACGTATGCAAGAGACCTTTGGAGGACTCTTCGGCTGTGGCTGATTGTTTGTAGGCTCGGGTGCTTGTTCATGGCAATCACTCTGGTGTGCACGAACTTCGGATTTCGCTTCGGCCGTCGCGCTAGCATCATGATTGGTGATGCCCTTGTCATCGTAGGGGGTGCAATTCAAGCTTCATCCCACTCCGTTGGGCAGATCGTATGTATCACAAGCCTGTGGTGTAAAGCATTATGCTAACGAATCCAGTGTGCTGCTCGGGTGATCTGCGGTTTTGGTATTGGCTTCATCTCAGGTAAGTGCTCACAAAACTAGTGTGTGAACTTCTCTGACCGCTTTTCAGCGACCGTTCCCACGTACATGGCCGAGACGACCATCGTGGCCCAGGAGAGAGGCCCACAAGCTGCCATACAATGCATGTACCTCATCTGGGGTGTTGCATTTGCGTACTGGTGAGCGTCATCCCACTTATAAATCAGCATCAGTCTTGTACACTAGATATCTGACATTGTCGATAGGATCGATCTAGGCATGACGCAAGTCAAAGGTGCCTATTCACAAGTATCTTGGAGATTTCCAATCAGCTTGATGTGCTTGTTCTGCCTGATCTCGCTCTGCATCATGGTGATGCTTCCAGACACGCCTCGCTGGTACTATGCCAAGGGACGGACCAAAGATGGCGACAAAGTCTTGTCAATGCTGTATGCCCGGCCAATTCATGATCCAGACGTACAGCGCAACAAGCTCGAGATTCTCGACACTTTGCAGCTTGAAGAAGATGAAGGCCGAATCAATTTGTCAGACTGGGTCTGGGATCGTTCTCCCATCCAGGCTGCTCGCCGTGTGAGAACAAGCTTTTTGCTCCTGCTGGGTCATCAATTCATGGGTATTTAAGCATGTTTTGTGATATGTCGCTCTCATTTACTGATCACTGGAAGGTATCAATCTGGTCGTATACTACAGCACAGTTATCTTGGCGCAAACCGGACTGAATCCTCTCATGCAGTCAGTCATCGCAGGTGTGGCGAATACGGTCTTCTTCCTCGGCACTGTATTCACCTACTTCACTATTGAAAGATGGGGCCGACGACAGCTGATGATCTGGACGGGCATCGGATGTATCATCTGCATAGCGATCTACCTGGCCCTGAACTCTTTGCAGCATCAGACCAAGGCCACGCAATGGATTTCGGTCGCTATGGTCATTATTTACGAGTTCTTCATTGGATGGGGATACATGGGACCTCCATGGCTTTATGGTGCGTACAACCTAGACTGGTTCATTACCGTTGCTGGTGCTGACATGTACAGGCCCCGAGGTTGCTCCTCTGAGATATCGCCATCTTGCTGGTGCCGCTGGCGTGGTCGGCGAATGGTCGGGATGTTTTATCATCGTCTTCGGTGGTGGTACTGCTATCGGCGTTGTTGGATGGCCCATCTGGTTCTGGCCGCTTGGCACATGCGTTATCACCGTTCTCTTCGTCTACTTCTGGTGTCCGGAGACGGCAGGTAAGAGTTTGGAAGAAATTGAACAGGTCTTCATTGATGATGCGAAGACTTGGCCAGGGCCACCACCAAGATCTGGCGACTTCGAGGTGGCAAGGCGGTGGTCAGCGGATATGGAGCGCGAGAAGGACGAGTCGGCGTACGAGATCGAGTCTACAAAGTCGTGAGCTAGTGATAATGGACGCCATGCTGTGGAAAGCCGTGCTTGATGTTCAGAGTCAATTACGTGATGGAGCTCTCGATCCGCTTGGACTTTGTTGTTACCGCAAGAAATCATAAGGCGAGGACATCATCTCGCCTACTACTTGCCGCATCGTTGTAGAGACTTCCTCGTTCGCGAGAGAGATAGACCAACATGACCTATATAGCTTTTGGCAAGACCGACGGTCCCGGTTCGGAGGATCCTGAAGCGATCAACGGAAATGGTTTCCATATCATTAGCAATGTCGTTATCGCCTTTCGCGAGGATGCATCGGCTTCAGCTATCATTGCGCCTCTCGAAGGCGTCAACAACAACTACATGCATACTCGTGCTGCCAGTTGTGCTCATCGTTGGCCCAGTATGTCGATGTATCTCGACGAACAATCGGGAGTTTGGGACCGATGATTCATTAGACAGGTTGTCGCGTGTCTGAGTAATCAGTATGATCCCAAACAGGTATCATCACATCGACGCGATAGGTAAGGGACTTCATCGAAACAGGTTTGACGGTTAAGAAGGGATCAGTGGTGTAGGTCTTTCCGACATACCGCATCGCTTGTGACTACACCGCACACTAGACCAGATCCAGCACTAGCGCAATCTCTTATACGAGGCCCGGCTAGCCGTCGAACACTCGTGATGCCCTGTGTCTTGAGTGGAGCTGATAAACTCACGACCGTGCCACAAAGGTACCTTGGTCACGTTTGTGAGCTTCGCTCAAGTCTTACATGCAGCATCAATAGTTCGCTTCACAGTCGCTCGCATCGGCCCACATGCAACGGCACAATGTCCACCCATTCATAGGGTATAAAGCAGTCTGACCTCCGTCAGGTCCCAGATCATCCTACTGCTCTCTATTCTCAGCTCTCGCATGGTCCTGATAGTCGATTCGGGACTTCACAGAAACAGCAAGATACCAGCCTAGTAGAGCAATCTTATATAGGACTCAAGATGTCTTGGATTCTCGATGTAAGGAATGGTCTTCAATTGTCAAGACTCGTTGTCGCTAACCTTGCAACAAGCTCATGCATGGCGCCCACAACTGGTACCATGGGGTCCCCAAGATAGTCGCCTCAACAAAGAAGACAGACTGTCCTCTGCGTCTTGGCGTCCTCGGAGCAGCCGCGATAAACCCAGGAGCAATAAGTGACCCCGTATCAACGCACCCTGACATAATAATCGCTGGCATAGCAGCACGATCTCGGGCCAAGGCCGAGACTCAGATCAAGCAATGCAACCTTCAACACGCCAAAGCATACGATAGCTACGATGCTCTACTTGGCGATCCATGTATCGATGCTGTGTACAATCCTCTACCAAACGGCCTTCATGCCGAATGGACCATCAAAGCCATGAGAGCTGGCAAGCACGTCCTGGTGGAGAAGCCCATAGCTTCTAACGCGGAGCAAGTCCGAGAGATCAAGAAGGTAGCCGACGAGACCGGAAAAGTGGTATTAGAAGCTTTCCACTGGCGCCTGCATCCTGCAGCACACCTGGTCAAGTCGCTGGTGCAAAGTGGCAAGTACGGCAAAGTGCTAGAAATATCCGCTCAAATGGGCTTACCTGCTGGCGCTTTGGCGAAAGACGACATCCGCTTCAAGTACGATCTTGTGGGCGGAAGCTCAATGGATTTGACGTACGCATATAGCGCCGTCTCATACTTTGCCACACCTTCGCTCTATGGAGCAGAGATCAAGGTTCTGTCCGCCAAGCCTCGACTCAACGCCACCGACCCCAATATCGACGATGCGATGGACGCATCTTTCACAATCCGGGAAGGGAACGATACAGTCCTCTGCCATACCTCCGTCGACCTAGCCGTTCCCTGGCTCTTTGGGGTCATACCCCCGATTTGGAAATTGACGGCGACTTGTGATATCGAGCTGGAAAAAGCTAAGATCTCCTTCCCAAATTTCCCGGGCGCTTGGCTTCAGCATTCAATCTTGGTCACTGACAAGGCAACTGGCAAGGTGGAAAAGTACAGCGCTTATGTCGATGGGCCGGAGTGGAAGAATTGTGGTCAGCGATGGTGGACTACGTATCGCTACCAGCTCGAAGCATTCGTAAAAGGTGTGCGGGCTGTGCAAGGTGGCAAAACAGCCGATGAAGTAGCGAAGATGGATGAGATCAGTTGGGTGAGCCTGGTGGAGTCTGAAGCGGAAGTAGCCATCATTGATAAAGTCTACGAGAAGGCTGGTTTGCCTCGGAGGAGGTGAGGAGACCTGTCATTCCATGAACGAGATTTGAGAAGTACTCTTCAGTATGACGACCACAGAGGCTAGCAATACAGCGATGAGTTGTCCTAATGGGGGCGTAGGAAGCTATCAAGAGCACGAGTCATCGGTGACTGTGTTGAGACGACCATTGCCCTAAGGTTTCCTGCCGTTGACGATATGGGCTTTGAGGCTATATCTGCGAGTAAGATCCTAGCATGGATCGATGTATACTACGGAGAGACGACGCTCTTGTGATATAGGTAGTGGTAGAATGGATGTTCGGCCTCCTGGTCGTTCCCATTATGACCTTGGCTGGGCACAAGAGTACGATGTGATTGGCCGACACCCTCCCACATTAGATCTAGCGCGAACTTCCCAACACTACACCAGTCGACTTTAAGAAAACGTTCTTTCAGAGATTCTGATGCCAAATCCGAGGCCCATCAATATTATGCGGACATCCTCAATCGCCATGTGCACTTCTCTGCCACTCGTTGGCACTAATGGCCCATAGCCACGACAGCACTACGATCAAATCAACAATGCGGCCGCACACTAATGGTGGCAACACGACCGGCGATGTCGAGATGGCGGCTCGCGAGCAAGCCACATCACACAACGAGCCGTCATTATCTACGACTACCGTGCCTACACTACAGCCTTCTGAGACGGTACCAGTCCACATTGCAGCCGAGAGCACAGCGTCGCATGTATCTTCCGAGATTGCCTGGAGGCTGTACCTCTCGCACTTCCTCTCTACCTGGAACTCTCGCTGCTTCGAATTCGGCTCCGTCCTCTTCTTCGCTGCAATCTACTCGCAAACGCTGCTCTACTTGTCCATCTACGCCATCTGTCGTTCTGCGGCTGGCATGATCTTGGCCACCGCTATTGGGAAGGCCATCGATAGCCAGCCGCGATTGAGGATTGTGCGAATTTCTATTGGTGCGTCAGGAAGCTGTAGCAGACCTGACTGGGTTCATTCCTATCCCTCGAGGGCTGATGCTGACCACTCCGTGCTTGCAGTTGGAGGCCGCATGGCCGTTATACTATCCTCCCTGGGGATCTGGTCGCTATGGATGTATAAATCAATTCCGTGGAACGCCAATATGGCGCTCTTCAGCGGATTGATCCTCCTCTCGTGCGTGGAGAAGGCGGCATCGATGATGAATCTGGTCGCGGTGGAGCGGGACTGGGTATGCTGTTTCCCGCCATCTTCCGTACGTCTCTGAGTCCATACTGAGGTATGTTCCTGCAGTCAATCGTGGTAGCTGGCAACAATGAACCCATATTACAGAGTGAGCGGAGTATCAGCAGGAAAAGCCTTCGTCGTCAGAGGCTCAGAAGATGAAACACTAATTTGTAATCTCGATATAGAGCTCAATGCAAGGATGCGCCGAATCGATCTCGTCTGCAAGCTTGCGGGCCCACTATTCATAGCCCTGGTCGATGGCGCATCGACGACGGTGGCTATATGGCTTCTCCTCGGACTGAACGCCCTCTGCTTGCCGATCGAATACCTGGCTATTGCGCAAGTAAGTCCTCGGATCCCAAGCAGCCAGAGCTCATGAAGACGCAAAAGAAAACCCCACGTACTGACCGAGACGACCCAATACGAAAGGTCTACAGCCGCGTCCCAGACCTCCGCCTCCCCAAACCATCCCGAGAACATGCGCCCGTCAGCCACAACACGAGCCAGGCAAGACAGATCCAGCAACGTCTCATCTCACCCTTCACCGACGCCCGGAGGGCCTTGACCCACTACTCGCACCACCGAGCCTTCACGCCCTCCCTAACCCTCGCTCTCCTCTACCTCACCGTCCTCTCCTTCTCCGGCCAAATGACAACCTATCTCCTCTCCGCCGGCCTGAACACCTTCTACATCGGCCTCATCCGCTCCCTCTCCGTCCTAATCGAACTCTCCGCGACCTGGCTAGCCCCACGCCTAATGTTCCGGATCAGTCCCGCGCGATCCGCAATGTGGTTCCTGAACTGGCAGATCCTGTGGTTAGCAGGGACCGTGACGTTCTTCTGGAGTTGGGAAGGGAGGAGGGGTGGGATGGTTGCTGCGTGGGGTTTAGCGGTGGGGACGATCATGAGTCGGGTCGGCTTATGGGGTTATGATCTCAGTGCCCAAGTCATCATCCAGACAGTAAGTCACGTCCGTTCATCCCTCCTCATCCACTCATCCCCAAGAAATTCCTCCACAACTCAAAACACCACCAGAGCCCGAAAAGTCCGTCCGCAAAAAACCCACGAAAACCCCGACTAATCCGCTCTCTCACCTCAACAGGAAGTAGAAGTAGTCCACCGCGGCTCCTTCTCCACAACCGAAGCCGCCCTCCAAAACCTCTTCGAGCTCCTAGCCTACGCGCTCACCATCGCCCTCCCCCAACCACGACAGTTCAAATTCCCTGTTCTCGTGAGCGGGGTCGTGGTGTTGGCGGCTGGGTTCCTGTACGCCTACTACCTACGCTCGAGGAGGGGGCATCTGGTGCATATCCCGTGCACTACAAAGTCGTCAGATGCATCCGCGGAGGCGTAGATGGGGCAAGGGGGCCAGGGCTGTATTGCACTAGATCTAGCTCATCATTTGCGGATGCAATGTGGGGCAATTCCCTTTCATCGCAGCAGGCCGCTGTCGTTGCTGGTCAAGAAGGATGCATGTGCGTCCAGCGGAGGATGCAGTACACCGCAGGAAACACCAGGAACTCATGTGAGCACGGATTGACGATTCAGTTGATACGACAACGGCTATAGTAGCGGCATGCCCGGCCACCTCATCAAAACCCATATTTGCCAGCGCTGAACATCCTCTCACCTCCCGTGGTACATCGTCCCGACACCCACGCCATCCCAAACGCTATCACTGTAAAGATCAACCGATGCTCGGACTTCAGCTCAAGCATGTAGACGCTGAACCAAGCGCAGTATGCACGCACAAATCTCCTCCACAGCCCAATGCTTCCCTCCCTGCCCCGTTCCGGACTTGAACCCTCAGCTTTCCGGTATTAGTAGCGGCAATGAACCTCACTGAGCCAGGAGAGGAATCGGACAGCCTACTCCTAATCAGCCATCGACTCCTCCACCTGCCCTGGCGTCGCCACCCCATTCCCATTCGCACTCCCATTATTCCCATTCGCCGCCGCCACAGGAGCAGCCGCACCCTCATCCCCGCCAACAACATTCCTCGCATTCTTCATAATAGCCTTGAGTTTCCTCTCCACCTCATCCCAATCCGACGTCTCCAACCGCATGGGCTCGACACTAAAGTGCTTGCAAATCTCCATCAGATTCGTCCAACTGCGCTTATTATGCACAAAAGACAGCGCCGCGCCCGTGCGGCCAAAACGACCCGTGCGCCCGATGCGGTGGAGGTAGGTTTCCGGGTCCGGGCGGTGGTCGACGGTCTCGGGGATGTCGTAGTTGATGACCATGGTGACGGTTTGGACGTCGATGCCGCGGGAGAGGACGTTGGTGGTGATGAGGACTTTCGCAGCGCCGGAGCGGAAGTCTTGGAAGACGGCGTCGCGTTGTTGGCCTTCGAGGGCGCCGGAGAGCATGGCGACTTTGTGGCCTTCTTGAGTCATGCGGCGCTCGATTTCGGCGGCTGTGTCGCGGCGATGGCAGAAGATGATCGACGAGGCGATTGTCATCAAGCCGTAGAATTTGACGAGGGCATTGTACTTCTCCTCGTCTGATTGGCAGTCCAGGTACATCTGCTTGATGCCCTTGACCGTCAACTTCTCGACTTCGAGCGTGATCTGATTGGCGTTAGGTGCGAAGCGGGTAGCGAAAGCCAGGACGTCTTCTGGGAAGGTGGCGGAGAAGAGAACAACCTGGACTTGTTTCGGAAGGAGATTCTTCACACGCTGGCACTGGTCGCCCATGCCTTGCAGATCGAGCATGTTGTCCGCCTCGTCGAGTGTGAGGACCTTGATAGAGCGTACATCGAGTTGGCGACGCTTGATCATGTCCATGGTAGTGCCGGGAGTGCCGACAACAACTTGGCCTTCAAGCTGTGCGCCACGGGGAACGGATTGTGGAACGGCCTCGGCGATCTGCAAGCCGAGAGGTTCAAGAAAGACACCCATAATCTTGGCGACGCCGGCGATCTGCTTAGCAAGCTCACGTGTTGGGGCGAGGACGATGCATTGTGGGGCTTTGTTGTCGAGGTCGACACGTGACAGCATGTTCAGCACGAAGGCGGCTGTTTTGCCTGTGCCAGATTGTGATTGGCCGATAAGGTTCTGCGCGGGGTTCTTGAGGAGAAGTGGGAGAGCACGCTCTTGGATCTTGGAGGGCTTGGCGAAGGACATGGTGGCGAGACCACGAAGGAGCTCCTCGCGTCTGGAAGAATGTTAGCATGGAAAGTGGGCGCACGTGATGTCGAGACTCACAGATTCAGCTCCTGGAAAGACTTGGCGGAGTAGAGTGGATTGTTTGGATCATCCTGCAAGTCGGCCAACTTGACATTGACGTCGAACTCGGGCTCATCCAAGCCCTGTGACCCGTTCATCCACGTCGACGCACCATCGGTTTGTGCCGCTTCTAAGGACCCCTCGTCACTCGTGCTCGCTTGTGCTTGTGTATTGCTTTTCAAGTCTCCCGGAGCAGGACCATTGTCGGTCTGTCTGTCGGACTCCTGTATGGGTGTAGTGACCTCGTCGGCCCAGTTGAATTTGGAAGGAGTGAAGGTGTTGGCCTGTGGGTTTGGAGCTTTCGTCTTCTGCTTGTCGTCGGCGGGGAAGGAGAGGCGATCTTCGAAGGACTTGGCGAGAGAGGAGGCCTCGGGCTCTGACGATGTTGGCTTGTTGTCCGCCATTGTTGCGTGTTTTGTGTGGCAGTGAGGGAGGATGCGGGGCGTTGCAGCCCTTGGTGGCTGCCGGTTGGCGTAATCCTCACTTCAATTTTGGTGAGCAGGGTGTATATGCGATTGGCCTGTCGACAGTAGCAATATGTGTGAGTGACTGAGTATCGAGGGCTCGGACTGTAAGTGACACAATGTTGTACCTGGAACTGCAACGTTGAACTTTAGCTGCAGCCCACCTTCCCTGTCGCGAGTCGTGCCTGCCTGCCGAGCGTGCTTCGGCCGCTTCCGTTCCCGGCGGGGTACACACGCTAACCAGTCCAGTAACTCCGGCTAAAGCGATTCATGAACGCCGCGTGGAGAAGCGCATGTGCCCCACAGCCACACGACATACTCACACTGCCGCAACCGACTACCTTCTTGTTGATTCGACACGTCGCACTGAATGTCTTTGATGTCGTCGGAGGAAGATGGCAGAAATCGACATCGCCCCCAACTTCGGTGCCGAACTGAAAGACGGCTTCAAATCCGCCAATGCGTGGGTCAGCAACGGCATCGCCTGGCTCGACGACGTCCAGCAATTCTACCGCGAACGCAGCGGGATTGAGAAAGAGTATGCGCAGAAGCTCAATGCCTTGGCGAAGAAGTACTTTGAGAAAAAGGCGAAGAAAAGCTCGAGCCTCTCCGTCGGCGACAACCCCTCCGTCACACCCGGCTCCCTCGAATGTGCCTCTATGACAACGTGGACCGTCCAGCTCACGACACTCGAACAGCGGGCTGCGGAACACGAACGCTTCTCCACCCTCCTCGTCAACTCCCTCGCTGTACCCCTCCAGACACTCGCGCAACGGTACGAGGATCTCCGGAAGCAGCATGCAGAGTACGCGGCGAAGCTCGAGAAGGAACGAGATGGTGTATATGGGGATTTGAAGAAGACGAAGGGAAAGTATGATAGTGTGTGTCAGGATGTGGAGAATAAGCGGAAGAAGATTGAGAATAGTTTTGATCATGGCAAGACCAAGGCGCAGGGGGCGTATGCGCAGCAGCAGAGTGACATGCGGAATATGAAGGTATATACAATTCTACATGAGAGATTGATTCATTTGTGCATTTGGATCCATGTGCTGACATTGCTGTTAGAATACTTATTTGATTGCGATCAATGTCACCAACAAGCAGAAGGAGAGATATTATCATGAGTATGTGCCGGAAATTCTAGACGTAAGCTCGCCGCCATTTTTTGAAGAAGTGAGACATCGAGCTAATGAAGAATGGTTTCACAGTCTTTACAGTCTGTATCGGAGGCAAAGACCGCCACTTTGAACAAAATCTGGTCCACAGCAGCTGCAATCGAAACCGAAACTCTAACCCGCTCAACCCAACTCCTGAATCACTTATCCAACGAGATACCCCGAAACAATCCAGTCCTAGACAGTATGATGTACGTCCGGCACAACGCAATCCAATGGTCCGACCCACCAGACTTCGGCTTCGAACCTTCACCTGTATGGCTAGACGACGACTCCATGGCTGCCGACCCCGCGAGTAAGACATTCCTCATGAACATCCTCACGAAATCGAAAGGCTCCCTCGGCGCTCTAAAGCGAGAAACCGAAGCCAAGCGAAAAGAAGTAGAAGGCGCTAAACGCGTCCGCCAAGCCATCCGAGAAGGCAAAGATAAACGCGACGAACTAGAAGTCGTGCGCATGCAATTCTACCACCGAGAAGCCCTCCACGCCGCCGAAAGCCGCATGATCTCCGCCGAGGTGGAAGTAAGCACCATCACCTCCGCCGTCGGCGACATATCGGTCGGCGCACGGAACCACGCCTTCAAGAACGAGACGTTCCGCCTCCCCACAAATTGCGATCTTTGCGGGGACAGAATATGGGGTCTCAGTGCGAAAGGCATGAGTTGTAATGACTGTGGGTACACATGTCATCTGAAATGTGAATTGAAAGTTCCGGCCGATTGTCCAGGAGAATTGAATAAAGAACAGCGGAAAGCGGCGAAAGCGGAACGGCAGTCTTCTGCCCAGGCGGCCGTCACTGCTCCTACAGATGGTGAGAGTAATGGCGGGGCAGGGCACCGAGGCAGTGGAGCAGGATTGCAAAGGAGTGACACGATCGGCTCCATGAACACCCTTTCCTCCGGCTACGCCGCGTCAGCCAACCGTAGTGTCTCCGGTACCGGTGTACCAGCTACGGAGACGGGAAGAGGACATAAAGTCCCGCCACCCTTGTCCGGTGGCCGTACAACGACATATAGTAGTCGAAACGGCAGCCTCCCCGAGGGCAAAATGCTCTACACCTACTCCGCCAACGGCGCCGGCGAACTCTCCGTAGCCGAAGGCACCACCTTCTCACTCTTAGAACCCGACGATGGAAGCGGATGGATCAGGATCAAACCCACTGGTTTCGGGGCTGTGGGGGAGGGCCTGGTACCGGCTTCTTACGCCGAGGTGTCACCGCCTTCACCTCCTTTGAAGTCTGCTGGCATGGGGAGTGGGTCTGGCAGTAGGCCGGAAAGACCAACGAGTCTAGCTACCTCGACCTCCAACCTCAGTCTCACGGGCTCACTAGACAGCACATCCGGCGGCTCCCTGAAACAGAAGAAAATCGGGCCTGTAGTGGCACCACGCAGGGGAGCGAAGAAAGCCGCGCCGCTGCCTGCTACGCCTAGTAGTCCTTTCGGTAACGGCGGTGGCGGTGGCGGGGAGAAAATGGTCGAAGCACTTTATGCTTACCCCGGTTCTGGGCCGGGGGAGACGAGTATGCAGGGGGGTGAACAGATGGTTCTGATATTGCCGGATCAGGGGGATGGGTGGGTGGAGGTGGAGAGTCGAGGGGGACGGGGGGTGGTGCCTGCTAGTTGGGTGAGGGAGGTGTGATTTGATCCGGATTGTAGCCGGTTGGTGTTGTAGAGGGTTACATATCTACCTACCCCACCTACCCACCTATCAATGTATCAATCAATCGGATGAGACCATTGCTCTACTTGTGCGAGATAAGGTGTGAAGATGAGAGAGAGGCGTTGTGGAAAGCCTGGCGTATCGAGCTTGTTCACGCACTCCTGTGAGTCGGAGTAGAGTCCCATATTAACCCGGGTTTGCGATGGCTGCAATCGCATGACTTGACTACACCACACAACGCTACACAAAGGCACCATTGCACAGGAGACACACGTCGCTACCAATATCGTCCCCTGACAACCCCCTTCTGATTCAGCTCCGCTCACTCACCTATATTTCTCGGCTAGCTGCGTCGTGGCCTGGTACCAGAGGGAATGGGTGGATCATCGCGCTCACCAGTTACAGCTTGTTCGAGCAGCTCATGCAACACACCCATACCGGCAAAGTGTACAAGAAAAAGAAAAAACTAAACCTCGCGATCATTCACGTGAGGATCTTCGTCGAGGAGGATTACGAGCATTGCTTGTTTTCAATTGGCTTGGCTATACACTTCCAGACTTGGCTTATTTCAGCCTCTACAGCAGCATCCCCCATCAACTCCACCATTTTCTTCTTCTTCTTCTTCCTTGTCTTGCTTCATCACCTCCGGTCCAGGAATGGACTCGGCCACTAGCTGCGTTTCTCCGTGCCCAGGTTCCAGATCCGCCATCAGATATTCGTTAAAGAAATCGCCATGTGCATCGCCGTTCTCAGTCGGCAAGGCGAAAGCTTCGCCTGGGTCGAAGGGCATGAAATCTATGGACAGCGATGGGTCGTGTGATGGGATGTCCGCCGGCCATGCTTCGTGGGGCAGATTTTGTTGGATCCGTGTTTGCGAATGTGATTCGATGTATGCTTGAGGTGAGTAAGCAGGTATGGGCGCGTTGTTGTGTGCGGCGGAGAAGAGCTGTTCCTGGTAGTAAGGTCTCTGTGCCTGATCTTGGAGTAGTTGTGGCTGTTTCTGCTGAGATGGCCGGGTTGGCACCTGTTGTTGCGGTGGCGAAAGTGCAAAAACGGACTGCCCTGGCACACCATCCAGATGTCTTTCCTGATGTGCATGCGTTGTACTCGTTGTCCTCGAGACCGGTGCAGCAGCGCTCTTTGGCTGCACAGACGACTGTTGGAAGATATGTTCTACCGCAGCAGGCACGTAAGCGGCGGTCCTGGCGTGCTTGCGCCCACAGCACTGTGCCCAGCTTCCCGTCGTTGTATCTTGCATGACGGGAGGACAGTTTCGACATGTGCAGCCGTTGAGGCCACAGGTTTGGCAGATGGCGGACGGGAACTGGTAGGCGGTATAGCTCGCCATGAAGTCTCCCATACTGAAGGTGAAGGCTGGTTGAGAAGGTGGGTCGGGTGACGAGATTGTGGTGGTTGTTGGGAATGTAGCGTCGAAGGCGGAGCCGAGAATCTGTTGGCCATTCGCGAGCGAAGGTGGTGGTGAGAAGCTGTCGTAGGTCAGAGGCTGCTGTGGTGGACTTGTAGGACCTTTGCAGCATGAACGCGATTGTTCTCGAGGAGCTACTGGCGCAAGACCGTCCCATGCCAGGACATCCGGCGTGATAACATCCTCGCTACCTTGTGGTGCACCAAGGCCCATCATACCAAAGCGTGGCGCAAGCACTGATCGCGGAGAATGATAGTCTGTATACGGACTGGCCATAGTCTGCAGAGGCGTGCTAGGTATGCTGTCGAATGGCGTAGGCACAAAGTCTATCCGACTCAGCGGCGATAGAGGCGTGCCAGCAGCGGCAGTGAACCTCGCCTCCAACGCCTCTCGATTAGTATGAAACTCCACCTTCGGCTTCCCTAACGCCATCAAGACCTTCCAGTCCCCTTCTTCAATTAAGCAGCAATACCGTCCCTGCTCATCGCACCGGCACTCCCCTGCCCTCTTCTCTGCTCTACCCTTGCCCTTCGCGGCCTTGTGCGGACACGCTTGTGCCTTGGCCACTACACATTTGCAACCTCCGCCAGCGCCATATCGGCAATTACATGCATTAGAAGGACGACCTGGCCGTTTCACCGTCCAAAAGACTTTGTTCCGACAGACCGGAATGCCGCAGGAAGTTGTGCGATGTCCACGGATGCAGGACATGCATGCAACTTTGCTCACCTGCAGGGTCCGGGCGTCGAGGACCTCAATGGTCTTGAATGGCTTATCCGGATCCGGCGTCCCGATCGTGGCCTTCGGGGTGGGAGGCATCGTGGTCCTCTCACAGCACCAAAGGCCGGAGAGGTTTCGTGAGAGCGTGACGTCAAGCACGAGCTGGCTTAGCAAGCATCGGTCCCATCAGTGTAGCCGATGAACACCGCGATTCCGGCAGAAGTGCCTGCACGTGAGGTGTCCGGTAGCCAAGAGATGGATCTGGGTCGTGCGCATTGGCCTTGTTCCAGGGGCCTAATAACGCAGAACGTGGCGAAAAAGATTTGGAGCCGCCGGTATGGTTCAAAGTCGTGCACACAGTGATCCGTCTGAAGTGCTTTCGAGACTGTCGTAACGGGCCTGCGCAAATATGAGCACGTTAGCGGAACGTAAGCCGGGCGATGAATCCAAACTCTGGTTCGGTGGCGGTAGAGACCGGCGGACGAAGTGTTTTCGCGGCAACAGTTCCCCTTTTTCCGATGGAGCAAAGCCTTAATGAGCGTTAATGCGCTATGTCTGTACTTCTGATTTGTTTGGTAGAGTGCAAATCGTTCGATCAGTTGTTTCGTGATGAGGTGAGGTAAGATCAGCGGGCTTGGCTGCGAGCCGGGATCTAGACTCGAATGACTTCGATGGTTTCGAGCATGACTGAGGTGAACCAATAATCGACAGCGGCCACTAATATTCTATTGCAGAATCTATATCCACTGAGACGGCTATGTTCGCGTGTGAACGCTAGCTGTCGGTCACTACAGGAAGCTGCCGGATCTGTTGTGCCTTCCCGTTGTGGCGTTAGACTGGGAAAGCACGGTAGCACGGTCACTCCGTCGGTATAGATTGGCTCGACCTGATTAGGACGTCGAAATATGTGCGATGTCTTTGCCAATAGCTACATCAGATTTGTGGATATCGACATCCAGCTTCTCTACAGAACAAATAGCCTTCTCAGACATGGGTATCATACAACAGAATGCAAATTCCCATCCCACACCAATCATGATCAAAGTAAATCCAGATCTCCTCTCGCGCCATGCAAATACCAAAAGCATTACCCGCCAACATCAAACTAATTCTAGAACATATCAATCTCGCCAACAGTACCAAACGGAGTCCTGTGTCGTTCCTCCAAAGGCGTCTGGTACGCCTCATATGGTGTCTCCAAATCATCTGTCGAATCGGCCATAGCCCCTGCCTCGCTATCAGAGTGACTAAACCTGCTCATGAGGCCTCCTCGACCTCCCGTGCTAGTGGTAAAGACTGTGTTGCCAGAGTCCCGCAAAGCCTGGGACGGCTGCTGCAGCTGCGGCAAGTGCGGATATTGCGTTACTGAAGAGCTGCCGGGCGGTGACTGCTCAGTCTCACGCAGCAAATCCCGTATCCGGCTCGATCCAGCTACTGGCTCCATGGGCACAAAACTACTTCGTTGACTCTGGACCTGGGAGCTGGAGACGTGGTACTGCAGATCACTGATTTCTTGGCGCATGCCGCGAAGTTGACCCTCAAGCCGTCGACGGGCGGAGCGCTCGTCGGTCAGCATCTCGTATAGCGATCGGAAAGTATATGGCTGAGGCTGCCCATCGGAGTTGTTCTCGCTCGTATCAGATTGGCGTGCCTGTACGGGGTGACTTGTTGGTCCTCGTGTCGTATTCGGTGGCGGTGTGCTGTACGCCTCTCTAATGCGGTCACTACCCATAGGTAATGGCGGCACGGGTGGTCGACTTGGAGCAGTATTTCTTGTCGGGGTCCTTGGCGGCTGGGGTGAAGTTGAAGGTCGCTGTTGCTCGGGTTGGCCATAAAGCGTGTATGCAAGAGTCAGAGGATCGGACAAGGTATCAGCAAGCATACTCGGCGTGCGGGCGTTCAGCGAAGATCGTCGTTGGGGCATGCCGCCAACCATGACAGTTTGCCGATTGCGGTCGGCTGTCAGACGCGCTAAAGATCGCTGGAAGTCGTGTAGGCCAGACTCCAGCTTTGCTACCCGGTCTTCCAGGTCCCTTGACAACTCTGTGCCATAGCCGGAAGCTGACCGAACATCAGTCTGGCTGAATGTGTGGCCATGCCCTGGCGGACTGCTCCTGAATGTGCCGATCGTGCCTGAACGTGACTGCCTTGTATCAATCGGCCCAGTATTGTCGCTTATTGGCACATCCTCGTCCCTGAGCTCCGGCATAGGCTCTGGCATAGACTCCTCTAGCCCCATACTACTGTTCTCTCTGCTCACGAACCCGCTTGCACGTAATACGCTTCCCTGAAAGCTCTCACGCCAGAACCGAATCTCGTCGCTTCTCTTTCGAGGTGGGTATTCCTGTCTATCAGCAAGTGACTGTCGCAAATCATCGGCACTACGTGAACGTCTCTTCATGCTTCTGCTGGTGCTTCCGCGAGCCGGTTCCGGCACTGGCGCATCACGTGTGACTTCGAAGGCCGGCACAGCGGGGTCCTTGGGTGGACTCGTCAGATCGGGATCATCCTCCTCGGTCAGCAAGACACTGGGCATGGTCTTGCGACGTCGCAGTTGGCTGCCAGGCGCATAGTACGGGTCGCCGAGATTCAAAGGCTTCAACCTGGCGGAATGTGGGAATTCTACCGCGTATGGAGATCGTGTCCGATGCAGACCTGGGGAAGGCGGCGATTGTAGAGGCACAGAGAACGTTCGTTGCGCCACGGCCATATCGTCGGGTCCATTGTCCGCCTCCTCGACGTGTGGGACAAGCGCAGATGGCTCACTCCTGTGATATGCATGCCTCGGTGGACTCTTCTGCTGCACTGCCGGAATCTCCTTCGATCGTCTCCCGAATATCTTTCGTACAACATTGCGTAGCGAGCTCTTTCTAGCCTGCGAACCATCGACGTAGGCTGCGCCATGATGTTGTGCTTGCAGCGTAGTCCTACTGCTCGGTAATGGTTGGCTAGCATTGCGAACACCGAGAGTTGACCTCTTTCTCACAATGCGCTGTGACTCGGTGCTAGCCCGGCCGTCTGCGGTCCATCCTGGTAGGACATTCTGCGTGCGGCCGTAGGCACCATTGTTCGATCGTTCCATTTGCTGTCCAACGTGAATCCATACAGGCTGATCAGACTACCCGAAGCAAGGGTCCCGGCCAGTGGCTCAAACAGAAGTTTTGCGAACAGTAATGACTGACTATGTGGACAAGACCATTGAATCTTGACTTTGTTCAGCTCCGTAGACGATGCAGTGGGTCAAAGCATACGGCCGCCCAGCTATAGCTCTAGTCTCCTGCAAGTGAGCGACCCTTGGTTTCGAAATGCCAACGAGTGTGGTCCGGCAAAGCGTAGGGCTGCTCTAATCCATGGGGGCCGAATGCAATGGACGATCGGCGTCTCTGGCAGGCTCGCTCAGATGCTGCCTCAGCTCCTGGCAGTAGTGGTGATGGGATACACAAACCTCATCGACTAGGTGAGGTTGCGAAGGCGAGACAGCACAGCAATGATAATGATTGTATAAGTGAAGAATGGGAACGGCAACTAGTGCACACGGTGTGTATGAGATGTAGGCCACCCTTGCGCTTGGAACAGGACGACGTGACGCCGGTGCGCTGCGAGGGGAGACGCCACTATCGACCGTTAGCATGCTCTGTGCACGCCCACCTTTGGTAATGGGAGAGTTTCGCTCCTCATCCTTGGAATAGTTGCATCGCCAGGCCGGCCAGCGTAGCCGTGTTCGGTACAGCTGCCAACTGATCAGGCCAGCCAGATGGCGAGGTACTGGAGATATGGTGCAGCCTTTCATTGCCATGGCGTGCATTGCATCTTCCGTCCGGCTGACCCTTGCGATACGCGAAGGTCGGTAGCATGGCCGTAAGCACAGACACCAAGGGGCCTGATTGGAGAAGATGACAGCGAGGAGCGAAATTGAAGCTGCAAGATCCGCATGCAGGGTTGGTGAATGCAAGCAAGAAGCCGCGGAGCATCAAGCTCACCGAAACGTACTTTTGCTGCCCACGCCGAACTCTGATCATCAGAACTCGCCTTGAACTGCAGTTGGCGTGAGACAACGTCGAAGATCGCAGATAGGTATCGGCACCTCTAACCACAACCTGAGCCGGCGTGTTTTCAATACGCTATGTATAGTAACTCTGCGCTTATCCCGCGAACGCTAGCATCAATGGCCCAACGTGTATACTGAATTTCAAGTATCGAACTTCCATTTCCTCCCACTGTCAAAGCCACCACCGCCACGAGAATCTCTAGCATCAAACGCAATCGTACACCACATCCTCTTCTGGAGCTAGGACCGGCACGAACCTGCATTGCGCAAAGCTACAGCGTGGCAGTCTCGTTGTTGCGGATCCGTACCCCACTTAGTTGCAGCTCGAATGCAGAGCGATGGAGGGCTCGTTGAGTGCATTCATCAGTCGGTAGCATGGTGCCAAAGCGATCAAGCAACATACGGCGGCCTGGGACAAGCACAAAGCGTTAATGTGAGATGCTTGCCATATATTCAACTTCCCCACCATATTCCCCAAAGTCAAGAAAATGCACCCATGGAAGTTGCACTCATCAACCTGTGATTCGTGGGAGTCAAAATATCAGCTAAAAATGAGCACCCGGAGTTCGCATCGAGCACGCCAGCTTGCGAACCGCTGCATGTCTCACACTTGCGATCAGCCTAAACCAATATCAATATGATCATGTGCTCCCCACTTCTCGTTCGCCGGCTATCTTGTTGCATTCTTCAAACGCAGTATAGACGATTGCGGTGTACGGGCGGAAGTAGGCGTTTGGCCAAGCCTATAGCAGACCCTGTGGGCGCATATGAGCTAGAGCTAGATGCAAGATGCATCATGCAGGGGCGCAACATTGTCCGGCCCACCTTGAAGCTGTATGCACGACCGAGTGTCGCGACTTCGCTTGTTGATACGGACGACTGCTTTTTGCAACGGCAATGCTTTGGCGGCCTCGAAATCGGCAATGCACGACGGGATGGTGTGTTGTCTCCAGTAAGCAAGCCGAGTAGCACATCACCCGCGCTCAAGCTCAGCACTATACTCGACTTCATCCATCTTCTTGCAGCTCGCTCGGATCAGGATATCTCAAGTCCGCATTCTCCTCCAGATACTCCATCCACCCCTTCAAGAACTTAGAGCCTCTGCAGTTCACAAAAGAGTCAGCCACAGTCGCACATCTCATTTCCGGTACCTGCATATGCAGTACAACAAGAGCCACGCTCGTGGTCGTACCGTCCACAATGCTGGGTGCTATGTCCTTCTACGTGCAACCAACCACTGGTCGAGCACGCCACTGGTCGCGCAATCGCGCTCCCTGCACGCACAAGGCTGAAACGAAGAAATGCAACATACCTGCCCACTGTCTCTGAGTCGCCGACCACACAGAGGTGTCGTTTCGGCCTGGTCATGGCCACTGTGCACCAGCTTTTGTCAGCATGCGACAAGTCTGCAACCACTTCGTTGTAACGACTCGGCAAGACTTACCATTCAGACGACGCTTCTCGCCCAAAAAGCCGACTTCGTGCTCAGGGTTACTTCGCACAAGACTGACTATTACAGCCTCCTTCTCCCGACCTTGAAACCCATCGATACTACCAAGCTCGAGACCTGGAAACCTGTCTTTGAGCGTTTGCGAGAGCAGGGCAAGCTGTCCATTGTAAGGCGTCACAATGGCAATGTCCTCTGCTTTGACGCCAGCTTCGATAAGTCTGCCAACATGCAAGCGTACGATAGCCGCTTCATGCTCATTCACTTTACTCTCGGCAAGCAGACTACTCTTACCCCTGGCACCAGAATCATCGTCCTCGGTTTTCTCTCCAAAGTCACCTCCTTGGGTATCCCAGAAAACGAGAGGCTCTCGCGTGTCATCTGTGTCTTCCACAGGATATGGTAGGTCCTTCAGTAGTCGTGCCTTGACGCTTTCGGCAGCAATAAGCTTGCTCCCGTACAGTGCTTTCGAAGGATACGACATAATGCTTTCATGCATTCTGTACTGCGTCGTGAGCATTCGTTTGATACCGTCGCCATGTAACACAATTAGGCGATCGAAGAGAGTGGTTTCGAGGGTGTTGTCCTCTTCTTTTCCCTTCTTACCATCCCTAGACTTCTCACTGTCGTCAACGCTGATACTCGCCACATTCGTAGCTACTTCGTCTACATTAGCCTTGGCTGCTTTCTTACTGGCTTTGGCCTGCTTGGAGTTCAACGACTTGATGGTTGGCGGCAACTGCAGATGGTCACCGGCCAACACAAGCTTCAAGGCACCACAGGCGAGTACAGGTATCCAGCACTGTGATTCCAGCGCTTGACTCGCCTCGTCCACAATCACGACATCGAACTTCTCGTCTTTGAGGTGGAAGCCGCCCGCACCATGAAGAGTACTTAGCACGACTTTGCTGCCGCGCAAAAGATCCGACACAACTCGACTCTCGCGTTGTCGATACTCCTTTCTCAAATCCTTGAGCTCGCCGTAGATGGCTCGACGCTCTCGACCATTGCGTGTCTTGCGGATTGAGCTTTGCTTGGCATCCATCTCTGATCGAATGTCTGATACGATTGTTGCAGCATCGCTCGTCTTCGTTAGCACGTCGAGACTATGATTCAGCACGCCAGGTAGCAGGCGAGCTGGGTGTCCTAAGCGTACCATGGACACTTTGTGCGAAGATAGACGCTCGACGATATTGTCGACGCTGATGTTGCTGGGACCACAGACAAGAAGTCGTTGGCCACGATCAAGCGATTGAAGGATGAGTTCAATGAGGGTATGCGTCTTGCCCGTACCTGGCGGGCCATGTATGAGTGCCACTTCCCGACTTGCCAGTGCGAACCTTATAGCTCCTTGTTGGCTCTCGTTCAAGGAAGGATCATGCCATGTGATTTTCGCATTGAGATCATCCTTGGCGATAGGCGTAGGCGAAGAGTGCCCGAACAAGACTTGTGTGAGAACACTGTGCTCAGCAGGCTGCATTTTCTGCAGTCTGGTCATGGTCTGACTGAGACGCTTGTGCGTAACATCATTGGCTAGCTTGACACTACATAGACAAGTATATATCAGCCATGCCCTCATACTTACCGCCCATGCAAGGACTACGTACAGCCATAGCTTATTGCCACCACTTGGTGCTTCCGCATCGTCTTTGTCCAACGCTACCGTTACAGCCTCCTTCTGTAGTTTCGTAACTACGCCTTCCACACCTCTCTTCTCCATGCCCTCGCGGTCTTTCTTGCGTTCTGCTCCTCTGGGCTGTTCGGCAACCGCCACGATATCGCCAATCCGGAGACCATGTTCGGGTAGTTCACCGCTTCCCACAGCGGAATCAAGAGAAAGCTCTAGTAAGGTCTTGCCCCCAAAGCCTGTTCGTTGAGAAGAGACTGTCAGGTTCAGGAGGGCAAGACCTGCTCGTTGAAGAACTGTTGGTGCGTGTGTGGAGGTAAGTAGCTGTGTCTCTTCCAGCTCTGCTTGAAGCTCGCTGTCAAGCAGAGACAGCTGCTTTGCTGCGAACGTGGAGATGTCTGTTGGCATCGCGAGATGTCTTGCTTGATAGATATGTGCATGAGTGACCGCTGGTTGGACACCCGATATTCTGGCAAGTGAGCGTGAGCAGGTACTTCCTTTCTCGCTCTAGCGCTTGTAGACCTCACTAGTCACTACCATTCACTTGATAATGCTGCCGCGCAAGGTCGACATTTAACCCCGTCATCATACTGGATCTTCTATTTCATCTTCGGCTTACCGGATGTACCGCGATACACTATGGACTGGTCTTTCCGAACCATCTCATTCACCAAGCAGCCCGAGAGCAGACTGCCCGCCTTGCCCTCCGAGCTCCGTGACCTGATCTTCGAATATGCACTTGTGTGCAACAAACCTCTGGTCACGTTCCGTCTCGACAACTACCAGAAAGACTCTATGTCAGAGGCCGTGCAGCCAGCCCTCACCCGTACGAATAGACAAATACGGAAAGAAACCCTACCAATATGGTATGGGTGCAACCGATTTGTCTTACACACGCAGGACCCGCACGCCGGAAAAGGTCTTGTATGGCTTGAGCGAAACTCTCGCTACATGTCTCTGCTTAAGCACATAGCTCTATGGATCCGCTACGTGTCGCCAATAAATGATCGCGGATACGGCGCCTTGAGTATCAGTATGCGCCGTCAAGCCGGGACTGATGTCTGGTATGCCGAGGACGACTGGGAATGGATCACGGTTATCAGGAAGCCCACAGGTCTCGAAGACGATGCCCGCTTTCTCCAGAAGGAACTGGATTATCTGCTGGAGAACGACTATCAAGGCCAACTTGACGCTGAGAAGTTTCATTGCATACTGTTGGAGACCAGGCGACGGTATATAGAGCATAAAATGTCATGATGTTGCGTTATAGGATAGTGACGGGCTTTTGATTCTTGACTGAACTTACTGGCCCAAGGCGCACACAAACCATGTGGCAGTAGCTTGAACGAATGACTATCCCATATCGATCTGGCGACTGCAAATCAGACACTCGCTGTCCCGATTTTGCAATGAAGCGAGCGGTCTGACAAGGTGGGCAACGGAAATCAGAGTAGTAAAGTCCGATCCATGGGGACAGGACTTTAGTGTCACCATGTCTCCCTGTTCGTCGCCCGTGAGAGCAGACCTTGATGCCGGTGTCTTGCACCCTCAAGATGCAGTTGGTATTAAAACACGCGGCTCAGGTCAGATCTGGCTCTGCATGCATTTCGACATAGTATGCCACGCCTGAAGACAGTCCTTGAGAAGTGTGAATTATTACCACCACGGTCTGCCATACGGGCCATTACATACCACTTCACTCTCTCTACTGCCAACAAAAAAGCTTTCCAGAGACACGCTTCGAGATTCTGTACAATGCGCGACTCTTCCCGTCCATCGGCCACTTCGTACTCCTCTCCCTCGCACCTTCCCTGTTCAATCCCACTACACCTCACCTCACACCATCCCATCCGTTCGCCTTTCTAAGGCTTCTTCTTAGCATTCAGGCCAAAGTACAGCCCCAGCACCAACCCGAGAATAATAATGATAGCCAATACAATGAAAAAGCACCACCACTTCAGCTTTCGCGCGTTTCGCGCACTCTTGATGCCCTTGTCAAGCTGCACGTTTCCTGCCTCGGTATCCTTTTGAACATTCGCGGTCGCCATCTCGGTCTGCTGGATAGGTTCCTCTTGCAGTACGATCGCGGTGGCAAGATCTTCCATAAGCTGGTTGAGTTCGATGAGCGTGCGTTCGATCTTCTGGATATCGTTGTGGCGGGCGCGGACGGCGCCGAGCACGGTGTTGGCAGTTGCTGAGCGGTTGGTTTTGAGCTGGAATTGTGTTAGCATATCAGGCTCTGTGCATGGGTGCTGAGTCCGAGAAGACATACAGCAGTCTGGAAAACACCCTCATTGCCCCAATCCGCATCCGCAGCCTCCTGCACCTCAGAATCCGAAGCCTCCGGGTTCACAATCCTATACTGCCGCGCAATCTGCTCTCTATACCGCCTCTCATAATTCGCCTCCTCGACCCTATACTCCTGCAGCTGCTTGGTGAAACTCGTCTTCAGCTGTCCGACCTGCGTGTTCTTCACCTGGTTGTCCTTCGATCGCACGGCATCTGTCTCTAGGAATTTGATCTGGTCTTTGATTGACGTGTTGAGGACCTGTGTCTGTGTAATCATGGACTCGAGTTGTTGCGAGGAGCTGGCGTCGGGTGAAGAGAGAGTACGTTGGTGAGCAGAGGCTATCTGGCCAACGTGGGTGGTGAGGGTGCGAATATCGGCTTTCACGGCTTCGACCCGGGAGAGGAAGTCTGAGTTTGAGAGCAGATTGCGGCTTGCTTGGACGTATTGGACGTTTTGGCCATTGGCACCATCGTGAGGCATTGGCGGTGCGCCGACGGGTGCGCCGTACTGTGTGCCGGTGTGTTGAGGTTCGCTATAGTTGGAGTCTTGCGTTTGCGCAGAGTATGTGCTCGTCTGATGTTGCATTGCGTGAGGTGGTTGTAGGCCGGCCGGCTGAGTTGTCTGGTGGGTGGTTTGCTGGTGTCATGCGTCAGCGCAGGTGCTTATACCATGATCTCTCGTCGCGACTTACACCTTGCCCATAGTTTCCGCCGCCGTAGGGGTTTCCAGCATCGCTCGCGTATGGATTGGAAGCTCCATAACCACCCTGTCCACCCTGCTGCTCGCCGCCGTATGGGTTCCCTCCATAGCCGGAATACTGGTTGTAACTCATGCTGGTCGAGTCTTGCGCGCACTACTGCAGCGCCTAGATGGTGAAGAAGCCTGTCGCAAACTGTATGCCTAGCGAGTCGAGCTGTGAAGCAACGCGATGCGCCTAGTGCTGAGGTAATGCTATACGGACTCGGGCGGATAGCAAGCCACCAGGCAACGGCGTCGCTAATTATTGGTCGGAGAAGTGCTGCATGTGTGAAATGCGCTGTATGGTAGACTGACGATTACCGAGGCAGCACAAGGAAGCAAGAAACCGGCCCTGCTGAAGTTGAACGATTCTGATACGTGAGATGTGTGAAGCAATCTCCCCATCGCTTAAGCTGGGACAAGCCGTCGGCTGTGACAAGAAGAAAAGAGCTTGGACCTGGTATGAGGTGCTCCGTCTGCACCGGCATCGATAATATATTATTGGGGGCGGAGATTCGCAATATCTACCCGAATAAGTCATGATTACATGGACCTATATTTTGGACATCATCGCGATGCTGTTATGAAGCTGGCCGCCACTTGTATGTAAGCTGGCTCCGACGACCACATAACAGCGGAAAGCAGTCGACAGAAGGAAGATTAGTTGTATCTTCGACAAGTATTTCCAAGTTCATCTCAATATGACGGTAGTATGGCTGAATAGTGTATATCTCCAAAAGATGCAAGCATGCCAAAGCAATGCCACCGCTCAAAATCGCTAATCATCAACCCATCAAGACATCTCGCCCACCCAATTATGGTCCATCCCGCCAAGACTCTTGTCGACACGTCCATATACCATCGATCATAGCCCACATTCACCGAGATCTCTCGCTAGACAAGCCATCTGTGCCCTCTTCGCAGCCTCCGCTACCAAATTAAAGTCTTGCAGAAATGGTGCCGTAGCAGGCGCACCACCACCATTACCTCTCTGACCGACGTATGCCCCGTTATGGCTTCCACTCTGCTGCGAGAACGCATGTTGCTGCTGCTGTTGTTGGTGATGTTGTGCCTGCTGATAGTACTGTGCCACCTGCGCCTGCATCTGATACTGCTGTCCCTGCTGCTGCTGCGAGTGTGTTTGCGTGCCTATTGACCCAAAATACTGCATCGGTTGTGTTCCCGCCGACGGACTAGGTAGTGGTGCTGAATGCGAGAATGGCGTTTGTTGCGAAAGCATACTTGGCGACGCTCGTGAGGGTCCGGCGTAGGTGTTTGCAGCACCGGGTGCGTTTATCGAATAGAGGGAGTCGAGACTACTTGAGCTTTGGAAGACGCTTGAGGAAGGTGATGATTGTGAGGTGGCAATGTGTGGGTATGAGGGTCGCTGGAGGTAGGCTTGTCGTTGTGATCTTGTCTCGACGACCATGTTTGTGTCTGTATATGTGTGATGTGGTTGCGTCGAAAAGTGTTTCGGATGATCTTCGTGTTATACCTAGGTATATTCCCGGGTACGAAGGTACCTTTGCTCGGCTTCAGACGTGTTCGTGTATATGACGATGGAGAGTTGTAACGCAATCGCGATTTCTTGACGATCTTCCGTCAAAATCGTCCCTTGCTTCCGTAATATATCCTTGAAGCTGCCGGTGCTCTGTCGTCGACACTGTAGAACGAGACTGCAACGAGGTTGTATACAGTATCCGATGAACAATCAGGATGAGGCTGGAGAAGATACAAAGCGACACGCCGAGGTCAAAGTAGGCTGTATTCCGTCCCACGCAATCGCGATCGAGCCGTCTGGTCCAGATCTACACTTTAAGGCGGCAATAATGAGGCGTGGGCGCGGGATGCGATATGCGGAGTCTCCCCTTCCTTCTCTCCACACAGCCGGTCGGCAGATATGGGTGAGATGCTTTTTGTCCTTTAAGAAATGGAAAGATGACAGAGCCGAGGCGACTCAGTGGTCGTGGATGTTCGATTCGTGAGACCTTGGTTTCTCGATAGGGTTGCTGGACGAAAGAGGAAAGCCGAGAGGATGATGATTGTCGTGGTTATCAGAGGGACAAAATTTTGTTAGGACGGATAAATACTTTTGTAGGCTGATATGGTAGTCCCTTCCTCGGAATCGGTAGCGGGAACAATCTCGATAAGCAGGATAGCGTCGACAACACTCTGCCGCGAAAGATATGAGACGATTCTACAAATTGTTCTACGATTCTTCCTTTCGTTTTCTTAGGAAACAGTGGTCTCTTCGATCTCACATGTGGTCTTCGCCGTGAATTACCGACCTCGGTCGTTTTTCCCCCACAATCAGGCCGGGGAAGTGGAAATTTTGTGTTTGCGATGTTCGCCTCCGAGACAAGGCCACGGTGTTGCCGACAGAAATGACAATGGTTGGAGAGCAGAGTTTGGTCTTGCTTGAGTGACTAGTCCCGTGCATGTTCCTCGTCTCGAGCATAATCAGACCAGCACGACACAAACAAGGACGTGGAAGGATGCCTGTATGTAAGAATCCGACTTGTCGATCCATGCGGCATCATGTTAACGGTCAAGATTGACTCACATTCACATAGCTCATCCTGATATCAGGCTATCCGTCAGGTGGCAAGACATACCGCAGCAAACAACTAATATCATACTTCGAGAGTCGAATCAACACATCCTCAGACCCCAAAGTAAAGAGACTGAAGGTCCATCACATCGATGACCAGTCCCTAGGCATCGACCGCAATGTATACGCCGCAGCACGAACAGAAAAGGATGCTCGAGCGACATTCTCCTCGGCGATCAAACGCCACGTAAACCGTGATGCGATCGTGATTGCCGATAGCATGAACTACATCAAAGGCTTCCGTTACCAACTCTACTGCGAGGCCAAAGCCGTACAGACACCATCATGTGTCATTCATGTCGGCGTCCCGAAGGATAAGTGCCAGGAACTGAACGATCAGGCTTTGCAAGCTGGAACGGGGGGGTATGAGGCTGAGCTCTTCGAGAACCTGGTCTTTCGCTACGAGGAACCGAACGGGATGACAAGATGGGATTCGCCGCTCTTCACTGTACCGTTCGATGATGCAGGCCCACCTTGCGAAGCCATTTGGGAGGCGATGGTAGGTTCTGATGGCAAGGCCAAGATAGTGCGGCCGAATGCTGCGACTGTGCTTAAGCCTGCTTCGGAGCAGAACTATCTTTACGAACTCGATAAGACTACCTCGGATGTCATCGGAGCAGTCACGACGTGGTTGCAGGACCATGCTGGGGAGGGTGGTGGGCAGGTGATTGTGCCTAATTCTCAGGAGGTGCTAATACTACCGATCACATCGCCGTCTTTGCCACAATTGCAGAGGCTTCGAAGACAGTTCATTGGGCTGAACCGGCAGCATTCTTTGAGTAAAGCTAGGATACGAGATCTGTTTGTAGACTACCTCAACGATGCCTTTTCCAAGTGATGGTTGTTTCTGTCCATCCTGAGAAGGCTTGCGTGTCGAGCGAGCACGAATGTCTTGCAGTTCTGGCGATCTTCATTGTAAGACTGTTAGCTGCTTGTGTGTCTATTGGCTGCTCAATCTGAACATCCTTGCGCGCTGTGATCGAACGTAGTTGCATGTGATACGTATGCTTTCAAGCCCGTGCCTGAGCCACCCGAGAGGTTTGTCCCATTGAAATGGCAGCCATCATCGTATTTACAGCCATGCGCTTGCACGAGCCGTCGGAGGTACGACTGTGCTGACACCACCAAGTGTCATCGCGACGCGGAAGATAGCGGTCGTCCACAGTGCATCGAGCTATGGTGAGCCACTTGGCGAAGTAAATGCAGACTGTGGTGATTCAACAATGCTCTCGAACAGTTCGTCGGGTCGCTGGACCTTTCTCAAGTTCTTGTTTGCGACCAGCGCAAGCTATACCCAAACACTGTTCGTCTCAGCAATTTATCCTTTCACGCAGGTTAGCTCGTCGCATCGTACGTCTCCCAAATATACCGTCAATACTCACTCCAGGATCCTCCTCAAACATGACTTTCTCCATCGTCTTCTCCATGATCTTGGTGACCTCGAGACTAGCTTCTCCGGCAAGATCAAAGAACGCCATATCCTTCTCGTATAGCCACGGCCGATATGGCGTGAAGAAGACTAACGCTTGAGCTCCTGGTGTTCGGTTTAGCGTTTGGACCACGGTGGCGACGAGCTTGGAGTGCTCGGAGTGGTTGAAAAGGAGATCGGCAAGTATGAGGACATCGAAGCCAGCTTCTTGTTCCGTAGCTGGTAGATACTGCTTGATTGTCTTGGTCTCAGCACCCCACAGGTAGCCACAAGCATGGGTGGTGGCAATCTGTTGACAATTGTGCTTGACGTTCCATTCTAGGTTCTCAATCAGATCAGCGTCGGGATAGTCGGTCACGACGACTATCTTTGCGCCATTGAGAGCAGCGACGATAGAAGGAAGTCCTGCACCGGCGCCCAGTTCAAGCACCGACTTGTCTTTGATGAGATCGTCCTTATTCGCCTCAATGTAGTCGGCAATGGTCCGGCCGGCGTTCCATAACAGATGTCCCTTATCTGTTTATCAGTATTGACATGACCAAATGTAGGAGAGAAACTTCCTGAAACCCTACCCATAGTGGACTATGTCCTACGAGACGAAGCTTAAGGACTTTACCATTTAGCAAGCAATGTTCGACATTTGTAGGCTGCTTTTCAGGTTGGTAAAAGTCTTCTGGCTCTTGGAAAAGCCCTGCCGCGCCATCGTCTCCATCGCTGTCGTCTGTGTTGGACATAATGTGAGCAAGAAGTGGACAAAAAGACGAAACCAAATTCACACACACACAGCACAGACCCACAGTTCAAACCCCTGCCATTGCTGCAGGGCAAGGATCGGAAGTTCAGCCTCAAAGCAGCATCTGAAAGCTGTCCACTCGCACGTGCTTAACGACATTAAAGCCACGACACACACACCAATGCTCCCCCGATAGCACAGTCTGACCCGCAGCATACCGCTGCCGAATCCATCACATCGTCATGAATGGCTTCGTCGATCATGGATTGGATGATTCAGCCTTCGGCGAGAATAAAGCCGTGAGCGCTGTAAAGGCGTTCGATGCGTTCCCTAAAACCAAACCATCATATCAGCAAAAGACAAATACTGGCGGAGTCTGGACCGTGGTGTTAATATGTGCAAGTCTTTGGCTCGCCTGGACGGAGGTCGTAAGATACTGGTATGGCAATACATCCCATGACTTCTCCGTGGAGCAGGGAGTCGGCCATGATTTACAAATAAATCTCGACGTGGTGGTGAAGATGAAATGCGATGATTTGCATGTGAATGTGCAGGATGCTAGTGGTGATAGGATCCTGGCTGGACAGGCCTTACATAAGGACTCGACGACATGGACGCAGTGGGGTTTGAACAGGAAGCAGCATACGCTCGGTGCTACAAAGGAGGAGAGGTTGGATTTGAGTGGGTTTCCCGGGTTTGGGGACTACAAGGAGTACGCTGAGGAGGATGTACATGATTATTTGGGGGCGGCGAGGAAGAGCAAGAAGTTTCTGAAGACGCCTCGGATGTCTAGAGGAGTTGAGGCGGATAGTTGTAGGATTTATGGGAGCATGCATGGTAATAAGGTGCAAGGTGATTTCCATATTACAGCCAGAGGGCATGGGTATATGGAATTTGGGCAGCATCTGGATCACAGTAGTAAGCATGCAGAACGACACGAGCATTGGTTGTATCCAACTAACAAAATTCAGCCTTCAACTTCTCTCACCACATCAACGAGCTTTCCTTCGGACCCTTCTACCCGTCTCTAGTCAACCCCCTCGACAACACAGTCGCAGGTACTGAGCAAAACTTCTACAAATTCCAATACTACCTCTCCGTGGTCCCCACAATCTACACCACCGACGCCAAATCCCTCCGCCGCATAAGCAAGAAGCAGCAAGGCGAAAGCCCCTCCTCTGGTTCCGATGGACTGGAGAAACATCCGCATCGCTACAGCAAGAACACAGTGTTCACGAACCAGTACGCCGTCACTGAGCAATCACATCCAGTAGCGGAGAACAACGTTCCGGGCGTGTTCGTCAAGTTCGATATCGAGCCGATACAATTGACCATTGCGGAGGAGTGGAGCAGTATACCAGCATTGTTCATCAGGCTGGTCAATGTCGTGAGTGGTGTGCTGGTGGCGGGAGGATGGTGCTATCAGATCAGTGAGTGGGCGAAGGAGATGCGTGGACGGAGAAGAGGGAGGTCGGAAAGCTGGGCGGGAATGCTCACGCCTATGGATGAGAAGAAAAGCACGTTTTAGACTTTTGTTCTTGGTATGCATATATCTACCTTTTGCTTGTGTCGTGCTTACTTACTGTCCCTCGTCAAATAGACGTGCATGTGCATGTGACGAGGCGCTCCTTCCGTTTCTGGAGGGCTTGAAAGCTTGGTGTTCCCAGCGCTCTTGCACCTGCTTCGTGTACTTGCAACGAGCACTGTCACGATCTTACAACACCAAGCTCACAGCATATTGACTAACACAGCATGGCCGGTAAGGACAAGAAGAAGCAGAGCCTTCGCACAACCGTGGAAGATGTCCCCGACCGAGCCGAGGAAAGAAAGGCATCTACAGCCATCGACTCTCCGATAGAGCTCCGCAAGAATGCCTCACCACCACGACCACCGCCATTACGAGTGCGTCCGCCACCTCTGGACATACCAATCACAAAACCACCATCCCTCATTCCTGGCCTGCCGTCAGCCACGAATAAAAGCCCCGTCCGCTACTTCCTCAACACGCCATCGCTACCACCACCAAAACAGCCAAAATTCATCGACAAATACGTCATGCTGCACTTCAATCGCATAGCACTGGTCGACATTCTGGACCGCGACGCCAAGACCCGTTCAGCGTTCTGGGTCAACCGTGTACTGATAAGAAATCCCGAAGCCTACCTCAACCCGGCGGATGTATGGGCCGTATATGGAGCTTCCTTCATCTTTCACAAGAAATTGGGTCTGTTGCAGAAGGATGAGTTCATCGAGCTAGTGTACAAGCTGTTTGCTGCCAAGGGCATCCAGCGCGTGGGTCTGTAATGGAAGGGGATCACGTGGAAGAAGGAGTTGACTGATGCTCTACCGTACGATACGCCTCCCGAGAAAGTCGTCGATATCCTTGCCACCCAGCAGTTGGCCGTGAAAGTCAGGTTCGAGAATCCAGATGCTGGTCAACCACCGCTTGTTTACGATTTCGACGATCACATTCGCAAGCCGTTCACGGTCGATGATCGGACGGTCAAGGACTGCGTTGGGCTATGGCTGTATCCGGAGCCAATGCGCACACAGCTATGGCTGGAAATGCTGTTCGAGGAAGGCGCGAATGAAGAAGTTGAGGAGAGCACGCTCTGGGCCATGTACGGAGTCACATTCAACAAGAGTCCCATGCGCCATGTTGACCAGGACGTCTTCATTGACCTCATCCAGGAGAGCTTTCCAAAAAGCGATAGAGCGAATGTCGCGCCGGACACGTGGGTGATCTATGGAATCAGGCCACGTGAGAAAGTATTGAGTGTAAGTGATCTCCACCACGTTACCATATCACTTTCTGACACTTCCTACCAGCTCAAAGCGATCGAGCGCATAGTCATGCGGAGTAGCCGCCGTCACTCCAAGGAGCATACCCTCACCCGCCTGCAGCGCTTCCACGACCGTGGCGACCTCGTACTCCGCAATACGCCTACTTCAGCTCTGAATACCTTCCAAGAGCATCTGCTCAAAAAGCCCTTACTAAGTCTCACGGCTGGGAAAGTCTCGCCGTGGATGCAAAGACTGGAAACGAGGAATGCGGGTAAAGCTGTGGGAGGAGACCAGCCGGGGTGTCCGGGTTATAGTTTGAGGGAGCTCGACCGGATTATCGGGATGAGGAACCATCGCAGGAAGATTGCGGCGGCGAAGAAGGAGGCGGAGAGGCTTGTTGGGCAGGGTGAGGTCAAGGGGGATGGGGCTGGGCTGTAGGATTGGTTCGGTGCTCATCGAGGGACTTGGGTGTCATGAGTGTACATCGTCTACGGTCAGGAGTATGCTAGGAAAGCGAGGATTGCGTCAGATGCTACGATCATTTATGTATGAAGTCTACATACGAGCTCATTTGTGATTGGGTCAAGCGTAATTTGCGCTAGTGTACGTCTAGAATCAATCATTTGTCAATCCGTTCCTCACTCAGTCCTGTGTCCATCCCACTGACCTCAAAACGTTCGTGTCTGCGTCCAACTGCACACCTTCACCTCAACATCGTCGGTACACGCCATGGTACCAGAAGTCTCTCACCACCCCCTCCACCGCGCCGACGGCTCAGCATCATACTGCAACAACCTCTTTACCATTCTAGCTTCCGTCAACGGGCCCATCGAAGTCCAACGCCGCGATGAACTCGCTGAGGAAGCAGCAATAGCAGTAAACCTCCGTCCTGCGGCAGGTGTAGGTGGACCACGCGAGCGATGGCTGGAAAGTGTGGTGGCTTCTGTGCTGAGGAGTATTTTGCTCGTGCACATGCATCCCAGGACTTTGGTACAGGTCACTTTGCAGATTACTAAGACACCGGCGCTGAGGATGCAGGGAGCGGTGAGGGATGTGGGTGTTCTGCCAGGGTTGGTTAATGCGGCGTTCTTGGCACTCGTGGATGGCGGGTTGCGTTTGGATTGTTCGGTCGTGGCTACGTTGTTTACGGTCACGGACAGTGGGGTGTATGAGGAGGAGCCGGACGAGAAGCAGTTGGTGGGGTGTAAGAGTGTGCATGCGATGGCTTATAGTCATCGTGGGGAACTGTTGTTGAATGAGTCTGCTGGGAGGTTTCCGTGGAGTGAGTGGGAGGGTGTTGCGGAGAGGGCGGAGAAGACGTGTTTCGCTGCTATGGCGTCGGCGACGGGTGATGAGGAGATGGCGGGAGGGGTGGTGGAGAAGTCGCCGTGGTTGAGACACGAGTTGGAGGAGAGGGCGAGAGTTGCTGTGGCGTGGAGGGAGACGACATGAGCGCTGCGGACTGCACCACGCGAACACTACTACTAGACATCACACCGGACTCGAACGAAGAACGGTACTGGTTGAATTGTGCTGGCACCATCACTGTATCACGGTGATGTGAGAGATGGCTGCCGTGGAGAAGACATGGTACGAGCATCTCCAAGTACTCTAACATGCTCTGGACTCATCAAATCAACCTTCAACGTCTTTTCAAGACTCGAACCGGACACTGGCTGATGCAAACGACCTACACGAGACCTATGAGGATTACGTTGAACCGCTCGCATCGCCGTGAATACGATCCGTAAGGCGGAGTTGACCATGGCTGCTTTCCCATGATGCTGATGCCGATGCTGATGCTACAATATGTGCGTTTATAAAGTCGCTCGAAGAAGACATCCGTAGGGGTCGTCTGATCGGCGATTTGAGAGGAGTGCGACTCGCACCTGCCAGATTTGGCAGCCATGGACATCGGTAGGTATTGACCTCACTTCATCTCATTCAACCACATGGCTTGCATTCCACTCATCTTAATTTTGTGTCGTATCAATTCTCATTTTATTGTCACCACATCATCGACATCATGGGCGGCAACAGCAAAGGCGATGCTTTCATCCAAGCATTCTTCCCACCCACGCCTAACTCCTCTCCCACCACGGCCAGCGTACCATCATCGAACCCTCCACCTGGCGATGGATTCACCTCCGACGAGATAGCAGAAGCATCACGACCGAAGCCAGCTGCACCATGGCAGCCAGCAATCGAGTACGAGGAAAGCGACATAAGCGATCTGTATCCTGGTCCCAAAGCAGTCACCTTCATGGGCCGGGTCTGCAATATCTTCGATCTGGCGAACACTCCGAAGACTCCTCGATCGTCTAAAGGCTGTGTTAAGCTGTGCATCAAGGATGACACGGGTGCCATTACTCTGCGCTTGTGGTATGCTTCAGCGCGGCCTGACCTGGGGCTCGGTACGCTCGTGTCAGTCTGGGCGAATCATGGTAGGTCGTCATTCCGTTCGAGCGTCGAACAGTGACTGATTCATCACAGTTAGTAATGGTGAGAATGGATCTCTCTCCAGTACGACAGCACCGCTGTTCGTCTCACTGTTCCCAGAGCGCGACAGGAGCTGTCATCTCATGATCCATGAGAAAAGTGACGACGGAACGTTGTGCAAGCGCCCTCTAGGGCACCGCACTGGCCAGCCTTTGGCAGGACTAATGACCTTGCACAACTTCATTGATGGCGGTTGTGACATCTCAGACGCCAGAGTGCTTGTGGTAGTCAAGAGCATTGGCGCAAAGGAGCGAGGTTCGCGCGGCTCGTGCTTCGACTGGTGCGACCATGCTAATACAGTTTTCAGTGACACGCAAAGACGAATCTGTGACCGAGAATGTGAATGTCCATGTTCAAGACAACACTGCTGAGGCCACCCTGGGATTATGGGGCTCCGCAGCTCTCTCGCCGTTTGGTCGTATTGCCGATGAGACATTAACGAAGTCGGATGTCATCACGAGAGAACAAGGTTGGAAGGCCGGTGAGACAGTCCTGCTACTCCAATGTCCAGGGTGCAAGCTGAGCCGTACGGTCAGTCTCCTCAGCCTTGTTCCTCGAGGCATATGCTGATCGGATTGTTCCACACTGTAGACCTATCTGTCAGCGACCTCATCTACACTCATCGATCTCAACCCACGCCTTCCTGACGCGGACTGGCTTCGTTCCTGGTCTGCCCGCCAACACATCCGCGCGTCGATCAACCCTACTTTCCCGGTCAACCCTTTCGACCTCCATGCCATCAAATATGGGCCACTTCGCTGTCTCTACACCATCGCAGACCTTGACGAATTTGCTCGTGCAGCACCCAAGGAAACTTTCCAAGGCTACTTAAGCGTTCTGATCACCGAAGTCAAATTGCTCGAATGCTCCAAACGACACATGCTGCTTTGCGGCGAGTGCTGCACCATACCCTTCTTCGCCAATGCCTTGGTCGGGAGGTGTAAGCATTGCGAGTCTGATATACTACTTCGCCTGAACCCGAAACTGATTGCGCAAGTTATGGACGAGACTGGTGTTGCGGGAACCGGAAAGCTTCTGCTGAGCGATATGGCATGGAGGGAGCTCTTAGGAAGAACGGCCGAAGATCTACTGCGGCTGGGACATGGGGCGATGAAGGATCTGGCTGATCGATTGATTTTCACTCGTGTTACACTTCTGTTCGGGTGGACGGGCGACGAGACGAAGGCAGGAGGACGTATCTGCGTGCTGGGTGTGAGAGGCTGATCGGTAAAGGATAGAGCTCTTCATGCTTACATAATGCTGCAGCTCCACCCACCGCTAACAACCGAGAAGCACAGACACTCACTACTTAATTACATACTCCACGAGAAGGTATGGCGATCAGACCACCAAGTCATGTCTTCCAAGTTTGCCAAGTTTGGAATCCCCACTTTGAACGAATCAATCTGACCATGAGTTGCACGTGCATACATTCATCATTCGGCATCTGTACGGTGTGTCAATCTGTTTTGCATAAGTTGCCGGACGTGCCAAGCCCGAATAGTACAGCAACAGACCGCAAGACGCAAGCCACCATGGCGTGGCAAGTGGTGATCAGATTGCTACAGATAGGCGACTACATGTCGGACCGGGACATAGAGCCTCGCCATTACTTCTGGTTACCACTTTCCTTGAGGATCGTCGACGCAAACATTCCAGTGGTGCGATCGTGAGGTAAGCAATATCCGGGACAGTATGCCTTCGAGTCCAGTGTACACTCGTCTCGAACAGTCGCAAAAGCAGATAAGAGTACTCATCATTCAGCCGGGCCAACCTGAGCAGCCCGTGCGATGCGCATTCGACTTCATATCTCTCAAAGGCATCCCAATCCCGCCATACGAGACTGTTTCGTATGCTTGGGGCAAAGCAGTGTTCTCGGAAGAAATCTACGTCAACGACCAAGTCTTCAAGGTCGCGATCAATGCGAAGAATGTGCTAGTGGCCATGCGATACCCTGACAGACAGAGAATAGTCTGGATCGACGCCATATGCATCGACCAGGGTGACCTGGAAGATCGTAATTACTGCGTTCAGCTTATGTGCGAGATCTACTCGAATACGTGCGCAGGCTTTGTCTGGCTGGGTGAAGACGACATCAACGCCAAGCAGACCTTTCGAGCCCTGGAAGAAATGTACGACGAGGCTAGGCTGCAGACCAAAGACTTTGCGACCTTCAAGGAGACTGTCTGGCCGCAATGGTGGAACGTGCACAGGCCGCCGACAAGCGTCAAGTACAATCCGGAAGCGATGGCGCGCATGTTTGAGAAGTCTTGGTTCGCAAGGCTATGGTATGCGATGTTCTGTCTTTGGTCAGTAGCGGTGTTGTATTGCTGACAACATATGTCCCGCCAGGGTTGTTCAGGAAGCGGCTCTGGCACCTGACAGTATATGTCATTGCGGATCAAGCAGCATACCTCTGACGCACCTTCTTCGAGCTGCTGTATGGCTTTACAGTCAGAGCAAGGCCTTGCCGCAGCCTATGGTGCGGACGACTCTTCACGGATTGGCTCGAGCAGTACATGTAGCATCTTATGCGGACTCTATCTTCGAGGTTCCGTTCCAGGCTGAGACCAATCTTCTTTGGATGATGAACACGCTTCGGCAGTACGATGTATCTATGGACCAGGATCATGTCTGTAAGTCGCCATACTCCCACTTTCTACCCAAAGATTCTCGTGCTATTATGCCTTCGCCATGTTTCGGCGGCTGAAGAGAGTCATCGAGCAGAGCACTGTGCAGTCATATTCAAGTAAGCCACTGACGTTTATATACTACAGACAGACTGCTTGGCATGTACCAACGATTCAAGCCTGGCCTCGACGCTCTTCCAGCAGGCATTGCGCCCGATTACAGTCGAGCAGTGCGGGATATCTACTGTGATGCCGCCAAGCTCGCGATGGCAGAGCTGAACAGCGCAGATACTTTGCTTTACGTCTGCCATAGAACGACCGAAGAGGTTAAGACCAATTGGCTGCCCACATGGATACCGCAATGGCAGCGCAAGCAAGATCTCGAAGTCGACTACTTCCCTCTGAATCACAAAGGGTTCCATGCAGGTGGTCCATCGTGCACCGTGGGTTCTAATGTCTTTATGGAGGGCCGACTCGACGTGCTTAGTCTTGAAGGCTTCATTCTGGACGAGATCCATTCTGTCGCGCCAGTGTTTGTGGCGAGTATGCTGGAAAATGCAGAGGGGCTCCTCGTCTGGGTTAAGCACATTGAGGATTTGGTGCCAGGGTCCGACCTTGATAATGGCGATCTAGCGCTGACACTGATCGCTTCACTGTCCCACGCGAGAGCTCTGATGACTCAAAAGCAGGCCCAGGCAGGCTATGCAGCTATCAAGCATTTTATGGTTGAGCACGGCCACTTGCCACGGATCAAGGACAATTACCAAAAGCCAAATGCCAGTATTGCGCATGCTTACCTCGAGGCGTTGAGCAGATGGTCTAAGAACCGTTGCTTTTTCATCACCTGCAAGGGCTACATAGGCATCGGCCCAAAAGTCGTGAGGAGTGACGATGTGGTGGTCATACTACAGGGTTGCAGTGTGCCGTTGGTATTGAGGCATTATCTGCGATCTGAGGCCTCGTACTTTGTAGTTGGGCAGGCTTATGTCAATGGTGTTATGTTCGGGGAGGGGGTTGTAGCGCACAGAGCAAGAGGACGGTGCGACGATATTATGCATCTTGTGTGAAAGAGTCTTGCATGAAAGAGACGACTTGCACTCGAAGGTGATTTCTTGCTAACGATGCTTAAGCGTTATAAGTTCAGAGCTATGTGAGCTATACTCAGTCGAACTCATGACACCATGATTTGAGAGCCATGTGCCTGGGATGGCCCGGTGGCGTTGCCAAGTAACGCCTCCACCCACGCCATCTTCATATGCTCCGGGTTTCGATCGAACACAATAAGGACAGTGATGTGGTCTGCGATTGCTCCACCAGCCACCAACAACCGGGCAGCCTCTATATCACGGCCGGCCGCGGCCCATGCCAGTGGTGAACTACTTCCATCATTGTATATGAGCAGCTTGATGTTCGTCATCTGCTGGACTGCTCTCCTCAACTCCATCACCGCGTCGTTGCTCAGACCTGGAGAATTTATGTTCGGGATGTGTAGCAGAGCAAGTCGAAGTAGCGCATGGTTCGCTTCATCGTCTGGGCCGAACACTTTGTGGAGAGCCAAGTACAGCATCTCAAGTGCACACGCTCTGCTGAGCTCTATGTGGGCCTCTGAAATGGCGTTGAATGCTGAAGTGCCGTATTTGACTATAGCTTCCGTCAGGTCGCTCTCGGCAAGGAGCGTGCCAGTTACAGCCCACAGGGCTTTGACGGCGTTGCAGTCGCCACGTTTGATCGCCTGTAACAATGCCCTGTGACAGCTTGCCCCACGTTCGACGAGACGTGCGACACTGGGTAGGTCATTCTTCGCTACTGACAAGTACAGCTGAGTATCAAGCTCAAGCTGCGTGCCCACTATCCGCGCCAAGCCACGTCTCATACTCGTACGTCGGTTGGAGCTGTTCACGGTCAATTTGGATAGTGAAAGCTGCAGATCTTCGACATCATAGGTTTCTCCATGCGGCTCCGAGAGCCAGGAGAAGATGCTTGGTACGAGGCTAGCGGTTGAATGTCGTCATTTGCGTAGGCTCGGCAAGCTCCTGTGGCTCAAGCACCGTCGTACTCGGGCATGCATGTCTACCTTTGCCGCTTGGATCCGGAGAGCAGTGGCCTGCGAGGCTAGCTCCCGCATGAGTTGACCGTATTTGAGGCGATCATGATCTGACCATTGAGCACGGAGGTCAGCCATGGGATGGTGACCAGTGTACAGCTCGAGGTGGTTGAAGTCGAAGCCACAAGGATTTCCGTCACAGATATCCGAGTGACCTGTCGGAAGGCTACAGCAGCTGTTGAGCGCCACAGTTCGTTGATGTCGATTCAGGGCGTCTTGAGTCACGAACAAGACTTGGCAATGTTCACAGAATGCGTTGGCTTTGGAAAACAGATCCTGTATGTGTTGGTCCAAGTGTTGACGAAGCGCCTTGTCTTCTCTCTCCCAAGGTTCAGAGCAGTACAAGCAGTTCTCAAGTAGACGCTGGTACGGACGAATGGTACTGCTACGATGGTAGGGTCCAGCAACCCGTTTGCTGCGCATGCGGCCCAGCATGCTCCGGATGGATGCCCGAGATTGAGACTGTGTAGAGTGTATGGAGAAGTCATCGTCATCGGTACTCCGCTCGTTGTCAAGCTCCTCGGCAGCTGGTGGGAACCACTCAAGCCAGTCGATGTGGTTTGAGGGTATGGCGTCTAAGTCAAAAAGGTCCCACATCCATGAGTCTGAATCGTCCTGCCGCACGCCACCAGATGTTCCAGATCTCGACTGCATGTGAGTACCCGAGCTTAGGGCTGCTACGCTGCTCATAGCTGTCTCCTCCAGGTCAATCTCAGCATCTGGACTGGTGCAGTCACGTCCGACGACTGCATTATCGTCGCTGGACCTGTACCCTGGAAGATCCACGCCTGAGTCGTAGCGTAGTGATGTTATACTGTGCATAGAAGGAGAGGACGCTGGGCTTGAGGCGTAGTTCGGGACAATACTGCTGGATACTTGGTCGTCTCCTCAACAAAATATGCTACATCACGATGACTACCAAACGTTCCGAACGGCAGGCTTGAGGGCTCATAGCTGAAGTTATCGTCAGGTACCTCAGAGTTGGCGAAGGTCCAGGTGTGTACTTCGGCAGACATGTTGGGCAGAGACAAGCTGCTACCGCCGTATCCTTGGTCGCCGGTACAGCACATTCGATTGCATGCTGGTCTGACTTGATCCTGCGCTTGGGCTCTGGTTGTGGCCTCTTGAGTCCCAGATGCCTCTCATCTTTGTGCCGTTTACGAGTCCCTTCTCTCGCGAATACGCGAGGGCACATATCGCAAGGGTAGTCTTTCACGCCAGGTCCTATACATGACGTCTGGTGCTCGTGCCGCACAAGCGAGCGCTTCTCGGTAAATGATTTGCCGCATCGCACGTAACAGAAGCCGAGTCGAGAACGCTTGTTTGGTCCTGAGCGTGATGAGCCATGAGTAGGCTGTAAGATCGTAGCATTCCCAACAGGCAGATCTTCTTCTTCGTCAATGTCGTCCAGCATGGGCGTCGAAAAGGATCGCGTCTCGAGAAACAAGCCTTCTTCATTTCTGAAGTCCATGGCTTTGAAGGATGGATGTACGGACGGCGCACAAATGCAACAGGCCTACCATTCTTCAATACAGCACCGCCAGTCTTCAGAAGCTACCAGGCCATGATGGTGCATCTCCAGATAAGGCTGAGGTTGTGCACCGCCAAATCGTGGCTCTACGAAGTCCCAAGCGAAAGTGAGTATGCTATCGAACTATGCCAGAAAGTCGTCGAGCTCATAGATGAAAGCGACGATGAAACGCAGCAGGCTTCCTGGTGGCACCGAGATAAGGTCGCTGCTATTCTCGGCATGCATTACTTAAAGGCTGCGATTGCCGCAAAAGCCGACGGCAAAGATCCGGTGTTAACAGTCACTCGACTAAACAGTTTGGCGTATTACCAGCAAGGAGGCAAAAGATACGTGCGAGCATTATATAATTATACGCAAAACAACTATCGCATATTAAGAGTAAAAGTTAGGAAAAGGATAGTATCCTCGAGGAGCGCCTATACCTAAAATATCTAATTATCGTCCTAATAAAGCCTTAAATAGGGTAAAGATTATAATAATAGTCGAGTTAAAGGTATTATTACTTTTAGTATATATTATAATATAGCGTAAGGAGCCTTAGGTAGCTTCCTAAGTATAGGCGCTCCTCGAGGATACTATAACTTTAGGTCTTAGTATACGATAGTTATTTTGCGCACAATTGTACCCCGCGTTGTTTATGGGTTAATAGTTACACGACTATGCAGGCGAGGAAAAGCAGGCGTAGGTCGTATACTTCAAGCCGTCTTTAAAGCGTGCATTGCACCTTCTTAGTAACAATGACCCTTGGAAAGACCAAGAAGCGTACGCTTAGTTGGGTCGTACCCTGCTCTGCGCCAATGACATTCCCAACTCGCGTGTTGCATTGGGCATCACCCTGAGACCACTAGAGCTTATGAATACGGACCGGGATACTGATAGTGCCCAGGGGATAGTGGAAGGGATGGAAGCCGCTACCGAAGCTTGGGATGTCCAGGCTCATGATCAGGAAAACGACGCAGCACAGGGAGAGGAGAAATACGTCGAATCTGAGTTCCACGTTGGAGGGCAGAAGGACGGAGACGACGTAGAGAACGAGCGCGATGAAGACGGAGATGAATAGGGCGAGCAGGAAGAAAACCAAGATGCTGAGAGTCAGGACGCTGCGCATGATAACGAGCAATTGTCGCCCGAGAACTTCAAATATGCTGGATTTCATCAGATGTGGTCTTGCGATGGCTGCACTGAGATTCAGGACGACACTTCCAATCCTTACCAGGAACACCACTTCTGCCGCATCTGCGCCGACGAGTGCTTCTGCGAAAGCTGCATTGTTCTGCTACGGGAGGGCAAATTAGACGCCTACACATCATGCAGTAGCGGGCACGAACATGTTCAGATGTATCCTGTGAGCCCGCAAGCGAAAGACATCACGGATGCTTTGATAGAGAAACGCTTCGAGGCACAGCAAGAATGGTTGAATGAGCTGTGGAAAGTTTGGGGAGATGGTGATGCCGAGAATACGACTGTGTAGGCGGAGGAAAAGATGCCGAAGAATCTGTCCCCAGCCTTCATCTATTGAGCTGTTGGAGAGCCCGGCGACTGAGCATACTGTCACCTCAGCATGCCGCGACTTTTCGTGGAGTGTGACTCTTTACTACGACTGCCGGAGCGATATGAGACAGAGTGTAGCCTGGCAAACCTTAAAACTAGGAAAGATGCAAGATTTGAGTTTGTCTATATACGTCAGACGAATTTGATGTATTCCAAGCCGAGGCTCATAGTTCGATATAGGGAGCTAATGTCTGCTACAATTATACGCGTACCTGTCTTTCCCAAATCTACATTTGACTTAAAGATGCTCTACCTACCCGCCCTTCTTCTTATAGCACTCGCCGCTGTCAGTACCGCTACCGCTACGCTACTTGCTACCAATAGTCGCATTAGTTAACCAACCACATAGTTAAGGGGGGTTACTAGTTAACTAGTTAAGGTTTTGGTAGCGCTATAGTTAACTAGTTAAGGTAATCGCTATAGTTGCGCAACTATAGTTAAGGTAGTATAGTAGTATAGTTTCTCGGTAATGTCGACTACTAGCTATTACGAACATATAATATAGGGTGTAGAGAGAGAGAATAAGGACTAGTTATTTTAGCCTTAAAGGGAAGCGCTAAGGGCGCACCCGCGAATTACGTAACTAGCTAACTTTACTAAACCTTAGATAGACACGTAACTAGCTATCCGACTAGACGAGTAGTCTAGCGGACTAATAGCTAGTTAGAACACGAATCTCTTATATATATAGATAAGCCCTTTCCTATATAGATAGTTCGTATTTAACCTAAGTTACTAACCCGCCGAAAGGTTAAACCTTAGAGTAGTTACTTACCCGACCTATCGCTTAGAACTTACTCGTCTAACGAGCTCTAACCCCCTTATACCGTAGGTATATAACATTTTAAATACCCTTATAGTAGGTAAGTACCCTAAGTAAATAAATAGCTCCTAATAACGAAAGAGACGTTAGTATAGCTTCGACTACTCGAGCTAGTACCTCTACTAATAAAGATAGAATAAAGTATTCCGCTAAACCGGACTTCTTCTATAGAGATCGTAATAAGCTCGATAATTAGTTAAACTAGATTATACTATACTTCTCCCTTAAAGGTATTATAAGCGAATAACGACGCTACCGTATCGTAGTATCCTACCTTTAAGGCGAAGCTTAAAGCTAGATACGTCCTAAGTTAACTATAGTCCTACTCGAGAATAGAGACCTAGACGGGATCTTTACCGACTTCTTAGAGTTCGCTAAGTAGGTTAAGAGAATCTATAGACTTAGTAATAACTAGTAAGTCGCTATCTAGAATATCTAATACGTTATATAGAAGGCCTCTATATTCTAGTATACCGCTAAGTTTAAGAAAGTTTCTACTCGTACTAGATAGGACAGTAATATATTAAGATCTATATACTATTAAGGACTTAAAAATAACGTTAAGGATAAGCTTATAAGATACGGAGGACGCTAAGATACCTTAGAATACTTATAGAAGGCTATAATTAAAGTAGATAATATACTTTACGAATAATTTATAGAAAAACGTAATACTAATTAGGACCGCGGACGAACTAGCTATACTCCCTACGGCTAGACTAGAGGATAGTAACGTCGCGACCCTAATACTATAGAACTCGACGCTACTTAGCGTAAGTTTAGAGGAGGCAAATCTAATAGAGTAGGAGGTAAGGGTAAGAACTACGCCTAGGGTAAGAAGTAAGGACTAAAGTACTATTTATATAAAAAGAAAGGATACTACGTACGAGACTACCGTAGCCGTAAGGTATAACTATAGTAGAACTATAGGGCGGATCTTAGAGAGGTTAACGCTATAGAGATTAATGTTATAGAGCGACGTAATCTATTTACCGAATATATTTAGAAAGCTATTAACGTTATTTAGTTAGAAATATACGCTAATAAGGAATTAGCTAATAGTAACGCTATACGACAAACGTAATCTAAAATTACTAATATAATAGGCTTAATAAGAAAGCGATACTTTAATCGTAAGGACGAAATTATTAAATAGAAAAATAAGTTCTTTAAACTACTCGGAACGGTCTCTATAGACGATATCTATATTATCTACGATATAATAATAAAGATTAGAGGAAGTATTAGAAAGGACCTAGATAACGAATATAAATAACTATACTAGATAGGATATTATAACGACTCCTATACGACTTACTACTTAAGTAAGGTAGACTTAGGATAGTTCCTAAGTAAGCCTCGTCGAGAGTTTAATTCGACGGAATTATAGGGATCTAATAGTACTACGTATTAGCCCCCTATATTCGAACTAGTACTAGTTCGCTAACGGCAACTATAGTAGAATAGAGACGATAGTATTTACGCCTAAGGAAGGTCTCTACCTCTACTTAGGTAGGAGGATATAACCCTATAAGAAATATAATAACCTTAGGAGGAAGAATCTAATAACGAAGAAGGATTAAGATAGCTAGTCGTAATATACGATTAAGGAAGCTTTACGCTAATCTCTATTATACTAGACTCTAAGGACGGTTACGAGGATACGCCCGAGTTATTAGAATACGAATATACCGATAATAATAATAATAGCGATAATAAAATACTTAACTTTAGTATCGACGTACTAGAACTAATTAGATAAATAATTCTTATAATAGTTAGATAATACGAGGAAGTCTTCTTAAAGATATAGGGGAAACGACGACTATATCGAAATAACCTCGACTTACTACTTAATAGCCTATAGAGAGGGTTTTAGAACTACTAATAAGTTAACCTCGATAGAGGATATTACTATATATAAGATATACCCCTAATAGGAAGTAAGTTCGATAGGTCTAGAGAATATTACGCCCTAGACGGGATCTATATTAGTAAGAATATACGAGACTATATTAAGGTACTTATATAGCGATTCGACGAGATCTATATAATATAGGAGAACTAGTAGAACGATCTTATTATAGAATAAGAGATAATCTAATAATATAAAACTACGTTATATAAGTAGTTATACGCTATAACTTATAGGATCCTACTACTACTAGTATAGAAGGGATAGGTTCTTAGTAAACTATTACTATTAACTAAAGGACTAGTATCGATAAGTATCGAATAAAGAAGAATTATACTATAGCCTAAGGACGGACCCCTTAGTTAGAAAGTCTACCTTAAAGACTCTAAGCTTCTAGTAGCTTAAGAGATAAAAAACTAGGAGAGCCTATTAGTAAGAATAGATTATAGGAACTTAATAATATAAATATTTAATAGACTTTAGTAATAGTCCTACGTACTAAATATATTATATAAGGATACGAAATAATAGTAATAATCGACTCTAGAGCTAGCGGAATATTTATATTAGCCTAGTTTATATAACGATACGGGATCGTAACCTAAAGAAAGAAAGATAGCGGGTACGAGCTAATAGCTATCGATAGCTTATCTCTACCCGACGTAGATAGTAAAACGATACTACTATCTCTAATAATATAATAGTACTACGAGACGATAGTCCTAGATATCGTACCTATAGCTAGATACGATATCGTATTAGGTACGCCTTAGTTAGAACGTTATATAAGGTATCGTACTATATCTATAGTATCCTATACGTAACCGTAGGGGGACCGTAGGCTATCTATAGTTAACCTAGGTTATATAATATATTCCGGCCCTCTATAGGGGGTCCGTAGGGTATCTAATCCGGACACCTAATAGAATATATTAGCTCCCGTATTAAGCGAAGGGGCTAAGGAGAGGAGATAGAGGAAAAGAAAGTAGAGACTTCCTTCTCTTCTACTCCTTAAGTTTACTATCGTTACTATCGTACTAGATACCGCGTACGTACCGCTAGCGTAGCTAGGGTACGTACGGCGAGTACGCTCTTCGATTTATCCCTACCCTCTTCCTTGCTATAACCCCTTCGTCGTAGCCGTATCCCCTACGTAACTACGCCGGAAACCTTATAGCGTATTCTACTAATATAGCTAGATACCGTAAGCACTAGAGCCTATGCTCTTACTATTATAGCTATAATATATTAGCGTTAGGAATACTAAAGAGTTTAAGCTCGAAGACTTACTTATAGTAAGTGCTATTAAATAACGCTTAGCTACGTGCCTTCGCCGTAATATTAAAGAAGTAGAAGCTATATCTATAATAAAAGCTCTTTAAGTAGCTAGTTTAAGGCGTACTCGATATTTAAAGCCTTAACGTAATCCTTAGTTATAATAAGGGGCTTTAATATGCTCCCGAGGACTGTTTCGAATTAAGGAGCACTATTGTCTGAGTTCCACGATGTTGTAGAATATAGTTCGTGAACAGGGAATCTAACCCTTGTTGGTGGCGGCGGAGGGTCTCGCCCGGTCTCCGGGTCAATATAGCTCGCGCCAATGCCTAGAGCTAAGCTATCAGTACCTTCCTCATCATTGTAGATATTCTTAAATGGGTGGCAGATCGAACGTCGTCTACGCGGCTTTGCCTTCTTCAGTGTCTTCCCCGCAAACCAGGGAGTGTGAGCCATTCTTGGGTGGGGAGGTGACTCATATAGAAGCCGACATTCGTATCGGGAACACGCGATCTCGGACTTGCCTGAACCATGTAGAAGTCATGAAGTGAATTGAGGCTTGTGCCGTGTAGCAGGCGCCTTGATGTGTGCCTTCCCAGGCTGGATCGCGCCTGCCTCACTGCTTCGTTCTTGCCTGGCATCTGCATCCACACGTCTCGACGGCTCAACCGCCGGTAGGATTCCGAAGTGAGAATTCAACACTCACCGATAGCGAACATCCTGCTGGTTGTCAATCAACTTGAAGGTAATTCTGTCCGTGAAGTCGGGCGGAGACTGGGAGCGAAAGAGAGACCTTTTCTGAACCTCATGCAATCTACAAGTACGTCAACGCAGCGTAGATGGACCAGGAAGCTGAGCACCACGCATGAGGAAGGGAGTCGTGTACATCACAATTGCGAAGCGCAGACAGCAATGGAAAGAGAAGAGATGCGCGATGTATCACAAGTACAAGCGAGCGGTATTAGCGCCCGCTGCAAGGTACCATTTTGTGCGAGACTTACAACCGCGGTCCGAATGCTCTAGGTACAATGATTGCATGAATCTTGATGGGACAATTCCAGAGGATACAGCCTCAAATCTCATGTAGAAGGCTACCGCTTGTCTGCGGGATACAATATACCATTCTGCCTCCTCAGATCCGATGTAACCTTGATCACGATCTTGCTAATCCGCTCCAAATCCTCAGCAGCCTTAGTATCCTTCTCGTTGATGATCCGCGCAAACTCCACCAACTCCTCCTCCATATTGACATTCGGCTTGTCGACCGTCTTGAACGGACCGGCAAGCTCTTCGCTCTTCTTCGTCTTCGGATCCAAATACTTGATCGTGCTGATGTCCGTGGTAGCATTGATCGTGAGCGTGCCCTTCTCACCATACACTTCGCACGGTGCCGAGCTGTTGTAGCATTTCGAGTGGTTTATCTGGACGCCGAAGCCTTCGTAGCGGAGGATGATCACTCCACCCCCGTCGACACCTGGTCGAGTGACATACGGTACGTATGTCTGCTCCTTGGGTGCGCCAAACAAGGCGATGGCGAAAGCCACAGGGTAGACGCCAATGTCCACCAGACTTCCGCCGGAGAATTCGAGGTTGAAAATGTTGGGGACCTCGCCGGCAAGCACGTTATTGTACCGTGACGAGTATGATGCGTACGTGAAGCTTGCGCCATATATTGGACCCAGTCGCTTCTCCTCATTGACCGACTTCTGTAGAAGCTTGTAATTCGCCTCTTGTATGTGTCTGAAGGCCTCGATCAAGAAAACACCCTCCCCTTTCGCGATCTTGAACAGATCGTCAAGCTCTTCCGGTGTAGACGTGGCCGGCTTCTCCAGCAAGACATGCTTCTTGGCCTTCATGGCTTGCTTCGCTTGTTCATAGTGCAGGCTGTTGGGTGAAGCTATGTACACTGCTTGCATCCCACTGTCGCCGAAAAAGCTGTCAAGGGAGGAGTAGGCCGTGGAGCAGCCATACTTCTCACCAAACTTCTTTGCTTGGTCTTCGGATCGTGAGTAGACTGCATGGAGCTTCCACTGTCCATGTTTGTGTGCAGACAGGATCCAAGACTCTGTGATCCAGTTCGTGCCAATGGTACCGAAGGTAATAGTGGCCATGATAGGACAAGGAGAGCGGCAGACAGGAGAAAGGACCTCTTTTTCTCGAAGGTACAGAGATTGTGCAGAGTACTTACAAGGACTATCGATCACGTTTCACAGCATGTGTTTGGCCGAATATCATGTTTGTTGAGATTGAGAAAGCGCGAGGTGGAGTTCGTTGGCCTTGGCATTCAAAAGTTACTTCTATATACGACCGTCGGCACAGCATACCTCACAGCAGTATATTACTGCTTGCCACGCCTCTTCTTGAAATCTTCGATCCATTGCGACGCTGTCGACTTTGCTACCACGTTAATGCTTACCAACCCATCCACAACCTCCACCTTCCCAGTGCCCAGAAGTTTCGACAAGGAGAGATTCTTGCCGGCCTTGATCAATCCGCCTATCGAGGTCTCCATGTAGCACTCCACAGCTGCTGGGTTGTACTCCTGTGTCTGATCCCAAGGTGGAGGTAAGATGTATTCCAGATGTTGTGATATCGTTTCCGTCTCCGCGAATGCTTTCACAAAGTCACTCTGTGCATGCAACGGGTACAGGAAAATGACAGGCAAACTTAACAGACTTCTGGCATCTGATGGGTCGGAAAGCTGTACTTTCGCATCCTCCATATCAGGCGCTTTGCTAGTCTCGCGAGCGATGATATTGCGTTCACGCATCGCAAGTCTCAACGTAGCGCGCTCATTTGCTTCACGCTCTTCACGCTTCCTTCTTGCATCCTCCAGCTCGACGAGGTGATCACGCCGCCTCTCGATACGTGTCAAGAGAGTCTGCAGAGCCGTATTTGTTGGATCAAATTTCAAGCCACTTTGACAAGCATCCAGTGCTTCAGGCATCTTGTCCAGTGCGAGACAAGCAGACGCAGCTCGATACCAAGCCTTGACGTTCCGCGGGTTGAGCTTCAGTGCTCCTGCGCAGTCTTTATTACACGAACCATAATTCTCTATCCAGCCCGGAGGCCATTGGTCAGTCATGGCGCATGGTATCTGTTCAAGTAGGCAGAGATACTCATCTCGAGATTGCAGAGCGCACGATTAGCATAGCATGCCTCTGCAGCATCATTCTCCTTCTTTGCCTCCGCTTCCTCATCTATCTCGACAACTTTCTCGTTAGATGTTCCCTCAGTACCCGGTTGCGGGACCTTGGGACCCTTCAATGCCACTAGTGCTTTGGTGTAGAATTCACGAGCATTCATCCATTGCTTAGCCTTGACGCATTCGTTGCCTTGGACCCGGAAGTTGTCGGCAATTTCAGCACGTGTTCCTTCGTAAGCAATAGCTTTAAGTGCTTGAATCATGTCGTTATCTTCATCCATGTCGTCCATACTAGTCATGAACAGCGGCACCTTCTTCATCTCAGCAATGAGCTCGTCGGCGGTCTTTTGCTGGATGGGAGGTGGCTCCGCGGAAGCCGTAGAAGCGGCGCCATCCTCCGTAGTCATGATCGTTTGCTTGAGTGAAGGAGTTGAAGAGATGGTTTCCAGCTCCAGGTACAGCTAGATTCAGCCAGTGCTAGGGGGAATCTGGATGTCGTCGTACACCAGGCTTCTGGACGCGATTCTGCAATAGGTACAAGACGTCTACCAGTGCAGAAAATGTAGTTCCAGATACCGAACACGACTCGCTGGCGTTCCGGTGACAGCACGCTTGTGTATAAGTGCCGGAAGGCTATGATTACGACTCAGCGTGGTATGCTAGGGTAACGTCGCTTCCCATGTGTTGAACGAGTCAGTGGAGTCGGTACTCCAGATTAGCCTCTTCAAGGAAGTTTTTGTATCGGCCTCAGGCATACACGTTTTGCCGACTCTTCTTTTGTTTCCTATTGCCATTCCATCTGCTACGGACGGCAGTTGCACACTGTCCATCGACGTATGCACGAGCTACAGTACTTGGGTGCGCAGCTGCTGTCTCACCAGACCCGGAGGTCTACATGCACGAGACCTGCACGCACTACTCATGTTGAACAGCTCGGCATTTCGAGCAGTCGGACGCGATGCGCTTGAGACGCGTGGGCGATGCCGTCTCATTTGCTTACTGCTTCTAGGCCTGCAGTGAGCACACGCATCCGCGCTGATCACAACGCAGCAACGCCGCAGCAATCTATTCTGCTGTGACTTCACTGTTTGTCACACATTGATATTGTGCCTCGTGCTTGCCGTGCACCTCTCGCCTGCCGCTTCTCCATCCACCTCGGTCTGGTTGGTCGCTGTGATGCAACACCAACAGCCAGGATCCGCTCGGGAATTATGCTCAGCTTTTACCTTTGCTGCCTCCATACTTTTTCCAAGGCTGTTTCGTTCTTTCGTGGAAATGGGAGGACCCCCCACTTGGCCTGAGCTTATGCACAAGGAACTTGTGGCCCGCGCCACTACGCTGGGAGTTGGTGCGTCCGGATAGAAGCGCCATGTCGCGTCGAGTAAGCGTGGACCCAGCAAGCTCGGAGCCCCTGGCACTACTGCAAAGTTACCGCAAGGACGGCAGACTGCCCGTTTCGATGAGGAAACTCTGGAGCCACGGCTCTGTTGCGATACGGCGCAGAGGCCTATCAGATTTCATGCGGAGAGCATCCTCAATCAATAATTGTTATTTCATCAAGCGGAGCTATCTGACTGGCGGTGCCAGGCCGCCACGCCCCATCGAGTTTCTGGCAAGCATGAGCGATGGCCAATCGATAAATGATCTACATTACCCACGGATGGGCGAAATGAGGAACTAGGGGATTGCCTTTGTCCTCCAAGTAGGCCTATGCACGCCCGTCGTAACGGACAAGGATAGCAGAAGCACTCTTACTTCGAGGCATCCTTGTTCCTCGCGATCACGGTCATTTCTACATTGTGCTTGCAGTCTTAGTAGTATGGTCTAGAGTACGGAGGGATCTCAGGACAGTGAGGACAACGACATTGTTGGATTTCGGTTCAACTATAACGACCCTGTGGAAAGTGGATCAGGATCTGTGGACCACGCTCCGTGTGCCGTCAGAAGGTGAGACGCCAGATGCCATCTGTAGAGGAAGGTGCCGCCCAAGACAAGATCGTCGAAAGCCTAACCTTCCGCCATGTGGATTGGCTTTTGTATGCACCCAATTATGCATTGGCTAACGAGCGATGCGATGCAGTTACTTCGACCACTGCTCTCACGACACATTCTCTCCGACAGGACAAACTTCTTCGCTGCTTGAAGGATACACTTGTCGTCAGCTTGCAGGACATGCTCATGCGGTAGCCTCTTGGCCACAATGTCACTCATTTAGCGAAGAGTATGTGTTCGATGAAATGTGATGTTGCACCAGCTGGACTAACGGAAGATAGACACTGCCTCGGACATTCCTTACTGTAGATGTAGCATCTCGCGCCAGTGCTTGACAGTTGTACATATCGGGATCTGGTTGGGCGCTCTTGCGAAAGGATATCAATATCATGGCAGATTATTTCAGCGAGTATTCGACCTTCGTCGGGAGTAGAGGACTCCCATCCCCAGCCGACACTCCTTATGAAACGCCGGCATTCATACGATCAAAGCGGTCGTCTCGCGCGACGGCTGCATCTTCGAGAGAGCAGTCTACATCACCGCCACCACTTCCTCCAGATGCTGTCGACTACACAGACAAGAATCGGGAGGGTAGATACTCTGCACTGGACCCGCGACGATTCACTCCGACGTTACACGCCTCATTGGTGTCTGAAATCCTCAACCTGCGCAGAGAGCTTGACTCCAAGAACACATTGGTGGAGAACCTAGAGACCAATCTAGCAGGGACCAGGAACGACAATGAAGCTCTTACCGAGCGCGTTGCGCAGCACCAGAAGGAGGTACGAAAAGCCAAGCAACAGTTACAACAAATGGAGTCAGGAACGTACGATGCGGTGGAGGAAATGGGCAGAGAGCGAGATCTTGCAAGGCAAGCTGCAGAAGACCTGAAGGGTAAGCTGGAAGTGGTGACGAAGAAGCATCGGCGGCAGGATGAAGATGCTGCGCGTTCGCAAGGTCTATGGGAGCAAGAGAAGGAGAGCTGGGACAACGAGCGCCGTCAGCTTGAGAGACGAGTCCATGTGACAGAGAACAGGCTGCGTGTGGTTGTGGACGAGATGTCTACAACTATATCGGATCCTCCTGCCATGTCAGTCGACGAAGTCGACGAGAGCATGTTCAAGGACAGTGGGTTTGGCAATGAGAGTGATACTGCAAGCATACAATCAGCGACACCAGTCAAACATAGGCGTAACATGAGCAGCATCAGTTTTCGTGACAGGAGTTTACGAAATTCAGCGTCAACCCGTGCCTCAGCTGGCACGCCGGACTTGCAAGCGAAGCAGCATGGTCACACCTTAGCGGACGAGCTGGACATCGATGAAGAGGACGAGTACGACCTTGACGAATTTGAGCATGCAGACGACGAGCTCGAATATCCTGAGCCGAAGCGTGTAACGCGCTCTGGAGCCGAGATCGAGTCCAAGGCGAAGCGGATACTAGGTCTTGATACTGAGCTGCCTGATTCTATGAATGTGGAGTCGCCTCGGAAGGATACTTTTAACAGAGTTGCGGAATCTGCGACCATCTTGCGCCAATCTCAAGTAGCCGAGCCATTATACCCGTTGACTGATGGACTTGAGAGCAGGCCGCGCGCCATTTATGTGGACACTGGGTACCAGCCATCTCCGCCGCCTTCGCCGCAGCACAGTACACCTACGCCAGCCCAACAACCAATTCCATCAATCCTGGAGCCAAGCTCGACCGTGGAGGCTGGTGTACAGACTGAATTTCGTTCACTCACGGAGAAGCATGCCCTGGTAGTCAACCCACCAATCTCAGCTTCACCTATCAGCCCCCCTGAGACGCCAGTCATAGCTCAGTTAACCTGGCCAGAGACTCGAAAGGCAATACCAGCAGCAAGCTACGCCACAGCGGCGACGCAGACCGACGTCCCTGTGCACGACCGGCCAGTCACACCAGACCTGAAGCGAAGCAGCCTCAGCCCTCCCGATTTTGTGCCGTCCATTGCAATCCATCCGCCAACCTCCAGGCCGAGCTCTCCAAGAAGATATGTCCTACCTCCTGGTACCAAAAATGCCTCGGCACAGACAAATCTGCCATGGCCTGGTCGCGACGCCTCTGTCCAGACAGAGCCAATTCGAGTCGATAAGCGTGTTCGTCTTCTCCCTGCAAGCTTACAACCATCTAACATCAACACCAGCAATAGCGGACTCCTACCCTCGCCCACCTTCCCAGAGATCCCCAGACCTGCCAAGCAGCGAACGGCAAATGGAGGCACTGCTATCATCTTCACAAAGTCGGCTCTGGAGTCTTGCATACCTTCGCCCCCACTGCAGTCCCCCATCGAGTCCAGCCCAGAGATGCCAAGGAACCAGAGCTCGAAGAGTCTACGAGATTTACCTTTGCGAGCTATCCCACTTGGCAGACCTGTGTTGGCACCTCCACATTCACAGCTCGGTGCTGTCGCTGATGGACCTTTGAACCGGTCATCTCAATATGGTGTCACACGACCCTTGCAGACGAGCAGCCACCTCGCCAGCATTGACAGAGATTCCGACGATAGCGAAGACGATGGTGCTGTCAGCGACCTGGATGCAAGTGACATTACTGGGTCGATGCCTGTAATCAGCCGAGCACCACCTGGACGCTTTGGTCTCTCGAATCCACCAAAGGTGGTACCTGAGGATAAGGAAGTATCGCCAGACAGAAGACCAGGCACCGCAGGCTCGTATGGTGCGGCACCAGCGCCATCCGTGGCTAGCAGTCGTGCCAATTCGAATGCCGCTGGGAAACGAACAGTTCACAAATTCAATCACCAACGCGATTACCGCTCGCGCAGTCCCAGCTTTGGCAGCGCCATTTCGAGCACGTATTCCACTCAATCTATCGCGCCACCATATCCCATACCGAGGAGATCGAGCTCGCGAGTCGTGGGACATGCTGCAAGTGAAGGCTCACAAAGTCCAACGCCACATCATGTCCAAAGCGATGTCTTTGGTCGTGGCGGTCTTCGATCTTCTCGAGGGTATCACACGCGCCAAACCAGCTTGCGTAAAGTGCAATCGGCGGCAGCGATTAAAGGCGGCAGACAGTCCCCGCCAAAGAGCCGCTTCAAGCGCTCGCCAGATTTGACACCAATTCAGTCTATGGCATTCGACACGCCAGCGCCAACGAGGTTTCCGATACCAGAATTGCCTACGCCACTTCAGGAACAGAGAGGCTTTCACCTCCCCAAAGGCTCCACTGACACCACAAGACGTCCTGATACAGCTACGTCGAATGGGCGGATGTCGGAAGAGACCGATCTCGTAGACGCTATCGCTGGAACGATGGTTGGCGAGTGGATGTGGAAGTACATTAGAAAGCGGAAGTCTTTCGGCTTGGCTGAGGAGACCAACGACTTCCCACACGAGAGCATTAACGGCGCGGTCAGTATTACCAACCACGGAACACGCCACAAGCGCTGGGTCTGGCTGTCGCCGTATGAACGCACTGTTATGTGGGACAGCAAGCAGCCAACGTCTGGCGGGGCATTGTTGGGCAAAAAAGGGCGCAAATGTGAGTTACGTGCTATGAAGATCTTGCAATATATCCTAACTTCTTCCAGTGGCCATCCAATCTGTGCTAGACGTCCAGGACAACACACCACTGCCCAAGGGTGCCGAACTGACTTCTGCCTTTAATCGCTCTATCCTTGTACTGACACCCCAGAGAGCCTTGAAGTTCACGGCCACTACTCGCGCGAGGCACGAGCTATGGATGACAGCTCTATCCTTCCTCGCCCAATCAGGTCGCTTACCTGGCCAGATCCCGGCAGCTCCTTCATCTGTAGCGCCACAGCCACCTCTGCCTTCTTTCGAGCCAATAGCAACGAAGCAGCAACAGGCTCCAGCATTCGGCCGTGCCAAAGTACGAGATTCGGTACGACTTGCAAAGGGCAAGCGTCCTGTCTTGTCTCATTCGGCAACACATCCAGCTATCGCGAATTCGAACCCTGTTGATGAACAGCCCGTTGATGATGGCGCCGACTTCCCTGCCGTGCCTCGTCTATACGTTGGCACGATAAAACATCAGCGGAAGCGCAGCAACACGAGCCCGAGGCTACCACCGCCACTCCACAACCTGCGAAGCGTCTCCTCCAGCGCCATCGCATCCTCCAGCAATTCATCACGGCTCCATCCGTCGATGACCACGGGCTCGTCGGGTCGTCACGATATGCGCAGCTCCTCGTCTCGAAGTGGTAGCCAGCACGGCTCAGGCGCCAGCCCGACCTCACCGAACTTCTTCGAGGCCGTCGGTACAGTCCGCATGGAAGCCTTCGTCGACCCGAGTGTGCGCGATGGAGTACTGTATGTGCCAGCGCCGCCTCCCGCCACTTCCACACCCCACGGGTCACGCAGGAAAAGGGGTGATAGTCATCTCAGCGTGTCTACTTTCGAAAAGCGTCGAGCAGGACTTGTGTTCGACGAGCATGGGTTGGATCCGTTCAAGGGCTTCTGAGAAGCTCAGTGCCGTGCACTGGCGATGGTCTATATATATGGGTGGCGTAAATTTGACTAGAAAGACTTAGCGAGCGATCGCCTTTATTGTGTTTATACCCTTTTGTTTATCGATGTGTAGATAAGATGTACAGATTACATCATTGACTACGATGCACTGGTCTACGCTTCTACCATATGGTGTAACGCTATGCTCACGATCTGCTAGGCCTCCAAGCTCCGCAAGCCCTTCCAGAAGAACTCCTCATCTACCAGTTCCCCTGTCAGAGGGTGAATGCCGTACTTCGGGACAATACCTAGGCTGTTGTATCCAAGTTTGCGATAGAATTGTTCCGCACCCGAGCCAATGGTTGTGTCAAGCATCTGGAGGTAGTCAGTGAGGTCAGGTCGGTATCTGCTGGATGGAATGTAACGATCTCACGTACGACTAAGTCTCTATGTTTCTCCAACGCCACTTCCTCTAGCTTCTCCATTAGGCGTCTAGCGATACCTTTGTATCGATGATCCGGGCTGACTAGCAGCTTCTCGACCAGACTCCGAAAGGGCCCAGTCTCACTTGGTGGCATCGATAGACTCACGACACCCACAACTTCTACCTCGTTGTTGTCAGCGTACTGGAGTATGATATCTCGGGAGCCTTCTTCGACTTGTTGACTGCGGCTGAGCCAGTACTCGACGAGTTTCGTATGGTCCATAGTCGTTTCGGCCCCTTTCCAGACCGGAAGGAAGGTTGCCAGAGTGCCATCTCGAAGTACACAGGCAGCATGAATGGAAGCGAATTGGTGGATGAGAGGTTTATGTTTGGCAGGGTCGTATGTGGTGGGAGCTGGGAGAGCCATGGCTGGAACTCACAAGGAAATCTTTGCGATGTGAAGTCTTCAATATCAACATCAGACACCTAATCCAATTTATACATGAACCGGGACGTTGGTCTTTAAGTCGGCCTAAGGCACTGTTGGCTACCTGCTCCGTGCCTGATCGTCGACGATGACTAACCGCATGTGTCCACCGCGTGTGCCTTTGAAGACTGGACGACGATACGTTTGTTGTCCAAAGCAAGTGAGGTGATTCGTGATCCAATCGACGCTTAGCACAGGCGAGCGGGATGCTGTTGGAAGACGGCGGAAAGATCAATGTTATCGACACCCTGGTTCTGAAGAGCTGAACGTGTGAGCCGTTCGATCAAATCGGTCAAGCTCACCAGCAGAACGTTTCGACCATCGTGACGAGGTCGCGGGATGCCCAGCACTCCTGGAGAGCTTGATGTATAAGTGGCATGCAGACGCTTCGTTTGTCTCTGTCGTAGCTGAACCACGATGACTCCTTGGAGGATGCATGAGGCAGCACTGTGGCTGAGCCCCAAGATCGATCACAAGGGTACACGGAGCGGTCCATGGATGCCGATCCTTCGGACCAGACGGAGCATGTGGCTTGTGTTTCAGATGCGCCTGAACCATATTCAGTAACACTACTGTGCGTACAGCGCTACTCTCTATGTCTGTGTTGTCACACAGGAGGATGGTACCTGCGTGAAGCGAGGCGTAGTGCATGACAATAGTGTCCACTGAAGAATACAACAATGTATTATACCCAGCTATCACTTAGGCAACGTATTACTTCACAAAGGGCGACAACAGAAAACAATTGCCGTCTCTAAAGGTGTTCTCACGCGACCCTCTGATCGTGTCGCTGACCCACAGTCGCTGCTGGTATCACAAAGGGCGTCCTCACGCGCCTGAACCTACATAAGAAGGACTACATCACCGATCGTTCAGAACTCATAGATACCATCCTGGCATCCCTTGCTTGCCTCCAAACGAGACATCAAGCTGGACTCTATACCAATAACGCCTTGGGCGTTTTGGAGTCCCGGTACCATGAATCAAGATGTCAGCGATGATTCAAAGACGCCCGTGCTGGTGGAGGGGAGTCGAGAAGGAAGCAGAACGCGAGCCAGGTTTGACAGACGGTCACGGTTACGAGACCAGGCAGACGAGATGGGTACCAGTGTATCGACTTTAGCGGCTTCGCCTAGCCCTGCTCATCCTTCACGGACGCCCAGTCGACGGAGAGCTGAGACGCAAGACTCTGAGAAGGCAGGACGAATCTGGGCCAGGGAGGTAGACAATGCATGGTGGCCTTGTATACTGGCACTCGATGGAGGAGGGATCAGGGGGTATAGTAGTCTGATGATTATGAAGGCGCTCATGCACGAGGTTTGGCTTTGTGAGGAGAGGTTGGATAGGGAGGAGGCAGAGCTCGATGGTAGAGAACAATCAGGAATCGATTCGCCAGTGGAGATGAACGATAGTGAGAGTGGACAGGCGAAAGCAGGTGCCCATTATGTTGAGAGCCAGAGGCTACCTACAGGCGTGACTGATCGGCAAGAGTTGAGCTTGCGAGATGAGACGGAAGCAATAGAGATAGAGCGCATGCATGGTGTCCGGTCATCGTCTCCGCACCCAGCACAAGCAGAAAGTGCTCCAGCACGGCACACCGCGCGACAAGACAACTTGACTGCGGACGTGAGTACCAAGAAAGCCATGTCCGAGGAAGAGCTTTTGCCATGCCATTATTTTGACTTCATCTACGGCACATCGACTGGTGGCCTCATAGCAACGATACTAGGACGTTTACGCATGACCGTTTCAGAAGGACTGGAGCTGTATCGCAAGGTTGGCGAGGATTTATTCGGCAAGCGACGATCTCGCGTACCACTTATGACAAAGTACTACCATCAGCCGCTAGAGAAGGCCGTACAGGACATCGTGGGAGCACGGTGTCACGAGCACGAGAATTGCAACGGCAAGGACGATCTCCACCCATGGGACACCGAGCAGTTCGACGATATCCTGCAACGAGCCATACCCTTTGATGTCGATCGTCCACGAGTATGCCAGTCTTGCTGCTTAACCGCCACACACGACGAGAACATCTCGGAAGCCTACCTTCTCAGGTCCTACCCACACTACTACACTGAGACAGCACCGAATTGGATCACCCGTTACAATGAGGGTGCTGATGAACTTCCCATCTGGAAGGTAACACGTGCCACGAGTGCGGCACCGTTTTACTTTGATATGATCAGTCACGAAATCGACGGCATCACGAAGTCGTTCAAAGATGGTGGTATTCGCGAGAACAATCCTAGCGGTGCCGCTCTGAGCGAGTTCCACGCACTGCATGAAGGGAAAGCTGAGAGTCCTGCTCTGCTACTTAGTATCGGCACCGGACGTCCAGACAGTTCTCAAGACGGCTTCGCAAGTAATTGGCCTGGTCCTTTCGGTCGTGTGCCCATCGTCGCCAAATTCTTGGAGAAGCGAGCAGTAATCCAGAACCTGTTAATCAAGTACACCGAAGGCGAGAAGCAGCACCATCAGATGCGTGAGCATGCTCATGGCGAAAATACATGGTACAAACGTCTCAACGTCTCCACAGGCCTCCAAAACATGCCTTTAGATGACTGGCGACGAGGAAGGTATGAGGATCAGCAAGGCGTGCCTGGTGGGGCTAGTCTGACGCATATGAAGACCGTGACTGAAGAATATTTAGAGCGAGGGTTCGATCCAGAAGTGGACTCATATGCGCCGCCTAAGGTTATGTTGAAGCAGGCAGCGGAGAAGTTAGTCAGGCAGAGGAGAGCGAGAGAGAAGATGGGAGGTATGAGGTGGGAGACTTTTATTGGGAAGTACTTGCATAAGGTACCTGGCGAGGAAGATCCCGCAGCGAATGATTGATCTGGAAGAGTCGTGATGTATGTCTGGGAAGAGATCGCATTTGATGGGCGGGCTACTTCCCGAACTAAACCCGCGATCACGGGATTGCTTGGTTGCAGCGCACATAACTACGGCCGGTTGTTGGAAAGTACTACAGTCTGCTGATATCTCAAGCAGTTCGCAAAGTTCGACGAGGACAGCCTTTGAGCGAGGGAGAGTGCTTCACAAGCGATCGCGTAGAGACTTGAACAGCGAACGACAGCCCATTCCACGGAAAGGAGAGACATGGGCTCTGTTCAACGGCTGTCCCACACATCAAGAGGACGTAGGAAGACATAGCGGACATTGGCTGCTACAGCTGCATGCATTCGATGGTTGACACGACGGCGAGGTCACCGTACGTGGTGACTTACTTGGGATAGCAAGGGCAACATTGCAGTTAGCCTAAAAGCTGTATTGTCTGGACTGTTGTGGAACAATTAAAGTCGTGTAGACAATAGAGGAGTCGGTGACTCAGAAAGAAGAATGAAGCAGTCACTGTATCGTACGAAGGTCTCGTTCCTCCCATACACACGCATCAATAGCAACCAATGTGACTACCACACGAATACAAAGATCTTGCTGTCAAGATCTTCAAGTAAGTATGTAAATGCATGGTGTGATCCTTCCCTGGGGTATCATAAGTATTTCGAAGTGTCAACGCCAGATCCAATATTCCCTCGAAACGTCTCGTCTGCCTAGTGACCGGAGACACTGCTTCAACCGACAGGCCAACGAAAAACGATCAATCCTCGTCAATCCTCCCAAAACCCCTCGCCTGCCTCCTCTTAGCCGCAAGCTGCGGAGTCCAAACGCCCATGAACAGATCCTCACACTCGTCCTCATCCTGACTGTCAAAGTCCAGCACATCCTCCAATGGCCTTGAGATCTCATCGGGAGGCGACGCCAACGAGTTTCTCCTACGCCCAGTGCTGTCCCGCCGCTTCTGCTCAAGCTTCTCATGCTCCTCTACCTCCCCGTCGTCATTCTCCCATGTACTGCTACGACATACGCGCTTAGTCTCGAGGATGAACTTGCCGACTTTGTATCGTTGCGCTTCTTCGGCCGCTGCGACGTACTTCCATCCCAGGACGCTACCGCAGTTGGCACAGCTTATGTCGCCGACTGTGTGCGCACCTGTGACTAGTTGGCGCGGGACAGGCTTATGCGTATATGTGTTCGGCAGGTTAGGTAGAGCATCGTTCTTAGCCTTTGGTGTCGACAGCTCGACAGCATTCGGTGAGATGGACGATTGTGAGGGTGCGACAAGGTAGGCACGTCCATGGCGACCTGTGAAGCCTTTGCTTATGATCTGGTTGCTTAGTGCCAGATCCGAAAGACAACGGGCACATCGCAGATGAGAGGCATGGCCTGTGAGGTACGAGTCCGAGGCTGGCAGACTATTCGGCGGGCTAGTCGACGAAATGCTGCTATCAGTGCTCGACTGTCGTCTTCGAAATGGCAATGATGGTACGAGGTAAGTAGGATACAATGCTGGTGGTGAGGGTAGTGATGGGAACGGCATCGTTGAGTACGAACGGTCGACCATTGTCAGAAGATCTCCGGTAGGAATACTTATTACTCGAATACCTTCTGGGGTGAACACATTCCTACGAAACTGTGATGCAACCCTTATCGCCGGTATGGGACAGTCCAGCGCATAGCAGCAGTGACCGCCGGGTCAGACAACAGCACTCGTGACAGCTTCGGCAGTCCGAAGCTTTCCGGCGTAAACAATAGCGTCTCTGACTCCCGGCATGATCTGTCAGCTGCAGGAAGCCGAGGAGAGCTCATGATCTGCATGCGCGCAATGATGTGAGTGGACGTGGACAAGGTGATGATGTGGGAGGGGAAGAGCTCCCAGGTCAGACTTTCGGAGGCTGGAGGCCGGGGATGAGCTCTCATGCACGAGGACGGATTTGGCATGAGTGAGATTGAGTTGAGAACGTGGAGTGCGTAGTTGTACTGTTTTATGAAGATTGAGTCGAGCTACGAGCATGTATGTCGCAGCTGTACAGCTAACTACAGAAGCCCTCCTTGAGACTTGGCAACACCACTCGCTATGCAGCACCATCTTCGGTGCGTGATGTCCAACGAGCAGTATAACCCCCCAACGCCGTCGCTAATATCATTAAGTCCTCACAGTCATGGTCCTCGACGATCTTCAACCAGACCCCATCTGCTTGTAATCCACACTTCTCTGCCTCCTCTGCCTACCCTGATGCCGATGAGGATTGACCGGCTGCCTCATATATGCACCACCACCTTGCCCATTCCCCTGCATACCGCCCTGGTTACCACCCCAGCCTTGCTGTTGTTGCTGTTGACCACCCCATCCGCCACCGTTCTGCATGCCATTATTGTGCATGCCCGTGTTACCCATATTCCCCATATTCCCCATCGGGCCCATCCCGTTCATGCCCTGCATCCCATTCATCCCACCCATGCCATTCATTCCAAACCCAGGCATCCCACCCATACCCATCATTGGGTTCATCATACCCATATTCATCGGCATCCCCATACCCATACCCATACCCATACCCATGCCCATCATAGAATTCATCGGAGCATTCATACCATTCTGCATGCCCGGCATCCCAGAAGCCATACTCTGCATTTGCTGGGCGAAGTCTTGCATGTTACTCGCGATCTTGGTGGGAGGGTGTTGTGGCGTGCCAGCCTTGGGGCCGGTTGGGATGGGTGTCCCCTTTTTGGACTTGTCGTTCTTCATCTCGGCAGGCGCAGCAGGTTTGCGGTTATTCTCGAGTTCTTCAGTAGCGCCGCGCTTACGAGAACCTGGTGTGGATGCGGCAGAAGTAGTGCCATCGACCTTGACCTCTGGTATATTGCTAGTCTGAGCAAGAGACGCAACGTCCTCAGCCTTAGGGGTGCTAACCACAGCACGCGAAGCACCATTGGGAGACGCCGCAGCAGGACTTTTTGAGCTCTCACTATCCTTCGCCAACTTCGCCGCTTTCTTCTCATCCTGATACTCCTTGACCTTTTCCGCCATCTCCTCGTCATGCTCAAGCTTATCGAGCAAGACTTGCTCGCCACAGTTGGGACAATGAAGGTCGTCAGTATCAAGAATAGCATTCTCAACGCAGTCTTTACAGTACGTCTTGCCACAACAAGGTGTCTTGACTGGGTTGACAAAAGCGCGCTGGTCGATCGAACACTCAAGACCACGATCACGAAGTTCCTGGTCGATCACAGCGGCTTCCTTTGACTTTTCCGTGGTCGCTTTCTGCTGCTCCTGGAACCTGTCCCACGCCGCCTTGTCGGTTTGCGCGATGACCCACTCGCCAGTAGTGGTATACATGACACCTGGTGGAAGCTTAGACACGTCGACTTTGCCATCCTCGCCAAGTTCAGTAGGCTTCTCAATCACCTTGAGCATCGACCTGGGAATACCGGTTGTGCGGCGAAACTTTGGTCGACCGTCAAAGGTTGGATCATTGTTAGTAGGACAGGCTTGAATCCAGTGACCTTTCTCGCCACAACGGTGGCAAGTATAGCCCGGAGGCAACGGCTTGTCTGGCACAGGTTGTTGCTTGTTGTAAGAGCTACGTATGATGGGCTTGCCAGCATTCTGGGCCTGATCTTGCTTCCACGCCTCATTGTTCGCCGTGAACATCGCTGCAAGCTTCTCCTCCTCCGTCATCTCCTTGCCACTAGACATCGCCCCATTTGTCACGGGTGTGCTCTTGGCAGACGGTGCGGATGCTGACTCCACGCGGTGTTGATTCTTGGCTGTGATAGGCATCTTGCCGGTGACATAGCGTGCTGCACGACCTGCGCCTTGCTTAGCTGCAGGCAGACGGCGTGCAACGACTGTGGTCGAGCGTGGAATTTGTGTGGTGTCATCATCGTATTCTGAAGACGTCAGTAAGTGCTTATTGCTAGTTCGAAATGAATACTCACTCTCCATAGACTCGGGCGTGTAGATCTCGAGGTCAAAGTCGGTGCCATCGCCAAGCTTTGAGATGGCGATAATCTCACGCTTGACCTCAAAGACAGACAAAGAGGTGCCATCGAAGGTGATCTGTAGTGGATCCTTCTGTGACTTGAATCGAAAGAAGATGGAGGAAGACATGTCTATTGTTGTCGTCTGCTTGCGTGCTGCAGCGGCTTCGTTCTTTGTAGTCCTGGTGGTCCTGCTATTGTGGTGTCCAAGTCGATGGTGGTGTAGATACGTGGGTGTTCACAAGCTAACTGGTTACAGAAAAAGAACGGTAAGGTGGTACGGTTGAAGAGCCAGGCGGGTGAGCCGTGGGCTTGCAACAGTGGCACAACCAAGAACGTGCTTTCGTATTCAATAGCAGACTGCCTGCGACAATAGCCGATGTGGGCTGATGGTTCTGTGACCAAGATATGTGAATGTGGATGTGAAGCTAAGCTCACTCCTTCGCGCAGGACAAGGTGTATACAAAGATGTGTCTCAGACAATCCGGTGTCTCGTTTCTTGCTTCCGCCCTTCTGCTCCACGCCTCAATTTCACACTGCCTTGCCCAACCCTGATTGCCCGAAGATGTCGTTGCTTACCAAGTGATGTCGTACGCGCCAGGCTCCTGCGAGGTGGTTTGAGCGTGGCCGTGATAGGACTGCCGTGACGGCTCGAAGATCTAGTCCGAGTCGATGGCGGCTTCTTTAGATACGTGCGAGGCCGTGAAAGGTGTTGATGAAGTGGATGCTGGATGATGAGAGAAGGAAGGTGAGCGAGGGAGCGAGAAGGTCTTACAAACAGCGCTCGTGACTCAGCCGATGCTCGGATCCCGCTTGACTCACCCGGTTTCCGCCGTGCTTTTCAGCACAAACATTCACTCAACAATTACACAACGATGCAGAGTCGCGTAGTTTATTTGCCATGTCCACACATGCCCAGCCATGCTCCTGTGATCACAATCCACTGAATACATCACTCACAAGCCGTCTCCTGTCGCCTTGCGTAGCATTCTCCTGACCAGGCTGTAGACAGGATATTGGTAAAAGCCAAGACAAGCGAGCATGGAACAGCAGGACAGGTATTTGACCATCTTACATCATCATCGTAGCTACAGCTCCAACGACCGCCCCAAACCCAGTAAACAAAGCCCTATTATAATTCATTCCAGTCCACTTCTTAAGCAACACCTTCACTTCTCCCTCCTTCCCCATTAACTCTCTACTTTCGCCCTTCACAACCGCATCAGCCTCCTCCCCCAACGCCATCAATCTCCGGTTCGCTCCGGGCTCCATAGCGATCAGAGTATAAGGCACAATACATGGGATCGCCACCGCAGCAACCCCATACAACACCATTGGTGACCTGATCCCCAACACACTGGTCTTCGACACGATGTTCCGAGTCGCGTACGCCAGGTAAGCGAAGCATAACGCACTCGGAAGCGCCAGAGCCGGAGCTGTAGCCTTGCCGATTCCGAACGCTCGTCGCCATTGCTTGACGGCTACTTCGTCTGGTGCGACTCCGAGGGAGGGGATGGTCATCCAGCTTACGCTTACTATTGCGCCTGAAAGAGAGACAGTCAGCCATGATCTGGATCAACGTTCGCGTGTCGTGGAGTGGACATACCTGAGAGGAAAGCAGCGCTAGTGACACCGGCAATTTGCACGACCGCGACAAGGGAGCTCGCCATCTCGACAAATTCGAATGCTCGTTGCACAAACGCAGCTTTTCAAGAGTCCACTCGTCAAGACGGATGGTGCTGAAAATCTGCAGGTAGCGGTCAAGCAAGAATCAGTGTGAGATCCAAGATTCAGTCAGAGTCAGAGGTTGAAGAGAGTAATGAATGAATGCTTGAAAGGCCTCGAGTCAAGCTGATCATAGCACGATTTCGTGGATATGGACGACGTCTATTTGGCTGCTGACTAGATTACGCTCAGTGTGAGTATATATGCCCTGCTGCCAGTCACCCTACATGCCTATAATCATATTCCGGCGTCGATTTGTCCCATATCCGCGTCTTGATCCATCCAGGGCACAGACCATGATCGGCGGCGAAGAAACCCGAAATTCCGATGGTATACCACATCGTGAACTGCGAATGGTGTGTTGACGGTAGTGTACAGAGCAAGGAACTAAGTTATATCTTAACAGCCAGCACAACAAAGAAAAAGTTCTGTCCATCATGGTATCATGCGAAAGGAACTCCAGCCTAGAACCAAACGAAGCCATCCGTCACGTCTCACACAACCAAATAGTCCAATCAATAGTACTGCCTGCCTTCCTCCCGCTTGGCAGACGTCTCGCCGCGATCCTCAATCAACCTCTCCTCGGTCACACCACCAAACGAGACCCTGTTACCACTCTTTCTCCTCCCGCTCTTCTCGACAGTACTAGGCGTACTACCCTCAATCAACCCAACAGCCCCAACCCATTCCCACACTCTACCAACATCCCCAGTCCTGCCTTCGCGGACCATCGGCCTGACATTACTATTCCCCTCCACCTTCCTCTGCACCCTCTCCCACAAGATCTTCCTCCTGCTCGCACTGAACTCATCCCGCAAAACATCGTCTCGCAGCTGTGCAACACTCACACAATTCTCGCCATAGCTGTCCGGATCATAAGCATGTAACGCAGCCTGCTGGCTCAACAGCTCTAAAGCTCTCGAAGCCAGAACCTTGGCTTTCTGCTCCGTCGCACGACCACTAGTGATGCGATAACGACCATAGGTCCCCGACGAAGCCAGAAGGAGCAGTCCTACAACCTGCCAAAAATATCGTCTAAGCGTCTCGCGTAGGGATCGGCGGACGGCGCAGGTGAGTGGGAGGCGGGCGAGGGATGAGCTGCGGAGTGTGAAGTGGCCGGATCTGGAACGGCGGCGTATCTGTCAGTACAATCGAGTCGTAAGCGTCGTTCAATTGTTAGGGGCTAAGAGAGGGTGTGGACTTACCCATCTGCACCACTGATGACTTCGTCCGTGCCTTGGATCTCTGGGATGGCGGCAGCCCAGAGGTCCTCGAATTCCTCGTTTGACATGCTCTTGCGTTTGCTGGCGATGATCTTGGACTTGAGTTCAGGCTCCTTAAGCTCGGGTTTTGGTGCTTCACCGCACTCGAACTTGGCGTTTTGCTCGCGCAACTGCTCGACGGCACGTTCCTTGACTGCGTTGACTTTGCGGGCTTTTGCGCTGTCGGGCTCGCAGCTTGGCGGGAGTGGGACGAGTCCGCCTAAAGATAGTGGATGGTGGGTAAGCACGAAGCCTGGCTCGCATTCCGTGGACAGCTTGTCACCACAGTAAGCATGTTGAGGGCACAACTCGCACTGCGGTCTTGCCACTTCTGCCCATTGTGGAATCTCTAGTCCTGCTATGTCTGTCGAAGGAGAGCCGACACCACAGTAGCCCACTTCAAGCTTCTCCTGTCTCCAGAGTGCAGCCAGGCCAACAAGCAGTGCCGTGATCACTGCTGCCGGCCCAGTCTTCGCTGCAGTACTTGCAGGACGTCTTGCTTTGCGAGGCACTGGCACGAGCTCACCTGACTGCTCTGCCTGTACCAGCTCGTTGTGTTCCTCCGGCGTAAATTCCTCATTCGGCTGAACTACAACGTCCTCCTCCTTCTTGACCCGTGTTACAGGCATATCGAACGTTCTGCGTGTAGGGACAGTTGCACCATCTCTCTGCTCGCGCACTGGTCGGACGTTCTCTGTGACCCGTCGCCGGTCTCTGCTCGCACGTCTCTCTGTGCTACGAGCTGTCGTCATAGTCGTCCGTCTGCGCTCGGTGTCGCGACTGCGCGAGGGCGGTGGCGGAGAGCTGCCAGACTGGAAAACATTGTCGGCAGAAAATGGACCCTCGTCATCCCTAGGTTCGCGCTTTGTGGCAGGGGTAACGGCACTCTGTCGCGACCTGACTGGCGCTGCTCTCTTCGACTGCGGCTCCTCCTGAAGCTCAGGCACAGCGCGCGCATGCTTGACAGATGCCTGTCCCGGTTGTTCCTCAAGCGGTGCAGTGCTGTGTCGTGCCGCGCGCGGCGTCGGTGCAACCTCCTCGGGCTCTTCAGTGCGGGCGCGGGTGCTTCGACGAGAAGCCCTGGTTACTGTCGCTGGTCGCACTCGCACTGTCTCGTCTTCCTCTTCATCCTCATTTGCGGTCCCTTGACTGCTGGCGACATCCTCGATACCCCTGCTGGTACGCCTGACGCGCGCATTTGCTGCTCGGATACTGCGGGCCTGAGGCAGCACGGTCTCATTGAAGAGCTCGACCAGTTGACCTTTCTTGGCAGACGAAGGGTAGTTGACTCCATGCGCGACGAGAATGGATCGGAGCTTAGGCATCTGTGAAACAATTAGCGCTCTTTGCATTGCTTTGACCCATGCTGATACTGATACTGATACTGACGGTCAAAGTGGCCGGGTCGAAGCCAGGCTTGATGTAGTCATCATCCTCCATGTTGGTGGGAGTGTGAAGTGTATGCACCGCAATGACACGAGCCGGCTACAACAGGTATAGACTATGCGACGCGGTGGTGGCGAAGAGAGGTGTCCTTCCCAGGCGCAAGCAGGCAGATACGAGTAAACAGTCCAAGTAAATAGTTCGAGAAGCGGGCAGAAGCATGGACCATCGACAGAAAAGAAGCTTTCACTCGTGTCTGGATCGCTGCGTCAGAGCTTGAAGGTCTGCATGTGACAGTAGAAATAGTTATTGCTTCGTGGGTAGATGCTGCTACATGTTCTCTGACATACTGAATTCAGTATCCACGTAATCACGTAATCATGTCGTCCGCTTCCGCCTGCGCCAAGTGTGCCAACCCTCTGACCCTCACCGTCGACCAAGATGATGAAGCCGACGACGACTACGACGCTTCCATGGACACCTCTACTCCAGAAACTTACCCAGACGACGTCAAACTTTCCTGCGGCGACCATTTCCACTGGGAGTGCCTTCTCGACTCCTACGAGTACACGACCTGCCCAGCCTGCAACCGCTCCATCGTTTCAACTCCCGACCATGCAGGCTCGAGTTCCTCTTCCTCAGCACCGCCAGCAGAGGAGAGAATCATAGTCGACCTGAACAACGAGGGAGGACTACAGGAGGGTATAGACATCATGCCCATACTGAAGGAGGAAAGCTATCTGCGAGCATATCCCGAGGAGAGGAAGAGTCGTGCTTTCCTGGAGTTCTGTCGAGAAGGCGACCACAGAGCGATTGCGGAGCTGCTGAAGAGCTGTGCTGAAGAAGAGGACGATGATGACGACGACGACGATGAAGGGATGACAGAAGGTGTCAAATCGCCGAGCAAGACCATGGATGAGATACTGCGGTACCAGGATCCGATTGGCGACATGGCTTCGGGCTTGCATGCGGCATGTGCCAATGGCCATCGTGAAGTCGCGTGGTTGCTCTTACTACTCGCAAGCGACTATCCCGAGCTCGAATTCCCAGCATTAGTGTTTCAAGAAGCTGCCACACTGGGCGTGATGCGGGAGGAGCAAGAGGGCAAGACAGACATCCGCAGCTTGAAGGACGCGCATTGGCGGACAGCAGAGGATGTTGCGAGAGAGATCGGCATAATTTGGAATGGCTGGATCGGTAACGGTAGGCTGGCCATGCCTGGTGCTGGTGCTGGTGCTTCCGCTGGAGTTATGACGGTCTAAAGCTGGTGTAAGATGCATGGCGACACATGATTGATCTCTTCAGCCCATTTTCGCCGCATCACCTCTGCTGTCCTTCTTGACCACTCGATGCCGACTCAACAGCTGCGAGATCACAAAATGCGAAACATCCTCGTCGCTCCAATACGACAGATGGCTGGCGATGGCCGCGATCAGATTGATGTCAAAGACGCCTTCCTGAATCGCATAGTCCACGCGGCCATTACTGTTCAGCCTCCTCACTTTCTCCTCCTCACGTCTCAGCTTCCGTGCTCGCTCTTCGGCTTCCCGCCACTCTTCACTGCCCACCGCGGCAGCAAGGTCGCGAGTCTCGGCATCTGACTGTACCGACTTTCGGCGTTTCTGATATCCACCATAGAGTGTCTCTAGTTCAGCATCGATCAGCGTAGGCGGGTGCTGGCCACGCTCTCCGGCTGCCAGAGCATCAGAGGCAAGCTTTTCCTGTAAATCACCAGATACAGGTGTGATTTCTGGTACCTCTGGCGCAGCTAGCGCACCCCCGACAACACCAGCAGCGACGTTAGTACCAGCCCCCTGGCTCATGGAAAGCGGTCCACTACTTTTAGCTCCGCCGGCTTGACCGGTAGGAAGAGGCAATGGCTCAGTACCAGAATAGCCTAGGCCTCGTGTGAGGAGGCTTGAGGCCATGCTCGACCACATACTCGACACGCTCTGGCTGACGCGAGCGCCAATACCGGTAAGGCCTTGACCCATGGGAGCCCCGAAAATACCACGTTTGGTGTAAGGAAGTGGTTGTGGCTTCAGACTTGCCATGGCTGGTGAGATGAGCGGTTCGATGCGGTAGGAGATCGGGTCAGTTGGGTGGCTGCAGTCATGTTAGCGTTACCCACCCATCAAACCATATGGGATAGATAGAGACTCACAAGATATTGAAGATCTGCGAGCATTTCGGACTCGAACTCAGGATGTCCGAGCAAGAATCCTGCGAACTCCCCACATACGTACTCGCTTTCCTCGGCGGAGCATCAAGCATAGGATCTTCCGTACTACTCGTCATCGCCCTCCTGCGCGCAGCATCCATGCCTTCGCGTGCCGAGATTTTCCGGCCCTTCAGCATGGAAAAGAGGCCAATGGGCGAGCCCAATGCATAGAAATCTTCGACTTCGAAGTCTAGTCTCAGATTCTCTGGGTCGTTTCGTCGAGATTTTGGGACTACTGCGTTACCCTGTCGGCATAGGATATCGAACATGATTGCTGAGCCCAAGGAGTGGCCAATGAGTGAGATCTTGCCGTTGAAATTCGGGTTGCGCTCGATGAAGAGGTGGTAGATCCTGTTGCATTCTTCCAGCACGATGCGTGAGATGTGGTCTTTGTAGGCTGGTGACTGGTAGAGCAAGATGTCCAGTGCTAGGTCGGTGATGAGATTGCGCACGGCAGGTACCCCGTCCACGGTGAGATCTTCTAGACTTGGGTACTCTTCGTCGTCGACATCGTCTGTATCTGCTAGATCCTGCTCCTTGTTGCTACTGCGTTTGCGGTTCTGCTTGAGACTATGTTTTGGGAAATCGAGGAGATGGCGCCAGCAGATAGGTAAGACCTGCACACGAGAGTTGACGTGCTCGGTATCGCCCAGCTCGGCGTTCAGAGCACGCAAATCCGGTGATTCAGCATAGACTGCTTTGAGAGTCTTTCGTAAAGTATTCACATCATGCACGAAGTTAACACTCTCGAGGCGCAAGCCCAGGCGTTGTCCGATGCCGTGCGTGACGAGAATCAGGTGCTCGATCTCACGACCTTGTTCCTCACCTTCAGCTTCGCGATAGTCGTCCTCAATTTCGCGCTCATCGCGACGGCGGACTTCTTCGTCTTGGAGTTCTGGGTCATCCTGGGCTGGAGATTCGAGCAGAGATGACATGTGGCGTTGGAGTGTCTGGCGGCGGGTCTCTGACTGACTTGGACGTGGCGATGTGGTGTCTCCATCTGCAGCCTGGCCTTCCGTTTCTGATATGTCTCTGTAGAGAGGATTCGCCGGGTCGTTCTTGGTGTCCGTCTTGCCATCCTTTTCTGGTAGTTTCGTCTCGGGATTGATGTAGCCTCGAGTCATTTTCATGCCTGCGAAGTGTCCACCGCCGGCAAAACGCTGATACATACTATAGTTCATTCGCGACATGAAGTCGTCTGTCAGTAGCCATGCAGTTTTGTCATCTTGATAGGTGACGACAGAGCTCATATGCGCGCCAAATAGTCTGTAAGTGTTCTGCGATTGCTCAGTCTGCCCTGTCTCTATCGGCGCATCACTTCGTGGAGGTCTTGTAGCCTGCTCGGCTGCCTGTGCTCGCAGATCATGTGAAGAGGCATGTGGTGTAATGTTTGTTGAAGCAGACGGCTTGCGGACCGTCGTGGTCTCCTGCCCAGGTGTCCATGATACTGGCCTCGCTCGTCCTTGAGAGACAGATCTCGGCTTCTGGGCTGCCGCTTGTGCTGCTTGAACAGTAGGTAGCCTCCAAGCCTTTACCTTCAGATATCCTTCCTCGAGCTGTGCTGCCAGATTCTCGTCACAAGGGCGTTGAGTGGCACCATCCTGGTAGAACCACGTGCCTCTTCGAACGTTGTAGACCGGTCCGAGCCAGTACGCAGGAGCTAGCTCTCGTTCTCCTACGTCCACGTCAAACAAATAGTCCTCGTTCACAGGCACTTTGACCGCCCTTCCAGTCTCGTGCAGACTAGTGTTGGGCTTGCCATCGCTTCTCTCCCCCCCGAAGGCCTGCCCTGGCCCACCACCCTGCCGCTGCTCAAGACTTGTCCGTACACCGTCGTCCTCCTCGTCGATCAATCGTTGGAAAGCTGCCTCTATAGCTTTCGAATCGGTTATGGAGAAGGCAGCATACTTCTTGGGCTGAGCAGCAGGCTTCTCCTCCGCCCTGTCAACCGCAGCAGGGTGTGGTCTGCGCTTCGGTATGTCAACAGCATGAAACCAGCACGGTCTCACAGGTGGACAATCCCTTGGGTATCTGCGAAGACTGAGACGATGCTTGTGTGTTACTGCGTGGTCCGCGCCCTTCTGCTGCTGAAGCGTAGGCTCTGGCTCGCCTTCCTTGCCTTTGCTTGGGGGTACGACGGGACTCTTGCTCCATGGTGACAACCGACTGAGGTAAGATTGACTGGCAGCATTATCCTGGCCAGTCATATTGGCCTTGTCCGGCCATCTGCCGGACTCGAAGTCGCTGAGCCAGACGGCAGGCTTGACAGGTTGACCTGTCTCGGAAAAATACCAGGGGTATTGTCTACGAAGGTACTGGGTCCACGATGAGATCCTGTTTCGTGATATCGTGGCTGTAGTGCCTGAGCTTTGACGGAGTGGGTTCGGGGATATATGTTGCAGCTGACACTTCCAGGCCGACGCTGCAAGTTCTCAACACGACGGGACACATGCGAGGTGAGACCAGAAGCAGCGACTGAACCATTGATCGCAACTGGAGGATGCGACTTTAGCATGTGCAGCTATAGGAAATTGGGTTGATCTCCGGGCCCGGCATCGTGCGTGTCGATCTCACACCTGAAAACTTGTTGACGATTTCACAGACATTAAATACTATTTTGCACAACGCTCGTCTTTCTCCTATCCCTACACCCGTCCACATAGGTCACAGACAGCGGTCGGCAAGATACTCAAGGAGAGCGTAAAAAGGCAGCGATAACCGTTCATAACATCTAGGTACCCCGGACATCGTTTCACCATGGCCGAGCAAAAGTCACAAGAGCACGAGCACATCGAGAACCTCGTTAAGACCAAATTGCCAGGCAGTCCCATCTATGCCTTCCTCCTCACACCCGTGAAGATCACAAGTGCAACGAAAGGCCACGTGATAGCTCGCCTGCCACTCTCCGCCAATCACATGAACAGCATGCAAAGTCTGCATGGCTCCACGTCTGCCGCCGTTGTAGACTGGATGGGTGGCATGGCCATTGCCAGCGTTGACCTTCGCGAGAAGACTGGTGTCAGCGTAGATATCCACGTCACCTACCAAAGCGGTGCAAAATTGGGCGATGAGATAGAGATAGAAGGCATAGTGGAAAAGCTAGGTGGAAGCTTGGCTTTCACGAAAGTCAACATCTACAGATTGGAGGATGGCAGACGAGGCCGTGTCGTTGTGACCGGCACCCATACGAAGTTCGTCAAGGGCTCGGAGCCTCAGAAAGCAGCAGTATCCTCGGGGGTGATGAGTGTTGCGTACATTAAAGTACAAACAATCCTGGCTTCTTTACGTCCGATATCGTCATTCAATGACTATCGAACTCACTCTATTCAGGAAGATCAAATGTCTGTACGCTTTAGATGCCGCAAGCCAGCTCATCGCTATGAGATTGTGGCCATTTATGATAGACTACATACCACGTATTTGCATTGCCTCCACAATTCTGCTCCAGCTTCAATCTCGAGTAGGTCGCGTGTTCCATAGCGTGCCGACAGACCACATGAGCTTGTAGTTGGACCACACGAGTAGGTCATGTCAGTACGGAAAAAGTGCAATGTCAACGTTGAATGGAGAAACTTTTCGTCAATGCTACCTCGTCTATGATAGCTGCACCCCCTGGTATGTCATGGAACATCCTGGAAGTACATCACCTCTTCTGAACGAGTCCTCAAACTCCCGATACAAAGCCAAGCGCTCCTGCGAAGCTTCATCTCGTGAAGAATCAGCATTACAGCGCCCAAGCTTCCTGGTCTCGTCACCTCCAGTAATAACCCTATCGAGCTGCTCCAGCTCCATGTCGAAGGTGACAAGACAGTAAGAAAGAGTAGTCTGCAGTGCGGTCCAGGTGTCGGCATTGATCATCGTGAGGCTCGTCGTATTGCGTTACAAGAGCACTCGGAAAAACAAGATCGTTGAGTGATATCGCAGTCGCAGTTTTTTTCGTCCGTTAGAACAAGCCAGGCCTTCGTTACTCGTCATGAAGTCTGGTGAAGTCGTGGTCATAAATCATAAGTACGGTCCGCAAGAAAGGTACAGGTGGGATCACAGAAGGGGACAAATTGGTGCATATGGTCGTGGTGTCATGGTGATGCTGGCCAGGATAGAGACGAACCCTATCGTCGCAGTGGGCCAGTCTTTACTGATTGGGGCTGGCTCATGGGTCTGCCCATTGCAGGGTCGGTGCGTTGGCGCTTGAGCCCTGGATCGCCGCCAGCGCTCATAGGGGTGTTGTAGGAGTCGTCGTCATCCTCCCGCATGCGCTTGTTGGACTGGGCACCGCCGTTCATTGACGGGTACTGTTGTGCTTGGTAGGCAGGCTGAGCCGGGTATTGTTCGCCACCATTAGGCGCACCAGCACGAGTATCGTTGCTCATGACGTTGTACAGATTGCTCGATGGCAGCTGCGAAGCTCGTTGAGGCGTGCTATAGCCTTGATACGTGCCAGTCGTACGAGGAGTCGCTCGTCCAGAGCCGTTCTGGTGTGGCGAATGTGTCATCTCTGGCGACATGTGCGAAGGATCAGAGTGAATCGGTCCTGGCGCGTGGTTAGGCTTGTAATTGTACGAATACCGCCTTGCGCCGTCTGACGCACTAGTATGAGTATAATCACCCTCATGCTCAACCTCGCCATTTGGCTGGGCAGCATAGCCGTCGTGAGTCTTGTGGTCCACTTGCTCATTCTCGGAGCCGCCACGGGCTGGCGGACCCATCTCGTGCTTGACGCCACCGGGACTTGTCTGCACGCCAGGGTAGCGGCTCATGGGTTGCTGCTGCGAAGGATACTGGGCGTAGCCGGGGGCTGCTGAGTACATCTGTCGGCCGTTGTCGTAGGCTTGGCTGGTTGGATATTGCATGCCCTGAGTGCCGGGTGGGGATGAAGCTGGAGACGTTGGTACAGTTCGCGCAGACATGCCAGTATCAAGAGGAAGAGGCTGACCTGGATTGACCCCGCCCGCTTGTCCACCGCCGTATTCGTATGAGCTGCCTGTATTTCCCATACCCATGGTCAGACTTGATGCACTAGCCGGTGGGGTAGGGAAGGTGTGAGCCCTATCAAGGCCAGGCCTACCGGAAGCTGGGTGTGGTGCAATCGAGTGCGGCGGCTGCGGAATGCTCGCACCAATGGGATTGCTCATGGAATGGTGGTGTGTGAGTGCCGGCGGCTGCGTGCCCTGAGGTGTCCTCATGTAGTCAGGCTGATCGCGTCTCGCAGCCATTGCCGCATTACCAATGCTCTGGCGAGCTTGGTTGGTAGGATGGTAGAGCAGAGCTCCAATGTTATGAACAAATAATGGGTACAAACTCTCGGTGATCTTCTCCTTGTTGGCGAAATCCAGCGCGCGATCAAAAGGAATCCTAAAGCTCTGGTCAGAACCATGTGCGCGGTCATAAATAGTAGTGGAGCACTCACCAGACACCTTTGAGATGCATGGGTCCAATCTTGACCACGTGGCGTGTCTTCTCGCTCTTCAAGATGCCGTCGCGACGTCCCCGCGTCATTCCAGCGACGTTCAAAAGCTTCGTGCCATTGATCATGTGATTGTCTTCGCGTCTTGCCACGCATACGCCGTTTGCTTCGACCTGGAAGCATAGGCTGCCCTCATCTTCCCACAGCGTAGCTGTCACTCGCGGCTTCATGCCCGGTGGCGCAACTTGCCCAGTCGTGTCATATGACCGCTCAAAGTTTTGCTGGGGTGCACCAGGACCTGGCGGGCCATTGGTAGCCATGTTCGGGAGCGGCAAGGGCTGTTGGACCATCTGCCCACCCATTGACGATGTGACCGGGTGACCAGCAGTCATGGGCGCCATCGTGTTTGAGTAGGAGTAACCATATGTCTGAGGCGCGTAGCCGTGCGACGCAGGTTGTAAGGCTTGCGGCTGCCCATATCCAGAGTACTGTCCGATGCTGGGAGCTGGACCAGCAGGCGGCTGATGCGACTGGCTCACGTCCATGTACTGCTGTGGCTGGTTCATATTGCCGTGGATGGGAGCCAGACCTTGATAAGCGTGCGCTGCGGAAGGTAGGCTGGAGGAAGGGTAAGAGACCTGCTCCGGCGAGGGAGTCTGAAAGGTGTGCACTCTATTGCCGTCGACTGAAGAGGCGTAGGAAGTGTGCGATTCGTGAGACTGGTTGGCTACAGAAGAGCCGCTGAAGGATCCTGCCCGAGGGGAGGAGCCGGCGGAGGAGGCGCTCGCTTGATGCTGAGCTTCGTAAGGATAAGATGCGTATGAAGACGGATGCCAATGGCTCTCGTTTCCTCGGGCTTGAACCTGTGACAAAGGTGGGAGCGCCAGCTTTTCGGTGTTGGCGTGCAAATGCGTAGAGCTGTTTGGAGGGCGTTATTGGGGCGTCAAAAACGTGATTGTGCTGCTTCGTGAGGTGATGCTCGTTATGATGCGGTCGTGAATGGGTGCGAGATCCGGTTGACTGTTGTCTATTATGCGCAACTGAGACGTCGGGAGCAAATCCACTGCGTTAACAGACGCCAAGGAAGTCGTTAATGCGAAGCAGTCGTCAAGGTCGTAAAGGTCGTAATAAATCGTGAGCCGTGATCAATGGACACAAACCCAAAGAGCTTCGCTGGCCTGTATAGAGATGTTAGCAATGAGGTCCTTCAACCACGACATGTACGAGCGGCCACTACGGACGCACCCTGTGCTCTAACAGTATGCAATGCATGAGCAAGAACGGTTTGCAAGATGCGGTGGGGAGTGGGAGAGATAACCCAAGGTCGAGAGGCTGGGTAGGCCGGACGCTAAGGTAGGCGCTCGACGCTAGCGAATGGGATAAGGTAAAAAGTTGGTGTGGCCCGTGGAGGTCGGCGGGCTGGTGAGGGCGGTTGATCTTACCTTTTTCCGCTGGGCGAGACAATCAAATGAACTGGCTATCGCGTCCGCAGAGGGCGGTGGGCTGGCGTGCTGGCCGTTGAGCGGTGGTTGTCGTTTGCGGCGGGAAGACGTGCCAATGGAGGCTCAATTGCAAGCGCTGCTGCGGAAGCAATGCGATGCGAGCTGCTGGTATGGCGCTGTTTGACGGGTCGGCGCGTGAGCGACACACCTTTGCTGTAGGTCAACCTCGTGGTGGAGCGGCCAACAAAGCTGCAGCTACACGCAGGCTTGCGAGGGAATGCAGGTGGGATGCAGTGTCTGAAGGGCACGTCGGGAGGCAATTAACAATGCTGGGACTCCAGTCGAGCGCCAACAGCACGGCATGGACCAGGATGAGCTGGGTGGGGCATTGACACGGTGCTCTACCCGGCACTACTGGGGTGGAGGCTTGGAATGCAGCTTTTGGGCGTGCATACCCGCTCCGTGCTGCTGCTGCTGCCGTTTCCGCTGCTGGTCGACGTCGATGGAGTCCATCATGGCTAGATGTCAAGCGGGTGCTTGTAAAATCGACAGTGCTGAAGATGAAAATGGCACTTCTGACTGCTGCAATCTTGAGCCTACAGTTCCAGCGAACCGGGCAAAGACGAACTAAGACAAGGCTGGAAAGCCACCGCGGCATCACGACGGAATCTCCTCAGCGAATGGATGACTTCGACAGATAGTAGCTATCTGTATCGGGAATAGTTCTATTGAAGAAAGGTTTGTGGAGAGCATGAACTCTGTTCGCTGGCCGGATGGGCACATCAGCTTTGTCAAGGATGCTGAAGAACTACCAAGCCCCGATACGCAATTGTACGTCTTATGAGGACTGCTACGTGCTCGTGCTTGCAGACTGAGTTCGATTGTCTACCACTAAGTAGTTCTCCGCTCATATATCGACGGCGACGAGCGTATGACGAGAACTACATGGCCGGACGTCGCCTCGAACGGCTGATCACCTCAGCCTTAATCCCTGCCAATTGCCAGATGGCTGAATCGGCCCGCGCAGCTACTATCGATGCGTGTCATCAGTCCTTGCGCCAAACTGCCAGTGTGGTGGACCTGGCAGGACATGTGGCGCTTGACAACAACGCAAGAATATCGAAAGAACACGTGCATCGATGCAACTCGTAGCTGCGCTATTGGAAGGCAACGAGGTGGTACTTCGCGATCTCTGTGCTATCTACTTGCATCGGCATCGGTTCAGGCTTCCCTCGTGTCGGCAATAAAGCATATGGACCACTCCAACAGGCGTGGGTACAAATGTACACCGACTGTGCCGTTCGATCGGAAGCCCACCTCGTTTAGCGACAGGCTCCGGAACGCTGCAGCCGCCATCCTGTTTCCGGAGGATTAGAGAGGGCACGCCGTTTTGCCGTCATCTATCGATGGGCTGCCCAATGCTCGTGACAACAAGACGCGCCGCTGGCGCTCGTGACCGTGACCTTGGTAGGTTTGCACATCTGAGCCGGGGAGCGCAGTCGGAAAGATCGTTTCGTGCATCTTCACTGCAGGTCTCTGCCTAGCTCCCGCATCGTCAACGGGCCCTGCTCCCGCTGCAGTCTGCATGCATGTGAAGCCATCTTCAAGCCTAGATTATCTGGCGAGTATGAACACCGACACAACCTCATAATTTTTTACTCTTCGCTCGAGATTGTCCTTGCCACTAGGTCGAGCGGAGCAAGTCTGCGCCGAGTGGGTAGATGTGATGGTAGCACTCGCTTAGAGCAAGGCCGCCCCGGACTGGGTTGCCACGAAAAGCGATAGCGATACCCACACTCCAAACGCCATCTCGAATGGCAAGCGACCACGTCGACAGTCTAGGCAACCTTAAAACGCCACACTCGGAGATGGTGGTGGCACACCCATTCCGGAGGGCTCCCACGAGATCCAGCACGCAGGAGTACGAGCCCGAAGCGGACATATAGCAGAGTGAAACATATTTGACCGACATTAATTGGCTCCGTCGAAGCTGTGTTGAACAAGCACGGAGGCCGAACAGCTTGTGAAGTTGTTGTTGATCGCAAGGATATGATAGTGGGGCTGCTTCACCGCTCTTTGGGATCGACTATGATTGGTCGGGCCGTCATCACACTTCGGGATGTGAGACTTCTGGGCAAGGACTGAAGCAGTCCTCAACGTGGCGTGTAAGTGAGACATATCATGATCTGGTGTCGGACGAGGTTCGAACAATGGTACTGTATTGCTGGTACGTGACTGAGCCGGCACACAATGCTTAGGTGATGCAGCGTTTCAGATCAGCCTCATACATACATACCGCACAGTCGATCCCGCTGCGTAGAGGCTTAGCTTCCGCATCTCGCATACAGTACTGCAGCCTGATGCAGAACCCAATGCCAGGCACATGGACCTTGATGTATTATTATTGCCTCAAAACCTCCAGGTCGCTCTGTAGTCACCAGAAGGAGCACCAGTGCCCATCGAGCTCGTGGGCGTCTGACGGGCACACGATGGGGCCATGAGGATTGCAAGGAGCGGAGGGATGCGGTGCATCTGTCATACCATGTGCCACCAGATATCGTTGGTCTCCTTGCTTTGCGTGTATACATGGGTTTGTCCATTACCGTCTATGAAAGCTCACGCTCTTGGTACTAATGGCGGGACCTGAGCATCACCCACCAACTACATCTGCGCTACGCAACGTGATCGTTGAGATTACACAAGTAGCAGTATCCGAGTGCAAGGTAAAGTCTCTACACGGTCCAACCTAGGCAAACGCATTCGTCCTACCAAGAGCCTCCTCTAGACGTCCATCTTCAGATAGACCCAAGAGTCACTGATACATCCCTTCACACCAGCCCAATCGTCTAGCATAGCCAGTTCGAATCCGACCCATCCCAGATCCTTGACATCCTCTCCATCTGCACTACGGTCCACACAGACTACGAGTTGCGAGCATCCAAAGCTGTCGTTGCTGGCAAGCTCGAGTAGTGCCATAAGACTGACAAAGTTAGCTTCACATCTTTCCGTTTGTGATTCGGGAGAGAGTACCCTGGCTTGAGATCCTTCCCGATCACTTCTTTGTCAAAGAAGACGAACAAGCTACGCTCATCCTGCGTCTCAGCAACAAAGCCGCGGAAGCGTGCGCCACCGACATAATCCCATATCTCCACATAGTCCTTGACCACGCCACCAGTCTTGGGATAGTCTCTGCCATCCGGCGACGTACTTGGCGTGGGTATGCCATGCTTCATAACGGAATCGTGATGCTGTGGTATATCGACACCATTGCTTTCCTGGCTGCTGTTGCTGATGTTGTGCACATCCATCACCAGCGAGTTCTGCCGACCAGAGTTCTTCTCGACCAAGAACACAGCCTTCATAGTCTCGCAGAAGAGTCTCTCACACTCTTCCGTGATGTAATGCGCGGCGTCTCCGCTGCGCGAGCGGGCCTTGAGGCCCGGACGCCCGCCTATAGGCGTGGTGTCCGGAGACGGTGGGGGTGAAGGTACGCCTCCTGGAGGCGCCTCAAACCCACCTGCTACATGTTAGCATGATACTCACTGGTGACAAAGGTATCCATATACGAACCACCCCGCTCCCTGTCCCCCACGAGTGGAGAAGTGGAAGCCAGTCAACACCATCGTGGTGGCGTCGACTGAATAGGCGGATGCCTGAGTGTTTGCGCGCCGGCTAGACTCGCTCGACGTGCGGCGGTAGAAATCACTACTACTACTTTTACTGTGATTTTGTAACATCGCCATTTCGATCTATTTCTGCCACGGTTACGGCCTGGTTGGCGGGGATTGCGGTGGTCGAGGACTGAGGTGGCTGAAGTGGTCGCGGTGGTCAAGGGATGAGCTGCTTCAGGTCCTGTATCTTGAGCGGCTTGTTCGGTAGGCTGTGACGGTCTCGCAGATGCTATGTTAGTGCTTGAAATGTTCGGAAAGATGGTGTAACTCTGCTGGTGCGAAGATTCCAGCGTGGTAATCAATACGCTAGACCTGAAAAAGCCACCATTTTGGCACGTGGGAGGTGTCACATGCACTTTGTTGTCCACAGCATCCACCGACATCAGCACGTCCGACCTTTCTCGGTACGAATATGTGACATACTAGAAGTTACCAACGCAAGTATCACCGACAATCAACGTATAAATCTACCCCTTAACTTCCATTACAAGACTTGTGCGGAAAGCAGTCAGATCATACATATTGAATGGAGACCGAGGCGAACGCCAATCTAGCCTGAGACGTGTGATGGCACTTTCAACAGATCTCTTCTCAGACTGCTCCTCGGTCTCATTCTTCCCTTCTACAGGGAGGCCAGTGTGAATGGATCAACGCCTTCCTTGATCTGCTCCACTCATGCATGGCAGTTGCCTCGTCGTGGCCAACACGTAACTCATCTTCTCCCTGTTATGTCATCTGAGTCCCGGTCATATTTCACACTTCAGACCCACATCACTAACTACCACAGCACTTCATCATTGTTTCCTCTCAGCATGAAAGATGACAGAGCCCGGCAGTAAGCGTAGAGCTTCGACTGACCCCAACACTCCAACATCTGTCAAGAAGAAGAGGTCCCATTTCTTCGTCCGTACTACCACATCTATTCCAGATACCACCTCCACGCATTCTGCGACAAGGCCAATAACTGGAGCAGAGCAATCGAACGTCTTTTCCAGGAGCCTTAGCAAGCTACGCCGCAAAGTCTCGTTTCTTTTTCACAAGATGCATCCTCCTCATCGTCAGTTACTCCATTCACACCGACAAATAGAGAGCTCACGTATGACTTATCAGGTACTCGAACACCAGATGCGCTGGATGGCACCGCTTCCCCTTCACACCGCACCGCGACTCCTCCAGCACCAGCTCTACTCCGTTTCCATAGGATTCGGACCTCGTCATCGAGCAACGAGCACTCCCTCAGGTCTCAGCGCAAACGATCTGTTCGATTCGAAGGCCTAAGTAATGACCAGCTGGATGGTCATCACACGGAAAATAGCGAGAATATGGCTACCGGTTCTGGCGAATCTCGTACAAGTCGTATCTCCTCAAAAATTTCTGACCGCATCGCGGCGCTCGAGGGGAAGCTCAATGGCAATACTGGAACCTCTACAATCGTCCATCGGGCCAATATGCGAATGAAACCATGTGTACCGTTCATCACAACGATTGTGCCCGTAACACCTGAAAAGCCTGCCAACGGCGGCTACAGCTCGCCTGGCACCGTTTCGTCCTCTGTGACCAGCTCTAGCCGTAATGGTGACTGGTCGCCAGCGAGCACCACATCTACCGCTGCTACGTCGTTGACTTCGCCAGGGTCTTCTGCTAGGCGCTAGAAGCGCACACCGCCGGAAGAATGTCAGAACATGAGCAAGAGCACATCTGCTGACAAGGACGAGAACACTCTTCCACCCATCGAAGAAGACAGTGGCCGCTTCCTACTGATACCTGTGCAAGAGGCCGAGATCGATATCCAACCATCCGTGACAACGGTCGAGAATGTTGCGGCTACAAAGGTCTACTTTGAGACGCACTTCAGTAATCTTATGTCCGAATCAGCTTCTCCACGATCTCTGCGCCGGAATCGATTCGAACAGATCATGAACGCTAAAGGACTTTCACATGACGATCGCGTTCTTGCTAAAGAGGATTGGAGTCGTGCTGAGACTGACCATCTCCGACAAGTTCGAGTTCTCAAGGCTAGCTCGATCAGTAGGCACAACATGAAAGGCATCTCCATTGCAGGCTTCGACGTCATCCGGGTGTTGGGTAAAGGCAGTTTCGGTGTAGTCAGGCTTGTCACCGAGCGCGTCAACAGAGGCAGAGAGGGTCGTCCCAATGGCAGCGAAAGTCTGGACGATAGCAACGGCTCTGCCGTTACATGTATCAGCAACATGGATGGCACAGCCCGTCGCAACCTCCCAGCTGGCAGGTCTCTCGCGGATGTCTTCGCTATGAAAGTCATACGAAAGTCAGAAATGCTGCGCGCTTGCCAGGAAGGACATCTTCGTGCTGAGCGTGACTTCTTAGTCCATGCAGAAGGTTCCCGATGGGTTGTACCATTGATCGCCAGCTTCCAGGACAACACCAACTTATACTTGGTCATGGAATACATGATCGGCGGCGACTTCTTGGGTCTACTGCTTCGCGAGGATGTGCTTGAAGAAGATGTCGCGAAGTGGTATATTGCCGAGATGATCCTCTGCATTGAGGAAGTACACAAGATGAAGTGGATCCATCGCGACGTCAAGCCCGACAACTTCCTCATTAGTGCATCTGGCCACCTTAAAATATCTGACTTCGGCCTGGCTTTCGATGGTCATTGGGCACACAGTCAATCCTACTTCTCCAATCAACGTTACACCCTCCTCGAGAAGCTTGGCATTCAGGTCGAAGGTGATGAGCAAGACCTCCTCGAGGAACTTCATACCAATGATATCCGCGAAGCACAACATGATGGCAACGACGAGATGCACCTGAGTAAGCCAAAGCCGAAGGTTGATCCTGAAGAACTTGCCAAGCGCGAAGGTCTACTTAACTATCGCAATCGGACGGAGCGCCGAAAGCTGGCGCGCAGCATCGTTGGCACAAGTCAGTACATGGCACCAGAAGTCATTCAGGGCACGGCGTATGATGGACGATGCGACTAGTGGAGCATCGCCGTCATCCTGTACGAGTGCTTGTATGGCCGCACGCCATTCTACTGCGAGAACCGCATCAAGACGAAAGAGAGCATTGTCAACCATCGTGCAACGCTCAGGTTTCCCGAGCAAGAGCGCTGGTCAAGACCCACGTCCGAATCGAGACGTCTCATGGCATCTCCAACTGATACAGTCATCGATCTGCTCCAGAGTATCTTGACCGATAAAGAGCTGCGCCTCAGCTCCCGTCAATACCGCCACTGCGAAACAAGACTCGGTCGCCGCATATCCTCTGCAGCCAGCAGTCCACTCGCCCGCCACGTCTACGCCAACGGCGCCGAAGAGATCAAAGCCCACAAGTTCTTCCAAAGCATCCCCTGGTCGCAGATGCATCTGATGCAGCCACCGTTCGTACCGCGAGTTAAGGAGAACCAATCAATCACAAAATACTTCGAAGACGAAAAGGATATCGTGACCGACGACTCCTCAAGCTACATGAGCATCAAAGAACGTCTCGAGCTCGAAGGCGACGTGAACGACGATCTCGCTCGCACTGCACTAGGCCCTCACTTCGACCGCTGGAAGATTGAGTGCCTTGAGCGCGAGAAAAGGGACCTGGGCATCGAACAATGCTCAGATGGCGAACTCCAACGCATAAAGGAGCATTTCGGCGCAGATTACCCCAAGTGGAAAGCCGATCGCGTTGTGCAGGTATGCGAGGAGCAGATGATGAACGGAGTCGATCCAATCAAGATGCAAAATCGTGGGAGGAAGGAGAGAAAGAGGCCGAGGGATAAGTTGTTGAGAGATCCGATTGTGGGAAGGAAGGTGATGGAGATCAGGAAGAAGGGAGCCTTTTTTGGGTATACTTATCGGAGACCTAGGACTTTGGAGGTGGCTGCGAGCGATGTGGTGAAGGAGAAGAGTGATGGTGGTGGTGGGCAGAGGAGGGCGAGTATTCTGCCGGTCAAGCAGGGTGGGACGTGAGTTTGTCCCTTTGATGTGGATCCTGAGAAAGTGACGGTTGTATAGGTACCTAGTGATGGGTTTCAGTTCGCAGCAGTTGAATTGTGCTGCTCCAGCAGGGCCTCATCGAAGGATGTCCGCCGCTATTCGATGCGTCTGTGCGTTCACTCTATCGGCTTCCTCTTTCTGCCGCTCTTCCCATACCTTCGTTGGTACAGGCACCCAGCCCTTTTAGGACTTGACAAACAAGCCTAGGTAGTTTTTGAAATTCCGAAGTGGCTGGAGTCACCTTCTAAATTGGAAGCGCGAGTCCGACCACGATATCATCGGAAGTTATGCATTTCTGCTGTATCTCATCCTCATCTCTTACGGCGACAAAGGCGTGGAGATAGACGCAATGGGAGTTCTCAGTCATAACTTTCAGCGGCTCACTGTGCGCCATAGCACACCCTGGGCGTGATGCATAGATACGGGCGCGCTTGCTAAGCTGTGCTGTCTTACTCTGAGATTGTGGTCGTCTGGCTACCACTCCATTTGCTGCAGCACGGTGTTCGGTTGAGGCCTCATGAGGGTTGATGACCTGCTATCACGCACTCTGCGATTGCTGATGCCGCTGAGTGAGAAAAATGGTGTTCTCAGCCGCAGGATCTCAAGAGTAGTCGATGCGTTGCCTTGTCATCGTAGGTATCAGCGGCGCGGTCGTGGATGATGGTACCATTCAGGCTCCTGCAATTGTCCCATTCGCGCCATGCGACGGCTGCGTAGTCGTCGCAGGTGCTACACTGGTTGGCATGTCATCCACCAGGTTGACTAGACCCTCGGCTGGCGGTGAAAACTGCCGCAGCTTGACCCCAGCTTCCTTGAAGATCTTAGCAGCCTCGCTGTCCATGTAATAGCTCTTGTTGAAGACCACTTCGGTGATACCAACCTGGACAATCTTGATCGAGCATGTCAGACAAGGGCAGGTGTTGCAGTACAAGACTGCTCCGCCACCGACACGTTCACGTCCGGCTTCCAGAAGAGCGTTCTCTTCAGCATGTATGCACAGACAAGTGCTCAGGGATGATCCGCCACCGCCACCTCCATTGCAGCGAGGACAACCTCCTTCGTTGCAGTTCGTGACGTTGCGAGGAGTGCCGTTGTAGCCTGTCGCCATTACGCGCTTCTCCCGGACTAGCACGCAGCCGACTTGTCTACGCATACAATTGCTCCTTCGGGCGGCAAGCGACGCCAGAGTCATGAAGTATTGGTCCCATGTAGGTCGGATACGACTTGAATCTGTCAAGTTCTGAGCATCCAGAGCCTGCCACAGCTTCTCCACAGACGTTGTCGAGTTCACAAGCTTGATCTGCGCTTTGGATGCAAGAGCTACACGGCCTGTTGTCTCATGGAAAAGATAGTCATCGTTGCGTAGGACGAACTGCTCAAGTGTGGGTGGTGTCATGGAAGCCTTAGCACATCGATCCTTGAATCGATGCCACCGGACAGATATCGGAGCATCGATGTGAAGCAAGACGAAGAAAGGTCGATGAGATAAAGCTTCCAGAATTTCTTCATCGTGAATTGAGGTGGTACAGAATTTGGTCTGCCAATGCTGCGTGGCATAATCGACGAGCTCGTTCGCGGCATTGAAGGTCTTGACTTGATCCGACGATTCTTGAGGACGAGGAACCGGGGCCTGTGATGCTGATGTCTCGACTGCCGGCGTATTCCTTGACTTTAGAATGAGTGGTTGGAAGGAGTGCACGCTGACCAGATAATCCTGGACTGAGGTTTTGCCAGCACATATGCCGCCACATATTCCGATGAGCATGGTTTGTTGTAGGACTGTTTTAGTTGCATCCGTCCACAACTTTTCTGGAAGATTTCTCTCTTGTAAGATCCAAGATTGCTTCAATATATCATATGGTGGCAAGGTGTCTGCGGACGCGTGAGTACGGGAGACGCGTTATAGAAGCTCTGCAATCTAGCCTATCGGAACCAAGCCTGCCGTCTGCCGAACCCCGCGATGTCCTCGTGCCCCTCTGGTCTGCGGGTCGCTGTACCTGTAGCTTATGCAAGACAGACCTGGGACCTGACGAGGCACGCGACATACACATCACGAGGCTCATTGTCACACAACTGACATGATCCAAGACAACTTCTAGCACCAGTACCTATAGTATTCCTCTACTCTACTCTACTTCACTCCACCCTACCCAAATGTCTACTCACCCCCTCCAATACGCACCATGGACTTCCGACATCGATCTTGGCTTCTACTCGGCCCTCTCGAGGGCCAAGATTGAAAAGGACAAGCTGGATGCTCCCACTCGTCGTGTCCTGGGCCTGTACCAAGTCAACCATCGAGATCCACCCGAACGCAGTGCTCGCATGCAGATACATGCTTCAGCCTTGACTACTGACGAGTATGTGAGTATCAGAGACGTGTGTAGGCACGATATGGAGGCTCACACCGTCCCCAGTGCACCACAAGACTTCTATAGAGCCGAAGGCTTGATCCGCAACTTCAACACGGCCGAGGAGTTCAAGAGCGTCGACAAGGCCGCGCATATTGAGCGAGCCGGCCGAACCATCTGGGACGCCATCAACGACGGAACGATCTACAGCTGTCCGAGCTTATTATCCAGCTTCTCAGCCATCTGCTATGCCAACCTCAAGAAGTACCACTTCACCTACCACTTCGCCTTTCCTTGCATCCACTCTGATCCACAATGGCGCTTGACTGGCCCGGAAGATAAAGGTGCAGATGAAGCAGTCAAGAAGCTGGGACAGAAAGAGACGGAGACGCTGGTAGAGAACGTGCAGACATGGCGGTACAGCGTTGACACACGACAACATGGCTTCTTCCTGGCAAAGCGAATGCGAAAGTCCGTACTGGAAGGGCAGTGGCGGAGTGGTAATGGCAGTGGTGAGATTGAAGAGGAGAAGGACGACGACGGCAACATGAACTTTGCCGCACAGAAGCGTCGCAAGAGTCGGACACAAAGCTTGGGCGAGCTAGGCTTCCTATGGTCAATCGGCTCGTTGGCAAGCTACGAAAATGGGTTTTTCAACAACGCTGAGGAGGAAGACCGATTCGTTTGCTTTGTTGATCCGTCAACATATCCTGCGAACCCTGGCTGGATGCTTCGGAATCTGTTAGTGCTGGTGCGACACAGATGGCACTTAGACAAGGTCCAAATCCTCTGCTACCGCGATACACATCCTCGCCGCGAACACCCAACAAGTCTGGTCCTGAATCTACAATCTACGACACCTGTACATCCTCCGATCGATCAGAAAGCGCAACAGCTGAGCCACGACATGCCTACCATGCAAACATCGAGTGCTCTTCGCCCGGACGATGTGGATGCTTTCGGTGAGCTAGTGGAGCGGAAGAAAGAGCCCGTGGATCCGGAGCCTTCGCCCCCAAAAGAACATCCTCCCAAAATACCTGAGCTGCCGAAGGTCACAGGCTGGGAGCGCAACGAACAGCAGAAGCTGCAGTCGAAGACAGTCGACCTAGCAGCGTACATGGATCCCACCAAACTGGCTGATCAAGCCGTGGACCTCAATCTCAAGCTTATCAAATGGCGAATATCACCTTCAATAGACCTGGAAGCCATCAAGCATACATCGTGTCTGCTCCTTGGAGCTGGCACACTCGGCTCGTATGTCGCTCGTGCTTTGATGGGCTGGGGTGTAAGGAAGATCACATTCGTCGACAACGCACGAGTCAGGTATAGCAATCCTGTACGGCAGCCTCTTTACGATTTCAAGGACTGCGAAAATGGAGGTGTGAGGAAAGCCGAGAGGGCGGCGGATATGCTACAAGAAGTGTATCCTGGTATGGACGCAGATGGCATCAATCTGTCTGTGCCGATGGCTGGTCACCCGCTCATAGACGAGCAGGCTGTCAAGAAGGATTTTGAGAGACTGAAACAGCTGATCGAGAGTCATGATGCTGTCTTCTTGCTCATGGACTCCCGCGAGAGTCGATGGCTGCCTACTGTCATGGGCAAGGCAGCTGGCAAGATTGTAATCAACGCTGCTCTCGGCTTCGACACCTATGTTGTGATGCGACACGGACTCCGAACAAAGGAGTCATCCATACCGAAGGGTGAACAAAGTGCAGATGGGAAGGTCGTCAAGCACTCCGAAGACGTGCCAGAGTCGCTCAAAGCTGCGGCCAGCGATCCGATAGAATCGCCTTCTGAAAGCAGTAAGCCAGCAAGCGGCACACCATCGAGTACAGGTCCGGGAGAGGAGGAGCTCGGCTGTTACTTCTGCTCCGACGTAGTAGCGCCAGCAGACAGCCAAAAGAACGCCACACTCGACCAACAATGCACCGTCACACGCCCTGGTGCCGCGCCTCTGGCCTCAGCACTAGCCGTCGAACTCCTAGTCAGCATAACCCAACACCGACTCCGTGCCCGCGCTCCAGCACCCAACCCCCCCACCTCCAGCAGCGCCAACGCCATCCTCCCCGCTCCGCCCACGGATCCCTCACAGCCTAACTCCCACCCTCTAGGTACAGTCCCACATCAGTTGAGGGGGTACATGAGTACATGGCAGACCATTCAAGTCAAGTGCAAAGCGTATGACTGTTGTGCGGCTTGTTCGCCGAGTATTCTGGAGGCGTATGAGCGGGATGGATGGGCTTTCGTGAGGCGGGCCGTTGGTGAGAAAGGATTTGTTGAGGAGGTTAGTGGGTTGGCTGAGGTGCAGAGGAAGGCTGATGAGGCGGAACGGCAGATGGGAGAATGGAGTGAGGAGGACGAAGATGGGTTGGGGGAGGAAGAGGGGGATGGGGAGTTGGTTTGAGTGTGTGCTGATGATAGAGTGCGATGATGCCGATGAGATTATGATGGGAGTGTGTATACAGAGATATTTTCCTTCCTACGCACCCAGTCGAGATCGTATTACGTCGTGGACTCGCGATAAATGAGCCCTTGCAATCCGAGTGATACTAATTGCAGAAGCACGAAACATTTTGCGGCTCGAGCATTGGAATTGGAGATGGTGCCAGGGTTGATCGTGTCTATACCTTTCACCCCGGGCCTCTGGCAGAGGCAGAATGCTCCTCTGCTGCATCGCGAGAGATGGAATGAGCCCAAAGCTGCGTCGACGAGATGGCGATGGTGTGGCGGCATGTTAGCCTTTCGGCCTATCCAACCCCTCACCCTCAGGACGATACGATGCGGGTGCTCCTACCCGAGATGCGCATTCACCACATCAGAGAGGAGACAAGCAGGTAGGGAAGACATCGCTTCCGTTTTTGTGCCACTACCATTCATCTCATTCGCTTCATTACAAGCGCAAAATGAAGATCCAAAAGATTTACACATATCCCATCAAGGGCATTCGAGCCACTGAACTCAACGAGACGGTGGTCACCAAACATGGCTTCCCTTACGACAGAAGATACATGCTCCTCCAGGTCGAGGAGGGGGGTGGCTACAAGAATATGGCGATCGGACACTACCCTGCCATGGCACGATACTTTCCATCCATCAACATCCCCGAGGACGGCGACGCGCTGACCGGAACTATCACGATTGCATACAAACCCCCAAATGCAGAAGGAACAACGTTCGATATACCCTTAGTACCAAAGACCGATGGCTTGGAGGAAGTCGAGGTCACAATGCACAAGAGCCCAACGAAAGCGTATAAGATGGCACAGAAGTATAACGAGCAATTCTCGTCCTGCTTCGGCTTTGATTGTATACTTGTGTATCTGGGTACGGACATGCGCAGAGTGCTCATGACAACGAGTGGCAACAAGCAAGCTTCGGAAAGTGGATGGCTTTCATCCATGACGAGCAAAGCCACACAGCTTGTCATGGGCAACAATGAGCAAGGCGAGAAGATCACCTTTGCAGACTGCGCGCCATACCTCGTTGTATCGGAGAAATCAATGGACGATGTTCACCACCGATTACAAGATGGCGAGCCTTATGACATCGTCAAGTTCAGACCCAACATCATCATATCCGGCGCGGACGAACCATGGGAGGAAGATTTCTGGGGTGAATTGACCTTTGGTGGTGATACGAAGATAGTGTGCGACCACAATTGTGGTCGTTGTAAGTCATTGAACATAGATTAGGTACAGTACAGTTCTCACGAGGGACGTGACCTCAGGAACCGTATGCTGACAATTATACAGTAAGTTCGACTTGTTCTGCGAGCCGTCTCTTCGCCTAAGACTCCCGACGATCCTTTGCCAGAGGCGGTCTTTAAAGCAAAACATTGCTTCCTACCTTGTCTTACTCAAACATGAGGATTCCTTCGAAGGAACCGAACTTAAGCTGACGTGTTGTTCCTGGAAGCGCGACCGGAGCTCCTGGCACAGGCGAAGCAGGCAGTATGCTTAAGAAGCTTAGTAGCGACAGGCGAGTGGACCCGGGCTGCAGGTGGAGCCCGGTCTTTGGGAGGTATTCATTCTTGCACCCGGGCAGCGAGGGACATACGATACATCTTGGTGATGAGGTGGTTGTCAGCAAGAAGAATGATGAGAGGACTGCATTTGGTGAGTATAGAAGTCTGTTTCATCGATTCAGCTCACTGCTAATATGCTACAGACTGGGAAGGTCTCACGACCCTGAAGTCCAAATGAACCTTACCGCATGAATCCATTTCAGTCATCGTCATACCGCCGCCACCTGTACTCATCCTCACGACCACCTCGTGCTCTCGGGCCCGCAGGCCGTGGTCTAGACGTCCAAAGCTCTTCCACGTCCATCAACAATTGCACAGTCGACTCCAGATCCTTGATCAAAGCATCCATCAGCAGCCGATCCTTCCGTACCGACTGCATCATTTCTTCCACACCATGTAGCGTTACTTGAAGCTTATTGATTGTGTTACGGAGGATCTCAGGACTCAACCTGACCTCCGAGCCGTTCAGATCGCCTAAACGAGGTAGCTCACACATCTGCATGTCCTTCATGGCTTCTAATAGAGACTTCATGTCTCTGTATGTCGCTACTCCAGCGTGCGGCTGCTGGGCTGCAGCACCGTCCTGGGTTGCAGCATTGCTACCGTCCCAATCGATCTTCATCGTCCAAAGCGCAATCATCATATTTGGCGGCACCCACTGCACGATGGAGGATTGTATGACCTCGTTCTCGAATTGCTCTTTGATGGCTTTGCAATGCTTGACTGCATACTGTAGAGCCTCGTATAAGGCTTCAGCAGCTTTGTCGAAAGCTATCAAATTGTGTCCGGAGCCTCCTCGATGCTTCGGTGATCTGAAGGCCATCCCGCTGGCGGATAGTGGATGGCGTATCGGCACTTCTTCAAGCTCTTCGAAGCGATCATAGTTCGGGACACTTGCTCCGGCTCCGTACATGCTGCGTGGCCATGGCATCGCGCCACTCATCGGCGTCCACATTTCTTCAGTCGATCGCGCAGGATGTCGCCTTGTCCAACCTCTAAAGTTCTGCGCTCGCGCCACATCCTTGCGATTGCGGTATGGCAATCCAACGCCAGGCATGCCGAACATGGCGACGAAAGCAGTGAGCCTCAGCGCTTAGATGACGAAGGGTCATGTGTCGGGATGTAGTAGGTCGACATGTTCTTTGAAGGTTTGAGTGTGCGGCCTGCTTGCTGGGACGTTGCACAACTGCAGGCTTCCGTACTGTGACCACAATATCCGCGCAATCCACGAGGTTTGTGAGAGCGCCACTGGGTATCGACGAGAGAGCAAATGGCTGTTGCGCGCAATGCTTGCTTCACGTCGCTGATTCTGTATATTTTCGCCGCCTGTCTGCTTCCACCTCATTCATCGTAGGGATCGTACAGCGTCCTTTACATTCATCCTTATACCATCCGACTTTCAGTCTAGCTTTCGCGGTGCTGCTATCGTCTGAAAGCAACAATTAGCCCTGTTGTTTTTTGCTGGAGATCGTTGTCAGCAGGTACGTACTTTCAGTAGCTTGCCTGACGGCGGCACGAAGGTCGACCCACTCTTCTCTGACAGTGCCCTCGCGAGAAGTAGATGCATGGGTCTCCTCTGCTACCTCTGTCCGCTTGTCGCGACCATTTGTCTCATTGTCGTTGTGTGCGTTGTCGTCCTCATCATCACTGTCGTCATACGTGGACCGTTCGGGCTGGTTGGCCGGTGGTTTCTTGCCCTTGACGGTCTCCTTCAATCGGCTTTGGTTTGCCTCGACTCGCCGCATATATCGATTGTTGGAGAGCTGAGGCCCGGCATGCCATATACCTTCTTGGCGTGGGTTCTGGGACAGCAGAGTAAATGCGGCTTGTCGAATGCTAGGGTTTCGACATCTTGAGATGGCCATCCACAGTGGATCGGTCACCCATAGCGAGAATGAGAGGTACGGCGCTCCCGCTGCGCCACCGCTCAGTGTAGGGAGCGGTGGACAAGAGAAAGTCGCCAGTACTTCACGCGAAAGGTCGACAATTGCACGGAACTCTGTTTCGTACGGATCATAGGCCACTGGTCCTGCAGACTGGTCCACTGAAGCAAGCATTGTGCCAACGAGATGATTCGCCTTTAGCACCATAGCTCGCTTGAAGTCCATATTGACCATGAAGTCTCTGTTGTCGGCGAGGAAGGCCGTGAAAGCACTCTCCCATTGCTGGAACCAGGGAGCATAGCGTAAGTATTTCTTGGCTTTGCTCTGTGCAAGTTCTTCGCTTGACCCAGTTGGCTGGAAACTTTGCATGAAGCGCATGATGCTATTCAATGCGTGGTGCAAAGCATTGTGTGCATGGTCCAAGCTGAAGATTAGGTCAACTTGTGGTAGCGTCGTGTAGTCGGAGTCTGTCTCTGGTCGTTTAGCTTTGTCCAGCAATGCGGTCGCTTGGACTTCTAGTCGTTCTACCAGTGGTCTCATCTGCTCGATATCGTCGTCTACGCTAGTTGCTGTGCTGGCCAAGCTGCCATGTCCTGCGGCCTGTAGTAGGCGTCGACCTTGTAAAGCGTGACTAACGGCACTATCGCAACGACCCTGCATCGCTTCGAAGCAGGTGAACAGCACACAGGTTGTGAGTGCAATTCTCGAATTAGGCGCTTGACCGCCAGAGCGAGCTTGAGCATTTGTGAGAGAAGCGATGGCCCGATTACACTGGTTCAGAGCAAATTCCATTGCTTGAGATTTCCGCTTCTCGTCTGCGAACGCACGTTGTATAATGGCTTCATGCAAAGCTCCGATTGCTGTAATGGCATGTAGTATCGCAGGTTGGTGGTACGATGTCTGTATCACCATCTTCTGCCAGAATGTCGAGTCAAAGAACCCCTAGCAACGGCTGTCAATGATTTCCTCATGTCAGCGATCCCGTGAAAGTACTTACTGCCATTTGTGGCGCAGTGAAGCTCACTAGGAAAAAGAACGTCAGTTCGTGGAAAACAATAGCAACTCTCAAGATACTCACCAAAGAAGTTCAGACTATGTCGCTCACGCCAATTCCGTCGCCAGGTAAGATCTGGTCGATATGCGCCAAGAGCCAGAGACTCTGGTGTTGAGCTTGAGCTCTCATGATCTTCGTCTTGGTAGTTCAGGTTCCAATCATCGGACATGGCACGTTTGCAAGCTGGATTACGCGGATCGCATGGTATTCCTTTCACGCTAGATATCTCTGTCAACGCTGCTTCCGCTAACGATCTGTTCGAATATATACTCACAGACAAGGTATGCATCCCGTCTGCATCATCTTCCCCCTGGTGCTCGAAAGTGCGCCAGTAGGAATCTGGCTGAGCGAAAGCTCCCACGTCTCGTTTTCGCTAGATAGCTCGGTGTACAGCTGCGTGCTGTCGTCCACCCATTCTCCATAGTCGTTGCCATTGATATCGAGATTCAGCCAGTCTTGGTCGCCCTCTATCCAATTGCTAGTTGCAAGCTCTTGCTGCAGCCAAGCCTGATCGACGTCGTCAACGTCTGCGATTTGGCCTTCTGGAAACGTCGTTGATTGTCTTGCCCTCTTCGATGGTCGTGGGTTGGGCGAAGGAGCTCGATCTATGTCAACAACCCCATTCCAGCTCGCCTGAGCTATCCAGGTATCGCTGTCCATCTCCGGCACTCCAGGTGGAGATTGGCTGTATCATGTTACGAGTGCACAGATCACAAGGCGACAGCTTTGTCGATAACGTATGGATGCCACACTCAGCTAGGCAACATTGCTTGGTAATGTTCAGGCTCAAGTACGCCGACCCGACGGATTAATGAAGATCAATGCAGCCGGACATAGGCCTGGGTATCACTCCGCTTAGGCGACATGGATCTTGGGATAAATTTCGATTTCAAGCAGCCGGCGCATGTTGCTCACCGACACAGATCAGGCGCGAGCTCACGAGGTTGCAGTGTTGGAGCCAACTATGACATACGTGCATAGTGCTATCTTTCAGCCGCAAGAGACTAGCCGTAGACGAGCACCTTGGCCTCAGCCATGTCGTGAGCTTTCGGCTTTGCGAATCTCTGTACTGACGATTGAAGGCTCGGGAATGCCGCCACTGCGAAGTGACGCCTCAGTTTGTGCTTGCTGTCATGCTGGCGGGTTGTGCTGGCCGAACATTGTTAGCAGATCAAAATAGGCAGGAGCGGATGCATAATAAACCTCGCACGCACCCCGTCTCGTCTCAGTCTCGGATCAGTAAGCGTATACTAGCGCGATAGGATGCATCGGCGTGTGGACAGTCCGATGACAGCCATGATTTCGTGCTCGGAGCAATGCTTGTTATGCAGCAATGCTTCGCCATGGCCATCAATTAAACCGCAGCATATGCAGGCAGTACAGACGTTCCGGCACGCAGGCGGTATGGCCTTGCGCTGTCCAGTTCCGAAGACAGAGCACGGAAGTAAAGCCAACGCATGATGTAGCAATACTCGGCGGAGGCATTACTGGTCTCGCAAGTGCATACTACCTTGCACGAGAGCTGCCAAACTCGCGCATCACTGTCTATGAGGCGTCGGATCGCATTGGAGGATGGCTTTCGTCGAAGCGGGTACCAGTCAAAGATGGAACCATACTATTCGAGGCCGGTCCTCGAACTCTACGACCAGCCAGTAATGGAGTGCTTTCCGCAAGGATGATGCAAGAGCTGGATCTTGCGAAGGATGCCATATTCCCGCAGAAGACCTCGCCTGCTGCGCAGAATCGATATGTATACTATCCGGATCATCTGGTGCGCATGCCACACCCAGCATTCGGGTTTGCTGAAAATGCCTGGAGTCTTCTGACAGAGCCAGTGTTCAGCGGAACACCTTGGGCAGCAGCCCAGGAGATCTTCAGAGAGGCTCGAGATCAAGGTGTGCAAGATGAGAGTGTGGGTGACTTTTTCTCACGACGACTGTCACGAAACACCGTTGACCGCATACTCAGCGCTGTTTTACATGGTATCTATGCTGGAGATGCTTGGCAACTATCTGCAAAGAGTCTGTTCTCGGGACCATGGCGTGACGAAGCAACTGCAGGCAGCATCTTCGCGGGCATGTTGAAGAGCAGAGCAGATGGGCCGGAGTTGACAAGGCGAGAAGCGGACTTTCTGCAGGTCATGAAAAGCTACAATTGGGATCCGCTACTGCGAGCGACGCTGAAAGACACAACTGCTTTCACGTTCAAGGATGGATTGCAGATGCTGGTCGACAAGCTTGCAAGACATCTGGTGGAGAAAGGCAATGTAGAGTTCAGGACTTCCACGCCTGTCACATCCATCGTAGCATCGGAGAATCGCAATAACGTTACTGTGAACGCGGAGGATGCAACGCAGTCCGGCACCTACACTCATGTCATCTCGGCGCTGTCACCAGGACACCTCAACCAGGTGGCTAGGAAACTAGAAGATACGGCCACCACGATTCTGGTACCTAGCATTCCCACCGTGACTGTCATGACCGTCAATCTCTATTTCCGGACACCAGACTTGCATCCTCCCGGCTTCGGCTATCTGATTCCACAAGCCACACCGTTCGAGAACAATCCCGAAAGGGCACTTGGAGTAGTGTTTGACACAGCATACTCGCCTTCCCCAAAAGACTTGGACCTCAACAACTGGCAAGTCAACGACGTCGATCAGCTGAAGCAAGCGCGAGAGCAAGGTCAGCTCATTAACGTGAACGACTTCGCATGGTACAACATGCCCCACCAGCCCAACAAACAAGATGATGTGCCCGAGCGCGGCACGAAATTGACAGTGATGCTGGGCGGGCATTGGTGGAATGGCTGGCCTAGCTTTCCCGATGAAAAGGAGGGACTGGCACTCGCTAGATCAGTCTTGCAGCGGCACCTCAACATTTCAGAAGAGCCCGAGGCCTGGCAAGTAAACATCCAAAAGGACTGTATACCACAGTATACTGTCGGCCACGAAAGCCGACTCAAGTCAGCACACAACAACATATGGCGTGAGTATAAGGGTCGGTTACGGGTGGCTGGCAATTGGATGGCTGGAGTAGGTGTCAATGACTGCCTCAGATCTGCTTGGGATGTAGTCCAGAGCCTACGCAGTGGCATGGATGGCACAGGTCTAGAGCACGTCGGGACGACTGACTTTGTTCGACTGAAGCCTGTGAGGCCGGGACAGCAAAGTGATAAGTGAAAGCATAGCGTGTACATTAGATGGCTGTAGACGTACATCCTCGTAAGCGTGACCAGCACTCAGCACGTGCGTTCGTGATTGCGCTAGTGAAAAGGCGCGCCTTCCGAGTTCGCGACCACGAAATTTGTGACTCTTGTAACGATATTTATGCTCACAATACATCGCCTCTGCCGTCCTTTGATCAGATCAGACCTACCCTCATCCGTACCGCCTCCCTTTACGTTTCAATGTCCAACTCCACAGGCGAAAGATTTCCTCCGTCGCTGCATCGCCGCCATGGCTGAACGATCGTCAACAGCAACGGCAATTCTGCCTGTCAACGCCAAAAACATCGGCAAACTGAAAATTAGACCAAAGAGTGATGACCTCCTCGATGATATTGAGATAGATCTGGACGAGACTTCATCTGACGCACAGCATCTTCTTCGTGCAGCAGAGGAGCTGAGGACTTCTAATGTCCCCATTGCCTTCCCTACCGAGACTGTCTATGGACTTGGCGCAGACGCTACTCGGAGTAATGCCGTACAGGGTATTTATCATGCTAAGCAAAGACCGTCCGACAATCCACTCATTGTGCACTTCGCTTCTCTCGACCAACTGAGAGCTCTGCTCCGACCTGGCATGAGTATTGGAGATGGGCCTTCGATAAATGCTACCAACGATCCTATACCGTCTATCTATAGGCCGTTGATCAAGCAATTCTGGCCTGGTCCATTGACCATTATTCTGCCTAATCCAACCGGGTCGCCGTTGGCACCCGAGGTCACTGCCGGACTGAGCACGTTCGGAGCCCGCATGCCTGCGCATCTACTTGCTCTGGCACTTATCAAGCTGACACATGTTCCAGTCGCAGCGCCTTCTGCGAATGCGTCGACGAAGCCTTCGCCTACTGCAGCAGAACATGTACATCATGATCTCGATCGTCGAATACGTACCATTATCGATGGTGGGCCATGCAGTGTGGGCGTCGAGAGCACAGTCGTCGATGGGCTATCTGAACCACCAACGATCCTACGACCTGGTGGCATCAGCATTGAACAACTGCGATCGTGTCCTGGTTGGGAGAACGTGCAGATGGGCTATAAAAACGCTGCCGAGACAGGAAGCCAGCCAAGAGCACCAGGCATGAAGTATCGCCACTACTCGCCGAAGGCTCCCGTGATTCTGTATGAGGTTGGAAGAAGCCCTCCTGCCAACCAGGAGATGGTACCATTTCTTGGAACCAATCAACGTTTAGGCATGGTCCGCACCAAGCGATGGAAAGTCAACCATCGACACGAGGATAGAGCGGTCACACTCGAGGCTGGCAATGTGAATGGCACAGAGCTATCTAATCGCAATCGCGACAACAGGCATATGACCGGAGTCACTGCTCTTATTGCCGCCCTAGACGCAACACCCGAGCCACGTAAGGCGATGCAGTCGATGTCATTAAACGCCCAAGAGACTACGTTCCTCGTCCTTGATATCAATATCGGTCCGAGCACAGACAGTATCGCCAGAGGCATTTTCGCGGCTTTACGCGAGCTTGATAGAGAGGATGTTGATGCTATACTGGTGGAGGGCATCGACGACATCGAAGACTCGGTCGCCGCAGCGGTCATGAACAGGATACGCAAAGCATCAGAAATCAAGCTGTCTTCATAATCCTCACGACTACTCTCATGGTAACGATGTCCAACTAGTGCATCAAATATCGGCAATACATCGTGGCAAGCCCGGCGAAAATGCAAGTCTTGGTCCACTTGACCGATAAGCTCTCGCCCCGCACTCATACAATAGACGATCTCAAGAGATATGCGAGCCGTCATCGACTTCACTATCTCGCAGAAGGTCCGCGCAAAACATAGCTGTCCCGGCCCCCAATTACGACCTCGGCGTTCCGAACTGAACACAAGCCCTCCAAATTCGTCATCCCACGACAGTATCAGATTATTGGCAAATTATCTCTCTCAACCTTTTCCTTCTCGAGCAAAAGATCATTGCTGTGTGGATCCAGTCCTTCGATCGGCATCGTGCAAGGCGGGCCGACCATAGCAGCATTACCCGTAATGGGCTCCATAGCGTACGATGCCCCAAAGGACGACAGTAAAAGAGCAGTCACAATCCTGGTCACAGGCTTTGGTCCGTTCCAGGAAAAGTACCCGGTAGGTCTCACCCACTGCCATTTCGTGATTTATGCCTTTTGTTAACACGGCTAGGTCAACCCATCATGGGAAATAGCAAGATCCTTACCATCCGCCTTACCAAACGCCACCGCAGATGGCAGACCTATCCAGATCATTACCTATGGTTCTCCAATACGCGTTTGCTACAAGGACTCTTACGAGCTGATACCACCTCTTCTGGAAGCATATAGCTCAACCATTGACCTAGTCCTCCACATTGGCATGGCTTCGGGTCGAGCGTTCTATACTGCTGAGCGCTACGCACATCGAGATGGTTACGTGAAGAACAAAGATCTGGATGGTAATCTCCCTCAACTTGACGAGTCCGAAGACCTTTTGAAAGACTGTCCCGAGCGTTTAGAGACATCTTTGGGCTTCGAGAAATTGCTGCAACAGTGGCAATATACCATCAAGCATATTCCTGCGACTTCGCCAGCTCATGGTGCGGATTGCCGAGGTAGTGATGACGCTGGTCACTATCTCTGTGACTACACGTACCGTAACAGCATGGTTTGGTACGGAAGGACTAACGAGATGCTCGAAGGCGGAAAGAAATCTGATCGGCCCGTGATGTTTCTACACGTGCCCGCCGAGAGTGATGAGGCAACGTTGAAAAAGGGAGCCGTGGTGGCGATAGCACTGATTCAGGCGATGGTGGATGATCTGATCGCGCCGGACTCATCTTGATCTGCGTGCTATCGCGCGAGCGCCGGTATGGAGTGCTAGAGGTCGGGCAGGCAAGCTAGTCTCAGATAGACCTTTATAGCGATACACAAGAGCCCATGGTGCCGGCATCCTAGTCAAGCTAAGTCCCATCCGTGACCACATCGCATTGCGCAGCAGGGCGCACCATACACCAATGCTTTCCTGCTGACCTGCCTCCGTACTCGCGCCCATCGAACGGCTTCTCTTTCATGACCTTGAAACCATACCGCTCGTATAGCGGCTTCCCAATTACACCTGCCACTATATAAACCGGTAGGTCACCAGCAAATTTCTTCAGGCCATGCTTGAGCAGTAATGAGCCCGCTCCACGTCGTTGGTGGCTTGGATTGACAGCTAGTAGCCGCAAATTTGTGTACGGACGGCCTTGCATCGTTTCATATTCGCAACGCATACTCACAGTGTAAGCTTCTTCAGCCAAGGCGATATTAGATCCGGCCACTGGTGCCCTGAGCTTCCTTGCTTCCTTGGCTTTCCCCAAAGCAGCAGTAATCTCTGCCTCCGTTCTTGGTGGATCATGAGTCGTAGCCCACCACGATACACCTACGATTTCCCTAGTCTGGCTGTCTCTAGCAACAAAGCAGTGTTCGCCGATGTTGCCACCAGTCTCGCGTATGACTCTTTGACACAAAGTTTCTTGGATGTGCGGCAGAAGTCCCATGGGATAGACCATGGGTAAGATCATGTCTGCCTCAAGGGGCTCGAAGGCGTTCCAGTACAGCTCAACGTATCTTTTAAGGTCCTCATGCTGCAGAGGCTCCACTAGTACAGTCCCAGCCATGCTCGCCGAGGCAGAAAAATGGCGATAATGCAGCGCGAGGGAGTGTAAGTAGAACAGTACTGTCTGAACAGATCAAGGCGACTGTGGCAAGAAGATGATGGAGCTGTCCTGCTTCTCCTGACGGTCAACTGTTCTACGCAGGTGACAAAGCTTTTGCTCCAACCGCGTGCAAGTGATCAGGACTCTATAGTCAGCTGAAGGCAGGACCGTGTGCTTGGTGGGAACTGGCTTCATATCGAGGAGGTTGGAGTTCATCGCAGTCGTGAGATAGTGCTGCAAATAATGTTGGCCTAAGGCCTTCCACTTTACGCGTCGAACTTTCGCAGCGCGTAACGCGACTCCATCTCTTGCAGCAAGCACGTATTATCTCCACCAACATACACAATGTCGAGCCGACCAGAATTGAAACTCGACGATGAGGTCGGGTTCATCAAGACATTTCACCAACTGGAAGCGAACAAAAATGACGAGACCGTCCGCATCTTCGATCGTGGCGACTGGCTCAGCGCCCATGGCGAGGATGCAATGCTCATTGCACGAGTCCAGTACAAGACTACTTCCGTCGTGAAGACTCTAGGCCGAAGTCCAGGACTACCTTCTGTCACCATGACATGGACGGCGTACAGAAGTTTTCTTCGTGAGGCAATCTTCCGCCTGGGCAAGCGCATTGAGGTTCTCCAGACTACAGGCAGAAACCAGTGGAAGGTAGCAAAACAAGCATCCCCAGGCAACCTGCAAGACATCGAGGACGAGCTCGGTGGTCACATCGATTCTGCGCCAATCATCTTAGCGGTTAAGGTTTCTGCCAAAGCCACCGAAGCACGTCAAGTCGGCGTATGTTTCGCTGATGCAAGTGTCCGAGAGCTGGGCGTGAGCGAGTTCGCTGACAACGACATCTACTCAAATTTCGAGTCTCTCCTCATTCAGCTTGGCGTCAGAGAGTGCCTGATCCAGATCGATGGCACGAAGAAAGATGCCGAGCTGCACAAGCTTAAGGTCATTGCAGACAACTGTGGTTGTGCTGTATCTGAAAGACCCCAAAGCGATTATGGAAACCGCGACATCGAGCAAGACCTGACAAGACTGCTACGAGATGAACGCGCAGCTGGAACGCTTCCGCAGACCGATCTCAAGCTCGCAATGAGTTCCGCTGCGGCTCTGATCAAATATCTCGGCGTCATGTCAGATCCTACCAACTTCGGCCAGTATCAGCTATACCAACATGACTTGAGTCAGTACATGAAGCTGGACTCTTCGGCGCTAAAGGCACTGAACCTGATGCCCGGACCCAAGGATGGATCCAAGACAATGAGTCTCTTCGGCCTGCTCAATCATTGCAAGACTCCAGTCGGCAGTAGGCTGTTAGCTCAGTGGCTCAAGCAACCGCTCATGAATATCGAAGAGGTTGAGCGAAGACAGCAGCTCGTGGAAGCTTTCGTGAGCGATACGGAACTTCGGCAGACCCTGCAAGAGGAACATATGCGCTCGATACCAGATCTCTATCGACTTGCGAAGAAGTTCCAGCGAAAGAAGGCTAATCTTGAGGATGTTGTCAGAGCGTACCAAGTTGCTATCAGACTGCCAGACTTCATTGGCACGTTCGAAGGGGTCATGGACGAAGTGTATAAAGATGCACTAGACACAGAGTACACGGACAAGCTTCGCTCATTTTCAGACAGCTTCTCGAAGCTTCAGGAAATGGTTGAGACGACTGTCGACCTCGATGCACTCGACAATCACGAATTCATCATCAAGTCTGAGTTCGATGATGGCCTTCGTATCATTCGCAAAAAGTTGGACAAATTACGCTACCAAATGGATGCCGAGCATCGTGCAGTCGCTGATGATCTCAACCAAGACCCAGAGAAGAAGCTTTTTCTGGAAAACCACAAAGTGCATGGATGGTGCTTCCGTCTGACCAGGACTGAAGCTGCAGCCATTCGCAACAAAAAGCAATACCAGGAATGCTCGACACAGAAAAACGGCGTCTTCTTCAGTACGACCAAGATGACAACCTATCGAAGAGAACATGATCAACTGTCGGAGAACTACAATCGCACCCAAAGCGGTCTTGTCACAGAAGTAGTAAACGTGGCTGCTTCGTATTGCCCAGTGATTGAAAAGCTCGCAGGCGTGCTCGCGCATCTGGATGTTATCGTCAGCTTCGCTCATGTTTCAGTACACGCACCGACAGCATACGTCCGTCCCAAGCTACACCCGCGAGGGACTGGCAACACGATACTGAAGGAGGCTCGCCACCCATGCATGGAGATGCAAGATGATGTGTCCTTCATCACCAACGATGTGTCCCTCCTGCGCGGAGAATCAGAGTTCCTCATCATCACTGGGCCAAATATGGGCGGCAAATCCACATACATTCGCCAGATTGGTGTCATTGCGCTCATGGCACAGATTGGATGCTTTGTGCCGTGCTCGGAAGCTGAGCTCACACTCTTCGACTGCATTCTTGCTCGGGTAGGTGCAAGCGATAGTCAGCTCAAAGGTGTCAGTACCTTCATGGCAGAGATGCTTGAGACTGCCAATATTCTCAAGACAGCTACCCGCGAATCTTTGGTCATCATTGATGAGCTCGGCCGTGGCACGAGCACGTACGATGGCTTCGGTCTTGCCTGGGCGATTAGCGAGCACATCATTAAGGAGATTGGCGCTTTCTCGATGTTCGCCACGCATTTCCACGAGCTCACGGCACTGAACGAGACGTACTCGCAAGTCCAGAACCTACATGTTGTGGCACATATCGGCGACGCAGATGGGGATACTTCGATGAAAGATGACAGCACTAGCAACTCACGTCGTCGAGAAGTTACACTCCTCTACAAAGTCGTTCCAGGCATCAGCGACCAGTCCTTCGGCATACACGTCGCCGAGCTCGTTCGCTTCCCACAAAAGGTCGTGAACATGGCCAAGCGGAAAGCAGACGAACTGGAAGACTTCTCCGGCAAAAATGAAGATGTCCAGCATGTGCAAGCCAGCAAGCAAGAAGTCGAGGATGGTAGCAGAATGCTCAAGGAAGTGTTAGTGAAATGGAAAGAGCAGGTTGAAGCCGAGAACCTGAGCAAAGAGGCGCAAGTGCAAAGGATGAAGGATCTAGTTATGGGCAACGAGGCGTTGCTTGCTAACCCGTTCTTTCAGAGCGTCAAGGCGCTGTAGTTGCTCGAAACGGAGTAGCTGACTTTCTTGCTCTTCAGCGACGGCGTTGGACGGCTTCAATGCAAACGAAATCAGAAAGGGACATTGTAGCCAATAATGTATTATAGCTCCTTTCAAAACCTGCCACTTTTTGTCTGCCTACTTGCCCGCTAAATACAAGACCACCGCAGCGCTCGTGCGCCATGCACGTGTCCAAGATGCATTCTGCCGTTCCCGGCTCCACGCAATGCAGAAGGAACATTTGAGATGAAATGTGCTCGCGAACAGTCTTCTCAGTCTCAACATGCTTATGCAGTACCCTCTGGAGCAGCCTCGTCTTCAAGTTTTGTCTTCTGCAGATCATCGGCGACATCGTTGACTGCGTCGTCTTCTTTGTGCTCGGCTCCTGCGGTTGCACTACCATTGACTTGCTGCTTAGCAGCTGCCGGCTTGCGCGCGGTCTCCGTTGAGCTACCAGCCTTGGACTCAGCGGCCGTCGCCTCAGCCTCGAGGCGATCAATCTCGGCTTGAGCCTGTGCAATGTTCTGCAATGCGTTAGCTGAATTGGTTTCAGAAGCGAGCGAGGTATGCTTACCTCCTTGGTCTTGCGATCCTGATCACCCTTCCAGTGGTCAAGCTTCCCTTTCAGCTTCTCAACAACGGCTGGCACGTCGCTCTGGGACATCGGCGGGTCGACATCAATTCTGCCAAGACCGTCGATGGTACCCATATCGAGCTGAAACTTGCTAGCCGCCGGTGCAGGCGAAGCGGCACCACCAGCTGCCTGCCCACGACTCTTCTTATTCTTCTTTCCACCTCCACCAATGAAATAGTTCTCCTCGTCATCACCTTTCTTCGGAAGTCGAGTACCTTTGATTCCACCATCCTCAACAGTCCTTGATGCAGTGGCTGCGAATTTGCCTGGTCCGGCGACTTCTGCCTTCTGAGCTGATGACGGGTCGAAGTAGGCCATCAGGTTCTGAGCGGTGCGGATCTCTTCTTGATATGCAGGGGCACTGGCCTCGTCGAGCTTCTCGCGAGCTGCAGTCTGCCTCCGGCCACGGTGATAAGCATCGTTCTCCACACGTCTCTTTTCTTCACGGATACGGCGAGCCTCTCGCTCGTATTCGACAGCTGCTCTTCGTGACTGGAAGTATCTGTCCTTGATCTCCTTGACAGTGGTATACTTCTTCTGTTGCTCGTCGTGCGCCTTTGTGCGCTCATCTCGCATTGAGTTCAAGCTCTTGAATGCATCATCTTGCTCAGCCTTGATCTGGTCCAGCTCGGTCGTGATAGCAGTGTAACGATCGCTCATTGCTCTTGATTCGGGATCGTCCATGGTCTTGCGAAGCTCAGCGATTTGTGCTTTAACATCATCAATACCCTTCTGCGCATCCTCGAAGCCAGCAAAACCCTTCTTCTGCCTGTTGAGCTGCGAGATCTCGGCAAGAGCCTTCTTTTCGTCGACAATCTTCATAGTGCCAGTGTCAACCTGCTTTTGAAGGCGATCGATCTGCTGCTGGACCTCATCGACTGACTTGAAGGGCGTGCGGCTGCGGGCGACTTTCTGCTCGTTTATGCGAGATTTCAAACCTTCATCCAAACGCTTGATCTTGTCCATAACCTGGGTGCGGGACGACTTGCCGGCCTGCTGCTGGGTGCGAATCTGCTGGAGCTCGGCGCGAAGTTCCTGCTGGCGTTTCGATGAGGGTGAGTCCTTGTTGTTAGGTCGCGCATTGTCGAGCTTGGCCTTGATTTGCTTCTGCGGGCATTGTTAGCCTTCTCAGCCCTCGAGTCCGCAGTCACATGCTCATTTGCTGACTGCTGCAGCCAGCCATTGGGAGACACTCACCATGCGGTCTTCCGACGAGCGTAATTCCTTCTCGGCTTGTGCAAGCTCTTTCTTGTACGTATCCTCATCAGGTCGTTCGGGCTTGGCGACACTTGTGGACTTGTCCTTGGGTGCAGAAGATGGGTCGGCATTGGCCATTGCGGCAGCACTCGGTGTGCCTACGTCCGCCATTTCGGTGGTTTGCAGGCTAGCTGCAGGTGTTGGTATATTTATTGATTACGTGGTGCGTATTGGCGTATATGATATGGTAGATGGGTGGTTCGAGTCGATGTTCGTGATCATGGAGCAGTTGCCAGATGGTCAAAAGCCTCGAGGCTCTGTCGGTGCGAAATGTCAAGAAAGTCCACATGGCATTGCGGAACAGGTGCCGAGAGTGGAACCAGGGGTCACTTGCGGCTGGCTCGTGCGTACATTCACTCGATCTCCTCACGTGAATGAGACTGTTCTGTCCTCGTATGTCAAGCTGTGAGTGGGTAGTACGGCTTTGCGGTTGGAGGAGTGTGTGCAGGGGGTCATTGTCAAAGTACGACCGTCTCGAAAAAGCAATGGACAATGCTGTAATAGCCAATGTATTTGGCACGCTCGGAGCAGTTTGCTGGTCTGTTCAACTGATACCTCAAATCGTTCTGAATTACCGCCGGCACAGTGCTCATGGTTTGTCGGCTCCTTTCATGATGTAAAAGCACTCCTCGTCAGTGAGACATGCCAGCTTGCTAATGATGACCTAGGTTCTGGGCCGGGGCAGGCCTGCCACTCGGCGTGTACAATATCGTATTGAACCTCAACATAGCCTTACAGGTACAGCCTCAGCTATTGACGTTACTCAGTCTCACCACCTGGATTCAATGCTACTACTATGAGCGGAAGTGGAGTCTTGCGAAAGCACTGAGTCTAGTTGTTCCTGTGGCTTGTATCATGGGCGGGATTGAAGTCGGCTTGATCTTCGCAGTGCGTGCAGGTCTACGCCACGGTATCCACTGGCCTGCTACTCTGATGGCAGCTCTAGCAGCAGCACTACTCGCTTTGGGTGTGCTCGAGCAGTACATTGCGATGTGGAAGAATCGCAACGTGGAGGGCATTTCATTCCTGTTCTGCGCCATAGATGCACTGGGCGATGTCACCTCCATCATAGCCGTGATCTTCGAGCCGAACCTGAAGGTCGTTGGCTTGGTGGCGTACAGTGTCGAGTTCGTTCTTTGGTGTGGTATCTTTGCATGTGGTGCTTACTACAAGCTGCTACCACTCATGAAGCGCAGAACTGAGCACTCGAGGATTTATCGTGATACATTACCAAGAGATCAGATCACTCTCCAAGATTTGCCATCGTCGACGTCAGTCTTCCGCACGCCTTCCTCGCTGCGAGACAGAAGTCGGGTCGCCCCTTCCACGTCCGAGTGAATGTCGACAAACAGTAAGCACGCTAAAACAGCACTTCTCTTCGGAAACAATCGAATATTCGCAAACTCCAACCCTCTTCGATTGCACATACACATGCCTTCGACAAACATCAACTTTGGTGAGTCTCAACCCTTTGCGAAGTGTGGCTGTTCTTTGTTCTCTGACACGATATCGCAGATGCCATCACCTGCTTTAGCAGCAACGTCAGTCACGCCGGTTACACGCTCCATCACGCGACTGCACAGGACCTGTGATCATAAGGCATATTCTGATTCACGGGCTTTGACACTGAAGCCGTCGCTAGCCAAGAAAGCTCATCTCCAGTAATCCAGAATCACATTGCGATCATGACGTTTGGGAATTTGATAGGGAAAGCCCTATCCAGTGGGACTAGTGAGTATCGCAGTTTTGAGACAACGATTGAACATGGCTGACTTTGCATAGCAACCCCTGAATCGAAGACGCCGAGCTCCAGCGTCCCAGCACAAGGTCTGCGCCGCAGCGATAGTCAGGAGACTCTTCAATCAGGCATGACTCCCATCAGTGAGAGAGAGGAGCTTGAGTCTGTGCAGAGTTACAGAGTCCCCGATCCACCTCTCAACACTCCCTACGGACCGCTCTCCGAGTACAACAATTCCATCGCGGGCGACAACCCAAACGAGGTCGACCCAGACAGTCTGAAGGAGAAGCTTAAGGGCATGCCGAACAGCATCGAGACTAACACGCCACCAGCTTCCGTGCGTGACAAACTCAAGAGTAAGGTTCATTTCTCCCCAGGCGTCGAAGTGAGGGACTTCGCAGTATGGCATGATGCGGCCGAATCGCTATCATGGTGCTCAAAGTTGACGACAGATGGTCGAATAGGCAGTTACGGTCAGCTGAAGCAATCGCCTTTCAAGGGCACGCGTGGTACCAAGACACCACCAGCGATTGTCGAGTTTCCCGAGCACAGCACTTGGGCTGGAGTTGCGGAGGAGGATGTCACGTCTGGTCTGAAGCGTCTCACCATGCTCGCCAAGGACGAGAACAAGCTCAACCCCTCCAAGTCTGTGTCCGAGTACTTCAGCGAGCGCTTGGCCAAGCTCATCAAGGACGCCGAGCCGGACTTCAACCCGAAGACTTTGGAGTGAAGAAGGAATGCGAGAGTTTTGAGAAATCGGTAAGGAGGACGAGAGGGCCGAAGCGACGAGAAATGGTGCATGCAGAGCAGGCGGGAATGCTCTTTTCAAGTGCTCCAAACTATGCAGAACGAAGCGGGGAGCGCCAGTGAAAGGCTTGAACAATCAGCAAAGAAAAGATAGTTCATTATGTGTCGTAACCCGAAAAGAAACCAATACTAATATCACAGGGTATCACAGCATCGTCCATTGCATCATCAAGCCCACGTTCCAACCTCGCTCACACAAGCGCAAATTGGAAATGGTCATCGATGCACCTCCTCACATGTTCTCCACGACACGTGCGTTCACGGCGCTCTGGAAGCCGTGAGTGCCGTCACCGTACTCGCCCATGCCGTTGTTGCCGGTATTCTGGGTGCTAGCCATGCCCATGTCGTGGTAGCTGGACGGTCCTTCGCCGTGCTGCTCGGCCATGGCGAGCTGAGATTGCACTGTCTGGTTTTGTGCCTAGAACAATGTCAGTACTTTGCCTCATACTCCGGTATTTGGGATGTGTAAACTCACTGGCAAGAAGATAACCTTGCTGTTGGCAGTTCGGGCCATGGCTTGCATAGCCTCCAAGTACCTGATCTGCATAGCAGGTGCACTGGACAAGATGTCGGCGGCCTGCCTCATCAACTTGGCGCTCTCGACTTCGGCGCGAGCACTGATAACCTTTGCTTCACCGGTACGCTTGCTCTGCGCAGCCATGGAGAGCGAGTCCTGGAGCTCTTGGCTGAAGATGATGTCCTTGACCAACATGCTCTCGACCGAGACACCCCAACCAGTGGCTGTTTCGTCGATAATTTCCCGAATAGATTGAGCAATTTCCTCACGGCGTTCAATCACGTCTTGAAGGACGCGGGCACCGATGACGTGGCGGAGAGTGGTCTGCGTGCGCTCGATGAGAGCCATGCGGATGTTGGAGATGCCGAAGGCCGCCTTGTGGGGGGAGATGATGTGATAGTAGATGACGGAAGTCAAGGTCAGGTTGACGTTGTCCTTGGTCATACAGACCTGCTTTGGGACCTCGACGATCTGGATCTTGACGTCGACTTGGAGAAGGTTCTCGGACAATGGGTTGACCTTCACGAGACCTGGGTCGACGGCACGAGCGAATCGGCCGAATTTGGTCACTAGGCCGACGTTTCCTTGTGCGACTGTAGACTTGTTAGCTGTTTTGGTCATCTCTGGAAGCTATCCCAGATACATACCAGGCTTGTAAGGGTTGGGACAGATGATGCAGCAAGGTACAGCACCACATGTGCCGATGATTCGGCCAAGTGTGTCTATCATGGAGCCATACCAGCCATGCTGAGACTCGTCCTCGGTGTCTGGCTTTATGACCTGTGCGTACGATGGCTGGAGATCCTCGCGGCGCGGTGGCTCGACTTTGACGAGTGGCCCCTCGTGTCGCCTGTCAGCACCGTTCATGTTGTCGTGGAGTGGCGCTTTGCCGTTGGTATCCGTTACGCCGTTCATCGTTGTTGTTTGAGATGTTGTGATGAGTTGTTCGTGACACGACGTAGTCTTTTTTGGGTGTGTAAGGATGTTGTGCTCCAGTAAACAGTACTTGTACCTAGCTCAGTGGCGACAGTAGAACTTCTACGCTACTAAGGATGGTCGTGTGTTTATGTAGTCGATAGTGCACGTCATGAGAGTTTGGGTTAGTGTGGGTACCGCCTCTTCCTTCTCCGCATCCAAGCGACAAGGGTCTGAAAGGCGTAAAGCTTGTCTCGCCTCGTGATCGGAGCGTACATGCACTAGCGAGATTTGCACCTTCACAGCCATCAACTGCATTCCTTCATCGATACGAGCAATGTGCGGAAACGTGACCTATGCTGCGCTGTGCCAGTGCCTGTCTTGCGCCCATACCAGATCTCGAGGTCGTGGTTGGAGCAAAAATCACATCCTGCGGGGTGGTGTGGCTTAGACGAATCATTGATGACAATCACAAAGTCCCTCAAAACCATCGGCTGCGGTCTGCTGCAATCATGGCAGCGAGTTCGCCCGAAGCACACTGTGACTCCACGGCAAAGTCGGCATGTATACACCACACCAATACTTTGATCGACGAGATTACAAACTCCTTCCACGCATGTCTTAGCGCCAAGTATCTCCAAGATCTGCATCGGCTCGCGGCATGCATGCGCCCCAAAATCCGGGAGCCTGAGGTTGCCCAGTGCCCACCACACTCTCGGCAGCGGACCAGACGGCTTGACATGGAGGCGCAGCTCGTTCACATGGGCTTGAATTTTACTGCCCAGCAATGCCGTTGGAATACGGTTGTCACACCTGACAGCTTTTTCTGTTCTTGAGCATTGGCATTGCTGAACCATACTGGTCGTGGCACGCTTACAGCATCTTCGCCGTGTGCATTCCACTCTCCTGATCACGGCTGAGCATGAACTGGCGCAGCATTGGTTCTGGGCTAACTTCATACACACCCATCTGTTCTTCATCTTCCACAACGAATCGTTCGGTCTTAGGCGCGCTGGAATCCTTCACGATGCAGTGGTGTGAGCCGCCTCATACCGGAGCGCTTCTCGATCAAGTCGTTCTGGAGCACAATGGTGCAACGACCGTACCGACGGGACCTCATCTGCTACTTGAAGCGCTCACCTTGTACTTCTGTGCATTCGGCATCAGTCGGCATCAGGTATAGGCCTTGACGAAAGCTCTACGTGCCGTACTCTACGATGTGTCTCGGCACTTTTCCGAACGACACAGCAAGTATCCGTCCCACGTCCCATCACCCCAAGTTTAGTGCCTTGTAGTCCCATCTGCAATTAGTATAAGACAAAAGTACAACCACTTTCAATGACAAAGGGTCGCCTGTTGCCGCATCCACAGGCATACTGCAGCTCTAGCCTCTTGGCACTTCATCTCGGAGGTGGTGCGATCCCTATGGCTTGGGGGCCAAACAGCAACTGGGGATTGCGACACACTGTACCGAGAAACAATCATTCTGGCGTCTCTGACCTTGATGAACTAGATCCATCGTTCATCGGCAGAAAACGCAACGACAATGGAACTTGGATTGGAATCACCCGACCACTCACGTGCGAACAGCGAAGATCACGGTGAAGCAGCCTTGCCGGGCACGGATTCACGACCTAACAATGGCAGACATTTCAGCAGCGGGTTCCACATCGCGCCTCTGTTGCTAGATACGGACGATGCGCAATCTGGTCGAATCAAGATCAATTCGAGGCGACGAGTGTCGAGAGTGAAGACATGGGTAGAGCACTTTCAACGGCAGAGGTAGCTTTCTTGAGCTGCGCACTTACACCAAAGAACCACAACGACTAACTTCAAGCATAGATTGTTCCTCTACCTACTGATTGTTGCACTTTTCATGGTCCTGCTCAACATTATACAAGCGTTTCTCATAAGCAATATGCGGCAGACATGGTGGATAGTCATTCTTCCATTGGCCGTGCTCGTGACACTCTTAATTGCCATTGTCGTTGCGGCTGCCTGGCATCGTAGCGAGCTTGTGCCTGTCTGGCAAGATGCAGAAGGTTGATCGGATCTCGGAAGCTCCTAATGACACTATGTGCTGACCACTGTGTAGTTCCACAACGACTTGCGTGGATAAGCATAATATTCTCACTCCTGGTCCCAGTCATCGTCTGCCAGTTCTTCTACATGCCATACGTGGCTGTACCTGCCTGGAGCATAACGAAATGGACAATCAGTGACGAATATCGCCGCAGCACATTACTCCCGGCTGTCTTCATCGGCACGTGGCAAGGCCAATATCATTCCCCGGTTGTTGGCAAAGGGTGCTGGATCTACGGGTCTGCCAATAACAACATGACCGACTGTGATGTGACGGTCAATGCAAAACTGCCGTACTTGAACGACAGCAGGAATCATACCTACCTCTTGTTCGATCCTACACACCAGCAGGTCAGTATATCCTGAAGATATTTATCCGGTATTGGACCATGCTAACAAGACGATAGTAAGTTGCCCTACCTTTGACCTTGGCCGTGTGTTTGGATCGCTACGCTCCTCGCTTATACCATCAAATCTTCTGCCGCAACAAGAACTTTTCATACTTGGTGTTCAATCTAAGATGAAGTCCGCTAACATGCTCCCTCCAACCACAAAGAAATACCCTCGTGAGCTCGGTCGCCACTCATGCGCAAAAACTGCAGCTGAACATCAGCTTGACGTGTAAGTCCTTCGTCAACATGCCCACCCAGCTGTGGCTCCAGACACTGAGATATTCAGACTATTGGAATGCAAGCACCATGGGAGACACAGTGATCGACAGCAGTCCGATCGGCATATCGGTTTTCGACGCCTCACTTCCTTTCAATGTAACAGACTTGTTGAGCAATTGCGGCAACCCTTCGCCATATTACAGCTTCTGGCAAACCATCAGTACCAAAACACGAATCTTCCTTAGCGCAGGTATCACGGCCATGGACAACAAAGTCGACATGGTGCCCAAACAAGACAATTTGCCGAGCTCAGAAGCCTGCTCCGCGGGACTCGCAGCGAAGTCTTCGTATGACTATTTCACACCTGTGCTGCAGACCTTTGATTCGGGACAGCAGTGTGATTCTAGTGCTGCTACCAAGGACGATCGCGGCTATCTAGTTCTGACCTGTTGGCTCAATCTTTATGTGTCGCTGCAGTCGACCCTGGCTACGACGCAGACGACGAGTCGTGGGACTAGTACGTTGAAGATTTTGATCGATGAGGGTAGTATTGTTGGTGGTATAATGTTCTTCACTTGGTTCTTGACGATCTTCTTGTAAGCGTTGCCAACGTAATCAATCTTGTTTGCATAGCAGTGCTGGATGGCAAAGGTGATTACCACATTGATTGTACCTTGGACATTGCGAGGTGTCGGATCTCGATGGTTGTACGATATAATAGCTGAGAAGTCCAGACAACGTGGCACGGCATTTCGGCATAGTACTATACAGATCTTGTATACAATCATGACCTGACAGCCACAATACATCGCCATCCTAGACTTCAGGTAGCCGTATAGGCTGCATGCTGCCTTCTCCCTGCTCGTCGACACCTCGCCATGAATTCATCTGCGCCCAAGCTAGGCCGAGCCACTCTACGATTCCACCTACTATTGAGCGACGAGACGGTCACGGCGTCGTCTAGGGCACTCGGGGCAGCTTGAGCACCGGCTACAGCCTGCTCTTGCTGGGTCTCCGGGATCACGGGCACTTTCGCGTTTTCATGAGCTGGTGGATCGATCGCCAGTATCTGCTGGTCTGCTCCATCATCTCTATCATTGTCTTCGTTCATGTCATTGTCCTCGTCAATGTTCTTGCGTTCGGCCTCCGTGTAGTCTGCATCAGGGTTGTCCAGAAGCGCAGGTTTAGCGTCGACTACCTCGTCGTCCTCGGCTTCTGCATCACTATCCTCCACTTTTTCCGCACTGAGGAATTGTGGTCGTTTGTTTCTGCCAGACCTAGGCGCAGCTTCAGAGCGACGCAATCCTGATGAAGGCTTTACACGCTCGGGGGCCTGCCTGACGACTGGTGATGCAGGTAGCGAAGCAGTAGGCATCGCTGGCCTGGCCTGTGGCTTAGCCTTCGGCTTCCTCTTCTCTGGCATGTATGCTCTTTCGAATTGCTCTATCTTCTTGCGCTTGGCATACCCGTCAAGATACGCTATCATTGCAGCAGCTTTGCCAGCAATGGTCGTCTGCTTGGATATCTTACCTTTCTGCCCATACGTCTCAAGGGCATCGTGGTAGGCCTTACGCCGCAATGGCCCAGTAAATCGACTCTCCTGGTTCTTGCTGGTGATGATGGCCCATACAGTGCTTTCGTGACTGTAAACCTTACTGCGGTCCTCCAGCGCAGAGGCAATCTCTTCAAGAACATCGTACACGTCGCCGATAGCGAACATGTCGTACTTCTTGTTGACAGCTCGCTGCTTCTTGCTATGGCCATCATACTCAGCAATTGGTGCTTGCGCTGCAGCAGTAGCTGTTTGCGCTATTGGTAGCTGGCCATGATTTCGCGCCACGAGCTGGGTCCACTTCTCACTGCATCGCTTTCGACTTCTCCTGGAACTCATCTTGGTAGCCACTGTCTCCCAGTTTATCATCCTCTGGACCTCGCTGTCCTCATTTACGATATCACCTTTGTCGATATTGGCTTGCCTTATCTGCTCCATGACCTCGTGTACAATCGTGACAAGGGTAGCCTCTTCTTCTTGGCTCCAAGGTCCGACCGCACGATCGTCGCCATACTGGAGTATAAGTCGATACCGGTCACGGCACTGATCGGCGGTCCGGTCACCCACGATATCGGCGACGTCTTGCCAGTGTTGACCGTATTCCGCCACTGCGTTCACAAGTCGCTCATCCTCCTCCTTGTCGAAAGCGCCATCTTTCTTTGGCCGGTAGCGTCGCATAGCGAATTTCCTTAACGCCCGCGATGTTCTCTTTGGTAAGGCTGCGGCCAACTCTACCTTGAACTCTGGCGCCACATTACGCCAATCGATCGTCGAGGCCCGGAATTCGAACAGATCGAACTGGTTTCGCTGACAGACGTAGTCGAACACATCGTCCGCAACTGCTTTCTCAGCAGCCGAGAACAGCCCTGAGCTTGGCCCACTCTCGAGAGGGTGCGGTAACGTGACCGGTAACGCGCGTCCGATATTGAGGTCGACAACAGCAGGTTTATTATCTGGCGGTGCTGTCTTCTGAGCCCGCTCACGGCGGGGAGAAGCAATGTTGGGATCAGCAGCGCCCTCGTCGTGTGCCTCGACCCATCCAGCGACTCCACGTACTCCTTCGTTGAATGATCCAGAAGGCTCTCTTAGCGTGTTATCCTTCGGGTTGGATCCCGGCGGTGTCATCGCAGGTCTTGGCTCTACCACGCGCATATCCGTTGCGGGGCATTGAGGGATTAGAGACGGGACAGCTTGAGGCAACACCGCAGGTGATCCACTGGGTGGCCTTTCATGCTGCTCTATTTCCTCGCGGATCAATTTGGCGACACGATCACCTTCGCCTTGTGGCGTTCTTCGAACCCGCAATCCCTCGTCATCCTTAGTCTGTTCGCGGTAGACACGAAGCAAGGATTCTCCAGTTGTCTGAGGTCCGTTATGCCGCGGCCACGCTGTCTGTGCAATTTGTTCCCAGATGTGACTGATCATATCATCGTCTTGCGCCAGCCAGGTGTACAAGTAGTCGCCAATACACGTCAACGAGCGGTGCATCAAAGATAGTCTCACATGCTTGTCTGGGATCTTCTTGCGGGTGAGGTGCCTGAGCTCCTTTATTAGCATTTCCAGCTCAGCAAGCACTTCGTCCGCTGAGGCTATGTTCTCCTCGTGGTTCCCGGTGTCGTATCTGTTGACCACAGGTGGATCGACTGCTGCATGTGGCTCTGGGAGATTCTTCTGCATATCAGGGTCGACACATGAAACCGCGAGCTGTTGGCCGTCGCCATAGATATCCCCGCTGCTGAGTTGCGCTGCTGGGTCGTTGCTGGGCCGATAGCGTTCGGAATCATTGGGTCTCGAAAATGAACCGGCTCTGCTCTGTCTCCGGCTGCGTGGACCACGCTGACCGACAAGGCTGATTCGATGTCCATCTGGGTGCGCACTCTGCTCAGCTTGGGTACCGTCCTTCTTCTCACGCCTCTTCTTGGCCTTCTTGAGATCGTGCTTTTCTTCGACTTCCCAGGGTCGCACATTCACTCGCACCATTGTATCTTCGATGCGCGCTTCTACGTTCTTGTTGACAACGTCGGCGTTCGTGCCTCCCAGATCGGGTCGGCTTAGTCCCTGCTCGACGTTTGTGTGGACCTCAAGGCCCACGCCATCGCTCTGCTGCACACCATCCGCCGTCGTTACCGACTTCTTTAGCAACGAAGGATCTCTGGGTCGCCCACTTCCCTTCCTGATCTTGCGCATCTTCTTCTTCTTCGGCACATCTACGTCTTTTGCGCCATGCTCATCATCTCGCTTGCGCTTCTGTGTCGTCTTTGGCGACATCATCGGGCTTGTCCCAATGATCGACTTTGACCGTGGATTCATGACATTGATCTAGGGTTGATTAGTATGTATCTATACATGCAATGTTGCTCACATACCTCAGACTCTAGGGGTGACCCGGCCCTGCTGTATTGCATTTCTGTTCGTGATGGTCGTGTGTCCTCGGCGTGATGTGTTGACGCAAGCAGCTGTGAAGAAGTCTGACCCATCTTACGGGACCATATCTCCACGATCCAGACAGTGGCTCATGCCATTTCCATCCACCCTAGCATTCATGAAAGCGCGACTTTCATAAACGCGACCTGCGTTTGCTGTTCGGTGCTACAGAATAAGAATGGCCCCGCCGCGGGCCTTCTTAAAGCTAGGGCTTCGGTAGAAGCTCCCGAGCCACGACAAGGATGTCAGATTATCTCCTGCTTGCTAAGATAACTTATAATACCACACTCTCGAACACACTAGATCTCCAAGATCACCACTTCTGGAGAAAGATAGCTGGACACGGTTGACCCAACCACTGGTCGACACCGAAATTCCACCCTCTGGACAATCAACACGTACGACTGTGGCAAGGATCCGGCACTTCCGCTCTGACAAAAGACCACCTTCACTTTCCTCGAGATCTGGCTCAGATCCTGATTTCAAGCCCCTAGAGCACTAGAGAGAAGATTCCACTATGTCAGAAGCCGCCAGCCCAGTAGAGCTCCGGCGCGGCGCACCACCCACACCCGCCGCCCTACACACAGACAGGCACCAAGACCTCTACCCAGACCCCAACGCGCGCCTCGAACGCGAAGATCCGCACGGCCTAGGCGAGACTCCCGAACAACACGCCGCCCATGCCTCCATCGCAACCAAGAAACTCTGGGGACTGGATCGCCGGCAGGAAACGTACCTCTTCTACTTCTGGATGATCGTGTCCCTGTGCTGTGAGATCACAGCCGCGGTACTGGGCTGGCGGTACCATACCTGGAGCTATCCTTTTATTGGAGTGATGACAGGGTTCATGGTGACGTATTGGGCGGCCTGGTTCCAGACTGCGACGGGGATGGTGCAGCGGGCGAGCTGGATCCGGGAGGAGGCGGATTTGGCTACGAGGAGGCAATTCCTGTATTTGGCTGTGCGACTGAATAGGTTGATGCTTGTAAGTGTCTCACCAGTATTCTGAGATTCTTGCTCTGGACCCATCTTGTGCTGACTACGAATACAGCCAGCGGCACTGGTCGGTCTGGCAACGTTCATCCCAGCTTACGTCCAGCGCCACAAACATCCTCACGATCTCCCATACTGGCTTCTCTTCCTCCTGACTTTCATCTGGAATGCTGTCTTCTCCGTCATGAACGCCTACAACAACATCACCTGGGAATCAGATCGCATGAAGTACGAGGACGGCGAACAGCCCTTCCGGATTGGCAAGCTGGCTATCCTTGGCATACCGAGTCCGAAGCAAAAGAACACGAACGGCAAAGAGAGAGAAGGGAAGGAAATCTGAGTTTGATGGTAGAGGTTTGCAATTGTGTATGGTATTGTGTTGTAATCGTGAATTTAAGCTGCAATTAGACTCGCAAATCTATTAAGGCAGCGAGAGTCATTCTCGTTCAAGGCTAGCCCTTAATCTGCAGGTCCTGCTACGGATGTACAGCAGTGAATTGTGCGCGTACAAGAGCCAACCTTCTCAATGGCTGATATACTGGAACACGGCACTGACATCCTTCTCGGACACCTCCTGCCGCAAGAGCAAGTCCTGAATTCGGCCCATCGCGCCACTTTCACCTTCATTGATGAAATGATTCCACGTGCTCGTATCGCCATACAACATAGCCGGTGCTTTGAGCACTTGCCTACCTTCCTTGCACCGCTTGCACTTGAAGGTGTCGTGCGTATCGCTCGTAGTACCCGGTCGATACTGGAATAGCTCCCGAAGACTGTCCAGCGAGAAGTGGCGTTCGACATCCTCTGCACTGTCTACGACGCACGAAGATAGCGACTGCTTGTGCGATTGCCGCTGGAAGATCTTCTCCTCGATCGTGCCGGTGGCTATGAAGCGGTAGACGAAGCAGTCTTTCTTTTGTCCATCACGCCAGACACGAGCCAGTGCTTGCTGGTCAGCTGCAGGGTTCCAGTCAGGATCGAAAAGGACAAGGCGATTGGCACCGATAAGATTGAGACCGCAGCCACCTGCTTTCGATGAGAGCAAGAACACGAATTCCGGTCCTTCTGGGTCGTTGAACTTGTCGACGAGCTTTTGGCGCTTGTTGACGTTCATCGTGCCATCGAGGCGAAGACAGCCGTAAGATCGGTTGCGGCAAAGCTTCTCAAAAATATCAAGAGTCTGCGTGTAATTGGAGATGAGCACAATCTTGTCATTCGTGTCATGTCGAATGCGTGCAAGCATGCGATCTAGGACTTGCATTTTGCCACTATACCAAGGCTTGACATCGCGGTCGCGTCCTCTTGCGTCCTTCGGCACATAGTCGTCTGGAAAGTGACTTTCGCACCCTGGTAGGTCGTCCGGAAGATTGAGTAGATCTGGGTGGTTGCAGAGCTTCTTCAGCATTCCAATGGCCTTTAGCGGTTGACTGCCTTTGCCCCGCAGCAGACTTTGGATCTCGGGAGACTTGATGAAGTAGTTGTAAAGGTCCAGCTGGAAGGGGGCGAGATTGCAGAAGACGACATGTTCGTACTTGACGGGCAGGTACTTGGATAGGATATCGTTTGTGCGGCGAATGATGAACTTGTTGACTTTGGTGAGCAGCTCGCTCAGACGTTCGTTACCCTTTGCCAGGTCTGCATCCGAGGCTGCGGCATCACGACCGCGCAAAATGGGTATTTCATACTGCTTCCGAAAGTCTTGTCGTGTGCCTAAGTAGCCAGGGTTGGCAAAATTAAGCAGAGCAAAGTATTCTGATAGGTCATTCTGAATTGGTGTACCAGACAAGATGACTCGCTTCTTGACATTGAGACTGTTCAGCGCCTCAAAGGTCTGTGATTCGCCGTTCTTCAGCCGGTGGCCTTCGTCGCAAAGCATAAGACCGATTGGAGTATTGCTGAGCTCTCCAACATATAGTCGTAATGTCTCGTAAGACACAATCAAGACTGGTCTAATGACGGCTCGGCCTGTTGCCGATGCCCACTGGCGCATCTGCTGAATGAGCTCCTCCTTCGTGGCCTTGCCGTCGACAGCAAAAGGGTTTATAGCATCTGGACCCAGCCACTTCACAAGCTCATTGGCCCAATTGCGTACCAGACTCGAAGGACAAGCGATAACACATTTCTGAATGGTGCTCTTTCCAGCATCAGGCGACTGCTTCAAAAGTGTCCACATCAGTGTAATGCATTGTAGGGTCTTGCCCAATCCCATCTCATCTGCCATGATGCACCCTTCTGCTGTCTCGTCGATCAAGCCAGTGGCGCATCGGTACATGAACTTCACGCCCTCAACCTGATGTGGACGTAGGACTTTCGCCAGTCTCGGATCGATCACCACAGGTACCTTTGGCCGCTCACCATCCACTTTCTTCTTTATGCCTAGTAAGTCTGCCAAGCTCTTGTGCATAAGTGGCTCATCCAGCTTCTCGGGCTGCGAAGCTGGCTTGGTGCCATCCTCGATCACTTTTGGCTCGGGCTTGCCGTCTATCGTCGGATCGAACAAGACTATAGCAAACTCGCCAGCTGGGTCGTGCAACGCTTTCGCAATGAAGACAGCTCCTGTTCGCAGTCCGAGCAATGGTGGAGGTCTGACAGAGTTGTACGACGTGACATCTTTGTTCTTCAACGGCACAGCAAATCGTGTTCGGAAAGCCGTGCCCTTGTCTCGAGGTTTGAATACCGGAAATCGATTGATGTCTCTTGTCGCAAGTGCTAAGCGGTCGTCATTGCTGTACGGCTTGTCGCCCTCTTCGAAACTGTTGTCGCCACCAGTATAGTCGACCTTTCTCCTTTTGCGTGCGGGTTTATCTGAGACTCGAGTCGGAGCACTTGAGCCAGGACATTTGAATGGTTTGATGAGGCAATCTGTGGACTGTGGCGTACCGCCATATAGTCGTCCGCGAGGCTTCGATGTCGACGCGGGTGCAACATTCTCTTTCCCAATGTCGACGGCCATCTGTATCACAATGCAGTGTTCTTGTTTTGGGGAAGATATGTGGCAAATGATGGAAGTGTTACGCGAAGTTACGCGTCGAGGCGGCAGTCGCGCTTGCGCCACGTTGTCCCGTGACCACTGCAGTTGTTCCGAGTTTCTCTCGGTACGCAACTGCTCTGATACCGATGCGGAACAGACGTGTAGACTCACTGTATTATGCACAGTGTTACAGTGTACATTGTATTTACACAACGATCTCACAACAACAACAACAACAACAACAACAACAACCGTATGACGCCTCTCTATTCCCAAAGCCAAGCTGTCCTACCAGATTCATTGTCTGTCAAGTCCAAAGCAGAGTGCCTGCCAGTCTACCAAAAATTTGCGCCAAACTCGCAGGGCTAAATTAGCAAGAGGTCGTGACATCGTCCGTTTGCGTGACGAAACACCGCCTCATCCTCGGCCAAACAATTGCTGCTGTGTCGTAAAGTCCACCCCCACCCAACCAGGAAACAATTCTTTGAGCTGGTCGTACCTGGGCTGAATCTGGGGCATATGTGGCGGCGCAGACATGGTGGCCGGGCCCTTCGCCGCCCTGCTACCACCGTTCTGCGCTAACGGCATCAAGTATGCCAAGTTGGCCTGTAATCGTCGAAATACGTGCATGAAATCATCCGAGGCCATGTCCCCATTCTGACCATTGGCATTGAGCTCACTAACTTGCTTCATGGACGTTAAGCCGCCAGCGCCTGACGCAATGAGTTTGTTGAGCTCTTGAAGTAGCTCGGCGTTGATGTCCAATAGTAATGCTACACGCTGCTGCTCTCTGATCGCGCTGCCCGGTGACTGTGGTGTGGCAGAGGAAGGCGAGGCACTGCTCGTGCCGGGTTGTTGCACAGTGGCAGGCGATTGTGGCAGAGGCGGTGCCGCCATTGTGTGTCTTATCGGCGGTGTCTGCGTCTTCGGCTGCTGCACCTGTTGCTGGCCGGCCGCATTAGGCGAGCCTCGTGATTGGGGCTGCGGTGATGCGCTGTGGTTCTGCTGTAGTATCTGCTGTGCTATAGGCTGTGATATTGCCGATGGTGTCGGTGCTTGTGCAGAGATCGACTGGGTGTACGGGGTGGTAGTATAAGGAAACTGCTGGCCTGCATACTCGCCTGTCAGCTACTGCGGGCTGGATCGAGAAATCGCATTCGTTCGTAATAAAGCAGGTCGGAGCAGGTCACATGGCACGGCCGGGTGTCAAATCATAAGGCAGGGGCGGCTGCAGAATGGCAGCGTGCATGAAAGGAAGAGACGACTCACCGACGAGATTCTGTGCATGCATTATATTCGCGGCGGTTGACGCCATCGCTCCAGTCTGGCCATTATCATTGCCATAACCGGTCTGCGGCGGCACGAAAGCTTGACTCGTGCCTGCGTTCAGGCTGGCATTCGATCGCGGAGTGAAAGATCCACTGCCGCTGCCGCCGCCGCCGCCGTAATAGGAGGGAGAAGACGAAGCTTGGTAAGGATAAGCTGCTGCTGCTGCATTATTGTGGTTAAACGCAAAGGCGCCGCTGCCCGGCTGCTGTGGAGGGTAAGGGCCCACGTTCATGGTTGACCGCATGCGTGGGATGGGGTGATGAGCCAATCGAATCGAACTCTAGATTGCCTTCTATGTTCAGATGCCGGTCGGGGCCAGCAAGGAACGATATCAGAAGGAGGGAAATGTCATGTGGCGTTGCGGAACGATTTTAGCGCCCATTCTAGCGTCGATTCTGGCTGCACAACGTTGCACGCTGGCAGGTAGGATGGGATGAGATGGGATGCACACGGAATCGCTTCGTGTTCCTGTGCGCATAAGGACACGGTGTGGCAGACTGCTGGGCATGTTGGCAGTGGAGATAAATTCGACATTTACAGGGAAGGTATTGAATCGAGACACCATCTCATGCTCGCCCTGCTCGGCATACAGTGCCGCGCAGGTGGACCCTTCGAAGTCCTCAACTTTCCTCAGGCTAGCGAAAAGCAATGAAATTAGCCCAACAGCACTGAATACGCACAAACCATGTCCGGTACTTCGATACACGTTCAAGACCTCGCCAATGATCTAGGCTGACATTCTCATGTAGGTCGCAGTGGACGCGGGAGAGGCGCATTTCATCGCGCGAGAGGACAAGCGAACCGAGGCGAGAGCTTCTCTTCGAAATGCCGGGTCTTCCTTCTCTATTTCGTCTTCCTCTGCCTCTGGTCCAGGCTGGGAACGATTGCAGCAGGATCTGAGGGGTATTGATGGGCAACAGTACGGTAGGTCGTCTTGAGCAGCAGAGTTCTCTCGCGCCCAGTCGAGGCGGTCCCTCGCTCACACCAGTAGATCTTGAATCGTGGAACATGTTGGAGAAGGACATCTGATGGTAGCTGACAAAGACAGGTGCGTACAAACGACTACTTGGCAAGTATGAACACGCATCGCCTTCTTTTACCCTATCGATCGACTACGTTCAAGGCGATCCGTATGCATCTCCATCTCGAGTCCGTGCCATCATGGCATGGGCGAAGACGGGTCTCCCTGACGAGTACCTGCAATCAGACATCCGCAGAATTGCGCTCTGCGATTTTACTACACGTGTCTGCGCTTCCTTGATACGAGCTAGACATTTGGATCAGAATGTTGGTGGTGGCAAAAGCGGCTGGAGCGGACCCAAAGGCGGTGCTTTCAACATCAACGCGCCTGGCCAAGAGATCCTGCCACGAACAAGTTCTCTAATCAATGCAGATGATGAGATGGAGCTAAGATTCACCACCAGCTTGCCGGCGGCAGGACGTACGATTCTTGGCAACGAGGCACATCGGATTTTGGCGGTCAATCTGGTAGAGCTCGTCAAACAGTCTTTACTACTTGTCAATCTCGACGAGCAGAAGCTCCAGCACCATGTCCAATGCGCTGAGAATCAACGCAACCTTCGCCAGCAACTAGCTGCAAATGACCTCGTTGCTTTTGTGGCGAATGGCTCGATGTTACCTCGCGCGTCAGGAGCTTCCGCCACACCCATGACTGGCTCAAATGCTGTGCCATTCGTCTCTCCGGGCCATCTAGCGCTCACATTGCCTCTAGCAGACGGCACGAGTATCACTGGTATGGGTCTTCGTCGTGGAATTACGCTGCTGACTGGCGGTGGCTTCCACGGCAAGTCGACATTGCTGCAAGCACTTGAGCTCGGCATATATGATCATATTCCAGGGGACGGGCGAGAGCTCATCGTGACGGATCCTACCGCCGTCAAAATTCGAGCTGAAGATGGTCGAAGTGTGACAAGCCTTGACATCACTCCCTACATCTCAACGCTGCCCGGTAATAGGAACACGAAGCTTTTCTCTACTGATGATGCCAGTGGATCGACTTCCATGGCCGCCAATATTCAGGAAGCCCTCGAAGCTGGCTGCAAGTCCCTGCTCATTGATGAGGACTCCTCTGCCACGAACCTACTGGTCCGAGACCAGCGTATGCAGACACTGATCAAGCATGAGCCGATCACGCCCCTCGTAGCTCAAGCGAGAGCTTTGTATAGGGAGTACGGCGTCAGCGCCGTAATCGTGATTGGAGGCCTAGGCGACTGGCTATCAGTTGCAGATGAAGTCATTGCGATGGAGGACTACGTGCCACGATCATTGACTACCGAAGCGAAGAAAGTCGTGATTGACTTTCCTACTCATGTTATGCAAGCATCCGAGTATGGCACGATCACTCCACGGAAATTTCAGGTCAACCTCAATGGCAGGCGATCTCCATACGCAACTCGCAAGCGCTTCATAGCTATGAAACCACAGGCCCGCGAAGCAGTCAATGATCCGTCACAAGACGAGCCCGGTGTAGATTTGGGCGGTTTAGATCAGATTGTTGAGATTGGTCAGGCTCGAACGATTGCACACATCATGCAACAAGTTGCGGCGATGACTACAAGTCAACCGTAAGCTGCCCAACTGCTCCGAAGCTGTTCATAACTGATCAAAATAGATTATCTCTGAACCAGATTGTCTCTGCTATGGGCAATGCAGTAGGGATTGAGCATTGTTTGCCATCATCTCTGAATGACGGCGAACTCGTTGCAATTAGGGTGTCGGAGCTCGCCGCCGCACTTTCGCGCATTCGGGGTATAACTGTCACACAATGATACTGGAAGGGGCCACAAAATATGTGGCAGAGAAGTATCTCAGTCCCGATCACTACTTATGTACGCGCAACATTGAGACTCTCGGCGAATCAATCGATATAAAAATCTGCCTCCATCGACAGCTGCTGCAAATAGCATGACTCCACTCCACACCCAGGGAAACTTCTGATATCGGATCATGCCGCCTACTGAACTCGCGCGAACCAAGTATTTGCATCCGACCTGCCCTTCCCGACTGCAGCATACGTCGTACATGACAGACTATCCGGCAGGTAGGCCGCAGCTTTGCATGTGTCACTGGGGCACAGGGACATGCAATCTGCGAAACTGTTCACAGAAGATGTGTTCGCAACCTGCGTGCCGGTATATGCAATATAGCATTGGACCTGGAAATTGTGGCCTGCAACCCTCACTGTGTCGCCGGCGTTATCGGGACATTCGATGGGAGTCGGGCTGTCGGGTTGTGGGGAGGTGGTTGAAGCGCACGTTGTGCATGTGGTACATGTGGGTGGAGCAGTGACGGAGCCTGAGCTGGTCGTGATATGAGATTGTGTGTTGCTTGAGGCGGCAAGAGTTGATGTTGAGAAAGTTGTCCCGGTACGTGTGCCAGAAGCGGAGGGCGACGAGGATGTGGCGGGGCGTGAGCTCGATGGAGAAATGGTGGCTAGAAGAGAAGAAGTGCTGATAGAAGTGCTCAGATGCGTTGACGAAGCGCTCGAAGGGGAGGGAGTAGCAACGGTACGGGATGAAGTGCTAGGCTTAGAGCTTGGCACGGTCGAGGAGGATGCAGTCATGCCCGACGTTGAGGGTGTCGAGCTCGAAGCAGAAGTGGTTGGGTGAGATGGAGCACTGACTGGCGAGTGGCTCGTCGAAGCCGGCATTGAGCTCGCATATGACATCGTGGTACTTGCAGTTGACGAGGAGCTAGTTGCGCGAGCGCTGCTTGAGCTTGAAGAAGCAGTGCTTGGACGAGAGGATGACACTGGTGAGCTTGCTGACGTGGTGGCCGGGTGAGAAGAGGTAGAGTGTGCAGAGCTTGAAGCCCCGAAGGAGGACGAGCTCGCGTGTGGACTACTCGAAGTGTACGTAGTGTGGCTAGAGCTTGGGACTGAAGTGGTGCTCGACCTGCTCGAGAGGTTGGACGACGAGGCGGAGAACGACGCAGGTGTAATAGACACAGTAGAATTGTCAGCATGCGAGGTCGTAGCAACAAATGAGCTCGCGGACGACGTCAAGGTCGACGTACGGATCGCCGCAGGGCCAGAGCCAGTCAGCTGTGTAGATATCCCAGCCTGAGAGCTGTTAAGTAATATTGTGGTAGCCAGGCTGGACGTTGAAGACGTTGTCGGGACAGGACATCCAGCAACGCACCTTGCCCCAGCAAGACCAGAACCAGGCCTCCACTGGCTTGCACCAACAGCGTTCTTGAGATAACAAGCTGTCCCACTCAGGACCACATCGGCACAGGCAGCATTGTTCTCACACGCATTGATACATCCTTGCAGATCCGGCGCATACACCATCGCGAAGTCGTTGATGTAATGATTGATGTCACACTCAATGACGTATGACTTGCCCTTGCTGGGACTGTACGTAGTCTGGTTGCTGTTTGGACAGGAGGGGATGACTTCGATGGCGTTGGAGCGAGCGCTCCAGATGCGTGGGTTCGGGATTGGCTGGCCGATTGCATACTTCCTGGGAAGAGCGTGTCAGTGTGGCCTCGTTGACGTCTCAAAGATGGCTTCCAAGCCTATGGCAAACTCACAGATAGCATGCACCTGGATCGTCGTAGGAGACAGCAACGCATTGACCGTCCTTGGCGCATGCATCCATACAATCGTTCATGGTCGCTGCATAGACCGTGCGAAGATTGTGGTCGAAGAGATCGGTATAACAGTCAATGTCGAAGATCGTATCGCCGCAGGAGTAGGTCGAGTTGCCGCTCGCCGGGCATTGGATCGGTGCTGTAGCATCGCTGCCGTTGACGGTGCTGTTGCTACCGAGATTGCCAGAAATAGCCGCCACCAAGGCGGCAGAGAGAGCTAGCAAGCTCAAGGTGTGCGTTGTTCGCATTGCCGTCGACTTCGATGAGGAAGTAACAGGGAAGACGATCGTGATGCCTTGACGCTGAGGAGGGTGTCGAACCACGACTCCTGCGCGAACAGCCAGCACCAGAGGGATGAAGTACGCATCATTTTGTTGAGGAATCAATACAATGAATGTGGTCATGGACCTGAGGAGTTGCCAGCCAACATCTGGTACGGTGAGGAGAGACTCTGTCTGGTCAAGGTAAGCAATTCTCGCGGCCAGCTGGTTGGACAACAGCATAACAAACGACTTTCGATCCTCATCTTCGAGATCATCTAACGAGGCGCTGTTACTTTGGTGTTGGTCTAGACTCGTTATGCACAATCGACTTGCCGAGCTCAGTATAACTCATGCATTTACAATCATACAAACTGGACCGATACGCTACAACCACGCCGATGCTATCCCATGAACACAACACAAGCCCAGCCCACCCACCAAACACCTCCACGTTACGAATCACCCAAATCACCCATCTCCACATCCCCATCCCCACTCCCTCCCACCTTCTCCCCCTCCCCCCTTACCGGCATCAAAACATCAAACCCCCCCGTCCCCATCCTCCCCAACCTCCCCGCCACAATCCTCGCACTCGGATTCCTCAAATCATCCCAATCCCCCTCCAACACCGCATCCCGCAAAAACCCCACCGTAGTCTCAAAACTCATCTTCATAAACGGCGACGCATTGCCGCGATACCCCATGCGGGAAAAACTCTGATAACCCCCGTCGCGCGTCATGTAATCGGCGATGAGGAATAAGTGTCTCGGGTCGACACTGATGCCGTGGCCACCGAAGATGGACTGGAGTTCGCGGACGATGGCGTTACGGGCCGCTTCTACGCCGTAGTGTAGGCGGATGTCGTAGATGCTGTTGGTGTAGATGTGGTTGGGGTTGACGATGTGTTGATAATCCCACATAGCGGAGATATTGACGCCGCTCGTGGCGAGGATCGGGGTTCCGCCGGCGTCTTTGGTGGCTTGTTCGTCGACCATGGCGGCGCTGACGCCGGGGACGGATTGGATGAGTGCCCAATGCGCGGCGGACTCGACGAGGTTCAGCATCAGGATCTTGGCGGTCGTGGAGTCGTATTCCAACGTGAAAGTGCACGTCTCCCCCTTGACGTCGTCAAAGGCGAAACGGGTAACATCATTCGTCTTCTTCTCGCCCTTGATCCGCGCCTCCCGCTCCCTCGCAACCACCTTCCTCGCCTGCTTGGGCGTCATCCCCTCCTCCCCACTCTCATCCTCACTCGAACTCGCCGCTCTCACCCCAGAAAAAGGTTCCGGACTACCCCCATACGTCTCATCCTCACTGGCACTACTCTCCGTCTCCAGCTCCTCGACCTCCCTCTGTAAGTTCCTCGCTTGAATAGCATTCTCCTCATCATCCTCATAAGCCTCATACCCCGCTTGTTGTTTGTTCCCCTTGGTCTTATCCCGCGTCGCATCATCGTCCCCCTCCCCATCACTATCATCGTCCCCGCCCACTCCATCCCCTTGAGGCCTCGCTCGCTCCTGCTCCACCGTCCCAGCGCTCTTTCCGATATCAGGCATAGCATCACTCCTCACAGCATTCTTCAGACTCCGCTCATCCCCCCTCTTCTTCAACTCCTTCCGCGTAAGCATCTGCAATCTCGGCAGGAAACGAAGCTCAATCGTGCTCACAATATCCGCGACCGTGATAGCATACTCCTTCATATACTCCTCACTCGGGAAAAATTCCAATCGCACCTCATACTTCTTCGCCTCCCCATACGCCACCCCCTTCTCCGTCCTCTCCGTCGCGGTAACCTTATCCAAGACCTCGGCCAAACTCAACTTCGAGATCCCCTTGGCGAACTTCTTCCCCTCCTCCACACTCATCTCCTCATTCAACCTCAACGTCATCGTCGGCGTCGCAATCGTCTTAGCAGCCGTCATGACAATCTCCCTCAACCGCGGAATGCCCAACGTGACATTCTTAGCCGAATGCCCAGCCAAATGGAATGTATTCAACGTCATCTGCGTCGAGGGCTCGCCGACCGATTGCCCCGCCACGACCCCCACCGCCTCCCCCGCCTCAACCACCGACTTCAAATACCTTAGATTCAAAATCGACTCGAAACTCCTCTTCGTCACCGCCCCGACGACCTCCTTCTTCTTATCCCGGATCAACCCATCCGAATTCCTATCCATATACTCATGCGCCTCGCGATACACCCTCTCGCTCATACTCCCCGCGAAGCGACTCGGCGAAAACACACTCAGCGCCGGATCCACCGCATCGATCCTCCCGGTCTTCCTGACCTTCTTAACAGCACTCTTATTCCACTCCACGGCCTCCGGGCAGACCACCCTCTCAAAATCCCCACTCACCCCCAACCCCATGAACAAAGACCTACAATTCTCCGCCTCGAACCTAAAGTCCCCCAAATACTTCGCCTTGGCCACATCGAGTCCATCCTCGCCATACAAGAACTGAATCACACTCCCATCGCTATCCCGGACAGAAGTATCATACTCGACCCTCAACCCCTCCATCCCCTTGATCAAACACCGCTGCAAATACCCCGACCGCGACGTCTTAACCGCCGTATCAATCAATCCCTCCCGTCCAGCCATAGCATGGAAGAAATACTCCTGCGGCCTAACACCCGTCAAGAACCGATCGACAATATACCCCCCCGCCCTCACCGAACTCTCAAACGGCTTGAAACACGGCAGCGTTTTCCCACTAACCATGACGGGAACCCGCCTCCCCTCCAGCACCTGCTGACCGAGATTACAAGAAATCTGGTTCGCATTGACTTTACTCCCTTTAGCCCCAGACGAAGTCATCGTCTGCATCTGATTAGCCGGAAACGCCTTTCGCAACCCCGTCGGCAAACAAGCATCCGTGACAGCAGACGACAAATCCTTGGTCAGATTATTCGTCACCTGGTCCAACCCCAACTGCTTCCCATCATCCCTCAACACTTCCTCCAACCGCCTCCTCAACTCCCGATCCCCGCTCTGCGCGCCCTGGTCCGCGAGTCCCACATACTTCGCCGCAGCCACCAACCCCACCGTTTCCGCCCCCGCCAGGGCCTCCCTCCTCGCCACCTCCCCCTCCCGCGTGAAAATCAGATCCTCCACCCCGCAAGAAAAAGCCCGCATCCCCTCCAACCTCGTAAGCAGCCGGCCGAGAATACTCAAAAACCGGCCGGCTAAAGTATGCCCGTAGACTTCATAGATACAATTCACGATCCCGCCACTGGAAGGCCCAATCTGTTTCTTGTCCAGAATCCCATGGCAGAGATACCCCTTCTGCACGAGCACGCTCGCCTCTTCCTTCGCACCGGCCTGGCCCCAGAGTTTCGCAGCGGTAGTGGATACCCCCATCATCGTGATCCCCTCGTACCCCTGCGGTTGGATATTCAGAAGCACAGTCGTAACAACCTGTTTCCCGGTCCAAAGCGCCTTAGGTTTCCACACCGCAGGCGGGATCGTCTCGATGCGCCCATTCGTACAATGCCCCGATTCAGGTCGTAACGCCGCATAAAGCAACTGCATGTAATCGCCCCTCTCGAAAAAAGTATCCCGGTTCGTGAGCCAGACGCCCATACTGATATGATCCTGAATCAGACCTCGTAAGGGATTACCCGCAGTAGCGGAGAGGTACTGATGATCGGTATCGGCGATGTTCAACGCTTCAGACCGCGCGACCTCGTTCTGCGGGAAATGGAGGTTCATCTCATCCCCGTCGAAATCGGCATTGTAGGTGTTGCAGTTGGCATAGTGCATGCGGAGCGTCTTTTCTCCTGGTAAGACGCGGGCGCGGTGACACATCATGCTGGGTTTGTGGAGGGTGGGTTGGCGGTTCATGATGACGATGTCGCCGTTGTTGAGGTGGCGGTGGACTTTTTTGGGCCGGGTGCCGCGGATGTTGCTGCTGCCGGCGCTGAGGGCGAGGAGTTGGTTGGCGAGGGCTGTGCGCTCCTCGGCGTTTTTGCGCTCGAGGTTCACGACTTGGCCGGTTTCGCTCTCGATGGCTACGGCGCCGGGCCAGACGTGGGGACCATTTCGGACTGCTTCTTGTAGTTCTTCCACGTTCCACTCTGTTACTGCTTCCGGGTAAGTGAGCTTGACGGCAAAGACGGGAGGGACACCAATCTCGTTCGTCTCAATATTCGGGTCCGGTGAGATGACGGTTCGAGCAGCGAAATTGACTCGTTTACCCATCATATACTTCCTGAACATCCCCTCCTTCTTCTCCAGCTTCTGCTTGATACCGTCCGGAAGTCTGTTCGCCGCCGCACCTTGCACAGGAGCCAGATTCTTGTCAATCAGACTATTGACAGACTCTTGCAGTTGTACCCAAGTATTCTCGAGATCCACATACGTTCGTGGTCGATACCTGCTCGGCTGCTCGGGTTGGTCTTTGCCCGAGAGTTCTCGTTGGATATTGTCCATGCTTTCACTGATGGTTAAGATGTTCTTGTACAGAGTATTTTCCTGTGCCTCGGCGATCTCGTCGTTGCCTTGTCTAGCTTCGGGGCGATATCGGTTCGGTGGGACGAGGATGGTGCGCATGAAGAACATGTCTGCTTTGAGTGGTTCATGCACTATATTTTGCCGTTGTCGCCGCTTGTGCCCATAGACTGCGGAGAGGATTTCTTGCTCGCGCTCGAAGAGTTGAGCGAGATGTGCATGCACTCGAGCGGGATTCAGATATTCTTCCTGCTCTGGCTCAGCGCCTGGTTGGGTTTTCGATCGTACTGCTTCGGGAGCAGAATCCAGAATATCACCTCCAGCGATCTGCACCTCCTCATCCGTCTCCTCATCCATATCCACATCATCGCCACCACCTTCCGCATCCTCCTCGTCCGAATCACCCATATCCGCAATCCCCTCATCCTTCTCCGCCTCCCGCTTCCTCTTGCGACTCTGCTCGGCTCGTACCCGCTTCTGCATCTCGACAATCGGATCCTTGGCCTTGTGTCCAGACTGAATCATAGCATAGCTCTCCTTCTGCGTGAGCGGCTTGCGGAAGATCTTGACCAGACGATCCTTGCGATATTTATGATTCAAGCCTTGGCAATTGCTACACTTCTTGCCTTGGGTGATCTTCCCCATGAAATCGGATATGATGACTTTCCGCGACATCTCCGTCGCTTCATTCTTGGCGGTGAATAGTGTCCCGTTGGCCTTGGCTGTCCGGATAGCTTGGTGGGTGAACTTCTGCATGCGAGCAATGGCGCTCCTGACATGACTATCCACATCATCGTCGTCCGAGCTCTCGTCATCGTCACTCACCGCAGCAGCACCTTTCTTCGACATGGCCTGGATGCTCAAGTCGTCCAGCTCGGCCATCTCGTTCAACAGCCCACACTCCACCAGCTTCAGCTTGCACCGCGTCCGCTCCACCTGCACCCTCGCCATCCTCAGCCTCCCACAGTAGATACACATGGCGCGGAGGAGTCGTAGTGTCTGGTCCATGAAGGTGGGGTGGTAGCACCAGACGGGGAGGTCGATGTGACCTGCATGACCGGGACATTGGGGGTTCTTCAGGCCGCATGTGGTGCAGGAGTTGTCGCCGAACTGGCCGAGTTCGGCGGTGTAGAGGCCGCCGGGGATGGGGTTGAGGAGGGTGTCGAAGGTGGTGGAGCTGGTGATGCGGCGGGCGGAGAGTTGGTGGATGTCGGTGGCGGAGAGGTGCTGGAAGGCCACTGACGCCAGGTGGGAGGAGACTGGTTGGGACGTGTTCATGATGCACTACCTTTAAAATACCATCATGCATAGCATACTGTACCTCCGTCTTCAATGTTGGATAGCACGACGAGAACTTTTGTTATAGAGAGATCTTATCTTATCTGGGTGCTCCATCATCTTCACGAGTCATGTACAGCCAAAGGGCGTTAGGAAGGTTCAGAACCACACGAGCATTACTTCACCAATACGAGGACTTATGCTATGGCCAGCACGACAGGCAAACGCCCGCTCCCACTAGACGCCGACGACAATGATGCCAAGAGGATCCGCTCAAATAATGGCTCGCCCGCACCCGCACCGGCACCACCACCACCACCACCCCCATCATCCACCACCACCACCAACGGCATGTCGGAGATGGAGCGCAAGAAGCAGGAGGCCGCCGCTCGCATGGCCGCCGTCAAGGCCAAACTCGCCGGACTGAAACCCAATGGCGCGTCTGCTGCAGCTCCACCGCCTGTGTCAGCCTCTCCCGCCCCTGGTCCACCACCGCCCCCCATCAACGATGTGGAGGCAAGAAGGGCGGAAGCGGCGCGCAAGATCGCCGAGATGAAGGCCAAGTTTGCTGCGAAAAAGGCACAGACGGCCTCACCAGCTCAGGTCAGTACGCCTCCACCACCGGCAGAGCCCAGCGAGCGGGAGAGGAGGATAGCAGAGGCACGTGAGCGGGCGAAGAAGATAGCCGCGCAACAGCTCGCACCGGGTGAGAGAGCGGCACCGCCACCTCCTCCGCCACGGCAAGATATGGGAAAAGCAGCGAGGGGTGGCTTGGGCATTGGCTTGCATCCGAGTCTGATGGGGGATCTGAATGCGCCAGGTGCTGCTGCTGGGAAGGGGAGAGGGACGCCGACTGGACAACGACCATCAGCACCGAGGATCAACCCCTACTTGGCCGCGGACGACGATGCAGAGAAGCTGGACCCGGAGGCAGTCTACGATCCAACCATCGCCGCCCGCAAAGGAGGCGACCGAAAAAGCAAACAGCTCCAATTCAACCAAAAAGGCAAATTCATGGCCCAAGCCAACGCCCTCCGCCAACAAGCCAAGCTCGAAGAAATGAAAAAACGCATAGCAGCCGAAGCCCGCAAGACCGAGATCGAAGAGGCGTCCGACAAAGCCTTTCTCGTCCCGCCACCCCCAGAAGTAGAATGGTGGGACGAAAACCTCATCGACAAGATCTCCACCCCGGACACCGTCATCACCGCCCTAATCCAACATCCCGTGATGCTGCAACCCCCGCAAGACAAATTCCTCCCGGCCCCGAAACCCCTCATGCTCACGCCGCAAGAACAGAAGAAACTGCGTCGTCAACGCCGCATGGCGGATATGAAAGAAGAACAAGCCAAGATCCGCCTCGGGCTCGTCGAACCCCCCCCACCGAAAGTGAAGAAGAGTAATATGATGCGTGTCCTAGGCGAACAAGCCGTCAAGGACCCTACTGCTGTAGAGGCGAGGGTGAATAAGGAAATCGCCCAACGCGCCATGGACCACGAGAAAGACAACCGTGAGCGCGCCCTGACCAAAGACCAAAAAGCGGAGAAATTAAAGCAACAGCAAGCCGGGGACGACGCCAAGGGGATCCGGATCGCGGTGTTTAAAGTCGAGAGTTTGAGTTCGGGGAAGCATCGGTATCAGATTGATATCAACGCTAAGCAGCATGGGCTCACGGGGATCGTGGTGTTGAATCCGACGATGAGTTTGATTATTGTCGAGGGAGGGGATCATAGCCTTAAAGCTTATAAGAAGTTGATGCTGCAGCGGATCAAGTGGGTGGAGAATACGCTGCCGCTTTCTAATACTGCGGGGCCGAGTACTTTCACGGGGGCGAACGATGGGACGAGTAAAGCTTCCTCTTCTTCCTCCGAGCAGGGTAAAGTCGCCGCATGGCTGACCCCCCTAAACGAAGATGGGAGTCTCAAGGATCTGAGGGAGAATTACTGTGTCCTGGTCTGGGAGGGGGAGATGAAGCAGAGGGTTTTTCGGAAATGGGGGAGTCGGGTTTGTGAGACGGATGGGTTGGCGAGGGATGTATTGGGACGGTCGAGGATGGAGAATATGTGGACGTTGGGACGGGGGATGAGGCGGGAGCAGTGAGGGGGAGCTTGTTTCCAGTCGAGGGTCTGGTCTACTTTACTTGAGTATTATCTCTTGGCTGACACGATAGGATATCGGGCTTGTGTGGTGTGGCGCTTTGTTGTTGTCTTGTCTCGTACGAGGTAGGAGAAGGCAGGTAAAATTCTCTTGCGCGAGACAATGGAGTCAAGGCAGAAATGCAAGCTTCCCAACCTGGCCGCGTTATGCCAGCTATCCTTTCGCAACGAGCTGTCAACCATGGACTACACCTCATGGACCATGGAGAACCTCCGCAAACTCACCCAGGACCTCGCAATCAAAGTCCTCACTTCCCCTCGCCACCGGCGCATCGTCCGCAGACCCGCGGCAAGCAGCACAGACCGACCGCTCACGAGGAGTGATTATTGTCAAGGCCTTGAGAGGAAGCAGATGCCCAACGCACGACACCGAAACTCTTCGACTTTGCTGCCAAGAAATCCACCTCATCGTGTACGAGCACATCTTGAACGCCGGACCCAGGCAAGGACGACAGCCATCGGCTTGCGACCTTGACATCATGCCGTCAAGTCCACGTCGAAGCCACCCCGATCTTCTACGCCACACACAGACCCATCCGGATTGGTATCCAGCCCGCCGCGGTCTACATGAATAATGGGACAACGATCGTGCACCCCGTTCCCCCCTTTCGGCAAAACCCATGGATGCGGATCTCGTGCTGCCGCTCCCTCCCTGGGCCTTCAAGATCCGCCGCCTCCGCCTGGTATTCGAGGGCTTCGAGCCGCCGCGATGGGGTCTGGGGGGGGGACAGATGTAGTCGGCGAAGGCATATAGTCGGACGCTTTATCTCATGTGCTCTACTTTTCTGGCCGGCAAGCATAACGTCCGGACCATCTTCATCGACTTCTGTCAGCATGAAGACCTGGACCACTATGCCTACCGGGAGCGCCAGCGGATCCTGCAACCGCTTTCCCTGTTGGGCCCGGGGGTTCGTTTGTACGAGTGCAGTTCTTACTGGGAGGCCAAGGATTATCCTCGCCGTATCACGGACACTTCATATCTCACCACTCACTTTGACAGTCTCTACATGCCGCTCAAAGCCGCTCTGCGCAAGGAAGTGGAAGCTCTTTGCACGTTCCGTCGCCTGGCCGCAGGCATCGGGTATCTGATCGACACGCCACCGACTACATCAGACTGGACGCCCTTGGGTACGATGTGGCAACATCCGTTAGTGTCTCCGGCTCAGGGAGCGCAGGGTGGAGTCGACGCAGTAAGAGAGAAGTTGATGGAGCATGATCGGAGATTCTGGCTCGGGTCGGGCTGGTGCGATGAGCAGTGGGAGAGGGAAGCGATGAGCGATCTTCGGGAGCTGGAGGGGATGGGTAATCGGATCGATGTGGAATGGTTGGCGAGGGAATCTGCGGAGGAGATGGGTTGGGGCGGTGGCGAGGCCGAGGAGGGAGCGGATGGGGTTGAATATGGCGAGCAGAGTGCCGGGTGAGGGTTGAGGGCGACACTGGCTGGTTCTTCCATGGTCCCATGTGTATACTGGTAACAGATAGGGTCCGGAAGGGTGTGCAGATGGAAAATCATCGACGCTTGCTCAAGTCATAAACAGCTTGGATAGAGGAGGGAGGACTCTGCCTTTGCGGCCGGACCTGCCGAGCGGTATCTACATAGTTGACGAAATCTGATACAATGAACACTCCATGAATCCATCCATCTAGCATCACTTTCTCCACCTGGCTAGTCAAAAAAATCAATAGCATATCTCGACTAATCCGCCCAACACCCACCACCCTTTTTTCCACCCTCTCCCCCCTTCGCTCGTCTCCTCTAAGCCTTGGCAGTAGAGCTACAAGGCAACTCGTCATCATCCGAACCCCAAGCAATAGAATTAAACTCCAGATCCAGCTCGGAAATCTGGCACTGCCTGTTCAACGTGAAACAAGTTGAAGCCCCGCACACGATAGATGGCACGAGCGACTTGATTGAACTGCCAGTACCAAACAGTCTTGTTGCAGCCCGTAACGCCAACGAAGAGGGTATCGATATCCACGGTTGGAGGCTCGCCCAGGATCCCGGCACTCCATTGCTGCTTGTTCGCGGTGGCGCCGTCGCCGGTGATCTAGACGCAACGGGTCAGCGATCCGGCATTTCTTTAGAAGAATAGGGGATAGTATGCTTTCCCGGTTTACCTTCAAGAGCATGAATGGAGTCGGAGTGCTCCACGAAGTTCTCGGCGAGCCGAGCGTTGGCAGTCTGGCTGGCACCGGCTTGATGGCCGAAGACGGAGATGATCTTGTTCACGACCTGCTCAGCCTCCCATTGGGAAACGCAGGAGTCGCGGTCCTCGATCGCAGTGGCGAAGGCAGCAGCTGTGAAGGCGATGACGCCGGCAATGGTCGTGGAGAAGTACATCTTCACTGAGTACTTCGAAAAGAGAGAATCTATGATATGAGATATAGCTGTATGTGAGAAGAGTAAAGATGGATCTCAAGGTGACGTTTGAGGATAGGAGAGCTGTGTTGTGTGCCTATGGCATCTCCTTGTACCTTTTCTACGAACTGCACTTGCGCATGCAGCGAGCAGAAGTTCACCAGCTGGTCACACAGTCTAGGCCACCCATTGCATCCATACTGCTTACATTCTCAGCACCAAAATGTGCCGATCAGATCAAATCAGCGAGCTGACCGGATGAACAAGCAAATGGCCGAAGACGTTGCAGGCCATCGGATAGACGAAACAGGGTGGCCTGAAAGCGCCCATCAAAGGGTGGTCGTGTCACCTTGGAGTCGTTGAATATGGTGATTTGAAGGACGGTAAGCTGACAGTCCTTGATCTGTCAGATTCGTCCCGTGGTAGAGAAATTGCGAAGCGAGATGCTGCAGTTCCGGGGAATGCTGAAGCTTCTATGTATTCACGGCATGGTAGCCGTGGTTGTACCACGAATATCTGTGGGGAGAATCCGGGTAGGCGCAGGTACACGTTGTAGTAAGCCGATGCCCAGAAAGCGTACCGATCGAAAAAGGTTGTGTTGCGTCTCTTTCGCCTTTTGCGGGCCCAGTTGCTTGCGCTTTGAATGGACAAGAGTCAGGTGTAGAGCGGCAGGGATATGGAATATGACAATCTTCTTCAGAGTGGCATACCATACTCATCTAAGCACTATCAATCTCGTCTTAGCAGTTCAGCCTTGCGCTCGTTCCGGGTTGAAAGCATGTGTGGTCCAGTATCAACGTTGTGAATTGACACAAAGTGTAGACTGGTGCTTTGCATCGTCCTCATATGCAGTGGCCTCAAGTAGCGATCCGATGCAAAACGAGACTCTGCCAACGCTACGCGCAAGATCAACCATGGAACCTATGGCGAGTGCAAGGAGAGCGTAAGCTTCCGCGTCGTGCTTGCTTACGCTTGGCGACGAAGCGAGCAATCGTGAACAGCCCCACACGTTTGTATCATTGATGTCTTCATTTCGCTTCATCCTTGGGTACAACACTCAAGAATAGCCCACGTCCGAGCTATCGAGACAGACAGCCTCTCATTCACCCCACAGCACCAACCGGCCGCAGCCCACTCAAATTAAACACCATCCCCGGCCCCGGCCTCTGCCCCCCACCAAACCCACCAACCACCTCCTTCTTCCACCCAGGAACATCATCCGTCCCAGCCCTCTCGGTCTTCAATCTCAACACATCCCAGACCTGTGGAAACCCAGCAGCCACAGCATCCCCACCCTTCGACTTCGTCCCCGTAATGGCGAATTTCTGCAGTCGATGCGAGATGAAACCTGACAGTAAGCCCTGATCAATGAGAGAAGCGAGTCTCGATTCGACGGCGGTGATATCGATCCTGAATCCGCCGTCATCGTACTCGACATCCTCGAAGTCCGGGTCTGTGTAATCCTCCCCACCCTTCTGAGCTCGAGATGCGTCCTCGAGCCACTGGAAAGCTGACACGAGGTGATCGATATTGAGAGTCGATGCCTTGTTACCCGTTGTGTCTGTCGGCCTGAAACCCACCAGAAGGAAAGTCCGCCTGACTAGACTTCGCCAGACGAGGACCTCGCACCTGTTTTGCAACTGCAGCAGGATACGGAAATGTAGAAACCATTCCGCGTGTGGCCCGTCTAGATCGAGATGCTGTCTGAAAGCGGCCAGATTTCCTCGCTGAATGGCCATGCATATCGGTAAAAAGCGATCAGACAGACCGTGAGCCTCTGGTCGACTTAGAAGCTCTTGTGATGGGAAGCGGCCGAGAATGATGTTGCTCGCGATCAGGTATACCAGAATATGCCGTCTCTGTCTAGCACATTCTGGTCGCGCAGGGGACTCATCGTACGCATGCTGCAATGCCAGCTGAGCACGATAGAAGTGGCTGTTCTGAAACAAAAAGCGTCCAAGATAGTACAGATAGGTGACACGCTGCCGTTTCGGGTACGCAGACAACGGTGGCGAAAGGTTGTAGATGTTCTCGAAGATCTGCGTCGCATTCCTCGTCTTCCGGCATTGGAAGAGGATCTTCAAGCACAGATTCGCGATATTGTAGATGCCCTTCTTCTTGCCTTCTGGCTTTCCTTGCGCATTTAGACCAGAGACCCGATCGTTGAGGCATGTCACAAACGCCTGTCGCAAGATGTTCGCCGCACGTTCCGGAAGTGTTTCCCTCCCACCTCCTTCGTCTCCTCCCCCAGCTCCGGGTCCTGATCGCCGTAGATGTGCTATCAGCTCCGGCTGCTTGTCTAGTCCGATAGCCAGCCTGCACACCAGTTTCGCATTCATGACCACCGTAGGCAAGATCAAATGTCCCAGCGTGGCATGCGACAGCGCACTATTGGCCCTCTGCTGCAACTCTGACAACAACTCATACGTCTCCAGGTACCGACTCGCTTCCGCACTGACATTTCTAAGGTATGCCAGATATTGCACCATGAACTTTACGAAGCTCGTCCAAGGGCTACCATCATCCCCTTCCACAGCCGCCTTGAGCGCAGCCGTACACCTCTGCTCCAACGCATCGTCACTACCTCGCGGGTAGGCCGCCTGCAGCTCCTTGACCATGTCCTGGTAATGTTGGTTGAAAGGGGGCTCAAGGGCGATCCAGTCCGCCAAGCTCGTTTCGTTGCGGGCTGATATGAAGCCATTGATCTGTACCAGGTACTGTCCAAGCAACGGTGTCTGCGCCATGCCCGTGATATAGGAAAGACTGTGTGGGAATCTGGCTTGGATGAGAGTAGCTGCAAGTATGGGCGCGATATCTTCAAGAACGTCTATTAAGAGTCGACCAAGGTACGGCTTCAGCTGCTGCTCGACATGGCTTGCCAATGCAGAAAGCTGCTGCCCGTACAGTCGAGGCTTCCCAATCTCATTGAGGCGACGCAGATGTCTTATCAGCCAAGGTCTATCGAGATACTCTGTCTGTGTCAGTATCAGAGTGTCTTGAGAATCGTCACTGGAAGCAGAAACACGTGAAAGTGATGAACCGGCAGCCGCTTGGACCGCCTGTGACGGATCACCAAATGCCATCTTCGACCGTCCACCCTTTCAACACATTCACAAGATGAGTTAGCTCCATCATGAATAGCATGGACTACACATGCTGGCTATAAAGGTCTTGTTCGCCATATTCTCATTGTTTGTATTCTGTTGTTCGCCGGATGCAGCTTACCATAGGCTACGAACCTCACACGCGATCACGTTACCCATGCAGAGACTGAGAAGCGGATATAAACATTTTCAATTCCATTGGAATACCCCAAAGCAATCGCAGATAAAAAGGCTACATATACACCAGTATCACTTCCTCGCATCCCTCCGTATCGCACACCTCCATCACCCATGAACCGCCCACTGACCAGCAGCGGCCCAACTCAAGCCTCTCCTCCCCTTAAGCTAGCAAGCAAGCTCACCCCTCGTCCCACTTCCAGAGCAGACATTATGCACATAATCAACGACTTGGCTCGCTTGCATAATGTACAGAAGCGGAAGAAGGAAAGACCCGATGAGTCCCTCAATTGCAGCGTGCCAGAGCCGGGAAGTTGCTGTGCCCCGGACACGCGTAGAAAAGAATGTAGTGTCAGAGTGATCTGACCAGCCCGCTTGCAACACAGCAGCAGCAGATTTGTAAAGAAACTCCAGCAAACTCCCTCCCCGCCATAGTAAGTGTGGATATGTGTAAGCTGGCCCCAGAATTCGTCGCAAGCAAACCAAGCGTTAAGTCGTCAAAGGTTTTGATAGAAGATTTGATGTCGGTAAGGCTTGGTGGGCTTACATCGCTTGGCCGGGGACTGGCTTGCGAGCTGGGACAGCGGCGGAGGCGTCGGCATTGCTGCCGGAGCGCTCAGGGCTGTTGGGGGTGAGTGGGCGGGGAGCCATGCCCTGGCCGCTGAGAGGAGTGATTGGGTGGCCGTTGGAGCCCTGAGGTGGGCCTTGTGGGCGTGGCTTGACAGGGAGCTTGGAGAGGCAGGTGCGTGGCACGACACCCTGTTGGGAGCGGTCCATGCGGACACAGAGAGCCTGGTCGAAAGTCAGTAAGAAGCTTTAAAGTGTGTGTATAGTTGAGAACTTACCCAGCCATCATCGTAAGCATGGAGCATGCGAACGAGCTGACCAGACTTCAGCTCAAGCTCATCTTCCATGCTTGGCTTGAAGTCGAGTTGCACGCGGTGAACGTTGTTCTGGGCAGGAGGAGATGCAGCGCCACCAGCAACAGCGACAGCCGCTGCGGTACCAAGCTCGGAGACGGAGTCGCTCTGGACGTGGGCAGATTTTTCACCTTCTGGCTCCTCGAATGGGTTGGTTGGAGGAGACTCGGGGCGCTTCTCGGACATGCTGTTGTTGTCATCGAAGGGGTTCTGCGCATTTTGGGAACGGCGCTCCCACATGCTCTTGGGCTTCTCGAACATGGCGGCGGAGTCACCGAGATGGTCACCAGCAGTGTTCTTGCTACCAAGGTTAGGCAGGAATTGAGTGACCGGGCGAAGGCTGAGACGTGGGGCAGTGGCGGCAGATGGAGCAGAACGGGTGCTAGAGGCAGAAGCACGCTTCTCCGACATGGCATTGCCACCGAAGAAGGAGCTGCTGTTACTAACGCGCTTCTCGTTGGTGATCTCCTGGTGGGCCTCACGGTTCTTGCGTCGGCGCAGACAGAAGAAGATGAGGCCGCCGAAAAGAGCGAGACCAAGGATAATACTGAAGGCGAGGCCAGCTTTGGCGCCGCCAGTCATGCCAGCGTTCGAGCTGTCACCGTTGTGGGTAGCGGAGATGGGAGTGCCAGCAATGACGCCGGCGCCAGTGTGAGTAGCGGCGAGGGGTGTGCCAGCAAGAGCAGCAGCACCGACTGATGTAGAAATAACGGCGCTTGGGGGTGCATTCAAGAAGCGAGACTTGTTGCCGCTGCCATCATCGTCGGTAGACACGGCCGTGGTGGCCTGACTGCTGGTTGGGACGAGAGTTGCAGTGGAGAACTGCGTGATGGTCGCGGAGGCTGAGCCGCTGGAAACACCAGCAGATGCGGCAGCTTTAGCAGATGCATAAGCGGCCTCGTTGGAGTTGGTGAGGCTGGCAGCTGCAGCAGTGGTAGAAGGAGCAACTGGGGCGAGGGTGGTGTATCCGGCGATCGGGCCATCGAAATCGGCCGAGAGCGTCTCGTAGACGACCGATGTCAAGGTCGCGACACTAGCGACATCCTTCTGAGCAACCTCCTTCTGTGCGAGGTCGAGCGTGCCGGCGTCAGCTGGGCGAGCGGCGGCCTTCACATGGTCAGGCACGTTCCACTTGATGAAGTCGCCATGGCTGTCGCGCTTGTGTTCGTGGTTGTTGGCGTCAAGGCCACGGAAGACGCGTCCGTGTGAGCCTTCATGGTGGATTCCCATTTTATCGACTGGTGTCTGTACGTCGTGTGCCTTCGAGGCTTTCGATCGTATAGCTGTAGTGATGATGTGAGTGTCTGTCGACGGCGGCAATGTGAGGAATGCGGGCGCTTCCAGTGCTCGATACCCGTGGAATGTGTGTCGCTTAGGGAGTGTTGATGTGAGGGAGTGAAGGAGTGTGAGTGCCAGCGACAGCTATTGCAGCGTCGTAAGAGTATCCGTCGGTTAACGAAGGGCGACGGACCAGCACAATCGCAGACAAGTGAGTGTGAAAGCAACGATACCAGTGGAGGAGCGTGTTTGCTGGCGAGGAGGAAGTGAGAACAACGGGTAGGGAGTTGATGCTGCAAAGAGGCCCGTGTGCCTTCTGCCGAAATGAGATGTTTCGTGATTGGCTATGGAGCTGTCAGGTACCAACGTCTTTGCAGCGATTAAAATTAGTTGACCACGGCAACGGGCGGAGATCACGGCCGATGATATGCAACCAAGAAGACAAGCAATTGTTCACCACGCGTTGACATCATGGCCATGCGAACGATGAACCAGATCGGTAGTTGGGACAGCACCGTCTATTGTTCTATCACCGGCGAGCACTCATACATCTGATCAATGTGGTAAACCCGCAGGTAAAGCGACGACGTCTCCCTGTCTCACCAGATATCCAGTCTCACATCCAGCGCAAGCCACGGGTCTCACGCCTCCTGGACGCGCTTCGATACGATGATGTAATAACCACGCGACGAAGAAACCACCCGGACGCGTCGAGGGCGGCCGCAACGGTTCTATCGTATCGGGCTCATCTAAACAACCTTCTCTAGAGCTACCCGGCTGATGTTGCCCGTGCTACGATATGAACACCCACCCCGCCGTGACTCAATGTCTGAATCGTCGGTAACAGTCAATTAGAAAGTCTCGCTCGGTTGCCATGCTACAAGCAAGAGTCAGCAAATATCGATGAGCACATCATCATCCACTGAAACTCACGTGAAAGCTGCGAAAACAGCGCCAATGGCTCCTACCCGGACGAGATCCCCCAAGATTCCATATCGTCCTAGTAAGCCCTGAGTCCGCGCCAGCAGACTCGGGACGACAGCCGTGGCACCTCCGGCATATAGATTCGGCAAGATATCCCTTAGCTTGAACTCCACGCCTTGCCGCTCGAAAAAATGCGTAGCAAAGCTGAGATTGAAGACGATCCTCAAAGCCATATTCACGCAATTCGCGAGTACCAATCCCTGAGCACCCATCTCGAGCACCCTCAGGAACACAAATGCACTAAGGCCAAACCCGACAGTGAAAGCGCCCATCCAGAAGCTCTGCCTTTGCAGCTCTGCCGGACTCGCGGTGGCGGAGACGAAGGCTTCACTGACCCCGTTGATGGCGAGGAGAGGGATGCAGTAGCAGTACGTCGCTAGAACTTCGCCAGCGCCCGAGTCGGTCCACTTGTTGCCTGCGACCACTTGCAGAAGTAGCGGCGCGGCTGTGGGACCGACGGCGAAGGTGATGAGGGAGGCGATCGAGTAGATGCGGAGAATATCGCGGAGTATGGTCGACGCTTGCTTGACATTGCCGTTATTGTGCTTGGTCGCCGTCTTCTCATCGTCTGAGTCGCTCTTCGATTTGGTATCAGAGCACAACTTAGCAAACAGGTTTCTCGAACTATCTTCGACGGGTCGAAAGAGCATCCGAGCAATGAGCCCTCCATAATTAGCAGAGACGGCATAGATACCTTGGTCCTCTAGCGTAGCGAAGAAGCCCACCAAAAGCTTGTCACCTTCAGTAAGTGCCCACTTGATGGCCGTCTGTAGGTATAGTGATGCAGATAGGTAGAGCAGAGGCTTAGAGAGTAGAGAGAAGGCATACTGTCTCGTACTGAAAAGAAGAGGATGAGCGGAATTCACTTACTTTGGCTGGTACATGGAAACACACCTCGTTTGCACCCACTTCGGGAAGAGCGAAAAGCCCTTCAAACGTGCTACTGGTGCTGTCTGGGTCAGATACACGATGGTAAGGGAAGTCGAGTATGCCAGCTCGCCAGCTGCGAACGGCAGGACACCCAGCTCCTGCCCTTGACCTTGAGCCCAGAAGACAAGGCCAGCTGTAACGAAGGTCTTCACAATGACCGCCGTCGCTTCTGCGGCTGCTCGAGTCTTGTACAACATATTCTGCTGTACAGCCACGAAAGCCGGCTCAGACAGAAGCTCGATCACAGCCGTCAGCTGGCTGATTCTCAAGGAAGTCGTCAGGTATGGCACATTCGGGTAGTTGCTCCGTAACAACAGCTCCGTCATTAGTGCTCCAACCGGTAGTCCAGCTACAATAGCGAGGTAGGAGATATTGACTGCGGCCTGTACACCATCGGAGCGTCTCTGGGTGGCTATACGTAGCGATTCGCGGGAGAAGTAGAGTGAGCTGTGGATGTAGAGTTCGAGGTAGACCGCCACGCCTAGGATCTTCGGCGACAGGAAGCGTAAGAGGATCTGGTTGAGGGCGAATGTGATGGCGCGGCTGCCGACCTGGAGGAGGACCATGAAGGTTGCGCCTTTGGCGGAGGCGGAGATGGAGTCTTCTGCCATGGTTTGATAGGATTTTCCAGGGTGGATGTACTGCTAACGTCAGTTCGACATGTTCTGGCTGATTATTGCGCGCACCACGTATCCGCGAGAAGTGGCTGTGACGCAAGTGGCATGTGGAAGCCCCACGCCTCGGCTCTGGTGAACTCAAGATCATCTTGCATCACGTCCATGTCCTCGACAGGACTGTCACTACGATTATGACATGACGGCCTTGATCACCCCTTCAACATGTACATTATGACGATAAGCGACTGATTCCGCCACGACGGCATTACACCACCAACCATGATCGAATTCCGCACCCAAGGCTTCAACCCCTACGCAACCAAATACTCCCCCTTCTTCGACTCCCGCCTCGCCGTCTCCGCCGGCGCCAACTTCGGCCTCGTAGGCAACGGCCGCCTCTACATCCTCAACCTCACCGCCAACGGGATCCAAGTAGAAAAGTACTTCGAAACGCAAGATTGTCTCTTCGACACCGCCTGGAGCGAACAGCATGAGAATCAGATCCTGACCGCCGGCGGCGATGGCAGTATCAAGCTCTTCGACATCGGCGTTGGTGAGTTCCCCGTAGCGGGCTGGCAGGAACATGGCCGGGAGGTGTTTAGTGTGCATTGGGGATTGGTGGACAAGAGTCGGTTCTTGAGCAATTCGTGGGATGGTACGGTCAAGATATGGGCGCCGGAGAGGAAGGAGAGTCTGATGACTCTGCCGGTGCATAGTTGTGTCTACAGCGCACAATTCAGTCCACATCATCCGGATATAGTGACTTGTGTCAGTCGCGACAGCCATTTGCGGGTCTACGATCTCAGAACCAAGGCGAGTGCGCAGAATCATATGACGCTTGCTATACCCATCCATGCCCCGCCGAAGGTGCCAGCACCGGGGTATGGGCAGGGAAGTGTTGGGCCGACGGAGTGTCTGACGCATGACTGGAACAAGTATCGGGATTCGGTGCTTGCTACTGCTGGGGTGGATTCCGTGATAAGGACGTTCGATCTACGATCACCTGCTGGACCTGTCAATCTATTGACAGGACACGAGTATGCTGTCAGGAAGGTGAGCTGGAGCCCGCATCTCAGCGATGTCCTGCTGAGTGCGAGTTATGATATGAGCTGTCGTGTTTGGACGGACGGAAGTAATGTGGAGAAAGGCGGCAATGGCGCTGGGTTTGGGAGGGAGATTGGCCGTATGGATGCGCATACCGAGTTCGCCATGGGCGTAGACTGGTGTCTATTTGGTGCCGAAGGATGGTGTACGACCTGTGCTTGGGACGAGAGAGTATTGGTGTGGGATGTGAGGGAGTTCATGCGACCAACGTGACCATGCTTTGACAAAGGGAAAGGGTATCATTTATGTTCGTTATGGACAGGGGAAAAGCAACGCGCTGTATCCGCCAAAAGAGTTGCCAAGAGGCTATGACCGCAGTGGCCACTGTGGCGGAGTCACCATTCGCGGAGGCATCTGCTCGTCGATGCTCCGGAGTCTGCTTCGACCATGATTGCTGGGTGTCGCGGTCCGTGTACTGCCGCTGGCACTCCTACGGCCAGTCGGTGTTCCCCATCTGCCACTCCGCTGATCGTACTCGCTGACTACACTCTTGGTGTCGAAGTCGCGTCCATCTTGTCCTTCGAACTCAAACGGACCGTGGTAGGATTCCGCCACGCTGTTAACAGTGGTACCGCTATGTCGGTGCGTCGTTTGACTCTGGTGGTCCGGAAATACTACCGGAGCTGGGATTGGAGGGATGATGGGTTGTTGATCCGAGTCACGGAGACTTTGCTGCTGCATTGGCCTGGAAATGGTAGGGTGCTGGCCACGAGGCATACTGTTTGCACTTCGCTTGCGACGTCGTCGGAAGCAGAAGCATAATACAAGGAGGACGGCAAGTAACGGCAGACCAATACCGAGCCCGACTCCGAGTCCTATCGCGAGGTCGTTGTTATGATGTCGATCCTGTGTTCCATTAACGCCATTGTTGGCAGAATCGCTGGATGCCGTGGCGGCGCCGATGTCCGATGAAGACGCGGGAGTCAAGCTTGCCGCCGAAGAGATAGCTGATGTGGTGCCGGCAGCAGTCGCGGATGAGGAAGAGATGGATGTCGCTGACGACCCTGAACTCGAGCTAGTACTCTGTAAAGTCTGTGCAACAGAGAACTGCGTACTGTCCGTCGAACAGTCAGTCTCACACGTCCCAGATCCGTCCGAGAGCTCGAAACGTAATGGTCCAGCATCCGACGCTTGAACGACATTTGTCGCAGGCCATGTGTAGCTCGTCTGATCCGTTGTATAATTTGCTAGACAGCAACGTCAATATACCTCATCTCTCATTGACACACACGCAAGAGACGATACTTACAAGCCAACGTCTGCCCAAATAACGTCCCATCGCCTGCCGTCTGCCAAACCTTCAAGTTCGTGTACTCGAAACTACTCGCCCATGCTATCCTCACATCCTCTCCCGCATTGTACTGCTCCGTCGCTCCCAGCGCCGTCAGCGCATTGCTCGCCGGCTGCAAGAACACCGCTTGTCCCCATGTCGCCGCCGGCGCCAGGATTAAGATTATTGTCGCATAATGTAGTAGTGGTAATGGTGTCGCATATCCGCCAACGCTCGCCGGCCGCATTCTCGTGTCGTGTGCGCAATGCCGGTGAATACGTTGCTATCGCATGTGCATAGTTATAGCTTGTCGAGTCTCAGCGCAACTATGGGATGTGTCGAAAGGGAAATTAGACAAGAGATATTGAGCGGCTGCGATGAGGTAGTCGCTGCCGGACAACAGCTACAATAGTACCATCACAAAGGCGCTCTGTACTCTGGGAAGCTTTTGCACCAGCTCCAGGCTGAGTTCACTGCTGCGCATGTTCCTTACGCTATGACTTTTCTTGGCTTAGACTATGTGGCTGGCGATCAGCTCAATTACCGTATCGGGTAACTCGGAGCAGTAAATTGCCGGTAGCTATACCACTCTCAGACACAGACTTCCGCAGAATGACTATTTTTGTGTCCGTCCGATCTAGGTACTGACGCTGACGATATGCATGAGCTGTAGCTATAACATGCAGCTCTTCTCAGGTTCAATGCTTTGGGCTCATATCATTATACATCTACGGTCTCACAGTCGCAGCGACGACACGCCATGAGGCTGGCCCCCAGAAGCAATATGTACGGCTTGATCACTGCTCCCCAACGGCCTGCAAGGTTTTCGTCAATCTAACGGTCTCGTCAAATTTAATTGACAACGAGATTGCGCCACTGGCTAACTCGGCATATGCACGGCTTCTTGCAAGGCTGAGGAAGCGGACGTGTTCAATCCCTATAGGACTGTATAACGACATGTGCATACACGGGCTCTGCTTTGCCATTATCCCTTCGTCACGATGATGAGGGGAAGCGATTTCACGTTCTACAGCACCTTCTCGTGGCTGGGAAAGCCTGACACACGAGAGGGAACCGCATATGCGGTGTCGCGTAGTCTGACTGACCATCCACCTCGGCAGTCTCTATTGTGTGCTTCCAGGCAGGTCGTGCGACTGTCTCGGACACAGGTGCGCAAATATGCACCTCTAGCCAGAATACCTCCAGTGCCTGGCCGACCTGAGGGGCATGATGCCGTGCTACGTCGACCGTGAGGGGTTGTCGAACACACGCCTCAAAGGAACCCGTCCATGATGGATCGACAAACTACGCAGCATCGTCTCTCAACTCAATAGCAATCTTGTACCCGACACCGTCCCTGCCACCAACCCACCTCTTCTTCTTACCCACCTTCTCCACCCCGTGCACTTCCTTTTCGAACCCTACCGCCCGCACATCCTTGGCAAAGACAACTTGCAATTTAATCTCCGCCTCACCTTTCCCGCTTTCGTCCCACGCTGCATCGAAGCCTACCCTCCCAGCATTATGCTCACTGACACCGGCCGGGTAGACAGAAGCAATGAGCGAAGCTATTGAACCAAGGTAGTTGATCCACCACAGCGTGTAGGGTGACTCGACCATCGCCTCCAGACCTTTCTTGAATGTCGAATCCGAGGGTGGAACATTACCACCCCATCGCTGACAGAGCAAAAGTGCTAGAAACGTTCGGTTCTCATGCAACACGCCGTGCACACTTGCCAAGATCCCTGTCGTCGTTGATCTGATCGCAGAAGAGGCTTGAAGATCCTTACTGTGCGAGCTGTGGTAGTATATCAGGTTCGCGAAGGCATCGAGAAGCTGTGAGGTGAAGACGTCGCTGTAGACGTCGCGCTGATTCTGTCGCCCATCTGGCTTAGGCAACGCGGAGAGGAGAAGCTTGGTGATTGCACCGGAAGTATTGGCCGTATCATACGGCTCTGTCGCCACGACGAGGGGATGCTGGGCCCTCACTTCCTTCAAAAGCTTGGTGAAGAGATGACCTTCCCGCACCCCACCCTGGCAAAATCGCACTTCCTTGATGTCCGGCAATGTCTGGGCTAATGCGCTGACCAGGAACGCCACAGCTGGGACCTGAGAGGCTCGTCGATCGGATACACGAAAGATCTCTGCTGCATCGTCGGTTTCGGTCAGTGTTGCAGCGGCTGCCTCTTTGACCGCCTCTGTACCAAGAAACTGCTGACGATCTGCTTTGAATCCATTGATGACTGGGATCAGGTATGGTGTGATGTTGTGCTGGGACATCAAGACGTAGCCCCAACCTCTGAAGCCGCCACCGGAGAGGTAGAGTGTGAAGCCTCCGTGGCTTCTTGCAGTCTCTTGCAGTTCAGTAGGCACGTTGAGGTTAGCATAGGCGTCCTTGACAGCTTTCTGCACCTCTGCCTTGAGCTCGGCCGTGGTACCTGCTTTCTCAGCTTCTGCCAGGCGACGTGTCATAGCTGCCGCACCATACGGCATGCTGATCGAACCGTTATTCGGCATCCTCACTTCGTCAGAGTTCGCGTCCTTGATAAGCCAGCTAAGCTGAGTGCTACCACCGCCGAGGTCCATTACTAGGCCAGAGACAGTAGGCAGAGAGCTTGCAACGCCCATGGCGCCTACTCGGCCTTCATCCTCCTTCGCCAGCATGATGACATCCCAGCCGACAGCCTCCTTGATACGATCTCGAAACTCCTCTGAGTTCGGCGCCGTTCGTGTAGCCTCTGTGGCCAGCACGGTAATATTAGTAGTTGGCACTTCAAAGTCTACACATGTCCGTTTGAAGGCAGCGAAGGAGGCAACTACAGCTGCGATGGTATTGTCGTCAATTGTTTGTCGTTCAGGATTGCCGGGTTTCCATTGGGCATCGTACAGAGAGATTGCTTCTCGGTGTTGATACAGTGTTGGCATGATGCGAGCTGTTGGAGGCTGTAAACTTGATATTGAGAAGCGGATTCCATTGCTGCCCATGTCTACCACGGCTTGTAGGTACTCGGCGCTGGTTTTGGTTATGTTGACTGCCATCTTGGAGGCCGTGGAATGTAAAGACAACAATCTAGGATTTCAATGTCACAGTCTGTGCGAGAAAGGTAGTGAGTGCACTCGCAGCGTGATGTGGTTATATAGGAAAAGCAATCCATCTCGATGGAGAAGTTGGAAGCGTGAGGTCAGACGCTGTGCCGAATTTTCACTCCAAAGCTCGAAGAAGGCAGAACATTTCCCTGATCTCTTACCTGATGCCAGATCTGTCTGCGATGGAAGTCGAAATCGGCACGGTTAGGACTGACACACCTGCGCATTATCATGAAGGCGGGCGAGCAGTGCGATGGGTTAAGGAGACTGATCAGCGCCCGGAGATTGGAGAAGATGGAGTCGTCGACCGCCGGACTGAGGTCCGAAGCCTGTTGCCTCGGAGTAAGGTATGGATGAATCGACAGTATGAACAAGTAACGAATGTACAACATGAACTAGGCATAGCACACATCTCTTTTGTGGGCTGTACCAGCAACCCATAGCAGAGATACCCTTCTTCTCCGACAAAACCTGGCGTTACCTTGGCTGCCTCCACAAGAGGGCATCTTAGACCACCCTGAAACTCACATGTCAGCCATGAAATCGGACTCGTTGCTGAAATCACATGCTGTATACCTTGATAGGCACCACAAGACCTACAAGATCCTTCCTAGTATCCCCAGTCCTATAGTCGGGACCCAATCGAATCAAGGACTCATTGGCCAAAGATACCCGTGCTTGTTTCGTGAATGGCTCTGACCTCGAGAGGCTGTCTCGCGTAGCCTATGATCGAGGTTTTGCTTGTATGGGTGGACCTTTGACAGTTGCTCTCACAAGCTCCGGCTGCCTGAGAATTGGTAGAGTAGGTGCGGCCAATTGTTGCCGCCAGCAGTGAAGCAATGGAGAGGAGCACCAGGTGAAGAATTGATATGCTTCTCATCCTGGAGGCGGCAGACTTTGCTGAAGGGTCGGAATGATTGCTCGAGAGACTTTGGTACAGGAGATTTAGTGTACAGAATTGTGGCAGGCAATATGGCAAGATCGTAGATCACGCATGTGGAAGCTAAGTAGCAGTTGACAAGCATCCCATGTGATCGTAGCCCTTTCTTGGTTGCGGCCAGAGCAGGTGTGTTACCAAACGACAACAAATTCAAGAAAGCCAACAGAGCAAAGGCAAATCTTCCATCAGTCATGGGTGACACCTCCAAGTCCAAAAAATGCGCAGGCCCTCTCTCCAAAGCCCATACAGTCTACAGAAAAGCAAGAAGAACGCAGAAGCATTTCGAAAGAGACTCATCAACACTTTCCAGACTTCCCACCAGACGATCCTGAACCTCCCCCTTCCGGGTCGTCACCACTGCTAGGCTTCTTACTCTTCGACTTGTTTCTCCGCTTACACGTCTTGGGTGACGTCGCCGCAGCTTGACTCTCCTTCGCTATTTGAGACTCCGTTGACTCCTTCGCTTGCTCCACAGGATCTGTGGGAGTCGGACCAGTTTGGGAGGGCGTTGGTGGGGGTGGTGGATCTAAGGCGGATGGGGTTGATTTTGGGGGCTCCGCTGTGGGTGATGTTGGACTGGCCACCGGAGGAGAAATCGGTGCAGGCTGCCCTGTTACGCCATGAGTGTCCCCACCGCTGTTGCCATTCGGAGCTGGATTCAAAGGTGGGCTCGGTTGTGCAGGCTTCTCATTGAGTTCAGGTGTCTCCGGATCAGTTGTCTTGCCTCCAGATTTCCCGAAAGGATTGCTTAGCTTAAGGATGCTTGGCAAACTACCAGGAAGATTATTACGGAGCTGTGAGATATCAGGATCGGTAGCGTAAGGACTTGCGGACGACGAGTCGCAGCTTCCGGGATATTGCGTTTCATCACACTCTTCCTTGCCGGTACCGTATCTCGAATCTCCGCCAGAGTTGGGCACACCAGAGTAGCCCAGACGAGAACCTTGATATGGTGGAGCTTGACCAGATTGGCCATATGGATCGTTCCCACCGTTCTCGCCATTCTCACCATCTTCACCGGCTTCATCGTCTTCACCGGTCGCTCCGCCGTCCTGATCATCACTGTGCATGCCACCTTGCTTAGTGTAAGGCCGTGACCCTTGTCCGTTGGTCCCAAGATTGTCCGTCGAGCTGCCATAGCGACTGTCCGGGCCGCTATTTGAGGCTGGCTGCACGTTTCCGCCTCGACCGCTGCCAGTGTCACCATATATTGCCTGTCCGCTGGTCCCACTTCCAGTCCCTGGGCCGATCTCACTACCATCATTGTACATGTTCCTCTGATTCATGTCAGTCTGGTAAGGGGCGTTCTTGTTGCCCGACTGTGACCCAGAGTTCTGAGCAGGCGCGTGGTTGTAACCAGGCTGACTGTAAGATGGCCGTCCCGTATTGCTGTTGATTTGGTCATTGCTTTCAGCGGAACCATATGGAGTCTTCACTTTAGTGTTCGGATTGGTTCCTGAACCTCCAGTAAAATCTCCTTGCGGGTACGTATTACCATTTGAGCCAGCGGCTAGAGTGTTGGAGTTGGGGTCGGTCTGGCCGTAGCTTGCCAACGGTTCTCGTTTCTTGTTCAATCGTGGGTCGTTGTGCGTTGAGGCCCCCCCATCGTGATCACGACTGTCTACCTCGGCGGCTCTGGCCACAGCTTCCAATGGTGTGATGTCATTTGGAGGCGTGGCAAAATTGACGGTCGCGATCACAGCGCTCGGCGTGCCAGCATCTACGTTTGTCGTAGGCGAGGGCCGTTTGACGTATGTTGTAAGTGTCGTCACGCCGGCTTTGATGGGAACGTGGTAAGACTCACGCTTTGATGGCTCATCACCTCCGGGTGTGACACTGTGGAGGTCCCGCGATTTACTGCGCTGGTGCACAGTCCTCTTCCTTTGTTCCGTAGTCGAAGACCGATAGCTCTGGCTATCGCCATGCGCCTTCCCATCTTCCTCACTCTGGGTGTCGTAACCAGAGTCGTCACCATTAGCCGATTGTAGACTAGCATTGGAGGGCCGACGTCTGTCGCTGTCCCGCTGATCTTCCTCCTCTCCCATATTACTTGCATCAGCTTCAGATTTCAGATCATTGCGCCCGGAACCACTTTCTTCATCCTGGGCCTCAGAGGAAACAGTCTTATCATGTTCATCGTACTCACCACCACCAGAGCCTTTACCAGAGCCTTTACCAGAGCCTGAATTTGAGCCCAAATCCTGAGATGTACCTTCATCTTCATAATCATCATACCCCTTCTTGCCACTTGGAGCTTCGGCAGCGCCCGCATCAGATCCTGGATGTTGGGATGTGCCTTCGGCTTCATGCTCATCGTACCTGTCTTTACCGCCCATGCCTGAAACCGAGCCCTGGTAGTCAATATCCTCGGAATTCGCGCTCTGAACTCCCTTTCCAGGACTCTTTTGGTACTCATTGTTCGAATTCTGGGCTTGATCATCGTCACTTGTGCCAGAACTGCGTAAACCTCCAGAGCGGTCCTCAGAATCTGGATACGCTCCTTGTTGCTGAGCCTGTCCATCGAACCCAGCAGGCTCGCCAGGGCTATCATAGCCAGCTGATTGACCATACGTTGATCCTGGAGCAGTGTAAGGAGGACTCGAGCCATAGCCCTGATTGTAGCTGTCCTGACCACCAGCATTATATGGCGACCCCAACATGCCATTGTTTGAACCAAACCTGCTGTATCCACTCTGACCACCAGGTTGCGCTCCAGAATATCCATCTCCTCCCGTACTGTAGGGTTGTCCTTGCTGTGCAGTGACTGGTGCTGGATCGGGAGTAGATATGCCAGCATGTGGCGAACCATTCTGATGGGTTGCGTTGCCAGCTTCAGCATGGCTTTGTTTGCTAGGAGAAAGTTGTCTGCAATAGAAACTGCCAAATGAAAAGGTACGGCGCGAATAGCGACTGGCTTGATATGGCAGGCTGAGACCTCTGATCGGCTTATCGCAACCCGTGTCCCTGTCACTAATTCAGCATCAATATGAATGTATGTAGTTGGGCATACTGACGCAAAAGGTGTGCATAGTACGTTTGCCGTTAATGCAATCTTCCATTTATACCCCAAATACCGCACCGGAAGAGAGCCTACGATGAACGTCAGTCAGCTCGATTCTCGAAAAGGGAGCAACCTTACTGACGGCATTGGTGGGAGGGTTGCCGAATCTCTAAGCATTCTCTTTTGTTGGAGGTTTCGCAGAGCAGGAGTCCAACAACGTCTACTCCGTTAGCATTTGCAGTCCAAAGAGCTTTGACGGCCTTAGCTGATTTCTGAGGAGGGTGTGACCCTGGACCCGACGACGTTGATGCACTTGGTGATCCGCCCCGATTTGCGCCCGATCGACTGAACCAGCTAGTCGAGCCCCATTTGCCCGAGACTGACTTGCTGGATGGCGAGGTTGATGATCTGCTAGGGTTGGTGGAAGCGTGTCCGCCACCACTATTTCCGCCACCGCTGCGCCCCAGAAACGAGCGCTTGTAAATCGTCCTCCAATGGGGATGCTTGGCGTATGGATATCCTTCACCATCATCACCGTACCAGTACCAATGATGAGCGCTACGCAAGCTACCTCCGCCTCCACCATGCCCTCCCCGACCACCACCCTTCCGTTCGGCAAGCCCGTATCGTACGTTCTCATCGCTTGATGCCGTTGATGCACATGGTGTTGGCTCGACAGAGCGCCTTTCACTGTCGGCGGGAACTTGCTCAGACCCATAACACCTCGGAGTCGCGAACTCGATGTTGTGAGACCCATAGATGTCTATTGAGTGACGTGGCAGAAGTCCTGTAGGCTCCTCGAACTTCTTCTGACATTTATGGTCTCTAGGCACAAGGTCAGTACTGCATGTTTACCGCGTTTTGATAGGTGACTGACTTGTATGCGTAGCAATTCCACTGTCCTGTATCGAGCGAATTCCACTGCGGGAGGTGATCAGTCGTAATGGAATCTGAAGCCATGTCAGTACTATCAGACTCAATCTCCATTGTTTGCTTACGGCATTCTGATGACGGATGCTGGATGATTGTACAATCCTGGAGATTCGGATAGCCACAGAGTAATATACCATTACCTCGTTGCAGAGTGATGTTGCGGATCCGTCCATGGCAAGACGTATGGGCGAGGGATGCCCAGTCAGACTTGAAGCCTAGTTGGTTCAGTGGACTTGGTGCCCATGGCGCTGTGCAAGGGTTAGTACAGCATAGGTCGAGGAGCGTGCGACATACCTGACGCCACGGAGCTGATCAATGTTCCAGCAAGAACGATAGCCGTGGCGAGTAAGCGCATTTTGGAGGGCGTCTATGGTGACTTTGAAAGGCTTCATTAGAAGTCTCTTTACCGTCACACGTCTTGTAGCAACACTCACTCAACCGCTGCGAACCAGCGAGATAATCTCCTGAAGAGAGACCTGTGGTGCTGAGCCAAGCCGGAATTGCTGCGTCTTTCGTGATCTTGTAGAGTTGCACTTATCACTTCTTGGGCTCACAGACCAGGTTAACTACAAGCAAGTGATGAATTGTGAGGTTGTAAGCCTGCAGGATGTTTGTGTAGCAGTTGAGTTCTCGAAACCGGCAGCGCGACCTTTTTGTAGCCCCTCACACATGTTGTGAGCTTACAAGCAACAACACATACACATTCGAATAGTGAGTTGTCGGCATGAGCCTCTTGGCAGGCCCTGACCACGCAGCTCGCATGCCCATACATGCTCGAAGATCGTGATATGGAATTCTCAAAAGCATCGAAGCTGCGTCAGGCAGACTACGTAGCATCACGCAACCGCTTGTGATTCGA